AAATTGAAAGACTTGAGGGAGCCGCTGATTGGTATGCAGAACTCATTCGAGCATCTATTTTTCAAATTTTTGGTACTATTTCCAGTGCCATCGTTTCATCTCACAGCCGTCCTGGCTATCCTGAGTAGTCCCACTACTGTCAACAGCCCCATGGCTCCAAAGATGCCCACATTCTTCAACCTCCTGCCCGCTACATCGACATCATGAACTGGTCCGTAGCTTTCTATACCACCATTGTATCCATCTCTCTCCCGGACATATATCAGCCACTGCCCCTCCTTCTTCATGTTCTCGTCCTGTATTTTCTTATTATACATAGACCACTCGCCCCCCCCCCCCCCATATCTGCATCTTCGGCCGTCTTTCCACATCTGCCCCCCAATTACCGACACAGTACACTTTAGAGTTCGTACCCCCTACTGTCTTGTTGAAACACTTTACGTAATGTCGGTGTTCGAAATACTCGTTCCCTTCCCTCAAGTAAGAGCAACGACACTCCTCGGGTACGTCTCCTGCGGCTATAATGATGGGATCGAGACCCCCACAGAGACATTCTATTCGGCCGGCGTGGAAGCAGTTTCTATCAAGGTAGCAGAGGTCGCGGCAGCTTCTGGCGAATGACCGCTTCAGGCTTTGCAGTACAGTCCATGAAGTCTATTCTGGGAAAGCCACGTGATGGGGTAGGGTAAAGATCACTGGATCGGCAGTGGAAGGAGAGGCGAGGCCTGTGTCGGTCGTGGATTGGTTTGGAGCGGAGGACATTGCTGATAGTGATACTTATGATTTGTTATGCTTTGTTTAGAAAAATGAAAATCTAGGAGACGAGTGCAGAGTATTCAAGGAGCGTCCATCGCTGGTTTGCGATGTGAATGACAATTTTAGCGATCTCCGGAGTCATACGAGCAATGACTGCACTTCATGGCGCGACGTGAAGAAGTCGCTCTTGAATAGCACACGAGCCACGATGGCAGAGAGATAGTTACCAAACATGACGAAGCGACGCGCGCAAAAGACTGTGGATATTCAAATTGCGAAGAATGTTGCTCGTAGGGAATGACTTAGTTGCACAAGATTTATCTACAAAACCCATACGCCTGTTTCATCGAGCCTATACCAACATGTACTGATACTCACTGTATTTCTCGCCTACGGGAATATACCCTCTTTCTTCCGTTCACACGTAAGACTAGAGCTTTCCCGCCTGCACCTCGACATTACTCCCTATTCGTTCCGTCACGAACCATTTCCCAAGCTTTTTCCAAAAAAACACATCGAATGCACCAAATGCGATGGATCATACGGTTGACATGTCTCATGGAGACCCGATGAGATCAAACATACAGGCTCGCACGCGTTCAAAGTTCTAAAAAATGTACTTGAAGATTTAGAAATCAGCTAAGCTACCACTATACGCACACCCATCACGCATTCAGGCAACCAGAAGAACTCCTTCTACTCCTCCTCTACATAAGACAAAATACTTCCTCCCTCGTTAGTGAATCCGTTGCCATTACGGTAGCTCCTGTACTTCTTGTAATTCTTATTGTCACCTCTGAATTGTTGAAACATGAGGTAGTGAGACTATTCGCAGCTAAAGCTGCTTCCCTCGCCACTATCGTCGGCTAAAGGTATGAGGCATGTACATAATTTTCCCTCCGGTATGTCGTTCGGCCAAAGACTGACAGGTTCGCCTTTCTCAAGCTTAGAGAAGTCGCTCTTGTCGAAAATTGTATCGTTGGCGGCCGTTAATAGGGACATGAGTGGTGTTATTGTGTAAGTAGTACCTTTCAGAGAAGACGGTTCATCCGCCCGTCTGCTAATTGGTACTGAAAGACTGTTCATCATGATGGTATGAGCTTAGTGTATTGTGCCAAAAAGTAAAGAGGGATGCAACAAATGCAATCGCTTGGAAGCTGCTGGCTTTATAGTCAGGAACTAGTCAAATTCTGTGTGTCTTGTGAAGAGTACTAGTAATAGCATGAGTCCCACGAGATCAGTTTCCTACAACTGCCCACTTTGTCTTACCAATATTGACTCGATGCGCATAGTCTCAAGCAGAGCTTAAACTCACCTACTGAACGAGACCGTCACACTTGGGGCACATCCACTACATATAATGATCTCATCTAATTGCTACGGTGCGTCGGGCTTTGCGACTCCCTTTTGCGTACTCGCAAATACAAATGGCCAGCTTTATCGAGAAAATTATATGCCTGCAACTTGTTGCTTTTGAAGTGTCTCATATATGAATTTCCAAGTCGACTCTGGAGTCTGGTTTCGGCGGTCTGCAATCATATGTGGCGACCCGGGTATGTAGGGCCATTGTTGGAGAAGCTTCGTTATCATAGCAGTCGATGATATAATACTGAGATTCCGAGAAGATGAATGGAAAAAGAGGAAGCTAAAATCTCAGTACGGTACAGATTGTCTCTGTGAGCTGGGAAGTTTCACGACCGAATTTATACTACAAACCTTTTTGCTCGTGTCGGCGCATGACTCTGGTTGCAGTCAAGGCCGATGACTATTTTGAGTTTCGGTCAATAGGTAGTTGAGCGCGGGCCATTGACTCAATTTTCGAGGAGAGGCACGTTCGCGCAATGTACACCTTCATCGCTGCTTCCGGATGATTCTTCCTTGAGTTATTTACTGTTTCTACAGATGTTCTAGCTGACACAAAAGATGATGTTACCAACGAGCTCACACGCGAGCGCCGTGCTAAGATCGGCTCTCTGCGCGACGAATTGAATTATGTTGGTCGCGAATCGGCGTAAGTTACCGTGCACGGACACTAGGCGCCTAGAGACACTAGGCGCCTATCCTAAAACTAAAACGTATTATTAATACTAACTTTAATATATTATAACTCTACTACTATAGATCTAATTTAAGCTATAATTAAAGATATTAAATTATATAAGCTAGAAGAATATTTTATATATATAGAAGTTACTGCAAAATATAATATTAATTATATAATATTAAGCTAAAGATATAGAGGTATATAAGCTATAGTAGGTACTTAGCTACTAAATAGATATAAACTTAGCTTACTATAGAAGTTAGAGCTTATACTATATATTAAAAAGCTTACTAGGTAAGGCTTACCTTCTATAAGAAAGATAATTAGAAATTTTACTTTATCTATAGCTAAGAAGAAGGTCTCTAAGCGCTAAGTTTTATACTTTATTAGCTAGAATAAAAATAAGCTTATCTTAAAGAGAACTAGCGCTATAGATTATATATATTACTAAGCTAATTTCTATATTAAATATTAAGCTTACTTTAACCTTCTATATAAGAAGCTTAATAAGTATTATCTTAAAGCTAGTAATATATATAATATAGATAAAAAAGGCTTTTTTATTAGAATTATTAGAATAAGTAAGAAAGTCTTTAGTAAATATTAATAGAATAAGAAAGAGATTAGAGTATTACTTTAAGATAGATTATATAAATTTTTAATACTCTTAGCTTATATCTATACTAATAGAAGCTTACTACTACTAAGCTTTATTTATATATTAACTTAGAAAGTAATTAGATTAAACTAGGTAAAGAGAATTACTATAGAGAATTATAATATCTTTATTATATTATCTTAATTAAGTTAGAGTAATAATAATATTAGTTTAGCATAGCTTAAGTAAGTATTTAATTACTATATAAAGAATAAACTAAGAAGATAGTAATTACTTATTCTTAATAGCTATAAATCTTATCTTATCTCTAAGTTTCTTAAGTATTATAATTACTATAGAATTCTTCTAATAGTATTTTCTTCTTATTTAACCTATATACTATAACTACTAGATATAGTAATATTTAAGCTACTCTTATTAAGCTACTTTAATAAGCTTACTTAGTATCTCTATAATACCTAGAGCTTTATCTCTATTAAGAAAGAAGACTTTTTTTCTCTTTTCTAGTAAGCTTAAAGCTTATCTTTTAAAAAAAATATTATCTTAAAAGCTTTTAAAGCTACTAGTATATAGCTAACTAATCTAAGAGTTATTCTTAATAGATTTAGAATAAATATTTAATAAAAACTCTAGTAAGCTATTCTATCTCTCTTTAAATAATTAGAATTAGCTATAATAATTAGTATAAGATACTACTAAGAATAAAGCTTAGAATAAAGTAAGAAAGCTTAGTATTTTATTTTACTATCTCTAAGTTTAAAATAAGCTACTTTATTATAAGAATAAGTAATTAAGAACTACTCTTTTATATAAGTAAAAGTATAAAAATAAGAATAAAGCTTTTAATCTTTAATAGCACTAAGAGTATTATAGTAGTACTATCTTCTAGTTCTTTTATAAGTTCTATAAAGCTTAAGCTTAAGAAGTAATCTATAAGTAAGAAGAAATAGAAAAAAAACTCTAGAAAATATAAGCTAAGAAGTAGTATAAAGAAGCTTAACTATAGTATTAAGTTAAGCTTAAGAAGAAGTATATAAAGAAGTAGAGACTTAAGATAATAAAAGAAAAAAAGAAAGCTAAAAAATAAGCTAAATATAAGTATTAAAAATAGCAGTATAACGCTAAGAAAGCTATATAATTATTCTAAAGTAGTAAGTATAAAGCCTTATAAGTAATTTTCTTTAAGAAGAAGTATTAGAAATAAGTAGTAAATAAGATAGCTACTACTTAAGTTTAACTTACTTTATTTTCTCTATTAACTTAAGTAATATTATATAGCTATAATATTAAGCTTCTAAGTAAATTTAGATAATATAAATTAATTATAAGTATCTAATTACTGCTATACTATGTTTTTATATATATAGAGCTATTATATAGCATTATATAGCTTTAAGTTTAAGATTATAATAATATTATTAGGTAGGCGCCTAGTGTCTCTAGGCGCCCGGTGTCTGTGCACGGTATGCATGGTTCGCCCACGTCCAACCGTCGCGCTAACCGCGTTTAGTTTGAGCACGATGTCGCAATACATACCAGCGAGCACGCTTTACATAGGGTGGACCTTGCGAGCAGGGAATATGACGATGTCTGAAGAACTTGAAAATATAAGAGAGTGCTGTGCCAATGGCAGGTTCAACAAAGTGCCTCTCAAAAGCTGTTTTTGGGTTCCAGACCAATTTGATCCGCGATGTTGTCGTTTTCAATTTTGTGGAAGCTGTGCCTGCTATGGTCAGCCAGTACGACTATTGCAACATCGAGTACCAGGCATGGCAAGCCTAATTTTGTCTTCATCATTACCGATGACCAAGATCTTCACCTTGGCTCGATGGACTATATGCCGTTGACAAGGAAGCAATTGGGGAAGCAGGGCACATTCTACAAGCAGCATTATTGCACGATTTCCATATGCTGTCCATCACGTGTCAGTCTTCTCACTGGCAAGGCTGCGCACAATACAAACGTGACCGACGTGAACCCGCCTTACGGTGAGTAATTAGTTCGGCCAAAGGCTCATAGATTACTAACTTCCGTAGGCGGCTACACGAAATTCATATCACAAGGTTTGAACGACAAGTACCTGCCAGTATTCCTCCAGGGTGCGGGATATGATACATACTACACTGGCAAGCTGATGAATGGGCACTCAACCACGACTTGGAACAAGCCGCTCCCTGCTGGATGGAACGGTACTGATTGTACGTACCTGTAAACAATAGATCAGAAAGTTTTACTAGACTAAACAATTTTCAGTTCTTGTCGACCCTGGTACCTATATCTACTGGAATGCGACATTCCAAAAGGACCAGGCTCCGCCAGCACCAGCTCCCGGCCAATACAACACTGATCTGGTAAAAGAGAAAGGACTAGAATTCATCGATACTGTTGCCAATACGTCAAAACCATTCTTTATTGGCATTGCACCCATTGGGCCACATGCTGAGTTTAATGGCACTGGCGGTTTTACGAAGGCTGTTGGCGCGAAAAGACACCAGAAACTGTTCTTGGACGCCAAAGCTCCTCGGACAAGTAACTGGAATCCTGATAAGGTATACAACCCTGGGATTTGATTGAAGATGATGCTAATTTTCTTTAGCCAAGTGGAGCAAGTTGGATATCGAAATTAGAGAAGCTGAATGGCACGGTGATCGCCTCCCACGATGAGTGGCACGTTGGCCGCCTACAGTCACTGCAATCCGTTGACGAGTTAGTGGACGAAGTCGTCAACCGCCTGGAAAAATATAAACTCCTGGATAATACTTACATCATCTTCACTTCCGACAATGGGTACCATATCGGCCAGCATAGGCTCCAGCCCGGCAAAACATGCGCCTTCGAAGAAGATATCAATGTGCCATTCTACGTTCGCGGCCCTAATGTACCCAAAGGTAAGACGGTTGATGTAGTCACCACGCACACCGACATCGTTCCTACGCTATTCGAACTCGCTGGAATCGAGCAGCGAGACGACTTCGATGGTCAGCCAATCCCGGTTACTAGCAAAGCGATCGCCGAGCAATTGAAAAAGAAGAAGCGGGATCATGTGAATGTTGAATTCTGGGGCCCAGGTCGTGGCGAGGGGACTTATGGAGGTAATACTTATTATGTCACACAACTTAAGTATTTTGCTAACCTCATGACCTCTCAGTTAATGTTCCGAACAACACCTACAAGGCTGTCCGTATCATTGGAGAGCGCTACAATCTCTTGTACACTGTGTGGTGCACGAACGAGCATGAGCTTTACGACATGACCGTATGAGTTCTCTTCCGCCGGAATTGCATCCAGAGTTTGCTAATAGTCTGACAGAAAGATCCTGGTCAAGTCAACAACCTCGTCAACCCGTCCAAACAGCCTACTCTCGTTCTGAACCAGCCAATCTCCAGGCTCCAAAGTCGTCTGGACGCCCTACTCTTGGTCCTCAAGACTTGCAAAGCTTCTTCCTGCACCGATCCCTGGTCCGTCATTCATCCCAAGGGTGACGTTGTAAATCTAGAGGATGCTCTAGCATCCAAGTTCGATGACTTTTATGCGCAGCAGCCGAAAGTTGCGTTCACGAAGTGCGAGCTTGGGCAAATTCTGTCAAGCGAGGGACCGCAGGTTGGAAATAGTTATCATGGGAGTGAGCTTTGGCCGAATTGGGCCTAAGCTTGAAGTGAATCGTCATCTTCGAGGGCGTCACAAGTGACATTTGCTACGACATCTGGAGAGGCGAGATATGTCTACACATTTACGGGACTATAGATAAGGCCAGAGCCAGATTGTTTAATCAAAAGTCTAAACTATGTCTACTCCAGGAAAAACGTGGTCATCGACCTCGGCGGCACACTCGCTAAGAAGCTCGAACCATTAACATGATAACTCCCAACCATCGTATTATTGTGATCATTGTCCGCCAAATACGCAGTCGCCATATCCAACTTCAGCTTACAATTGCTGAGATAGACTTCCACCTGGCGCTCAAAATGTGCTTCATTGATGACAGGGATGGCAACTGTGCCGTTGACATTCTCGAAAGCGGTCACCAACATATTTTCAGCGCTGCTATTTGCACCAATGCGAACTGAACCTGGTCGTGCGAAGCGGAAGTAGCCTGCGAATGCCCAAAGACGGCGTGAAACTTCGAAGCTGTTGTTGGCGAGGCGGACGAGGATGGCGTCGCTTCCAGCTGTCGTGCCTGTGTTGTTTTGGGCGCACCACCAGTGGAGATAGCCGGAGGTGTCGCTGTAGACGAAGGCGTCGTGCCTAAAAGGGTCAGTATGACAGCTATCATGGCTTGAATTTTCCAACTTACATGTAAATAGCCCACTGTAAACCTTCGGCAAGCTGGCCAGTCGTGTCCCAGGTAGTGTTGAAAGTACCGCTACCATCCGACCATTCCGTCTCAAGGTTTGGCTGACCTTGCGTGTTGAAAGGTCGTTCTGGGTTACTCTGGTAATTATGCCAAGTCGCGACATCGTACAACTTCCCACCACCAGCTTGCTCCAACTCGTAGAGAATAGTGCGCTCTTGACGGGCGCCAGTGGCGTCACAGCAGGACACCTGCAAGTCTGTGCGATATTTTTTGACGGCAGGGTACAAGATTTCGAGGAAGTCCTTCGCTTGATATCCGTCCGAGTCCATACTAGCGTAGCTAACGGGATTGAAGTCCGGTTCGTTGAAGGCCCCCAACAAGCTGACGTTTATGCCCTTCTGCTCGTATAATTTGACGTACTGTACTAGGTAGTCTGCGTATGCTTGGCGCCAGTCTTGAGTACAATTGCTTCCACGAACTCCGCAGATGAGACCTCCGTTCTTGTCAGTTGCATCCGTCTTGAAGCATCCTGGAGCTGACCACGCGTCGGCATATATGAACAGGTCGGGATTGGCGATTAAAGCTTGCTGCGTCAACTTCAACTGACAACTATCCGCTGTCGAATCATTTGTTCCAAGACCCGTGTAGTTGAATATTGAAGAGGGTGTCTCGGGGCAGGTACCAAGGATTCCATCGTTCGGGTTCGAGCCAATGCGGTTGCGAAGGATCGACAGGCCTCCAAGGTTCTCGTTAAAGAGGTATTCGCTGACGAGTTGTTGGTTCTCTGGAGAGAGACCGCGTGCCCCAGTCTGATCGCAGGCGACACCGAAGGCTCCTGAACAGCCGCCTCCAATCATCTTTTGATGCCGAACTCCTGCATTGACAGACACTTGTACTGGTGGCTCATCCTGAGTGTAAGCCCACGGTATTGGGACATATTGAGCAGAGATGATACTCGCGAATGCGAGATGAAGCAGGAATGTTGTGGCCATTGCCATATTTGTGCCAAAGACACATCCAGGATCACCATCTCCAGACACACGCCCCGTTACTTATAAAACTGACCAGACTAATATGAACCCCTGCCTCCGAAAATGTCGGGAAGTCCTGATGTTCGCCAACTCGAATGACGCCATGATGATCGCGTCAAACTCTCATTTACCCAACGGCAGCGGGATAAAGCTGGCAGCACCATCACCGCCAGATCACAACATGCGGAGAGAAGTCAGAACTTATCGAAAGCAGACGTTAGCTTTGAGACGGCGCGACGCTAAGCCAAGACCCTGGTATGGACGGGTATTTATTTAAGCTTTTCTGGGGATCATTAGCGGGGAAAGGTGTGAGATAAGCATCGGACGGCTGAACATGAGAGGCGATTCGCGAGTTGCTGTCGATGTTAGCCGTTGGATTTTACCAGGCTCTCGGTCTCGGTGCCTGGGTTATGCACGCCGGACATGTCATTAGGAACACGTGGGACACGGCTCACTGGTTATCAGTGCGCGATCGAAACCCGGTATTTCATGTAACTGTTCAAGATTAGAGATGATGTGACATATTAGTTTCGAAAATGTATCTACACCCATAAAAGCAAAACCGATACAAACTTTTTCAGTCAGCTCAAGAACAAAGGACACGCTCCCAAGTACACCGACAGATCTCATAAAAAGAAACCACGCATCGTAAAATCAAACCGAATAATTGGTCGACGCCAATCTCAGCCAAACGGCGAGATCAAGAAGTGCCGAACTAGAAGATGCAGGAGTCGTGACGCAGCGTGTATGCCATCCTCTTGAATCGCTACAAAATTAAGTCACAATGCCAGCTGACGCCAATCTCAACCTTGAACGGTGAGATCGAGAAGCTTCAAGCTAGATGACTGTGGGAGCTTGTGTGTAGCGTGTATGTTAAGCTTCTTGTATGCCAATCTCAAAACCCCGGGGTGGGGCGAGATCACATGTACATACGAGAGAACTGTCGAAGAGGTTAGCTGCATCCGATACCATGACAACTGTGGAGCTCATACCTTTTTTTTGTATGACGCAGTCGTATCTAGCGCTCGCTGAAACGCAGCTTGTAGTCCTCACGAGTGAATCGTGGGGTCGGCGCCCAGGCCTCGTTGATTCGCCTGTAGTATGCAGCACTGCGCTCAGGCTCCGGAGGGGTGACAAGGAAGGCGGGTACAGCTGATGGCTTGTGGTTGTGCTCGATTTCGGCGACGAGGGCGGTCAAGTCCGATATGAGCTTGTCCTTATCGATGGGTAGGTCTGGAATCAACAGTGGCTGGTCAGTGCGGATCTTCGGCGACAATGGAGTGAAGAAAGTACTGAATTCGGGGAGGACATAGTCAAGATCCTCTGGATTGTCTGAAGTCTCGAAAAGCATGTTGGGATCGAAGAGGCTCAAAAACGCTGTCTTCTCGAGCTGCAAGACGGGCAGCTGGGGAACCAAGGGTGCAGCAAAAGCCTGGTCGCAAAAGGTCTCCGCCCAGTCTCGCATGTCTTTGGAAGGCTCAAGATTGAGCACGCTATGACCATCGCTGAGATTATGTGTGCTCGGTGAAGATGGCACTGCCTTTGTAGCAATCTTCGCGTAGCAAAAGTCCTCGTCATCCGATGCAACTACAGTCTCGTTGTCAGACGCTGAGCTGTCTTCGTCAAACACTACCAACGTGTCGTGCTCGACATCGGAAGAACCTTGAGCGACCACCTCAGTCTCCACATTGACATCGAAATCGAACGCCAAAGGACCCGGAGTGCCAAAGGGGTGGGATTCTGTGACCTTCGGCAACTGAGACTCCTGGTCGTCTCCTGAAGCATCCAACTGTGGTGCGGCGATGCGGTAAGTGCATGTCTGCTCTGGGCAGTCAAGCTCAAAGGCTTCCAGACAATGGTGTGTAGTGTGGGATTGGCCATCGATGAGATCGTCCATAGTGTATGCGCCGTCATCAGGGCTGAGAGGACGCTCAGGCGAGAGGGCGAGCGAATCGGTCGACGAGGGCGGGCTGGTATCATCTCCATCCGACTCATCTTCTCCATCGGTGGAGTAGTATTCGCGCTGTGCGAGAAGCTCATAGGCGCTGGCGCCGCCATATATGACATCATCTTCGAACTTTTCACCAGCTTGGCTGATGGTAACTTCCAGCTGCTTTGGAGGAGGACTGGTGCGGGCAAATTGCTCGTGGGTGACCACGCTCTCTGTACGTGGTGTATCGTTCTCGCGCTGAGCCAGGAGGTCATAGCCATCCGCGGTGCCATAAATGGCGTCGTCTTCGAATTTGTCGCCAGCTTGACCGATAGTGACTTCAATCGGCGAGGACGGGAGCGAAGCAAGCTCGTACCGAGCATAATGCTCATCAGTGATGGCAGTATCAGATCGTGACGCATCATACTCTCGCTGAGCGAGGGAGTCGTATCCGTTGACGTACGCATACATGGCGTCGTCTTCGAACTTGTCACCATCTTGGCTGGTGGTGAATTTGACGCGAGCAGGAAGTGGCTCAACATCATCCATCGTATCCCAGGCCTCACCCATCGACACCTTGAGCTCGTTCATCAAGAAGGCAACCCTATTGTACTTCTCAGACTGCGATGCGCCCGGCATCGTGAGCTCAACAAAGTCAGTCTCGAAATTCTCAACGACTTCGCTCCACTTCAGGATCGAAGAAGGGCGAGTCCAAGTGGGTGGGCAGGGTGAAGATAAGCCAACCCCATAGTGCGCGTTGAGCCCGGCGTACTTCTCTAAGGCCATCTCACGGCTGCACTCGAATGGGCGACCGAAAATGAGGTAGATGTTGTCAGTAAGATACTCGCCCACGGTGTAGGGTGCGAGTTGTAGCTCCTCGATAGACGTCTCTTCGAGTGCGAATCCGTGATCATCGGAAAGGAGCTGTTCAACCTCTGTGTTGTCGACCGGCCAAACATCTTCAAATTCATCATCCGAGTCAATATCATAAGTCCCGAAGACAGCGTCTTCGAGGAAGGCCGCTGAGATGCCGTTGTCAACCTCAGAGGAATCGACCTCGTTCTCATAGTCCGTCGTATGATCCGTCGTATGATCCGTCTCTGATATGACGACAGCTTTAGAACTCGCGCCAAACACAAACGGCTTGGTGGTGGCAGCAGCTTGAGGGGAGAAGATGGTGCCGGAAAGTTTGCTGGTATCGAAGACGAAGGGACTGTCGCTCTTTAGTTCAGCGGACACGCTCAGACCTTTCCATGGCTTCTGGAGGCCCAATGGCAAAGTCTTGTTCGGCGTCTTGCCAACATCAAGTCTATTTGCCGAAACGGTAGTGGCGCCAATATTACTGAAGAGTGAGGGGACAGAGAACAGAGGCAGTGGCTGCTGCAAGACCGAGGTAAGCGGTGATGATGTCTCCGTTCGAGCAGAAAGTGCTGAGGAGAGAGTCGTCGTGGATTCCTTGTTGGTCAAGAACCCGAACTTTGGCTTGTCGAAGCCCTTCAACGCAGAAAGTGCCTGACTAGCGAAAGGAGGGCTCGTCATAGTGAACGGGGTTGGTGGGTAAATTCGAGACGGCTTTGCGTGCTGGTCGGCCGTAAGTGGGCTAACGAAGTCCTGCAGGGCAGAAGGGTTCTTGTTGCCGAAGGCAGGGCCAGTCGCAGTGAAAGGCCCTGATGGGTAAACCGGAGTTGGCTTTGCAAGCTGCTCATCCGCGACTGGCTTGTGCATGAACTCTTCAAACTCCTTCGACAAGTGGGAGAAGATCGGACCCCAAACCCCTGCATCAATCACAGCCTCAGCCGGCTTGTACGCCTGCACAGACGCAAACGACCGCCACTTAGCCTCCCAGCCATTGTCATCAATATCTCCCAAGCCCTCCAAGACTTTCAAGCGAGCAGCGCGCTCGACGTCCGGCATGTCGGGGAACACTTGCATGAACACATCGAGCCAGTAGTCTTCCTGGGTGGTCTTGTAGGTGCCTCGTGGCTTGCGGGCGGCGATGGACTTGTGCCTCTTCTGCAGAGCGAGCCACAGGGCGAGGTTCTTCTCTTGCAACTGCTTCTCGTACTTGAGGCGAAGGCGAGATCGAGCATCCATGGCCTTAGGGGCGATTCCAGATCCGTGGCCTGAGGACTTGGACGTTGAGATACGAGGAGGTACACCCGTGGTGGGGAAAGGAGAGGCATGGTTAGAGGGCTGTGAGGACCGCTCCTGGACAGCGGTGTCTTCACTGCCGACAAGCTCCAAGCTCGAGTACTCAACGCCGCCGTACTTCATGCTAACCACTACACATTCATCGATGTCGGTCATGTGTAGAAGTGGATGCTCCTCGAGCGCGGCGCGAGGCTCGTCATAACCAGCCTCGACGGGCTTGCCGAACAAGATCGCGAAAGCCCATGGCTGATCAAGGACGTTGGCCTTGGTGGTGGTGGAGCAGATGATGTCAAGAGCGGTGTCATTGACGGTGATGTCGGCAGTCTTCTTGCACTTCTTCATGTTGATAACATCGAAGGCCTGGTCGGCGGAAGCGCCTTCGAAGATCTGGAAAGAAGACATGGTATCAAATGGGTATGTCTTAGGAGTATGTTCGGTTGGAGTGGATATTTAGAAGTCTGAGTTCCAAACGTGTTGGTTGAGACGTGGGTGGTAGAGAAATGTCGTGGGTAGTTGACAAGAAGAGTGGGGAGAGGCAGAGTGCTGGCGAGTGAGCGAACTAAGGAAGGGAGTAAGTCGAGGGTCTAATATTGCCAAGCTTTGTCGATAGTGAAGGGCCCAACTATGTGCTGGAATCGTGTTGGCGTATTAATGTCGTCAGCCAAGTGATGGGAGTGAAAGAAGTCAGAGGAGTTGAACGCTAGAGTGGAGGCGGTCGCTGAAGTGGTCAAAATGTTCAAGAGTCGAGAGCTGTCAAGGTTCAAGATACACAAGTACTCGGTGTAGCAGGCCACTAGCTTACAGCCTAGTAAGGAGCCGGCGTGCCAAGGCAGTGAAAGATGTCCAGCACGTGCATTCCTCACTACATTTTCGACATTGTGTACCCACTTTGTTTGCCGTAGACCCAAGATGACAGTTTCGAGACAATTGCTTGTCAAACCCGATGATCCGCTGGAGAGGATGATACCATTTTCTGGTACCTCAACACAGGCCGTCTCTTTCTCGGGAATAGCCTGACATCTGCGCATGCAATATTAATCCCAAATGTTCGAATTTTTTTATATTAGCCAAAAGTCGATCGATAATTGCGTGGCTGTAACGACGCGTTGTTCCAGAAGGACTGACAGCGCACGAAGAATCCATCGAGAGCGTTTATTGCCGTGATGTCAAACATATGGGCGGCTCTTTGGAACATGTACAGGCCATAGCAATCTGACTATCTTGCTCGCGGCTACGTTCTGTTCGGGAAATCTTAATGTTTCCTTTTTCCATCAGCTCGATAGTGACGAAGGAATTATCCGAATTGCAGATTGAAGCGATGCTAGCTCGAGACGAGGCTATGGCAGTACTATACAATAAAATATTCAGCTACATCCGATTCTTCATACAACTTGCGGGTCCCAGGTATGGTGTCATAACGTTGATGCCTCGTCGAAAAGCCGTCTATAGTGATACCGACGCGCTCGTATGTATCGCCGAAAAGTGGCCTCAGCAGAATCAAAGTCCATCTAGCACCCACAAAGCGAGTTATGTCCTCAGGGCCAGCAATAAAAAGCATCCGCACAGTAGAGCCTTCTATGATATGGTCGCGCCCTGCCTCCCAGGCGGCAAAATCCAGGTTGCACTCGAAGCGGATACCGTCTTTGTAAGCGTATACCTGAGCATCTTCGTAATCGTCCCATCCAGTGCCATCGTCCTTGCCGCCATAGTGGAGTTGAGCGTCAAAGCCTCGGCCACGCAATATAAGATGACCGAACGCGACTGTGCCGGTGGGATCAGCACCGGATTGAGCGCAATAGACATCAACAACATCCGCAATGGAATAATTTGCTGAAAATTTCAAGTGCCGCTGGAACTCGATATTAGCAGTATCTATAGAAGCCCAAGACCACGAGGGTGCTCTCCAAGGCCGGGCACGACGGGCCGATCGTGAAGTAATTTGCCAACAAAGCATCTTGATTAGATCTGAACGCCAAATTCCGGCTAGATATACATCAGCTGGATGTGTTGCGAGCCATCTTTTGGCTAGTCCGGACAGTGCAGGTAGAGTGTCTCGACTGAAAGACAGCAGAGTGTGTGAGTATAGTAGCAACACCCTTGTCCAATCATCGGCTGTAGTCCACTCATACTGTTTTACTGTCGTCCAATCGCAACTCTCTTCATCGTTACACTCGCACTGAATAGTTTCTCGACATTCGTACAAAAGTTCCGTCCCTAGGAAGTAAAGTGTCCTTGGCGATAAAATAGTTTCCTGCATGACCCATCCTCTTTGAGCAAGAGGGAAGTCGGTGTCGAGTGGCCAGTGATCAGGAGGCAGACGCATGTAAAGAGGCTGGGTGTTTCCACGCTGGCAAGATACCACCCCGATCCTGACGGAGCCAAAGCTTTTCTTAACGAACAAGCCTCCATCCGAGTTTTCTGAAACAGTTGCGGCAAGAGTGACGTGACAGTTCATGTAAATGTCGGCCATAGCAGCCGCTTCCTTTTCCCAATCGAGCTTGTCATCCTGGACTATACACAACGAGTCAATCCAAATATACGGCAAGTTGATTGAGCGTGTGAATTGTATGGCTTCGCGGAACGTACGCGGAAACAGGCCTGTAGGTATCCCATCCCCATAAGCAGCCAGCGTTGCTTTCGTGGTACGAAGGATATTTGAGGCTTGTGAACCAGAGCCCCAGCAGTGACTGAGACATGCGTACATGGGAAACGATGCAGCGAAGTCAGGATGGTCCGTGTCTCGTAGTCGAAGAGTTGAAACATCCAGTAGCCGAGTGGGAGGCCGCTTTTGCTCGGCATGATTACCGCATCTCGAATGTTGAGTGATACAATCTTGCAATTGGCGAAGTGCGAATTGGGCAGTTTGTTCAGAGGACAAATCCTCGGTGAAAAAATTCCTGATCGAACCTGCGGGTATTGTTGTCCCGTAGAAGTTCCATTGGTTGGCACGGGTATCTGAGTGCGGTTTTCAGTTCTCATCAAACAGTCGTGAGCACCACACGACTGGGAAATCTTACCGGAGAAAGTATACGCATCAACCAGAGTATTCAAGCCCAGATTTACGAAGCTTTTGAACTTCCCGTAACCGCTGGGCAACTTTTTCGCGGGGTTTTTGTCTGTGAAGAACACGGCAATGGCAAAGTAAGCCAGAATACAAAGTGGGCAACCACGTATGGCTCCGATCTTTAGTGCCGCAAGAGAGACGGACTTTCCTTGGAATCTTGAACACTGTGGGCAGGTTCCTGAGCGTGTGCGGCAAGGTAGTACATGCCTTTCCAAGAAGGGGTCTAGTCGAACCACTGGCAGCTCTGATGTAATCTTCTTGTCGCGCTCAAGGAAAATAATCTTACGTCGACCTATGCGGAGAGGAAAGCATTTTTGGCCTGGAGACCTCTGTCGGCGAGCTATGGCGCCCTTTCGACTAGGTACCTGGTCATCAGGTTTGGATCTTGCACTTGACTCGGAGCTAGAATCGCTGAATGAGTCTGGAGGACCTTCGCTAAGTGTTGCATCACTCATTTGTCTCAAGATCGATGGACCTTCGGGAACATATCCTTGCTGTACGTTGTCCTGGCTGCTGCTTCCTAGTCGTGTCAGCATGGCCGGTATGCTGCAAGGCTGGGCAGTGCTCAAGAAGTTGCGTCGGAGTCACGGACACCGTGGGGCGAGCAGGCTGACAAGCCTTTGAAAGACGCGAATGTGCATGTTGGAGAGGAATTTCATGCAGGTATGATTTCTGTGAGCGAGGTTCCAGAAAAACAACAGGTCAGTATGATACAATTGATAGCTATTCTAGGATTCCAATAATCGGCCGCATGCACGAGATGAAGGTGGGTTGAGAGATTCGGGCCTCATTACTGCCGATGTCTCCAATGTTTACTCTCCGAACTAGCGCGAGGCTGCCCCTCGATCACCGACTGCCGTTCCTGCCCCACGGTTTCTCCTCCGAACCCTCACCACAACTTTTCTCCACCACATCATACACTCACATACACAATGGCTGGCAAATACGAACTCCTGTGCCTCGAGAACCCTCTGCTGGACATCCAGGGTCAAGGGTAGGTCAATGCGTTGCTGCGGAAGGAAAGTGCCATGAGCTTATGCTGACATGGACCGGAACAGAGACCAAGCATTGCTCGACAAGTACGGCCTCAAGGCCAACGATGCCATTCTTGCCGATCCCGAGAAGCACATGGGTCTCTATGAGGACCTGATCCAGAACTACAACGCCGTCCTGATTGCCGGAGGTGCTGCACAGAACACGGCAAGAGGCGCTCAGTACATCCTCGCTCCCAACTCGACTGTCTACATTGGCTGCATTGGCAAGGACAAGTACGGCGAGACCCTTGAGAAGATCTCGAGCGACGCTGGCGTCAAGACCGAGTACCTCTACGACGAGAAGACCCCCACTGGTCGCTGCGGTGTCGTCATTACCGGCCACAACCGCTCGCTTTGCACAGACCTGGCGGCTGCCAACAACTACAAGGTCGAGCACTTGAAGCAGGAGCACATCTGGAAGCAGGTCGAGAACGCACAGGTCTTCTACGTCGGTGGCTTCCACTTGACTGTCTGCGTCCCAGCCATCAAGGCGCTTGCTGAGGAGGCCGCCGCAAAGAACAAGGTATGCAATCTCTCTTGGGGAGCAGAAAAGAGCTGATCGATGTAGATTTTCATTCTCAACCTCTCCGCGCCTTTCATCTCCCAGTTCTTCAAGGACCCGCTCGACGAGATCCTGCCCTACGTCGACATCCTGATCGGCAACGAGACCGAGGCCGCCGCATTTGCTGAGTCGCATAACATCGACTCCAAGGATGTTAAGAAGATCGCCGAGACCATCGCAAAGGGCCCCAAGAAGAACACCCAGCGCACAAGGACAGTCGTCATTACGCAAGGCACCGAGCCGACCGTTGCCGTCACTGCAAAGGATGGCGACGTCGACGTCAAGGAGGTCAAGGTACACGCTCTCGACGAGGGCAAGATCAACGACACCAACGGCGCTGGTGACGCCTTCGCCGGTGGTTTCGTTGCCGGTATCGTCCAGGGCAAGCCCCTCGAGACCGCCATCGACATGGGCCAGTGGTTGGCCAAGCTGAGCATCCAGGAGCTGGGCCCTTCATACCCCCAGCCCAAGCAGACCTACACTTCCAGCTAAGCGCCGCAACATGTGAGCGCTGATGCTCGTGTTTTCAACAATCTACGAGAGGCAGCTCGACCGCGAAGGTCGGGGTGCGATCCGAGCCATTAACAGTGGTATGCGGCATGGCCGAGGCATTTAAAAAGTGTTTTGGCGTAGGAGGAAAAGTGAGGGATGTGGCCATTCAACAGCCATTGCATATATACCCTCGCGTGCAGCAGCCTGCACGCAAGTAGAAAGCGAAAGCGAAATGAATTGTATCGTATCGCCGAGATTTTGAAAGTTGTCTAGACATGTTCATGTGAAGGTTTGTGTGAATGTTCGCTCCATGTACAATAGAAGCCGTATCGCATGCACATGCCTGTCATGTTCTGCGAAAATGATGTGCGCCCTGCTACCTACCATGCGAGCATGTTAGCGTGGGCGAGTGATTTCACCATGTAAAGACCGAGCACACAGATACGAGGTACCAGATAATGTAGCATTGCACCGCCCATCTCCGCAGTCTACCCACGCCCTCAATCTATCTGTATGAATACGACCAAGAAGCGCACACCGGCAAACCACAAGCTCTCGGTACCTGGATATTCGCACAATAAAAAGAAAAGGATGATGTTACAAAGTAAAAAAGAAAATCAAATCGGGCTCTCTCGTGGATGCCAGTCGTGATCTTGGTATGGGGAATATGCTTTCGTTCATGTCGTTTCGTACTTTTGGAATATCGCCATGAGATGTGGAAACGGAAATGCCTAGACGCCTCAAAACGCTCGCTATGCTGTTACACCCCCAAGAAGCAAAATCCATCCCAGTTTTTAGTTTGCAAACGAGATCGGTAGGTTAGGAGACAAGGAGATCCGTCTTATATGTGCAGAAAAGGACGAGCGAGAGATGGTGTCTTGTTGTCGGCCAAATGAAGCAGGCGCCTTAGGCCTGTGCAGTCAAGCGTTGTGCGACGAGGCGGTGTCCTGATGGGTGGAGTGGGGACTCTTCCACTTGTTCGATGTGCTCTTCAACGTAGATGTTGTTCAAAAGGTTGCCTGGAATGGTTCCGTCATGGGCTGCCCTGATTTCACTTCTCAACGCTTTTTTGCGACGGTTTTCACGCTCGGCAATAACCTCTCGCATGATCTTGACGACCCCAGTCCAGCCAATCTGGCTGGCTGTAGCGCGATGATTGAACAAGCGATCAAGAAGCGGGATTGGTAAGGAAATCAGTACGGATGACAAAACACGGGACATGTGGTTTGTGTGGACATCGTCTTCAGGCGGTGCGTCGCCAAAACGAATCTTGCTCAACCTAGGGTTGTGCGAAGATGACCTTGCCTCCATAAGGGATGGTAGACGAGGAAGGTCTTCCAGCTCAGGGGCGATGGCATATAGCTTGAAGTCCACCGGGAATGTATAAGCAATGAAGTCGACGACACAGTTCAGCAGTGCTGCAGTGAAAGGGTCATCAGTACCAACACCGTCCTTCTTAGGCCAAAATGCTGAGCTCGTCCGCAGGGTGACCTGTAGGACTGCCTCGATGGTGTCCCATCGTATTAGCGACCTTGCAATGTCTACACCACGGGCCTGCATGCTAGGTAGCTGTAAAGCTCGGCCTGCTGCAATGTAGCTCAGCAGTTGCCGCATGCGCATCCGAGCATCATCAGACGGCTGAGCACTGTCATACATGTAAGGCGCAAGCCCGTACAGGAAGACTTGCGGAGAAAGTAGTGGCGCTCCATAAAGTACCTTGATAGCCTCTTCAACTGCTTCTCGAGTGACGAAGGGGTCCGAAGTGACAATGTCGAGCATACGTCGAGCGTCCCGGGAACGATGAGGAGCCGGTATGCTTCGACGAACGGCATCAGCTACTACCGGACTCCGAACTACAATGATGCCGTGGACAGGAATGGAAATATGAACAGACTCAGGTGAGCGTATCTGAAGCACGAAATCTGCGAATTCGGGATTGCCAAACTGTGTCGTCAGATAGGCCGCCAGCTCGAAGGACGAGTCTTCAAAGCGCGACACATGCGAAGCAAGGCTATCCTGGTACGGGTGCATACGTTGCTCTTCTTCCGGAATCGAGCCAGACTTGACTTTGGCGACGGGAGCTTTACCAGATGGCTCGACCTGCAACGGGGCGACTCCGTTAACCTGATCTCTTGGAGCATGATTACCTGGATAGTACTCGGCCGGACCGACAGGAAGTGAGGGTGAATGATGGTCGTGGCTGTTTTCATAGACGGCGTCTGGGTGGGCTGTTGCATAAGAGGGGTACGGCCACGGGCCACCGGCCTCGGACGGGTGGTGCGAGTGTCCTGGAAAGAACAAAACGCTATTTTCGGGAGCCGAAAACCCTGGGGGTGGGCGCGGCATGCTGAGCTGGTGGATGTGCTCGGTAGGGTCAACCGCTTGAGGTGTCTGAGGGTGCGAAGCAGATCCATTGGGGGCATGGAATGCCACAGCACCAGCACTGAGCTGGGAGCGATGAGACGGAAGGAGTGCGGCGCCGTTCACGTCCGTGGATGGCGTCTGCCTGTCCGTCTTGTTCGAGGGGTAGAATGGCGGAGGCAGTTCGGCAGGCACCGTCAGCTTGCGAGGGACACCGTTGGTGGCAGGCTTCTCTGTGACGTCTGCGACGGGAGCCACAGCAGTGCTCCCGTTGGTGTTGCTCTTATGGTTGGTATCTGGCAGTACCGGGTCAGCATCATGTGCAGCCGGTGGTACAGGGGTTGCACGAGTCCAGACATACCTGTAGGCTCACCAGCAATCTCGACATGGTCGTCTACAGATTTCGCAGGAGACGTGGCCAGGCCTGGTGCTTCCACCTCACTCGTATCGCCGTTCGAGATGCGAGACTCTGGTGTCAACGGAGCCTCTGCATTGCTTGGCACTGGCAGCTGTTCCTTGGGCGCCTGTTCCACGACGGGCTGCGGTTCCGGCTCGTGTTTGCTGACAGTGCCGCTGTTGGGCTCCTCTGGCGGCGAAAGAGGCCTTGACGACGGTATGTTGCGCGAGCGTGACAGCCGGTGTGGAATGGCAGGCACGATGCGCGAAAGGGGGCGGCGGGCCTGCCTCTGCGCTGACGGCGCTGTGTCGGCTGCTGTGGGAGCCATGTTGGCGTTGGTGCTTGTGATGTTTTTTTCAGACACGAGCGGTGCTCGATTGCAGCAGCGGCTCCAGGTATCAGCAGCTTGGATCTCGGGCCAATTATCCTGGAGCGCTCTGGACAGGTGAAGGTGGATGTGGGATCGAGGCGGGGTGTGTCAGACTGAGAAGGCGCGCTGGTGCAATGGAGTCTTCCGATCGACGGATATTGTGGGGATAGCAGCCAGGAGCTATGACGCATCCCCGAAGTTAAACTTAGTCAGCCTCGTCGGCCCCTCTGCGTCGACCTGTCATTTTGAGAGCAGCATCAGACACAGAGTCGATGCATCACTACATTGACTACCCGGGATGATATCGTATTCCGCTTGCCGTTGTGATTCACACATTGCAGACTGCTCAACTGGAAGCAACTGCTTGCATCACTGACCAAAGCATATCAGGGTCCTCTCCGCACTCTCAAGAGAGGCGACGATGAAAGGAAAGACATCCTGTTTGTATATCGAGTTTTCACTTCATTTCCCCGAAAAGTCTACTTCGACAGAGTTCCACCATGCTTTTACTGATTTTGATACACGTGGTTTTCTCACGCCAGCCTTGCTCGTTCCTGCCTCTGTTGATATATAGCACTTGCTGCAGATGACTTCGCTCGCTCCTTCTGCACAGACACACAAATACCATCCACGTGGAAGATAACGCGAACATATTCTGCTGGAAGCGCGCGCTGCAGTTCCAATGACATCCTCGATCCTACGACGCGCCCCCATCTTTTTGCTTCCTAGCCCCTATTGACCCCTATCGCACATTTCCTACTGTCCTACACAGGAGTATGGTAATCGGAACTGCGCAGTATGCATCCCGAAACAGACTGTTTGCTCAAAACCGCCCGTCGGTGGTGCGGCCATTAAGTGAAAAGCGATGCTTCGACTGCCGCCTTCGCGATTCCCAAACAAGTCCTTCTAAATATTGCCTCAACATTTGCCCACATAAGACAGACTTTGCCCCGACGCGTAAGTGGCAGCTCTCCGGGGATGTACCGCACTCAAGAGACTGATCGATTCACAGCCAATCCTTTTGGAGCTCTTGCAGGCCTCTCACAATCACCAACCGAGTCGAACTAGTCCTTCGACTTTGTTGCAACGACGAGCGGGTCTGCAAGGCGACGCAGAAAGCGCGGTGGCCATCGTCACAGAGCAAAGCGTCCACTACAGGAGGTGTCGGCGCAGAATGGCGAGAGCGCCGCAGAACTGTGCAAGCGACTATTCTCCCTGAACCTGACGGATGGCGAGCCTGTCAAAGAACCTCAACACTCTTTTGAATACTCTAAAGGGATTTCGACTGTGAGTTGTGCTGGATTCTCGCTGGAGAGCGTCAGACACCACTGGGCACCGCAGTTCCGCCCAAACGCCCAAACGCCAGCGACCCTGACGATCCCCACACGAAAAACAAAAACGACGATACGAGTAGAACCGCTGCAGCAAGAGCCAGGAAGCTTTCCATTCTCTCCACCTATCTCTTCGATACAGGACAAGTCTGAATGGCATGCTGAAGATTTGCAGGGCTTGGACCCCTTTGCCCTACCTACTTCTTTGGAACCAAAACCACGCCAACTGTCAGCAAGACCATTAAAAAGTTTGACTAGCCAAGATGCTCAAACTTCGAGCCCGCAGCCCTTCGTTCCACCCTCTTCCTCGCGGGACACACAGCGAGAAGCGGTTGCGGCGGCACCCCGCGCTCTCATCCTGGACAAGCTCACGAGTACACTCCCACCAATGTTTCCCCCAAGCACACCAAGGGTAGAGCAACAGATATTAGGCTGTGCCAAACCAGCCATGGCAACCCCGACCTCACCTGGCGTCCCGAGCTATAGATTTCCATGCAGATCATCTTCTTGTGTGTTCGATCACGCCAGCGTGCCCGGTCACGACTGTATTTTCGACGCCGATATCTGGCTTCGACAAAACTCTTTGCCGCGTGATGTTTATGGCGGCAGTCGCTCCTTGGGTCGTGCCACGCGAAACAACGCAGTGCGTTCTCCATTTTCTCGGTCAGATAGAGCTGATACTCCAACTGGCCCATCTTTTCCACTGTCCCAGGATGACTGGCCTCATCACATGTACGGCTGGCTGAATGAGAAGCAAGATGTTGCCCAGCAGATCAAAGAAGCTGAAGACAGACGTGCGACGATCAGTACTCCCCGGTGGGCTTATCTGCAGGCTCGTAAGAAGGGAGAGGACCATGGGCTTGTCGTCGAGAAGATACGTCATCTGGAATCTGAAGCTGCGGTGCTTGCCCAGCCATCTACGCCTTTAACCCCGGGGTATCTGTCTAAGCAAACATTAGTCGCCGAGTCCCTTGACGAAAGACCACCACAGGTTGGGCAGTCCCTTCGCAATCTCTTTGTCCAAGCCAGCAATCGACGTGGCTCTCAAAGGGCGCGGTTCCGATCGAGTGCCGAATCAGACCAGGAGGCGTTGCAAGACCAAACCAAGTGCCGTCGCGAGCCCACGCACCCGAACGTTTCCACAACTCAACATGATGTCCAATATAAGTACATACCACCCTCGCCATACACCCGCTGCACCTACGGCCTTGCAAGAGTCTATCCGTCAGTCGACCGGAATACGCACATAAACGGACGGGTGGCACCAACCGACCTTCCTCAAGCTGGTTTCGTTCCAGCATACACCTCTTACGAGAGCAAGCCCTACAACATTTATGCCAAATTCGAGGCCAACAAGCCGCGCAAGAGGGAATGTCAGCTCATGCCAATACCTGCGCAGCTACAACAAGAGGTCGCAGATGAGGACACGGAGTCCAGGAGCTCGACCAACACATCGCCTGTGCTCGCACCAAACCCGACTCGTACTCCATCTCGCAACTCCAATTCGCTAACTTTAGGACATGGCTTACGAATGCTAGCACTTGTTTCGGACAGCCCACCTCGCCTTCCAGGTCTAACCCCAACTCGTCTCCCATCTCGTGTTTCCAGCCCGTCAGCTATCGAACTCGACTTTGATATTGATGCCACTGTCCCTCTCCTACCCAGCTCCGACCCACCACTAGACGAGCAATACCCTCAGGATGCCGAACTTGACTTCGAGGTGGTATCATACGAGGGAACCAGTTCATCAGCAGATTCCGAAGACGATTTCGCTTTTGATTACGAAGTCGTGGATGCGGATTCACGCCCGTCGTCGTCGCTGTCCGTGTCCTCGGGTCTCCAGTAGGACGTGGAGGATTGCGAAAACGAGAGTGGGGGGACGACTAGTGCGGCGGAGGTGGAGTGGCCGACGCTCAGGGAGGCCCTGCGAGGGAGGAGGGGAAGAATGGGCGAGGAGTAGATTATTTGAATATGCATACCTGGGGTTTGGACAGTATGGATTACGGAGTCTTAGATTGATGTTTGGCGTTCTGAGTATGTTGCCAAAGTGCTTCTGTTGTCAGTGTGGGATTCGAGTTGAATAGTGGGAAATCCATAGTATTGTTACAGAAGCTTTGAATGTGATTCTCGTCTCACTTGAAAGATGATTACTTGAATTGCTATGCCTAATCGCGTATGTGTATGATGTGAATATGGTATATACTATAGTATCCCCGCCCCTTTACGCCATCCCACCCCAATCCCTTTCCCCCAAATCAAATTCGTGCCCAAAACCCGGGATATCGTACCGCTCAACACCCACAACAAAAACCCATTACCCCAACTAAATGAGTGACACAACAACTCCCAATACCCCAACTGAACGAGTGAGAATCATCTTATGCTGTGCAGTTACATCTCCATCCTCTCCGTCGCCGTCCTGTGATGCTTCTTCGACTTGTCGAGACAAACCAGCCCGAAGAACGCTTCGGACGTGCAGCTTGTCGACGTCGAAGACGCACTCGGTGCTGCCGTCGGTGAAGGTGGCGACGTGTGCATCCCCGTATGCGTATTCGAATGCTTCTTCGACTTGTCGTAGCATATCAGACCGAACCACCCTTCATGCGTGCAGGACGTAGACGAAGTGGTTGGCGCTGGAGTTGACGACCTCAGTTTTGTTCGGGAGGGAGGGTCGTCGCCGTCGAGACAGTCGCCGAACCAGCCTGGGTACAGACATGAAGAAGTTGATGTTGGGGAGGAAGAGGATGTTGTTGTTGCGGTGGGTGCTGGGGCGGGGGTAGTTGTGTGCGAGGACTTTGTTGTTGTTGTGGTTGGCTCGCCGTTGCCGTCCTTTACAGCCGAACCAGCCGGGGGTTTTGCAGGTGGAGGTGGAGGATGTGGATGTATGTTTGGGTGTTGATGTTGAAGTCTGTGTGCCTGTGGTAGTTTCGTCAAGACAGCCCCACCAGCCTGGCGTCTTGCATGTTTCGGTCCTGGTGCGGGTGTTGGATTTGCTCGATTTGGAAGTGGATGTGGGCTTCGAGGTACTGGTAGTGGTAGTCTCGGTGCCGTTGCTTTCAAAGTACTTCCAGGTGTAGCAGTCCGTACAGTTAATGTACGGCTCGCAAATGGGAGGGGCATCGTACTTTTCTATAACATCTTTAATGACCTCGACAATCTTGTGTGTGCCAATGCCGACGCGCCAGCCGAGGTCTTTGACTGTGTCGTAGACACACTTCTTGCCTGTGTGGCAGACACTCTGCAGAGCGTAGCCGCCAAAGGTGCACACGCTGGTAGCTTGGTTGCACTGTCCCATGTATATGGGGTCCGCAGTGTGCCCAAAGTGATAGCCGCCGGTCATCTTTCTCTTCTGGAGTGACCCAATTTCGTGGCCGGGCGGTACTGGAAGACCGAGGCGTGATGCCGGCATTGCTTCGGGAACAGCTTCAAAAGTCACAGCGGGATGGCCAAAGGTCAAGGATAGGAACGACGAAACTGCGCCGCCCAGTGAATGACCGGCCATCCATATCTCGGCATGCGGATAGAGCGCCGTCACATTATGGTAAAGATCTTGTGCGGCATAGTAGTAGCGGTTCTTCTCGCGCAGTGCTGTCACCAAGCAGGTCGAATTGCAAGTGTATGCCGAGGTCTGGCAGTCACACACCTGTCGCCATAGGAACTGGCCGCCCTGTCCGCAGCAGCAGCTGAAGAAGAGGTTGTCGTTTTCCTTGTCTTTGGTGGTGGTCTCGGAGCCGTCGAACATGGCGGGCGATGTTCCCTTGAGGCCTATCACGACGGTGGAATTCTCCGTGTCGGCGAAGATGTGCCCTCGCAGCCCGTCCGACTCCCACCCGAAGTCTTCGGTGTAGTTGAAGCCACCGCCCACGTCTTCCCACTCGCCCGTGTTAGGCTCCAAGATGTATGCATTCGAGGCCATGCGCGCAAAACTCAACACCGTCTCCCTGTCGGTGACGTTGGGTCCGGCGATCTCGTCTATGGTCCAGTCGTCCTCAGCCAGCTGCACGGCTCTTCCCTTCATCCTGCCCCATTCTAGGATGCCGTCTATGGCCTCTTTGCTCCTGTCTGCTAACCGCTGAATGCTCATCGGCTCGGCCTTCACACGCAACCGGGGCACGGGCTCGCGGTGCTCCGAGTGCAGGTGCTCTGCTGCCCATACTGCCGCATTTTCCGGCACATCCAGTCTCCGATGAAGCTCTGGATACTTGTACGTGCCATGGTGGAAGATGTGCCGCAGCGAAAAGTCCTTCTCGCTGCTGTGCGGTTGCGGCGAGATGGGTGGCGCTGGGAGGATGGGGAGCTCGGCTGCACTGCTCACGGCGAGGAACGACAGCAGCAGGGAAGCTGTTACGCGAGATGCAGAGGTGCAGAGCGGTCGGCGACGCATGTTGTGATTATAGTCCAAAGTAGATCTACGAGAGTCAAGTGGGTTGCCGCAAGTGAAGTGCAGCTACCTCGATGGCATGCACCATGCATCAATGACGATGATGGCATTCACGCGGCTGGGGCCAATTGCACGTGCTACGGTATGCGACGCGGGGACGCGCCGCTCCTCCGCAACCGTCCACCGCCGCACGGGTACTGGCTGCGCACTTGCACGACAGTCACGTCGTTTGGCGTGGAATAGTGAGGCCTTTTAAGACTGTCGCCCTATAGTTCTTGGTATCATAGCACATTCCCTGTCGGCACCGCGGCTTCTGGACAGCGTTCCTGAGCTCCGCCGCGTCCTGTTGCGCATGACGTTGTTTCAGTAGCACCACGAGCTCAATGCAGGCACACGACATTCGCATCCTTCACAGAGTCTTACAGATGCGCCTGCCATAATGACGCCGCCACGACCAAACAACCTCCATCCCTCGCGCTCATTCACTCGACTGGACCCTGCGCCCAAGAGTCCGCTTTCACGAAGTCGAGCAAGCACGCTGCAGGGTCCACATGTACCAGATATGCTAGATCCCCTCAAAGCAAACATGGTCGTCGAGGAAGACGAAACCGCCGATGGCGATGTCTTTGTCAAGAAAGATGAAGACGGGGAAGCTGAATCGCACGAAGCTGCTCCCGACACTTTCGAGGAGCTTCCCATAGAGATCCGGAGTCTGACCGAGAGGTGCGTAGGCGGGAGTGTCAAAGACTTGCGTGTTCCTAACCACATTGTAGATTCCTCGAGTCGCTCACGGCCAAAGTCCACCCCGCCCCCCTCTCCATTGACAACCTATCCGACCTCTTCCAAGACTTCTACACCCGCGCATCCTCCAAGATCAACACCCACATAGCGACACTATCTGCACGTCTGACTAGCGATGAATATACATCCAAGAAGGGTTCAGCTCCGCCGAGCAGACCAGGCTCGATACGTCAAGGAAGCAACCACTCTGGCGAACAACAGATGCTCAGTGCTTCTGAGATGGCAGACCGCAAGAAGGCGAGGAAGTCGTTAGAAGCAAAACGCCTGGCTTTAGAAGAGGCTGTCGAGCGAGCAGTGTGCGAGAAGATGTACAGCAGGATATGGCGGCATCGCAGCACTGACGACGAGGAAAGAGACCACAAGCTTCGGTCTCGAACTGCTGCACTCTCGCTCGTTGGCATTGGGTTGAAAGAGCTGCTGATGACTAGCGATGAAATGACAGAAGAGGAGCGTCAAAAGACAAAAGAGAAAGAACCCGAGATTAGGGAGTGGCTCTCTACCGCAAGACAGGACATCATGAAGATGAACGACGAGAAGTATCCACAGGGGAAGGTGCAGCACCTGACCGCAGCTCACAAATCCATTGTGGAAGCTCTGTCCAAGATCTTTCCTGCCACTTCATCTGCTGACGAGATTCTTCCTACCCTCATCTACGCCCTGATCACGCTGCCGCCGGTCGAGTTGAACGTCATAAGTGATCTCATGTTCATCCAAAGATTCCGTGGCTCCAGTCGGATGGACGGCGAAACAGCATACTGTCTTGTCAACCTCGAAGCAGCCATATCCTTCCTCGAGACTGTCGACCTTTCCTCCTTACGTGCGAATGAGCCAGTCATTCCTGGCAAGGCAGATTCTAGGCCCTCCACACCAAGATCAGAAGTGACGCCAATGGCCCTAGGTCTGTCTGATGCGCCCGACTTGATCCAGACTCCAGCTACACCCACTACCAAAGGCCCTGGAAACGAGCCATCGAGCCCAGTGACGACAAAGGCACAACGCCGATTGAGTAACTTGATACAGACACAACAGACCAAGCTCGAGGCTGCCTCAGATGCCGTGCGCGACTCAATCCTTGATTCGGCTGACCAAGCCATGGGCAGAATTAATAGTACACTTGACAGTAGCTTCAAATTCTTCTTTGGTGGTCTCCGGGACAAGGATCCGAACAGTCCCATCACGGAACAGCCAGCACTTCCAAAGACGCTAGAGGATGCGAGGAAGCTTGTCAGTTCACCCACGCGAATTGATGACGACGACGATGTATCCAGTGTGGGCGGCGCTAGCTCGACACAAGGAGATGATCACGTCGAAGTCTCGAGCAACAAGAGGCTCGAAGCCAAGATGTCAGACCTGTTCGCTGGTAGAAAGCAAATCAGGGAACGAAGTGTAGACTCTACACGATCTATAGGTAGCGCAAGCGGACGTCGCGTCACATTTCCGGCCACGGTAGAGGAAAAGACTCCATCTCCATCAGCCGTCAAAGCAGAGCCCCCAGCACCGAGTAATACTTCAGCTGTCGACTCTCTTCGCAACATGGGCAACAGCCTCAACCCATTGAACAGATTTGCAAGCATCAACGTATTGCCTCGCTTCGGGCGCACCGTGAGCAGCAGCAGCACTCCTGTTCTCGCTACTCCAGTTGCGGAGCAAGGGAAGCAGTCGCCTTCGCCAGAACCACTGAGCCGAACAGCAACAGGAGAGGTCACTCAAGTGGACGAGAAGGGCGCAAAGGCGATCGCAGCGATCGAACAACTGAAGAAGACGCCTCCACCCGTGAAACGGTTTCTTGACGCCAAGGATGCGCAGGAGCTAAAGTTGAAGGAGGTCGACGAGCTCTTGAAGGAGTACCAACGGTTAGCTACGGCGATGCGAGGAGCCATCAACCATTGAGCACTTGAGGATGCGTTGCGCACCGTTGTTTTACAATCGCGAGAGATTTGTGGTGTATATGTATTGTATATAGACAGGCATGGAGTTCTGGCGCCGATCAAGAGCGAGGTGTCGGGGATGGATATTGCGCTAGTCTAGAATCGACGACCAAACCATTCGTTTGTTGGTAAACACCGCGCTACCTCAGATTCCGCCCGCCCACACCACTTTGCGACAGTAACCCTGTGCAGCAATTCGCAATACAACTTTGTTCTAAGCTATGGCGGAACCAATGTCGATGCTTTCGCCCGAGAAGCTCAATGCGAGCTCCAACTCTATTCACACGGACGATGATTTCGACATGACTTTCCACGACCCGCCCTCGTCGCCTTTTGTGTCGCATATCGAGATTAACGACCAAGAAAACATTGCGCCAGGCGAAATGGCTACACCCTCGAAATCTCTGCTCGACTTTGACGATGTCCCGCAATCAGCGTTCAAGGTCTCTCCCGAGAAGAAATCCGGGCTCAAGGAGCGCGCCAGCCCGATGAAGACATCGCCAGTAAAGAATCTGATGGGCGACTTTGAGGACGCCGCGAGAGAGGAGTCTACCAGTGGCCGATCCAGCCCCAGGAAGAGCTCGCCCGGCAAGAAACTATCCATGGAACGTTCCGAGTCCGCCATGAGCAGCCGATCTCGCAAGAGCCAGTCGCCCTCGAAGTTATCTCGCACCCCCTCAGCTGAACCGATCCACCGCGCGCCTACATTCGAAACAGATGCCGAAGTACTACCAACCCCATCGAGCCGGGCGAGTTCGTCACACAGGGAGCCTGTGCTCCGGGAGAACGAGGGCTTGACTGTCGCCATGAAGTTCATGGAGGAGATGCGCACAGAGAGACAGGAGACTTTGGTTCGACAGAGATCGTACGAAGACAAGTACGACATCGACCTGGACATCGATAACACCGAGTTCAACCCTGACGGTCCAAGCCTTACCTCGGCCGACGTGGACGACACCAGCTTCAGCATGTTCTCAGAGATGCCTGGCATCGACATGACCAAGTTTGCCTTTCTACAAAAGAGCCCGACCAAGGACGGATTCTTGGACGTCAGTTCAATCACATTCACGCCATTTGACAGTCGCTAATCTAGACCATAGACCCCTCGCGCTCGCACACAAATGACACCTTCAACGGTTCGCCGATCGGAGCGCTCAGCATCCCCTACACCGCGTCGTTCCTACAAGGAAAATGACACCACGAATCTACTTCTGGACTTCACAGAGCAGATTCAGTCATTCTCACAGTCTCGGAAAACATCGCCAGCACGCGGACGCACTTCTCCGACAAAGTCGAGTACACAGCCAGATCTTCGCTCTTTCTACCAAAATCAGCGATCGCCCGCAAAGGGTGGATCATATGTACCCTCTACTCCAAGTCAGAGCCGTCAGATGCTGAACTTGCTGGACTTTGAGCTGCCACCTCCACCTACGCCACGGTCTCTACCTACCGTCACTATCAGGGAGTTGGAGTCTGCGAAGTCGCAATTCCAATCACAAATCTCCTCGCTCAGCGCCAGTCTGTCTGGCAAGGAAGCCGAGGTAGATTCACTGGCGAAGGCAGTGGCAGACGCCGAACGTCGCGTGGGCGAAGCACAGGAAGCAGTCCGCGAGGAAAGCTCAGCACGTGAGTACGCCGAAGCTCAGATGATAGACTGGAAGAAGAAGGGTGAGGAGGTGCAGAATCTTTTGCAAGACGTACAAGCAGAGCTTGCACGTAACGACTCAGAGCGCGAGCAGCTTCTCCAACGATTAGCCGAAGCAGAGAAGCGTGCAGATGACGCTGAAAACCGTTCGACAGAGCTTGAAACGAAGGTGATCGAGGCCGAGAGCAAGAACGTCGACATGACCACCTTCATCAATAACGATGATGGGGAGGAAAACAAGAAGATCTACTCAGAATTGGAATGTCAGACAGCAATCGCTGAGAAGGTCAATGAGGTTGCCCGGGACCTGCACTCCGCCTACAAAGCCAAGCACGAGAAGAAGATCAAGGCACTTAAGGACAACTACCAGAAGAAGGCCGACGAGCGGTGCAAAGAGCTGCGCCTCCAGATCATCCGTCTCGAGCGCCAAGTTGAAGAAGCAGAAAAGAAGCGGGACGACACTTTCAGCAAAGTACTTCCAGCGGGCGTGCAGCCCAAAGCAGACGATCCCTCAACCTCCGTCTCCAACTCCGTCGATCTTCAAAAACTCGAGGCCCAACGTGCAGAAATCGAAAACCTCAAAGCCAAGCTCGCAGGCCTCCAGTCCGAGCTCCAATCCCTCCGCAAATCCAACGACTCGCTCCTCGTCGACCTCGAAGCCGAGCGCGTCGAAAAGGGCGAGCTCGTCGCCGCCGCAGAACAAATGCTCTCCATGTGCGGCCAGCAAATGGAGGAAATGCAACAGGACGAACTCCGCCGCTCGCAATCAGGCAGTGCGCCGCCGTCCGCTCCGCCAAAGCAAAAAGCGCCTGCTGAAAACGCTATGCGCAACACAGGCTTCCTCGCTGGCGGTCCGGCTCCTCCGCGTCCAGGCTCTTCGCTTGCTGCTGGCCGTCCCGGCAGTGCGTTGGGAGATCGCTCAACGGGCATTGCGAAGCCATCGGGTCTCAGGGCGCCAGGCGGGTTTGGCTTTCAGAGCGGCAATGCGGGCTTGAATCGGAGTGCGAGTGGGGGTAAGAGTAGGCTGTTGAGCAATATCGAGCGCATGGGTGGAGGCAAGGGCCAGGAGTAGAATGTCTGGCCTGTGAGTAATTTGCCGCGTAGGACTGCGGGGGCGTTGGGTATGGGCGGTGGAAATGGAATTGGGATTGCGGTTGAGGAGAATGTGGATATTATACTTGATGACTCGGAGGTCGAGATGGAATTGGATATGGATTGATTGTGTACACTTGTGTATATAGGAGTTTTTGGTTCTGGTCATGGATAGGGTTTGGCTTGGATAGTGTCTGTCATATTGCAATTCCTGCAACTGTCGTTTTTGTGGTTGCTATCAACATCGACATTGGTTCTGTTTTGCTTTGAATGTTTGCTGGAATTCATGTGGCAGTGCTGTCTCAGGAATCCCAAAGCTCTCTCTGTTGATTACACATGCGGTGCTAATCGCAAGCAGGGGTACTTTAAATACAAGTCGCTGCAGTTACTTCTTCATCTTCGTGCTGAGTATGTAACGTCGACCTGGGCACAGGCACAGGCTCAGAGATTGGACGTGTCTGAGGTACATCGCAGACATTCACGTATATCAATACATCGTGCAAACTTTGTTTACTCAGGAGAATTGCTTAGGTCTTTGTTGCCCAGAACACGTCGCTAGTGATGCTAATCCATGTCATATCGTATTATCGTTGAAGAAGTCGAATCACCTCATTCCCCTACTACTGTCCCTTTCACACACATTTTCGTATGCATCCATACAGCTGGCCTCGTCTCCCAGAAGCTTACAGCTCCTTCTTCCTCTCAGGGGCTCGTCTCATTCTGTGCCTTCTCAATCAAACTCTTAGCAACAGCAGCAGACTCCTGCCAGCTGCGCTGACGTCCCCAGAACCTCGACTCGGGTGTGGAGGCCCTGAGGCTGCTATCTCTTGCATCCTCCTCGAGACTCTTCCTCGTGATGTCGCCGCCTGATCCGCTGAGTGTGGGCAGCTTCCTCAACGAGCTCAAGTTCTCCTCGAAGTACTGCTTGCGCACGCTGAATCGCTCACGGGCGCTCCTTTTGCAGACCAAGGTGGAGTCGATTTTAGAAATGACGTGGCGGACTGTCAAGCGGAGGATGATGAAAAGGTGCTCAGCAAAGAAAACGGTAAGAAGCAGGCCCCAAAGCTGGATGTTGGAGGGGTTGCCATCAGGACCCTTGTTGGAGTTATGGAACATGTAGACAAGAGAAGACGTAGTGAGGGCTCCGAGCCAGGTAAGGAAGGAGAGCGAATCAAGCCAAGGGCCGATGGTGTCGGCGCGCCATGGGGTAGGTCGCTGCATCTCGACACAGATTTTCATAGCATCGGCGCGAAGCTCGATCCAGTCGTTGATGAGGAATGATACTGCAGTAAGCGGCCAGACAACGGAGAAGAGAGAAAGGTAGCCGAACTGGAGAACCATCTCGCGTAGATCGGCAGTGACATCGTAGACATCGAGTTCGGCCTCTTTACGTACACGTTCGAGGAATGCAGCGTCCTCAGGTGGGTCGCTCGCGGACACGGAAGCAGCACCGCCGCCATTCTTTGCGGCCCTGTCAGACTGCATCTGCTTGTACTTGGCGAAACCCCGACGCTTGAGGTAGGGGACGATGAGCTCCATGCCAAGGTTGACGAGCTGAGCTGTGACCGTGAAGTAAATGACCTGCTTGCGAAGACGGTCCGGGTTGATGCTCCAGCTAGTCTCGGTGTGGTGGAGCTGCTTCTCGCTTTCAGCAAACGGCCTGACAGCCACGTTAAAGACATCGAGGTACGGTACGATGAGGGAGCCGAATGGAACGTAGACGAAAGCTGTCAGGAAGATGCCAAGGTAGGATAGGATGAAGTTCATGACGAAGATCTTACGGGTTAGTGCAGTATCATAAGCGCCCTGAGTTTCGTAGTTTTCGAACTGTGTAAGGCGCGTGGCAAAGTTCGTAAGAATGGTGGTGAGGATAGGGTTGACGGTCGTGAGGATTCCAGTGGGGATGAAAACCAGGACGCTCTTGAGGGGACCATTGTAGACTTCGGAGATGAAGACTTCAATACCGAAGCAGGTCGCAATGACGGTACCCAGGCACACCACCACTGTGAGAGCGAAAGGTACCTGCAGCAGCTGTCGCTGGAATCGCTTGCTCGACGGGAAGAAGCCGACTTTCTCGCCAGTGACAGGGTCGGTGACAGTCTTCTCGGGCGCAAACTCCCTATGGCGAACATCGATCTTAGAAACACCTCGTACACCCCAGCGAACAGCCAGGTCCGTCTCTTGATGCCTCCAGTACTCTGTGAAGACGGTACACCAGACTGCACTGACAACACCATAGATTGGTGAGAAGTAGCCGAAGATGAGCCAAGATATGAAGCCGAACGCAGCAGGGAACATGAGGAAAGTAAAGTATGATTGCGTGAAGGCGAAGTAGAAGGCAATCTATGACAGTTAGCTTGAGATCCAATCAGCAGAGCAGTATACATACCTTCTCACCCAGACGATTGCGAATATCATCCAAATCCTCCGTCTTAAGGAAGTACGAAGACGTCCACTTCTTGATCCAATCCTTGTTGTACGCGTGGTCGTGCAGAGCAAATACCGACTCTACGCCCTCCCATTCACCCTCCTTGGGCGTGATGCCAGCACCGCCCTCATCGGTAGGGTTTGTAATCAATTGGTAGATGATACGTAGACGTTCGGCTTCGTAGAGGGGCTCGGATTCGAGTGCTTCACGTGTCTCTTTAGGGGGTGCCGCAGCGCGAACACCATGGATCCAGTCGCGTACCCTACAAATTGTTACTATCACGTGCAAATAGCGATTGGAAGTATTACTAACCTTGATCTGTACACTTCTCCGTGCAAGTGCTCGTCAGATGCGACCCTCACAAACAAGAGTACAGAGTGCGAGTCGCCATTGCGGACCTCCGTCTGCAAGCCAACGTTGGCGAGAGCCTCACACAGCTTCTCGAACTGCGCAATAGCCTTTGCCTTGTCTGCGCTTCAATTAACGCTCAATTCACATGTATCACCCATCGCACAACTCACCCGTCTTCGCAAAGCGATAGCTAATCACATAATCGACATCCAGATTGCTCTGGAGCGCCTGGGATTTCGTCATAACAGCCGCTGGGCTCGTATCGTCGAGCAGCGAGTATTTAAGGTTGTAGATTTTAGAGGAAAGGCGAGTAAAGCCAGGGATACGAGGTGGGCTTTGAGGGAGCTGCCCCGCCGAATGTTGGGTTTCGGTCATTCCAAGAAGTTGCGTTGGTGTCTTGAAAGCGGGAAATTGACGTCAGTCTTGTGCCCAGCGACGCGGGAGATGGGTCTAGCCTGGTTGCTGGTCGTGACATCCCTGCTGTGCATCGCCGCGACATTGCGAATCTCGCAAGGCGCAAACACGATCTTAGGCATTGGAAGTTCTGGTTGGCTTCCTTTTTGAAATGCAGACGGATCTGCACATTGTTCGTCGCTGTACTTGGACACTCACATCTGGAGTATATGGGCACATTTCACAGCACTTGTAAGGTATATTCAACAGATCTCTCAGCACAACAAGTCTAATGTTTCCCATTGTATTCGATCAAATTTGTCTCAACAGATGTTTCCTCATACCAATTGTACTGTTCGAAATTCCAACAATGAGTCAAAGGCTCTAACGGCTTCCTGCGCTTCGTCTCCACTCATATGGGTCACATCCTGAAAGAAAACAAATCCACCAACACGTGTTGCCGTGTCATCATTCTCCCATTCTACAACCAAGACGAATCTGTGCAAGCTCCCTTGCGATGCAAGGACAAAACACGACCAGACTCCGGCATGTACATTGGCCAGGATGCTGCTGACTAAGGTGTCCGGAGCAATCAGCGACTTGCTTAGTTCTACACCAGCAATGATAATATCTTCCAAAGATTGCCCAGCTCCTTCTTCTAGCAAGCCCTTGGAGCGGAACAAATCAGGTGGGATCGCAAGAGCTTCCAAGACCAGCACGGTGACTGAATCTAGAGCTTCTTGCAGGTTTCTAGCGCTTGATCTGTATTCGATATCTTGTCCAGCAGCGTTCAACATCCTCGCACTGCGAATATGCGTTTTCACCGATGTTGGGATACCACGTGTAAACGAGGCATAGTGACACACCCAAACAACTGGACCTGACCAGCCTGCCCATGTCCATGAGGGGAACATGTATCGCCTTTTTGTTTGGATTGCTCGATTTAGATTACGCCATGACAACGTAAGAGCCAGTACTTCTTCGGGTCGCTGTGTGGCCTCAGAACTTGTACCGTGCGCACTCGGAGGGTAATATGGCAGACCAGAGAGATGAAACATTGGTTTACTAGCCTCTCGCTGGTAGCTTAGTATCCCGGAAACGGCCTTTACAGCGTCCGATTCGTATGAAAGATGACGGCACGTGTAGTTCTCTAGCAGCCTTATAGAACCATGCAAAGCACTGAGGACGCCTGAATTGCTGTGCCAGTCCTGGTCGCGGTTCCACAATGAAGCTTGATTTGGCCACTGGTCCCAATCAATGTCTTGCCGTCGCATGAATCGTGGGCCGCCAAGTGCTTCCATCCAAGACGCCTTCTGGCAATAGAAGGTCACCTGCCAGTCTGTGAAGACAAGCAGGCGCTTGGACAAAAAACCCTCCTGAAATGTCCAGCCACGTGTTGACCAGACGGTTGCTTCCGCCACTAACTCATTTGGTTCCGGACCAATACTGAAAATGAGGCCTTGATCGAAGCGCAGAACGGGAGATTGAACGCGCTTGGTCGTGCTGACGCCTGGTAGGCCGTACGTTTTGTCGCGACCAGCTGCCGCCACGATGGTGAATTCAGCGCCTCTGTATATTTGGTCCATCTTTCCCAGTTGAGAGTTCTCATGAGCTGCATTATTTTGATCGATACACAGTTCGTCTATCCAGAGGTAGCGATAGCCAAGCTCTTGAGTCACCTTGACAGCGTCCATGATTGTCTGAGGAAGTCGAGGCGCGTGATGATCGTGGCTCACTTCAGCCGCGTCTGCATGACCTCTATCACCCCAGACATAGCTGAGAGCAACCCAATGTGGGTTTACGATGCTGTCTGCTCGAACTACTTTTGCGCGTTGACAATCGAATAAGTGTAGGCCATCAATGAGTGGTGTTGGGCGATTGCAGTCTGGCCCATGGTGGGTTTGACAGTTCTCCAGCCAAGCGCGACACTCGTCGTAGTCTGGCGTGTCTCCAATAAATTTTGGCTTCAGAAATCCAGGAGCAGATTCGTAGTATCGAAGAGGGGCATAGAAGAAGACTTTCCCCATGGAAACCTGTCTATCAACTGCTTCTCTCCCGACCTCTAGCTGGAAACTTAAGCAAACGGCCTCTTCACCCAGAAAGGGTTTCCACAGCAACCCGAAATCAACGCCTAACGAAGCAAATTCGCCAAGTTCGTATCCCGGCATCAGAATGGCGCAAAGGTCGCAATTGTCGGAGCGTTGCAGACGAAAATATCTACCTCCCGAGTAAGGTTTCTGGTTGGGAAGGAAAGCTTCCTCTAATCCATTAGGCCCCCATAGATGATGGAAGTCCACCAAACTACATGTGCTGCATCGGGCAGGGACCTCAGCCTTGAAAAATGGTAGTATTGCAGGCCACCTAAGTTTTCTGCGGAACTGCTCGACCCATGCTCGACATTTGCTTTCAGTAGACCCGATCCGATGATTGTCATCTCCCATAACTCATTTACAGTGGCACGGTAATAATTGAGAATTATAATTTGGGAGAGAGGAAAAGGATCGATTCAGCCGGTGCAGTGAGGGGGGCGCCTTGTGTTGGGAAGATCAAGTGGAACCACTGTGCCGCGAGGCTGCATGCAGGTGATTCTCGATTGGATCTCGCTACATTGCACCTTGCACAAATGCTGTTTTACATGGACTTGGCGTCTGCGCCTGCTTTTCGCACCGCAAGGATCCGTTTTGGTGTTGCTTCGGCTCGTGTCCACTTCAGGCAGCGATATCGCCACCGAATCCTACAGGCCTGCGAACTTTCGATCCCTTGATGTATGGCAGAAGCGCCATAGCCTTGTATGTCTTCCCCATGCCGTTCGGGCCACGGTCGATGAGCCTCTTCCATCCCGTCTCTAGTCTCTGCCTTGTTGCCTCGTCCTTGGCGCCTTTCAATAATCGTTCAGCACGTTCCTTGATACCCATGGTGGACAGGAAGAAACTCTGTTCTACTGGTCCATGTACCTCCACGCCTGGTGAGGCATCAAGTGCAGACTCAGCTAAGGCAAGGAAGTCAACATCCGCGGAAAGGTCTACTAGGCCTGGCGATGTGAAAGGCGAGACGGTCTGGTGACCTCGAATGCCACGGAAAGTGTTTGCTGGGATGGTATTAGCCGGGCCGTAGTCGAGAATGAGGGCGGCGCCAGCAGGCTGAGGCTTAGAGAATGGAGCCGGTTCTGTCCTTTGGAGTTTTGCTGAGCTCGATGTAGGTTCTGCTTTTGATGGTGGATTGTCACCACCTATCCTAACAGCGAAGTCTGATATGTACGCCATTGATTCTGGCGAGATCTCAATGATGGCATCATTGGTATCCTCCAACTTCTTGTAACGATCAGACTTTTTTGGCAAGTACAGAGAGTGTGGCGTAGGCGTCTTTGACACAGTCAATTCAAAGTCTGGCTTCTCTTCCTGCTTTGTAGATGTCGACGATGTTGTAGTGATGGTTCCAGCGGAAGAGTAAGGATTTGTAGGTGACACCACCAACTCGTGCCATGTATTCTTGGGTACTGTTGCGCCGTGTTTAGGCTTTATTGGTCCGGTGGGTGTCATGATCATGGAGGATGCTGGTATCGAAGACTGCGCGATGTTCTGGAAGACATGAATGGGAAGCGCATCGAAGAACTCGTGGGCGAGTATGAAAGGCGACGAGGTCTCCTCTATGTTGCTGTCAGCGTGTGAAGTGTGGTCGAAGTACGTTCACATGCCTTTTGGCACAAACCGAATGTCCTCGCACCATTGTATGTTCACCCCAGGGATGTACTTCAACGGCGCGGTCAGTCCAATGTCACTCTTCTGTAACTCTTCTGTTCCCGCAAGAAGCTTGCCCTGCTGTTTCTGGAGATGTGGTGACGCCTCAACAAGGTATATAGCCTCGATGCTGTTCGCGAAGGCTTTGAAGCTGGAGATTGTCTTATTCCGTCAGCTCAACCTACATCATCTAATGAGGGGCTTCCATACCCGGAGAACATCATCCATCAACGTTCCTCTTCCCGGCCCCACCTCAATGATCTGTACTTTCTCTTTCTTGCCTTGTGCCAGCCATTCCGCGTAGATCCAGATGCCAATCAGCTCACCAAATACCTGACTAATCTCGGGGGATGTAACAAAGTCGCCTGTCGTGCCGAATTGATCCTGACCAGCGCTGGTCTGTCGTGTATAATAACCACCTTCGGGTGCTGTGAGGCATTGGCGCATGTACGCAGCGACGGATATTGGGCCTGTTGTCTAACTTGATCTCAGCGTTTGACTGTCTGCTTGTTCTAGACGACATACTGTGATGGCCTCACCCAGCATCTTAGCCAATGGCGTGGACCATTTCCGCTCTGCGCCCGAAGATGTCGACGTCAATGACGAAGTATAGCGAATAGCGCATTGTGCTGAGCGACGGCGGATGTCGTTTGCTTGCGGTTGACTGCATCGCGTAGCCGTCCGAAGCAGGCTGAGAGAAGTCGCCCTCATGGCGGGTTGCATTATCGAAGTTCCATGACGTGTGCGCGATTCGGAACTGTCAAAAAGTTTAGTTCGGAACGCCGAGGTGAAGGAGCTCTGACCATCTCTACACTTCATCCCACGTGCTCTACTCCTCCACACCACTGCTTGTGCTTAGTCATTTCACTAATCGACGACCAGACGAGAGCTCAAGCATATTACCAGGTCGTAAAGTCTGGATTCAATCACGTTAAGAAACTGAAGGATAGAAGGCTTGCAACACAAATCACGGAGAAGAGCAGGAACTATGGCGTCGCGATGGGCGGACACGGAAGCCGACAAAGCAGAAGAATTGCGTCGCAAGAAAGAGAAGGAAGAAAAAAAGCGTCTCAAGCTATTGAAACAGCAAGAAGCCGAAGCCGCTCAACAGGCAGCATCGTCACGACCCGCCAAGCGCCGTCGACTATCATCCGGCGACAACAATACCAACGCCCCAGCACCAAGTGAACCCCAGGCCGAAAGAAAGCTGCTACGCTTTGATGGCGGTACCTGGTCTTCCTGCCGCCACACCTCCAACTTCCAAACCCTCAACCCCATCGAAGAAGGATCCTACGGCTTCGTCTCCCGCGCCCGTTCCCTATCCACCTCGTCCATCGTCGCGCTCAAAAAAGTAAAAATGGACTACGCACAGGACGGTTTCCCCATCACCGCGCTCCGCGAAATCAGCATCCTGCAAAAAGCCCGGCACACCAACATCGTCACCCTGCACGAGATTCTCGCCGGTGATGATCCAACCGAGTGCGTGCTGGTCATGGAGTTCGTCGAGCACGATTTGAAGAACTTGCAGGAGGATATGGGTGAGCGGTTTTTGGCGTCGGAGGTCAAGACGCTGTTGAAGCAGTTGGTTGGCGCGGTCGAGTTTTTACATGCGAATCACATTATGCATCGGGATCTTAAGACGTCGAACATTCTCCTTTCTAACCGCGGCGTGCTCAAACTTGCGGACTTTGGCATGGCGCGATATATCCCGCCCGCAAATGCGCCGTTGACGCAACTCGTCGTCACGCTGTGGTATCGCGCGCCGGAACTCCTGCTCGGCACGACGACGTATGGCACGGAGGTCGATATGTGGAGCATCGGATGCATATTCGGCGAGCTTTTAAGTAAAGAACCGCTACTCCAGGGCAAAAACGAAGTCGACCAATTATCCCAAATATTCACGCTGTGCGGGCTACCCAGTGAGAAGTCATGGCCGGGGTTCTATCGCTTGCCAAACGCCAAATCACTAAAACTCCCACGCGACCACTCCTCCCCGGGATTCAACAGGAGTAAATTCCCTTTCTTGACGGCAACGGGCGTGGAGCTGCTGTCGTCCTTATTATCGCTGAATCCGGAGGGTAGACCGACTGCGAAAGAGGTGCTGGAGCATGAGTATTTTAGGGAACAGCCGAAGCCGAAGCCAAGTGAAATGTTTCCTACGTTTCCGAGTAAGGCGGGGCAGGAGAAGAGGAGGAAGAAGAGCCCGCATGCGCCGAAGAGAGGAGAGAGGGGCGGAGGTTTAGGAGGGCTGGGGGGCAGTGTGGATTTCAGTGGGCTGTTTGCGGGCAGAGAAGATGAGGAGAGGGGTGGAGGTTTCCAGCTGAAGATGGCTTGAGGGGATCGGAAGTTTAGTACAAGTAAGAGTAGAAACTGGACAGGAGAATAGGTCAGGTGGAAACGAAACTCGCGCAGGGAACTGATCGACCATGCAACGGAATTCGAATTGGTATCTAGCTAAGTTATGCGGTCCTTCCTGCTCGCGCTGATCATCTACGATCTCGGCTCCGGCTCCGGTCTCGTGGACTCCTGCTTCCATAAGAACTGTAGCTCGGGCTCCTTCTACCTCCCCCTCCACCACCACCACCACCGCCTCGTCCATGCCCACCTCTCCGCGGTGGACTATCACGCCTTCCATGTCCTCGTCTTGGCGGCGGCGTCCTCGACAGCGAACGACTGTACGACGATCTCGAAGGACTCCTGCGCGGCGACCTACTCCTCGACCGGGAGAACGACCGCGGCCTGTATCCATAGCCACCTCCCCGTCCACCTCTGCCACCCCTTCCTCCTCTAAATCCTCCCCGTGGTGATCTCGAGCGATATCTCGGGGGGCCACCCATCGGCGGCGGTCTGTACGCACCCGGCGGTCCTCCGCCCCTCCCACCCCTATTATCGTAATCATCATTGAACCTCTCCCTCGGCGGGGGTCCCCTCCTCGCAGGCGGCGGTGTGACCGAGAACCGTCGTCGCGGCAGAACAATCGAGACCTGAAGTTTCGCGCCGTCCAGCTGCGCATCGTGCATTTTCGCAATCGCGCGCTCGGCGTCCTCGATTTCTTCGTACATGATATAAGCGGTGCCGCGATTGACGTTGAAAACGGGGTTCATGGGCATGCGCAGGTCCTTAATGACACCGTACTTGCCGAAGATTTCGCGGATGTGCTCTTCTTTGACGTTGCGGGTGAGGGCCTCGACGACAATCTGCGAACATATGATTAGTCTCCAGTATGCTACGAAGCTCTAATTGGTTCGTACCTTTGCACTTCTAGGCGCGGGTGATCCATCTCTCGGTGTAGGGCTGCGCGTATAGCTCCGTCCTCGCGACCGCGACCGGCTGTCTGGAGTGTAGCTTCGCCGACCATTGCGCCTGGGAGATGGAGAGCGTGAATTCCGTACTGGTGACCGAGATCCAGGACGTGGTGATCTCGAATGCGCCCGGCTTGGTGATCGTGTACCCGAACGGTCGCGAGAAATGCTACGCGACGGCGACCGCGCCGAAGATGGGCTACGTGAGGGCATGGTCGATGGAATTGTGACAGGTTTGGTCCTCAAATTTGAGTGTCGTACTTAAGGCCTGCAATTGTCGTGCAAGGCTGTGTTTGTGAGAGCTTGGGTAGAAGTTGCGCCTTGCGAAGCTCAAGGTCAAGCGAGGCAGGGAGCCGGGAGCGTCGGCACGTGACCATGATGGAACCAATCAACGTCAGCTCTGAGGTCGTTGGAAGCAGCGTGCTGGGTAGCAGACTTGTACTTCGAATGTCTTCTTGATTGGAGTTTGCTGAGGATCTTGCACAAACGGGTCAAAGGATTCGATTATTGCCCTATGCAACAGCCCCTACATCATCTCAAAGCACACGATGCTCCAAACCATTAAAAACACCAGGTTTGATCTGTTTGCCAACATGAGTCTTCTGGGTTAGTTTTCATACAGTCATCTCATTCTCGGTAGGACTTCAGATAAGCTGTTCTGATCCGCGCTGCATTTTCCGAGCCGTCAAGTCCTAGGGAGACCATTACTTTTGTAGTAACTTCCTCCGCATATTCGTAGCCACGCGCGAATATCTTGCTTTTGTCTGAGTTGATGACTTTCTCAAAGAGCCCGAGAGTGCTTATATCAAGGTCGATATTGACCTTAGGCTCGTGAACCAGCCCAAGCAGTCCGTAAACCCTGTCATGTGTGTCCCGGCATTCCTGATGGCTCCAGCGATGCAACGCCTCATGCAACTCGAGCTTCTTATTCTTCCAGTCCTGCTTCGCGCGGAGGATGTTGTTCCAATTTGTCCAGTCAGTCGTATGGTAGCCATTACCCGGGCGAAACTCTCTTTGTAAACGTTGGAGTGAACTTGAATTCCAGTAGTATTGTCCAGCACAAACGAGGATCTTTTTGGCCAGGAAGATCTCCTGGACAATCCAAAGCCGGGTCCAATACTCGTTCTCGACCATGAAGTTGAGAGCGGGGATCATGTTGTTGAGAACTAGCTTGTCGTGAACATGTGCTTTGCGAGTACAATGGTCGTGGATTCGCTTTGTATCTCGGAGCAGTATGTCACCGGGTATACCCAGCCAGACGATCACAGTGTCAGCTTTTTGATAAATCGTCGGCATCAGTCGGAGCTGTCTCTCCTTTTCTTCTATGTTCGATTGGTTGATACATAGAGCATCAATCCAAAACGGTCCTTGGAACTTGATCTTCCGCATTGCATCCAGGAAATCCCAAAGATTGCGCCGAACACAAACATTCTCTCCATTCACTTCTATCCAAGCCACATCTTTAGGGCTAGTCGCAGGGCCCCAGCGATATGAGAGCGCAGTATACTTGGTAGTCCGGTTCCAAAACCATCCCGTTGCAAAAGGACGTGGGTCCATGTAGTAGCATTTGATTACTTCGAAGTCATTCGTGGACTGGAGTGGAACAACTTTGAGCAGACGGATCAGTTTTTTGTCGTCGCCTGGATTAGCAAAAGCTTTGGGATGCCATTGCGCTTCCTGATTGTTTTGCTGGTCTAGCTCTATGAATCCGCGCTCTGGGGGCAGCTGTTCGGTGGACATCGCATTGCTACTGACAGCGTTCCAAATGGTGAGCGTTGTGATCTGCCCGCGAAGAAGGAGGCAGACGCTTGAGAGTCCAGATACCAGGGTAGGCGACAGGCTGTGCTGCACGAGGCTGAGGCAGCCAAGGCCACGAAGTTATCGAACACCTGGGCTGGGAGGTCATTTATTCACGAAATACGATTTAACTCTAGAAAAAAGGAAGCATAGAACATGTGCCAGAGAGACTGTGTTCATGTCAACAATACAACTCGGCCGCAAGCAGTCTGCAAGCGTCACCTAAGGTCACATTGCATTGTTTTTCCTGTGCATGAGTATGATTGTGTGACCGTGATACACGACATAGAACTGCGAGTAGTGAGTACTGCACACTGTTAGGAGAACAGCCATCGGAACGCCACTCTGCTTCGTTCTCACGATGAATCAGGCACCTGCACGGAGTATGGATTAGTATACTTCGTTGGCCCGCTAGAGGCGACAAATGCACGAGCATCGTCATGTCGGCGGTGACGGGCTTTTCTCGCGACAACCCCCACACGACAGGCAGCTGCAAGATGGCGCCATAAGCGCAGCGTGACGGGACGCGACATTGGCGGCAGTGGGCATGGTTGAAGGCGGTCGATGGTTGATAGGTGAAGAGGCAGGTCCTGCGACGTGAGACTGGAGGCACTGCGGGGTTCAACAGCACAGAAAAGTGAGCCCCACCTCGCTCGCTCTTCAACGGCTCAACCCGAACTCGCGACTGCCCAACCACTTCTCACCGCATCTACACTCGAGCGCTGCTTAGTCAAAAGTTTCCCTGGTCTACTTCGCCCCAGGTCTTCAATTTTCTCCGCGACCCATCCCTCTCCTGCACCAATACAAGCTCCCTTAGTCCGCACATTACCCCTCCACAAACATGTCCTGGCAAGGTACGCATTGATGGCACGCATTCGCGGCGCATACAGCTAACACCCCCTCCAGCATACGTTGATCAGAGGTATACACAGTCCTATCATTGATGAGATGCTTCTCTAACATCTCGCGCGCAGCCTCGTCGGCACTGGCAACATCGACAAGGCCCTCATCTGCGATGTCAACGGCCAAACCACCTGGGCCTCGTCTCCAGACTTCTCCGTACGTAATGCGACTCTGTGCGCCATCTTATACACCAGCGAAGCTTCTCGCAGAGATAGAGAGAATATAAAGGCCCATGATGGATGAATGCTGACGGGTTCCAGCTCACTGCCGCTGAGATGAGCGCCATCGCCGCCTCCTTCAACGACAAGAGCGAGACCAAGGCCGTCATCGCAAACGGCGTCAAGGTCAATGGCGACAAGTACATGACCATCGAGTCGACCGACGACTCGCTGAAGGCAAAGAAGGTGCGATACATCTGACGAAGAGATATCGAGGGTAGAAGACTGACACGGCGCAGGGCAAGGAAGGCATCGTCGCCTACAAGACCACACAAGCCCTCCTCATCGCCCACCACCCCGACTCCATCCAAACGCCCAACGCCTTCAACTCAGTCGTTGAGCTCGGCGAGTACCTCAAGAAGGTCGGCTACTAAACCGAGTTGGATCGATGTGTTTGTACTTTATGGATTTGCATAACCTCACGACGAGGCAGCGGCGGTCGGCATAGCTTGGTATGGAGCGAGTGCTTCGCTTGGTGTGGATGGATATGAGCAATGAGGAACGACATAGCGATATCGGAGGATCCTCTTCGAATCAATGAATGCATCAACACCTACCCTGCAACCTACAACATCATTGTCCCCAGAAGACCCCATCATTGATACTAGCTGGGCGACCCAGATCCTATGAAGAGTACCAATCCTTCTAAACTGTGGGATTGAGCTACCATGCTCCGTATGCTTACCAGGCAAAGATTTTCAACATCATGCAGATACACGAGCAAAACCCAGGCAGGCTTCGTCCAGCAATAACCGCGTTCTCTGATATTGTAGTCCGAAAAGGTTTCGGCGACATTGTCGCCATTGTCGCTGAAAAGAAGGCCGTGGAAGCTGGTGGTCCGAAGTAATGCATGAACACGAGATATCGCGTTGCAGTGTACCAAAGTTTTGTAAGTCTAGCCTTATACAACTAGCGGGTGCATATATTCCTGTACAATGCGGGGCAGACGCGAAGTCACGTTTCAAGCAAAAGTGCAGCACATTGATGAGCTGGGCCGCAAAAGGTGAGTGAATGTTAAGAGGTCTGTTGCTTTTTGAAGCATGGTATTGCTTATGAAGAGAGACACGAAGGTCCAATTGCACTAAATGCAATCTTTCAAATCGACTCATGAAGCTGTAACGGCTGTGGTGGTATCCAGGTTGAGGTAGATGTTGGAGAGAGCACGTGCCGACGCGAAACCGCAGTGTACCAATGTTACGCGAGGGGCTTTGGGGCGAGAGAGTCTGATCTCAGTGAGTCCTTCTACATTAGCTGCGAATCCTATTGAAGATTAAAGCAGCGATGAAGACACTTGGTATTCATCAAGCACTATTAGAATAAGTGGAGAAGGCGGTGCAGGAAATAATTGGACTGATATTATGTCAGTAGGCTACGACCCGTCTACCATGCCGTTGCAGTAGTGAGCGAGTATAAGTCATGTACTTCTTACGCCTCAACACCTATTTTTTTCATTACATACCTCGCTCACCGGGCAAGAGCTGTTGAGCTCGTGAGGGAGGACATCTGGGAGTCTCCTCTCATGATGACGATTCAAGGGAGTACTCGTGAGCCTCGAGAGTACATTGGTCTCATCATCCACGACATCAAGATAGATCCAAAACACCGTCGCCATGGTCTCGGCCGTAGTACGTTCTTCACTTCTCACCCATAACAACACTCAACACACCCAAGAACTCGTCCAAGCCATCATTGACAGAGCCCATCTCCTCTCCCAAGCAGACCACGAAGCCAAGAAAGCATCAAGAAACATGAAACGCGCCCGCAAATACGAGAGCATTCGCGTCCTCGTTGCCACAGATACCATGGATGAATCCGCACCACAGTACAGTGCATCTGCTACCACCAGGGGATGCATGGCTCGATCTCCTTATCAAGAAGAAGTCTTGGAAGCCGGTAGCGAGTTGGATGTGGCGAGGCAATATTGGCACGCTCTGGGATTCGAGCCGACGGGTATGCTGACGCAGTTGCATTGTAAGGATGCGCAGGTACAGGTCGAGACCAAGAAGCGTGGGGTCAAGCGTAGAAGAGGAGGATAGGGTCTTCGTTGCATCTTAGTCCGTGCTGGTAGGTGGGCATTTGGGTGATGTGAATAGTGGGAGTGATGGGTCTATTGTAGGCTTTAATGTCCAGATGTCAACCTTGGAAGCTCGACTTCGAGTAAGTAACGTGTTTGGACTACTTCGGTACGACATTCATATGGTCAAAATGTAGAATACGTCAGAAATTGAAAGGTTCACAAGCACGTTACACCGTGATGGCGCGACACGACACGTCAGACCACGGCTTGTACATTTACAACAGGTATTGTGATTACATAATAACCAGCTTTTTTGGAAAGAGCAAGGACGTGGGCATGTGCTTCTGCAGCGCCCACCGACGCTGATGCCTTTACAGAATGATGGCGAGTGTTCTTGCCTCAGACTACAACATCGGCACCTGTCGAATCTTACCTTGGAAGTAGCGTGAGGAGCTCGAATAGCGCTGCTAGAACCATAAAACCACTCCTGTCCCATAATACTGCACCTGTCCCAACAAGTTCGTTCTTCCTCTTCTTCTATACATTATTATGTCGTCAACATACCACACCGTTAGCGAGTTCAACATCTCCACCAGCGAATCCGCTGCTCACGTCATCTCCGTCGATATCAAGGACTACAAAGATGGTACCCATCATAACCTCGGCCCAGTATCCCCTCAACTCAAGACTAATGCACTTTCTCAGACCACGAAACAACCTGGTGCAGGGTCATCGACGCCAACATCGATAACCCCACGATCACTTGTCCCCAGTTCCTTGATCACATTGCAACCGCAACAGCATACATAATTGATCGTTGGGCCATGGGCGAAGCCGAATGCGACTGGGTGGACATGGACGAGCTCTCCCAAGAAGCGGGCGAGCTTTTCAAAAGCAAAGTCTTCTACGACGAAATAACCATGGAGCCATTCGTACTCTTCCATGAAGTCAGAGTCGCGCATGAGTACTGGAGACAGGGGCTCGGACGCAGTATGAGCCTGCATCTCATTCTCTCACGCGCGCACGTTGCTGATGCACAAGTATCTAGACATAGTCAAAGCTGTGCTCAAGAAAGCGCACGAATCGCTGGGTGGTGCGTTCTGGGTCATTGTTGCTCCGGGCCATTTGGGCATGGAAGTAGCGCAAGAGTTGATGCGTAGTGGTAGTACTTGGGCGGATGAAGACAAGGTGTTTGAGATTCAGGGACGGCAGCTCGATGCGGCGCAGGCTTTTTGGAAGGCGGTGGGAGTCGCTCCGATCAAGGGTACGCAGTTTTACTATGGATTCGTGAAAGGGGACGGGGAGGTTGATAAACGCATTCAGTGATGGGTCTCCGTGTGCTAGTTTCGCATCTGCAGGGTTTGCATTCATACAGGCTTCCGAGGTCTGGACTTCACTGATGTCGGTAAGTATTTAATAACATTCAATGGCAACGAATGACATCGAGCTTTGGCATCACTTTGTAGGAAGAATTGACCATGCACCACTAAAACAAAAGAGGAGAAACTCTATATCCCCTTCATCCCACCCAACTTCCTAACAACCAGCTCCCCAAACCCCCTCTGCAACGCTGCCGCAACAACGCCCCTCCGCTCATCCGCCTCCCTCGCCAACCCAAACGCCTCAGGCCCTTCGAGACACGCCCGAATCACCCCCTCCACCGTATTTCCCAGATAGCTCTTCACAAACGCCAAATGCCGCGGCTCCTTCCTAACCAACCTCTCCATAACCGGCCACGTCTGCTTCGGCCTAGCCGTCACAAGATCGATTCCCAGAATCTGATCGATAGTCTTCCAGTACGCAATTTCAAGTAGTACGACACCGAGGGAGTAGATGTCATACGACTTCTTGTAACTCTCACGACCAGAGGAAGATTCCTCGCGGTTTCCCGTGCTTTGGACGTGCGGGTGGCGATAAATGTCTGCGCGCGGGTTGTCGGTGGGACGCTCGGTCATGTCGTCGTTGGTAGCTGGGCGGCTGTAATCGAAGCCGGAGATGTATGGGTCCGAGTAGTTGATTTCGAGAGCTCCGGTTTTGCGGTTTGTGTGCTGGAAGAAGAGGATGTTGGCGGATCGGAGGCCTTTGTGGAGCCAGTCGACGGCGTGGAGGCGCTCGAGGGTCTCGGCGAGGAGGCGCATTAAATTGATGCGGTCGGTTAGGGAGGGGATCTCGGCGCTGGTGTCTTCGATCATGGTGCGGAGTGTGGTGGGAGGTGTTGAGGGTGGGACGGAAGCGGGCTTCTCGAAGACGAGACCGAAGCGTGACTGGTCTTCGCTCTGGTCGACGAAGTAACCGAGACAGTGCGGTGCTCTAAAAGTTACTTTGCGGTTGTTCTGATTCAGGAGGGCTGCGAGCTTCTGCACTCGTGTGCGGATTTTGGGGTCAACTTGGCCGTCTGGCTGGCCTGGACCAGCAACTTCGTTTGGCTTCCATTCGATCCAGACTGGGGCTCCACGGTAAGACGCCTCGGTCCTCTCCCCTTCATCAGCATCATCCGGGAAAGTTTGCCCGTTCTTTGTCCATATTTCGTTGAGTTTGAGCTCAGTCTCACGAATGTTGTCTGCAAGATGTGGGAGGTCGATGGAGTTGCCGTACTCCTCACTGACGTCTTGCGAATCCTCGATCGCGAGATGAACGAACTTCTGCTGTGCCAACGTGCCAAGCCGCGTCAGGCTACGATTACCAAGCGTAGTGATGCCATTGACGAGGTCGTACTCAGAGTCGTCAAGGTCTGTGATCATGCCATATGGGCGATGTTCGATGCGGTCTGACTGCCAAATCTGCACCATGTTCTCCATCTGCCTGTTCAACAACACAATCTGGTAGTTGAACCTTGTCTGCATGTCGAGCATCGTCTCCATCTGCGCCTTGTCAAGGGCCTCATGCATTTTGTCGTTGAAGCCGGAGAGATTCCCAATCAACTTCTCCATTCTTTCGTGATCCCATGAAGCCCATCTGATTCTCTTGGGTACGTCTCTTGACTTCTTCAGCCAGTCAAGGGCTTTGATCACCAAATCTTCGGCAGGTGGGAACTGGACAGAGCGCGTGCTAGCTTCAGACATGCTGCCGCCGTTCTCCAGTAGACGATTCGAGTCGATTACGAACTGCTCTTTCTGCTCTTGTAGCAAAGGCTTAGTCAACTTTCCGTATCTTTTGTTGAGTCGACCAAATGAAGCGAGTAACTTCTGCTGCTGGTGGAGGATATCCATGATCATTCCTCTTGATAACTGGTTGAGCAGCAGATCCTCTTCTGTGTAGTCTAGCTGAACCAGCTTTCCCCAGTTGAGCAAGCGGTGCTCTTCAATCTTAAACTTGACGAGTAGAGCTTGTGCATCGTCTTCAAGGCGACAGGCGTCGGCGATAAGTTCGTAACCTATGTACATTAGGATGTGCCAGGGGGCATGTCATTGAGCGAGGCTGACCTTGAATACATCCTGCAAAGGCTTGGAAAAAGAAAGAGACCACAGCTATAGGAAGTTCGGCACCAGACATAGCTGTTGGATTTGATGTGGACGCGATTACAACGATCACTAGAGGTTGAAAGCACAGAACTACACTTGAGATGAAGTGAGATGCGTAGAACCAAACCAGAAGCAGGAGGGCTGATATTTATTCTTTAGTCTCCACCAGGCTACATTTCGAGGTCTTCCTGCAAGCACGTAGCCACATCATACTGCGCCCCCATAGCCTTCAGCTGCAGGCCTCCTGCAAGCCTCAGGCCAATAGAACAGCTTCTCTGATGGATCCGGTCAAGCTTTCGTGCTGCGCAAACAGAATCTGATTTGCCAGTCCGATACAGGTTCTTGATTTGATCCCAGGAACAATACACTGTGCATAACGTTGGTGGTTGTAAGGGGCTTGCCTCGAGGTGTCGTTCAGCCTCGAGCAGTAAGCGACAACCAAAGCCCCCATCCCTGCACATCGTCATTGTACACCCTCCCACGTGCCTCCTTTCGCAACACTCCCAATCCACTTCACAAACCGGTGACAGACCCTGCCCTACCGATGGTCCTCGATATCTGGAACCCATTCTCGAGCCCCAAAGACGCCTTCGAACCAACGCCCTTCCTCGCCCTAGCCTTCCAGGCTCCGGTCAAACTACTTCTCTACCATGCGTACCACTTCATAACCTACCTGCGCAGTGCGCCAACGCCGGCGCACCCACCGATTCGCGTCGTGTGCATTTCGGATACGCATACGCATATACCTGAAAATGTGCCGGAAGGAGATATACTCATTCATGCGGGCGACATGACTGATGCTGGCAGTGTTGCTGAGATACAAAGACAAGTCGACTGGTTAGCTTCACTACCGCACAAGGAGATTGTGGTGATCAGTGGTAACCACGACACGTACTTGGATCCGCGGACTCGACCGTCGTTATCCGAAGATGAGCGCAGAGGCAATATCAACTGGAAGCGCGTGCATTATTTGCAACATCGCAAGCTCAGTCTTACTATCGAGACTGAGCCTGAGTTGTCGACGTCCACAACACCTCTGCTGGCAGAAGGTCAGAGACAGAGACGTATAAGGATATATGGCGCGCCGCAGATTCCGGCTTGTGGGCCGATGAGTGTACATGCGTTCCAGTACCCAAGAGGGCAGGATGCATGGTCCGAGACGATACCTGAGGACACAGATATCCTAATCACGCATACACCACCAAAGTTCCATCTTGATCTTGCGTTGCCTACGGGTCTTGGTTGCGAACATCTTCTAGCTGAAGTAAGGCGTGTCAAGCCAGCGCTGCATGTGTTTGGTCATGTGCATTGGGGAGCGGGACAGACGATTGTATGGTGGGACAAGGCGCACGAGGCGTATACCCAAGGCATAGCGATGCAATCAAAGTGGACACATGGCATTCTCAATCCGAAGCTGTGGTGGAGTGTGGTGAGGGTAGTATATCGTGGCGTGCGTGAGCTGCTGTGGGACCGCGTATGGGGAGGGAAAAGTACAAACACGATCATGGTGAATGCTGCCCAGATGCATGGAAATACTGGAAAACTGGGCAACACGATCCAAGTCGTCGACATATAACCTACATGGTCACCGCAGCCAAAAGAATAATCGTAATGTGTAATCAAGCACAAGTGGAGCACTGCATTGTCGAGAAGCCTTTTCGAACTAAAAAAGGATTCTGTTGCTTTACCTTGACTATCTCGCGAGAGAGGCCAAGTTCAACATGGAGACCAGGCTATTTGCCATTCCCCGCGACTTTGTGATTGAGGTCATAAAACCATAAATCGTGCACACCACGCCATGCCATATCCCACCACCGAGCGAGCGATATCCCGCACATGCTCAGAGACGACGACCACGGCGACCACCCTTCCTCCTGGTGGAGTCGGACGGGGTGGGGGTGACATCCTCGATACGTCCAATGCGCATACCGGCACGGGCAAGCGCGCGGAGAGCAGACTGGGCACCGGGGCCGGGGGTCTTGGTGCCGTTTCCACCAGTGGCCCTGATCTTGACGTGGAGGGCAGAGATGCCGAGTTCCTTGCAGCGGGCAGCTGTTCCTTTGTTAGTTCCCCGCTTTGCAATTTTTTCGACTTCCGTCTTCACGTACCGACGTCCTGGGCCGCCAACATGGCAGCGTAGGGGGAGGACTCGTCACGGTCAGCCTTGACCTTCATGCCACCGGTGACACGGGAGATGGTTTCGCGGCCGGACAGATCGGTGATGTGGACGAAGGTGTCGTTGAAGGAAGCGAAAATGCGGGCAACGCCGAAGACGAGCTCGCCCTAGAAACCTGTCAATTCGCGCTCACGGCAGAGCAGGCGGTTGTCACGAACCTCGCGGACCTGGGGTCCAAGCTGGGAGATGTTAGCAATATTCAGAGTGAGGCGCAATTTTGATTGCTCACCTGGATGTTCTCCTGCGCACCGCGCTCGACCTTCTTCTTGGGAGGCATGTTGACTGTGAATTAGTGCTTGACTTGCGAATTCGTGGTGGTTGTCGAGGTTCGAAACTTTCGGGTAGTCAATAATTCGCAGCAGCTTGTGCGGGCTCGGAACTACGTTTTAGCGACGCAGCGGAAGTTGCCGATGGGCCCGTGCGGCACGCTAACGCAGTCGACCTAAAGTTTTCCTCCGCTTTCCATTCCTCTCTTGTTACTACACCACCATGTGCTGAAGTTTTATACAACAACACGCTGAGCTGCGTGCCAAACAGTCACCAACATGGACAATAACAAGAGCATCGGCATGATCGGCATGGGCGACATGGGCAAGATGTACGCGCGCCGATTGAGTACTGCGGGATGGAAGTGAGTATACCGCGCGACAATTCGCGATCGCGCGCAGTCATGCAAAGGTAAGCCTGACTCTTTCTTTCCCTCCCCTCTAATGATGACCGTGAGTGCATTTGGCTCGAGTATGGCGCACGTCTAAGCTGGTGCCGTCTTGGTTCCCAGCATCTAGACGTGTCGCTGTCCATGATGTGAATTCTCGCTACCTTTTTTATTACACCTCTGATCCTATTGTTCCTCCTGCTTTGTTCAAGAACATTCTTCTTGAGCTCTGCTAACCAGTGCCTCATAGATCTCCTCATCCGCTAGACCTGCGCTGACCTGGCTGACCTCAGAGTCAATGCCTGCGATCTCCCAGATAGATATGATAGCTTGGTAGAAGAGTTTCGAGACTTTGTAGGATAGCACCCTTACATCGTATTACAATGAAAACATGTACTGAGCTTGCGCCAGCCCAATGTTCGAATAATGCAAACTGGCCACTTGGTCTCACGTTGCAGCGACTTCATCATCTACAGTGTCGAGGCGAAGAACATCGATGCCGTCGCGAAAGCTTTTGGTCCATGTACGATGCTTCCGCGACTACCTTGACCATGTACTAACCCATCCGTATAGCCACCAAGGTCGGTGCCATAGTTGGAGGGCAGACATCATGTAAAGCCCCAGAGATTGATGCCTTTGAGAAGAACTTGCCCGAAGATGTCAGCATCATCTGCGTCCACTCGCTTCATGGCCCAGGTGTCGACACGAAGGGCCAGCCATTAGTCTTGATCAAGCACCGCGCATCCGACTCCGACTTCGCTTTTGTCGAGAACGTCATGTCTTGTCTTAGATCCAAGCACGTCTACCTCACAGCTCAGCAGCACGACCGCATAACAGCAGACACACAGGCCGTCACCCATGCCGCTTTCCTTAGCATGGGCGCAGCATGGTCCGCAAACAATCAGTTCCCTTGGGAAACGAGCCGTTACGTCGGCGGCATCGAGAACGTCAAACAAAACATCACTCTCCGCATTTACTCGAACAAGTGGCACGTCTACGCAGGTCTCGCTATCATGAACCCAGATGCCAAGAAACAGATCAAGCAGTACGCTGAGTCAGTCACTGAGCTTTTCAAGCTCATGCTTGCTGGGAACCGTGAGGAGCTGAGGAACAGAATACACACTGCACGCAAAGCCGTGTTTGGAGAAAATGAGAACTCGGGGAAGCAGTTGTTGCTGCGGGATGATCTTCTCGACCAGTTCAGTCTCGGCGCTTTGCCTGAGAAGAAGCTCAGGAACAACCATCTCAGTTTGCTAGCCATGGTAGACTGTTGGTGGAAGCTGGGAATCGTTCCTTATGATCATATGATCTGCTCTACTCCAGTACGTCGATATACCCTCGTCATGTGTCTATCATTAGTCTAACGTAAAATAGCCTTCCCGCATGTGGCTGGGAATCACAGAATACCTCTTCCGCAACCCAACGCTCCTCGAGGAAGCCATAGAGACCGCGATTGACGACAACACCTTTCGCGCCGACGATCTCGAATTTACATTTGCCGCTAGAGATTGGAGTTCCCGTGTCGATCTGGGCAACTTCGACGGATACCGTGAGAAATTTGAGAAGATCCAGAAGTACTTTGAGCCCCGGTTCCCCGAGGCGACAAAGCTCGGCAACGAAATGATTAAGACGATTCTACGGAAGACGCAGGAGAATTGAAGGCATACAGACATGAGGACTTAAGGCTACGCGAATGGTCTCTGCAGCAGTGACATGTCGGTTATGTCTCACCAGGATTAACAGTTACGAGATATGGCGAACACATTTTGCATACGGGTTGGTACGAGGATTGCAATTTCTATGAAGTACCCCGTGTAAGCAAATGTAATGGCACCTTCAATGAATACACATGACGTTCAAACACTGCAATCTTCTATCTTATGGTCATAGAACATACTGGTCGCTTCAGACCAGGATCGAGAACACTCTGTTAATACCGCAGCATTTAGCACATATCATCTTCACGAACGAGAAGGAATGGAACAGCGCGAATAGTTCCGATGGTTCGTTTCTCCACGTAACAATGCTAAAGGAAAGCTACATCTGTCTCGACCTCAGCGAACTCAATCGCCAACTACTTATTCTTACCGTCCTGCATAAACAATATGTCACTGAGATGTATCAACCCAACTTTTCCACAAAAGTACTGAGGTCGTCAGTGAAACATTTGTCATCACAAGTAACCAGACAACATAAACTTTCAGTGAACGCTCACTCAATTTTCCTCTAAGCATTACAAATTACTCTTTTTCTAACCTTCTCAACCCAACCCAACCGAGACAATAAGGAAAACCCATGAGAAAGGAAAACCCACGAGAAAGGAAAACCCACGAGAAAGGAAAACCCACGAGAAAGGAAAACCCAAAAGAACTGCCCAATCCAAGGCGCCTAAATCGTTTCAAACCCTTACAATCCAGCGAAAACAAGACCCAAGAATCCGATCGCACCGGCAAACGCACCCATCTTCACCGTAGTAGCAGCGCCGGTGAACAGAGGGGGAGCAGGTCCAGTAGGGTATCCAGCCGGAGGCGCAGGAGGCGCGGCAGGTCCAGTAGGCACAACGGGAACAGGGACGACAGTCTGGATGGTAGTCGGCTTACCACTTTCAGTGATGACGACGTGGGTAGTAATAACCTGAACGGGGACGACGGTAGTAGCGTTCTGCACAACAACGGTGGTGTTGTAAACCGGAGCTGGAGGCGGGGCGGGCTTCGAGTGCGAAGGAGTTGGAACAGGGCCGTGGGAGTAAGTGGGCGTGTAACCCCCGGCGCAGACACTGGCTTGGAAAGCAGTGTACTGAGCGAGTTCGGAGGAGCATTTACCGCTGATCTTGGCTTGCACGCCGAGAGTGCTGAGTTGCACGCAGATGCAGGGGAAATCGTTGGGCGCACAGGGGCTGTCGGCGATGCACTCGAAGATGATAGTTTGCTAGAGAGACTCATTAGTACTATGGATGAGTGATGGAGTGTTGGGTTGAGAGCTTACAGAGCATTGTCCTAGGCTCTCGATGGGCTTGACAATGTCATAAGGGTAGGGTGAGGGCGATGCAATGGGGTAACCAATAGGTGTTGTCGAACCGACGGGGTAACCGATAGGTGTTGACGAAGCAGGCAGGAGGCTGCTAGAGGAGGAAATTACAGCGTAGCCGGCCATTGCTGCGATAGTAGTGTATGGAGGTTGAACTGGTCTAAAGGTGTTATGGTTGTAGGGATGAGTGCTGATGATCTGGAAAAGTAGCTATGAAACCACAAATATATATCTGAATTGTCTCTGAGTGACTGATGTCTTTGAGAAGCGAGTGATGCCAGTCATTATTTTCACGCACCGCGTGCATTTTATATCGCGTTAAACCATGCCCAGGTGTCCGTTTGCAAGCATAGCAACATGAAGCTGAAAGAATTTGGGAGTTGTACAGGAATAGAAAATCTTGTGGACCGCTTTCAGATAGTATCTTTGTTCTTCGTGATGATGTTGCCAAGCGATTGAAGCTCATGAGGTCTTGTCCGGATTCAGTCGTGATGTCTGGAATGTGACCGTTACGGACCTGGTGTTCGGCCAACGGCAGCGCCCATCAACGTTGAACCCTTTGCGGGAAGTATAGCCGCATTCTTGTAGCTTATTTGGATTATGACAAGACGTTGCCGGTGGCTTTGCACACGCTGATGTGGCGTGAACCATCAAGGAGGGCTATGTGTGGATCATGCCGGATCTTTTTCCCACGTATTTTCATCACCTCCGCGGAAGGATAAAGAAATCCCGACATTCAAGAAAGTCTTTGCATTGGGCTACCAGCGATGAGGACAGGCTTCGCCTTCGGATTTGCGTCGTCTTCGTCCAGCCACTTAATGATGCACTCGATGTCCCGCACTTCGTAGAAGCTTTCATAGTGCTCCTTCGCATACCGGATCGCCCGCGATCGATCATCTGTAGCTTCTAGGTCCGGTGAAGGCTTATTAGCAAGGAGCCTCTCGTAGTATAAGTTGAGCTTTTCATTTTTCCGCCTGGGATGCTCCTTCATGTAGTCCCAGTACCGGCACGCTAAAATGTAAGGATTTGCACGAAGGGATGTGTGCTGCTCCATTGCGTTGTCTGCTGCTTTGGATGGTTTAGAAGATTTCGTGTCGAGAAACGTTGAAATGATGGGAAGTGAACAAAGAAGTCGAGACAATCGCTGAGACAATGCAACTATGTCTGTATGTCAGGTATGCATCGCGCAAAGCCTGCATTGTATGCAGTCTATCATTGATTGTGCACGAATGTATGTCCTTTAAAACAGCCGTGGCCCATGATGAGCGTGAGGACATCAAGCTGTTGTATGACCCGGCTCCGTAGTGGTGTCTCACCTACCAGAGACGACTTCACGAAGAAAATGACATGAAACAAACAAAGAGTTTGTGTCTAACGCGTTGCAATGTTACATTGGCTCTTTTTGTTTGCCACCGTACATGATTGGCGAGTTTTTGCTGGCGGCATTCCGGACAGGAGATGGCGGTTGTATCGCCGGGTCGCAGCATACCAATACTACATAAGTTATGTATTTGTTCAGGAAGCAGTCTCAAAGGCTTGCAAACTCATGGCTATTCTACATTGCTGACGTGCAGAACCATAGAAAAATCCTGTGAGCGGTATTGCCCCGAGGCTGCTGGACTTGCATATTGGGCACATCCACGCCGCAGATGTGCTGCACATCGTGATCCCACCTCAAGTAAGGGTCATTCTTGGACCAAGATCTGTTCTGTTTGAACCATAAACTCGGCAGCAATCTCTGCAGCAAGTTTCGAAGATGAAAACGACTTCAAAAGAGCGTTGTGATACTGAATGGCCAGAAGCCATACGGCGGGACATAAACGAGACCATGATGTCTGTGACACGTTCGTACCAATGCACAAAATCATGATGAGAGGCCGGCGTGGCTGGAGGGACCCTGCGAGTTGGGCTAAAGGAGTGGGGTCTGGCGCTAGCCTAGCGCCTTGGCTTGATTCGAACTTTTGAAGAATTTCTGAGCTCTAAAATTTGACAGCCAACGCCGCAGCTCAACCATGGCGTCCAAATCGTGAGTCGCCCCGCGCGCTGCACACAGCTTCGCAAGCATTACAGTCGTAGCATTGACTGACCCTCAGTAGAAGCGTCCCAACTCAGAACGACATCCTCGTTCCTGAGACGCTGCTGAAAAAGCGGAAATCGCAGGAGAAAGCCCGCGAGGAGCGCGCGCTTGCGACTAAGGAGAAGCGAGGTACGATACATTACCCTGCCACCGTCGATACGAGAGAGCCATTGTGATGATTATAACTACCACACTATCGGCTAGACTACGGTCAATGTTGTCGAATTGTTAACCATCTTTCGGGAATGATACAATTACCTCTCTCGATCCTCGTGGCACACTTGACACTGTTGGACAGTGCTAACATGAGGCAGACAAGAGCAAGAAGAAGCGGGAGGTCATCTTCACGAGGGCGGAGAAGTATGTGAAGGAATACCGCGATGCAGAGAAGGAGAAGATACGGTTGTCGCGCGAGGCCAAGAAGTCGGACAGCTTATACGTTCCTGCCGAGGCCAAGCTCGCTTTCGTCGTGCGGATAAAGGGTATCAACAAGATTGATCCCAAGAAGCGCAAGACTCTCCAGCTGCTGCGCTTGCTGCAGATCAACAATGGCGTCTTCATCAGGCTCACCAAAGCCACACTGGAGATGCTGAAGATTGTTGAGCCATTCGTCGCCTACGGATACCCCAACCAGAAGTCCGTCCGCGAACTCATCTACAGTAAGTTGTCTCGCGACACATGGGGATCGACCTACATACTAACGCCACTTCTAGAGCGCGGGTATGGCAAGGTTGACAAGCAGCGTCTTCCGCTCACCGACAACGAAATCATCGAGGAGAACCTCGGCAAGTACGGCATGATCTGTATGGAGGATCTCATCCACGAGATTTTTACGGTCGGTCCCAACTTCAAGCAGGCTTCGAACTTCCTTTGGCCTTTCAAGCTCAACAGCCCAACGGGCGGCTTCCACAAGAGGAAGTTCAAGCACTTCATCGAAGGTGGTGACCTGGGCAACAGAGAAGACAAGATCAACGAACTGATCAAGCAAATGAACTAAACGTAAACGACATGTTTTCAGTTTGCGGATATGGTGCGTCGAAGGTTTGTCCGACGCACATTCTTCATTGAGCATTTACACCGGCGACCGGGCGTTTGGGGAAGGTCCGAGAATTCTTGGATCATGAACGAGTCCACGTGCAGACGCATGGCTTCTCGGATTGGGAAAAAGGTCTCAGGCGTTTTTGGATTCATGTGATACCGAGACACGTCCACGGAACAGATAGTGTGTGCAATCTGGGCGAAAGTCTTCTTCGCTGTGTGTATATGACACGAATTTCGTTACGACGAGGCAGGCCTGAAGGAAACCGTACCACCCGAGCGGGGCGCACGCGGTACAGTGCGCAGTCATCTAGGCAACCTTTGCTCACTGGCGTCATCAAGCATGGAAACATGGAAGTGTGAATCAACTGCGTAACGTGGACACGATGTTCTGCTGCCTACAAGCAGATCCCATGAGTGAGTGCCGCGATCGATCACCGGTGCCCTGACGTTGGTGCCGGCCCGCCTGCATATCAGCGAATGGGCGGGCGAGAAATGGTCTTGGCTGGTGTGGGAGCATTTGCGGGCAGGCCTTGAAATATCCTCACACGAGTGCTAATTTTTTTTCTTCATGTGAGCGCTTGATTACGAACCCACAAGCCCCAGGTGTGGAGTGGAGCAGTGGGCGAGGCCCTGTGTTTGCCACTCGCGAATGACGCTTCGTGTGCAGCGTGGTGGGATGCACGAGCAGGAGGGATGGCGGCCGAATGTGTAATGACGCTCACGCGTGTGGACGCTGACCAGCGACGGCTGCCCGGTCTCGCCGCCGCCGCCGTTGAGTGACGAGCGACGGGCGATGGGCGATGGGGAGTTGCATTTGGGCCGATGTGCAGACACCCAAGGTGATGCTCTCATCATCAACGATGCACGTTGCGGCGTTGCGCAGGGCCTTGAGCCGACTTTGGTCCCTTAGCCCCAGACGCAGATGCCGTGGGATCCATCGTGCCCACCGCCAACATTCTCAACGCACGCGCTATCGGCAGCAGGCGGAAAGTCCTGTGCCCATGCGGGCAGGCCAGGCCAGGCCAGCACACGCATCACGTTTTACGCAAACGAGGGCCAGCACAAGGCCGCACAACTATCGCGAATGAAGGAGCGCGACGCGTATCCAGAGGCGCTGGGCGGCGAGCTGCAATTTGTCTCTCATCTACACGGTCCGCTTCTAAATTTACTGGGCGCTGGGACTCCGGGCTGGCGCTGTCATGGGAACTCGAAGGGAGTCGGCGCAGATGACATTCCCACCGTCGCTCCTGTAAGCGGGCTAATGCATGCGGCGGCGCCAAATGGGGATGGCACTGCAAAAGGATTGCACGGGTTTCCACGGAGAGAGGGAGTGCGGAGGGTCAGCTACGTGGCTCGCTCAGAGGACCAGGTTGGAGGGCAACCCTGGATGCGTTCATTGGCGGTTCTTCGCTGGCGGGTGCATTAGGGGGAATGCAGAAATAATGTGCAGTCATTCGACTCGTGCCTGCAGCGCTCCTGAGCGGCGAGCCGTGTCATGAAGCTGAGTGGCCGTCGCCGCGCTTCGCGGGCTGGGGTCGGTTTTATGAAAGGCTAGACTGGAAGAGGCAGAGTTTTCACCGCATGCGCCCAGTGAATGGACGGGTCAGGGCTGTTATGAACGATATTACGCAGGCGCACTGGGCCAGGAGCCTTGCCAGTCCAGTACTACTCTAGCTCTTCGCTTGGGCGACCAGCAGCGAACACACTGCCCAGCGCTCCATACCATACTCAGAGGCCGTTTCCCCTTCTCTCACCTCTGGTCCTCTGCGTCCTCACCCATCCTCACCTCATCCCCCTCCCCTCCGTCTCCGGCGCTGAGCATCCGACTGTTTCGCAAGAGCGGGCTGGTTTTCCTTCTGGCCACTCAGCGCAGCCACCCTCGTCACGCTCAGACCCCCGGACCCTCGGCTCTCTCGACTGCAGCACATCCAACAGCAGCCAGACCTCAGCATTTCGCTCGGCGTTGACTGTTGCCGCAGCCGCAGCACTGGGCTTTGCCAACGGACCCTTGGAACTGCTTCGCGCATCTCGTGGTTGCGACCCCAGCCGACCGCTCTGACAGCTTAATTTCCTGCCTAACAGGTCAACAAACCCCGGACCGCCCTCTGGTGAACCCGCCTCCGTCTCCGCCTCCCTTTGATCGTGCAACACTTCGTCTTCCGGCAAGGGCTTGGGACTGCATCTGCATTGTATTCGGCATCTTGTTTCGAGCGTTGCTTTTCTTGACGTTGCGACCTGCTACCGGCAACTGCCAACCTGCGACCTGACCTGCCTCTTCACCTCACCCGGCCGCCACGCCTCCCGAGCATCACAGGCGATCTATTCACTTAGACTTCGCCCCGGCCTCGTTTCACCCGCGTTCACGCACGCGTCGACCGCACCCGAATTTTTGACGCGCACACCGCGTCGTGCGGCTCAGAACTGCTTTGCGACTGCCGGCTTGCCGACAGCACACCGCCGACTAGCTCCGCATTGTTTGGGCACGACAATATTCTTCACGATCTCCATACGTTTCTCCCGATTGTCTCATCTCACGCAAACCACTTTCTCTTTACGCCTGCCTCCGTTCGTGCATGAGCGCTTCCTTATAGAGCGTCGGTAGACCCCCAAAGAGCGTGCGCTCACCACCCCCAGCGGCCAGGAACGAAGAGACTGTACGTCACGCCCGACAACTGAAGGTCACTTCAGTCACTGCCTGAGTGCGCTCGTTAATAAAATTCCGCAGGTTCATCGCCAGTCTCTCTCGTTCTTCTGCGACAAGCTCTCACCCAGCATGCCGTCCTTCTATCCTCGTCAGAACATGCCGCGGCAGTTACTGACACCTCCCGAGTTCGTTCCGAGCTACCACCAGAGCTGCGGCGGCATGCAGTACCAGCAGCAGAACGCCTATGCAGGCCAGCCGGCGATCCGACAGCAGGACGAGGGCTACGACTTTGCAGACCGCTACGGCCAGCTTGCCATGGCCATGCCACCCATGTATCCCCAGGCTGGTACCTACCTCAGCACCGCGCCGCCCAGTCTACCCCCGCCCAGCTCGTTCTATGAGTCCAACGGAGCCGCGATTCTGCCTCCAATGCGTGTCCAGTCAGGCCACTCCATGGCTGAAGCTCAGCGGGCACACGAGTTTAGCCAGCGCACACAGCCACCCGTCAAGGAAGAGAAGCCTGTTGGTGGAGTGTCGGCGAAACTTGACTACGACATGGACGTCATGACTGATTTCGTCTGCGAAACCGCTCTTCGCCTCATCACCCCAGGCCGCATGGCGCCTATATCTTTCCGCAAGTGGGTACACCAGGTCCTGTGCGCGACGAGACTGCCTTCCGCGACAATTCTGTTGAGCATGTTCTATCTTGGCAAGAGGATGCCTATGCTGTACGCTGAGCCCAAGACGGACACTCACCTGTTCCGTCTCCTCACCATCGCCCTCGTGCTCGGTAGCAAATTCTTGGACGACAATACCTTCATCAACAGGTCTTGGTCTGAGGTTAGCGGCATCCGCGTGGACGAGTTGAACCGCCTTGAGATGGAGTGGCTGAATGCGATTGACTACAAGCTCCACCGCGACCCTCTTGAGCACCAAGGCTGGAAGTACTGGTCCGAGCAATGGAAGGAGTTCCAGGAACCATGCTGCTGCTCGCGCTGGTCGAAGCAACAAGCTCAGCCCCATCGACACTTCGATACACCGTCGGTCCTTCAACCCCAACAAGCCGCTCCCGCCTCTGCCCATGCAGCAGTCATTCAACCCGCCGTCATATGACTACACGCCCAAGTCTGCGCAGTCTTCCCCAGACGTCGTTCAACATCCCCAGCTATTCTCAGTATGATCCCTGGAGGTCTGAGCATTCACCTGCGTCTGCGCCCACTACAGGTCCTACTACCCCAGAGTACTACGGCGCTACCGGAGCTTGGGGAGCGGCCGAGGGATACTCGCGTCGCACTATGTTTGGATTCCCTCCATTGTCTCAGCCTGTTCCCCAGCCCCAGCAACACCAGCCTGGCAACTATGGCCCGCCTGCGTACGCTCCTCAGTACAACACGTCCGTCTGGAACCAGCACAGTGTAAACTGCGGATGTGTCTACTGTGCTCAGCGACATGCGCCCTACTTCATGGCTGCTGGATATGGACCCCAGGCTGTCGCAGTCTAGGGGCTGCCGCCGACATGAGAGCATGGCAGTCTGCATCTCGACCCTTCAAAAATACTACGATATTCGACCTCGATCCATGTTAGCGCTTCATCTGTTCAAAAAGTTTACGTTTATTTCTTCAACTATCCTGGCTCCTTCCAGCCGCATTTGCCTCAGCTCGATCTCGGATACTGGATACACGATCGGACACGATCGGCTTACTCTTACCTTCGAGTTAAGCCTCCGACGTCCAATTCGGCACCTTCGCCTCGACGCACAGAAGCGGTCCATTCTTTTCGCTATTTGCACGCATATTGGCGCCACTCCGGATCTTACGAAAACGCACAAGGCTTGCGATCATCCTGCATGATAGATTTTCTATTTCCTTTCTCCGGGTCGTTGTTCCTTTGTTCTCCTCGGCATCACGTTCTAGACACCGGATTGTTTATGGTTTTTCAGGCACGTACAGCGAAATTGGGGGCGGTTGGCGTTCTGTTCCTTTGACCACTGAGTCACAAAGCAATGTTCTGTTTCTGGCTGCTGCTGCCATCTAACGCTCCAGGCGTTTGGCTTCAGCTCTCACCTTTACGACTTTCTCTTTTTGCGCGCATCACCTCAAGAATGGTTTGGAGGTTCCCCTGCACCGGTTAATGTTCTTTCTTTGGAGCTGGCCCTCGACACACCGAGTAGCTCCCGGATACTTGTTGGTCTCACTATGGATGGCATTTGTTCGCCACACACCATGGCAACACTAAAAATGTCATGCCAAACAGATCATCGCCACAGGATCCATTCTTCACGTCTTTCCGATTACGACTTGAATACCCCTTGATCGTCGCCTTCCGCAGTGTTCGGTTGTAATTAATGGCATCAGATCGACGGGCGTTTTCTTTTTCTTACCTCGTCTCACGCGGCGAATTTATACCTTTTTCCTTCATCGTTTCTATACCACAGGGCATGTTTGGGCAACAGGGGGGTGAATTCACTTAGCGTATACCTGCGAAACAGCAGAGGCCACATCAGTAGCGACAAAAATGCGAAAAACATCTTGGAAAGCGGCAAAGCCGCATGGAAGAATCATCGACCTTGATCCTCTTGCAATGTGATCTAACAATATGCCAACTGACTTCTTTTTCACTTCCGGCGGTTACCTTGGGGTAATTTTCTGCGATACGTTTCAATCCGAACCCTTTGAGTAAGAGGATGCTCACCACGAGTGTCGTTTGAGAAGGTTGAATCAAAGAGAAGGGGAAGCGACGGTTTCAGCGACACGTGCGGTGTTTTGCGCGCGACTATTTCATTGTTCCATCTGCATTCCTTGGCGCAGTCGGCAATGACGCATAATGTCTACTTCAAGTTGTGCCCATGGCCATATTGCCAAAAGTATTCTTGCGTATACGCGGGGACTTGTGCCACTCTACCCAATCAAGTAATGTTTTGACAAGATACGGCGATGGAACCTCAGACGCACTTCACCGGACCTTACTGATGGACCATCCCGGAGCGACCGAGCAGCCTCTTCTTGAGGTACCTTGGATATTGGGATGCGACACTAACACCATTCGTGCCAACTCCCCTTCGAATCCGGAGTGGTTCGACCTCACGCATTCGCGCTATTTTCCAAAATTTCATGTATTCAGAAAACACAACGAGGGATTCTGCATTGGAGGCCAGACGTTGCGAAGCTTTGCCCCCCAAATCCGGCAAGAAGAGTGTGAATATTATAATGACCCTGCAATGCATGCGTTTGGCTATACTATCCTTGAACCAAAGGGCTCTTATAATAACCGGAACAGGCTTTCTGGGCTTAGCTCCAGTAGCTGTTCGTCCAGGAGATGTCGTGGCCATTTTCTTAGGATGCAAGTGCCCGGTGCTCTTGAGGCCATGTGGTCATGATCTCTACCATGCTATCGGAGAATGCTACATCCATGGGCTCATAAGAGGGGAAATGCTGAACCAAGGGAGTAGAGAAATTGTTACGGCGCAAGAGTTTATCTTGTGCTGGTGAGGTCTAAGCAACGACTTTATTAGGGTATCTCAATAGGTCAATCGCGTACCTTTGAGATTCTAGGGTATTTTTGTAAATTTGTTATTTAAGGTGCATATTGAGTGTAATGACATAGGAGAATGAAGAGGCGCGTTCCATGTTCTGAACTTAAGGTATGCAGGTAACGAGTCTGCCGGCTCCTGACTCCCACGGACGAACATCGGACATCACGTAAACTTATCTGATTGAACGATCAACTAGGCCGAAAATGGCTCTCAAGTGACTCGCTGAAGTGCGACTCGGTATGCAATTGGTTGAAAGCTGGGGTCTGCATCTCTAGCTCCATCAGATAAACCAATCGCCCAAGGTATGTATGACTCCGTATTCGCGTCTTCGGGTTCCAACGCGCTCCGAGATCTCCGCTCCGACCAATTCACTGAGAAAGCCAGAAATTGAAAGAGTATGGACGGCGTAGGGCCCGCTTCACTGGGAGTTCAACCTAGGTGAGCATCACTTCCCACCACCAACATTTGTCAACCATGCTTTCTGACATTCTCAATCTTGTTTACCTCCTGCTACGAGACTTGCCCTCGTTTGCCTTGTCTGCCCTAACCCATAAACTCGCAGCTATTGTCCACCGTTATACCTACAAGTCCCTGCCGCCCTCGCAGTCAAAGAATGTGGTCGTAGTCGGTGGTTCCTTCACCGGCTATTTCACAGCAAAACACCTGGCCGAAACGCTGCCCACTGGATATCGCGTTGTTCTTATCGAGAAGAATTCACACTTTAATTACGTGTTCGCCTTTCCGAGATTCAGCGTGGTTGGAGGTTACGAGAAATTTGCTTTCATTCCATATGAAGGGCTGGCAAAGGGAGCACCGAAGGGTATATTTGAGTTTGTGCAGGGAAAGGTCGATAATGTGGATGCGCGCGTTGTCAGACTGGAGGGTGGAAAGGAGCTGGAATATGAATACCTAGTGATTGCCACTGGCACGTCATCAGCGCTTCCCAGTAAAGTTGCGGCGACGGAGAGTCTTGATGCACAAGGAGAGTTGAGAGGGTTGCAGAGCACAATCGAGAAGGCGGCGCGAATCGCGGTTGTCGGCAGAGGCGCGGTAGGTATCGAACTCGCGAGCGACATCAAGGACTTCTATCCGGAGAAAAGCGTCGTGCTTTTACATTCAAGAGATAGGCTGCTGCCAGGTTTCGGGGAACGGTTACATGAGTATGTAACAAAGAGGCTCATTGATATGGGTGTCGAGATCTGGCTCAACGAGCGGCCAGAGATCATGGAGGGTAGTCACACACTCAAATTGAAACAAGGCAAAGAGGAGATTTTTGATCTCATCGTAAGTTGACCCTTTGGTATCCGAAGCCTTTTGCATTACTCAACTCACGCAACGCAGATCCCATGTACTGGTCAGCGGCCAAACAGCTCAGTCGTTTCTAACTTGTCATTGGAGTCGATCTCGAAAAATTCTTCTCACATTCTTGTTCGACCAACACTTCAGATCGTCGATGAGCGTTTTCCAAACATCTTTGCCGCTGGCGACGTTGCAGCGTCTGGTGGACCGAAGATGGCACGAGCGGGTTACATGCAGACCCTCGTTGTTGCGGACAATATCCTGTCTCTAATCAAAGGGAAGAGCAACATGAAGGTCTACAAGCCGATGCGTTGGTTGGAAGGCTCGATCAAATTGACTTTAGGAAAGGTGAGTCTAATAAATTGTCACTTGTCATTGTACAGTAAAGAGTGCACACTAATTGCTACTAGAAACATCTCGTGATGTATGCGAGTGAGTTTACTGGGAGGGAGATACTCATTCCATCGAATTCTGGGAAGATTGATATGGATGTGAAACGCCAATGGCGACTATTCGGGGCGGATGCAGGTCAGGTTCAAACAACAGAGAAAGATACTGTATAGATACCTGTTGTCTACCACGTTACTAGGGAAACTCAAGAGGCCGCGTGCCGTTGAACTTCCCAGGTAAAATTGCAAACTCATTCAACAAGGCGCATGTTGAGTGCACCAACATAGGACCATGAAGGTATGTGTTTCATGTTCTGAACGGGCGAAAATTTGATGTTGTCCTAACACGCACGCAGTGTATGCAAACAGAAGGCCGCGATTACAAGCGAGTTCAACGAACAAACGCAATTTTCTCCGTTCCACACGCACGGGTTCCTGTAATTTCTGAGCTAGCTTGATTGGGTCTGGTAGCACGAGACAAGACTGGAGAGATGCGTGTTTCGCTTTTAATCAAACAACGATGCCTGGTAGCACGAAAGTAATCCGCATGGCATTGGGCAGACGGGTGTGATGTCGCAAACTCGTCTCGAAACGGCTGCGAGACTCAAACCTGAAGCAAACAGACTATTAAGGCTTTCAAGAAGGAATGTTACGATCTTGCGTATTGAAAGTCTGCTAGCAGTTCGCTATTCACAGTTCGCAGTTCGCAGTTCGCAGTTCGTAGTTCGCTAGTTTGCTGATTGGAGGCCTAGTCGCTTTGAGACCTCGAGTCTAGGTGCGGCTGAGAATTGAGTAACTTATAGGCACGATAAGCGAGGCATGGCACGAGACATGAGTAGCGAACAGCGAACAGCGAAAGGTGTAAAGCGAACGGCGCGCAAAGGGTAAGGTCTTCCTTGCAGAGGTAGGTGAGGACCATTACGTTTCCCACAGTGGCGCCGACCTGCATGCACCTCTTCTTGGACTGCGGAAGCAAAGCTCAGCCGTCCGGACCGCTATGGTGAACGCCACAACGATCTAATTGGTGATTTCCATGGTATAGTATTCGCAACTCTCTTTTAGAAATCGCGCCAGTTGTACACATCGAACACCAATTTTGGATCCTTGTAGTTTCTGCATACAACATCCGCTAAATCGCAGAGATGCGTTTCAATGCAATCAATATCAAGCCTCACGGCATCACGACTCACTCGACGACGGACTAAGCACGCGAGTCACAACTCAATATCTAAGACAGCTCCTTCTGAAATTACTATATAAAGGAAACTGCCATTCCTGAAGTAAGAACTTACAAGACACACAGTTTTACAACAATCTACATCATGGTCGTTTCCGATTTCCTCAACCTCACTGACGCAGAGTACGCCTCCCGCATTCGGGGCTATTCAGACAGCCAGTTACATGAACAACTGAAAGTAAAGGGCACACAAGTCAAAGTCGGTCGCGCAGTCAAGATCTCCGGTGCCCTATTCAGTTTAACGGGAAAACTAGTGGGAAATGTCATCGACGATGACATTGTTGTTCCTATGGTTCTTGGCTCAATTTCCAGAGCCGGTGGACGTCGGGTCGTTTTGTCAACACAGAAGATACGACTCATCCAAGAAGAGCTCCAAAGACGTCAACTGGAGCACGAGAAGATTCAAGATGTTGTGGAGGCGCCTCCAGCGTACGAGAAAGCGATTGTCCGCGAGACTAGGAATGCCGACTCTAACAAACTGATAGTCTGTGAGACTCGGAACGACGACTCGAACAAAGCGATAGTCCGCGAGACTAGGAACGACGATTCGAACGTCGCTATGAGGGAAGCGACCCACCCAACTTTCGGCCATAATCAACCCCCACGAAAGAAAATCGATCATGTTCATACAAGAGGAGGATCACCGAAGTCTCGCAGTTTCCTGGCATTTCGAGGCAACTTGTGGCTGTTATTTTGGATGATGATTGCTTTGATAGCTATTTTTCGGCCGTTTTGATTTCGATAAGCACATTTCACGAATTATCATACTTTTTTAAACCCTAATAAAAAATCTTCAATTGAATTTTCCGCCTCCCACACTCGGTGTAGAAGCCATCGTTCAACGACGAGAACCGTTGGATTCACGAATGTGAAAGTTTGTCTATCTAACCATTCTGCTCCATTAGTCTCTTTGTGTATGAGAATTCGCGAGACATTCTTCTTTTGCGATCTTATACTAGGTTGAGCAAGTGATCGTTCTGACGATCGAACCAAAGTGAGATCAAATACGGACTTTCGACTACCATAGGCATACAGGATCCAATTAAGATTTAAAGACGATCAGTCTGTACAAAAACAGGAGCTTTAATTTCCTCATTCATCATCACCGTTCCTAGTCCATCTACATCTGCTACCACATCCGTCTCCCTATTCTTCGCCCATTAAGCTTATACGCACATATATATTGATGTTTCTCAAGCTATTACTCTACCAAAGACAGTGGGATGTCGAAATCAGAGCCTCCCATTCGCTCAAAGCACCTGGGAGGTAGTAACGTTGATGTTGCATAGAGTCAGGGCTCGACAGCACGCAACAAGGCTGAGTCGTCGCTGCATGGTCGTGCAAAGACTAGGAATCTCGATGAAGGGCTTCCGTGCGTTCGTAGCTGAGGAGTCTACGAACAGGTTGACAAGGTTCGGTTCGGTGGTAGAAGGAGCGGCACGGGACGCAAGTGTTGAAAGGTGGGGCGGCCCTCAGCCGCAATCCATGCAGGATCGCCACAGAGCTGGATTTAACCTAATTGCGAACAGCGAACAGCGAACAGCGAACAGCGAACAACGAACAGCGAATGACGAATGACGAAGAGCTACCAGCAACGGTGGATCTCCGCTAGCGTTCTACTTATACGCTCGAGCTGAGTGCAGTCCTGGTCATATATAGAACCTGATAGGTCTTAGGGTTCAGTCTCAATCACCTCGTACTCTTAGACAACCCTCTCTTGATCTCTGATCGTACTTCCTATTAAATCTCCCGTCAAACCATCGTTGTTCATTGATTCAGATACTTTATACTAGAGCAGGTGTCAGGCAGTCTGTGCTACAGCGTCTTCTTATGTCATGATTATAACGCAGTCTTTGATGCACCTTCTTACCGTCCCGCTTCTCTTTTTTCTCCTTTTTGTCCTTCTTCTTAGTCCCACCAGTCTTTCACCTTCTCTTCCTCCTTCACAGTCTCACCAACCCTTAACGTCTCAACACAGCCCTTCTTGTCGATCGAATCTTAACCTTGCCTTCCCCAGAGCAAACATCAAGGAACTTATTCTCATGCCTGGGTCTCGATCGTTGTTCGCAAGCTGTTACACATGAGCAAAGAGAAATATCAAAATCATAAGCGACTCACAAGCATATCCACCGCCCATCGGCCATCAGAGGTTGGCGATCGCAAAATTCTGATCGGAAATCCAGCCGTGAACCCATCATAGTACTTGAATGCCGCCATAGCTGCATCTACATCCATAACCCCTCTTATGCATGCCTTTTACCCATCATGTCAGTCCTCTCCTACTATATTTGGTATGCGTCAACTTACTCCGGCTGCATGATGAAGGAAAGTAGCGATGTACAATGGCATCACGTCGGGCATTTGTCCTTCCCGAACTTTCTGCGCGAACTCATGGACTGCTCGCCAAAGACTGTTTCGCGCCTCACAATCGTAATGATTGTATGCTTTGAGATATTCGGTTCGAGTGCTTGGGTGGAGCTTGGTATTCATCCAGGCATCCGCCGCGCCACATGCGAACCGGGTCAGGCTCACTAGTTTATCCTGTAAGAGAGATCAGCGAAGCATGCTAATACGACTTGTCGAACCTCAACATACACCGTCTTCAGCCATTTGCCTCGACCAACGAAAAAGCTCCGAGAAGGTGGCGGCGAATAGAGGTGTCACCGCCAGAACGCCCGTACGTGCATCTGTAAGTGTGAATGCCTCGTAACTGTCCCATAGCCGCACGATGCGATTCTCCAATCGCGTTTCGAAAGTCGTCCGGGTGCGCAGGCGCGAAGGTCGCATATTGTTCAGCCCAGGACAGTTGTTTGGACTCGAGACCAGGGTTGGGCAAAGCCGAACGCAGATTTGGGAAGGTGCAAGAATTGGTTCGTCGATCGCGAGGAATTCTGTTTCGTTCTCGACGCCATACTCGAGGGAATCTTGCAACCACCTGTGGACTGGAAGTTCGACAACATCCAAGGTTTCAGAACCTCCACAATTCATCGCCAAGTTCGGAAATGAATCCAGGTTCAGATGTTCCATTTCGGGCGTTGAATCAAGCGAAGAGTTTCTAGAAGAGACTCCCGCCGATTCCAGAGAAATGCTTGTTGCCCCAGAATACGGGCTCACGCTCTCTTGGTCGCCAACCTCAGGCGATTCATACATCCCGAGGGCTAGTTGGACGGCATCACCAGATACCGCAATCAGTTGTAAATCAGGATCTAGGTTCGGTGAACGCCGCCTTCTACTCTGCTGTCCTCGATTCGAAAGCCTGCCCGGGTCGCAGTGGTGCTTGAAACGTATGCATCGCTCGCATGTCGTGGTTCGTGTCGGACGCACGCACTGGTCGCAAGTTAGTCAACAAAACTGCCTGCCGCATCGAGAATCATACCTTCTGGCGGTCCTTACGACATTGTCCGCAATTGTATTTGCTAGCAAGCTTTCGGGGTTCGGTTGGCAAAGTCCACATGATGCCTTGCACGAGGCTTGGTAGCAAGTGTTCAGCGCTTCACGTGGAGTTGATATCGAGGCTTCTCGTCGCGATGCATCGACGGGCCTCCCCTTCCTCCCCCAGATATAGACCACTGGCGCTGCCCGAGCTGAACTGCATACTGCGAAAAGCAATATCTAGCTGCAGGTGGCGGACACGATCTAGGCTTTCAGCTCGACTGCCAATGTTGGCCCCCAGCCTCACCATCTCTCGCACAATGAGCTCAAATCCGATAGTTGAACACAGCAAGTTGCAACACAACAAGTCGCAACACAGCATCTTGGAAGCGATGATATGCTCATTTCTGAACATGGCGCTACGCGAGACAGTGTGCCATTCCCTCACGAAGTTCGCAAACCATCACCCGAATCTAGAAGGGTCTCGGCACAATGCCGGGAGAATCAAAACACCAGAATAACGCCAAACTCCAACGCGTCACACCCCTGCCAACCTTGCAGCAATAGAGGCAGCGTTCACGTGAAATGAAAGCCTGGATGAGAGAAAGCATTTGACGTTTAGAAATCTCGCGAAGATCAACAACAACGAGGATTGGTCTACACTGTTCAGAAGACACAGACATCTCCTATCAATTCGATCATGACTTGGAGCTAGAGGCGTGGTCCTGGGGTAGTCGCAAGTATCAGCGAGTCAGTCTTAATCTCGAACAACAATGTCTGGTAACGCGAAAATAATGCGCATGGCGTTGAACAAACGAGTGTCTAATTGCGAGAGCATCTTGCCTGGAACGGCGGACAGACAGATAGGCCGCTTCCGGGTCCGTAACGAGCTAAGAATGTGGGCTTATATGACAACCAATAGCAATGATGATTTAACTTCTAGTCAGCTGACTAGCTCAGCTACGTCAACGACTAACGATAATCTCCGTCTAGTTATCTCCGTCTGGAGCGTCCTTTCTCCGACGCACCAATATCATCGCAATGCAAGAGGACGAATGCATCTCACAGGGTCACTGCTTATATCTGAATGAGATTGCCTGGGTAATGCATATAGAGCTCTCATGTCCGCCTGTTCGCCCTTGCAAGTGTTGAAGAGACTAGCGTTTGGTCCACGAATAACAAGAGCATCGATAACATCAGGCAACCGCGCATTCTGGCAGAAGCCACACTTCACAAAAACCATCAAGATGAGTTCAATAGGCGGAGCAGGCGTTGGTGCAGGATTCTATGCAGTGGTCTCGAGTCCGGCACAAATTGTCACTCAGCCAGAAGGAATAGAAGACAAGGCACATCATCTGAAGGACGGGAAGGGCTTCACGAATCCGTGGGACAGCTACGTCCCAACCAGCACTTTTCAGGTCTTCAAGACTTTGCTCTGGTCGGTACTCAATTTATTACCAAAACCCAGACTAAATAATTAATTTCATCAGGCGCAAGATCACTGGACAATCAAAATCTCCGGATGTTACGCCGCCTACGGTTCCCGTCCGCACTCCAGAGTTCTTTCCCACACGCGAGACGCCCAAACTACGTGCAACATGGCTCGGCCACGCGTGCTATCTTGTCGAATTCCCAAGCGGTTTCCGCGTGCTGTTCGACCCTGTCTTCGAGGATTGTTGCTCCCCAATACAAATGAAGTCGCTGAAACGCTTCACGCCTCCGCCGTGTGAGATTGAAGATATGCCCATCGTCGATGCCGTAGTCATAAGCCACAATCACTACGATCACCTAAGCTATCCCACTATTCTTCGCATCTCCAAGAAATTTCCAGACGCACATTTCTTCGCACCATTGGGCAACAAGATATGGTTCGAAAAGTGTGGTATCACCAACGTAACTGAACTAGACTGGTGGGAAAGCAGAGACGTCAAACTCGAATCGAAACCCAATACTGAAGGGAAAGCTGTCTCAGTGACTTCGCATGAAGATCAACCTACCTCGACGAACTCCATCGCAGCGACAATAGGCGCTCTGCCCTGCCAACACATTAGCGCCCGCACACCCTTCGATAAATGCAAAACCCTCTGGGCGAGCTGGAGCGTCGAATCTGGGGGCGTAAAAGTCTGGTTTGGCGGGTACTTTCATCCCCTCTCGATCCCTCTTCTTGCATACTAACCAATCCAATAGCGACACAGGCTATCGCACCGTCCCATCTCTCCCCCCATCCGCCGACGACTACTCCGAGGAATTCTCACATCTTCCCGTCTGCCCTGCCTTCGCGCAAATCGGCACACACCGCGGACCTTTTGATCTCGGGCTAATTCCCATTGGCGCGTATGAACCACGATGGATGTGGTCACCTGTTCATGCGGACCCGAAGGATGCGGTGAATATCTTTGTGGATACGAAGTGTAGGCACGCGTTAGGGATGCACTGGGGTACGTGGGTGTTGACGGAGGAGGATGTGCTTGAGCCGCCGAGGAAGTTGGGGGAGGCGTTGAGGTGGAAGGGCGTAGATGAGGGGAGGTTTAGGGTTTGTGATATTGGTGAGGGGAGGGAGTTTGAGAGCGGGGACGGGAGTGGGAGAAAGGATTAGGAACACAGTTTGGTGATGTTGAAGTGTGCTTTTAATGTTGAGGAGACCTAACACCTACGTCCTATTAGTTTCAACAACACCCGCATGTGATGTCATGTGTTGAGCTACGATACGTACAGAAGATGGAGCATATGCACTAATGGGCCTTATCAATGTCGAATTAAGGCCTATCTACGGCGAAGGAGCCCAAATGGCGTTCCGAAGGCTTCATGATGAAGTTCGTAGATCCGAAAATTGTATACAAGATATACGACTCACAGGCCCGCGAGACGACGAGACGCGCATTGAAGACACCAAGGGCGGACTACTACAAGAATCCTATCGCTGGATACTAGACCACAGAAGCTTCGAACAGTGGCAACACGACCCGCTGAGTCGCCTCTGGATCGAAGGTGATTCTGGGGAAGGCAAAACAATGCTGCTCTGTGGTTTAGTCAATGAGTTGGAGAAGACGTCGCATGGAGCTACTGTATCGTACTTCTGTCAGGCTGCAGACTCGCACATCAATAGTGCTACTGCTGTGCTAAGGGGGCTATTGCTCCTGCTGCTTTCACAACACCCATCGCTTATTCACCATGCTCGAGCAAAGTACGACCAAGCAGAGAGCAAAGGTCTGTTTGAGGACCCAAATGCATGGTATGTCCTTTCGGAGATTTTTTACAAGCGTACTACAGGATAGGGATCTGCCAACCACCTACCTGATCATTGACGCCCTGGACGAGTGTACCACCGACCTACCGAAGCTTCTTGAATTCATTATGAAGCAGTCCACGAAGCATACCTGCGTGCGATGGCTCGTATCTAGCCGCAATTTGCCACACATCGAGGAGAAGCTATATTTTGCAGATAGCAAAATGAGACTGAGCCTCGAAGTGAATGCGTTTTCAGTGGCAAATGCTGTTGCTATGTACATCCAATGGAAAATGTCTCTCTTGGCAAAACAGAAAGGGTATGATAAGAGAATGCGAGACGCGGTTCTTCAGCATCTAACAACAAACGCGAATGACACATTCCTGTAGGTGGCATTGGTCTTTCAAGACCTTGAAAGGACGTCGAAATGGAACGTACTGAACAAGATAGGCTCCTTTCCACCTGGACTGACTCCTCTCTATCGGCGAATGCTGCGACAGATAAGTGAATCAGATGACGACGAACTGTGCAAGTTGGTCTTAGCAACAGTCACGCTTGCTTACCGGCCACTCGCGCTAGAAGAAGTGGTGGCACTGAACAAGCAGCTACAAGACATCGGTGATGATACGGACCTAGTGCAACAGCTCATTAGCCGATGTGGCTCCCTCCTTACGATACAATCGGGTCTGTTTTACTTCGTTCATCAATCAGCTAAAGATTTCATCCTTGCCGAAGGTGTTCAAGAAGTGTTCCCTAGTGGAAAAGATCATGTTCACCGCATATTTCTGACACGTTCGATTGAGACCATGTCAAAAGACCTACTTCGAGACATCTACAGCTTGGCTGATTTGGGCTGTGGTATCGAAGAAGTGACGAAGCCCGACACAGATCCTTTAGTTGCATCGCGCTACTCATGCGTCTACTGGGTAGACCATTTATGTAACTCGAATCTTGAAACATTAGACAAGGACTCTGTCGATGCGTTTTTGAGAAACAAATACGTCTTCTGGTTAGAAGCCCTCAGCCTGGAGGTATCCATGATCAAGGGTGTAATCTCAATGGCAAAGTTACACTCTTTGTTCCAGGTGTGTTTGGATAGAGCAACTTTGGAGCAACGTCTGCTGACCAAGCTTGTCAGATACAAGACTCAAACACGTCGGCGATAAAAACAATGCATCACACTACCAAGAACTCGAAGTGGCGTACCGAGAACTCCAATGGACCGCTCTGTTGCTCGATTCAACTCAGCTTATTATCTGCTATCATGAGGGCACAGTCAAAATCTGGAACCTCAGCAGCCACATGTGCACGAAGACACTCAGGGTTAGAGACGGTAACCCATATCGTGTGGCCTTATCACAAGAATCAAATCAGCTTGCATGCGTATTTCTCGCACAAATGTCTCCGATACGGCTTGAAAAGAAAGCGAGTGTTGTTACTACATGGGATATGCGCAGAGATGTACGTTTACAAACACATTCCACCCAAGGAGATCTCTGGAACTTGTTTTACGATACCATGGGTACACACCTACAGACCGAATACGGTCCCATTGGCGCGACACCAGAACCCTTGCTCATGGATATCAGCCATGACGGAAATTGGATCACATATTCTGGAAAGAACGTTCTTCGAATCCCGGTGGAGCACCGCGCCCATAGATACCTATTCCCTACCACTACGTGCAAGCCTATTTGTGGAACTAAGTTGGCTATCTTGACCCAAGCGGGACATGTGTGGTTATGTGTCTACACTGGGCGGAGAAAGGAGTAAAAGCCTGGAATTCTGAGCTGTGCTTCAGCTTAGATTTCATAACACAGAATTACCGCTGTAGTAACAAGACGCTTCCATGTCTCTTTGGATGCCTGCCAACTTATCAGGAAGGACGCGGAAGTAAATATGAGGTCACCCCTCTCAGAACAATAACATGACAGCGACGTGCCATGTGTTACCGTGGAAGTGCGTACACGCTGACTCAACTCTACACCATCCAGGCTCGGGCCACCTTCAATAGCCCTTATCATATTCTCACTTACGCCTCAGCATTGCTAACATCAACGTCGACATCACGTCGGATCCCGTCATGCTCCCTGCACCTTCCAAAGTTCCGCCACCACACATCAACAAAGTAGAACAGACTGATACGTCCAAATAAGACGTCCCTAGCGAATCTTATGGCTATGTGTACATTTAGGCTTCTATAGGCACTTGTGATAAGTATACCCTCAAAGGCTATCAGCTCATGTTGTGTAAGTGCAGAGCAGGCACGAATTTTGCCACTGCCTGGTGGCATCGCGCCAAACGTTGTCTGTGGAGTACGTACTAATACACAGATCCCACAACTGTGCATGAGGCACAAACTGTTCAAGAGACGTGGACGGGGACCGGGCGTGCGAGGTTGGTATTGACGTGGAAGAGGGTTGTGTCCAACATGATCCCTCCCTCCCTCCGCACACCACATTGATAAGATAAACCCATAAAATTCTCGACCGACCAAGCTAGATGCACTTCCAAAGTTTACGCCCGACCTCACAAGCTAATAGTACATTGCCGCCCCCCTACGAAGCATTCCCCAAATCATGTTCCTTGATATACTCGGCCCCCTTCTCCATCCACTCCTGCCTACTCACAAAACTGCTCCTACTCTGCTTCGCACCCGCCCACTTCGCCGCGCCGCGCCACGCATCAAGCACGCAATCGCCCGCCCTGCGCACCTGTATAGTCTGCTCGGCGGGTAAGACGGCGCGCAACTCGGTGCGCAAGCGCTCCTCGAAGCCCTGGAACAGCGTGTTGCCGCCAGTCAGGAAAATATCCTTGAGCACGTTGTCGCGCGCAGGGGAGTCGCCTAGGCGCTCAGTCAGGATGTTTGCGGCGATTTCAACGATGCCGGCTTGGTCGAGGCCGGCGATGGTGGGCTGGAAGACGACTTCGGGGACGCGGATGCGCTCGACGTTGAGGTGGATTTGGTTGACTTCTTTCTGGGACTCCTGGTCGTACGGGTAGGGGCCGTGGAGGAAGGCATGGAGGATGGATTTGGTCCAGTCGGTTTGGGCTTCGCGGGTCGAGTCTTCAGTGAAGTTGGGGTCGTGCTTAAGGAGTTGACTTTCGATGTCTTTTAGGTTTTTATTCAAATCCTCCTCTTCTTCGTCGTCGGAGCCTTCGCCGGTGGCGATGGTGCGGTAGACACCCCAGTCGGCGTCATCGGCACCAAATGTGTCGTCGTCTCCTCCGCCACGTCGTCGCTTCTTGGTGGGTTGGTCAGATGCGAGGTTGGCGATAGATTTCATGCGCATTTGGTTGGCGAGGGATTTGCGGTTCCCGAGTTCGGCCTTCATGCGCTCGCGGTCCTTCATCTTTTGGACAATGGCTTGTCTTGCTATCCTCCTCTCCTCAATCCATGTTTCCGGGTCAGCTTCGCGGCGCTCGTCGTCGAGGCGCTGTTCTTCTGCTTGGCGTGCCTTCTCCTTCTCCTTTTCGATTTTCGCGCGCTGGCGGGCGTCGTAATTGGACTTCATGAGACGCTGCTGGCGCTTCTGTTTAATACCCTCCTCGTCAAGCTGATCGTCAGGGACTTCGAGAAGTGGGAAAGTGGGCTCCTCCTGTGCCTCTTCCTCGACATCACCAACATCCTTGACACGTGCCTTCTTGATGCCCTTTTCCAGCTCCTTGACTCGCTTGTCGAGCTGGTTCTCGTCATCAAAGTCATTTGACTCTAGCACACGCGCCTTCTCTTTCTTTGTGGGGATTTCCGCCAGTTGTGCCTGTAGTTGTATGTAGTACTCCAGCTCCTCTTCCTTCTTCTTCAGCTTCTCCAATCGCATCTTCGCCGCCTGTGCTTGTAATCTCCGGCCGCCCTCCTTGCGCTTCTCTGCCGCGGCCGCAAGCTCAGCCTCTGTTTTCTGTACCACAACCTGCTCCGTGTAGGGAAACTGAACAACGTGATTCCGATCCTCGAGACCAGTCCAGTCCAGGTAGCTGCTGATTTCCGATTCATAGTCCTTTGAGACATAGCAATGCTCTCGAACCAGATCCTCTGCTTGTACGTCGCTGATTTTGCCTGGGAACGTCGGGTACTTCAGCTTGAGCAACTTCAGAAGGTATTGGGCGGACTGGAAGCGTCCCCAGTTGAGGCGTGTGGCTTGTGATAGGAGCGGTTTCGAGTTGACGACGGGTATGACGTGTGTTGATGTGTATGAGGAGTCCATAACGAGGCCGGTGCTGCCGCCATTGTATGAGTAGGAGAAGAGGGAGTCGACGCCGTATGCGACTGAAGGTGCGCCGTAGCATTCGAAGAGGATTTCGGACATGGCTGTCGCATCAATTAGCAAGGATTTCGCAGGAAACAGATTTTCAGTCATGCAAAGGGACATACTCTTTCTTGCGTAGCCCAAGTTCGCTATGGGCTCTGTCATGACAATTGGCCTGTCTATGCGCCCTGATCGCCCGTCCACGCCCAGCTTGAGGAAGCAGTAATCTAGCACACCCTCCATTGCGTCCCAGTTGTTGATGATGTTGCTTCCTGGCTCGTAAATGGGCTTTGACTGTCCTCGCGCCGTGCCGTCCGAGTAGACATCAGCTCCAACGAAGGTAAAGGTCCGGTTGAGTTTGCGGTCCCTGTATCGCGCCATATTCGGCAGTACTGAGAGTCGAGGTTTTGTGTCAAAGGACCATCCTGCGCGTACTGCTGATGAGCCTGGTAATGTATGTTAGTTATGCTTCGTTATGTTTCAAGGGCTGCGCATTACCATTGTCGATTACTATGGCGGTCTCCTGATTGCTGCGCGACCAGCCCTCAGTATCTATTGGCCTGTAGCCTTCGAAGGGTGGCTCGTTGACGGTCCAGAGCTTCGTTGGCGCTGGTTTGGGCGAGTTGCGCCCTGAAGGCTGCGGCGCATCGTTGGTTGCAGAGGGCGCCATGGTGTTGCGGATGGGAAACGTGGAGGAGCTGCAATGGGAAGTTTAGGTCATGTTGCGAGGATGGGAAGTGGCGCGTTTGGCTCGTTAGCGCGTGTACTGCTGGAGATGCGCGGCATGGTGATTGCTCGTGAGGTTGTCGCAGCATGCCCGTGCACCAATCCGCGTATACATGACCAGGTTCGAGAAGCGCATTCTACATGTATTTCGGCGAGTTTGTAATCATTTGTTCATTTCTCTGGATATCTCATGCAAGCCAGCGCGGTGTCTCTTTCTATAATCACGTCTCACGCAATTATAGCGAGGATATCAACACATCCGACCAGTTCCCACCACTACCATAACACCACGTTCCTTGCTATGACTACGCCGGGTCCTTCAGGCCGTTCGTCGCTAGTCAGTGTTAGGCGTGCCTCCAGCGATACTTCGCAAAGAGGAACATACCTTCGAGGTGGAAGAGAACGTTGGATTGGTAGTTCTTGAACATCTGCGCAACGAGCTCTGTGTCCATATTCTGGATGTTGATCTCCTGCAAATTCTTGTTCAACATCATGATTGCCTCGTTCAGTTTCTCCTGCAATGGAATCAGCTTGTCGTACATGTGAATGTCCTTGGGAGACTGACAACATTGACAATGATACGAGACAATAGCTGGCTTTGTTGATGCTCGTGAGGACTCTCCTACACATATCATCATTAGCGCTACGTGTCAAATCATCTCAGAGACACATCTAATATACCATCTTTGCGAATTTCGGTGGGTTGATTGTTTGTGAGACGCGCTTGGGTGGTTGCGGGGAGGATCAATGCGGTTAGTAGAGGCACGATTTGGTGAGCGATGATCCCGGCCAGAGAGCTCTCCATCACAAGCTCCATCTCTCATGCACATCCGCGACTTCGCGCGATATTCTACCAAGCAAAGGGTTTAGGGCTCAACGTATCAACCAGCACCCTCGAATCATCGCACACTATCGTCATGGCGCCTCTTACTGCCGCGTCCGACGAGAAGACGCATCAAGCGCTCCTCGACAAGCTTGACATACACGCGACTCCAAAGCCCTTCCGCAACCCAAACTGGAAGCCACCGCAGCGCCGCAACAAAAACTTGAAGCAGATCCTTGGCGAAGCCTCGCGAAAAGAGGCCTCGGTCATGGCGACACAGAACAACAGCGGCCAGTCAACACCAGCTGTGCCTTACTCAGAGGGCAACGGAACGCCTGCCGGAAACGTGGGCCGACCGCCGAACATTGCACAAGCAGCTCAGAGCCTGAGTACTTTGGTGCTGGAGAAGAATGGCAGGGCAGCGGCAGGAGGCAATGCGACAGGACCAGCACCGACCTACACGAACATCGAATCGGCACCGAGCTTCCACCCAAGCAGCCAGAAGAAGTACTGCGACATCACTGGGCTGCCAGCACCCTACACAGACCCGAAGACGCGATTGCGCTATCACAACAAGGAGTTATACGGCACCATCAGGACGATGCCGCAGAACGTGTACGAGGCATATCTGGCTGCGAGAGGAGCTCACACCATCTTGAAATGAGCGCATACTGGGAACTACAGTCTCGGTGGGCATGTTCGTTGTGAAGCCACGGACATATTCGTCGCAGCTGGAGTGACGGTACTGCGCCGTCATGGCTTCCTCCTATCGATGCCGAACACAGCGTCCTAGAATCAGCCAGAATACATCACAAGCTCGCATCAGTCTTCTAGCTCGGTCAGGGGTGGCAGTCAATCGAACAGCAAACGGCGACATTTCGTTCGGAAACAGCATGTGGGACAGAGCCGATGATGCAACACCCGCCTGCCCACTTGAAGCAGCACGCAACTGCGTTATGTTATGTATGACCATCAAAGTCAAGCTCCGTCCACCCACCATGCACCTTTCGATGCATGGCTCAAAGAGGCGCTCCGGCTTAATCGTGATCCTGTATTGCTCTTGCCCGGTGACAGATACCAGGACCTCGCGGGAGGATTCCTAGTTACAGCAGCATGGAAGCGTGCGGTTGTCGGGGCATTCTATATTTCCACTGTGTAGTAGCAAGCCGTGGCGAAAAGAAGTTATTTTATAGTTCATTGCATTACTTCTTCCTTTCCACTGTGCGGGGCCAGCAGACTTCAGTCGCGTGATGCTGAAGGTGGGAGAGAGCTGGAGCGAAGCTCAAAATCTGCGAACACCCGCAGGACCCACGCTAGTTCGTGCAGGGGTGTGCGCCCGCCGATCCACTCAACGCGCCGCGTCCTCCGCAAAGGGCCACGACGACACAAATGTTCAGCGACCACACTTCACCATTCTGCATGCCAGATATACTCTGAAACTAGGCAGCAGTCGCTATATCCCTCTCAAGTACCTCTGCAGAATCTTCAACCCACGTAACTTAACCACCCCACAACCTTCAAGATGCCTACAATGTGGCTTTCAGATACCCAAAGTCCGTATACCAACTCTCCAAACGATGAGACATAACCGCTAACTGTGAATAGAGATTGGGGTCGCCTTCTGCTCCGGGGGTAGGTACGCTTCCCTCCCAACTCACATGCCATGCACGCGACACCCAATTGACTCAAACCACCAGGCGGACTCTTTCTCATGGGCGGCGTCATGATGTTTTTTGATCGAGCAATGTAAATACCTCCCTTCCATCTTCAAAACTCTCACTAACACATTCCCAGGCTAGCAATGGGCAACGTACGCCCTCCCCTCCCCCATCCTTCACCCCTCACTCACGCCTCACAGATCCTCTTCCTAATCGGCCTGACCCTCATAATCGGCACAACCAAGACGATGGCCTTCTTCGCGCGCAAACAGAAATGGAAAGGCACGCTGGCGTTTTGCATCGGCATTACGCTGATCCTGATGCGCTGGGCGTTCTTCGGCTTCATCATTGAGTTGTACGGCATATTGGTGCTGTTTGGAGACTTCTTCGCGACGATTGCAGGATTCGTGGGGGGCATACCAGTTGTGGGGCCGTGGATTGCGAAGGGATTGAATGCGCTTGGGGGCGCGGCGAGGAGTCAGGAGAGTAATGTGTAAGAGGGGGATGGATGGGGAAAAGAAGGCGTTTGGGAAAGAGCGAGGGATGGGGGAAGGATGGGACATGTATGATATGATGCATGAGTAAAAAGGGCGTATTGGCTTGGGGTCCATATATCAGCGGGCTTTGGGTTTCACGAGCCTTTTGTACATTCAAACAACATTTCTTAAACCGAATATTTACAACTGTCTCTAGGCATTGTAGCGATGCAGTGATTAGCTGCCGTTGTTCGCTACTTCACCGTATACGGCCCTGTCCAAGAAAGAAGCCACCTACTGAACATCGGTAAACGTCAATAATTCCGCCCGACTCGAGCAGCTTCCATCAGTACCCCAGCAAGGACCGTCTTTAGCAATTTGTTTTGACAGGTTGTTGAATATTGCGAGATATAACGTAGTGCAACGGTCCCTTTCAAGCCCTACAAAACCTCTGTGTTGACATCGACATCGTCGGCATGTTCATCCTCATCGCTGAGCTGCGATTTATTCCTCCTCCCCCCTAGGCCTATGATCCGAAAATGGGACTCGCCTGTGATCATCGGCATGCTTGTCGCTGGACTCATTCTCCTCTTCTTCTTCATCGTATGAGAGAGATTCTTCGCGCCAGTGACGTTCATCCTGTACGAGCTGCTGCTCGATCGCATCGTGTTTCTCGCTGGTATCCTAGTCGTTTGTGTGTATTTCAACGACGCGAAATGGTCGTTTGTACTTCGATTCCATGCTGGAAGTCTGAAACACGACATATCCAGCATTAATAGTGCAATGACCAATATCTTTGGGCCTTGTCGCTGTCGGTCCTGCGATACGCATCATGCGCTGATTCACATGAGTTTTGTTGTGTTTCGCTGCATCGCTCAACACTACGATCTCGGATCACGTCTTTTCCATAGCTCCAGCCAGAGTCTTCCCGCTCTTCCGATCAAGCATGTCCATCAACCACTTTGCCTCCGCAGAATCATCGCCCTGCAAGATCATACGCGCGCTTTCAACTGCCCAGTGAACGTACAGGGGAAGCGTGCAGTTCTTTCTGCCACTTTCCGTATTGAAAGGCCCGGGGATGATTCGGCATACGTCCAATGACAGTGGAGTGTGCTGCTTTGATGTAGACAGTCTGCGATTCTTCTTGCTGGGGGTCTGTGGGTAGTGACGTGAGAACCTTGAGGAGGTATAGCAAAGCTATTGTTGTACAGCATCAGAGTGAGGGCGGACTTGATGTTGGAGAATTGGAGGTCTGTTGGCGAAGGAGGTACTGAGGTATCCTCAGGCTGTCCATGCGGCTGCACTGAACTCGAGGATATTTCGACATAAGCATTTGTAGGGTCAACAGCCCACTCCGCTCTCCAGGCTCGAAGCTGATCGCCCAAATGAAGAGCATCGCGTTGGACCTCGTCAAAGTCACTCGTTACGCCATCACCGCTCGTTCTCTTCTTCAGCAGAGCATCACGCTTAGATGCTAAAACCGAACAATCCGCCAGAAAATCGTAGAGCTGCTGCTCCTGCTCCTCTTTGTCGTTTGCACAATGCCGATGGAACATTTCTTTCCAATCAGGCCTGGCCAGAATCGATGGTGTCCCACCGATAAGCGATGCGAAAAGAAGCATATGGCGCAGACACTTATAAAGGCTGACCGTCGAGGGTGGGCTGTACAAGTCTGGGTCTCGAAGCGCTAAGAGCTTCTCCAAGCCCTGCATATGCTTCATGAAGAGATTCGCACCCGAAGGCACAAGCGTTTCTTGGATGGCCAATGTCATTACTGATTGTATGATCTCGTCATACCTATAACAATGCGGCTCGGTCAGTGCTCGATTCAGTTGTTGCAGTGTCGCGCCATGTTGAATATATCCTCTCTGGGTAATTTCTGGCTGTTTGTGCTTCGTGCCGAAGAATATCGTTGCAAAACTTTGTACGGTTCGAAGATGTGCAGTTCGGCAGGCAGTTGCGCTATTTGTCTCGAGGAGTGGAAGATCTTTTGACTGCAGTTCTTGCAAGGTAATATCGACTGGACCACCTTGTGCCAGATGAGATCGTGTAAACATTATGCAAATTTCTTGAGGGTCTCCGAGCATTCTGATAGGCGGGGTCATTGACCGAACACTTACTGATGCCTCTGAACTTGCTATGCTCGGGGTCGGTGAGGGCAGTCCCTGCGCCTGCTTAGGTCTTCTCCTCGAAGCAACAATGGTGGCATCGACAAAAGTGAAGTCTTTTGGTCCATCGCACTTTAGACCGGCTTTTTGACAGCGCACGCAGGTCGGACGGTTTTCATCTTGACAAGAGTCAGGTGTCCATGTCAAACGCCGGAGATGAAGGTAACATACCACACTTTATCCTCCTTCGGCGACACCCCGAGCACCCCTTGGATCTGCCACCAATATTGACCATTGTAACGGGCTGTATGGATGCGTCTCCCTGACTTGCATGCAACCGTTCAGGCAGTGTCGTCGGGTAGTTATAAGGCGTTCCACTTAGCGTCGTTCCTGGAAAGTGTAATTTTGGTGTCCCGCTATACCCTTTGCGGCTCATTGCGCGAGTTCTAACACTACGATGCTCACGAGTCGAAAGAGTCGCTCCGACGGACAAAATGTGTGCCCGAATTGCAGGCATAGCTTGACACGAAAGAGAAATTGCCTGGAAACCATGCAAAACGTAGGGTCAAAGCCAGCACCGGCGTGGTCAGGGCCTGGGGTGTCAGATGCATACATTTACATATAAAGTCGCAGTAATTCCCCTCTCGCTGTATATCTCCCTCTCGATACTACTAAGCACAGTTCCTTCCTTCAAAGACTCTCAATAATTGCAGTTTCACACCCTTCACGCCCAACATCCAGTATAATTCACCATGACCATCACAGCCAACATCGAAATTGCTTGCCCACCCGAGTTCGTCCGAGCAAAGGTGTGCACATTCACCCTATCAAACTCCAAGTCCTACCACTAAACCCCCCTCGCAGTTCCTCGAATTCCCCTCCATCCCAACTTACCACACCACCTTCTTCACCAGCATAACACCCCAAGGCCCTCTCGAATCCCAACAAAAAATTACCGTCGTCTTCGTCGGCATGGGCAAAATGGACGCCACAATTCTCGCCAACGAACCACAGCTCTTCAAATGGGCCGGCAGCATCCCACTCCTCTTCGGCGGCGACCACAGTTTCCACTTCACGCCCAGCACGACAACGCCAGGTGGGACGACCTTTACGCAGGACGAGAGTTTCTACGGCGCGTTGGGGTTCCTTATGGGCGATGGGTTTATCGCGCGGAGGATGGGCATGGGGGAGAAGACGGCGAGGAATTGGGAGGGTTTCAATAAGGACTTTAAAGCGTGGTGTGAAAAGAGTGGTTGAGCTGGAATAAGAACTGTTATTTAGATCGGCGTTAAGAAATTGCGCGACATAGAATCTATCACGTTGATGTTCCAGTGAGTTTGTAAGATATCAAAGATTTGCATTGCAACGAGAAAAGGGAACACTGATGCTAAGAAACCCATGACGAAGCACAAGATATAGTGCCTTAATCCCCTACTCCAAATCCCGATCTGATCCGATTCCCCATGAACTAATATCGCCATATTCCTGTTCCCAATGCAATAATCCAGATGTATACTCTAGTCGAGAAAAGAACAATGTAAAGGTGCGCCTTCCCAATGAGCTCTGACCCCGGATTCGATAATGCAGCACACCTAAATTTCGCCGTCCCTTGGTCGTGTTTCATGTCGCTCGTAAACAAATTCGTGTGTAGGGGGTTGGAATTTAAATGACAGCAATCAACAACCCCTTCTATGCTGATTTTGGATGCTGCTCGACAAGCCACTCCATTACACTCTCGTAGCAAAGCACAAATTGCCGGAGGCTTTGTACCATGCTCAAACGCTGAACCCGGAAGTCTTCTACTGTCTTCGCAATCAGGTCGACTTGATCGTCTCCAACCCAACTGCCGTTCTCGCGGATGTCTTTGGTATTTGTCTTAGTGCCACCGTCGATGTCCATGGGCGTGCTCTGCCTGGTATGTCTCGCCTGTCGTTGTCGCTTGAGCATGTCTAGAACGGAGTCCACTGTGCAGAAAGTACCTGTTCGGCCGCAGCCAGCAGAACAATGAACCACCACGGGTCGACTGTTTGGGGATTCTGGCTTGGTTGGGGAGCTGCCGTTGTAGTGTCGGACGACAGCATCGCATTGCTCAATCAATCCAAGAAGATGAGTCGGGTGGGCTGGGGCACCGAAGTCGGGCCAGTTGGAATATTGTAGCTGAGTGATCTCACGCATGCGCTCAAATGGCTCCTCGTCGTTGGAGAGCGTGAATCGTCGTACAATCACATATGGCTGGTCAGAGGTAGGCGAAATGTTCGAAGGTTCTTTCTTGAAGTCCGATGCACGGACAGGGTTCGTGGACCGACGTTGACCCATAGCTGGCCGTGGCTGTTGACGGTGGCTGCGTATCTTGGCAGGTTCCAACGACGCCTTGTGCTCGCCAAGAGGGTTTAGGTGAAGGTGGCCGTAATGCTTGTCGGACCAGTAGTTATGTGCCTTAATCTGGCCACCCTCTTGCTCTGCAGTCAGCATAACGATGACGCGGACATCTTGCTGCCACACGACTTTCCAGAAATCCTATGGCATGTTAGCAAGTTTGAAGCGTGGTTTGGTGTGCACACTCGTACCTTGAAGGTCGCTGGAATAGGCCCCTGCGTGGCGATGTAGCGCTTGTTCGAGTATGCAGCTTGGACATGATTGGCGTTGACATAGTCGCAACTTCCCTCGTCGACTCCCTGTATCTTGACTCGAGAGTGCTCGTAGGGCCAGATGTTGTTGTAACGGTTCTTGGAACCCTTCTCGATACCCGCGATCTGGATCTGCTTTGAGGCACCAAGCCCCGTCGGAGTACCGTAAACGACTTTGCCAGAGAGAGCCTCCTGCATACGCTTCTGTTCACGCTTTTCTATCTGCAGAAATCTTTCTGAAACAGTCTTTCCGTTGTCCTTGTCTTCCGACGCCTTCTGAAGCCAAGCTGGGAGCTCCTCTTCAACAGACTGAGTCATACCTTCAGGATGCTTGACAGGCATTTGGCCAACACCGCCGATGAGGTCCATGTTTTGACGGATGTTGCCAAAAAAGGGATTGGCTGCATTCTGAGTAACTGGCATAGGGCATCCACCAATAACGGGTGCTACTGCAGGGAGACCGGAATCGATTTGTAGAGAGGCAGTTGCGGATGTCATAGGACTGCTCGAGGCCTGATGGGTAATCCAAGCTGGAAATCGTTCTGCAAACTCTTGGAAGCCGCCACGGATGATGTAAGTGCCACCTGTCCAGCCTTCTGACGTGAACTTCTTGAGTGTATTGATGCAGGTGGCAGCATCTTTCATTTGCGAGGAGCTGGAGTCATATACTATGATGTGTTTGCTTCTCCTCCACCGCTCAAACTTTTCTCGCGACTCCACATCCTTGAAGGTCTCGGCCAGTTTCTGAACGTTGAAAGAAGTCCGTTTCAGTAGTGTTGTGGGTATGCACAGGCTGAGGGCACCAGCTATGCGAGCCCTTGCATACTGGGTGGAGACGCGAAGGTCAAGCAGGAGGACCTCTTCCACGCACGACTCGAGTATGTTGACAATGTGCTGAGCAGTCGCCATGTGCGGCCCCTCAGTCTCATCGTCCTCCTTGATGTTTGCTGGAAGCGTCTCCGCACGATGCTTGGATATGGACGTGTGCTGAGAGGTCTTGGGAGGCAACGATGCCCGTGAGCTGCGGTCTTCGGCGAACTCTGCGATGGCGTCAGTGCGACCAAAGCCCTCGAAGCTGGCTGGTGAGTTTCTCCTTGGGCGGTCCGGGAACATTGAGGATTCGGAGGACAGCATGCGCTTTGGCGACCGAGGCTTGGGCGGATGCTCGTCGTCATGGTTTCCGTCATTGCCCTGCTTCGCACTGGTGGAAGCACCAGGTGGCGGCATGGCCTTTGGCGAGACGGGCGACATGACGGTGCCAAAATACGAGTCGCCCTGGGACGGCACTGCGGCCGGCGTGAAGTTGAAGTTGCCCAGTGCGAAGCCCTTGTTGTTCTCTGTCTGCTTCCTGAATTGCTCGAATTCGGGATTCTGCTCGACAGGTATTATGCGAGGCGACGCAGCTGCCGTGGAGCGCACATTGGACGTCGGGGGGCTCCAGTTGCCGCGAATGTGCTGTGCAGCGCTGGACGAGAAGTGGTCGCTGTTCGCGTTAACGGCCAGCTGGAAGTAGTTGGGCGAGGGCGTGCCCGGCTCCTTCTTGGAGATGTGGACATGGCTGGGAGTCTTCGCTATGCCGTTCATGCGGGGCGTGAGGGGCGGAGGAGCGGCCGTTGGATGTAACGAGGCACTTGGCCTAGTCATTGGTTGTGTCGATCGGGGGCGGGCGCTGGAGAGGTGCGATGAAGAGGAACCGCGCGGTCGAGGAGAGAGCGCAGGAGTAGACATTGCCGCAGAGGCACCACCGCGTCAGATAATGAAGCGTGGGCCTAGTGAGGGAGCGGGTAAAATTGTAGGGTATAGGTGCATGAAAAATGGAGACGGGCGTGGCGTGCGTTTCTGAATCGTCGAGAGAGCGGTTGGTGCGTGTGAAAGACGGGCGCTCAGCGTTACGGCGCTGGAAGGGGACACTGACGTCACAGGAGGAGGCTGAAGGCGATTTCCCGATGGGTCTGACACGTTCGCACGCGACCGTCTGGGGCCTCGCAATACTCCGCAGATTCCTGGGGAGAAGCGCCGAATATTCCTCACACCAAGGCGCAGTGCTGCCGAATCTTGAATACCTTCAGGCTGTGCAGCTTCGTTTCGTGCCGCGGGCGAGCGAAGCGCAAATGTCGTAATGCGGGACGTTCGCTAGCAGAACGACGCAGGGACCGTGAACACCAAGAGCAGGATGCCCTGGATTGAATCCGGCCTTCTCGTCTCGTGACTAGAGACCAGAATAGTTTAGGCAGCGGAACGGTCAGCGGAAACGTAGGCCCAGAAGTGCAGGGCGGAGTGTATATGGCGATGCCAAAGATCGAGAGGCGGATCGGGAGCAATAAGTAAGATCGAGGGCAGAGGGGCCCTAGCAATTGCGACTACACACCGCAACGCTCCGCTTCCAGGGCAGGGTAGCGGTATTGGGGAGGCACGCCGGGATCTAGGCCTGCACATCAACGTGCTGAAGGCAATCCCGTGTCCGTCAGCTTGTCCGGCCTAGCCACCAGCCGCCGCCTGCTGCTCCATTGCGACATCACAGCTTTAGCCGCACACCTTCAGCACAAGGATGGCTTGAAACATGCCATTTGTCTCGACAATGGAGTAACATTGGCTGTCAGGTGCTATCCCGATGAGTCGTCTGGAACAGCTGATCGAAGCAGCGGCAATACCAAACCTGCTGTCGAAAGCGAGGCGTCATGACTGAAACCCACCGGCCCACTCGTCCACACATGCTGGACCCTGAATTGATCGACAACGCATTGCCCCCAAAGACACCACTGGTTCGAGAACGGCAAGTGTCAAATCTCGAGCAGAAGAAGTGTGTCGCTGTCGTACACGCAGCTGAATCTAGTACAATAGGCGTGCTCATGTCCCAGGGTAAGCCATGTGTTCCAGTCCTTCGCGTGGTGGGCTTCTAGAAGACGTGTTCAGCCAATACTTTCGGGTGCTGACCGCTTTGTCGTCATTACGGATACGGCAGCGGTCGCCAATGGCCCGTTTCGCCGTCTTCGCTTTCGACACGATACACAAGTGCGCGGATCTTAGTATTTCTCGGAACGATAGTACCCGTGGATCGTTGCAGATTTATAGGCAGACGACAAATGTTGATCTCTATGCGTACCACCTATGCCTTCAAGGTGCAGATACAGCAAGAGGTAGGTGTATCCTCCGAGGACAAAAGCAAAGTCGCAGGGTGTTCTGCAACACGTGCTGCATAGGCCCGAATGGCACCGTCGGTCGGTCTATAGCACGAGACCTCGAGGAGGATTGGGAGGATCCTGGTTCCGCCTCACAAAGCCTGGCTTCAATCGTGACATCTTCGATAGCTCGTTTGTTGCAGGGGCGTTGCCAATTGTGCCGCCAAACCAACGCACCGCGGAAAGTGTATTTGGCGATCGGCGTTCCAGTCCTGAGTAGCGTCAGTAGCCACATGCTAGAGCAACGTTAGACGCTGCTTAAGAGCCGTTGGAACCGTCTAGCAGACCCTGAGGCTGTCCCCGCTCGTCTTGATTTGTACGTCGAGAGGTTTTGTGCTGGATGGCGGAGAAAAGGCGCCAATCTACCTATGCGAGCCACCAAAGAGTCAACGGTGCCAGCTTTGCGCGAACATGCAATGTCGAAATCCATGAAGACATTACTCGTCCTACAAGGTCAGGGTCAGCGTTCGAGAACATAGTTCAGCCGAGCTATTCCTGTACCTGATCAAAACGTCACTACGGCTTCAAAAGCCGGACCTCTCACGGGTAGCGAAATATGTATCACGTGCATACGCGCACTCGCGTTTCATGCGAGAAGTTCCCCGCGTCTGATCATTGACGCGCGATCTCGCATCAACACCATCCTGCCTTGCGACTCAGACCTATAGGAGAATATGTCTCGCGACGACTCGCCACTTGTACGCGATGTATCTCCAGATGAGGGCTACACATACATGCATCGCGCCTTCTTCCAGGCTTTTCTTACCCACAGCGTCATGACCGTCGAAGAGATCAAGCCAGTCCTAGCACACGTAATGACCGCCCACAGTAAGTCCAGCATAGATTTTGAAGCGCAATCCACATTCGACAACTAACCCCCCATCAGATCCCGAGCGCCCATGGACCGCCGGCGACGTAACCCAACCGCACCTCACCTCAACCATCCAAACGATAAACGCCCGAATTGAACACTACGACTTCGAAATCCGCAGCATGAAAGACCAACACACCAAACTCACCGTCTACGCGCTCGTCAACAAAACCTCAGACTCCCTCACACAACTCGCTACAAAATTCTCCGCCTCCGAAATCGCATACATCCGCCGTCTGCTCGACTACATGTTCGAAACCAACAACACACACACGCGCGAGGTCATGGCTATCAAACACACGGAAGCTAGTCAATTAGCTCGCATCAGGCGCGCGCGGCAAAGCCAGGTCAACGGCGAGGAGGCCGAGAGTCAAGCGCAGGATGCAGGCATATCGATCCAAGAAGCCGACGAAGTCCTCATCACGCTGCAGAACGAGGGCTTCTTCCAGAAATCGCCTGCATCGTATTACTCCCTCGCACCCCGCGCGCTGATGGAGCTACGCGCCTATCTCAAGGAAACATACAACGAGCCCGCGTCATCGCCGGCGGCAGACGACGCTGTCATACGTATACGCGACTGTGAGGGGTGTAGGGAAATTGTCACGCATGGCGTGCGGTGTAATGACAAAGACTGCGGTGTGAGGTGGCATGATGCGTGTGCGAATAGTTATTATCGGAATAGAAAGGGCGGGAATAGGAAGTGTCCGAAGTGTGGGACGGAGTGTTCGGGGGATGTGTATGTTGGCGAGAGGGCGGATAAGGTTGTGGCGAGGAGTAGTACGGGAGCGAGGAGGAGTGCGATGCATGAGGAGGCAGAGGAAGAGGAGGAAGAGGAGTGAGCTTTTCCGAAGGAACGATGATTCCGCCAGCGCCGCAGCGCGATCTCGACGCAAGCGGCAAGCGGGACCGCTTCGATGATTCACAATTCACTAAACCCAGGTGCGAGCGATCGATTCAACGAAGAAGCACAGTCATATCATTGGTGTTCGTGCGTTTACCCCGAGCCTCTAAATGCAAATCCACCTTTTACGCCCAGTCCAACCTGAGCCGCCATTACCCTATGGTCATACATACAAATTTCCCATCACGACAGAAACATATTCTTTGGCACACTCTATTACGCTCCGTTGGTCTGCTTGGTAGCCTTTGATCGGCGCTCCGCAACAGCGGCAGAGAGATCCTCAAGCACGGTGACGGTGCTCTCCCAGTCGATGCAAGCGTCGGTGATGGAGACACCCTTCTTGAGTCCGCTGGGGCCCTCGGCGGGGACCTTCTGGTTGCCCTCGTGGATGTTGGACTCAATCATGACGGCGACAATGCCAGTCTCTCCCTCGCGGATTTGGTCGGCGATGACCTTGGCGACCTTGGGCTGATTGCGGTGGTCCTTGTTGGAGTTGCCTGTTAACTGTTAGGGATCTGATTGCCGATGATGTGCAAGAACGACCTACCGTGAGAGCAGTCGACCATGAGGACCTCAGGAAGACCCTTCTTCCTCAGAGCTTCCCGCGCGCCCTTGATGCTTTCGGAATCGAAGTTAGTACCACGGGATCCACCACGGAGGATGACGAAGCAGTGTTCGTTGCCGCTCGTTCTTGTGATGGCAGCCAGACCCTGCTTGGTCACACCCATGAAGTGGTGTTTAGCCTTTGCAGCGCCAATGGCATCGACTGCGACGGTCAGACCTCCATCAGTGCCGTTTTTGAAGCCGATGGGGAAAGAGAGACCAGAAGCAAGCTCGCGGTGCAACTGAGACTCAGTTGTTCGTGCCCCGATTGCACCTAGAGAGATGAGGTCTGCGAGGAATTGAGGGGAGATAGTGTCAAGCATCTCAGAGGCAATGGGCATGCCTTGCGATGTAAGATCAATGTAGAGCTTGCGCGAGACGCGAAGACCCTTGTTGATCTTGTAGCTCTCGTCGATATCTGGGTCGTTGATCAGGCCTTTCCAGCCAACAGTTGTGCGGGGCTTCTCGAGGTAGGCGCGCATGATGATGCATATGTTGTCTTGGAGCTTGTCGGCGAGCTCCTTGAGGCGCTTGCAGTACTCAATGGCCGTCTCAGGGTCGTGGATGGAGCAAGGTCCGACCATGACGAGGAGACGGTCATCTTCCTGTGTGATGATCTTTACGGCGTCTTTGCGCCCTTGGACGACTGTCTGCTCGGCATGTGCGGGGATAGGCAGCTCGTCTGACAGTAACGCCGGGGGGATCAGAGGATCGTAGCCGAGGACTGGTATACTGAATCAGTATTGAAACTTGGACTGAGAGCCATATGCCTAACTTACCGCGTACGTCATCGACGTTTTTTGGCTCGTCGAAGGAAGGCATGTTGTTTGTAGATTGCTCCGCAGACATGTGGTGGTGGGGCAAGTCTTTATAATGCGCGAAACAGTCAGCTCATGCGCTTGGTGTTGAATAGCGGCAAGGATGTGCCCTTTGTTAATATGCAGATATTAGCTTGCACTCACCTATCGGTTAAGCGAATGAGCGAATGTGCGGTGTGTATTCCTTGTGCAGCACACCACGCAAAGATGTAATCAACGTGGACTGGGCTGAGGTGAGATGTTCTGCAAAGTCTTCCGAGTTCGGCCGCTCCAAAGAGAGTGCAGAGCTGGACCGGATTAAGTCGCGCCCTAGGTGTCGTTCCCGCAGAGTCACATACCAAACTTTTTTTAAGAGGGTCTAGAGGCGGGGCTCGAGGCTATCGATAGTGTGATGCTTGCTAAGCTCTAGCTGGTCTGACATTGGCCATGCTGCAGTTGGCCTATCTCGCAGCCATCTCAGCCATGTCGACGTCTTCCTGGCTGCGCCAACATGTTGGATGTGGGGGAGCGAGTATGCTCGTCGAGAGCCTATGCAGGCTGCTCGGTGGTAATATTAAACCCTAGGAATCCCGACCGGCCAGCAGAGAAACCAAGGTGAAGCCATACCTGGGCTTTTGTGACCCAAGGCATCAGTGCGCAACCGAGTTTCGACGCGATCCAGGTACGCGCATTCCCGATACCCGCAGGTGCAGGTGGAAAGGAAGTTTCCGACGCACATAGGTACAGTCCTGAATCGTGGCAGGTGGGTGACGGGACTTGGCGTTCATCAGCCACAGCCCGAGCCAGCCCAGGACATTCCATCGCAGCGTCATTGCTCGTGCACCACCTCCGAGGCGCAAGCTCACAGCCTGCGCCCCTCCAACTTCGCACCAACGGGGGAAACGATCGCTATAGGATCGCCTCCGAACAAGCAAAGGCGCGCGACTGCGCCAGGCAAGCGGTGAAATCCACTTCATGCGCACCTCGGGCACCTGAAACGTGCCTTCCCGCTCCCCTGACCTTTGGCCCCCTCCTCTACTTCAAAACATATGCGCTGCCCAGCTTTCTGACCACAACCTTGGGCGCTCACGATCGTTATCGATACGTCTGCGCGATACCGTGATTTTTTTCGCTTGTCGACGGCGCGTTGATCGCGTTCGCAGCTCTACATAACCTTCGCTACACTTTCCATAATGTTTACGTTTCAAAATATGAGCTCTAAGCGTCGCAGGGAGGACGACTCCGACTCTGAGGATGGAGGTGGCTATGGCTACGGCGGGCAGCAGACGAAGGTGTGTATTCGCTGAGAGTTGTGCATCCTGCGAAATCTAACAACCTTCCCAGAAATCGCGGACTTGGTTCAGTGACCCAGTCTCCCAAAGCCATGCACAGAACCCATCACAGCAGTGTCTACCACTCAGGCCTACACTTACGCCGCCGCACATGTCCTCAGATATTGGCACAATGCTGCCGCCACGACGTGACTACGGAGCACGAGACTCTCCAGATTCCACATATGGCGAACCTGCACATTCTTCGCTGTCAAACGACCTCGACATAGACATGGATGACGACGACTTTGACGTCAGGAGCCAGCCTCAATCACCATATGGCAGCAATGTCTTTATGCGACCAGCGATGTTGAATGCGTCACTGTTTGGTGCAGATCCAGTCAGTACATCCAACGGTCGAATACCTACACCTATACATCCCACTTTTAAGCGGGGAGGCATGAATGGCTTAGGCCTCCCGACGAGCGGTTCTGCCGGTGGTCTAAATACAGGCTTGGCCGTACCACCATTGCAAGCGCCCACGTCACGGAAGAACAGCAGGCATGAGATGGAAGAAGATCGGAGTAGACGCATGCCCTCTCCCATATCGGAAGACGAAGATATCCCCGATACACCTACCGAACTCACGCAATCACAGTTGTCGCGGCTTAGTTTCTCGCAGGCGAACTCTACAGACGAAATGGATATGGAAATGGCTCCTACTTCACTACAATTACCACCAACGCCACGAGGTAGGAAACGGAGCGGTGCCTTGACCGGCATGGGACGTTTTAGCATGGGCTACCGGGAAGATTGCGAGAAGTGTCGTCAACGGGTGCCTGGACACTATTCGCATTTCTTGTGATGAATGGTCACAGGCATTGGAGGCATGGGGAGTTAACTTTCTTTTCGACGAAGAGTACGACGAATCGTGACAAGTACGATAGCAGGCACGATGGTCACTGGCGTTTCATTTTTCCTTGACGAAGATCGGCGTACACAAGCATGAGCATGGCATTAAGCGACATCGGCGCGGCGTTTGCATTCTTACAAGTTTCCTTGCACTCAGTCGGCCATCGAGAGGTATTCTGCATCATAGCATACGCATCAATGAAACCATATCACTACTGCATACACTTTGCCATCGTGTCAAATACACATGTCACCCACCCACAGGCCTCTGAATGACATTCACATCTCCGTCAGTGACATTCACGACCCCTCGATCTCAAAACCATCCACGACCACCAAGCCCAAATCCCAATCCTTCCACAACATTCCCCCATCCGTCTCCTCCCCCACCCACTTGCCCCAGCCTTCTGAAACACGTCAGGCCCGAATGGTAAAACGGAACACCTCCAAGCCGGTATCTGCATCCGCAACCTGAGGCGAAGGCCCATCTGAAACGCGCGCGCTTCGACGGCACGTATCCTCCGATCGTTCCGTCGGACCCACTTTTGCTCAAACGGCAGGGCTGAGGTTTATTTTTGAGATGGGTGTCTGGACTTACACAAGGTGTGGTTTTTTGTGGAGGCGGGATTTGGAATTCGAATTGGATTTGTGCAATGTAAGGTTTTGGAGTTGGGGGGATTTGAGATTGGATGTTTTCGCGGTGGCGAGGGAAGGGCAGGAGAGGTATCTAGCATAGTACTGTGTTCAAGGTAGGTGTTCAACGTCATACACTTGTTTATTGTCGGTAGTAAGCTCTCTTGCGCATCTGTTTGCTTCTTTTAAATTCTGAGTACGTATGGGAAGGCAATGCTGCAGACGGTGGAGAAGGATATGAGTAGCGCAAAGATTACAACGGTCCTTACTTGGTTTCTGATCAGCAGCAAAGATTATCAATGCGATATGTCATAGAGGAGATGCACGTCCTGAGGAAGCAATAGCCAGTAGTTCAAGCTTCGCCGGGCGCTTGTCTTATGTATAACCCCCTGTATATATATTAACAATCCGCATACTCCAAGCTCCCGTCTTTTCATCAGTAGCACTCAATGTACATAGGAGTTCCTGTAGAGAGCTCGCCTTTTTACCAGCACTGAAAACACTTCGCAGCCGAGACTCGTATGCGCATTACTCTGCTATTAGAGTAATCTCAATCCCCCACTCCCTCTCCGCACTCAATTCTTAGCGACTCAAAGTGACGACTCAGTCCAATCTACTTTTCGCAAGTTTCAAGCCATTCGAATGATGTTCCTGAGACGCAAAAGTGAAGTTGCAAGCCCGCTTGCCACCCAAAAGTACAAAACTTCTTCACACGACCCTCTACAGAACTCCCAAAACAGACGCCACAGGGGATAAGATGGTCATAAAGAGCTACAAAGGAGCAAAAAAAGTGGACGGGCAGGTGATCGAAACCTGGACCTTCCGCAATTGTTTTCTAGTGGCCCTTGCGGGTCGCCATGATGCAAAGCGGACGCTCTACCACTGAGCCACACGCCCAAATCATTCTCCTACTGAGATGGAAGTTCAGAAATTTAGCTGTAATATATCTTTAAAAACCATGCTTCTCGGGCTGCCCAGAAGCACAATGAAGATCGGAAAAGTCTGCCAGAATGTGGGGTAGCTAGGTAGTGTTGGTACAAAAAAACAGCCGGTGCATTTGCCGGTTCGACGAACATCCCCAGATTTGGAAAACCGTCTACACTAGTTCACTCGTTTCGACTTCACCCTGACCTGTGCAACGGACGCTTCAGAAAGTCGACTTCTTTTGAAGCTAATGTTGATCTGTCGCATATAATCACCTGATTCTTATAGTTTGCACAGGCGTTCATGATACTACGTACTCCACAGCGATGTAGTCGATAAGTGCGCCATCAAATCTCCATTATGTCCGCCAAGAGAGGGTATATCATTCCACAGCCAGCCTGCCATCTGTGAAAAAAAAAGAAAAACAGTATTTGTCCAAGCACCTCTAAACGCCCGCTTCCAGATCAATTGTGGGTGGACCACACCACGCGTACTTTTCCTCGCCCAAAAAATAATACATGAACAAGCCTCCATCTCCCTCCACACTCGCAAGCATCTAAGTGTCAGGAATCATCAAGCTCCCCTTCGTCCACTCCCCACCGGCAATCGGCCTCGTGAAAGCCGTAATATCGTCCCCAGCCGTCTGGTAGAACACATACAAGCTATCCCACTTGGTCGTGTTCCCCTCCTTCTCTGCATACGCCGTGACCGTAAGATGCGTCCCACCCAGCCCCAGCGCAGGGCCCGCGGGATCCGTAATCGCAAACGTCTTGTCCTCCAGGAACGTCGTGTTTTCGCCCGCATACGTGACATTATAGCCCTTGATACTGCGGTCCGCCATCTGCGCGTAAAAGTAAGTCGTGAAGCCCAGCGAGGTGAGGGGATGGACGCCGCGGATGGCTGCGTGGCTGGCGTTTTGCCACGAGTTGATGGGGTGGGTTTCGGTCGATGGGAGTGTGGCGTTTCCGTCTTTCCACCAGAATTCTACGTCGTTGTTCTTGTTGGCCATCATGGCGTACGTCGTGCTGCCTTCTCCCCAGCTGTAACAGCCAACGCCGGCATGGGCGTTGAAGCCAGACCAGCGTTGCACGGGTACCCATGCGTCTGAACCATTGTACCAGGCGTATTGTTGGAAGGTCGACTCGTCGACGGCGAACCAGATGTTTATGCCCAGATCCTTGTCGAATGGCTTGTCGTTGGTCTGACCTGATGCAGTGGGCATTTTGGTGTAGTCGGAGTCGCCGTAATAGTTGCCCTTCCAGCATGCCTGCAGACCGGAGCTGGGCGAGTCCATGGCCTTCAGGTTGAGATTGCTCAGTGGACCGGGCTGCCATATTTCTGAGATATTCGACTTTGTTACTTGCCTGACGGTGTTGTTCTGGTCGATGTAAAAGATATGGAACTGCGCACCGTCAGTGACACGATACTGGAGATACACCGGAATTGCTTACATATTGCGTGCTATTCAAATTCACAGCTACAGCAGAGATTGGAGACGCATTTTTCGCGTCAGTTGCCACTGTCTCTGACTTTGAGCCGCCGATCCACTGCCTATCCGTCGTATATTGCATATACCTGATATCGCCAGTATGATGCTGAAAGTACAGCGTGAAAATCCGCCGCTGCCCTACATTCCACGACTCTCCAGCAAGTGCCATCCCAGTACCGTTGTAGACGCCCTTCTTGGAGAAGTATTTCGCATTCAAGGAGCCGCCGATGCAATACTCTGGTTTTTGTCGACAGAAAGCGTCTGCATGTTTCGAGTTCCTAGATCTTGTGAGCAAACACGACAGAAACAGCTAGGGTAAGTGGACGCATACGAGTTCGAGTTCTTCTTCAAGCCCAGGCCTAGACCCAATCCCAGACCAAGACCCAACGCAAGTGCGAGAAACCAGGCCAATCCACACCCCAAGAGTATGTAGAAACTCCGCTTCTTCATGCCACATTTCCTGTCATCTTTCGTTGGCACTGGCGGAGGAACGACGGTAGGAAAGTCATCTGAATCAACATGTTCTTTGAACGTATATGGGCGTATCTGAGGTGATATGAGGGTAGTGCCTCCGTTTGACGACGGCGAGAATGGCCGGCCTCCATGAGGATAGTGGTGGAATTGCCCGGGTACCACCTGTGGTCCGGAGTAATCTGGAGTTTGTGCTGGAACAACTTCACTCGTCGCATATGCAGGTGCTTCTTTCTCAGTCGAGTATCTGGTAAGAAGTTAGTCGATCACATGTATTCAGCACTGATGAGGCTTAATTACCCTTCGTCATAGATAGCATGAGGCACTGCCTCGTGATTTGGATAGATATACCCTTCACGATACTCCTGCAGCGGCGGAGAAACCTGTGGCGGTGAATGTGGGTGGGCCGGGTAAGTCTGCGGCGAGACCTGTGCCGAATAGATCTGATCATGTTCCTGGAACCGTGGTGGAGGACTCCATTGTCCGTTCACGTCGCTCCCAGAACTGCTCAAGTTGTCACGGTATTGATCGCGAGGATCCATCTCGGCCAGCAAAACAGGAGCAAATGGCAGATCTGGGGTGGGCCAGACTATTAACGAGCCGCCAGAGCCCGCGTGCTGGCCCTGGTCATATGCTCAATGCGGCTGGGAGAACGGGCGGCCAGCCCATGGGTGCACATTTGCGAGCAAGCTGAGAAAGACACCGCATCTGCTAACCCGCATGTAGATCCGCAGACTTACAGTGAGGTGTCCCCTTCCTCACTCGTAGACAAGGAGCTAATATGTGAGCGCCCGATGAGTGCCCAATCGCAGCCTACTTGCTGCAGTAAGCAGGCCGGATTGCGTATAGCGTTTCGTCGATCTCCCAACATGATTCGCGCTCATCGAGGCCGTAGTCCGCTCTTGTGCAAGTCAGTACGGGTACGCGATGCAGGGTAATCAATAGCATCACGAACCCGGGGTCCATCCTCCCTCCAGGTTCCCAGGTTGTCAGCAGTGCTAAGCCTACAATAGGCTTTATCTGGCGCACAGGCATATTTCCAAGGAGTTGGAAAGGCTGTTCCACAACTAATTGACTTTGAAGGAGAGAAATTTGACAGTGAATGTATCTGACCAGCTGAACAGCAATTGTTGGTTCGCCTTAAAAGCTCAGCCCTGTATTAGGGCTGAGGGACGAGATCAGACGAGATCAGACGAGGCCCATGATTCGTCCAACAGAATCCTGCATGCACCTCTTTTGCCAGACAGAGGAGGTGCCGATCACACATCAGCACTTGAAGATGATCAATCAACGGCGAAAGCGAAGAAGACGCAGTCTGATTCCATGGCGTGATCTTCGCATCAGCTTGCATGTTATATCTCTGCGTACAGCAGACAAATGTTCGAAAGTTTTTCGCACCTAGGAACGCCATGCACGTTCATTGATTTTGTTGTACCGCAATGGCAGGAACCAGGTGCCGATCTGGTCACTGCTGATGAGCTGGCCGTCAAGGGTGTTCCAGGGCCGGCCGTATAGTGGAGTCATTCGGCTGTGATGAGAAGGAGGACCCTGGTACCGGTAGTTTCCGCAACGTTCCCTGCAGCTTACAACGCCCAAAACGTTTGCAACCCTCTTTGCCGCTCAGACAATGAGCTCAGTGTTTAGCAACGTGGGACATTGTAGCTTTCCGTATGGATTACGTTCTCTCGGACGACTGTATTCACCAGCAAGCCATAGGTTTCGAAGCGTTTCCCAACCGATAACTGACACGCCCCACATCGGCCAATACCCGCTGGAGAACGGTTTCCTCAGCGTCGTGCTAGTTTAAGGGTTAGTCAGGCTGGAAATGGTGATCCGCCCTCTCCTCCTGCCCGACATCCCCGCTCGATCATCTGCAGCAGGGACAAAATCATGGTGGAGACGAGTAGGCTTGCAGTAATGGTGTCTTCCGAGTTTGAGACAACACCGAAGGACCAATGAACTACATTCCTATATTTTGTCGAGCACCCGCATACCATGTCCAACCTTCTGGACTGCACCAAAGCGTGCAGCGTTGAAGCATGTACAACCTTCTAGGTTGTATAAACTCGTGCGACGTCCACATATGTCGGGACCGACCACACGTTCATGAGTGCGTGCTACTGCCACCGTCACAATATGTCCCAAAGCTCTGCCATGTGCTCATCATTGTCAACCACGCCATTCTCTTCCATCGGCTCAATCATCCCTCCACGCCCCTCTGCCCTTTAAGCCTGCTATAATCAATCCCATACCTCACCGTCACCTCATCCTCCTCCCCAAGCACCGTCTTCGCCGAAATCCACGCACAACAAAACAACGTCAACGCCTCATCCCCTCTGCCCAGCTCTTCTACCACGCGCCCCAGCATCCAAACCGCTTCGAGCCGCTTCTCATGACATGACCTGTACTTCTTAATCCCCTTCCGCAACACGCGCTCTGCTTGCTTGTATTTCGATTGCAGAGAGAGCGCCCGAGCTAGATGGATGGTGCTGTGTAGAGTTGTGGGGTGTCGCGTACGTATCTTCTCGTAGAGGGAGGCGCGGAAGTAGCGCTCTGCGGAGGATGGGGTGGATTGGATAAGGGCTGTAGCGCCTAGACTGTCCAGTGCGTTGGTGTAGGTTTCGTCATGGGTGTATGGATGGTGGCAGATGAAGTGGAAATGTGCGGCGCATAGAATGAGAAACGATGTGGCGTATTGATCTTCTTGGAGGTACGAGGATGCGAGGTCGTGGAGGTAGAGTTGCGTGCGCGAAGTTGGTTGGGACATGGTCAGTGGCGATACAATGCATCGCTGTGCGTGCGAGAATACCCTTTCAGTCGCCAGCCACAAGCAGGGAGTGTCGGTGACCAAAATGTACGATTTGTCACGTCGCATTGTCTTGTTCTTAGTGATGGTCTTGTAAATTTGTATGAATGGCTGATTCACGTCTTTTCTATCACTGCACCAACGATCGTCTTGGTTTTCCTTCCCGGCTCTTCTTTTTCACGCCCGGCATATGGACAATGCGAAATGCCTCCACCATCGGTGTTAGGAGCCGCATGACATGCTGTTAAGGACATGCCATGGGCGGCGTCTTACTCTGCTGTTGCAGGCTCATGGAGACGTCGTAGTCGTGGTATCACTTGCGGTAGAATGTTAGCAGCTTCGCCCAACTACTTTCTGCGCCATGTGACTCAATCGTTGGAGAAAACGATGAAGTTGGACTCGCTGTCGTTGTCGTCTTCGAAGCAGATGTAGCTTCCTTCGTTCGAGTCGTCTTCTTCGTCTGAGTCGATGTCCTCCCAGTCGCTGTCCCCATCATCGAACTCCAAATTGTCAAATAAATCATCCGAGTGCACCAACTCCGGTACCCGAACGTCGTCAAGATCCGAGGGTACTTCTGGGCCGCCAAGCATGAAGACTCTTACACCTGAGTAATCTTCTGAGTCCTCAGATATGTCATCGTCATCGTCGTCCTCGCCGACCAACATCGTGTACTTTCCAGGCTCGTAGCGAGGTGATTTTCGCAGAAAGTAATCGGTCGGTCGGCCTGGAAGAAAATTCGTGTCGTCGGCAAACGTGAGGGCCTTCTTCTTTGCACTGCGTTGCTGTGTGTTCTGGCACTCAGTCGTCTCGAACCAGTACAGCTCCAGCGCTTTATCAGCGGTATAGACATCCTTGCCTACAGAATCTGAATGCGATTCTACCCAGTCAGCCTCCTTTGCAGATAAGTCCTCGAGCTCCTCCACTATACGTAGTGTGGCAAGCTTGCCTTGCGACCACGCCAGATAGAGATTCTCTTGTTGTTCTGACGGAGTACCAGTGCGAGGCAGTGGTCGCCCGTTCGCGCCGTGAAGTGAGCGCGTGAGCACCTTCATGTAGTTGATGTGCATGTCGATTATGCAGACAGGACATCGTGTACGCGACTGTCCGGTTTCCACCGGAAGAATAGTGTGTTGGCACAACGGGGCGGTAGTGGGCTCGGAGGATAATGAGGAGGAGTTGATGTGTTCGTATATGTCATCGAATACGTCGGAGAAGTAGCCTGAATCTTGTTTTTTCAGCCACTGCTGAAACTCCTCATATTCGATCGCGCTCGGTATCGCGCCACATTCTGTCGGTCTAAGTGTGGTGTGGAGGCTTTGCCATCGGCGGTATAGCTTCAGCTCACGGGGCGGCAGTATGAGACTTGCTGGCAAGTTGTAGCGCGCACGTGCTGTTGCCTTCGAAGGTGAGCTCATGGTCACGTAAGAAATGCGGGCGTAGATTGCGCGGTGATAGACTCGGTCGATGGTTGTGCAGGTCTTGGGGTGGGTGGGTAATTCTTCCTCTTGAAAAGAGATTGTCCGGCGTGTTTCCGAAAGGCGCGTGAGTGAGAATCAGCTGAGCGTTCACAATGCGTGCGCGCTGTCGGCGATCGCGGAAGTTCACGCCTAGCAGTGACGTCGCGCGATTATCCTATCAGGGTGTTGTTTTTGTGCTGTGAATATATCCAGTGAGGATCTCTTCCACGTAGCTGACGCGCTCAAAGCTGGTGACGAGCGCTGATAATGTCGCCCAGCTTCTCGACGTTTGGAGATGCAGAGTACCAGAAAAAGGCCATGTTTCTCTTGAGGATAGTGTCCATTCCTGATATTGTAGATGTCGATGGGTCCTTTACACAGTGTACGCGTGGGCTGCGTGCACTCGTTGTGGCGGCGAAAGCGGAGGTGGGGAAGCGGAGTGACTGTTCGCGGGGCAGATCGTGCTGCTAGGAATGAGTCGCGTGCGCACGTTTGCTACCGGCTCGTTTGCGGTCTCTGACACGTCTCTTGGTGAGACAGTGACTGTGGTTTCGCGAAGTGGTGATTTTTGAGAGGAGAGTGAAAGGGGAGCGCTAGGTATTCGCCGTTCGGGACGTTCGGTATGCGTCATTGGTTTCATTGATGCCTGACTCGTTTGGGTAAGCGACTGTGGCGCATATGTGGCGGTGCTTTGTCCTTCGGTCAGCGATCCAGTACCACCTCACACAAGAACAGTCTTCAAGCTTTTTAAGTAATTTAGTGGTATAACGACGACGTTTGATCGAGAAACGGTTCTTTCTGCCTCTCAGCTCAGTTGCTAAGCTATCGGCTCATCCCAAACTCCATCTCCTCTATCCTTCTTCTTCCCACCGTCCTCCACCCTCGGCGCTTCCGGCACCTCAATACCCTCAATGCTCCACTTCATATCAGGATAAGAATCGCTATGAACGGTAACATCAACCTTCTTGCCCTGCGCTTCTGGTGGGAACGTAATCTTGGTCGTGGCTTGGAGTCGCGAGCTGGCAGCTCCATTGTTCGCATTGCGGCCACCTCGTCCCCGTGCTCCACCACTGCGATTGGGGTCGCTCCAGCCGACTCGCTTCAACGCGATAATCTCATCCGTGCTTGAGTATGAGAGGATCACGAAGAAGCCCTCAGTCTGTGGCTTGGGGTAGCGCGGCGCAAAAATGCGGATGCCGTTTTGCTGCATTCTGGCTGGGTTTTGGCGGGTGAGGTTCAGAGAGAGAGAAATTGCATTGACCGCGCCGAGATCAAGCTTCAGGATCGGAAGACGAGAAATGGGCTCGATGAAGCGCTTGACAGCCGAAGGCGTGACACCCGCTAATTTGCCTGCTCTTTCCAAATGTGCCGGTGATGAGGTGGTGGCTTCTATAAGCGTCTTCGGACTGGCCTTAGGGTGCTCGAGGCGTTTCTTTTCCTGATCAATTTCCACGCCGGGGAAAATGGACAGTGGTCCGTCTGTTGGCCAGCGTGCAGACTTGATGGCCTGCAACAGGTTGATCATCCTCACGCACGACGAGAGGTAACCCAGCTCAGTGAGCACATCGATTGAAGCCTGCACGATACGGATGCTCTGATCCAACACGCTGTTCAGATCTCCGACGTAATCAGAAATTGGTAGATCGATGCGCGAAAAGTGCGCCTGTAGAAGCAGGAAAGACTTGACATGAGGATCCCACATTGGCAGACCAAAGTCATCGGCTGGAACTGGGAGTGCCTTCGACAGCTCAGCGTTGATGAGGTCTTCATTGTGGCGAACGGGAAGCTCATCGTACTCTGTTGCGTGCGAAATCCAGGAGAGAACGTTGGCAAAGGTCGCGTCACGCTTGACGTTTTTGACAAGGTAACGGATAGTCTTGTGGCTCAGATAGTAGTAGCTCATGATTTTGCCCAGAGGCGTTGGGTCTACCTCGCCGGTTGGCTCAACAATCGCGCATGAAGACTCGTCCAATTCCTTCAGAGATGTTTCCACTAGTTGAACCATGTAGTCGTTTGCCATTGTCTGAGCAGTAATAGTGTTGTGCTCTTCTGCGGAAATCTCTAGTCCATAAAAGGATGGGTTCTTGTGCAGGCGACGGAAGAAGAATGTCCATGTGAGGTAGTCCAGCGCATCCTGCTTGGTCGCCACGGTCCCAGCTGAGATCTCAGCACCCAGATGGTTATCAAGGACGTTGTGCAATGACGATTCGACGGGGAAGCCAGTGTGCAGAAAATGTTTGTAGAACTCCTTCTTTGCATCTTGCGTGAAAATACGTGCAATACCCGACGTGTCGAATTGCGGACGACCGGCACGACCCAACATCTGCAGCACGTCCGTCAAGTCCATATCTTTGTATCCTTCTATCTTTGCATCGAAGAATTGCGTGCCCTTGACGACAACAAGATGGGCTGGCAAGTTGACACCCCACGCAAGCGTACTAGTCGCCACCAAGATTTGGATTTTGTTATTTGCAAAAAGTTCCTCTGACAGAGATCGATCTGTTTCGACTAGACCAGCGTGATGGAGACCGATACCAAAACTTAAGGCTTGGCGGAGGTTGTCGTCCTTGACTCGCTCAAGATTGACTGCAAGATCGTCTTCCGACATGTGCAAGAAACGTCTTGGGTTGTCCTCCATACCGCAATATGTAATCAGGTCATTGGCAGTAAGACGAGTCTGCCGCCTTGAAGCGACGAATACAATGACAGGCTTGTCTGGAGAGTGTTGCTTGATAGCAAGAAACGTCGGACGGTTCATCGACTGCATGAGCGGGCAGAACCCACGCTGCTCAGGGAATCCGTCGATGAAGATCTCTAGTGGTACAGGGCGAACCGAGTGGCGGAAGTTGAACAAGCCTTCTTTAACGCCGAGCCAGTTCCCGAGGTCAGAGGCGTTGGCGCAGGCAGTGGACATACCGAGAAGACGAATTGAGCCACCTTCCTTCTGTGATGCGATGTAGTTCATTCGAGAGACAATGATCTCGAGAATCGGGCCACGATCACCACCAAGAAGATGAATTTCGTCAATGATGACAAGGCTTACTTGGCGGACATAACCACGAGTCTGCCAGCTACGACTGATACCGTCCCACTTCTCAGGGGTTGTGATGATGATATCCGCATCTCTTATGGTGCGCGTATCGGGAGTGTTGTCACCAGTCAATTCAACCAGTCGCAGACCCATTGGACCTGCAAGTCGTTTGCCCCAGTCCTGTACTCGCTCGCGGACGAGCGCTTTCATGGGCGCGATATAGACCACCTTCGAGCCAGGTTTCTCGCGGAAGGCCCACCACATTGCAAGCTCAGCAGCTACGGTCTTTCCACTTCCAGTAGGAGATCCAAGCAGCACATTAGCGGGTGTGTGGTATAGACAATGGAAGATCTGCGACTGCATTGGGTTGAAATACTGAAAGCGCTGAGCATAAACCTCTTCCAGCAAAGGGTTCTTAAGCGCCGAAATTGGCAATGGCTGAAGGTCTAGAAGGTCAGTGTAGACACTCTCAGTGTCAGGTCGGATCAGATGCTGGAAAGATATTGGGTGCACAGTTTCGGAGCCTAACCAGCGGTCTGACACTGCGCGAACATATATCTGTGTAGGCAGCGGATCTGTGAGAGGGATAGTGAAATTCAGCTCGTGATCGTCATAGAGCTTCCTTCGTGATAGGATGAAGTACTCGTAATGGTAAATCTCAGATGTTTCCGAATTTTCCACCCAGATCCAGAATGACTCCGAAGTTCCGTGGTGGCGGTCATTCCACTTGAAGTCTGGGGTGAGCCAGAGCTTGATGCGAAGAACGTCTCGATTCAGAGGTGCGATTTCAGACTCGATAGTTAAGGTCGGGAAGTTGTCAAGCAGCTTTGCAATGACACTGCCCATCTTCTGGTTGTGAACCATGCCGCCAATCTCGGCAGGCTCCATGTCGCGAAGCGTTTCAATCGAAGGGAATTTGGCATCTAGCTGTCGCAAAACTGGTTGTGGAAGATCAAATTGGTGAAGTGGGTGTTCGATAGACCAGCATCGATGCTCGATGGACTGACAAAGGCTGAGGAGTACGAGACACTGATAGCCCCAGCGTCTATTAAGCGCAATCATGAACAGCGCGCGGGCAATACGCGATGCGTTCTGGGTGATATAGTTTGTGTCGGAGACCAAAGTAAAGTCTTCAAGCCTGGCTCGAGAAATGTGTGCTTGTAGCAAGATGTTGGTCTTACCGTGAGGCGTAGCGTAGCCACCTTTTACATCTGCTATGACATATCCTTCATCCTGGAGCGCTGACAGTTCTTTCTCTTCAGTGTCGCGTGACTGTACTTGGTCGAACTCGCCACTCATACTGACCATGGCCAGAGCATCAGCATCCGAGCTACGAGGCCTCATCATGGTATTGAAGATCTCAATACTCGACTGCCGGACGTAGTATTGACTGGCAATGCGACCTACATCCTTGGCGCGTAGATCCTCCGTAGTTTCATTGAAGATGATCATCTGGCTCTGTTGCAGGATTCGGGCCGCATCGATAATCAACTTGCGGCGCCTAAGGACAAGCTGAGGATCGTCTCGTATCTCCGCCCATTCGATACCATAAAGTAGAGGGCTCTTCTGCATTCGCACGAACAAATAAGAATAGCCCAGCCATTGTACAGCTTCCGAGACAGTGGTGACTGTACCTAGAGAGATCTCCGCATTGAGATTGTCGACAAGCTTTGAGGAGAATCTGGACTCGATCGGCTGTTGCTCGGTCACCGCGCGCATGTAGTGGTCCAGCCTGTCATGCGTAGTGCAGATGAACCCGATACCGGTGTCCTGGAATTGAGGTCGACCGGCACGACCGAAAATTTGTAGGACATCTAGAATGCCTAGATCGGTGAATTTTCCCTCTTGTGCATTGTAGACCTGTGTACCCTTGATGAGAACCGCAGCAGCAGGCAAATTGACACCCCAAGCCAGGGTTGCGGTACAGCACAACACCTTAATGACTCCTTCACCAAAGAGCCGTTCGATGAGGTTACGATCTGAACGTGGCATACCAGCATGATGAGTGCCCATGCCTTTGCCGAGTAACTCGCGTAGTTCGCGTCCCTTCGATTGCTTCATGTCGCGAACAGCGTTGTCGTATCGCGGATGCTCTGAGGGATCGAACAGGTCGGAGCACCCTTCGTCTATAGCTAGTTCATGCAACCTACGTGCAGTCTTCACGGTATCTTTCCTGGAATGTACGAACACCATGATCTGATGACCACGCTTGAGCATTTCCACGACCTTGTCGAAGGCCACTTTCTCCAAATTCTCTCTCGACTTCATCGTACCAGGCTTTCCTTTGGCGCCAATGAAATGCTGCTCAAGTGGAACGGGTCGGAAGGATGCGTCGAAATAGAATAGGCCGGCCATCAGATTTACGCGAAGGAACTCTGCTACGTCGACATAGTTAGGTAGGGTAGCTGATAGGCCAACTATTCGGATGAGAGATTGCGTGCTTTCTACTTGTCGTTGAGTTCTTGCGACTAAACTTTCCAGAACGGCTCCACGCTCATCGTGCAACATGTGCACTTCATCGATAATGAGCAGGCGAACTTTTTGCACAAGTTCCGTATCGCCTGTACTCTTTCGTGTGACCACATCCCACTTTTCGGGTGTCGTGACAATGACTTGCGTGTCTAGAATCTCGGCCTTTGTCAAGTGCATGTCTCCCGTGAGTTCGCGAGCTTTGATGCCTAGCCAGGCCAGGCGCTTTCCAAGCTTCTCGGTCACTTCTGCAGCGAGCGCTTTCATGGGAGCGACGTAAATGATCTTGAAGTCTTCAGTCATGACCGTGAAATCAGTGGCTTCCGGATGCTCGATAGGATTCGGAACAACATTCTTCGCAACAGTATTGAGGATGGTGAGCATTGCCGCATCTGTTTTACCAGCACCAGTAGGCGCACAGATGAGCATATTCTCGCTCGTCTTATACGCTACGGGGTATACCAAGCTCTGCATACGATTAAGAGCTTTGTAGCCCTTGAAGGTGCGCTGGCAAAGCCCGTCGAGCTCCGCAATCTCAATCAGCTTGCGACCAACGCCAATCGTGCCCACAGGCATTGCTGGGATCTCGTATTCCTCGTATAGATTGTTGTCGTGATGCTTGTGGTCCGGAGGAAGGGCATATTTCTTACCATATGCGGACAATTTGTTGCCTGCCTCATGGGTGCGGTAGACGTGCGGATACTGTGGGCCCTTTCGGTCCATGGCGGGTGCCAGTGACGCATGCTTGTGTTCAAAATCTTGACGGCGTAACGCTTCATCTCTCTCCGCTCTGGTCTGTAGCCGGCCTACGGCTTCATTGTCTTGTGATCTAATAGCATGGTGCTGGGATTGCAAGATCTTCTTGCGATGAGATATAAGGTCAGCGACCAAATCCAGCTCGTCATAGCCCACAATGTCGGCCAGCATCATCTGTAGCTCTTCATCTGTAGCGCGTCAGTGTTCATAGAGATGGAATTGAGAGGTTGAATCGTCTTACCGTTGCTATCGCTAGCTAGGATGGCCGAAAGCTGGTCCTTGAGAGCTCGAGCGTCTAGACCAGAGCTCCTTTGGGCAACGCCGGCGCACTTCTTTGCCAACCACTGCTGGCTGTAGGGACTCCCCCCAGTGGGGAGGTCTGAGAATTGTTCGAGTTGATCACTACTGTACTCATCCTCGTACTCATCACTAATGATGTCCCAGATGTCCTCGCCGCTCGCAGTTCCGGAGAAGTCGTCATCGTCGAACTCGATGTCATCTCCATAAGCTGGGGGTTTTTGCCCCTCAGCGGGCAGATTCAGCTCAGCGATAGCCTTCCTCATGGCGGCGAGTTGCTCGAGCCATTGGGCCTGTGCACTGTCAATGGAGGGCGACATGGTTCTGCACGTTTGACGTCGTTGTCGAGTTGACAGACGAATGCTGGCGGCTGCCCAAGTGGTTGCCTCTCGTCAAGGCTTGGCAGTTTGATGATGCCTGCACTGATCTCGGCTGCGCCTGCCCCGCCCCCGCGCCTAGCGCCATTATGTCAGCTCCCGCGCCCGTTCCAAGGTTGGCCAGCCGTCCGGCGTGTGATGCGCTGCAAGTGATTACACTCCTTAGAACTCCGTGAAGATTGATAACACACCTCCTACTGCCCAAAACTGGAAAGTTGATACCTACACGTCTCTTAAATACCCCTCACAAGCCGCCATCATGGACAAGGACGCAAAGTCGGTCTCAAAGTTGATGTATCTTGGTGTGAGCGCACCCTCACCGCCCAAATCGCCATGACGCAGCTAACGATGCAGCACAGGTCCTCAAGAACGATACAGCAACGCAGACTGCGGACGAGTTAGCGGCTGCTACCAATGTCAAGAGCCTCAATTACTTCGCCAGAGCTACTGTCGCTCAGTTTGTACGTCGTCCCATCCAAGCGGAACAAGCACAGGCTCACAAGCAGAATAGATCACCTTCACTGCTGCCACAATCGCCGCGCGCCAGGCACCAGGAAAAGCTATCGTCAACGAGAAAGGTTCGTCGCTTGTTTACCCTTCATACGGCATACACGACTGATGCATCATCTCCTAGACGCGGCATTCCACGTTCTTGCGAATTCTGCAGGCGTGTGCGTTGTCGCAGCCACCAACGATGAGTACAACGCTCGTGTAGCGCAATCGCTTCTCAGGAAAGTCCTCGACGAGTTCATCACCAAATACCCGCCAAGCGCATACGCCAACTTCCAGAAGGACAGCCCAAAGCTATCTTACCCAGAGTTGGAGGTGTACATTGAGAAGTATCAGGACTGGACTAAGGTGGACAACCTCGCTCAGATCCAAAAAGACCTGGATGAGACCAAGATTACAATTCACAAGACAATCGACAGCGTGCTGGCGCGTGGTGAGAAGATTGACGACTTGGTGGCTAAAAGTGACGGCTTGAGTGCACAGAGTAAGATGTTCTACACGCAAGTAAGCTTCCTCTTTGCTATGGACATGCAAAGCTATCCGCTAACTTCATTCTACCAGGCCAAGAAACAGAACTCGTGCTGCGCTGTCATGTAGATAATCATGCACTTTTGAGCTTGTCAAAGCGATAGAGCGCTTTCCCTGCCGGATGAGGAGTTGAGACGCGCTACTTGGTCTTTTACATATCCTACGACCAATTTAGACTATATTTCACAAATTGTCCTTCACACATGTCTTCGAGCAGAGCTTTCGCGCCAACATAGTACCGTATGAGATGTGTTCATTTGTGTCTTGAACACCATTTATACAGCGACTCATGAGCAGCAGTCGGAGGACCTCAAGCAGCCTCACTGCTCATCATCTTCCTCCATATCCGTCAGATCTGCTAGTTCCATCTTAACAATCTCGTTGTCAGAATCCGAGTCGGAAGCCGCAGACATCTGATCATAAAAGTCAACCTCTTCGCCCCCTGCACCTTCCTCCTCGCCTTCCTCAGCTCCTGGCTCCTCAACCTCTTCATACTCCATTTCTTCTCCCTCATCATCTTCCTTTCTCGTCGCCCACTCTTCATCATCAATCTCCCCCTTCAGCCTCGCATAATCCTGCACACTACTTCCCACCAAAGACTTGACATGCTCGAAGTGCGTGAACACCCCATCCTCCACATCCATCATAGTCGGATAATTCCACACGAGAAAGATATCGCTCGTGTCTTTCAAGAAGATTCGCCACTGCATCTCTTTCTCACGCGTCTCGTTCGAAACATGCCGCTCTATCAACTCAATCAACCGCTTGACATGCGGATTCTCGAGCCCGGAATCAGCACCGGCGTTGAGGTCGTGGTAGTGTAGCAACAAGCTCTCCTTATCGACGTAGTGACAGAACAGAATTCGACACTGCGACACGCAGAAGTGCCAGTTGTGGTAGTATGACGTGTCTTGGTAGCCCTCGGGCGAGGCACATGCATGCGGCGAATCTGGGTCGTGAGACGACAAGTACCGACCCCAGAGTGTCGAAGGGCGATGACGCGTGTCCTGGGGTGTGTCGGGCGAATACTCCAACTTCTTTTCCTTGAGTCGCTTGTTTGTCGGTGTCTGCGGGGCTTGGACTTCGCTCAGGCGGGCTGGGAAGGTGAGGGTCCTGTGGTAGTTCTTGAGCGCCTGCGTAGCACTGTAGGCCATGGGTAGACCAACGTCTTGCTCTGGGTGCGCGAGGTTCCAGTTCTCTTCTTCGCGGGCCATGGCTTCGAACTTGGGGATAGTGTTGACGAGTGCGACTCGCGCTGTCTGGTACGCGCGGTTCGTGTCTTGGTATGCGAAGCGGTCCACGTCCTCGACGAGGGGACCGTCGCGCCACGGGCCGCCGACCTTCTTCCAGTTGGTGTATAAGTTGCTGATGAGAGTTTGGTGATGTTGGAGCGTGCAAGTCGAGCACCACTTTATGCTTTCTTTAATCTCTCCCTCCTCAATGAAGGATGCAACTTGCGTTTGTGCTGGATGCAATGCATGCTTGCACTTCTCCGCCAGCGCAAAGCCCAACTCGTCTTCTACTTCTGGCCCAGACAGATCAGGGGTGAGACAGCGATCTGGAGGCGATATGCGCGCACGCTCTTCTTCACGCAACTGTTCGTGCCACTGTTCGCGCCACTGTTGGAACTCTGCATGTTCGAATGCAGTGGGGACGACTGTGACGCCGAGTACCTTGGCTTTGTTGGTTACCTTTACCCAGAGTCTATAATCAACTATTTCCACTGGCGCGAACAGGACCGCGGCGTTTGGCGGAAGTCGAGAGGGCGCCATTGTGCGCAGATGGAAGGTGCAGGATGCGGGCGTGCGACCTAGGATTTCGACAAGCTGTTCAATGCAGCTGAATGCCACGTAGTTCAGGCAGTTCCTACAGTCAGAAGATAGTTAGCAATCGTTCGATGTGTGATTGTGGTGGTCGACGGCGGCGCTGCGATTGTCGAGGTGGTCGGAGAAAGAAAAAGCGGCAGATATTTGTAGCAAGCACTAGCTCAAGTGGGTGGGAGTGAATGAGAACATCGCAGAACATTTATACTGCGACATGATGACTCATCTATATCGCGCACATCTATGACATGGCTTTGGCTCAATTGTTGTTGTCAAGATACCTTGCGAGGTGCAGACATCATGGCAGCAAGGTGTTCGGCAATTGAAACATCGTACGCCCACGGACGGCGAGGTCGTATACTCCAACGTCTTCTCTCCTTCACCAAATGCCCCTTGTTTGTTCTCGGATCTCCTGCCACATGTTCACATATCTTTATAGTCCGGCATCCAAATCTGCAGCAGTACCGTGTTAAAACGCGATTTCGGCGAAGTCAACATTGTCTTTCTTAAGCGGAACTCATACTAGTAGATACTGATTTCGGGCCTGGAGATTTTGCGTGACTGTTTGTGTGCAAATGATCTTCCGTACTAAATGTTAAGTTCTTAGTTTCCATAGATGATTTAGTCGATGTACTTGATCAGCGAAAGGCTATTCAGTGCGTGCCACTGAGCCTAAAAGGCTATTTTTATCTTAATAATGTGCGCTTAGGAGCTGTTACAGTCTTTTTGGCATGCAAAGTCTTGTGGGACTGACCCAAAGTGTTTCTTAGTCGTTTGTTCGCGGCTCGCATAGCTGAATTACTCACAAGACAGCCGCACTTGAGCGCCGACCTCTCTTCTCCTAGACAATTCGAACATTCTGTTTTTCACCATACAGAAGTTATCAAATCCTCCATGATTACCCATCATCGAGGCCGATCATCATGGCCCGTCTCGACGCGCTCCCAGTCGAACTCCTGTGCGATGTTTCCAACACGTCCACGATTCCTGCGAAAGCAGCAACGAGCTATTCAGCGTATCTCTGCTCGTTCGCAAGTACTATCCTATCGATCGTCCTTTACAAGGCACCACGACTATTACAGCCCAAGCCTACCGATGACGGGGAGTGATACTACCGTCGTCGCCATCAACTCAGAAGCCTGTGGAGGACTATGGTCAGCCAGCCCCATCTTACGAAGCAGATTGGTGAGCTCGAAGTGACTGTGGCTCTAATATAATCTCGCTGGACACCACGCACACCAGCCGACCTTTCGCTATCGATGTCGATGTTGGAATTGAGGCTGTAATGAGTCTAACAATTGCGTCGGCTGACTGGGCCGCTCGTATACGACCGAGCTGAGCCTTTTTGACTTCATCAACTACCGTGGCAATAACGATTCTCGTTCGGGTGAACACCGATACATGAGTGCCCCAGAGCATTGGATTTATCGTCAGGATGCAGGGTTCGTAACCGCAATCTCGGAGGTCTTTCACGACGAAGTGTTGGATGGCAAACACACACATGCAGGCAACAGACGTCCAAGTTGCCGCAAGCCTGAGGGACCTGGCGCTGTATTGTTGGTCAACCTCGGCGTCAGCACGGTGTTGAACAAAACGATCGGAGGCGAAGTGACTTATTCTAATGTCGCTTCATGGTTCAGATCACTCGCGAAGGTCATGACGAACGGGTTCCGTTCGGAATACCGTGCAGCAACTTTCGATGCCATGGATACAAAATTGCCTCTAGGTGAGGTCCAAGGACTCGTATGGCTCAGGCAGACGTGTGTCAGTGCGCATAGAGATTGGCTGGCGCTGCCAATACGCCTCACAGCTATCACGAAAATTTTCATGTTATGGAAGACAGGGGCAAACTGGCGACATCGCCGCTCCAGACTCGTTTGGATAGACAGTCTCTTGAAGCTAATCTTCTACAGCCATAGGATCGAGCTGAAAGATCCAAGCGCTCTGCCGCGTCCACTGCGGGAGACTGACGAAGATTCAGACGGCGCTGGCAGAGAAGAATGAAAGATATTGCTGGAAGTAAGCCAGATGAATAAGATGAGTTCGGAGATTCCGGTCACATTTTGATGGGCAGATTACATGGAGATGGATGGTGATGGTACTTTCGCGTTCGCTCTACAAAGTCGAAAAGGCTGGTTGAGACAACGCGAACTTAGAGAGAGGGACGTTGGTTCTTTGCTTGAGACGCCAGACGTTCAAGACTTTAGTGATAGTAACATGGAAAGTAGTTAGCGCGCAAGCGAACTGTATAAGATGTGAGATGCATACCCCGTTCCATGATCCTTAACCCATTCCTTTGCAGTAAGAATCGATGATAACATTGGAGCATAGACCATATGGTTTTGTAATGCAATGTTTCCGAATGCTCAGCCTCCAAATGTTGTACCAGTTGTGAACGCCCGTGTTTCGGCCCCAAATATGCAAGCCTCAGCATGACCTGTCCAACCACAACGAAATTGGCTGCACGCCTGGATCTTGGCTACCCAATCATCACAAACCAGGGCGGCTGAGCACATGGAGGAGGATTGTCAATATATAAAGAACGATACCACAAAATTCGCGCCAGCCTGGTCCGCCTCAATCGTCGTCGCCATGGCCAGCCAGAATTTCGATACTCCCATACCGTGCTGCAATGTTTCGCCAGGATTAGTCTCTGCAGACGACAAATCGAGCTGGTGTCAGGCGAACTTGAATACGTGCACTGAAGTCTGCGGCGGGCAAGGACAGACGAGTGGTAATACATGCGATCGAGTGAGTCCTTCAAAATCGCCCGGTGCGAGAAATACTGATCACAAATTAGACGTCACTTAACTACAGCTGCAAATGCTCCAACGGCACAGACATAACCTCAGCCTTGGCGGCGTACAGCTTCACTGTGCCGGGGCAAATGTGCCAGTTCTGGTTCGGGCAATGCATCAGCGCAGCCAACGGAAATTCACAACAGCAATCCGAGTGCGACGGGGCCAGGAATGCTAATTGCGGGACTCGGATGATTGGCTCCGGTGCGCAGTCTTCTTTAAGATCAGCAGCAGCTTCTGCTACATCAGCTCAGGCATCGGCTAGTAGAAGGGTTTCTGCAACTGCCGCTAGTCAGTCGAGTGACCCTCGTTTACCTGCATCCTCGTCATCTTCTTCGTCTTGGTCGTTGTTGACCGATTTACCGACGATCGCGCCCAACAATAGGAATCGCCCATCGAAAAACCCCGGATCATCAATAGGCGCAATTGCCGGGGCTGTAGTAGGTGGTTTATTGGGTTTAATACTTGTGCTCACCTTGATATGGCTGTTCCTACGCCGGAGAAACGCAAGAAAATCCGCGGCTCCCACAGCTGGAGATACAGGGTCGAGTTACGACGAAAAGGAGGTTTCGGACCCGGTCAATATGATTCTGCCTTTGAAAGCCGAACTCCCTGGCAATGGATCATCCGGGACGCATCGCAATGCAGCATGGCAGCATACCTCGCATCATGAAATGGTATCGGAGCTGGATGCAAGTACGAACGCTGAGTTGTATGCCAGCAGTCCTCATCAGACTCATTACAGAAATGCAAATTTACAGGGCGGAGACAGGCCGTATGAAGCCGCAGAGTTACGTTCATCGACGCCACAGCCGGGCGTAGAGCCCAGTGCGTCGCTCAATGTCCCAATGTCGTCGGGGCAAATACATCAACGACAATCGTCCAACGACCAGCATACTCAATCAGTAACCCCAGAGAGGAGCGCGGTTCAGCGGCAGTTATCAGCGGAAGAAATCACCGCGCTGGAAGAAGAGGAAAAGAGAATAGACGCTGAATTGGAAGAGGTGAAGCGAATGAAGGAACTGAGAGATCAGAAGATCGCGATACAGCAGAAGTTAAGAGATGCAAAAGGTGTATCTTGAGCTTGAACGCAATACTGATGTGTTTGATTCATATGGCCTTTGAAAATGTAAAGTCTGCTTGGGATGGACTCGACGCTTCTAGCCACTGTGTTGATCACGGTAGTTCGAAAGCGCGCGGTGCATGCTGAGCCACGAATTCACGGCGTCGATTTTGCATAGCCATTGAAGGATGCGTGTGCTATTAGGATGAAGGCGGTATAAAGTATGATATCGCCGTCCTTGGTGGGCTCACAGAGCGGAGACTCAGAGGGATGTAACTTTCGAGCTGTCTTTCGCTATTGAGCTTCGCTGAAGTTGGAACAGAGTAAATGAGGGCAAAAAAATTGTTAATGATTTTTTTGCACTGAAAGACCTCTCGGTAGAGTCTGACTTACGAAACTTTCTTGTTACAGTAGGCTTTGTTGGACGTTGAGCAATATTACTTAGGTAGGCTTCTCATACGGCAATTTGGTGTATAAACGAAGATATTTATTGTGTAACAAGTCAAGATTGAACATCCCCGTGGGGATTCTCTGTGACATTCGTTCTCAGTGTATATATGTAGATTTGCGAGTTATGTCGTGAAATGTGGAAGATTGAAGTGACGTCGGTAGACAAGCGCGAGTCATGAATAGCCTACTAAAAATGGTCACATGACGTCGCGTCAACTTTTCGTCTCGTCGTCACACTTGGCCGTCGCAACCACGACCACGCGCAGGCAATGACTCAATGTCCCTCATCAAGTATGCGAAGACATACATAGCTAATCAAGCAAAGTATGCGCACCTTAACGCCTTCGTGTCTCGCGTCGAACCGTCGGCACTCCTCAATGTTCCGCCGAACCCTCCGCTAGCGACTGATGGCGAAGGCAATGCAGATTGGCATAACCTTCGCGGCATGCCTGTAGCGGTAAAAGACAATATATGCACAAAGGATCTCAAGACTACAGCTGCATCTGGAATCCTCAAAGATTTCACGAGTCCCTATGATGCGACGGTGGTCAAGCTACTGCGGGAAGAGGATGTCGTGGTTGTTGGAAAGACGAATATGGACGAGTTCGGGATGGGATCGCACTCGATAAATTCACACACCGGGCCGGTGAAAATGCAGAGATATGATGGCGAGGAGGCGAGTGCGGGCGGCAGTTCTGGAGGCAGTGCGCTGGCCGTCGCAAGCTCGCAATGCTGGGCAGCCTTGGGAACAGATACAGGCGGCTCTGTGAGGCTTCCTGCTGCTTATACGGGCGTAGTGGGCTTTAAGCCAAGTTATGGGCTGCTCTCAAGGTGGGGCGTCATTGCGTATGCGAACTCTCTAGACACTGTCGGCATCCTTGCGAAGAGTCCTCGCAATGCTGAACGAGTATTCGAGAAGCTTAACGTATACGATCCGCAAGACCCTACTTCTCTTCCTCCGTCGACTCGTTCGCGCCTCGGATCCAATAAAAGTGTACCTGAATCGCTGCGAATTGGTATCCCATTGGACTACAATATAGCTACTCTACATCCTGTTGTTCGGAATACATGGATGCGTGCTTTGAGAGCACTAGCAGAAAAAGGGCACACATTGCATCCAGTACGGCTACCAGCAACACAGCATGCTCTATCGGCATACTACGTTCTGGCCCCTGCCGAAGCATCAAGTAATCTTGCAAAGTACGATGGCGTTCGTTTTGGAAGCAGAGCGGATGGCATCGACGGTACTCCAGAAAGTGTGCTCTTTGCAAAGACTCGTGGACAAGGTTTCGGTGCAGAAGTGCAGCGCCGGATTCTGCTGGGCGCATTTTCACTCAGCGCACAGGCCATCGACAATTATTTCATTCAGGCACAGAAAGTCCGAAGGCTAGTGCAGCAGGATTTCAACAACGTGTTCGCCAAAGCCAATCCGCTTGGCAATGAGGGCACGACGTCCGGAGGCGCAGACGAGAAGGTGGACGTCTTGCTGTGCCCGACTGCCCCCACACTTGCTCCAGCTTTGTCCGATGTCAAACAGCAGGACCCCCTCAAAGCATACATGAATGACGTCTTCACCGTGCCCGCAAGTCTTGCAGGCTTACCCGCGATTAGCTTGCCTGTCCATATTACAAAGGAGGAGGAACTAGTGTTACACGGAGACCAAGACATCAGGGAAAGTGCCGGAATGCAAATAATCGGCCAGTACGGAGACGACAAACTCGTTTTGAATGCTGCGCAGAGCCTCCAGCTAGCACTAAAGGCTATACAAGTGACTGCAAAACCTGATATGACCGCCTGGGGTCATAGTAGTCTTGGAAAGACTTCAGCCCGAGAGCGCAAAAAGTATGAAGAAAACGCCAACGAGCTCGGCCTTAGCATGGCAGAGGCCATTCCGATAATAGAGGCACGCAAACTACAGGCTGCCAAACAGCTGACCGCGACGTTCTACGAGGCGCTCGGATCTGCGCGTCTGAATGAGGCCGGTTCATTTCACAGACAGTCACGCCAGGAATACATTGCGCGCTTCATAGACGAGGAAGATCCGCTCCTTGCAGAGAAGTTGTTGTACGCGAAGCAAATCGAGTATCTGAAAAGGATGGAGGACAGGCGCGAGGGGCAGGAGAGACTTGCACGAAGATACCAGCGTGAGGCAGACATGTTCAATGCTTCAGAGGCAATTAAGGCAGAAGATGCAGAGCCCCCCAAAGCGAACGATACAGGCCGTCCAGCGAACCAACAGCATGAATCGAAGCCTCTACACCCACTAGGCTCGTCGTTCTACAGAAATGGTGTCGCGATCAAGAATTGGCGCCGTGCCACGTTCAAGGGCGCAGACATCGATCTCAAACGCGATGCTGGAAAGCTGTATACAAATTCACCGCCACCACCTGGACTGGAAGTGAAGAAGGATGTGAACTTTTGGTTGCTCAAGCCCAAGGAACCACCACCAAATTTACCACCACCACCAGAGCTGGAAGTGAAGAAGGATATATACGTGTGGAGGCTCCAGCCCAAGGAATCTCCTTCAGGTAGAAGGCGTACAAAAGCGAAGAAGCAGGCTGGACCAAGCATTGAGGAGCTTCAATAGGTCAAGGAGGAAGTTGAGGAAAAGAGAAACGTAGAAGTTTAGGGAAAGAACAAAATAGGTCGTCAAAGACGAAAAGTCTAACTGATGGCTTAAGCCTGTGTAAATATCAAAATTAATATCTTCTCACACATCACAGATCAAGTCACTCAAAAGTCCGATATCATAAAAAGAATGTCCATATATTCATCCAATCATAAATCCTCCAAATTCATATTTGCAAATCCCTTAGCCATCCACCTCCGATCGAAGATCTTGCCAGCTCTGATTCGTTACGAGAGCATGTTTATCGAAGCATGTGGTATCGGCGGTTGAAGTGCTTAGTGCTACAAACACACCCCGAATTAGCCAACCAATCCCCACCCTCTTCGTCTGGGCACAACTTACAGAGCAAGAAGAGCACGAGCAGCCGGAGCAGTCACCGGAGCAGGAGCAGGTCTGGCAGTTGCTATCGCAGCGCGTTAGTTTGGACATCATGGTGCTGGCGCTAGGCCCAGTCGAGCACAGCAGCGTCTCGAAAGACAGTGCGTGATTGGGGGCGACGTACCAGGGAGACATGTTGATTGGATGGGTTGGTTGGTTTGGTTTGGAAGTGTGTGTGTGATGGGCAGATGAGTGAGCTTGGTTGACCATCAAGGTACTGCGCGAAGGGACTTATATAGACCTCCCTCCTCCGTCTGGACGGCGAGAGATGGCCGTCTGATCATGCGCTGACAGTGACATATCGATCGACCCCACTCCCCAACAGCGCCCGACGAATCCTTGGACCGACCATACATGTGAAGCACACACGTTGTGGAGAGGCAAATGCGTGCTGGCATACCCCACACTACTGGTCGACTCGCCCACACCAGAGGCGTTTCCGGCGGTGGAAAGTTAGCGCGGTATTTTCACCGCATGCGAGCTTGTCTGGGCGTCTTTCGATTCTACCTATTCCGAGGGATGGTCGCCGCAGCTCACACGGCTTGTCGGGCGAATTGTCCGGTCACTGGGCCTATAGCCATTTGCCCGCGTACACCATCAGGCCAGCCCGCCGGTGCGTGTGTAGTGGAGACGGAACGGCACGTGGGGAGCAATGACATGCACTGGCAGCTCTGTTATCAACACTTTACGTGAATAATGCGTGGCTACTGCCCATTTGACCCCGCATATGCAATGCTGGAACCGAGATGCTGTAATGTGCCTATGCTGTGCAGGTTTTACCGGTCAAGCTGGCCAAGGAACTGTCTTGTTCTGGACTCGATTGCATATCCTGCTGACCTCTTTGTCCCGAAAGGGTCCAGGGAGTAGTCGTTGTGAAATGCCCAATCAGCGCTTGCCGTGGTAGACTCCGGTAGTCTGGCACGTGAACCGCGGCAATTGGGGTAGAGGCGGTACTTGGGGTAAGTACCCTTCCGCGTCATCAGAGGGTACTTCGTGGGGTTGTTGCGTTGGGTGTAGATCTTGTGTGCAAGGGATCAAGGGTTCGGGTATTGAGTTTCGACATAGGCGAGATCCGTGTGTAGGAAGTGAGGCTTTCTCCCACGCGGACTACGACTTGGTAGTCGCTCTGTAGAAGCGCCGTTGCCGCCGTAACATCAATGGTTTTCTGCGGCACTTGAGCGCATGATGTGTTATGAGATATGGGAGCTTTGTACCAGAGCTTTCCAAGAAGTCCCCACTTGTGAAGTACCTACCTAGGTACGGTACTCAGTGACGAAGATCTACTTCTGCAGACAGAAATTCCGTCTTTCAAAAGCTCGAGTGCAAATTCTACGACACCTCATGAGAATCCATGAAGATTTACCCCGACCATCTCCAACACAATCCGCGATAATGCCTCTATCTCTAGCCTTATCATATGCCCCGTCTAGACCCAGAACTAGCCAACAAAGACATTCCATTGTCAGAAGTCTATTTTTGCCACCTCTAACTCTAACTTTACAGCCTAACGAGAGCGGTGACATATCGCCAGACCGCTCATCGCTACCAAAGTTCGTGACATATCAACACACCGCCCAGAAGAGCACGCGAAGCTTCGGCGACGTAACAACACCGGAGCCAAAGTCAATGATCATGAGAATGTGGATCTGGCTTTCTCGATGGCCAGAAATGCCTCTCAGGAAGGAGCGGTGACATATCGCCTCGATAGATCTCACTCTCAATTCCCCACCTCTATGCATCCACACGAACAAAGAGAGCATGACACGTAACTCAATCATTTTCACACTTCACCCCCTATCTAAATATCAAGATGTTGCCTAATGTCATCCACGCCTCTCCAATCGTCCTCCCTCGTCCTCTCAAGCGGACTATGGACATCCTCCTCCTCACTCCGTCTACTCCCCTCCGTCCCCGCGCTCGCCACCGTGATCCCACTCACACTCCCACTCGTGCTCTTACTCCTTCTTTTCTTCTTGAACCAGCTCCTCTTACTCTTCGTACTCGCAGCATCAGTGTCCGACACCACGCTTGCCGCGTCATCGACCAGCGTCGTATCTGCCGTCGACACGCTGAGATTAGACGGGAACTTGGCAAGTTGGTCGTCATCAACAGGCGCATGCTTGGGCGTCGGAACAGGCGTGACTTCTGTCGACGGCGTAGACTCCACGAGTTCAGCATCGCGGTACCATTTCCTCCTGCGCGTATACCGCCCCCAGCCATCGAGGCCTCTGCGTCCATCACGCCACTGGGAAGTCTTTAGTCTTGTTCTAAGGTGAGTGTAGTGCTCGCGTAAACCTACCTTGTTATCATAGTATATCCATCCTGCATCGTCCTTGGTGGTGGTTTTGGTGTCGCCGCCCGTCTCGATTTTCCAGCTGCTGCCTTGCACCCAGCGCCAGCGGGATTGGCCGCCTTCAACTTCGGGGAGCTCGAATTGGTCTTTCGGTGGGACCGCGTTGAGGTGTTCGTCGGTCCAGGAGGCGCGTTCGTAGGCGAGCATGGAGGATGTCCAACCGATGCCCAGCCAGCGCCGTTGATTCTCGTAGATGGAGAAGGTAAAGCGCACGCCGGTTGATTCTGGGCGGCGCTTAGCTGCCAGAGATGCTGCCACTTCTTGCGTGCTCTTTTTGCGGGGAGGGAGTGGTGGTGCTCCCTTTTTGTCTGCAGAGATGGTGTCGCCAAAGTCCAGGCCAGTGAGGAAGGCACATGTCTTGCGGACCATTCTCGATCTCCACATGAGAGTACGAGTCACACGTGCGGGCCGCGAGTGCCAGCTGAGCGACACTGTACCGACTGCCAACACTACTCGTTTAGTAGAGAGGATGTAGAACGGCGGTAGCGTTAGAAGAATCCATAGTGGAAGAACAAAGAGTATTCGGATGAAGAGTACTGTCAGTGCCGGTCTTGTGGTCGCAGATGTCGCAGTCCTCTGTGTTGAAAGGAAGTCGGTCAGTCGTAGGAACGGGTCGAGCAAAATATTGCACCGTGACGTGAACATCTTCAGACTGTCGACGATGTCTTCCAAGCTTTTGTGGTGCTTGATGTCGCTCTCAGATTCCGCTCTCTTATGGACTTTCTGCCCTTTCTCACCAGTCCACCCAGTCGACGAGAGTGGCGAGTATCTTCGAGTGTACATGCCCAAGATCAAGCCTGACACCACAATGATCGGCCCGGCATATCTCGTCACAGCATCACCATACATGACTATCGCCCAGAAGCTGGCAACCAAGAGGAAGCTCTCCCACGGGTCTCCGGTTGTCCATGTTAACAGCCCAACCAGTTTGTTCAACGGCAGGATGAAAGGGTGCGAGTACGCAAGAACACGGGTGATCTGAGGCGGTGTAGCAGCAAGCAGAGGGGACTTCTGGTGCACCAATATCGCGGATCTCAACTTGGTCTGCGGCGTGGACTGGCCGAGGGTGGAGGGAGTGAAGGAGGCATAGGTCGGCGGGTTCGGATCACCGGTTGGCAGCGGGGACGACGCATCGTTGGAGGGTCTCGAAGGGCTGGACATGTGCTCTAGCCAAGGTATATCTTGCGGCGTGTAAGCATGTTGGGTGGAGTTGTGCCTGTGTATATGTTCGATGCAGGATATTTGGAAAGACCAACCTAGTGCGGCCATGCATCCAGAAGTGCGTCATAGGGCTGCGCAGGTAAGGCTGAGAGCCGCGTCTACTGTCAAGCCACACACTTTGCGGACAAGAGGGTTTTTGTCGTGCTGTGCTGTGCTGGAGAGAGACGGATCTGAGCTCGAGTGATCGTGAAAGTGCAGTGGCATGTGACGCGGTCATTTTTGCTATGACGGTCGGCTGGCGGCTTTGTGCATGTGAAGGCCTAGTCCAAGGCTTGCGGAAGCCTCATGTCAGTACCGAACTTGGAATTGACCCAACCACAGAATGTATTATTGGGACGCTGAACGCTTTCCGACAATACAGCATATGTCAGTTCCATCATGCACCGATTAAGATGCTGTGGAATGCGTACACGCAGCGCGAGGACTCAGCTTTGCGCTCGGATGCTGATTGGCTGAAGCTGTGGCGCGGAACGCTCCTCATCCTCGGAAGTTGTCGAGAAATTTCCAAGACAACCTTCATCGACGCCAACAACTCGCCCAAGCACCCAGCTGTGCGGCAACAACTCTGCCAGACCCGCCGAGCTACAAAGGGACCGCTCTATACTAGACCTTTTTCTACCACATCACAATGGTACATCTTCCACCGCCTCTTTCACGAATCCCGCCAACTAACACCACCAGGCCCACCGCATAATAACGCAGGTCGTCTTCTCCGGCGCCCGTATAATAGGCCGCGCGGTTTCCGAGTCCTACCGTCAAGCTGCCGCCGCCCAGAAATATGCTGCCGCCAACCAAAACGGAGGTGGCGGTGGTGGAAGCGCCTTCTCCGGCGGCTCCAACATTACCATGGATGAGGCATGCCAGATTTTGAACGTTGGACCGGGCAAGATGGGCAACATTGAGCTGGAGGCTGTCACGGAGAGATTTAAGAGGCTGTTTGATCTGAACGATCCGAAGAAGGGAGGCAGTTTCTACCTACAGAGCAAGATATTACGGGCGCGAGAGAGAATTGAGAGGGAGGTACAGGGACATCAGCGTGTGGCGGAGAGGGAGAAGGAGTTAAGAGAAGGCTTCAAGCCGAAATTCACCAAGGAGGATTGAAGCTCGAAGTCATCTACATGATCTTGTTCCTTCGCACTTGGGAGCCTTTGACCTTGGCAGGGCTTCGACAGTCTTCACTCACCGCGAAAAGCCCATTGGACAGTAGAAAGAGACTGCATACGACTGGCGTTCAGATATTTGGCATAGCGTTATTGCCGATTCACATGTCTTTTTAGGAGCGGTGGCGCTCTGGAATCAGCACAGAGAACCTTTTGTGCCACAGAACTCTCCGCTCGCATTTGTACATATATATCGATTTGATTGTTCGAATAGTAATGTACCAATACATATTCCCCCATGAGCAAGTGAAACAGAGACCGAGGAGCACTGAAAGCTTCGCTTCCCCGCAAAGGCATCAAGTGGTGACCCCAGTCGCCCCTTCCGTTTCGTCATTATGCACGTGCCGTATCCGGATCCTTGGCGCACTGGATTAACAAAAAGTTCGCGCCATCCTTTGACCTCCAACCTCACCGCCCCACAACACTCACTCCCGCAACAAACGGTCGCAACAGCAGAAAAGCTGCGCCAAACGAACCTACGCACGCGCAACATGGGTGACTCGTATCGTCCTTCGCGGCGCGAACCTCCGCCACCAAGAAAGCTGCAAGATCGCGTCACTTTCGGTGATGGCGGTCGCGACAACCACCGGCCAGATTTCACTTTTGAATCGAAGCATTCCGCACCTCATTTCCCGCCTTCAGGTCCTGCAAACGGAGCGCCGCGCGGGCCTGCTAGGAACAACCGTGGTGGAGGCAACCGCGGGGGAAGGCGCGGCGGTGACCGTTATGGCAGAGGCAACTCCAATGGCTCGCGCCGTGGTGGCGCGTACTACAAACCACCTGCGCCGCACGAGCGCGCATTGCTTCAGCATCACGATGATGGCGAGGAGCATATGTATGGTGTCTCCCATGGCCCCAATCGCTTCATGAACATTGATGACTTGTCTGATCACGACGAGGCCGACATGGACGAGAGTGGTGACTCGGCCAACGGTGACGGCGCGAAAGGTGAAGGGAGTAAACACAAGGTAGCCCGAACGATGGCCCCGCGCAACGATGGCGATTCAGTACCCAAGTGGTCTAATCCCGATCCGTACACTTCTCTTCCGCCTCCCAGCGAGACGACTGGAGTCAAGATGGATGTAGTCCAGCTCATCCGTAAGGCGAAGAACGCAGCTGCTGAGAAAGCAATCGGAAACGGCGCTGTTGCCGCCAACGATGACTTTATCTCGTTTGCCGACGACGTCAGCGAGGATGGAGAAGTCGACGATGATTCTGATGTGCAGATATTAGAAGACGAAGAGCCTATTCGAGATCGGCGCAACGGCAATGCATCTCGGCGCTCGGTGCAGGGTTCCCTGAATGACCTGGACCACGTCGCCAACACCGTTGATGAATCTCGTCAGAACGGCTACGATCGTCAGAACGGCTACGACTCGTACCCCCCACCACAGCCAGGTTCGGGCATGAAGCGTAAAGGCGGTAAAGATGTGCCCATAGTTTCTGACTGGGTTTTGAACTCGCGCAGCAGTAACCCCACCCCGTGGGCTGCTAGTTCTCAGACATACAAACATCTTGCCAAGGAACCTAAAAAGTGGTAAGTAGATGCACCTCATAGCTGAACGGCTATCCCACTGACGGAACATGAACTGACATCGAGTAGGCTACACAACGAGATCCTCGACTTCTACGAGTGGGTGGCTCCGCAGGAATACGAACACAGCGCTCGTGATAAGCTTGTCCAACGCATCTCGAACGCGTTGAGCAGCCAGAGGTGGTTCCCTCAGGACAATGGTCGTATTCTATGCTTCGGATCATATCCGGCTGGACTCTACCTTCCCACAGCTGACATGGATCTTGTGTATGCGTCTGACAGACTTTACAACGGTGGTCCTCCAGTACTAGAAGCTGGGGTTGACAAAAACGCATTCACCAAAACTCTACGCAAGGCATCCTACAGACTCCAGAAGGTAGGTATTGCGGCCAATCCATTCGTGATAGCCAAGGCGAGAGTACCTATCATCAAGTTCAAAGACAAACTTACTGGCCTCGACGTTGATATCTCATTCGAGAACCTTAGCGGTGTACAGGCGCAGGCAACCTTCGACAAGTGGAAGATCGATTATCCAGACATGGTTTACATGGTGGCTCTTGTCAAGCAGCTGCTGGTCATGCGAGGCTTAAATGAGGTTCATACCGGCGGGCTGGGAGGTTTCAGCATCATTTGCCTGATTGTCAGCTACATCCAGCATTCCCCGAAGGCGGATAACCTCGGAGAGTGCTTCATGGGCTTCCTCAAGTACTACGGCAAAGACTTCGACCTAGCCAGGAAGCGCATTCAGATGAATCCCCCAGCCATACTGGACAAGGTATGTCTCCTGAGCACGTACGCTTATCGTACCTTTCGCTAACTCATCGAAGTCAAACTACGGTATTGATGGCCGAGAGGAGACGGACACCGGCTTGTCAATTCAGGATCCCAACAAATTGGACAATAACATCTCCGGTGGATCGCGTAGAGCTCCAGATGCATTCAACGTCTTCTCAGCGGCGTACGACACTTTGTATGATCGTCTGAGAGCTTCGGAGCTTGGCCAAAACATTGGACCCAGCATTCTGGGATCTATCATCGGCGGCAACTATAACTCCTACCTAGACCAGCGTCATCGTCTGAGGACCATTCAGTAAGTTCGTGTACTAGACTGCGGTGGGCCTTAATCGTACCATCCTCTTCACTGGACTGCGGACCCTACCGATACCTGGAGGATTGAGCGCTCCAATGTCGGATTGTAGTATTAATTAGCACTTGCATTGTCGAAGGCACGAGCTGAACTCACACTTTCTAGTCAGGACGACTATGATTCCGAAGATGAGCACACCGCCATTCCTCAGAAGAGCAAGGATGCATCGGCGAAGAAGCAGTAGTATGGTGCTCTACCACGGAACAGGTGGGATATCTGAGTAGTTATTGCGGCGTTTAGGGGGTTATTGTGTTACAGGTTGAGCCGAGTATGTTTGCTTCGGCAAGGCGCACTCACTTTCAGCAGGTTATGGCGGCTTTCTTGCTTCATGATACCCACAGGTGACCAAAAGTGTCTGGTGTACAACATCTTAGCATCATACAGACAGGACAGATCTTGGAACGAACGCTTCGTCGACCGGCCGGATTGTACAACCATGTTGTTGCTCCTGCAGGAACCACGATATGGACATGCGAGCCTCCCGATCAACGACGTCGTACCCACCCGGATTTTTCAACCTGTCCTCCAATACGATTTTACGGATCATGTCCTCTGTACATTAGATTTTTCATGACAAGTTTCTTCCTTTCTTCTTCTCATTTGCTATCCTACGGCAAGCCTTCAAGGATCTACTAACATGTGCCTGGTGTGGCAAGATGAAAGCAGTAGCAGCTTTAGGCGCCGACATGATCGATTGCGAATCCAATCAGTTGATCAATGCCGGATCCTAACACCACGAAACAGTTCTCTAGAGAACGTGCCACCGGCAACGGGGCGTCTTTTATCATTGAGTCGCGTGCCACATGGCGTGCGCTTGAGGACGAAAGACGACTTCTCTTACGCCCCGGAGGTATCAGGTCATATTCCACGAGAACAGCTGCGATGTGAATCCCCAGAATGCGTCTTGTAGAGACATGCCTCCCATGAGGCTTAGTCACACACTACACGCGCTAGCCATACTAAGCGAGTACACCTCTAAAGCTGCATCCTAAAGCAACTATACATTTCGCAATCGCAACCATGACATCAATAAAATCCCTTACGTCCTTCAAACTCGACCTACCGCCCAGCTGTATTGAGTTCTTCCCTCTCAAGCCCAACATCGCAGTCATTGGGACTTACAATCTTGAAAAGTCTGCGGAAGACTCTTCGGAGACGAAGGTCGTTGGGACGGCGACGCAGAGTCGGAATGGCAGTTTGGTGTTGGTGAGGGTTGATGGGGATAATGTCGACATTCTGGAAAACTTTCCCACGCCCTCGGCCATTCTAGATATTCACTTCCTGTCCCATGTGCCCAGCTCAAATTTTGGCGTTGCAACCTCCACTGGTTCATTCGCCATCTACGAACTCGCCGACTATGAGAAACGCACGCCGAAGATCGTGCATATCAAGACCATTCAGTACTTCCCTGAGAATGTGTTGATTACAGCGTTCGCATGGCATCCGGAGAGTTACATGGTCGGCATGACGGTATCGGATGGGCGGGTATGCTTGGGTATCATTGACGAGAGCGAAGAAGAGCAAGGAGAGAGCGTTGGTGGAAATGTCATGGAACTAGCCAAACACGACCTAGAAGCCTGGACACTCTCCTTCGCCCTAGACGGCACAAGCATCCTCTCAGGCGGCGACGACAGCGCACTCAAACTCATAGAACTATCCGAAGACCACGATCACGAAGACAAGCAAGACGATGACCGCTACCAAACAGCGCGATACACCTCCTGGACCGATAAGAAAATCCACCAAGCTGGCGTCACGGCGATACTTCCTCTCCATCTCGACAACGAAGCGGGCTTGATGGTCACGGGAAGTTATGACGACTCTATCCGCCTCGTCAGCTTCTCCGCAACGGGCCAACGACGTATCTTAGCCGACCTCAATCTCGGCGGCGGCGTCTGGCGCATAAAGCTGCTCGACCGTAAACCCACACTACCGGCCCATCACGGTGTGGAGAAGTGGCGCTCTGAGCCGCCGCCCACGGAGGTCTTGTTGCTGGTTAGTTGTATGCATGCCGGCGCGAGGGTTGTCAGACTCAAGAAAGAAGGAGAGCAGTGGGCGTTTGAGGTGCTGGCGAAGATGGAAGAACATCAGAGCATGAATTATGGGAGTGATTGTCAGAGGGGAGCAGATCGGGAGGGGAGGAGGACGTTTGTTAGCACGAGTTTTTATGATCGGTTGTTGTGTTTGTGGAGGTTCTGAGGTTTGGGCAAAAGTCATTATCGGGGCTTTTAGAAAAGACAGATAATTGTTCTCCCTTCAACTTGACTGGATGTCTTGTCTTTGCTATCTTCAGAGCGATATCTTTCAGACTAGACGCATAGTCCGTTGCTTCCAGCCTGCAGCTGCCAATGTTCTGGGGCCGCGCCGGCTATCGATCTTCAACGGATTCTCGTACCAGTTTCTCGACGGAAGAGATGATGCGCGTGCAAGGACCACTTGTTCTTGAATTTCCTCGGGTATGTTTGTCGTCTCCAATTTAACACGACGATTCCATGTCCCTACTCGGCGATAAGTTTCCTTTCCAGTACCCACTACTAGCAAGCCACGAGCATCTACGTAGAGGTCCTCATCACGTAACCATAAAGAACCTCTAGTAGACAAGCATAAAAGAAACATTCCAAGCTTTGCCATATCTTGTAGGGCATGCAATGTTATACTCCTGTCGAATTGAACTTCCAAACGCCAGAATGAATCTGTGGTCTCGTGTTGCGAAACCGTATATGATCGGGCCCAGGTTGTGATATCCAGCCAGGGGTTGTAAGTCCGTGTAGACGTCCACCGAGTTTGCGAAACTAGACAGACTGACTGCGCCTTTATGGCGATCCCATAACATGACATTGACGTCCTGATCTAGGACAGTATTCAAATCTCTCTCATGATTATGGTCGTAATAAGTGTCCAAGAGGCTTCCCAAAGCCTCGCTTGCTTTGATTGATGCCCATGTCCAAGATGGAAACATAGATGTAGGCTCTTTCTGTGAAGACGGAGTGCCGTTCGTCAAAACTACATACTGAAGGCCGCGTAGGAACGTGTACTGTGCTATGCCGGGTGAATACTCTGAACGGATAATAGGTATACCATAGAAGTGTGTAGCAGTCACATGCCCCACGGGATTGCCTCCCACGATTTGCGGACTGTCGAATGCATTGATAATGCCGATGAATGCGTCGATAGAGTCTTCACTGAAAGACAAATGACGTCTGCAATACTCACACAAACGCTGTAACAGGGCAGTATAGTCATTGCCCACTACACCAATCGGAAATGCTCTGTAGTGAGATTGCCTCAAGGTGAAATAAGTTTTCTTAGACTTAAGACTTTCGAGCTCGGATCTCAATGTACACTGGAAGTACATCTGAGTGCTTGTAAAAACTAGTCGTCGACGTGACAATAGCATCTCCTGGTACGTCCTACTACATAGTCAATGGAGGCTCTTCACTAAATATACGAGCAGATTACTTACCAGCCCCTTGAACCCCATTTCGACTTCTCAATCTCTTCCTTTATGGCCGGCGCACCAATATACGCGCAAAATTCTCCTTGCAGTAGAAATCGCGACTGACGAGGAGTGCCACGTACGCCAGGAAGCCCATGGTGAGGGTCTTCTCCCGCTGCTGATATAATGGTCAAATTTGCACCAGAGTAGATCTTATCCATGTTTCGGATGATAGTATGCTTCTGCTGCCGATTGGTCTGATCAATGCAGTATCGATCAACCCACAAAAACGGAATTCCAATCTCTATGGCAACATGCATGGCGTCCTCGATTGTTTTTGGTATTTTGCTTGGAAGCACTAGAGGCGAATTTTTTCCTCCATCCTCGTCTGTGCCCCAAACATAACTCAGACAAACATAACGTTGTCCCTCCAGAGCTGGAATGATTTTTCTCGTTCTGCAATCTATCAGTTGCAAGATACTGCTAATGGCCGCGAGTGGACGGCAATTGTCGAAATGGTTCTCTTCGCAGTTGAGCAAGGCCTGCTTGACCATGTCGTAGTTGGCGATATTCGGTGTCACATATTTGCCAATAGGTATGGGGTACAAGTACAGCGTTTGAGAATCATGCCGCTTCTTTGCCGGCTTAGCAGTAAGTAGGACGATATGGTAGTACTTTTGGTCTTTCTCATCGCCGACCAAGCTTAGGGCATGTAGACGAAATATATCCAATTTTGACATTTCCTGACTTGAAGTGCTAAAAATCTTGCAGAATTGCTGGCAGAGTCGACAGTCTGACTTGAGAGAAGACTTTGTGATCTCGGTGAGCCAACCGACCTTGACCTGGCCGGATTTCTCGAGATGCGTCCCAATCTCCAGTGCTTGGCATCCTTCGCAAAGCCCTTGTTCTTCTGGAGATGCGGGCAATGGAGTTATTTCGTGCAGTATACCGTCGGTCAGAGGTTCCATATCGCCAGGCAACAGCGGAGTCGTCACTGTGCCAGTTCCGTATTCGTCTGCAGCTGTTCTAGCCTCACTCGATCCAGTAAAATAAATTATTGGGTATACCAAAAAGGTGGTACTTAAATAGGATGTCGACCTTTACATGGTGGAGTGATGTGTCTGCCTGCAAGGCGAATCTAGGATGTCTCATCTGCTAAGCCACTGCAGCCCTGTGGTCCCGATCGCGGGGTACAGAAGCATGACAGAGACAGCTGACATCTGAGCTGCATAAAAGATTTGGTGATACTGAATATAATGACTAGGCTTCATCTCTGTAAGATGATGGACCATAAGAATAGCCCTCATGGCAATGGATGGCGTTTGCCTGTCATTGAGCAGTCAGTCATGATGGGATAGAAGTGCGTAAAAATTATGCATTGATTTTTCTAGCAGACATACATACGGAGAATTTGTCTTTGTTTGCCATTAAACGTTCCTTCGCATCGTACTTCGCTTCACCAACTCCCTCTTTGAATGCCTGATCGTGCTGCATAAGTGAAACCAGAACAAGACGAACCAAACAGCCAACATAGATACGGCTACTACCAGAACTACCACAATTGACATTACCGCGACTCCGTAGCTTACATTCTGAAAAGAAACGTTATTCTCCAATCGAGACGTCGCAAGACCCACTTGCATGGCGGAGAGAATGACTGTTATGTAAATGAACGCTGCAACTATCCAGCCAAAGTTCCTTTCAAAGAATTGTGTATAACAGGTCGGATTTGACATGAAACCATAGACGAAGTCGCGAGCTGAGAAAGTGGCGAGGTTGAAGCGATAGAGAGTATTCAGCCTGCTCAGTCTTAGTTCACCATAATGATATCTTTGATCGGCCTGGGCTGTCACAGTGTCCATGTCCCGCAGAATATCATGAACGACGTTTCTCCAGGCTACCCAAGTTATAGAAGGCGGAAATATACGTTCTTCAATTGCAATGGCAAAGTCGATGGGCGAGGCTACGAGCCAGACGTACGAAAGTAGAAGACCGGTGGCGCCCGCAAATTGTTGCTCGCTTGGACACAGAAATTCCTCCCACAGCTCGTAATTAAGCAAGTATCCTGGTATTGGTTTGATGAAGATGTGGTCTTTGCTCCACACAAGATGCTCGTCGACCGATTCGGTAAGATGTATTGTACGTTGCATTAACTTTTGTCTATGCAGTGGTCGGGCTTGTCGAATCGGCCCAGCCAGCCATAAGCGATGGTAAATGGCATTTAGCTTTGGCATGTGAAGATCGCTTTCCAGAAATAGCTGGGGCGCTTGTTGTGGGTCAAGCAACATGCCTTCGTATCGAAAGCATGCTGGATAGATCCACTCTTTTGCTGGAGAAAGCGAAGACTTCGATGAGAAGGGTGGGACTCGGCTGTGAAGTATCGCTGGCGACATGTGTTAAGCTCTAGAACAGTCTTGATGTTGTTCTGCGCTACACCTCTTCGGCCTTGTGTAAAGTAGGTCGTCAGTGTTGGAGACGACTTTAGGTGACTCCAACCTTCAAGCGATTTCTTCGACGTTTTGCTGTGTGTCTAGCAATTTGATCTTTAATTATCCAAGTAGAGAAGGCAACCGGTGAAACATGGTTGTTCCTAGATTTAGAAGATGGGCGATGCAGGTGTGCTTGCGGACCAATCCAGGCAGGAGCCGAGGGCTACACCGCCCTCCTTATGCATGCGCACTATGATCAGCTTACGCTACATAGTCTTGCAGCCACGAAATAGCTCACTTGATTGCTTACATGTTCGAATTAGCGCTCATGAGGCTCGAGAGGCAAGTTGTTCATATCCACACTCTGTGAGGATCTTTGTTTCCCCGCCGTACTGGCCCCCACCCTGCTGCGGCATCCATTACGATCCGCAACCCTCACCAGCCCAAGAACTGAGTCACGGCTTTGCCAATTTCGTCGGTTCTGGAACTGAGGTGCAAGAGAAACGACAATCTCTTAGCGCCGTCAGTACTGTGCTTCAATGGAGCATGAGAGCTTGTTCAAGCCAGATCCTTACGAGATTCTAGGCGTCGCGCGTCATTCTAGAATAGGAGACATTGAGATCCGCTACAGAGAGTTAGTCCGCAGTTATCTTCGGAAGACCGAATCGCCGACGTTGCAGGAGAGAAATGAATTTCATCGGATTTGTGAAGCTTGGGATATACTGCGCATTCGAGACACGATAGCTTCTTTCGAACTTAGACCAAGAAGCGGCATAAAACCGAGCCTTCAACAAACGCAAGAATCGAAAGACCTTGCCATTCGAGCCTTGTCAGGTAGTGCTCCGTTGAGAAGCAGTCATTCTGATGGAAAGCTGCAAGGTAAATCGAATGAAGTGGGTGATGAACGTCTCATGCATCACCATTCAATCTCAACAGAGGAGGAAGGAAAGAAGACTGAAATCAAAAATAACGAAAGGGATGCATTCATGGCGTTTGCAATGGAGCTTTTTGATCAGGAACAAGCGGACAGAAGAAGTCAAGTGGATGTTCCTGGTGCAGAAGTACAAGGAAAACTCGAAGAACATCAGGTGCTGGGCGCAACCATGAATGACCAACATGAGTCAGATCGAATCGAAGAAGAGATTGAAGAGCGCAATCGTGCATATCGCGACATGAAAAAAACGGTCCATACTTCGATGCCAGATTTGCCGGAAGAGGAGAGAGAATCGACTAAGCAGAAGGAGATTTTATACTCCGTGCCTGTTGAGCAGCTCAATATGCAAGTCATGAATCCGCAACAAGCCGACTACTGTGTCGACATTATAGCAGTTCACGGTTTGGGTAAATTTGCGCCTGTTCGCGCTGCATGTAAGACATTACTAACTCTTCCCAGGAGCAATACCGAACATTACTTGGACCGAGAAATCTTCTGGCATAAACTGGCTTTCGTCAGAATCGATGCTACCAAGCACTGCTCCAAGAGCGAGGATTCTGAGGTTCGGATATGACTCCCTATGGATGGGCAAAACTCCAATTAGGACTTCGCTTTCGACAATCGCCTACAAACTCCTACTAGGTCTTAGCATGATTCGCATGGAAGACTTGCAGCGTCCATTGATCTTCGTAGGGCATTGTTTTGGCGGCTTGGTCGTTCAAAGAGCTCTGAATCTGGCAAAAATGCAGCAGGATGCTTATCCTGGCGTGTTTGACTCGACCGTTGGGATAGTTTTCCTCGGAACGCCGCATCGAGGAACTCAATCTTTCACACAAGATAGCGCTCTGTTTGCTGCTATTGCTGCATCTTCTGACTTGTCTCGAAAGCTTGAGACTGGGGTTCTCGAGAGCATAGCGTCGGATAATGGCGCATTACTTGATGTCACCGATGATTTCGTGCGACTGTGCATCGGTGGAGGACCTCTGATCACCTGCTTCTTTGAGCAACGACCATCAAAACTAGGAAAGATTGTTGGAAAAGATGATATAGATGAGTTTATCGTGGACCAGAAGAGCGCAACCCTAGACGGCCATCGCAAGTACGGGCTCGAGTTGGATCATTTCAGCCTCAACAAGTTTGATGGGCCGACTAACCCCAACTATGTTCAGGTACGCGGAGAGATACTGCGCTTCTACCATGAAGCTATGCAACGAGTCGACACATCATCCTGGCCTGGTCCAAACCGTGCTGCGGGTCCAAGATTAACAGTATCCAAAGAAGGCCTATCAAATGACTGCTTGGCATCCGGGCCAAGTTCGCGCACACTGAGTCGTCGACAGAGTAGCTTTGATTTGAGAAATCCTACTCCTCGGCTTCGCAGGCATGGAACATCTCGTGGAAACCTGGACGCAAACGTTGAGGTACAGCCTGAACCATTTCGAACCGAACACGCTATAAGAAGAGAGGCAATGGATGAATTGCGTAAGGAAGAGGAATATAAACAAAGACGCTTGTATGAAGAAGAAGCACGAAAACAGCAGCGACAAGAGAAACAAGCTATGGAGCAGGAATACATAGCAAGACTGAAGAGAAATATGGCAAAGCACGGAGTCAAGAATTCAGATGAGATCCTGGCGACCCGGCGAATGCCTGACGATGAAGACTTAACTCAACAGGAGATAACGGAAAAAGAGGGGTGGTACAAGAATTTGATGAAGGGAGAGCTGCTTGCTGTTGGACTAAACGGTGGTCAAATCGACGAAATCTTGCATAATACAGACGAATCGATGATCATAGACGGCATGGAGATGATCGTCACACGTATGGCAAGAAAATGGATATCCACACGTACTTTGGACAAATACGAGATCCCATGGCAAGATGATGAGGTGAGGTTACATGCCGAGAGACACTGATAATTGGGCTAACATATGGATAGACCGACCCTTCGACCATCATCATCAAGCGATGGGTACCTGATTACGAGCGTGAGTTTCTATGGGATCACTCAAGAGCTGTACGCAGTCAGCGTGACTATAGATCACATCGAGAGCGTCATCGACCGATCAAATCGGACAGGCGTAGAAGACGTGGGTCGGAGCCATCGAATGCACAGGATAATGATTGGGTGGTCCGTATGATGGATAACTTCACGGAAAAGCGCAACAAATACGACCGGACAACAACCCTCGGCCCCAGAACACCTGTGAGCAACAGGGACACAAGCTACACAAGAAATACTAAACGACACTCTACCGAAGGACCCGGTAGTGAAGAAGCGAGACCCAAAGAGATCCGCAAAAAGTCCTCTAGAGCATCGTTTCAATCTGCTGACCTCAGCAAAAGCCGTTCAAACCCAAGGAGCTCTCCACGCCCCACATCTTCCACAGAGCCAAAGTCACTGCGCAGAATTCGAAGCACGCTGAGCTTTGACTCCATCCGACCTGCCCCAGACGTACAGGAAGTGAACCGTCGAAGGAGAAGTTCGCAGGCGCTGAGTCAGTCCTTTACAAGAGTCCACGACCGCAGCCAAGAAAACTAGCGACCGCAAATGATGAATGACTACTCGAGGTAGTGCTCGCAAACTGACTACAGGAGTTCCGAACTCTCTCCAGATTGTCGCGACCCCACTGATACCAAAACCTCATGGGAAGTCAGCGAGCAGAACCGTAGCAATGGCTAACAGCCAATCAATAATAAGACCTTACAGACCCGGGAGCATGTCCAATGAACATACTCATAGCATGATCATAGCATGAGTGTTGGCGGTGTCGGAGTGGACACTCACCAGTGCTAGAGAAAATTCAGATATCACATATTCGACTGATCAAATGTATTAGTGAAGTATGGATACCACTCCAGCATGTGCAAGGATGTAGATTCTCCTTTCAACTACCAAACACATCCCCCCGATTCGGTCTGCCTACATAGCCCCCATACCCAATAACCAATTTCCGCTTCAGCCCTTCCCCGTACCCACCATTATACACCTGCTCGTCACCCTTAACGCCATATTGCACTCTCACACCAGCAACAGAGCCCAAATTCTTCGAATCAGACAGGTCCAGATTACTCCCAACCTGCGCCAGAATCGGCGCATCGAATGCCTTCGCAATCTCCAACGGACTCAGCGACACAGTCCTGCCGAGCTGCCACCAGCCATGGAAGGGAAGCGAAATAGTAACGACACTCAAGATGCTCAAAATCCCCGCGACGAGCATGTATCGAAAGTCCGTGACGTAGATGGAGCGTGTCTTCGATCCCTGGAACGCGATGGTTTGGTCGGCGTCAGTGATGTTATTCGGCTGATCTCTGCCCACACGGACAGCGGTTCGGAAAGCGATTTCGCGCATCTTGTCGAGCATGGCGTCCATGGGGTCGAGGAACTCTTCCTCCCAGCCGGTCAAGGGCCCGCGGACTACTTCGTTGGCGAGAGAGCCGGTCATTCTGATTGAGCTCCGTGCGCCGACGAAGACGAAGGTTGCTTTGGATGTGAAGAGGTAATTTGCCGCGTACTCGAAGCCGCCGATTGCGCTTTGTTTGAAGCTGCCGGGCCCTGGCATGATGCTGCGATGAGGTGTTATTTGGGTGTGCTGCGTTTGGGGGGATATTCGGATACGGACTGGTCTTCGAAGAAGATATCTTCGGAGCGATTTGATGCCAGAGAAATGGTTTGTGAAGATAGGCGCACTTTGTACTCGGCGGTGCTTCCTGTGAGGTTGCATATATGCGATTTGAACTTCATGACCATGACGGAGGACCCATCGCGATATGATCTAGAATCGCGGTAGGTGACGTTGAACCGTATACCCGCGTTATCGTATCCTGTTTGCCCCGTAACCCTTTCTCCGATTGGATACAGAGATGTGGATGCCTCGAAGATAGTCTGATCGAACGCACCGCCGGTAGTGGACTTTTCTAGGGTAAAGTCAGTGGTGTCGCATGACGTCTTGAAGCCAAAGCCCTGTCTTTATATCAGCTCTGATATCTTTCATAATGTATTAGAAGGATTTACCTTGATTGATGCTACACAACTTTCACCGCAATCACTGTGAGCCATGCTGATGTTGGCTCGTGCCGAGTAGTCCTGCATAATCTGCGCGAAGTCGGGCATTAGCCTCCCAACCATGGCGGTACTTGACCGTGTATCGAAAGTGATTGCCGTGTAGCCATCAGGTATCCGTTGCGCTACAGGAAGCTGGAGTGTTCCAGACGTGTTGTAGCCCACATTACTCTGAACAGCGGAGGCTCTCTGATTGATCGGACCTCGAAGCAATGCTAAGACGGAGAAGACACAAGCTGCAATTCATTAGTGAGATTCGTTCTGTTATCCTGTAGACAACGCACCAAGCGCTGTTATTCTTCCTCCTGGTCGCAGGCCGTGTAATAGAGCATGGTAGATGCTATGTCCATTCAGCCAATTCTGGTTGAGTCCAGCAAGCTTGATGAAGTTAACAAAGCCCGCTGATAACTTCGGCCGTACGAACCGTGTGTCCTCGAAGCGCATTCCTCCAGAACGTAATCTCTAGCCCGATCGCCAACGCGTAAGCCGTCAAGGCATTGGCTACGACAGACGCAATGGCTAGATAAACAGATGGTGCAATGCCGTAACCCCAATCGTCTAGTGATTTATGGTGGCTTTGCATCAACACTACCACGCTGGCTATGGTGCCTACAGGGCTCATTAGGAGCGATCAAAAGCCCATGGGGTTCTCACATACTGGCCAGAATACCGAGGATGGACAGAATGGCAAGGACTGGGAACTGTTTCCAGAATCCAGGGGTCCATTTCCCACTGTGATCGCGTTGATGGATACCCGTCGCATCCGTATGTACCGGTGTACTGTGTGAGAAGAAGCTGCCCTTGGTGCTAGTGTACGAAGACGCTAGCGATCGCATCTCGTAGTTCTGTGGATAAGCCCTTGGGTCTTGATATTGCATCTGCTCACCCTGCATAACGGGGTTGTAGGCCATGATGACTACGGGTTGTGTTGAAACACGCAAAAAAGGGAGAAAGGCGCGAACCAGGCATTGAGTTGAGTGTGCGCATCGTAAGTGACACAAATAATTGGCTTGTTCTGAGAGAGGTAATGGTAGACGAAGGCTGGATTTGCGGCTGAGGTAGTAGTGGGGCTACTGATGTCCGAGAGGTTGCGAAAAGCCACTCAAGCCAGGCTAGATCGCACCGAAATGTGCGCTTGCGAGAGACGTGATAAAAAATGAAAACAAGAAAATGAAGGTGTCGAAGTAGAGCAGATGCTGATAATATAGAAGTCTACCCTAAACCACGGGAAGGTGTGATATGATGATTGTTCCCAAACGCCACGCTATGCTATGCTTTGTTTTGCAGGATATCGTCAAGCCTTACTCGTCCTGCTGCCACTGGTATTCAAGCTTTTCGACGTTCGCTTTGCGATTCCGTGCGTTGAACCACTGGCTCTCGAAGCCATTCCCTCGGTCTACACCGTCCCACCTGTGACCAGGCCGAATGCCATAGCGATTCGGTTGAAATGCACCTTGGTACAGTGGCTTTCCTGTTATGCTTCGTCCCGCCTTCTTCTTGCGTAAAAAGCCTGAAGCTGGATCATTCCAATGGCCCCGTTCTTTGAGCTCGTCGTTCAGCTCCGCATCGTCGGCATATCGTGCGATGGTCATGGTCTTCGCATCCTGTAGCTTTTGTTTCCGCTTCTCGGCTTCTGCGTTTTGCACATCACCCCGGGCGGCCTTTTGCTTCTCGCGCTCCTTGCGCTCTTCATCTTCGGCTTTCTTTCTAGCTTCTGCGCGCTTCATTGCGACATTGATTATGCGACCGCTAGCATCACGGTAGATGGTTTCTTGCGCAGCGCCACCCAATTGCTTCGCGGCTTCCGCTGCTTCTCGCTTATCTTCCTCTTCCTTCTTCTTCATATCTGCTTCCATCTCTGCAGCCGTCTGCAGGCCTGCTTTTGCGCCTGACTCCATCCGCAGAACACCATCGTTGTCAACCATTTCTGGAGCTTCGTCCTCGGCTTCCGCAGCTTTCTCACGATCGGCAACTGTTGATGCGATGATCGCATTGGCCGCAGCTTCGTCCGCAGCGACTTGTTGTGCGTGTGAGGGTGCGGCGACGCCGACTGCGGTCCATATTGCAGCACCATTTGATTTCGACTTCTTCTTTGATTTTTTCAAGGAGCCTCCGCCAACTGTAATGTGTATCAGTACTGATTCTTGAAGAGATAGAGACAGCGGCCTTACCAACCATGGGCGCATCCTCGTCATCCTCGTCCGCAGTGTTTTTCCAACCCAAATTGTCATCATCGTCGATCACCAGGCCACCATCCTTGTTCTTGCGCTTGCGCTTTTTCGACTTTTTTTCCGAGTCGGCAGTGAGGTAATTCTTAGCCAGATAATCGGCGAGAGACATGTTTGTAGTGAGGGATGCTGCAAGCGCGAATGTTCTACTTCTAGAAGCTAAAGCGCGGTCGGGTGTTATCTTATCGGCACGTGACTTGGCGTCAGCCCTGCCTTGTACCTCGCGTCGCGCGCATGTCGCATTCAGCGCCCTCAACCTCCCCGCAGTTCAAAGATGGCACCAGGCGAGCGCTCTGAGGAAGTGCATTTATGGTACACGGCAGTATTTGAGGCGTGCCAAGAAATACCTCGCGGCAATTACCTCTTACTTTGCATTTCTAGATGCACCGAACTGACCGCGGAGCAGGCAAGGTCACGAGCTACGGGCACATCGCGAGACTCCTCGGGAAGCGTAAGCGATCTGCTACATCACCAAGACTCACTGCTGACACATCTTGCTACCAACCAGCTGAACGTCCCAGGTACTACAGGGAATGATCACACATCGACGCTGCTAACCCATGACGTCAAAGACAAGTTGGAGTGTGTCTCAAACACCTGCCATCGCCGTCGACCGATAGCAGCAAGAAGAGTGCGACGTTCCACAGCGGTAACGTGCCATGGCAGCGCGTGCTCAACGCAAAGGGCAGCATAAGTCCGAGGTCAGTCGCATTTGTCCACGTCAGTCCTTTGTTGCCTATTGACCATTGTTGACGAGGGACAAAGGGGTCCAGGGGCGGCTGCGCGTCAGGCTGATGCTTTGCGGAGAGAAGGGGTAGAGGTTCGGGAGGATGCTATGGGCCAGTACGCTATTGACCTGGCAAAGTATGGCTGGTTTCCCGACACGCTGCCGAGCGAGTCTGGCCAGGTCGAGAGCAGCGATGAAGAGGACGAGGAGGCAGCCGCGTACCATACTTGAGCAGCTGGCCTGACTTCTCAGGAGTGAACGCCAGGCAGAGGCAGGCTTCTGCACGTTAGGGTTTAATGAGAGCTGATTGACGGAGACGCCCGACAGGTGTCAAAGCCAACCCATGGGCCATTCATATGGCTTGCTTCCATGGTACGGGGTGCAGTCGCGTATAGTTCGCACCAGTAGTCGTGTTCCAGGATAGTCGCCGGACATGGGCAAGTAGATGACGCTCCTGTTCTAGCCGAGCAGGGCGTAGGCTGTTCAGCGGCCGAGTCCGGGTCCTTATCGAAGTTGCGTGCTGGGAAGCGCTCCTCTCATAAGCTGGACGATGCCGTGACCGCAGATGTCTGGAGAGTGGAGGGCGATGTGGGGTCGGAACACGAGGCCGAGCTCCAGCAGCTGAGGGCTTCACTGTTCGCATCATCCATGCACTTGAGCGCGCAAGCCAGGAACCAGTCCGGCGTCCAGCCTACCCACGCCTGCGACTATGGCGCATGATTGCTGATGATATCATAAGAAGCCACGACTGCGTCAAACGGGATGTGATTCGGGCTGAGACGGGCCTCGGCGAGTCGGAACTTGGTCACCAGCTCCCGCTACCTCACGTCTCCCTTATCAGCACCACGACAAAGGTGCGGGGAGGCGCGTACGCCTTTGATCGCATAAAGGGCGGAGCCTCCGCAGTAGTAGACTGCCCTCCCGCTTTCATAAGCAACCCTCCGCGTATCTACCTGATTGCATAGCCACTTACCCTTCCCTATCAGTCCTCACTTGAGTCACTCATCAGAGTCATCTTAGACACCAGTCACGCCTTCCTACCTTCCGAGCACCTTCCGAGCTTATTACCTCCTGCTGTCATAACCAGCTTCCCTGTCACTCGCTCTCTGTCTTCTCTCAACCAAGCTACCTGATCTACCTAGTCCCTACACCAAAGCTTCAACCAGTCCATCAAGTCCTCACAGAGCAACCCATATCCCAACAGCTTACCCATACCTTGACCACCTCCCGTATACTCTCGGCCCAGCTTCAGGCAGCCAACATGTCCGAGCAAACATACACCAGCGACCTCCGCAGCGACGCCAAGGGCTTCAACCGCGACAAGAACAACCGGGTCAAGTGGGCGCATGGCCAGTCCTTTGGCCCAGGCCGACGTGAGGAAGATGCTCGCCCGCGTCCTGCTCGCGTCATTCCTCACATGAAGTAAGTCCTATATACCAACGAACAACGTATGAAATCGAACTATGCTAATGGGTATAGGTCCGCTTTCCCTACTGCGACCACGGGCGGCATGAAGGCTCGCACCGCCCTCAACAAGGACATGGCCTATGCCAGTGGCGAGTCATCTGCCGACGAGGACGTCGAGCATCCTTCTGTGGCACCTTCTCACGATGCTGAGGTCGCCTACTCCTTCGACGCCACTCGTGGCCCGAGCCATGGCAGCCAAATCCTCAACCACGCGTTGGAGAAGGCGATCGAGAAGTACGAGGTCAAGGAGACGGACAAGCTCATCAAGAACGAGTACGAGGTGCTTGACGTGAATGCGGAGATGCTGTCCCCGCACCCGAAGAAGCGCAACGTTGCTCCTGAGGACGAGGACTACTTCTTCGTCGACGCATAACTTCGCCGTTTGGCCCCTCTCTTTCTCGATTACGTATTCCCTCGATCATGAGTGATTTCCGCATACACTTCACCGGCGTTTCATAGGTTCCTTATCGACTTCGATGTCGACTTCCATCACTAGCGCATGTTTTGGATACTTGCATTTTACGGTTCATGGCAGCATCAATAGGTGGGCGTCTAGCGCTTTCTGAGGACTTGAGCAGCCCTATACCCGCTTGGCTTGCTTCTACGAATTTACGGTGTCGCATGGTGGTATGCGACAGGGAGGAGGATTGGTAGTCACTGGCCTGTACTGTTACTCCATGAGCATGGGTTGATTTACTTATCCTGCCCTCCTAATACACATATCAGTGGGTCGCATGAATTCATGCTTCTCCAATCACCATATTACTCTCGAGTGACCAGCTTCTTGTTGATGAACAAGACGTAATTACCGTACCCGAGGATCTCGACAAGGAAATCCCATGTCGGCGCTTTGCAGAGGTGTCCTTGATAGAGGCTTCGAGAGATGGTGATTGCGTCACGCTAGTGAGCCTCACAGGTCTACGTCATAGCCCGTCAGACGCATGTGGAACCCGATGTCTCATGTTTCTAGATCGTCGACCACGCGAATCGAACAAACTAACTCCAAGTCTAAGGCTACTGTCAACTGCCAAATATTCACTAAGCTTTCATCGAACCTGTTGTTGATTGGGGCGGCTCACCTTTACCATTACAATCGCTGTTGTTGCCACGAGCTGCGCCTCGATCAGCTCCCCTTTTCAGCCTTCGCATGGCGCATTCGTCGTAACACCGCGAAATTCGGTAAAACGACTCTGAAAATTCAACGCAATGCCCGGTGCTCGCCCACGATGGATACTGCACGTCCAGGCGCAGTTCTGGCGCGTCCTCATGGGCATCGGCATGATGCTGCATAAGCTCGCGCGACCACTACCACCGCGACCGGCCTTCACCCAAGACATTGACGCAACCATCTCGCCTCTGAAGGGACGATTCCGACTCAACTTCTACGTACCCAAGGACTACAAGAAACAAAAGAAGCTGAAGGGCAATAAGAGATACCCGGTAGTTGTAAATTTCCACGGAGGAGGATTCGTGCTTGGAACAGCAAAGGATGATGCGCGATGGTGTGGAGTGGTGGTCGACCAAGTCGGTGCCGTCGTTGTCAGCGTCGACTACCGTCTGGCTCCCGAACTCCCCTTCCCTACGGCAGTCGAAGACGGCGCAGATGCGATTCTATACCTGGCACAACATGCGGACGAGCTGATGCTGGACCCCGAGCGCTTCGCTGTCTCGGGCTTCTCATCAGGAGGAAACATGAGCTTCACCGTCCCTCTCTGTCTCCAGGGCGAACTCTTCGACCGCACTCCCTCGGGCGCACGCATCATCGACGGTAGAGCCGGCAGCGTCCCCAATGCCTTGATCACACCACCCGCAACCGCTGCGCCCTCGGCCACCCCCAACGGCTCCCGCGTGCCCCTCGTGCGCCAAAAGTCCCGTCTCGATCGCATTGCCATGATGCGCCAGACCGGCGCCTCTTCGCTCTCCCTCGTCTCCTCGTACAAAGAAACCGGCCAGGGCGGCGCCGTGTCCGTCATGACCGAAGGCTCCAACACCATCGTCAAGATTCGGGGCATCGTGTCCTTCTACCCTCCCACAGACTACACGCAAACCCGCGCCCAGCGCCGCGCCACATGTGTCCGCGCGGACCAGAATCTGCCCGCCGTCTTCACCGAACTCTTCGATGACTCGTATCTCCAGCCCCCATCGCTCGATCTCGCGCATCCTTGGTTGAGCCCTGGCGTTGCGCCCGATCGCATGCTCGCAGCCCTGCCCGACGACATTGTGCTCTTCTGCTGCGAGTGGGACATGTTGCTTGCTGAAGGCGAGAAGTTCCGCGATCGCTTGCAGAGGGATTTGGGGAAGCGTGTGCATTATCACTGGTCCGTCCTTTCAACTTGCGAACTTGGCACATCACTGACTCCGATATAGTGTACCCGGTGTCCCACACGGCTGGGACAAGGCGCCAAACCCGCTCCGCGAAAGCCCTGGCGCGCGACAGCAATACATGGTTGCGTGCAAGGAGCTACGGCGCATGTTCGACATCGAAGACGATAACGACGGCGATGACAGTGACGAAGGGACTGAGTTGCCTTGTCGGAAGTATCACAAGAGTGTGGATCTGGGCAGGATGCAGGCTTAGTGCGTCTGCAGTGTAGAAGAAGTTTAAGGCATTGGATCGGCGCATCCTTTTTGGGTTGTTGTTGACTTTAGCGATTTTGGTTTAGAAAGTACATATTCATATTCATGGTCATGCCCTCGTGTTTTTGGAAATACTGCCATTGTGAAGGTCACTGATGTGTACAACTCTCTTCACTTCATTTTCATGACCAGATTTGCCATACTACCTCAATCACAATCAACTTTGATTGATCGGTCTTTCGATTGAAGGAGAACATCGGGCTTGCCGTACAGCGTAGTCGCGCTTTCGATCACGCATATTACTATCGCATATGCTCGCTTCTAGTCGAAATCTTCGCAGACTGTTCGCGGACTATCTACATCCTGAATAGAGACTTTGTCCAAAGGCGCTATAATTGCGTCACTACAGCAGGTAGATGTGGTTGAGGATGTGTTCTCCCAGACGCGTCCCGCAGCTTCCGAGGCCCCGCCGTCGCGTCAGCAACATACACAGTAAGCAACGCGCATTGCATCTCCCACGACAAAGTACAGATTCCCGCGCAGTAGACATTCACTCGGAACCGAGCAACGCCTTCAATTATCTGCACACCATGGCCCTAGGCACAAACCTCCCCTTCTGGCCCGCCATTGTCTTCGTATACTTCGAGTCCAGTAAGCCATCTCTCCCTCCAACACACACTCACCCTCCCTCGGAAATACTTACACCCTTCCCAGCTTCTATCCTAATCGGCGTCTACCTCGCATCATCTACCCCCGCAGACTTCATCTCGCGCCAACTCCCCGTGCCCCCGACTCACCCGCTCCCTCCCCACGCCCTCATCGTCTCCGCCTCCATCGCAAACATGTTTCTTGTCCAGTGCATGCTATCCCTCCTCTTTACCGTCGTCACGCGCGAGTCCAAGTTGACAAAGTACTATCTCGCGGCCGCGTCGGTGGGGGATTTGGGCCACATGTGGGCGAATTATCGGTACATGGGAAGCGAGGTGTTTTGGAACTGGAGGGGGTATAACGACATGATGTTTGGGAATGTGGTGATTAGTGCGGTGTTCTTGGTGATGAGGGTAGGGACGTTGAGGGGGTGGTTTGGGACGATTGGCAGGGGGTTGTAATAAGTCTAAGTGGGTTTTTATTTTATGTGCTGTGAGATGAGATGCTAAAGGAAACCGTGGTGCGCCTGGTCGATGTTTGCCCAACGCCGTGTTCGATGAATATACAAAAACGCCAACATGAGCCGTCCAACTCCAGTTGTGATTAAAGAATATCAAGCTATATTCCGCCCAACTCCGCCTGCAAATCTTCGAGCAATTTGTTGCTAGCGGCCAAGTCTAACATTTCCACTGGTGCGAAGACGCCAACGTCCAACATGCCGTTGCGCACTGTGGCTTCGATATCAATGGCATGCTACATCATGTTAATTGTGTACTCGAAATCTAGTGGGGAAAAAAACTTACCAAATATGCACTATTCACACTCTCATTCCTCAATGTCCTCATTCTCTCTTCATCTCCGTCTTGGAACATCTCTTCATGCTCCTTCACACGATTCACCCCTTCACTCCAGTCACTCGTGGGCGCAATCGTAACACCTTCTCCATCATGCGTCTTTCCGGCATCCGGTAGTGTCAAGAAATTGACAAAAGTGTCGACTACCACACCAGTCCAATTCTTAATCTCCCATAAACTTGTGGTCGCATTGGTCAGACCCCCGATATTTTGCAAGTCTTGTTGTATTCGCTTCGCACTCTCCACCGTGTGTTGCTGAAATGGTGTGCGCACGCGAAGTGGGAGGAGGTTTACTGTTGGTATGGCTGCAGATTCGATGCCAGAAATAGGGAGGGAGCGGTTGGCGAGATAGATACCGAGGATGATGTCTTGTTCTGGCGGCGTTTTTGTGAGGGTCGCGTATAGTCTGGCGTAGCAGGCGAGGAAGAGCGCTTGAATAGATATACCGTTTTGGCGGGCGCTATCTTCCAGTGCCTTTGTGGGCATAAGACTTGGTATGAAGACTTCAGATCTTATGTTGACCGATCTTTGAGGCTGTGACAGACGAGTTTGGGAGACGCCGTCGAAGTAGGATTTCCAGAAGGAGTTGCGGAGTTGGGAACCAAGACTGCTAGCAACCAGCTCTTCGAATGTTTTATTTGGCCTTGGTTCTGTGCCGTTGTTGCAAATTGCTTGGAGTTGCTGCATCAGAATTGGTAAGCTTACACCATCATACAATGCGTGGTGGATCTTGAGCTTCAAAGTCCAGCCATCTTCGGCCTGTGCGGCATAAAGCTGAGCCCATGGCTGCCCTGTGCTTGACTTCTCTTCGGCATGCTCAGTGATTTCAAAGACACGTGACTCATTTCCTTCAGTCTTGCGTACCAACTGCAGGTACGGGACAAGTGGATCTTGCATGGCGATGATGTACGTTCTTAGGATCGGGCTCGTAGCCACGAGAGACGTCCACGCATCCTGAAGCTTCCTAAAAGAAACCTTGCCGCTGAGACTATATGTGAATTCAGGAAAGAAGTTACTGCCCCTCGTATTAAGCCACATGGATAGCATGTATGTCTGACCAGCCGTCGCAGGTAGTATTTGCACCTCTTCCAGACTTTTTATCATGCATTCTTCAGAATTGGCACGATTCAATATGTCATCGTGATCCAGACCTTGCAGCGCATGCTTGATGGTTGACGTGGTGTTCTTGTTTTGTTCTGGCTGTTGAGAGAAGCGTGCATCGGCAACGCGTGCCATGTTTATAACGGTACCAGCTCGGAGCATGTCGCCAACACTGAGGATGATCCTCTTTTTGCGAAGGAGAGAAGACACCTTGATGGCACTAATCGAGTCCAGACCGATGTGGAAGATAGTCATTTCGTCTGTAACATCCTCGTCTGAGAGCTCAGCAGTGATAGCAAGAGCTTCGCGTATCGCGAAGATCGTCTCTTCCCGTGGCTGTCCTTGCCGTTGTCCTGTAATCTCGCTCCATCTGACAGCGGGTACCGTATCTTTCCGTCCGTCAGTGTCAAATGGCGGTAGTCCGCATAGCGATGTTCCTTGCGACGTGAAGTCGATCACAGGGCTGTCTGGTTGAAGCATAATTTCACTCAAAACTCTGTCAAGTCTGTCCAACAATTCTTGGGCGCTGTCTTCATCGAAAACTTCATCTTTGACAGCGCATCGCCAAAGCAGCCGCCCATCCACCACCTCCATCTCCACGCAGACCGGGTATTCAACGTCGCTGTGGCCCGCGATGCTTGTGTATAGTGGACGTAGATCTTCAATCTTTCTCATGCTCTTTTGGTAAATGAACAAACTCTCGAACAGTCCACCATTTTGACCAGCACATTCCAAGGCCTGCCTCAACGGGAAATGTTGCCATTGCTTGAGGCTGGTGAAATTCTCCTGTACGTGGCGCACTAGCTCGATGCGGGTTCCATGGAGGATAGTCCGGACAACAATGGTGTTCATGGTCGGAAACAGAAGTTGCAAGGTTGTTTCATCATCGCGGCCGGATAAGACAGAGCCAAATACCACATCTAGGGATTGAACATAAGAGGCCAGAACGACTGCAAACACAGATTGACCCAATGTCTGCAAAGAGACATTGCTTTTCTTTGCAAACTCGGTCAGACTGGCCGCTGAGACGGTACTTTCTCGCTCCGCGCGGTGGACAGTATCTGTCTTCTCTTTTGCTGCTCTTGGTCGTCGCTTGAATGCACTTGGTTCAGCCTGATCAAGATAGTCACCCCAGAAATCCGAGGCATTGTCTTCAGGTCTTGTCAGAATCTTTGATAGGGTCTTCTGGTAGCTTGGCCGAGGCTTTAAAATGCCGTCATATGCACTTTTGACATCAGCGTGTAACAGGCCGAGTGACCATCCGTCGTAAAGAGCATGCGCAATAGCGAGGAGTAAGTAGTTTTGACCGGTAGATCTGATCAGCAGGATGTGAAAAGGTGGCGATGATGATTTCGCGTTTGATACTTCTTGTCGGACTTCCTCGAACAACGCTGAGAAGTCGGGCTCGGAGTCCAATGTCTTTTCCTTCCAGAATGGGTGAGGCTTGGCATGGATTATCTGCGCGTATGATTCTTCAATATCAGGTTCTTCGACCTCAACGAAAGAAGTACGCAAGATCGGTGTGGCCTGGACTACTAGAGTCCAAGCAACTTTGAGCCGTTCAATGTCGGTGTCTTGATCAATCTTCATAACATCGAAATTGTAATATCTCGTGAACTCGGACGTGATCATCTCGACAACCATGGCCTCTTGTAGAGGCGTCAAGGGCAAGACATTCTCGATTTGGTCTGTGCTAAATCCTTGTCGTTTGGCGTGTCCTACTAGCTCATGCTTGCGCGCTTGAAACTCGGAATCATTGCTAATTTCATCTTCCTCTATGTCAGCGGGCCTTTTGATGTGTGCGAGCATCTTTGCGATTGTTAGGCCGCGCATGATACCACTAACTGGAAGATCAATGCCCTGTTTCTTGAGCTTCGAGGACAGTTTTATGGCATCAATGCTGTCTAAGCCTAGCTCAAAGACGGAAGTAGACTGGTCGATGCTCTGAAGCTCACTGCTCGTCAATTCTGCAAGCGATTCTCTGAGCACATTGGCTTCTTTTGTCCATGCAAATTTTTCAGTACCATTGAGAGGCAGAATTAGACCATTTGATGCCTCAGGAATAGTCTCTATTGTGCCGTTTGGTGGAAGTAAAGTCTCGAGGGTAGCTGTTGGCTCGGTCAAAGCTTGATGTAGCGCTCCTTCAAACCGATCCAGGAGCACGTTCGATGTAGCTTCGTCAAGCACATGGTTCTGTGCTACAAGTGTCAGGCTCCACTTCTCGTTCGGTCCTTGCTCGACCTCGAAAGCCAGAGGATAGTCTGCTACAGTGTCTCCATCCAACAACTCCCAGAAATCGTTCTTTATACAGGCCTGGCTGGTCTGCGCTACTTGATATACGAACAGATTGTCGAAGAGTGACTGGGAGCGATCGACTTTGCACCATTTCATGATATCGCGCAGCGGAGTATGCTGATACGGGTGAGCTGCCACGTTGAAATCATGTACTCTTTTAATGAGCGACTCCCAAGTTTCGCTGTGCTGATGACTGTTTTGGTACGGTATAGTGTTGAACATAGGCCCCATAATGCGATCGGCGTTTTCGAGGTCAATACTTCGCCCAGAGACCACGATGCCAATTGTCAAAGCAGCCTTGACATGCCCTTTAAGGACATCCAGCCAACAAGCTTGCGCAATAGCCTGCGCTGTAACGTTGAGCTTTCGGCGAGTCGACTCAAGCGCACCCAGATCTTGCATCTCACGTGTGACTTTGGTGACTTTGCCACTGAAATCAGCGGGTGGTCGCGTAAGAAAGTGTGAAGAAACATCCTGCGATATTTGTTCCTGCCAAAAGGCTTTTGCGCCGTCTAGGACCTTCAAAGGTCCATGCGGAAGTGCTGATAAAAATGAAGGCGCGATATCGTTGCTTTCACGACCATTGTACGCATCCCAGACAGCTTTGAAGATGAGCTCGATGCTAATGCCGTCATACAAGCCGTGGAAGATGTGTATGACTAGGATCTGCTTCTCTTGAGTCTGGACAAGGCGAAGTTCAAACGGGCGCCCGAACTGGTCTGTGTTGCTACGCACCCAATCTCCGTGGATCCTACTTAGGCAGCCATTCAGAGATTCGCCTTTGTAGGGATGTTGCGGCTGATTCGATGCCCAGGGAGATCCTACATCGCGAAGGACGACCTGTACGTATCCATCTTCCGTGTTCGCGAAGACGGTACGCAGAATCTGGGCTGAAGCATGGACAACTTGCCATGCTGCCCTAAGCTTTTCGTGGTTGATCTCTTTGCTGAGCTGAAACACGAACGTGTTAAAATAGAGACCATTGTCGTTATCCAAGGACCTGGCAATCATACCCTGCTGCAGAGGGGTACAAGGCGCAACAGCTTCGATGTCGTGAGTGCTTATGGAGAGAGCTCGAGCAACCGCGCGACGATGTCGATGTTGCATGGCAGCAATGGCTTGTTGAGCTGCGAGAACCGAAGCTCGATCGCTTGAACGGTGAGTCTCGTCGGACAGGGCCTTGGCGAGCCTGCGGATAGTAGAATGCTTCATGATCAGAGAAGCAGTCACACTAGTGATTCCAGCCTGTTTCATTGCCCGTACAACATCAATCACTGAGATTGAGTCCATGCCAAGCTCGAAGAAGCTGGTCTCTTTACCAATTGTATCCTCGTTCACGTGAAGCTCTTTGATAAGAACATCCTGAAGCCTGCGCTCTTCGTCGGACCAAGATTGATTGTATTCATCAGAGCTCGTTGAGAGTTTTGATAGATCTGCGGCAGACAGGCTCTCATATAGTTCTTTGAGTTTCTTTGCATCAGCCTTGTTGTTGATATTGAGTGGCATTGATGTAAGCGGCACAAAATGCGTAGGTATCATGTACGGTGGTAGATTGTCATGACATGCATCTCTTACTGTCATCATCTCCGATGCGCTTGCTAGCAAAACGTTGCATTGTCGGGTTGCCTGGCCATGAATGACAAAAGTAACCAGCTGTTCCTTTTGTTGCCCAGGATGCTTCAAGACCAGTGTAGCAACGTCCGAGATGCTCTTGTTTGACTGTCTGATCACGGAATTGATCTCACCAATCTCAAGACGTTGTCCACGTAGCTTCACTTGGTCGTCTGCACGCCCGAGGAAGTCAAACGTTCCATCATATAGTATCCTGACCAAGTCGCCTGTACGGTATACACGCTCGTTGAAGCGCTTCAAGTGTGGGAACCCCTTTGCCGTCAAATCTTTGCGCTTGAGATAGCCCTTGCCAACGAGTTTGCCCGACACACAGAGCTCGCCGACACCGCCTCGAAGAACGGGGATGTCTGTACCAGGTTTGAGTACAAAAGTACCGACGTTGTCAAATTGCTTTCCAATGTTTGACGGTTTGCCATTGGCTGGTACCCGCGTGTACATAGTGCATCCGATAGTCGCTTCGGTTGGTCCATAACCGTTATAAATCACTCCTTTCGGACCCCACACGTTCAAGATCTCTTGCTTCAAGCTCTCGCCGCCAGTAATGAAGACACCCTTGCATAGGCTTGGTACATCGTCCGGGTGCAGTATCTGGGCCAGACTTGGTGTCAGATCAATATGCGTAATGTCCAGTGTGTTGATGGAGTCAGCCAGATCTTCAAAAATGACGTCTCGGGGTGCCGATACCACGCATATGCCGACAGACCAGCTCCAGTACTGCTCAAGAACTGACACGTCGAAGTGGAAAGATGCGAATTGTAGCCAACGCGACTCCGAATTCCAGTGGCCGTCAAACAAACGTTGAAAGGCGAGAAGTGCTTGGACGGCATTCTCATGAGTTAACTCGCAAGCTTTGGGCGTGCCTGTTGTACCACTAGTGTATAGACAGTAACTGCGATCTTGAGGGCTGAGATCTCTTCCAAGTGACGGTTTCGCACTAGAATAAGAGCTAGGCTTTGTCTCGTCCAAGTTTAGTACGGGCACCTGTACGTCTTTGATGAATTGAGCTGACTGTGCTGACATGGAAAGGACAGCGGTAGCTCCAGAGTCACGAGTGATGAAAGCTTGTCGAGCAGCAGGCGCTCCGGGATCGATTGCAACAAAAGCAGCACCGGCTTTTAAGATTCCTAGCATGGCAAATGAGGCTTCAGGACACTTGTCGAAACAGACACATACCAGGTCACCTGGTTGTACTGCATTGGCGATGAGCAGATTGGCGACCCGGTTGCCTTCCGCATTTAACTGCGAGTATGTCCAGCGCTGTTTGTGATTTTCACCTTCGTGGATTGAGTTGGCAAACTCGAAGGCAACGCGCCCCGGGTATTTCATAGCCGTTGACTCAACGAAATCGTGAAGAAATTGAGCTTCCGATGGAAGCTCTGGTTCCATAGCTGGGGCGATAGAGTAGAGTGTCATGTCAGCAATGTTGGCGGCCTTGCCATGCGAGATAAAGCACTCTAATAGGTGATCAAGCTGCTCGAGCATCACTTTCGCTTGCCCTTGCGGTATGAGATGTGGTAAGAATGTCAGGCGGTACTCAAGGAAGTCACCTTTGGGCTCCAGTTCGATTGACAGAGGATACTCGATTGTCGCTCTCTCGTCCACAATGTTCCAAATATTGTTCAAATCCTTACGCGTGGATAGCTTCTGGTAAGCGAAAATGGTGTCAAATAAAGGTTCGTTCGAAAAACCCATGAGTCTCTGGATGTCATTCAACGGGATGTGTTGATGCTGCTGTACCTCGGCCATCAATTTTGTGATTGCACTTAGCATTTGCTCTGTGTCCTCTGTCACTTTGTGCGAGACTGGCACTGTGTTGATGCAAGGAAAGACAGCACTTTCAGCGATCTCGAAATCGCGACCAGAAAGTACGACTCCGCAAGTTGCAAAGGTTTCCCCAGTATAAGCTGCAATTAGAGATAGCCAACTCACAACTCCAGCAGCCTGTAATGTGGTGTTTGCTTGACGACATGCGCCTTCGATATCGGACAGAGACCTGCTAGATCGATGCGTTCGTACTGCTGACGACTGTGGCTTATAGCGCAGAGGAGCTAGGTTTGGAAAGCGGCAAGGAGCACCTTGCTTGCCCAATTGTGTCCAGAATTCTTTTCCGTGATCACCGTACGCTGTGCTGCGCTGAAGAACACCATCGATAATGGGATCTAGCCCCACTGGAGACTCAATCTGTTGGTCGTGGTACGCGGCAATGACATCTTGGAAGACAGACTGAAGGCTTTGTGCATCGAATAGACCATGGAAAATGACGAGATCGAGGAATTGTGTATGATTATCCTGACCGATTCGAACGTGCCAGAGCGGCCGGTGGAGTTCTCTCGCCATTTCGCGCTGAAGCTTCTCAAGCCAGACTTCCGTGGCGACCGAAGCAGCATTCTTGATGGGTGCGTCCCATGGTAAAGCGAGACAATTGGGCGCGTACTCGATCATACCGAATGAATGGCTCTTGTCCTGTATGTGAGCGAATCCAGTTCGCAGCATCATGTGAGCGTGAGCAGCTATTTCCCAGGCCTTCTTTAGACGATTAGTGTCTGTACCAGGCTTTAGGTCTAGGCGTAGGTAATTGATGTATATGGCTCCTTCTTTTGCAAGCATCTGAGAGATCATACCCCTTTGAAGTGGTGTACAGGGGCGTATAGCTACGATGTCTTCGTTGGCGACATTACACGATGCAAGCACACTGGGCCTATGCTTTGTGTCGAACTTTTGGAAGTCGAACGTTGCTGCCGCCGGTTGCTCTGCTGCAGCATTGTGGTTGAGAAATGCCGCAAGGTCAGTGCATGTGAGATACCTCATGACGTCCGCAGCGTTCACTAAATGGCCCTCTCTCCGCAGGACAGCTGCGACTTGTACTGCGCTGATGCTGTCTAGACCCAACTGATAGATGGTCGTGGTTGGTGAAATATCTTCCGGTGCTGAACTCGATAAGTGCGCGAACACGTCTCTGATGCGGCTCTCAAATATAGTCCATTGGTGTTCGGAAGATAGATTCGAAATTCCGTTAGGCAAGGAATTCGCATCTACTGAAATCCGAAAGATCTCGGTTAAGGCTTTTTTGTCAATCTTGCCAGCAAGTGATCGGTGAATTTTGTCCACGAAGATGAAGAATTGGGGTACCATGTACAAAGGAAGGCGGTCTTTCGCAACTTGTCCGAGTTGACGGCGTATTTCTTCACCTTCAACTTCGTCGACTGAACGCTTAGCGACTAAGAATGCAACGAGTTGCTCTTTCGCAGCGTCGTCCTTCCTCATGATTTGGGTAGCTGCTGCCTGTACGTCTGGATGCGCTCCATGGAGTATGTTGTTGATCTCGCCAAGCTCGACTCTCAGTCCACGTATCTTTATCTGGTCGTCTGTGCGTCCGATGAACTCAAAGTTACCATCACTCAGCATCCGGACAACATCGCCGCTTCGGTAGAACCGTCGTCCAGATCTGGTGACGAACTTTTCTTTGGTGAGCTCCGGCCTGCCATGATAGCCTCGCGCTAACTGTGTGCCTCCAATGTACAGTTCTCCGACACTGAGCAAGGGCAGAAGTCCATCACCTTTTGATGGGAAGATGGCGAACTCGGTGCTAGAAAATGGTCTGCCGATCACAGAAGGCTTGAAACTCTGTGAGACAGGGCATATTGTGGTGCAAAAAGCAGCTTCGGATGGTCCATAGGAATTGACACAAGCGCCTTCCCATTCCTTCACTATGTTAGAAGTCATCGCCTCACCGATGCAGTAAAGCCATTTGACGTTGGGAACTTCGCATCTTTCAAGTGAGGCAGCTACGGATGGCGTCAGATCTAGCAGATCGCTGTCCAGAATATTAATCATCTTAGACAGATCATTCAACATCGTGTCTTGCTCGGCCGCGCATAGTGTGAAGCCAAGAGTCCAGGCAAGGAAGCAGTCGTAATAGCACATATCGAAAGTCGTCGCGGCATACTGCAAGAGTCTTGAAGATGTAGTCCAGGGTACGAGTGATTTAGAACACTCGATGGTCTGGATCGGTGCGCTGTGTTCCATGCTCACAGCTTTCGGTACTCCAGTCGAGCCACTTGTGAAGATGCAGTAGGCGAGATTTGAAGATGTGAGATCTTTAACAGCGGGGTTCCCTTCAGGCCAAGTTTTAGGCCCTTCTGCATCGACAAGAATCGCCTCACATGTGGTCGTAGGTGGCGTGAATCCTGCAGTACACAAGACATATTGTGCGCCTAAATCTTGTAGCATGAGTTTTCTTCGCGCCTCTGGCAATCCAGGATGTATGGGAGCGAAAGCAGCGCCGGCCTTGAGTATACCTAGTATGCTAGCATAGAATGATGGACTCTTGGGTATGTGCACAGGGATGATATCTTCGGGCTTAACACCAAGGTTCATCAACATACGTGCAATGCCATTCGCCCTATCGTTGAGTGATTGGAACGACCAAGTTGTTCTTGTACCATCTGCGTGCAGAAAATCGAGGGCAATTCTTTTTGGACTGGCTTCTGCATTCCGTTCCAACCCCGAATGCAAGAACTGGGACCGAATTTCTGGATCTTTCAGTTTGCAATTACTTTCGGCTTGAAGATGTTTAGGGAAGCTGATAGTGTCATGAGCCGGCGCATGCGGCTCATGTATTATGGTTGCTAAACTCGCTTCAAAAGTCTCTGCAACGAGCGTAACCTCTCTCTCGGAAAGAATGGAGTCGTGATAGTGCAAGATCAGGTCCAGTCTGTCCTCGGTGTCATTCTGTGATATTTCGCAGACCAGTGGTAGGTCCATCACACCACGATCTTCTTCGAGCTCCCATATAGTGGTGTCTAGTGGTTCGCTCTGCTGTTGAAGAATGACGAGAGTGTCGAAGAGACGACCACCATCTTTGAGTACCAGGCCTTGAATGCGACGAAGTGGCGTCAACTGGAAATCAATGGACTCGACGTTGAAAGTGTGGACTTGCTGAGCCAAGGCTAAGTTGTCATTGCTGAAGTCGAAATTGATCCTGACGGGTAGTGTGTTGAAGCAGGGGGCTACAAGGCGGTCCAAGTCATGCCCGGAAAGAGCGCGTCCACTTACTACGTTGCCAAAACAGGCATCGCTCTCTCCAGTGTAATAATGCAGAAGCTTAGCCCAAGTGGCGTGGATGACAGAGAGCAATGTCATGGACGTGTTCTGACAGGCTTGTCGTATCGTGCTTAGTGGCAATTGCAATTGTCGGCGCCAAGCAGCAGCAGTATAGAGCTCTTTGTGAACTCTGCCAGTAAGATCCGGAAAAGCTGTAGGCTCAAAGTCCTGGAATGTAGCAGTCCAGAACTGGTCAGCTTCGGCGAGATTTTGTAAAAGCATTTGCTGAAGATATACATCATAAGAAAGAGGCGAAGGAAGCTTGTGGTCACGATATGCTTCTTGCACTTCATTGAGCAAAGTTTGTATCGCGATGCCGTCGTACACTGCATGGTGACAGCAGAATAGCAGTCTTGTTGACGTGTTGGACCTCGCAAGTGCAAGCCACACGGGCGGTTTGTTGACTTGCAAGAGATCTGCCACCGTCTTGTTGGCGACATGGAATGCTTCCCTTGTCCAGGTGATTTCATCCCAAATCAAATTTGCGTCTTGCAGCACGACCTGCGCAAAAGCATGCGATGGGTCGCTGGTTGCTACAAACGAGGTGCGCAGTATTTCGTGCCGTTGAGCCATCAAAGCCCAACATTGCTGGAGGCGTAACACGTCTCCTTTGACAAAGAACGCCATCACGTTACTGTAGGACGTAGTGGCCGTCGAGTGTCCAGTGGAAAGCATTGCTTCTTGAAGTGGCGTACAGGGGTAGATCTTTGCGATCGCAACATCTTTCTTGTCGAACCAGGTCCGAATACGAGCAGTCTCTGACGGGATAATTGCATCTTCGGTACCTGGTCTTGTCCCATTGAGCGTGTGATTCCCTCTCTTGCATTTTGCCTTCAGCTGTTCCAGGTGCGCTACAGTAGGGTTCTTGAGTATCGCAGAGATGGTGAAATCCCCAAGAGTCTCCTTCCTCAGTCGATTGCTCAATTTGATTGCTGATACAGAGTCCAACCCAAGCTGGAAGAATGATGAATTTCGGTTAATATTCTCGACAGAAATGCCAAGTATCTCTGCAAGGTGATCTGCAACTTGAATTTCCCAAGAAGTCGACAGTCCGATTTCATCAGTAAGTACGTCCTGCGATACGGTTGTACCAGCTTTCATATCCTCCGTGAGTTCTCGGAAATTTCGTCCTAGATTTCGCTTGTCTATCTTCCCTTGCGCCGTCATGGGCAAACGACTGACGGGAACAAGGTACGAGGGTACCATGTATGCAGGAAGACGGTTCAATAAAGAATCGAAAATGGAGATGATTTCTGCATGAAAATCACGGCCTTTCATGATCTTGAATGGGCCTTCTTCGGAAACAGATGGCACCCAGAAGGTCACCAGTATTTCTGGCCTTGATGAGTCTCGGAGCAGTAAAGTAGTACAGTCCCGCACGCATCCATGATCGAGAATAGTGGAAGAAATCTCCCCAAGCTCCACTCTCTGGCCACGGATCTTGACTTGGTCATCCAATCTGCCTGTGAACAGGATAGATTCGTCAGCCAGCATTACGCCCAAATCGCCGGAACGATATAGGCGACCGTATGTAGGGTGATTGATAATTTTGGCGGCTGTCAAATCAGGTCGGTTGAGGTATCCTTGGAAGACTTGGTATCCACCGAAACATAATTCGCCGACTGCTCCACGCGGAAGAACTGTCTCGCTGGTTGGATCCAGCACAAATGCAGAGGTGTTGTCAAACGGTTTGCCAATGTTGTTGATGAGATCCGATGTCGAGACCGAAGAACGTACTGTACAGATATTTGTCGTCTCGGATGGACCATAACCTACGTAAATCACTCCGTCAGCTAGTGCCAGCATCAGTTTTGACAAAGATTACCTTGATAGAGCCCACGTCCAGCCCATTTGCGCCGCACATGTTCAGTCACAGCTTCTCCAGCTGTAACGAGGAACTTGACTTGTGGCACATTGTCCGGATCGATGAGTGCCGCAACAGTTGGTGTGAGACTTAGATGTGTGATCCCAAGCTGGTTGATGGCACCTTCTAGATCCGAGAACAAATCGTCCTTTCTTGCAGTGCACAGACAAATGCCGACATGCCATGAGAAAAAGATCTCAAAGACAGACACGTCGAATGCCTGTGAGCATGACTGAAGCAGTTTTGAGCCTTCTGAGTATGGATAGACAGTCGATAAGTAGCTCAGGTTACTCATCAAGTTTTCGTGTGTGACGAGAACTCCCTTTGGAGTGCCAGTACTACCACTTGTGAAGACTGCGTATGCGACACTTGCTCCATCGTAAGGAATGCCAAGGTTGTCGTCCAGGTATAAAGAAACATCAATCTTGTCTAGGTTAATAGTCTTCGAAGACGTAGACTTATCTAGATGCGCAGATGCTGAAGACTCGCTAATACACAAAGTAACTTGCGCCTCGTTCAGTATGAGTTTGGTCCGTTCCCTTGGAAGGTCGGGAACCAGAGGGAGGTATCCAGCGCCAATCTTGAGGACAGCAAGTATGGCGACATATAGATTGATCGACTTGTCCATGATCACGCCCACCAAACAGCCTGGGCAGGCACCCTGGTGTATCAAAACACGAGCGACTTGGTTGGCAAGACGATTGAGGGCGGCATACGTCAGATAGCCTTCAACTTGCATGCTGCCATTGACTCTGTGAGACATCACCAAAGCCTCCCTGTCAGGTGTCGTCGATGCCCATTGCTCAACAGCATGGGCTGGGCCATGGTGCAACGAAATTTGTCGAGGCACAGGATTTGCGATCGAGTGGAGTTCAGCTTGGAAACACATCGCGATGTCAGCCGTCGCGCAATCAACATTCTCGAGGAATAAGTCTACGACGGCGTCAATTTGCCAGAACAGGTAATTCACTTGGTGTTCTGGGATCGTGGATGGGTCGAAAGTAGCACGATACGAGATGTGATCTGAGCGCGGTTCAAATTCGAGTGTAAGCTTGAACTCTAGCTCGTCCGCGCTGTCGATGATATGTGCAGAAGTTGCTGTAGTCGATGCTGTTTGCAAGGCTTGCTGCCATACGAATAACACATCGAAAAGCCGTGTTGCTCTACGTGTGCTTACCGCTTTTGCGATTTCACGTAGGGGCAGAGCGCAATGCGTCAGAGCCTCCCGATTCAACCGATGCGTTTCGCGGAGGATGTTGAGCGCTTTCGGAAGCTGGGTGAAGTGGAGCCGAAATGGAAGCGACGCAATACAAGGACCGATAATGTCTTCTATACCGGAGACTGGAATTGTGCGTCCCGAGGTGACATTTCCGATAACAACATCACTCGTGCCCAGGTACAAGCTTTGGACATAAGCTACCGCAGCTTGAAAATAAACCTGTGGACTGATCATGAGGCATTGGGAACGAGCGTGTAAGGTCTGTATGTTTACTGTTGAGCGACCTGAGAGCGAACGGGCTGGAGATTTGTCAATAACCTTTCCGTTATAATTTGGTAACATGACCTCTGAACGGTCACGTAAGAGGTCAGTCCAGTACATTTTATCCGTCTCTTTCAACACATCATAGTAGCCAATGTGATACTTGATAATCTCACGATACTGTGGTCGTGGTCTGACCTTGAGCCCATCCAGCGTCTCCATGAGATCCTGCAGCATTAAGTCCATCGACCAACCATCGTACAGGGCATGATGGATCTGAAACAAAAGTCGTGGTCGTTCACGATGTGTCATAACTTGGACATACAACGGTCGTAGTAAGAACTCGTGAGAACTCAACGCATAGGTTTTAGTGAAATTCCGTACGTTTTGAACGTGCGAGTCCTCCAGCCTTTCCCAAATGACCTGCATGAATGTGTGCTTCTCCGAATCTGCGGGATGAAAACCAGAACGTAGGATCTCATTGTCGTGCGCAAGACGTAAAAGCGCTGCTTGTATTCGCTCGAAAGAGTGTCGCTGCGACAATTCTACTTCAACCCAATTACAGTATGCGCTAGGGTTGATAGCAGTCTCCGTAAGCAAAGCCTCTTGTAATGGTGTGCAAGGAAGAATGCAGGCAATATCGGGAAGTCGCTGTTCCAATTCAGGGATGTTTCGTGGTGCAAATTCTTGGAAGTCCGTTGCGGTGTTTGGTTCAATGCCATTCGACCTCTTCGCGTCTTTGGCGATACGAACAAGATCGCCAACAGTGGTAGCTGAGAGGATTTGTATCGCACTGAGTTGATAGCCACTAGCTCTCAATACCGTGGCCAGTCTGATGGCACGAAGGGAGTCTAAGCCGGCAGATGCGAGAATTGATTCTTGATTCAAGCTCTGCTTCAGATGGAGTCTCAGCAGATCGAGCAATTTATGTTCACTACCATTGCTCAGGTATGCCGTCTTTGTCCCATTATGATGTGGTCTCTCTTTGTACATCGCGACAAGTGACTTCTGATCGATTTTGCCCGAAGGTAGTTGAGGCATGTACTGCATGAAAATCACATCGCTCGGTATCATGACTTGAGGTAGCCACTGTTTGCAGGTCTGTATAACGTCTGCAGACGATAATTCCCGAGAGCCTGTGGCACAGAAAGCGACCAGAGATTCCTCGATAACCATGACTGTAGCTGCACGGCAGCCATCAAGCTTTAGGACTGTCTGTTCGATCTCCCCTAGTTCGACTCTTTGCCCTCGAAATTTAACCTGTCCGGTGGCGACACGCCCTAAGCACATGATTGTGCCATTACTGAGAAGCCTGGCTCGGTCACCGGTCCGATACACATACCCATATTCCGGATGATGGGTAAATGCCTTGGCAGTGAGTTCGGGACGGTTGAGGTATTCTTCTGCAACCTGCGGTCCGCCAACTGCAAGCTCCCCTTCCTGTCCAGCAGGCAGTATCGAGAAGGATGAAGATATGTCGCCTTCGCCCAATGGTGCAACTACGAAGACCGAGACAGTGTCCAAAGGAAAGCCGATAGTCTGGGTTGACGCATCAGACATCATGCGAGGCTGCAAAGTGCAATGTATCGCTGCCTCTGTTGGGCCGTACATAGCCCACAAAATACTGTCTTGGGTGTCGGTACCTCCATATTCTTCAACCACGTCCTGAGTGAGCATCTCACCAATGGTGAGCAGCAGTTTTAGGCCGGGCACACTTGCACGACCATGTAGCAGATTACTCACTACCGTCGGCGTCAACTCCGCTGCGTCCACATCAAGGAGATGCATGGTCTCAGGAAGATTATTAAGCATATCGACGCGCGTGCGACTAGTCAATGTACATCCTCGGTAGAAAGGAAAGAACGTTTCGAAGATTGAGACGTCGAAAGTAGGTGCAGCGAATTGGAGAAATCGAGAGAAATGCGGGATATGGCGATCATGGGCGAGCAGACTCTGCGTAACTGCGCGATGAGACACACTAACAGCTTTTGGTAGTCCAGTTGACCCGCTGGTGTATAGAACGTATGCGAGAGCATTGGTGTTCACATTCGATTTTGTCGGAGGCAATGTGGTTGTTTCGTGTAGTGGTATTTCGTCGATGTACATCTTGATGATGCTCTTCTCAGTCGCTAGGTGCCCCCCACATGCCGAAGTAGTGATTATTAGGCCAGCTGATATATCTTCTAGGATGAAATTGAGTCTCTCTGTTGGTGTATCGAGATTTAGTGGACAAAACGCCCTGCCAGCCTTCAGGATTGCCAAGAGCACAATATAAAGCTCGGGGCACTGTGGTAGTAGCACCGGAATAATGGCAGAAGCATTTTCCAGCTTCTCCAAAGATCTGGTGATGTTCTGAGCAATTGCATCGCTCAATGTGTGCAATGTCTTGTAGGAGAACTTCCGCCGTTTCGATCCGTTTTCCAGGAAATCGATGGCGACCGCAGAGGATGATGGCGCAACCAGATCATGTAGTAGGTCTGGTCCTTCGATCCGAGTAGGGGCTTCGTTGATTATGGAGAGCATGTTGAGGTGTGCGAATGTGGGTTCTGGCGGTTTAGGGGTATAAGACTACACGGAAAGTAACCCAATGTCGTTTCTCATACCAAAAAAACACTTTTCGACGGTGAGTGAGAAATACGACAGTCGTTAACTTCGGTTTTACAGACTCGCGTATGCAAATGTGCCCGTCTGGTACGCCTCAGTGGATGAGAAATTGCCGCTCGATGATTGGTCCAATAAGCCAAAGTTCTTTGTGGCGACAGCATGCAAGGCTGGTGTACATGTGAAGACGTCGTAGCTTGTCCGAAAATGGTGCAGGGCGTGGGTAGGTACCTATTGTGTTCTCGTGCGTCCGACAAAACAATTACAGATTATCCTTTAGCGTTCTTCGCGTCAGCAAAACTGTACGTTCTCGTAGGATTCCGTGTCACGGATAATTTCGATTTGGCTGCGAGTACTATTAGAACATGATAAAAGGTCAGAAATACCTTGAAACATTAGTGACAGAAAGGTCGTGCCGTGATGCTCTTGGTATTGCAACTAATGTGACAGCAGACCAAGAGACACTGAAGTGCCCGTAACGGGTAACGCCGGGCCGCCTTCACATAAACAAGTTTGATGCCTACGAGGATAATTCTCGGCTATGCGAATGAAGCATGGAGCACGGGACTCGTAGATGCTGTCGTTGTACCTGTTCGCGTGTTCTCATCGCTTGAGAACGCAGGCGTCATGCATACTGGGTGCGGCTTGTTAGTCTTACTGTGCGACAGGCAACCACAAATAAAACTTGTCAAACGAAAAAGGAATAGGTCGATATTAGCGAATGAGAACTGAACAAGAGTGGCGCAAAAATCGATTCGAAGAGGGGCCTAGCAGTGGTGAAATAGATGGACAAGCTCCACCAGGCAGAGATGGCCGGTGCGACGGCGCAGAGCGGACTCCTTTTGACAAGCCGCCATGTGCCCGCACCCATCTCTTCACGCGCCCAACGAAGGTAGCAGTGTAACCCACGCGGACGGTGAGTCGTTTGTCAGATGTGGGTGTACCTTAGAAAAGATGCAGCATCTAACGGCTCGAGGTACGACACATAATGTCCGAGTCCGAGGTCGGGCATGGGTATTCTGCGTGAGCGGAGTGATGATCAAATTGGTCGCAGCGCCTGTTCCTACACGTCATGGATCGTACGTCTTCCAACACAGGTTAGTGAGCGGCAACTAATTCATTGCAGCTCACAGCTAGCCTGTTTGGCCAGGTTGCATGATCAGATAACAAATTGAGAGAACGTGCATGCGGCGCACTCTTTCAGCGACTCCAAAGGGCCGTATCCAAGCTGGGAAGTCAACATAAACCACCCAGAAATTCTGGCAAAATCCTGATATTTTATAAAAACTTCGGAGTCGTAGTGCATAGTGGCCGAGATTCCATGAGACGTCCTCGCTGAGCGTTGCGACGAGGCCAAGTACTTCGGCATTGGAGCAAATGAAAATGACTGACCGTGGAAGACAGTATGGACTGGAACTCCATTATTCAGCCATACCTGAAGGCGAGCTCATCAGCAGTGAGAAGATTGACGCGGAACTGGACGCGGCAGACTGACAAGTACCTGAATCGCATCGCTCGCCAAGTCTCGGAAGCGCTAAGCGTGACGCCTAATGTTGTCATGAATCCCTCGGTAACACGCAAAGTAGAATCCCAAACACGACCGACTCACAAACAACAACGGCATCTATGGCCATCACGCTCACTTCAGTAGGCAGTTTCCGCCACTTTGCGTCAATTACCTGCGCAGTGCTATACCGGTTATAGCTATGCACACTTCGGAGTCGCCTTCTGTGCGCCATGGCGCCCGAATGTCCATGGACGCGAACGCGGATAGCTCCGAAACCCAACCCCTTCTCAGTCATACAGATGGTACCCATCACGGTGTCGCCTCTAGAAGACGCAGCATCAGTCAGTGGGAGAGGCACGTAGAACCATCCTTGGCAACTGTGCAACCACAATTCGACGACATTGTGGCCATCAAGAATGTGTTCCTTAAACAGATTCTCGGATTGAATCCATTCAAGACCTCGTATTTTGCTCTTTATCGGCCGCTCGACGACTTCAGGTCTCGCACTATTCTCGCTCTCGGCGTCCTATCTGCCATGGCCGCTGGTATTCCCCTTCCGTTGATAGGAGTTATCCTCGGACGGATCATCAATAATTTCCCACCTCCTGCAGATGAACTCAAGGCTCTTCTTGTACGTCTAATGTCAGTTGCAGTTGGCTACTTTGTGGTCACATGGGCTTGGGCGGTCTGTTGGGCAATCATCGGCGAAAGGGTATCACGAAGACTGCGGGAGAAACTGCTTCATCGCGCCTTGGGAATGGATATGGCGTATTTCGACACGGTATCACCAGACATGGCGAATATATTGACAGAAAAGACGCAAACGATTCAGCTCGGCACTTCCGAGAAGGTCGGGCTATTTATAGCATCGATCTCATATTTCGTATCTGCGTTTGCTGTGGGTTTCTCGCTCAACCCTAAGCTTACTGGGGTTATGTAAGATCATATCTATTCTTGTGCTCAACAAATACCTTTTCGAGAAGAGGTCCGCTGACTTCATTAGGTTCGTCACCGTCATTCCCTCGATGACGTGCGTTGTAATTTTCGGCACCAAGATGGTCTCAAAACTTTCCAAGCAAGCAACCATTTATACCGAAAAAGCTTCATCCGTCGCGGAAAGTGCGATCAGAGGTGTGCAGATTGTTCAGGCGTTCGGTCTTTTCGATCAGCTCAGCGAGGAACATGTCCATCATCTCAGAGCTGCCTTGCGAATTGGAGTTAAGAAGAGTGCAGCTGGTGCAATTATGCTCGGTGCTATCTACTTCGTAGCTTATGCAACTAATGCACTGGCTTTTTGGTATGGTGATCGCCTGAGAGACGGCAGCGCTGAAGCAGGTACTATCTACGCAGTGGTATTCCTCATCCTGGATGCATCATTCGTGCTCGGTAGCTTCGGGCCCTTCATACAGACCTTCGCAATGAGCGCAGCCGCTGGACAATCTGTACTCGAAGTCCTAGATCATCCAGCAACTAGTATCGATGTCTACTCGGCTAAAGGTAGACCGGCACAAAAGTCCCACTTCGAGAAGGATATTGTATTCTCCTCTGTATCCTTTGTGTACCCTGCAAGGCCGACTGTCCGAATCTTGGACGAAATTAGTCTTCGCTTCAAACCTGGTCAGGTGACAGGCCTTGTTGGTCCCTCTGGCTCGGGCAAGTCTACCGTTACGTCCCTTCTCTTGCGCTTCTACGATCCCACATACGGCGCAATCTCGCTCGGGCAAGACCCTCTGAAGACTTTCAACATTCAGAGCCTTCGCTCCCACATCGCTTTGGTCACACAGCATCCAGTCTTATTTACAGGTACTATCCTAGACAACATCAAGCTTGGGTTGCGCGAAGCCCTCTCTGAAGATGAGGCGCTTGTTCGATGCAAGGCAGCAGCGGTGGAAGCTCATTGTGACTTCATCGAGCGGCTACCAGATGGCATGAACACAAAGATCGGAACAGGACCACAGTCCCAGCTTTCTGGGGGTCAGAAGCAACGTATAACGCTCGCTCGCGCTTTGGTCGGCAACCCAGCTTTGCTTCTTCTCGACGAGTTTACAAGTGCCATGGATGGTAAGCACTGTCATTCAAATATCCCTAGCAACTACTAATCGATGGGCCCAGGTAGCAGCGAAGCCACAGTGCTTGAAAACCTGAAGCGTTCTTCCGCACAAAGTGGCCGGACAACAATCATCATTGCTCACAGACTCGCAACTGTACGAAATGCCGACCGTATAATTGTCATGAAAGACGGAAAGTTACAAGAGGAGGGCCAGCACGAGGCTCTTGTTCAAGCCAATGGCGTCTACTCTGAGCTTGTACAAGCGCAGCAGTTCGAAAAGAGAAGAGAGGCATCCACTGCACCGTCCATATCATCAAGCTCTCGCTCATCTCACAAAGAACAGCTACAGTCACAAGGGGATTCCAACAGTGCGCGCTCAGCGGACGCAAGGACACCAATTGACAGCCCTAGATTAAATGCAATAACACTGATCTCAAGATGTGTGGCACTGAGTCGACGGGAGTCACCGGCCATTGTTGTAGGGCTACTATGCTCGATCATCAGTGGTGCTTTGATCATTGGAGAGGTACGTCTTCGAACAGTATAACATTACGTTGGCATGTATAAGACACCTTGGATTGTGGCTGTCCCACGTCAAGAACTGAGTGTCCGCGTGTTTTTTGTACTAACTTTTGGTAGGCCGTACTCTTTGGCAATCTCGTCGAGCTGCTGAACGACACCTCCGGCTCGAACGAGTTAACGGCAAGGATTGCATTGTATTGCCTACTCTTTCTTGTGCTTGCGATTACCGCTTTATTATCTCATGGCTTCGGCAAGACGGCTTTTGGTATGGTCTCAGAAAACCTGGTTCTTCGGGTACGAGATGTGTCCTTCCGCACGATCCTACAACAGGACATAGCCTGGTTCGCAAAGCCAGGACACTCGCACCATGCGCTCATGGCCAAAATCAACATGGATAGCGGTTCTATCAGTGGGCTGTCCGGTGTCATTTTAGGCACCGTATTTTCTGTTGCCACATCCGTACTTGGTGGTATTATCCTTGCACATATTGTTGCATGGAAGATTGCAATTGTCCTACTGGCCGCTGTCCCGGTCATGCTTCTCGCCGGCTTTTTGCGCCTTCGCATTCTTGCGATCGCAGAAGAACACCATCAGACAGCCTACAACGATGCTGCAGCATTAGCATCAGAAGCAACATCTTCGATGCAGATCGTCGCCGCGTTCGGTCTCGAGAAGCACTTCTTTGACGGCTATCAGGAGTCTATACGCAAGCCCTATGAGGAACATCTACGATTCAGCCTGCTAGGTAATATCCTGCTCGCATTTTCACTCTCAATCACCTACTTTGTCTATTCGCTGGCGTACTGGTGGTAAGTTGCCTTTACATTCCCATATTAGCCTTTCTGTCGACATGCTACTGTGGGAGACTTGCAGATCGACAGAACGGTCTTGACAAGATTCTTTAGAATAAAGCTGACTAGAATCACACAGGGGCTCTAAGCAGGTGCGTAATGGCAACTATACCCAAAAGGAGTTCTTCATTGTACTACCTGCGCTTCTGTTCTCCGCACAAGCCGCTGGTCAACTATTTAGTCTTGCGCCCGAAGTGACACGAGCGAAGGCTGCGGCGCAAAGCGTATTCTCGCTTCACGATGAAAAGCCGACCATCATCACAAAGCTATCGTCACCTTCAACTAGCACTGCCGTCCCGGCTGAGCAGAATGCATTACTTGGTGGTCCATCAGCTGCGTATGGTACCTTTGGTACTAGAGGGGAGCTTGAATTCAAGAGTGTCAGTCTCTACTACGATTCACGCCCTGGAGTGCCTGCGATTAACAACGTATCATTCCTCATCAAACCAGGCGAGTATGTCGCCTTCGTGGGACGTTCAGGAGCGGGAAAGTCCAGCACAATTCATCTCATCGAGCGCTTCTTCGATCCTACATCCGGACAAGTATACCTTGATGGACACGATATTCGCACCGAGTCTGTTCAGACTCACCGCTCACGCCTGGCTCTGGTTGAACAGGAGCCTGACCTGTTTCCTGGTACAGTCAAGTTTAATATCGGCCTCGGCAGACGCCCTGGCACTGAGGCAAGCGACGCAGAGATCATCACTGTTGCAAAGAAATGCGAACTGCACGATTTCATCATGAGTCTTCCTGAGGGATATAATACAGAAGTCGGCGCCCACGGATCGAAATTGTCCGGCGGCCAGCGCCAGCGCTTGGCAATCGCCCGGGCACTCATACGAGATCCAGAGATCTTGCTACTCGACGAAGCCACATCGCAGCTTGATGCTACGACAGAGAGAGATGTGAAGCAGGCTATCGCAGCTGCATCAACTGGACGGACTACCATTGTGATCGCCCATCGGCTGGCAAGTGTGCAGCACGCGGACCGTATTTTCGTGTTCGACTCCGGACGAATCGTAGAACAAGGTCGACATGATGAGCTTGTCGACCTGGCCGGAATATATGCCGCCATGGTATCTGCGCAGGAATTGGAGTGACCGGTTTCCTTGCCATCCTCTTAACGCCTGATGACATCTTGGTCGTTGCTTATTACCCACGCTCCACTAGCAGAAGCATTGTCTGTGGGATTTCTCCCGTTCACTAGTTTTCATCTGTCCATCCACCTGTACCATAATTGAGCTTTTCCTTTTTACTTGCCTAGCACATACTGAGTATGCTCGGCTCGACGTGTACAATACTTTGGTCCTAGTATGACCTCCCTAATTCATGCTAGCCCTTCATCAAACAAGGGCTCCAATTCTTTCCGTTCCATCGGATTATTTCGTAAAGCACGACATCAACCGGGCGAAGGCTCAAGAACGGGTCAAGCGCCTCCACCGTCATCCCTCGGCTCAGAAGTTGGATATGCACAAGATCACCGGCTGCGGTGCATTAGCCTAAGCTAGCAGCAACGCCGAGAGCAAGCTGCATACGTACAGTCATGGTGTTGAGCATTACCCACGCAGCCCGCCAAGGTCTTCGATCTAGTCGATCAGATTAGATTCTGTCACGGCATCTGATAACACAATATTTCTCCGATTTCGCTCCGCACCATGATCCGAAGGCGCCAAGCTGTCATCCCACGTATCGCGACGGCATCCGTCACGGAACAAGTACAAGTGCTGCGGGGCAATCGAAAATTTTGCCTGCACCACGAAAGCGCGATGTGGGCCGCCAGCAGCGCTTGTGAGTTATCAGATCAAAATTATCAGATGAAGTTTTTCCTACACACGGCAACGCATGCTTTGCGCCGTCTTGGAACGGCCCGTTAACCACTAAGTACGAGCGGCCATCGACCCATCGTCTGGCGAGCTTCGCAGATCCTGCGCCAGCATGGATTGGCTGAGCTCAAAACTCAGACCGGGTCTTCTCGGTGCAAGGGCTCTGGTCAACAGCCATCTACTCGGCTCATAACGCAGCTACAGCAGCGGTAAAACCTCCATCTGGGCGAACATTGCGTTGTTCTCTCCTTTCAGAACATCCTTTGGAAGCATTCTACACTGCCTCAGCTGTTGGTCTTACAACTTTCCTACGCTGTCGTTCATGTTCAGTGTAGACGTCATACATCACGAGCAAAGCCATATCTAATCAGATTGGGCCCAATTTCAGCGAATTGCGCAATCCTGTGTAGCATCACCTTGGGAGTAACAAGTAGCCGTCATTTGAGATATCTTGTACTCGCCTATTACAGTAAGCAAACATTCCATATAACATGACACATGACTTACACTCATACTAGCAGTCCCTCATCCGGAGTCTCGCCCCGTATAAACGCACTATGAGCCCTCACGCAGATGTCACCTCGAGCGTATCGCATAGCCCTGCGCCGGTAGGGCAGGATGCCTTCAGTGGTTTCCTTACGGAGAACATAGAAGAGAGTCACTTTGCGGCATTTGAGAACCGATCCCACCTTCGCTATACACCGGAGGAAGAGCTCCATGATATGATTTGTGTTGGATTTGGCCCCGCATCTCTGGCAATAGGTATAGCTCTACACGATGCACTGGACGGAACAGATCCCTCACTCGAGGAGATCCCAGGTCTGCAGGGAAGACCACCAAAGGTCGCTTTCTTGGAGAAGCAGTCGCATTTTGCATGGCATGCAGGTATGCTTCTGCCTGGTGCGAAGATGCAGATTACCTTCATGAAGGACATGGCGACCATGCGTAACCCGCGAAGTGAGTTCACCTTCATCAACTATTTGCACCAAAAGGGTCGATTAGTCGAATTTGCCAACTTGAACACCTTCCTTCCTGCGCGGGTTGAGTATGAGGACTACATGGGCTGGTGCGCAAGTTGGTTCGAAGAGGTAGTTTCGTACGACCAGGAGGTCATCAAAGTGACACCAGAGAAGTCTGCAAATGGCGAGATCAGCTACTTTACCGTTGTCTCTCGCAACAACCAAACTGGGAGGACTGAGAGCAGGCGAACGAAGCACGTAGTCATCGCAGCAGGAGGCCAGCCAAACCTCCCAGCACCATTCCCCTCGAACCATCCCAAGATCATCCACTCAAGCAAGTTCCAGTATACGTCGAAACAGCTGTTCCCCGACCACGATGCGCCCTACAAAATCGCTGTCGTCGGCAACGGTCAATCCGCAGCTGAAATCTTCGACTACCTGCACTCCAACTACCCCAACTCGCGGACCCGTCTCTTGATCAAAGGCGGTGCCCTACGTCCCAGCGACGACTCTCCATTGTAAGTTGCACCCATCCTCAGCCCAGGACACCCTATACTCACCGTCCTCTAGCGTCAACGAAATCTTCAACCCCTCCCGCATCGCCACGACATTCGCGCAGCCCCCAACCCTCCGCGCCGCGACCCTTACCCTCGACAAAGGTACAAACTACGGTGTCGTGCGCCTTCCGCTCCTCGAACACATCTACGAAACACTTTACCTGCAGCGCATCTCGCACGGCAACACGTCTGCCGCCGAAGCAAACTGGCCCCACGCCATCCTGCCTTACCGCTGCGTCACCAGCATCGCCGACACACCCGCCGGCGGCGTCAGACTGGAGATCCTCGACCGCAGCCCGCTGTACCTCAGTGAGACAGCCGGCGCGACGGAAAAGACGGAGATGATGGACTTCGACGCGGTGTTCGTGGCCACTGGGTATCAGCGGGATCTACACGAGACGCTGCTCAAGGACGCCCGACACCTGATGCCCGGCGGCGATTTGAAGGACGCGCGGTGGAGCGTGAGTAGGGAGTATAAGGTGCTGTTTGAGGATCGGAAGGTTAGTGATGACGCGGGCGTTTGGCTGCAGGGGTGTAATGAGCGGACGCATGGGCTGAGCGATACGTTATTGAGTGTGCTGGCAACGAGAGGGGGCGAGGTTGTCAGGTCGGTTTTTGAGAAGCCGGGGAAGTGGAGTGGGGGTGATATGCTTGGGGGGTATGAGGCGAGGCAATAGGTGATGAGGCTTTGCTACGGCTGCGTCTTAGTTGCGGTTTCTTTATGTCTTGTTGTTAATAATGTTCATGTTGATGCTGCACACTTGATGCCCGAGGGTCAATGCGTTCAGGCTGTGGTACGGGTATGCCCTGGGCTATAAGGTACTCTATCATTGCTACGGACACTCTGCAAACCGAGCCCGAAGAGTTCCAAGGTTCCGAGGACTGCACTTGATGTTGTACATGCACGATCACTGGACTACCAGACTTGTGCCAGAAGGGGAACCGGACACCGGCTGATGATGTTTTCGATGATGCATCAGAGCTGCGTCTCATGCAATTGCCGCGTCGCAGGATCACAGCCTCGGTAAGCGGTTCGTAGGATTGATGTAGAATGGCATTGGAAACAGATGTGAAGATCAGGAGAGATGGCCCATTTCGCGGATGTATCGCTCCTGGCTGCCCAGTCTCGGGAAGCGCCTGCCGTGGCCTGACAGCGACTGTTTGCCGTCCACCAAGACGCACAGAAGAGCGTATGCAGGCTTCTCGCAGCAATTCCATACACGGTAGAATGCAATAGATACAGGAATAGCCTTCCAGCGGCGGTTGCGCGCTGAGATGGGACGGGACCTGGACGGTGCTGCTTGCGGGCTATTTTGGGGCTAGCACGAGCGCAGCCCAATCCACGGATGGATGTCATGTTGCCAACCTCGAGTGCGCGAAGCCATGAAGTTGCTGCTTTTCTTCACGTCCACCTCCTCAGCCCCTAGAATCCCTCTTCCGCGCCGCCAAACTGCGGCAGTGCCCTCCTGCCGGCTCCTTGGTGTTGCACGCGCGTGAAGTAACCGCCGACGCAGCAAAGGCTCGTGGCTCACCCCGCAGAGAGACGTGCACCCACGGCGAGACGTCTTTCGAGTCCCACACGGGCACGTAAGCGCATTCACTCACCAGTCGACGACCCCCTTCAGCCAGCCTGTGGCACCCCGCCAGAGTCACTCGACGGCGCACTTCGACCCCTCGACCCGCGGCGCAATTCGGCATGCAACAAACAGACTGAGTGCGTCAGAGCTGAACTAGCCAGCTACCGCGACCCCGTTCGCACCTATACCCTCCGCCCACGCATTCGCGCCCGCCATGGACTCGCAGCAGTGGACCGCCTACTCGACCGAAGCGCCACCCGCAGCTCGCCCGCGGTACAGCATGGCCTCGCCCCAGCACGCCGGCGCTCCACAGCAGAGAGACGCCAGCGTGCCCGCCCAGCAGCAGCCGCACGTGAAGCAGGAAATAAAACAGGAGCCCTACACCGCGTCCCAGCCGCCCTCGCGCCAGAACTCGACCGGCCTGCACCCGCCCAGCGGCACCACCAGCCGCGGCCCGGACTACAACGACGCAGACGGCGATGTAGCCATGGACGACGCGGATCCCTACAAGCCCAAGTACAACAACAACATGGCGCGCCCCAACCACCAGCACCGCCACTCGCAGCAGTTCCTGCAGCACGAGGAGAGCGCCGCCGCGCGCAGATACTCGCCCATGAACCTCTCGCCCACGTCGCCGTACCAGGGCACCACGCAGCAGGGCGGCCAGAACTACACCAGCTTCACTCCCCAGGCCCAGGCCCAGTCGCAGCCCCATAGCAACAGGCAGAGCCCAACACGCAACAATCCTTACATGTCGCCGCCCAACAACTACTTTTCCTCTCCCCCAGGTACGTCATGCTGGAGCTCGCAAGCCTTGCTCTTCGCAGTCCAAGACTAATCACCGCACTTGTAGCATCCCGCCCGCATGCGCCACAACTGCCACCCATACAGTCCAACATGAGTCCCGAGAGCTTCTACCCGCAGAGCGCGACGGCGCAATTGAACGCCGTATATAACAGGGAGGCTCGCTCGCCGCGAACGTCCACGAACCCGAATCCTCCCCAGCAGCTACCACCCGGCGGAGGGCCAGTGCCCAAGTTCCAGCCCGTCAAGAACACTGCCGAACTGCAGCCCAAGATCAATGCACAGCCTCCCTTTCGCCGCGCTAATCCCGAGGGAGGATTCATCAGTGTAAGCAGAAGAATTCGAGTTCCCTCATCCCTGCTGACAATCCCCATCAGCCTCTCCAAGCTCTGACGGCTCATCTGCCCATGACATACAAGCTGTGCAACGCCCAGTTCAATTACCAATCATCGCGGAACCCTCGTCGAGTCCTCACGAAGCCGAGCAAGGGAGTCAAGAACGACGGATACGACAACGAGGACAGCGATTACATCCTCTATGTCAACGATATCCTCGGCTCGGAAGAATCTGGGCACAAGAACAGGTACCTGATCCTCGATGTACTGGGCCAGGGTACCTTCGGACAGGTCGTGAAATGCCAGAACTTGAAGACGCAGGAGGTGGTTGCGGTCAAGGTCATCAAGAACCGTACAGCGTATTTCAACCAGAGTATGATGGAGGTTTCAGTGCTGGACCTGCTCAACAAGCAGATGGACAAGAACGACGATCACCACTTGCTGCGCCTTAAAGACACCTTCATCCACAGGCAGCATTTGTGCCTGGTGTTCGAGCTCCTCAGTGTCAACTTGTATGAGTTGATCAAGCAAAACCAGTTCCGCGGACTGTCTACAACCCTGGTGCGCGTGTTCGCACAGCAGTTGATCAACGGTCTGGCATTGCTCGGAAAGGCGAAGCTCATACATTGCGATTTGAAGCCTGAGAATATTCTGCTGAAGAAGTAAGTTCTAACCATTCGAAAATTGGGAGTATCTAACATTTGTCAGCCTCGAGAGCCCTATTATCAAAATCATCGATTTTGGTTCCGCATGTGACGAACGACAAACGGTTTACACGTACATCCAGTCGCGATTCTACCGATCTCCCGAGGTTCTGCTGGGTCTGCCATACTCTGCGGCAATTGATATGTGGTCACTGGGGTGCATCGTGGTCGAGCTGTTCCTCGGACTTCCCCTGTTTCCCGGGTCATCCGAGTACAACCAGGTCTCAAGGATAACGGAGATGCTTGGGCTCGCTCCGCATTGGATGTTAGAAATGGGCAAACAGTCAGGCGAGTTTTTCGAGAAGTCGCAAGACGAGTACGGCCGCAAGACGTACCGGTTGAAGTCCATGGAGCAGTACTCGAGAGAGCACAACTCCAAGGAACAGCCCAGCAAGAAGTATTTCTCGGCAACAACCCTGCCAGACATCATCAAGAACTACCCCATGCCGCGGAAGAATATGAAGCAGCATGAGATCGAGCGAGGTATGTGGTGGATGGTTGCACTGTAAGATTCGTGTAGAGCTGACACATTTTAGAAATGGCAAATCGTGCCGCTTTCATCGATTTCGCGCAGGGGTTACTTAACCTCAACCCTCTGGAGCGATGGACGCCAGCCCAAGCCAAGCTGCACCCTTTCATCACGCAGGCCAAATTCACCGGTCCTTTTGTACCGCCTATGACACTGAAGTCGGGCTCTAGTCGATCGCCAGCACCGGGTGTGCAAGAGCAACAACGATATGAGGGCATGAGCAGACAGCGCCAACAGCAACAACAACAGCAGGTTGCAGCTCAACAGGCGCAAGCGGCACAGCACGCAGCATATGCTAACATGCAGATGAATCAATACGCGCAGCCGAGTCCGCACGTTCAGCCCCAGATGTACAACAACGCGTACACCCCGAACCAAGGGGGCAACCCACCGCCGTACCCAGCTCAAGCCGCGGCGCCTTACGGACAACAGATGGGCATAATGCAGCCGCAGCAGCCACGGCAGTACAATCAGCCGCAGAACCTGTACGCACAGGCAACCACTCGGGCTGGGCGACAACGAGCAACGACAATGGATCAGCAACAGGGTCCCACAGGTATCCCGCCGGCGTTGCAAAGAGTCATCAGCCATCTCGATCCCAACGCACCCATTCGGTTACAGCCTTCGCCGGCATACTACCCGCCACCTCCTGATGGCGCACCTGAAAGTGCAAGCTCGCGAAGACGGGGATCGCGTGCAAACAATTCCAACTCCACTGCGGCAAGAAACCAGAACTTTGTGCGCAATTTAGAAGACCGATCCCTCGAGGAAGGCTTCATGACGCAGAACCATTGGCAATGAGAGAAAGGGGGTTTAGTTTGATCATTACATTTCACATTGCGGCATATGGCCGGCGCTATTTTCGATGAACAGAAGTCGACGGGTGAAGATTTCCAGCACCCTGACGTCTGACGTTCTCCCTCGTCGACTCTTTGTTACACACCGTCCCAGCGAGACCGCGACTCTACTCAAACACAGGCCGAATGCAGTCACTACTTGCACAGCCGAAGTTCGTGGTATGGCACGAGCTGGATCTCGTTTACAGCAAATTGCATCATTTCGTTCCAAGTGGCCAGGAAGATTGACTAGGTCCAAGCCGTCTTTTCCAAGTGAGGGTACATAGGGTCGGGTGACTGGGCAGGGATGTATCCAGTCATGAGTCAAAACTTTCTCGTGCGAGGGACGTAGCTGTTCTGTTGGATCACGCTGGGCAAACATGTCTTTTACCTTCACCTTCAAGATGCGAGCGGGCGGTGGGAGGTGCTTTCTTCAGAACTTGGATTGCGCGAGCGGCCTGTATGCAGATGGGGGCACATCATGTACTTTTAGTAGCATTCGTAAAAACACCAGCTGTGCCTTATCGGCATAGTATTCACATTGTTTCTGTCTGCGGGGTCTTCACACGGCTGAGTGATGTCTGGACAGAGCATGAGGCGAGATTTGTGAGTCAAGTGTCAGTCGATATAGTAACAAGCGGAGCATGTGTTGTAAGCGTGCATAGCCTGTGTAGTGAGCTGCTTCCGGCACAGAGAGTTCGGTTACATGTTCACACAAAATTATACAGGATTAATGTTAAGAGCACCTAGTCATGCAGCATGATTCAATTCTTGAAGAGCATTGTTTCGAGCTATCCTAATAGCTGCCCTTCTATATCGCCGTGTTGGGTGAAGCATTCACTGCCCCTCCATGTCCGACTAGCGCCGCGCTAAGACACACACATCAGTCCCGCAAGCTTGGCGTTGACTCCCAAAATTCGAGAGTGGATTGTTCACCAGGCGACAGGAAAGCGCAACCCGCCGTGTCCGCCACTTTTACCCTCGACCCTCCGGCAAGCCCTACTCTCGAGTACCGCAGCAAACATGTCACGATTCTTTGCCGCCAGCGACAGCTCCTCGGAAGAGTCCAGCGAGGAGGAGCTCTACTCCGACAACGAGGCATCTGCACAGGAAGACTCCGACAAGGACTCGGATGACGATGATTCCGACGACGATGACTCGTCCTCTGGCTCCGAAGCTGGAGGCGCCAACCGTTTCTTGAAAGACGCCGACAGCGACAGTGAGAGCGAGGACGAGGACCAGAACAAAGTGCTCAAGAGCGCCAAAGACAAGCGCTTCGACGAGCTAGAGGCGACGATAAGATTGATTGAGAATGCACAGAGGATCAACGACTGGGCCGTCATCTCAGACCGTACGTCTATCCCGGAAACCACGTCTTTGGGGGCGTGAGAGTGGTGGCGGGGCACATGGCAATGCTAACACGCGCGACATACAGAATTCGACAAGCTGAACCGACAGGCCCCGACGCTGATGAAGCAGAACGATGGCAAGGTCCCCAAGCTGTATATCCAGGCCATTGCCGACCTCGAGACGGTCGTGCTCGAGACACACGAGAAGCAGAAGGTCACGCCCAAGAAGATGAACGCCGTCAACACGCGTGGTTTCAACGCCGTCCGCCAGAAGGTCAAGAAGCACAACCGCGAATTCCAGAAGGACATTGATCTGTACCGGGAGAACAAGGACGAGTTCATGCGCGAGACCGAGGAGGTGGAGGCCGCGCCCAAGGAGAAGAAGAAGAAGTCCAAGATCCCCCAGCTCGGCACCGAGATTGTCGATGAGGCGACCGACGACGGCTTCATCACAGTTGGCGCCGGTGGCAAGGCAGTGCAGTACACACCCGAGGGTATCCTCAAGCACCTGCGCGCAATTGTCGAGCAGCGAGGACGCAAGAACTCGGACAAGCTCGAGCACATCCGGACACTGGAGAAGCTGTTCGATGTCTCAGTCAACGACTACCAGAGGATCCGCGTGCTGCTCACGCTCATCTCTACACGATTCGACTTGACGTCCGGTACGGCAAGCCACATGCACCAGGACCAGTGGAAGCTGTAAGTTGTCACACACTACTGACCTGATGCAATGCTAACCCATCCCAGTGCTGACCAAGAGTTTGGCAAGCTCCTCGAGATCCTCGAGAACACCAAGGAGATTGTTGTCATCGAGAACGCCGAAGAGTGGGAGGACGACGACAAGCTGCCCCCGATCGAGGAGGGCCAGATCTTCCGCATTCCTGGCAGCGTTGTCTCTTTCGTTGAGAGGCTCGACGACGAGCTCACCCGCTCGCTGCAACACATCGACCCCCACACAGCCGAGTACGTTGAGCGTTTGACAGACGAGGCTCTGCTCTACGCCCAGCTCGTGCGCGCTCTGATCTACGTTGAGAGCCTGAAGAAGAACGCAAGCTTGGAGCTGCCACAAGAGTCGCTCAACCGTGTTGTCATGCGACGATTGGAACACGTCTACTTCAAGGTAAGATACTCTCCTGTGCCCCTCATATTCTTCCACTAACAAGCATAGCCCTCTCAAGTTGTCACCATCATGGAGGCCAACAGCTGGAAGGCCGTTCCCGAGACCCTCGATTCCGAAGTCACTCCTCGCGCCATCTCCAACGACACCACCTCCCTCGTCCAGACCCTCAGCACATACCTCTTCCAGAACAGCGAAGGCATCATCCGTGCCCGCGCCATGCTGTGCCAGATCTACTTCCTGGCTCTGCACGACCAGTACTACAAGGCTCGTGACATGATGCTCATGTCCCATTTGCAGGAGACAATCAGCAACTTCGATGTCAACACACAGATCCTCTTCAACCGCGCACTGGTACAAGTCGGTCTCTGCGCGTTCCGCGCTGGTCTGGTCTACGAGTCGCAGAACTCGCTGCAGGAGATTTGCGGCAGCAACAGGCAGAAGGAGCTGCTCGCACAGGGTCTCCAGATGCAGCGGTACTCACAAATCTCGCCAGAACAGGAGCGTCTTGAGCGCCAGCGCCAGCTTCCCTTCCACATGCACATCAACCTCGAACTCCTGGAGTGCGTATACCTCACATGCTCCATGTTGCTTGAGATTCCTCTCCTTGCACAGCTCGGCTCGTCGCCAGACCTCAGGAAGCGAGTCATCAGCAAGACATACCGCCGTCTCTTAGAATACCATGAGAGGCAAATCTTCACCGGCCCGCCAGAGAACACGCGTGACCACGTCATGCAAGCATCAAAGGCGCTGTCTGCCGGCGAGTGGAAGAAGGCAGCCGAGTTCATCAATTCGATCAAGATCTGGGAGCTCGTTGCCGACTCGGAGAAGATCAAGGAGATGCTCTCAGCACAGATCCAAGAAGAGGGTCTGCGAACATACCTCTTCACCTACGCCCCCTACTACGACACTCTCGCCGTCTCCACCCTGGCATCCATGTTCGAGCTCTCAGAACGCAAGGTCTCGGCCGTCGTCTCCAAGATGATCTCACACGAAGAACTCGCCGCCGCGCTCGACCAGGTCAACTCAGCCATCATCTTCCGCAAGGGCGTCGAGCTCTCGCGCCTCCAGACCCTCGCCCTCAGCTTGTCGGACAAGGCGTCCGGCCTCATCGAGTCCAACGAGAAGACGCTCGAACAACGCACACAAGGAACTGCCAACGCTTTCGAGCGACAAGGCGGACGCGGTGGACGAGGCGGTGGTCGCGGACGTGGAGGCGGTCGTGGTGGAGGTGTGCCCCGTGGCGGAAGGAATCAACAGTTCACTGGTGGTGCGCTTGGTCGGGCTATTCAGGCTTAGACGTTGCAGTGGAGGTGGATCATGGATGGGAGTTTTCATTTTGCTGAACAGGGATCATGCAGCCCTTTTAGATCCTCGAGTGCAAGTGAGTTTAATGTTCGTGATTCAAATGAATGAAGGGACATGAACGTGGACCATGAAGTATTTAGAAAGCCAATGGAGTGGGAATGGGGGGAATGGACAATGACAAAAGTATAACGTTATGACTTTGTTTACTGCGCTGATGTGAAGTTTAAGAATTCCTTTGTTTTTACTGACACATCAAGACTCGCCGCAAGGCTCGTTGCGGCACTGCTTTGATCAACAAATATCGAAAAGGTACTGATGATGACCGTTTGACCCAGGTATTTCTCGCGGCCACCATCCAAGCCACCACCACCATATGTAACAAACGTGTAAAAGGCAGGCAGTCTATGTGCACCCTCCACAGAGAGCATTTCCCGTATACCCGAAAACGATTGAAAAGGAAAATAAAACACAAAAATCGGCCTAGGAGACATTTATCTGTTCTCATTCCCCCCTATTCCTCAGCAGAGTCCATCTTCGACTACGCACATACACGCAGCGGTATCCCTGAAAAGATATACAACCACGGGGACTAATTTACTATCCAAAACGAGTTCTTCGGGGAATGCAAATGGCTGTGAATATCAAACTTGCCACAAGATGGTATGGTTTCTGATCTAGCACGGGCGGCGGTCGAGTCGTGTTATTCTCTCTGTGGCTTGGGCTCGAGTGAGTGTGGGCTGGAGATTGGAGACTTTGGGCAACGGCGTGGTATGGCATCGGGTGTGTGTAACTGCACATGAATGTGCCAAGGCTGATTCTCGCGGCAATACTCATATTAGATGGGAGGAAGAAGAGTCATGGCGTGACTGGTGGCAAAAGGATACTACATAGCACTTAATCATTGCACTGCGCTGCGTGCAAAGCTGGGATATAAGATGGAATACAAGAGACAACAGACATGTTGTGGAATGGTTTGAATTAAAGTCAATATGAAAGAGTAGACTATAATAGTAGTGGTATCTTTGAAAGCAAAAAGACAATCATAAGCATCGTAGAAACTGAAAACGCTTGATGCAAACACAATGACGTGTATATGCATCATTCATGTCTACAATCTCTTCATCTTCAAATTCATCATCACACACTTTCCCTCGTGCCTTGTCACTGCAGACGGCCTAGACCATCTGCTCACCATGTCGGCCATTAGACACAGGTCCAACCGGCTTCCTCTGCATGCGGCTGGACGTGCTGCCATGCGTAGCGTGATGTCCATGGTGACCAGCCGGGCCGTCAGGGTGAGGTGCCATAGTGCCGCGAGGACCATCAGCAGCATCAAAGGGTGCGCCGCCCCAGCTGCCACCCTCATGTGTGCCCCAGCCCGCCTTGCGCGTGAAGACAGCGTCGTGGAAGCCATCGAAGGAGCTGGCGCCTGCACCGTAGACGAAAGGAGCGTGGCGCAGGAGAGGGATGTGGTTGAAGCGGAAGTCCCAGACGGAGGCGTAGACCATGCGGTAGGAGGAAAAGGCCATCATGGTACCGATTACGGCGCCGGCGAAGATATCGTACCTGGAGAAGTTAGTCGTTGCAGAAGGTGTTGGTGTGTTGGGTGGCTTACCAGTTGTGGAACTCGTCAATGGTGAGGGCTCCGCCGATCAGGCAAGCACCAAGAAGCGGCGCGTAGATGGCAATGAGCTTCCACATTGCTGGGTGATAGTTGGAGAAGACCTTGAGCTTGGCGTTCAAGTAGAGGTACAGGAAGACGAAGCCAGCAAAAGCAGCCGTGGTGTGACCAGACGGCATTGACTCGAGACTGTCGTTGATCTGCTTCTTGTCGCCTGTGCAGACACTGCGGTCAAACATGATCTGGCGGTAGCCATTGGCCATGTTCAGGCCAGTAGCACCCGCCCGCTCGTTGCCGTCGTTTGGTCCGTCAACATTGAGGTAGCCTGAGATGTCGGGCTTGCACACGGCAAGGAAATGAGGACGCAGACCGCCAATGAGCCACTTGATGAAGACCTGGAAGACGGCGGCGGCAATGAGCGAGTACAGAAGACCGATGGTGGCGTTGTTGACGTCCCAGAAGCTTCGGGCGCGGATCTGGACGATCAGGAAGACTGCGAAGGGGATGAAGAAGGCCATGAGGGCAGCTGCCCAGATGGGAATGATCTGTTGCGAGTTAGTATATGGTCAATAGTTCCTTAGGAAGGGAACATACCTCATTGCGTAGAGGATAAGCAAACTCTGGGTACACAATCTCGCCGTCCCTGAAGGTAATGGGGAAGCTGCGACTAGGCGCCGGGTCCGCCATGTAGACACCAAGACCGATAGCACCCATGATGGCCATGGTGATGATATCGAGAGCAGTAGCCTTGATCCACTGACCAAAGGTCGGCCTGCTGTTGTGCGATGGTGAACCGTGGGACGTCATCTTGGGTTCTTTGCGTCCAAAGATGCCTGCTTTCTTCTCATGGTGAGTACCAGTAGAAGTAGTAGTATCAGCCGCAACAGGCGCGGGGCGACGGTTGAAGAAACCCATTATTGCGGTGTGGGGAGGTGTTGTTCAGCCGAGCGTGTGTCTCTCGTGGTTGACGTGGCCCTGGTGTTTGTGGAAGGAGCAAACAACGTGACACAATGATGTCGCAGGGACGAGAGAATGCTGAGCTGGACTGAACTGAATACCAAAGGGACATTCACTTGCACTTTCCCAACCCTATATACTTTGCCCTTGACACGCACGCGCAATCTCCTTCACACAGGGCAGCACAAACAACGAGCATCTTACATCATTTCCTGTCGCGTCAGCCACAAACCGGTTGCCATCCCTGCCTGCAGCCACTGTCGTGCTGTTACGCGATGCTCGATGGAGTGGTGGAATGCCAATCTGAGCCGCCTTGGGCTGAAGAAGCGCGTTGCAAAAGCTTGATTGTGTCTGGTCAAGGCTTGGTACGGCTAGGTGTGGCTGATGATGACATAACGGCACAGTATAGCCGGTGAATTCACGATGAAACGAGGGCCTGCTGATATCTCTGCAGCAAATTTGTGGCGTTTGGGTGCCGTAGTGCCGTTGATCGGATCGTTGGAGAAGGTTGGCCGATTGTGATGAGCATCGACGTCACGGCAATATGCAGCTGCACAAAGCGTTGTTAAAGTCCGTGCATGTTTTCTTCAATGGACACCAAATAAATTCGATATATTTTCAGAACCAACAAGCTGCTAAGAGGTCTTGGAAGCTCCAGGCTTAATCATGCTGTCTGCGGACAGTTTGCGCAATTGCTCCACGACTCTGGCACCAAAGCACAAACACGAAATTCTTCAGCATGTGCCCCAGTCTGAGGAGGGCGCAACGGCGGCTAGAACGAGCTTGGCCACACTAGCTTTCATCGTCTTCACGGTTCCTAGTTCCAAGTGACATGTTTGGCCACAAGACTAGTTACTTTCCCTCAGCCTTCACGGCAGACTGATGCTTGGATATCGCAAATACAGCTGCAGATGACTTGATTAAGATAACTCGATGCAATCAGGCTCGAACGAATCACTCGCCACTAGACACCTCAAAAAGTCAACTCAATCAATCACTCCTCTCAAACAGCAAAAAAATGAGTTCGTATCAGGGTATGAACAGCCACACAACCACTCCAACTCCTACACCACCTCAAAGCCTCTCTCCTCCCCAGGGTATCAATAATCCACATCCACATCCACACCTCAACACCTTTTCACCAGGGCCTAACACACACCCATTTAATTATGAATATGCACCTCCGTCGTCCCACTCCGATGCCACGTCGCCAGCAACACGCCACACCTTCCACACTTATGCTGCACATCCTTTGTCGAATTCATCATGTACGGGATACAACAGCACAGCGTAAACAAGCAGAGTCCAACGGCCCAGGCACTACACCATTGTCAGCAACTACACTCTTCTTCATGCAAAACCCTCCTAGTATAGTCAGGGAGGGTGTCGTATGTGTACTTACTGCGTGGTATTCCCCGTCTCAAACGCCGTGTTCGTCATCGCGCGCTGCCCGCACGCAGGACAATCCGCGGGCGCAGAGCCGCGGCCCAGACTCGCTATTGGCGTCGCGTTTTGGTACACGGTGCCGCTGGGTTGCTGGGGTGGCATGCCTGGCTGTTGCGGTGGGTGTTGGGGCTGCATATATGCGCCCTGGGGGTGCTGAGGGGGCGGCGAGCCGGCAAACTGTTGTTGCTGCTGCTGCTGGAATTGCACGGCATTGGGGTCGTGGTGTTGCTGGAATTGCGCGGCGTTGGGATCTTGGTGGTAGACGGGGGGTTGTTGGGGAGGTTGGCCCGTGACGTCGGGAGAGATGGGGTATTGTTGCATTGGGACTGAGGTATGTTAGTTAGGGTCTGGAAATGGAAGTGTTTGGTGGTGGTTGGAGATGTAGAAAGCGCGTGAAGCAGTGTCTGCCTTGAAGCGCTGAAAGTCTAGGGAAGTATGTAACTCACCACCTTGTTTCTCCATCTCGACTCAGATAACCCTTCTTCACAAAAGGTATGTGTATATTCTAGGTCTCTCGAAACGATATATCCAGGTAGGTGAGGTTTGTCGTTCGTTGGATAAGTAGTCTGTCTCTGACCCAAGGAAACTACGGGTACCAGGCTATAAATACTACCTAGAAGCCGCAACAAACTACAAACCCGACCCCAATAAGGCGCCCCATCCCACCAGCACACAGCCCTCATCTCCTCTGGCGATCATTACTCGTATCTACACTCAGCTGAGGATCATGTGGCCAATCAGCCGCCCACGGCGCGCGCTTCAGCCTCACGTAGCGCGTGCAGGCACAGGCGAGGCGGGACCCTGCAATCTTGTAGCGCTGTCAGCGTTTTTTGGGGGCCGTAGCCGCATGGTCTGAGGAATTCAATGCGGCGCGGCGCAGCAAAGACGCCTTGTTGTTAATGCACATGCAGATGCAGATGTTGTCACTGTGACGAGACAGGATGCTTGGAATGATTTGTGTTGTGGTTTGACAGAGGTTCGCTGGCGCCGGGTCGTGAATAAGGCTGTGCAAAAACGGCCACAGGACTCGGCTAACATGGCACGGATTGGGATTTGGCGTTGGTGCGGTGGTGTTCCTGCAGTGCAGCGCCCAGGAGGGCTCGTGGCGCCACACTCCAAATGCGGGCGCGATAGAGCGTGTTTGTTATTCTTGTTTAACAAAGCTTCACGTGGCATTGAAGAACGTGGACATGAGGTTGAGAATCTGTGAATGCTAACATGTACCATGCCATGCTACGCTCCCAGTCCGAACAACCAGCATAACAGCATTCTTCGTGTGAATACTGCATTCCTCCCAAATAATGTACATTACACAAAAATCCCTCGAGGTCCATCCCACCCGAATCGACTCACCGGTCATGCACGAGCCCCGCCGTCCTCGGCCTCAATATCGCGTATCCATGTCCTCCAAATCAGCCTCCTCTTCAGATTCCGTCTCGTTGCCGCCGCCGCTCATTAGCTTGAGTTGCTGCGGCGTCAACTCCACCACCATGGGTGCGAAGTCGCCCAACTCGTCGTCCTCATCTGCACCATTGACATCCATCTCCACACGCTCGCCGTCTTCAAGCTCGAGCAGGCCGCGCTTGAGATAGGCGTTATCGAGCTCCCAGCCGAAGGTTTCTTTCAGGTGGTCTTGCAGGTCTTCGAGTTCGTCGACGAGATCGGATTTCCACTTTCCGTCGAAGTCGTCGAGGTTCTTGCGGAAGCGCGTGAAGAGCGGGCGGAGGAAGCCGCCGCCGACTTCGTTCATGTCGAAGAGGCCGGCGTCGGTGGTGTCAGAGCAGTGCGCGAGTTGTGTGCGCAGGACTTTGAGCAGTTCGAGGAAGAAACTTGACCGGTCTTGGATAGCTTGTCGGCATGTGAAGAGCAACTGGAGTATGCGCTTCCATTGCTCGAGACAGGAATTGTTGTTCAGCGTCAAGACCATTAGGAAAGCGAATTGCAGCTCGCCCAGTATCTCGAACTCGCGTCCTCGCTTGTCGCTTGCTTGACAATGGTGGTCTACGAGATCTCCCAGGAACCATGATCGGTCTTGCGCTGCATCTGTCCTTTCTCGTCCCGTTGCGCCTTCCCGCCAGGTCTTCTTCAGATCAATGGGCAGAAACCTCAACTCTTTCTCTGGATGCAACGTGCTGTTACTCGACTCCAAGCCCGGTATCTGCTCCAGATCCTGCGACGCCGACGACGCCGACGTCAAACTCCAGTGATCCGGATTGAGGCCGCATATCCGCGAGAGGAGAGTCGGTGTGATGCGCGAGGTAAGATTATTCCAGTCATTCGATTCCTCAGCCCAGCCCTCCTCAGCTCCGGAATCGCCCTCCTGCACCGTTTGCCGATACGGCGTGAGGCCGTCTTTCCAGATGCTCCCCAGATTCGCTTTCCAGCGCAGCACCTCAGCCTGTGCGGTCTCGGCTACCAGATCCTCTGTGCTCTCGTCCCATTTCTTGACGAAGACTTGTGGCGAGCCCAGACCGGGGCTAACATACAGCCACGCGCCGTGTCTCACGGACAGGGTAGTATCGCTTGCCGCAAAGACAAAGTGCAATCCCGGCGGAACATTTTTTATCCCGTGGAAGCGCGGTGAAGTTGTGAATGAAAGCAGGTCGATGCCAGCGAGTGCTTTGGGCGGCAGATTCAGCAGCAATATGCAATTATTAATCGACGTGGGCGACATGGCAGAGCCGTAGAACAGCTCGTCAAACCACGTGTGTCGTAGAATCTTGGCCGGGATGTGCAAGTTGAGCGCGTCGTGGTGCAGGGAAGGTAAGGAAAGCATAGAGAGCGCAAGCCGCCGCGGTGGACCCGGGCGAATTAAAATGGCTGTAGCCTAGACTAGGTGGAAAATCGTTGCTTTAGGGGCGAAGTGAATGTGAATGGGATAGACGGTGATGGGGAAATGAGTATAGGGACGAGTTGGAAGAATGCCATGTCGTTGAGAGATGGTCTAATGCAGTGCCATGGCATTAGGACATTGCCTATGGGGGCGTATGGGGGCGTTTAGAGTGTGTGCCTGGCCGTGGGCCGCCGCGCATCAGAGAACGACCGTCTTTGCACCGAAGGCGATGTACGTCATGCAAGTTGTGCCTCTCTAGCCATGCACCGCGTCGAAGGAAGATATAAGTTGTATCCTCCGGGACGAGTCATCACAGGACAGTCTTCTATAAGTCTGCGAAGCTAAACAGTCTCCTTTCATATCTCGAAAACCTCGCTGGAAAGGCGGGAACAGACTATCGCAACACCACGGAGACGGTGAAGATCAGCTCACGTTTCGTCTCGCCATGGGCCGCTTCGGTGCATGCACGTTGGGAATTGCACGGTTTCGTGTTGATCTTGACGAACATGATTTTGTCTAGACCTGATCTGCATGCTGTGGTGTTCCGTCTTACCGCGCCGCTGGCAACCCCACCCACTCCAATCGTTGTCCCGCGCTCCGACGCGAGTCTGTGCTTGCGGACATGGTGAAGCTATACACACCAACACACCAACATACCGTCACACTATACTGAGCGCACTGTTCTCGCCGTGAAGACGCTTTGACACAAGCGTCCACCGTCTCTATTCCGACAGATCCATCTCATCTAAACCTCTCCTCCCGCGGAACATTCCGCCCTACGTCACCCATCCCACCCACCATCGCGAACACCAGCACTTTAACCTCCAATCTTCCCCTCCACCCTCCACCCTCACCCTCACCCTATCTGCCCAAAATGGACCGCCGCCGCACCCCCGGCCTCTCCTCTCTCGCCCCGCGCGGCCTGCAAACCCACCACTACACCACGCACGGCGCCGCCCTCCGCACCCGCAACGCGCAGTCCCTCGAAACCCAACTCTCCGTCTTCCAATCCCTGCTGCACAACTTCGCCCTCACCCACTCCAAAGACATCCGCGCCAACCCCGCCTTCCGCGCCGAGTTCGCGCGCATGTGCTCGGCGCTGAACATTGACTTCCTCGCGTCGAGCTACACCAAGGATGGGGGAGGGGAAGGGAAGGGCACGGGCGGCATGTGGGCGCAGCTCCTCGGCGGCAGCGTGAACGACTTCTACTTTAACTTGGGCGTGTTGGTCGTCGAGGAGTGTCGGGCGACGCGCGCGGAGAACGGCGGGTTAATCAGTGTGGCCGACCTGCGCACGCGCATACAGAAGGGGAGGGGCATAGGCGGCGGGCTCAGCGTGTCCGACGACGACATCAAGCGCGCCGTCGAGTCGCTGAGTCCGCTCGGGAGCTGCTTTAGTCTCATGACGATTGGACACCGGAGTCTGATACGCAGCGTGCCCAAGGAATTGAACACCGATCAGAGTACCGTGCTCGAGGCGATTCAGGTGCTTGGGTATGTGACGGTGAGCATGTTGCAGGTGAATCTGGGTTGGGAGAGGCCCAGGGCGGTCGCGGTGGTGGAGGATTGTCTGGCGGATAGTTTGGTGTGGGTGGATTGTCAGGCGGGCGAGAATGAGTATTGGAGTCCGGCTTTTATTACAGGGGCGTGAGGGCGGGAGCGGAGAGGGGGGATGTTATGATACCCGGCGAATTGAGCCACGTTTAGATATTGAATGAAGACGGATAATTGATGATAGTACATTCGTGTCTAGAAAGATGTTATATGCGTGATTTTGATGCCGTGACCGTTTTACACAAAACACCATCAAACCCTACCCCCACATTCCCTCCCACGCAAAACCGGGTATCTCAAAAAGAAGAACAAAAAGCCAGCCACTCCCTCATCCCCATCCCCATCCCCATCCCCTCCTCACTCCAACTCCTCCACCCTCGCAAATACCGGAATGTTAATATCCCACTCCTCCCCCTCCCCCGGCATCCTGCCCACCACACACTTTGCCTTCCTCCGCACATTCTCGCTCATATCCGCAACATGGCTCAGCGCAATATGATTCATCAGCGTCTCCACGCCGCCATACACACTACTCACGCGATCCTCCAGACAGCAAAACACACATCCATAATTGCTCTCTTCGCTATGACTATCGCCCGCCTTCTTCTTGATATGGCTCTTCGCCAAAAACACCCACTTGTACCTGACGCCGCTCAGGCTCAAGACCACGCGGGGGTCCACGACATTGACCTCTTTATTCTTCTTGGTCGGGTGTGGCGCGCTGAACACGGTGCCTTTGAACGTGCACGCCACGCACTCCCAAATGTCCTTGTGGTTGTACATGCCGAGCGGCTGCGTGCGGATTGCCAGCCCCTTTTTCACGTCTTCGCGGATCGTCCACGCGCCTTTGCAGAAGCCCCAGTAGTTGTTGGCTTTGCATGGGCGCCCGGACATCATGCGTTCTTGGCCCGCGGGGCCGCTTTGGATCGTCGCGCTGCGGAGGGAGGACATGCGAGAGCCGGGGAGGATGCCGAGGGAGGTCGAGTTGCTGCTGTCGGTTGAGGCGATGGAGGGGGCGATGGAGGTTTGGCGGAGGCTGGTGATGGTCGGACTGGTGCTGGTTGGGGATTGAGATTGGATGGCGTTGCGGTCGCAACTGACTTTTGGGGATTCGTGGCATGCTGCTGGTGTTAAATGGTATTTTGGGTGGTTTTGCGGGACTGCGTTGGGATCCTGATTTGGCTTGGGATGTGGTGCTGGTCGGGGATGCTCGAATGGTGCGATTGGTTGTGCTTCTGCATGTTGATAAGGAGTTGCGTATGGCGAGTAGGTCAATGAACTGTAAGCTTCCTGTGGTGAGCTGACGGTGTCATTCGGGGACTGCACTTGGGACAGCATTGAGCCGGGCATGCTGGAATGGCGAAGCGGCGCAGCTGGCTGAGTATACCGCTCTGCTCCAGGCGCATATGGATGAGAAGACGGAGGTGAACCCGCATTCTGATAGTTGTGGTAGGGGTATGGCGCATTCGGTGACATGGGCTGTGGCATCATACCTGTAGACATGGCTCGCGAAGAGTGCTTCAATGGTAGAGGGGGTTTTTGACTAGGCGATTCTTGTGAGGATGTCGAGCTATCTCGATCAAACGACCTAGATTCAGAGTAATTCGAGCCTTGTACCGGATGTCGACGACCATCGTGGTTGCGGGCCTTGTGTCTGCATCTGAGGGTATGGATTCCTCGCGGGGTATTGCTGATTGGTAGCTGAGGATGGTCGTTCTGCTGTCCAAAAACATTATTGTTAAATGCGGGTTGCCGGGAGTATGCTCGATAATCAGGCTCTTCAGGCGTCGGAGGGAAGTTTTGTGGTATGTGCAAAGCCTCGTGCGTTGGACTTAATGGGTCTTGCGAGTATCCACCTCCTGTGTGCAGTGTGAATAGAGTATCTCGTCTGCCTTCGGTATCGGAGGGCCATGGAATATTAACCGGTGCATTCTTCGGCCTTTGGTTGACAGATAAATCTTGGTAGAGGTCCGTTATCTCGTCAATCTCGCGCATGATCGCAGCGCGGTCCTCCCCTCCCCTCGCGTTCATCAGATGCTGAAAGGCTTGGCTGAAGTTGATGTCGTCTGGCGTTTTGGGCTGCTTTGAAGACTTCTGCACACTGTTGTTCCGCTTCAGAAAGTAGTTGGTAAGACCATGCTTCAAAATTTCCTCTCTCTTGTTGTGGGGGAAAGCGTGACGCCCGGTGGAAACGTAGGCGTCCGATGCGAAACTCGACGGATCAAATGCAGTCGTCCCCAGGGATCGTGGGAGATGATCGGTGACTCGATGACTCGGCAGAGCCCTGCAATTGCCGGTTCATAGGCATCCTAGGAAGTAGCCTTTGCTTCAATTGATCCAGGATGAGGAACGTCGCAGTCTTGTTGGTGATGGAAGCTTCGTGAAGTACGGCAAGGTTCAAGACGGCGTTGTCGTACTGTGCGGCCATTTGCAGGCTTTTGATGACTTCACCTTGCATGAGTATCGTTATATGGTATAGTTGGTTGCGCGCTATGACTGTAATTAGGCAATCCTCATTAGCTCTTCATCACGGACTTCGGACAATATGAGGACGAACCATCGCCAATTCGCATAAGATCGCCAAACTCCCTCATGTCCTGCGCATAGCGATATCCTATTTGCTGTTCTCCAGACACTAGAGAGTCTTGGAGTTGCTTCTCTTCAAAGTCTTGTTGTGCTTGTCGGCTCTTGCGACGCTTCGCCTTGATGTGCTTCAGCAGTTCTGACCCTCCATGGAAGGCACTTATGATTGCCGATACAGCTGCTACCACCTCAATACCCGACATTGTATTGGCCAACGAGGTCTCTTGTAGCCGTTCTATCTGGGATAGGCTGGACGGGAACGTGTTGGATGTGTTGGTGATCACCGTGCTGGGTAGCAGGGGAGGGCGAAGTTGTAGGCAACTAAAGCGAATGGCTGCTGAACAATTCGAGACAAGGATCCCTACACAATCGACGACTTGAAGATCTCGTAGTGTCGTGTGAGTAGATGTATTGCCACGGTAGCCAGTAAGGCGGTCTACCGCTCAACCTTGTCTGATGCCTTACAAAGGCGAAGTGGCCCACTTGCAACAGCTACGCGGGGAAGATCGTCGTTGAGATCAATAATGCAAAAAAGATGTCGAGACAAAACCGAAGAGTGTGGAGAAAGAGGAAAGTCACCACTTAGGCAGCTATCGCTTTCCAAGCCCTTTGCGCTCAGCCTCACTACTCCTCCCTGCGGACCTGTTCTCTACCGCGTCGTACATTGGGCTTAGGCTCAAGATTGAGCCAGCCGGAGACCGCACAAGGGCATTGCTTGACCGAGGTGCATCGTCCACATTGTGGGCATCTGCACCTGTCCCAATGGCAGCAAGCTGTGGGGGCGATCTAAATGGGCTGTGTGCAGTAAGAAGGCAGCCGTCTATCCTGGATTCGTCTACAGACGAGCGGTAGCGACTTGGCCAAGGGTTCCTTATCGAATCCCATGTCGTCTCAGGTGAGACTAAGAATGCGATGGCTGAACGATGCAGATGCGTTGCAGCCCTTCCGTTGGCTAAGGGAAGTTGTGTTCTCGTCCAGAAGTAAGCGGAAGCTTCAAGCCCACAATGCTATCAAGCCGGGTAATATCCCTTGGGGCAGAGTCAGATAGGTCGCCGACTTGCTTGAACAGGGCAAAGTGAAGCTTGTCGCTATCTGAGCGTAACACGGGTCAGGCTCGGAAGTGTGGATCGAACGGCAACGGTAGCGAGCGGGGTCATCTCAGCCACGGCCTTTGGTGCCACGAGTGGCCGCAGTGGGTCAGACACAACCTATTGATTGCCATGGTGCTCACCGGCGAGCGACACTGTATCAGTCGTGACAGGTTTGTATGTGGTGGTGAAGTCATAGACGACGTTTACGACAGAACCGCGCAAGTGGACGCAGATGTGACAAATTGTGGGAAAGCTGCAGGAGTCGCGTGCACCATTCTAGTAATCGTCGAGTTTGCAAGATCGCTGCAATTCAGAAGGAGCCCGGTCAATAGCAAAAGTTTATTTAGGCTTCTAGAAGCCCTTCCATAAACCCAGCTGCACGGACATTGCCTCAAGTCTGTAATGTGACGTCTATCTCACTCGCCATTCCATCTCCAACACACCGCTTCAACGCTCGACTGACTCTCGAATAATCGACCCGCAACTTACAACATACGAAAGTAAAGGACCATCTCCAGCGATGCCTCAATGCAAACGCAACCGAAACACCCTCGCTAGCAAGAAACCGGGGCGCATGAACCAACGCATCCACTTGTGCGACCAGAACTGTATCAACACACCAAACACCCGGAAAACACCATCCACGCCGCCAAAACCCCCACTCTAATGATCCCAATGCCCAGGTATGCGTTGATTTTGCTGGAATTTGAACGATAAAGAAAATTCGAAATGATGGGATATATGTTAGAAAGAAAAATGTAACGATCGGTTTCCAGAACCTCAAATGATGCCCTTTTTGCCCTGGCCAGGCCCTCACAAATGTATAGATGTTTTTTACGCATCAACCAATTGTACCCTCTGACTCTTGCGGTTCCTGACCTCCACCATCGTTGGTGTAAGCGCTTGCCCGCTTCCCACAAACTCCCCCTTTGCGCCAGGACTCCTTACCACAGAGGCCGTCCGCACAAGTGTCCTGGGACTGTTCGCCCGGCTCACTGATACCGAGCGTGCGACGCCGACCATGGCCTTTGGCGTAGCGGAAGGCTCTTGACGCGCGGATTGCGGTGGACTTTGTAATTGTTGGATCTTTTGTAGCGGTGATGGCGCCTCGAGAGGAGCAGAACTCGGGTGTGATGACAGCGCGCTAAGCTTGGTCACGGTGGGTTGAGTGCGTTGAGATGGTGTGCGCTGGAGATCGGTGATAGGTGCGGTGTTGGCGCGCTTTGGAGCAGGGGGTTTGGTCATGATTTCCCATTCTGGTTCGCGATCGTCGAGGTGGAGCGGCTGTCCGGGTGTTGTGCGGCCAACAACGAGTGTGATGCTGTCGTTGTCGGATTCGAAGCTGCGGATCGAATTCGGGGTGATGGCGAGATGTTGGACTTTGAGGTTTGAGGAGACATAGGATTCGAGGACGGGCGGCGATGCGGTGGGTTTATCGTGTTGGACGAATAGGTCCTGGGCTTTTTGGCTGCCCATCTCTTTTTGGGAAAATGTCTGTCGGAGGGGTGATTTCTCAGGGGATGTCTTCGATCGATGGAGCTTTTTCGATCGTGGAACGGATGATGAGCGCGGTGATGGTGATGGTACTGGACTGTTGCGTGTGCTTGGGAAAAGTGACAGTCGCGGCGACGGAGACGGCATCACGGGAGATGTCGCTCGGCGCTGGAGTTTGTAATCAATGGGAGACTCTTGCTCATGATCCTGTTCCATGTCAGTACAGATGCTGAAACAAAGATTTTCATACTACTTACCTTGACGGACAGCTTGTTCAGCGGCTTAAGCTTGTCAGTATTCCCTTGTCTTCGTACCAATAACGAGGATGATCGATTCGAAGTTGTAGACTGGAGAAGATTGCCAAACATGACACTGTATCTGTCTAACTTGATATCCGGAATGCTAACATCCAACATGGGCATATCATCTTCAGATACCGGTGGACCATTTTGATGGTTATGTGACGGCTTCGACTGCGGCACGGTGGGATGACCGTTGCCAACAGCGCTTGACGGTGCAGGGGTGGTTGCTGAGCGTACCACTGAAACACGAGGATTGGCTGGTAGAGAATTTGCAGTGACCGCTCGTGGTCGAGTTTGGGGTGGTGCAGGAGCCGAGCGAGGCGTAGTGAATGCACGGGATGCTCGGATGTTGGGTTTGAACGTTGGTGGTGATGGAGTGCGCCCGGTGTCTCTATCACTGACAGGCTCTATGACCGGCTTCACCTGCTCTTCATCATGATGACTATCTGCACGGCCTGCCCGTGTAGCTGTAATGGTAGTTGTGAGTTGATAGAAAGCTTGCTTTTCCGGCTGTGGTGGTGGTGGGGCTGCTTTTCTGAACATCGACTTCCAGCGGCTAAGCTTCGATTTAGGAGCTTCTGTCCGAGCAGAAGGGGGCGAAATAGGCGACCAGGCTGACATGATATCGGTATTTTGTGATGCTACGTCAGTAGTTGAAGCCTGAGGTGTGCCAGTCCAGTGTGAGCCAACGGTAGGACTCCCCAATGCGATCCCAATGATTCCTTCTGAAGAGTCGAATGCCCCTGTAGTTGAATGGGCTGTGGTTGAGTTCAATGGGACAGAAGACGGAAGGTTATTTTGGGAATGAATAGACGCGACAGGATATGTTTTCATGTGGAACGCCGTCCTGCGATCTCCCGGTCCACCGGACGTGCTAGGACGAGGTGCGATGTCTGGGGTTTCGAGGCGCCTTTCTTTCCTCGAGACGGGTGTGGCTGACTGGTTTCTGTCAATATCCGTTTGAGATCCTGCCGAGGGCGGCATCAGTTTCTGAACAGTATCCTGCTGGGCATCTCTCCGATGGCTCTTCAGAAGTCGCATAGACTTCGACCTTGAAAGTAGTCCTGGCATAGCGTTTCAGATCGCTAGTGGGTATCAGGCACCAAAAAAAAAAACGGTTGAAAGTACGACAAGAAGTAGAAGGTACACTTGTAATACAAAGGAGTGGACAGCTCAAAGAGCAAAGAATTGTGCGGCCAGCGACGCGATGGAGATGAGAATAGGAAGTGCAGAGGAAGGACAATGGCGAGTGGGATTGAGCCATAGTGCTCATCAGTGCGTGCGGGAAACAACCTTGTGCCTCCACATTTCCAAGGGAAGGGCCTCTTGCCAGCGGCTGTCAACCCGTCTGTGGTGCTTTAGGTGTTAGAGAAAGATTACCAGAACTAGATCATTGTGGCGCGGGAAGCGTGGCCGTGATTGGCTCAGAAGTGGCATGCGACACCGAGATTCCATGTCGGGCAACGAGAGTTTTCTAGGATATGCCGTGGCACAGACAACGGTCCACTGCGGTGTCTTGCAAGCTATTCCTGCAGCGAGATGGTTGCACGGGCTCCAGTTTCAAGATGACGGCCTACCGCGGGCAATTTCGCTATCCGCCGCCAAGGGACCCTTCCCACACGAATCATTTCCTGGGGAGCCAGTGTTTGTTGTTGAAGGCGCCACAAACCAAGAGCACATTACAGATCCACAGCACATCGCCGCTTGTTTTGATCGCTGCAGGAATTAACGCGCAATGTTGTGGGCACGGCGCTTGCATGCGAATCGAGGTGGGAGTTGGTGGTGGATGTTGGATGATCGACGGGAAATGAGGCCCCAACACAAGGCACCACCTAGATGCAATCCTTCGGCCATAACTGAGATTGCTATGATGTTCAGACTGTATACAAGCAAGCGCAAGCGCACGCGTGCATCAAGCTCAACTCTGCATTGAGCTGGCGAAGAATATGGAAGCTGGGTTAGCGTTCTGGAGGAGGCTGATTTGTAAAATCTCAGGTGTTCGTCACTTGTGATGCGCCTTGTGTCGGACAGAGTGCCGAGCGCATGTTACGATCCTTGACGTTCAATGCCTAAGGTGCCGGCCAGACCCGGGAGATTGTCCGATCATTGTGGAGAACGCTCGTTGCAGCGTCGCCCAGGGTTTGTATTTGCACCTTCCGCAGGTAGAAGAGCCTGAAAACATGTACAGCACTAAATTTGTTTTGCTGCATAACAAACGGGCTGCGTATGGCTCTAGGGTATGTCATTGAAAACGTATACACAGCATCTCACTGCAGAGTACTGTTTGTGCAAGTGTTCGCGGACGTGGAAGACGCAGTCTCTAGCCCACAGTCAACGACTTTCCTGGCCGCCAGTTCCTATACCGCTCAGCCTCTTCTTTGACGGTATGCGGAACATGCTGATCCAGAGCTTGCTCGAAATGGCACATGCGAATTAGAGGCTCGCACTCTGGAGCCTTTTCGTAACCCGAAATTGCAAGCTCAACTGCGACGGCACAGAGACCGCTGATGTCAGCCCCACTGCTGCCCTCCGTTCTCGCAGCAACAACGCCGAGGTCAACGTCAGGGGCTAGTGGCCTCTTCCTGGTGTGAATCTGGAGGATTTGTATCCTGGCTTCCTCGGTTGGGAGACCGATGTGAATATGCGCATCGAATCTTCCCGTGCGGATGAGCGCTGAATCCAGGATATCAGGCCTGTTTGTTGCCCCAATAATGAAGACATCCTTGAGGGCTTCTATACCGTCCATTTCGTTGAGCAGCGTTGTGACGACGTTCAAGCCACTATCCTGTGTCTTTTCGCGTGATTTGCCGATGGAGTCAATCTCGTCGAAAAATATAATGCAGGGTTTCGCTGCGCGCGCGCGACGAAATATATCCCGAATGGCTCGTTCCGACTCGCCTACGTACATCTTGATCAATTCCGATCCTTTAACGGCAAGAAAGTTTTGGTTGCTTTCGGTTGCGACAGCCTGGGCAATCAAGGTCTTTGCACAACCCGGCGGACCATATAATAGTACGCCTTTTCGCGACTGTGGTCCGCCAAACTTTACGTCGAGATCCGGATACTGGAAAAAGTCAGCAGCGCTCGTTTCAGTGTATAGGCGCATCTTACTCTGAAGGGTCGGATGGTGATGGCTTCAAGTAGAGCGCGAACATGGTCCAAGCCGGCAATGTCTGTCCACCTAACCTTCGGCACTTCCAGAATGCTCTCCTTGAGGACAGTCGGCTGGATTTGATCAATCACAGCGTCGAAGTCTTCCTGCGTGACAAAGTCGGTCTTTTCCAGTATCTCGCCAAGCAAGCCTTTCTGGTCATCGTCCAGGGAATCGTAAGCACGTTGTACTCGCCCGTTCCTTGCCAGTCCACACAGCTTGTGGATGTCCCGACCAACAAAGCCATGTGTACGTGCTGCTAAACTGGCGAAATCGATATTGCCAGTCTTACGCCCAGGCCCAAGAATCTGCCGAAGTACGTCTTCTCTTTGTCTGACGTTGGGGGGGAAAAGCTCGAGCTCTGTCTTGAACGCCGACGTTGTTCGAAGGCTGGAATCAATGTCATAGACACTGCGGGCTGCTGCCGCAACGACAACTTGAGTTCCTTCCAGCTTCGCCAGCTCGGTTCGCAGTTTGGTTACCAGCGTATCTGCTTTCTCAAGGAATTTATCCAGGTTGTCCATTAAGATCAAGCATGGTTGATGATCACGAGCATCCTCGAAAGTGTCACTAATGGCTTTGACCTGCCCTTTTGGATGTGTTTCAAGGTTTACCCTGATGACTTGTTGCCACGGACACTCTGCGAGCCGTTCGAGCAGAAGGCTCTTGCCCGTACCCTCTGGGCCATGGAGCAAAAGAGCAGTAGGCCCAAGTAAGTATTGGTCGGACAAGTTGAGAGCTGCGCTTGTGAGGAATGCAAGGATCCTATCAATGGTTGCAATGTGGCCATCGAGCCCACCGATACCATCTCTCTTGAGCTGCAAAGATCCCGAAGGTGACAACGGGCGTCTTCCACAAGAAATGTCGCCGGAGATGGTCACTTGAGTTTTGACTGGATCAAAGTAGACTGCATGCTTTTCGTCTGGATGTGGTTCAATACTGTTCACATGGACGCGTGATTTTGTGCTCTTCTGTTGGCTTCTAGGCCCCTTCTGCTGTATCGGAAAGGTGCAACCAGGCAAAATGATATCGAGGTCCACTGCTGAGGTCAGCAGGTGTAGCACTTGGGATAGTCTTGTGGCGGACTCTACCTAATGCATGCCGCGCCCAATACAATAGCTCTTCACTCGAGGCGAACTTTTGCTGTGCGGGCTCTGGTACACTGATCTCGATGGATTTGAGAGGTTTCCAAGAGTCACTAGCTTTGTCGACGAAAACCGGGTCATCGAGAGTTAGTCCGTACTGCTCGCGGAGCAGGTCGGTGACTTTTGCTATGGCCTTGTTTCCAGGGTTTGTTTGAGACGCCAGCCAGGCCACAGCGTAGCCCTTGAAGCCGGTTGAAGTTCTCAGCCTGACCAGGTCTCCATTTGTGAGGCCCAGCGTCTTCTGCTCTCGCTGCGAGAGGTAGATGCGGAAGGCGCCTTCGAGCGCGTTGCCAGACGCGCTCAGCGGGTTGCGCTCGAGCGGACGGAGTGCAAACGGCGTGCCAGCATTCATTTTCAATAAGAATGAAATATCACATGCTCTGTCGTATTTCGTTCGACTCGATGATGGAGATGGTCACTGTGACTAAGCGAGACGCGACTAGGCCAAATCAGGCGGGCTAGCGTCAAGCTCAGGATGCTTGGACAAAGTATTGCACCGAGGTCGCCTGGAAGTTTGCAATGGGACGCCGACTAGCAATTGATGTCACCGCCGCGCCTTGTTCGACATCTGCGGCCGTGTCAGTCCTCATGGAGCGCCCACCACGCCCGCTGTGCCTCCTCGACAGCCCGCGAAAAGCGCTCGACCGCTGGCGATAACAAGCCAGAGAGTGCGAGCGCAATTGGTGAGGTGGAAGCGAAGCGACCAGGTAACGTGCATCCCATATGAGAGCAACTTCGGCATGTGCCCAGAATGCAAATGCTGACATAGGATCCATCTAGGAGAGATTCCCAGTCCCGATTCACTATCTGACTCCAGCTCCAACCAAGATGCGAGCTCGCAACGATCACGTAGCTGGTGGCGTTCTACTGTCGACAGTGTAGTCTCGCTTGGTTCCAAGACTGCCACTTCCGATTCGGGTACTCAGTCGCCGCCAGTCGAACATTCTGCACAGCAACGCTCCCCCACAGTCCTGGTGACACCAGATGCTGTGCAGTCGGAGACAGGAAGGAGCAATGCCACCGCAAACACCGTTGCCTCTAGCAATTCCTCGCAAGCAAAGCGGGAGGACACTCGGGAATTCCGAGTTGAAAGGGATCTGGTCTTGACTGAGGAACCCAAGTTCCGGACCAGATTCGTCCAAGCCAAGCCAGGCAAGTTCGAACCGAAGGTCGAAGAACGCAAACCCCGGGTCAGAGAAGTCAAGACAAGCACAAGATTCGAAACTTGGCACAAACCAGACGACGATAGGCGCGGCCATACATCTAGTCCTGCTCCCAGTTTTAATAGAGCAGCAACAAACAAGGGGAGCACTGGACTGGGCAGGAGTGATAAAGTTAGTCGGCCGCCAACCATCGCAAATGACTCCGACCAGGAGGCGATAAAGCAGCAGCTTCAACAACTATCCGAGCAAATCAAAGCGTTGCAAAACGCGTTAGAAGAGAAGACAGCTGCAACTACAACATCGTCAGACACCGGCGCCAATGCTGTCATCCCACGCAAAGGGGAGGCTGCACATCGCCTGCCTTCAGAACAGACCAAAGTGCCACCAGAGGCACATGTCTCTCAACGCCTAGAACGTCCTCAGCAGATACGAGTCACTAAACAGCCAGCTCCACCGTCAGCCATCAGGACTTATCCTATTCGCACTGTGCAAAACCAACGCTCAGAACGTCCCCAGCAGATACGAATCACTAAACGAACTGTGAAAAACGCCAAATTCAGTCCTGCACATATCCTAGCACTTGGAACGTGGCGTTTTCAAATCTCCACTCGCGAACTCATAAACACGGCACATACCCTTCGAAGACTCAAGCGCACTCTGTCCAAGCAATTGCTTGATATGGTTGAACGTCGTCTTACTTTCATAGCCCGCGGTGCACTCAAGGAGTCAGATGACGCCGTTATTTCAGAGTTACGTCGGTATATTAGGTGGAGCAGAATATCTTGTTCTCTCACGGCCGCAAGTCTGCTGGAGAGATGTAACGAACAATATCACAGGTCCGCTCTGGAGCTTGCAAGTATTGCCAATTCGCTTGAAAATATAGGATCCCCATCAATGACGCATAGTACGACCATGATCCGCCGCCAACTTGCTACACTGTATGAAGAGGTCAAAGCCGAGGGTAATGTTAAGATGCGCCATGCTTTGGAATGTCGGAAAGTGCACAAAATTGTAGAGGGAGCACCATTATCGGGCTGCCCTCAGCCCGCCAACAGTCAGGCATCTGCTAAAGAGACCCGTGTGCCCACACCCTTCACACATAACGACAAGCAGGGGTTGGCGAGGCGGATTCATACTCGCTCATCCTTACTGAATTCATCGGAATCTTTACAAAGGGTCGCAAAACCTTCAGATCTAGAGCACAAGGATGGTTCGACAATAACGTCTGGCTTTAACGATGCCATATCTCTAAATATGACACAAGCTCCGACAGAAAACATCAAAGCTCCTGTGGACAAGGTGCAAGCTACGTCAAACGAAGTCAGTGGTCAGTCTCTACTCGAGGAGCTGTTCCCCGAGGCTAGCATTGCCCCTCCAGCTGGTCAGGCAGAGAAGCAGGAGCACTATCCCAAGCTTGATCCGCCAAAACCCACGAACCGCATCACTCGGATGCTTGTTGATCGCCCGAAATCACCCAAGGAGCTCATGATCGAGTCCCTCCAGAAGCGTGGTGAACAGGTCACTGTTCTACAGCTGGAACATTGCAGCACCGAGCTGACGGAGATCGATTTCCGACGTCTCATTCCAAAGGGTGAGCACATGGAAGTTTTGAGTCGGTTTGGCGCGTACTACAAGGTCATTCCTGGTCGTGATCCTTTGAGCCTTGAGCGCTTACCCTTCTACTTTCTCCTCTTCAAGTCGCCAGAGTCTGCGTATGCCTACCAGAGAAACGCCTCTCGTCTCCACAAACTTGCCGCTCTCCACCAGCCTTCCAGCATATTCTCTGCCATACCCGCGCCAAAAGGCTTCCTCGAGGACGGCGAAGACGTCAATGCAGTCACCACCTCGTATCTCCTGAGACCCACTGAGCACGCCTTCACGCTACGCGCAATTATGCAGCCTTACGATTCTGCTCTTCGCACCTTGATCGAACAAGGCGGGTACAAGCCGATTGTGCCAGAAATTGATGGCAAGCGAAATCGCATCTACAAAGTCTTAATGTACATCGAAGGATATGAGCCAAGTATCTCCGACCTGTTTAAGACACTCCGCCAAGACGCATTCAACCGCGGCATGCCCTTTACATTGCGCAACGAGTCCTGTTCTTCTGTCCATCGCCTCCGTGACCTGATCGACCTTTCTGTACACACGCTTTCTATCTCGTCAAGCAATCCATGGGCACATGAGGCGCAGAATACCAGGCTCCAATTTCAGGATCCGGCAATCGCGTCCCTTTTGAAGTCTGGAATCCCTGAAGACGCGTCAAATGCGAAGGAGGTGAACCAGATGATTATGAACCGCGTGTACAACAGGTGGATACTGGAGTTTGACGATGAAGATGAGGCGCGACGGTTCGCTATCTCGTGGCACAGGCGCTTGCTGCCGGATTTTGCTGGGACCGAGAGGACTTGGAAGGATTATGAGGAGGTGAGGATGTGTAATACTGAGCTTTTGTGGTGAGGTGGGTGTATGATAGGTGTCTATTAGATTACGTGTACATGGTTAGAACGTTTTACGGGTTGACCCGAATACAGTCTTCGTATAGGAGATGCTTACAATCTTCCACAATTTTCTGTCAACAGAGATGCCTACATTTATTACTTCTACTACAAACAAAAGGAAAATGTTTTCAGCCTAAGAAGTCGACGTTACATGAGGAGGGGTGCATTTAATGTATGTCAAGCTAGCCCAAAACAGCCTAGCCTTTGAATCTACCTTTTTTTTACACCACCACTCAGACGCCGACATATCCAACATCGATGCCCACACCATGTCGTCATCAGAAGAAGCACAAGCCCTAGGCCGCTCGGAATTTTGGGACGAACGCTACGCCAAAGCAGACAGCGACAAGCCCACACACGAGTGGTTCCGCGGCTTCTCCGCGCTCGAACCCTTCTTCGACAAACACCTCTTCCAAGCGCGAGGTAATGAAGGAAAATCTGGCAGGATATTACATCTGGGCAGTGGAGATAGTGTATGTGTGGCAACTAAATTCTCTGCTCAATTTTCAAATTCTCTACATTTGAACTCGTGCTGATGTAATTTTAGACCGTCCCCTATGACTTGCTCGAACGAGGATATACGCATCAAACATGTGTAGACTTTTCCAAGGTTGTGGTAGAGCTGATGGCGGCGCGGCATAGCGATAGACCGCAAGTTGAGTGGAAAGTCGGCGATGTAAGAGATATGGTTGACATTGAGGCCAAGTCGATTGATGTGGCGTTCGACAAGGGCACGTTGGATGCGATGATTTATGGGAGTCCGTGGAGTCCGCCGGATGAGGTGTTGGAGAATAGTGGGAGGTACATGAAAGAGGTAAGGCTTACGGGGGGATGAGGTGGGCGTTGATGCTGACGATGATTAGGTTCAGAGAGTGTTGAAAGATGATGGGGTGTTTCTTTATGTCACGTATAGACAGCCGCATTTCATTAAGCCGATCTTGAATCGGGATAGTGAGTGGGAGATGGAGATGGAGGTTATGGGAGGAGGAGATAGCTTTGAGTATTTTGGGTTTATACTCAAGAAGCACGCGGGTACGAAATGACGACGTACGAAACGCAAACGATCCGAAAAGATGCGATGAACTGCAACGACTTATCGCCATCTTTAATTGGCCGTATTACATTGGGCGGCTATACTCTTGTTCTCATCCACCTCATTTTACGCTTGGAACTAAATATCTGAAAGGATCGCTACTTTGATACTCATCCAACAACGCATCCATTCATACCAATCCATGGCTTCGATCAGCAAATTCAGTACAGCACTGCTGTCCGTGCCAAATGAAATCACATTAGCAGCGGCAAATTCCAATGTCAACTTCTCTCTTATGAAATTCGAGGCTCCGCCGGAGTTCCATGGTCTGCGGGATGCGTTGTCCCGCACGCGACGCCACGAGGCTGAAGAGGGCATGCCGCATATCACAGCACGATGCCTTGGGGCACTTTTTGAAACGATCATACCTCAAATTCCACGGATTACAGTCGCATATGGGACACGCGTTTCTGAGATCTGTGCCCAATTACAACTGAAAACACAGCCAACGGGAATGTTTGCCGACCAAGCTGGAGCTGATGGCACATCAATTTGGGCTGCAGCTACTTCTGGGCAGCATGCAATTGCTATGCATCTACTCTCGTGCATGTTGGCTCGGATCTGGAAGCCAGCTGAAGCAACATCTTTGTGGGTCGAACTGGTCGAACGACGTAAGCAGGAGATTTTCAAGGATTACAACTCCTCCAGCGCGACTGGCATATCTGCAATAATGGCAGCGCAACAATTGTTCAACCGCGAGCAACTCTCGGCATGGGATGCGAGCGCCAGGTCTTGGTTACAGACTGCAGATACAACGAAGCGCTTTCAACAAACGCAACTCATGCTTATCATCAATAACGTTCGTATGCCTGTCAACACAAGCAAAGACCCCTACGATTCAATCATCTCAGCCTGGAAGTCTGGTCTAAGTGCCATGGAGAGTCTCCTCCAGGGTGCATCTCAACGAGTGCAAGACGGTGCGATCCTTCTAGCGATTTCCTCCTGGCACCTTTACCCGAACATGCAGGTTCTCTCCGATCTTGTCAAAGATATTGATATGTCCGACGATCTAATGACTCATTCCATACTTACTATATCCACCTCCGGTACAAGCGATAGCCGGGATGGCGTGTTCTGGTCGTTGCCACTGTCACGAATGAGATATTACTCACCCGCTCTCGTTTCTGAACGCACCCCTTCGCATCCGACACATCCCGAATAACCATGGAAGAATTCCACATCGTCGTTTTTGGGCGCCTTTTGTCTCTCAATGGAAAACTACGTGCAGCGATGAGATCAGGTGCTGTAAAGTTATTGCTCGCATCTATCAAGCATACCAGGGACTTCTTAGGGGCCAACAGCGCCCTTTGAAGATTCCAAAGTGGTTCAATCTTATTGCAGCTGCTGCTCACCGGGTTCTGGATTCAAGCGGTCAAATGCAAGCACAATATCACAAGCTACTCAAGTTGGGAAGTCGGCGGTGTGGAGCATTTCTGCATGATCCAGAATACACACCTCCGACCTTTTTTGGCCTGGGATACTTCCATATCTTGGTTCGAGTACTGAAAGATGTAGAAGCAAGAATAAGCTTTCTACGGTGCTCTGCTGTAAATCGCAGTATGAACGCACACAGTCTTGTTATTCGATATAAAACAGAGCAAATGATCAGCTATATGTATGCCTCGGTGGTCCCGCATTGCAGGACTTCGCATAAGCGTTCAGCCGATGCTATAACAACTCCAAGTGCTGGACACAAGCGTTTCGCAATTGGCCGTCGTGCTAAAAGCGAAGTATCTTGCTTTGGGGTCGAGGGATGCGGATGTACTGATCCAAACATTACCGATTGCTTATGCAGAGATCACAATGTCAGATGCACGACGACATGTCACCCCAACCAGGAATGTTGCTATTGCCCTTATCCCCTATTATCATTCGACTGCCAAGGCGAGTGTTCGGAAATGCAGCGCTGTGTGGGTTGCTACAATCAAGATCTCATTCGCCACATGGAAGTCGGAGGGGAGGAGGTCACCCTGATTCACCCGGAATACTTAGACGTGGTTGATGAATACCAGTTCTGTATCCGCCAGTCCGAGAAACAGGATCCACATACTTACAGTCTTCTGTTCGGACATGGCACGTTAGCGGCTATATATCAAATCCAGCCAGAAATCTCGTACGACACATACAACCAGGATGTCTCCAACGCCCCTTCGGCCACAATCGAAGAGATAGAAAGTGTTGTGTATTCTGACTCATTTGACCCGTCCTCCCTCGAATTGGAAACTTGTTGCGACCATTGGTTGGGCGATGGAATGGTGCAAACATGTTGTTCTCTGGACGCTTTAACTTTCGCCTCTGAATTGTACGGCTCGATGCCTGGTGCAACCGTGTCGATAGAAATCATGGCTTTTCCTATGTACGAAAGAGCGTGGGCAATCTATAGACAACGCTTGTCTACACCTTCCGCAAATCCAAAGCGCGGAATGTGGTGGCACTCGGATACTGATGAGCAAGCCACAATTCCCGCCAATGAAGGACCAAAGAGTGACTGGAAGTCTATTGCAGACAACTTCGATGAAGAAATTATACCCGAAACTCTCGATGACCCAAAGTCCCGCAACGGTTTGAAAGATCCCTCAAGTGAGCATTCTCATGCGTCTAGATTTGTTCTGTTAGACGGTGCCCGGATGCGTTTGAGTCGATCTTTCGCGTGTGTTGCCTGGTTTGACTCGGGTGAATTTGACCTTTTCGTCAACCAACTGAATGCAGTAATGGCTCTAATAAACGGCAACTCAATATACGTTGCGTCCGCTCTTCTCTCCGATCCGTCTATTCCTCCTAGCGGCACTCCAATAACAAGAGTTTTCGGCAACCTGGGCCGATCAGAAATGAGTCTACTTGTCCCGCCAGTGGATCCACGCCTTGCGGAGCTAGATTTGAGCTCATGGAAACACATTAATCATTCCCACTTCACCGGCCGACTCCAAGACTGCTTCAGTAGTACTTCCCTGCACCTGACATTCACAGATTCTGAGGACACTGTCTATCTCGGCAACCGAGGGCTTCGAGACCGTCAAGTAGTCTTCTTGGAAGCTCTTGTCTCCATCGACGATCGCGGAAAACATATCGGCGACCTGGATATACTTTCCATGTTCAGCAAACCCACTTTCGAGGTCCAAAAGAGCTGTTCACACACACCTGAAGAAAGGGCAGACGTGCTTCTTGGATGTCGATTGATTGCCATTGATAATTGGGACGAGTTCTTGGATCCACCAGAGAGGGCGGCCATATTCCGAGCTAATGGCAATTGGCAAGCTCGTCTTGGCGCTGCGGCAGCTGCGATACAAATGGGTATGGAAACTCTGGTTCTCTCAGCTAAGAGACCATGTCTACAGTGCCTCAAGATGACCGGAGTCGATATGATCATTGCTTGAGTATCGAATCCAGAAGACGACCATCAGATTTGCGTCAAGAGGAAAAGACGCTTAACTTCGCATCTAGAGAAAGATCACCGACTCGATATTCAGAGGAACATCATCAACTTCGCTTCTGAGGGAACAATCATTATCTTCACGTTCGTTCCTATCCTTTCAGACATGCAATCGCCATATATGGCAGCAATGTCTGAGAAGTCATGGAAAGCATCCGAGACTCCCCATCCACCGCTCCTACGAATCATCGTACATGCAGAAGCAGCGTCGCACCGAAACCACAACGATCCACTCAATGCCTCCACCTCTGTCTGGCCGCTGCATACGAATACGACCCACACGCATATATATGTCCTTCTCTGCCACCATGGTCGCTATTCTACGCCATCGTTTGCACGTACACCTCTTGCTCACTCTTCCCCAGGCCCTAAACGCCACCAATCTATCAACCCAATGCTGCCTCCTAACCCCCGGACTCAAACTCTACGCGCTACCTTACAGCCTAATGAGCTTCGTCCTCCACGCCACAACTTACTACGTCCTCGGCTGCATCGCAATACTCCAGGGCTCGACCACAACTCTGCGTCCAATCAAACACCCCTCGTCACGAGCATACTATGCCTCATCAGCGGCGTTTTCGCGTTCTCCCTCGTCGTAGCAAACGCTTCCATCATGCCCAATCAATCGGTGGTAGCAGGTTATCTAGCCATCAATTCCGTGTTGCCACTCCTTGCTGGCGTCAGTGGTGTGCAAAGCCTATGGGAGCATGAGACATACTGTGCGTTGTGAAAGATGATGGATAGTGTGTTTTTGGTGTATCTCGTTCCTGTAGCGCTGGCGATTGCGAACGTCATGGATATGGGGAGGCCGTACTTGAGCAGGTGGGTCGCGCTGGGAGTTCTTGTGGGAATGGGGTTGTCGAAATGCTGCTGAGCGCATATTCAAGAAGAAGGAACAGAATGAGGAGAAGGAGATAGAAAAAGAGATGGTGGGTGGGGAGTCGTGGGTTTTGCGGTGCATCACGGCGGTCTTCGCTTCGTTCGTTGGTCTGCCATTCTTCATGGATTTATTGTTGGCGGTTGTCATGCATGACTGGAAGGGCTTACCAACCGGCGAGTCTCGTTACGTTATGATGTTTTTTGTTGCGTATGTAGATGCTTGCTTCCTGCCGCTTTTTAGTCTGTGAGAGATGGGATTTAGGGTAGAAATAAATATTCTACGCAGCTAAAAGCTGTGTATATGACTTTATATAGGCTTAGACCCCTTGGGCAGAGTAACCTTGAATACCAAAACCTGCGTGTCCAAATCAAATCCAGACGCGTCCTTGTACGGCTGCTTGCCAAAGTTGATATATCCTGCACAATCCTATTAGTAACGATCTCAATCAATTCAATCTGACACAACTTACCATTCTGCGTAATGAAATCATTATCCGAAAAGCTGATGAGGTAGTAGTCCTTGCCGCCATCATCATTCTCACCCTCACCCGCACTATCATCATCATCAACTGCCAAAAACGCAAAGCTCTCCCACTTCTCGTTCAAGAGATTCGCGTCCTGTACGCCTCCGTTCCTCACACCGAAGCGGTTCAGCTGTGGGTTAACATTGTACGACAAGAACGGACAGTACTCCGCCGGCGTAATATCGCTCTTCAACACGCCGTCTTTGCTTGCAATCGAGCCATTGAAGCCATCGTACTTGCCCGCAACATTAGTGGCCTTGGAAATATCGATAACATCGGCGTTGCGGTAGATTGACTGGGAATTGCTTTGTCCATGGCCAGCGCCTGAATCGCGAGCCAGAACAAGGAACTGCGTGTCAGATACGTATATCATCTCAGACTGGCCGGTAACACGTCCGGATGGTAGAACGGGGAGTTGTACAGCGTATTCAGCCTCGAGTGTGACGCTCTTGTCCTTGACGCGGTAGGCGAGGAAGCGCGAGTTGCGACGCTTGGAGCTGGATTTGCCACCATCTTGGATCGTGGCGCTTTGGAGTAGGGTGTAGAGATACTTGCCGTCGGGAGATGCAGTAAGTGCTTCGAGACCCTGGTTATTGCCGCGGCCGGAGGTGGGGTCTTCGGGCTTGATTTTCAGGTCGGGGTTGTAGATTGGTGGTGACGCTGCGGAGAACGATGTAGTGCCGTTGCGAATGGGGATAAAGGCGTCTGGCGTGCGGACTGCACGGATCATCTTGCCCTTCTTGTCGAATTGATACACGTAGGCCGCTGATGGAGATTGAGCCTTTGCATATCAATATGGCTGGATTGAAACTTACCATACTCATCGCTAATCCAGTACGTATTGTCGTCACCAAGTACCAATCCCTCAGTGTCAAGCGCAACTCGTGCACCACCCGTGCCATTATTGCCAAATCCATCACCAGTATCTATAACCATTAGCACACTCTCCTCTCCCCCAAATTCTCAAGCAAACTCACACTTCGCCAACGGCAACTCGGGAAATCCCTCATACGTCACAACATCCGTCGGATCCAGGCCCGTCAACGGCGTGCCATCCGGCCCCGTCAACAACACCGTATCCTGATACGTCAACTTAAAATTTGGCGCTGCTGGGTTGTCCACCGTCGCGTTCTTCACAATCTGAAACGCAAATCCAAACTTGTGAATTCTGGACTGCGTGTTCTGCGTGCCTTGGGTATTCCAGCCACGATCTGGCAGGCCGTAAATAGTGCCTGTATAGGTGTTCGTCTTCTTCTTGTACTTTGCTGATTTCTGGTCGAGCGCGATGGCACTGCCGATTCCGCCTAGAGTGTCGCCGTACTTGTCGCGGAAATCGGCGGGCAGTTTGCCATAGCCGGCGAGGGCATTGTAAATGTACTTTTTGCCATTGCAGGTTGTGGTGTTGACTGGTGTGGAGTCTGCACGGCGGATGAGAGGAGTGGCGAGGACGGCGGGAATAGCCAAAAGGCTGAGCGATGCAGTGAAGAGCATCTTGTAGGTTTGGGAAGAGTGTCGTGTGTCCTGTGCAGGGGAGTAGGCAAGGGTCGACGTACTTATATTAAAAGCTGCAGAAGCAAATGCAGATGCGATGACGCCATGTAGCTACAAGGTATTTGAGGCTGAAAGGATGACTAGCAGATTATAACGCGCACGTTGTTATGTCTTTGGCGTCTGAGTGGAAGACGAGCTTGACATCCCGCCATCCAAGCCTCGACGACAGAAGTGGCGTTGGGGTCAGGAACGCGTACTTCCATCTCAAATACATTCGGGTAAGCTAGTCCATCTCATTTGCCAATAGCGACGCAAAGATGCGGGGTGGCACGAGTTGGAAAGTGCACGTTGCTCGAAGAAGAGCTGTGAGTCGTTGATTGGAGATCATCCGCGGAGAGGCCGTTACCAAATGGGGCAGGCCGCAACGCCAAACCATATAGTCGGTTCCTAATTGTTTCTTCGAGCATCTTGGATATGTCTTCAACAGTAAATCATTCGCTGTGCTACCAGAGTCCCACGGGTTGGCAGCATGGTCTAGCACAGTATTGTGTGGGTTTGGTGGCGCTGTCTAATGAACCTTGGAAGCCAAATTGCTCGCTGTGAGAAGTATGCTATGCTATGCTATGCTATGCTATGCTTTTAGACACTGGGATAGTCCATGTTCAAAACCAACTCCTCAACGCCCACTGAATCATCGCCCTTCGACATTCTTCGCAACAACTACTTCACGCCTCCCTAAGCCGGTGTAAGCCCTACCTTAACACCATTGTGACTAGCCAACGTCAACGTCAACTGCTCAATCCAAGGCTCAGGATCTCTGCTCTCGATTTTGCTAAACTCTTGAACGATGCGCACAGTGACATAGCTCGCCTCCGTAAGAGCGTATTGCTGACCCAAGCAAATCCGCGGACCGCCGTTAAAAGGCAAGTACTCCCATCCCGGACGCAGATTTGCCCATCGCTCTGGCTTGTACTCGTCGGCGTCTTCGCCGTAGAGATCTTTTCGTCGATGCATAACATAAGGCGAGTAGCCGACCATTGTGCCTTTGGGGACGAAGAGAGGGTGTTGGCCATTGGGGCCGCCGCCGAGAGGGAGAATAGTGTCGCGGATGGCTAAGCGAGAGTTTGATGGGACGACGGGGTGACAGCGCAGAGCTGTATTATCATTAGTCATATGTCGTGGGTGATATTAATTTGATTTGGACTTACATTCGTTCAAACACCATTTGAGGTACTTGAAACCCCTCAGCTCTTCGTATGTAGGGATTCGGCCTTCAAGCGAAGAAATCTCTTCTCGCAGCTTGGCGTATATTTCTGGCTTCTTTGCGAGCTGGAAGAACATGTTACTCAGCAGACTAGCAGTTGTGTCGCGGCCCGCAAGCAAGATGTTGATGAGCTCGTCTCTGATCCTCTTCCTGTCCTTCGTTTGCTTCGCGACCTCTTGTATAAAATAGTACTTCTCATCTTTCTGGCCACCAGCCACTTTCTCCTCGTCCAGCTTTTTCCGGAACTCCAGCGCATCGTCAACGAATCGCTCAATGTAGCTATGGCAAATTTTGATAGCCTTCTCGCCCTCTTCATTCTTCCTGAAGCGGTCAAATATACCGAGACGCGCGCGTACTGTGGTATCGTCTTGCGCGAAATTGAAAGCCTTGCCGAATATGACGTCCTCGTTGTTCTCGTCGTCCTGGCCCACCATGCGGAGCGAGTGGGTGGAGTGGTTGAACAGAAACTCTGTCGCACTGTCGATGGTGAAGCGGAAGAAGAGCTCTTGCAGATCAACTGTTGTACCATCGCGGGGAAGGTGCTTGAGCATGATCTTGAAGTGTCGTTCGAATGCCTCAATGTCGGCGACCTGATCACGGGCAAAGTTCGGTCGAAGCAGATGCCTGGAGTTCGCCCACGGCTCTCCATCCGCATTGAAGATACCATGGCCTAAAAGTGGAGCGAATGCATCCTGTCGATGGCTCAAACTGTAATCCTTGAATTTCAAGCTGAGAATCGTCTTGACGTTTTCTGGTTCGCAGGTCGCAATGATGGGTATCGTGACAGTGCGGGTGTGGAAAGTGTTTCCCAATTTCTCGAATCGCTTCTTGTTTTCTTCCAACATGATATGCTTTTTGCTGTTGGTAGTCTGTATCTTGATGACGTCGATACCAAAGATTGGATCCTTGTTGAAAACGGATGTACATGGCTTGCACCCATTTTCCTTCTTGAAGCGCTGCCGCGCGAGGTAAAGAGTGATCCTGGTGTATAGAAACCAGGAAATCAGGGCGCCCGCGGCCACGAAAATGAGGGGTGAGTGTGCCATGGTATTAAGAATGTGCGAGTGAAACCGTCGAGACTGATGTTGAAGGAAAGTCGAGGTAGGGTTTGCCGTCGCAATCGGTGACGTCGCGCTTGTGACAAAGGGTCCACACTAACAGACTCGGGATGGCAATCCCGTTCTGGACGCGAGTTTTTTAAGGTGCACTCAGTGCTTGGATGACTTCGTTCGTTTTTTCGAGTTGCAGAAGTGTGTCTATGCAGGTCGCCACCAATCGTATGTCAGTGGAGGATCTCGTCCTGCACCTTTCAGCCTCTTTCGCTTATCGTAGCCGTTCTTGTTCTGCACCAATCGCAGGAAAGTCGAATCCAGAAATGTCCGATCTCTTATGTCAGGGTGTATGTTCGACTTGAGTTGCGGTGTAGGTTGTTTAGAGAGTGCCACACGATTCATATACTCCACGCAATGCGTTCACTGCGTCCAAAGTTCGGCCGAGCCGGAGAGTGCAGGCTGTCCTCCGTCACAACGTAACAACCCTGTGATCTGCAGTGTAACCCTTTCCGATTTCAAGTCTCTCTTGATTCGTCCACTCCGTCACTGATCATCGAGGCAATGAAATTCATGTCCATCGCATGACAGCGCACCCGCTCTTTATAGTTAGACAGCCTCAAACAACTCATAGCACGACCGGCATAACACCCAGGACTGGATTAGTATTCAACTCCGACGGATCAACCAAACACTCCGGTCCGCAGACTGTGCTATGCGAACGAAGACTGGCGCTCGTCGGCAGGTCCGTGGTGCTACTGAGGCCTTACTTGATTGGCCACATCATTCGCAACATTTCCTCTTTGTGGATAGGCAATCATACCGCGGAGGTGGCCTTGAGTAGAATGAAGAAAGGAGATGAAAATGACGCTGCCGGATGTTCGGCCACGCGTAGATGCGTTAAGGTTGTCTTACTCGGTGCCGAAGCGAGCGTACTGTACGCGTGTTGAAGCTTGGGAGTTGGCAGATTGGCTCGGTCGACGAGGAAGCATCTTCGAGCATGTGACAGAGACATGAGCGTTGAGTAGTATGGTGATCCGAAGAAGCAAACAATCGAAATAGCATATAGCCATGAAAGGTGACGAGACGAAAGACCAGTTGTTCATCCAACATATAGTCCTTTCTAAACTCCCACAATCATTTATTATCATTTATCAAACTCCCCAAGCTCATTCTCCAATTACCTACACGACACCCACCCATACTACTCTGAACTAATCCACTTCCAATGGTTCATGGTCCTACTCTCAAGATACTCCTTAACCTCGCCATAATTCTTACAAACATGCCTGGAATCCCACCCATCACTCCCCCCACGATCCTCCCCACCCTCACCCGCCGGGAAGGTCGTCGCCGCACCCTCCAACGCCACATCACCCGCGCACATAACCGCCTGCCGCATGTACTCGAAGCAGTGATTGATATGCCAGGGCATCTTGATCGTGTGTGCTGGAGGTGAAGTCGACTCGGTCTGTATCTTGAGGATGTTGTAGGCTTCGACGATGGTGTAGAGGCAGTGTAATTGATGGGTCACGCTGGTTGTGAAGACGGTGTGGTTGGGATAGTCGTGGACGGGGTGCGGGAGGTTGTTGTATTGCGAGGGGTTGGACACGTTGACGTAGCCTAAGCCTTCTGTATATGATTGTTAGTGCTTGGTCACTCGATGGAATGGCTTGGTGGCTTGCCAGGCACAATGTCCAGCCACGCATGCTGCGTCTCGCGGCTCCAGAATTCGCTCGCGTTTTCTGGCGCGAATACGGGGTCGGGCTTGAATGTGACGATTTGCTGTGAGAATTCTGGCGCGAAGCCTGTGATGTCACCGGCGAGCTGGAAGGCGGGGGATTTGCTGGAGTGCCGCCATCGTTTCTCTACGAGCAGTACAACGATAATTAGAAGCAATCCAGTATCGAGAAGCCACTTCCACGCCTTGACTTTCTTCCACAATGTCCTTCTCCGTGACAGCTTGACGTCGCCTTCTTCTGTGTCCCAGTCCTCTACTTCCGTATTACTTGATTCGGACCGCGCATCTGCGTTGCGTAGTGCGTTGTAGCGAAGGTCGTCTTTCATCGTGGTGGCTTCACCGAGTTCGAGCTGTGCGACGCCGTGAGAGGGTTTGAATGGTAGTGATGCTGGCATTGAGTGCTGTGTTAACAAGCTTCGTTAGTCTGGTGGGAAATAAAATGGTAACATAGCATCACGTTGGGTGATGTGATATTTCCTTAGGTGTCTGATCAAACATGGCCTGCGACGCCAAGTGTTAGACATTCTTGTTCAAGCCTGGGGTGCAACTTCTTGCTATAGTCACGGTCCGGATAAGATGGAATCGTTGACGCGCGATCAAGTACTGATGCGACAGTGTGTTCTAGTGTAGGCGCTGTTGACACGTGAAGTTTACTCCAGTGCGTGGTGTCGCGAAACGGACGGGCCTACATGTGATCGCGACCGAACGCTGGTGGGACAGATCGTCCTTGCATTCACGACAGTCTAGCTCCAGCGGATATCAAAATGACGGTACTCAGGGGAAGTTTAGGAAAGAGTAAATGATGTTCAGGAATTGAGAGCAGGAATGGTGGAGCGTGGAGCGTAGAGGGATGAATGTTCCGTCGGCAGCTGTAGACCCGCCGATTCCCCGACCATCGTCGCAAGCTTGACAAGACGATACCTAGCCTCGACCATCACATGCAATGTACGCAGTAAAAGAATCGGTCCTTAAAAGCTTAGTTCGACCGTTGATCTTGCCTTGGTTGCAATTCTTCGAAGAACCAGGCCGTTCCCAGATTTTGAACTTGCCATGTGACCACAATACCTCCTTGTCAGCCACCGCAGCACCCTTCACGCCTCAAGTACATCAACACCACGTAGTGGGTCTTACTCTACAATCCGAATGTGCCTCTGGGCCTGCGATGGCTGCGGCACGAGCATGGATGCCGACTTCTGTGACCTCAGCGCTTGAGCTGCGTGCTGCTTTACCAACGGCATATCCAGAACCGTATCATCGAGCGAAATGGCCAGCGGCGATGTATAGCCCGTCGGATTCGATCCTGGGATTTCAAGTACAGCAGAGACAGCGTGATTCCTTGCGTGCATCCTCTTCCTCGCCATAGACACCGAGTCACGATGCGCGAATAGTTCTGGCGAAACTCCTCCAGTGCGCAAGAAACGTGTATGCGCCAGCGTAACTGAATCGCGATGGCCGCGGAACTTGAGATCAGTGTCATCGACGTTGGAGAGCTTGCGGATTGTTGGAATTGCTCTTAATCTAGACGTGGCGTTGAGAAGACGTGTAGATTGTAGATCAGGATCCGGAATCGAGAGAGCTTTTTCCAATGGTACGACCCAGCCCTGTTTTCTTTCAGGCGGACCATCTTGCAAAGTATCGACCAGTGGAATCTGTTCTTCTGATGGAGCTCGCGTCAGTGGGGCACTAGATGGTCGTGAGGGAGCGCGCGACGGCACAGCACTTGTTCTGTGACTATTTGGCGGAACAGGAGCGAGCAAGTCGTCATCATCCTCCACAGCGCATTCGAATTGTGGCATGCCAACTTCATGGTCGGGAAAGACTACAATGGTAGGTTTGAATGTGTCGGATGGAGCATTCCAGCTGCCGGACCAGTCTACAAGTTTAGAGTTGACGCGCTGTAGTCCTCGAGCGGCTGCAGGGTTGGCTAGTTGCAACGAATGACTTGCAACAGAGCTACGACGTCTCCTTTGGTCGCTTTGCTCTCTTGGTACATCGTCCCAGATTACCTCGTAACAGCCATTGTTCGACTCGACGTACTGCATGGTCGGCGTTGCTGGATCGCTGCTTGCCTTGTTGTTGGCATTATTCACATCCCTTGATGGCGCAATGGCTATGACATGGACGTCTGCGTGCGTAGTTGCCGGGTCTGCAAGATTACTCTTTGCCGTGCTAAGCATGCTGGGGCAATGCGGTGCCATGGACGTATTCTTTGCGGAACTTGGTCCTCTCAGCGGCGACGTCTCTGATTGACCTGTCGAATCATGCACTATCTTCTTCAATGCTTTTTGTGCTCCTGGTAAGGCGAGGAGTGGCTTCTTTGTCTCCTCAAAGTCCACTGTCTTCACGCGACGCAGGGTTCTGTCACTAGCGTCGTCATCCACCAATTTGAGGAGCTCGCCGGGTGGTGTAGTTGTAGTGCTTTTTGCCTTCGACTTCAGACACGGCTTAAGTGGCACCTCCGGACTGTGCGGCTTCGACGAAGGTAGATGTTCAGACCTATCGGAGTCAGGACTCGATCGAGACTGAGCATACCACCGAAATGTAGGTGCTGAGTTCTCGGTGTTGGACTCATTCGAAGGACCGCTCGTTGACCTTGTAAGTTGGACGCGCCGAGAATTGAACCGCTGTTCATCAGCCTGCTTGGTTCTGGCCACGAGCTCGCGTTGAAGATCTGCAGCCTTGATGGCAGGATCGTGATACCGGGATCGGGTCTCGACGGTGGAGCTGCTAAATGCTCGTGGCACTTTCGGATGTGGAGTGCGAAGGGAGGCATGGCTTCGTTGTCCGGGCTGAGAGCATTTGTTGTGTGCTTCTCTGTTTGGGTAAGTCGCAGGTCTTGAGGTGCTTCGAGCCACTCGTTCAATGCCCTCATGGCTTACTGATCTCTGGATGGCATGCCTTTTCTTCGTAGTAGGCCGTGATCTGCGACCCGCAACCAGACTGACCTCTGTATCGCTTATATCTGCTTCGAAACCCGGATCTGACATGAGCGGATCATATTCTTTGACAAGCAAGGGCGAGGACAGTTCGGCGTCTGAACCACCATCGACGATGATGCAGTGTCTAGCCCCAGCTGCCGGCCAGCCATTGATCTCAACTTCACTCATCGCTACGGACGCTCGAGAGGGGAAGGATTTGCTAATCGTAGGTAGTGAGCTCTCGATGTTTTGTTGTACATGCGTCAATGGGAAAGGTAGGGGCTAAAGATAACTTTTGCTAGGAGAAGAGTAGGAGCTAGAAGGATGGTGACAGATGTAAAGTCGCATGTTTACGTAACTCGTGGCTAGCCGTCGCCTTAGGGGAAGGGACGAGGTGGTGTTGTGCGGCAGTCGTGACCCCAACACGCGGTGAGCAATGAAAGCCACGATACACGCTTCTCTCTAGGCTTGAAGTCGATTTCTGGAAAGCGCAGACACAATTTGACGGTGTCGCATTTCTCACCTACCGACACTTGCACAACCCCTAAAGACCTGGCTAAAGCCTGACTGCCAGCCTCGATGGTATAAAATTTTTGTCGCAACATACCTTGACGGCAAAACAAACAAACAACCCAACAATCATAATTTTGCAAGTTCCAATCAACATAAGCCAATACTAAAACTTGCACTGAAGGGATCCGCTCGCAAGTCTTACTCACTGTCGGATCCTGAAGTCTCGTCGTCATCATCAGATGCCGGATACTCGACCAGATTCTGACCCATAGCTTCGTAAATCGCTGCTTCGAATGTCCCGTCGTCTTCATCGTCTTCCAAATCGCTTTCACTTACCTCCTCAGCACTTCTCTTTTGAGGCACTGAAGACGGCGTACTCTCTCCACGTGAGCCACGACGATGAAAAGTATTGCCCTTCTGACCGGTGTTGGCGGAGTCTTTCTTATCGCTGTTACGTTCGCCTCCCGAACTGCTCGCTTCTCCCTCATCTTCCGAGCTTTCACTCTGTTCTTGTCTCTGCTTTGCCTCTTGCTTGGCGTCTAGCTCAGCATCTAGTGCCTCAATCGCAATACACTTCGCTTCTTCGTGTTCTTGGCCGGCATCAATAGCCTCGTGGTACTTCTTTGAGCAAATCTGGTTATGCGTTGCTTGGGTCGGTTTGTCATTTGCCTTAGAGCCCGGATTGCGTAACTTGTATGGCTTGCGAGGCTTCCACAGGCTCAGCTCTGAGGCTTCTTGTCTAACCACAACTCCGAGAGGCATGTAAAAGTCCATATCGGATTGCTTGCCCACTCCATACCTGTTCGAACCGCAGCCTGGACAAGAGCGCTTGTCTCCAGCCAGGTAGTATCGACCAAGAGCATGATTGATATCGCATCGCCAAGCATACTGTTCATGTCTGTCTTGCTTCTCGAAGTATGCGCACTCCGGGATATCTTGACCATGTTCCATCGCCTTCGACCCGCTGGGATGTGGTCCAAGATCTGGTTCTGGCTCTGGAGTCGGCTGTGGCGTTGGTTCTTTTGGAGGCAGTGGTCTCAGATGTGCTTCCACAGCTGCCACACCAGCTTGCCGTGCTTCTCGTGCAGTTGCGCCAGCATCGATGGCTGCCCAGTAGGCGTCCTTGGCAATGCCGTTGTGTGATCGTGTTTTGGATCGTCGAGGTTTCTTGCCTGGCTTACTCGGAGTATAAACCATGTCGGGTGCTGGCTGGAAAGAGTGCGTAGATGGAGGCATATAGAAATCCAAAAATCTACTCTTCTTGCTATCCTTGATGTTAACAAAGCAACCTGGGCAACTCGTACGGTCTCCAGCATTGTAATAATATCCCATGGCATGTTTAATGCCGCAAAGCCAGGCTGGCTTCTCGTCCAGCGATTTTGGTTGAATATATGCAGTGGTGGGTATTGTGTGATGCGCAGCGAGTGTTGAAGATCCACTTGAATGAGGCGACGGGAGACCTTCAGATTCCGACAGTTGCTTGAGCGGTTTCGTTGCTTTCTGTCTCTTCGATCCGGATACGCTCTGCATCTTCGTTGCTTTCATCTTGTTTGCAGCACATGGGGCAGTTGTGCTTGTCTTCTGTCGCTTCCGCGGAGCGTCTGTGCGCTGCTTTTCCATCTTTGCTGCGATCGAAGCTTTCTTCTGCGAGAGGGTGCTCGATGCTGCTGATGGACTTTCTTGTATTTGTTGCTGGGTGTGAGTTGATGTGATCGATAGAGATGGCGCATTTTTTCGCTGCTCGCGCGCTTCGATGATTCTGATTTTGCTCTCGAAGTCGTCACCCATGGGTCGGAGTCCTCTCTCGAAGGCGTGTTCGATCACTTGCCTGATACCCGGCATGACTCTTCGAATCGTCTGTTGAGGGTCACCCCACCGCTCAGTCAGTCGCCGCTTGTGATTATTGATGAGTCTCATACGCCATGAAGGTACCTTCTCGATCAAGTCGTCTTCGCTTCTTGCGGGAGTACCGCTATGGTCGCTGTTGAGTGCATCTTGTCCATAGCGGTCGAACAAGTCTTCTAGCCGCGTTGAAGAAGCTGTGGAGTGATGCTGAGCGCTTGAAGAGCTCCGCAATTTACCAAATTGGTTGTCATTGTAGTCCTGAATGCTGCGTAGGTCTTGGATGATTTGTGGCTCATCAATGTTCTGGAGCCCGTCCACATCTTCCGAGATGTCTTGATGATATATAGGCAATACTGGAGGGCTCGGAGATGCAAAGATTGTCTCCGGTTGTGGAAATGCGAGCCAATTTCCACGCGACAAGACCAGTGGCTGTTCTCGCGGAATTGCTCCTGGCAGCCCACGGCCTTTGCCCTTGTTCTTCCTCATCGGATTGATACCCCGTCCAGAAGGGAGGGCGCTGGTAAAAGAGGTATCGTTGAACACTCTGTTCGCAATCTCATCAATCTCTTCGAGTGGGGAGCTGTTCGAGCCGATTGGATACTGCTTGGTCGACATCCGAACCATTGCAGGCTCTGGGAAAGCACGATGCCATGACTCATTCATTCTATTCACCACAGACACTGGGTTGTCGTGACGGAAGTCGGAGAACATGTGCTGGTTGATCTGACGCAGGTCCAAGAACGGAGAGCCATCTTTGCCGTCATTCGCCAGCAGGTGGACTGCACGGGAGTGTGCGTTCCAGACCATCTTATCCGCGATACCTTTGACATTTCGAACAACAGACTGTAGATACGGCACGACATCTGCGCACGTCTCAGGCTGGCTCATGGACATTTCTGAAAAACGATCTGGATGCAGGGCATGTGCAACAAAGTTCTTGAAGAGCGTCGCTTCGTACGCCTTTTGGTTGGCTTGGTAGAGCGCAAAATTTATGTAGTCGTCTTTAGAAGGTTGACGCCGGTTCAGGTGGATGCCGATGCGAGCCCGCTGGGCACGAGAGGGTATGTGCTGTTGGGCCTTGTTGACATCGTATGCTGGGACATGTGAGCCGAAATCGCCTTCGTGTTAACGGATATGTGCCTACTGGAAGCAAGAGGTAAACCAGGGGGTATCTCATAGCGATCAACGTTCTCGGACACGAACAAGCCAGGATCGTCGCTGGGCTTCTCTACCGCGGGCTGCGTTCCATTTAGGTTTCCTGCAGCACGGTTTGCCTCTGGAGAGGGAGGGCCCAATGGACTGTCACTCCAATCAACCTCGTCTTCGATTTCGTAAGCCATATTGTATGATGATAAAAGAAGACGTGGCAGAATGTTATGTGAAGAGAGTGTATGATGAGGAGTTTTGAGCGAAGAATAGATGTAAGTCAAAGTGCATGATCTGTAGGCCGTGTTGCGCTGCCAAATGCAAACGAATTGGGCGGTCGATGCAGTGCAATCGGACACGCTCATGCATGCCTTCCGTCCTGGACATCAAATGTGAGCAATGAGGAGGCATGCTGGGCGTTTGCACTTCTCAGCCGCCGCCAAAAGCCCGCAATCTCATAGCTGCGTTCGGGAAATGACTGTCATGGCTGCTATGATAGCGTCTTTTTGACGCGTATCTGGGGATGTACCCGATGTTGCCGATTGGTAAAGTGTAGGCTGTTTGAACATGGGTTGAAGGCTGGCTCTCTTTGGAGTCATTGTGTCATGTTGGTGCAAGGACGACAGAGATGAGCAACGACTCTGAATCGAAAACTAAAGTGTGTTTTGTAGAATCATGATCCCACTGAGCCAGGCCAGGCAACGTCAGTGAATGGGAGTCCACGCGAGAGGTACTGTCATGTGATATCTGTCGCCTCGAGAGCTCAACTGGAATGCTGCTCAGGATCTGAGCAAGTAAGCTTTCTGACCACAGAGGCGCGTTCTCTCATTTTCGGGACGATGCGCACGTGGTTAAGCTTCTCGTGATAGAGTTGGTGATAAGAGGACTGGGAGGTGTGGTTGAAGGTACCTCAGGTGCCAAGCCCAGCGAGCATGTGATTGGTCTGCGATTCCAGGGTCCCGGCGACACGTTGTTCGATCAAGACGTCTCAAGCTTCAATTCTCCTCAACACAGATCAAAATGGGGAGACAACACGTCTCATCGCTTGCTCTATTGCTTCCCGTGCTCGCTGGCACTGCAAATGCCGCCTCGGAGCCGTCACGGCCGCGGGGTGTGAGCCCGGAGTGTAAGTTGCACCCACCATAGCTTCGAGAGCTGGCAGTCAGGTAAGATACGAAAGGCTGACACTCATGCCCAGTTGCGAAGTACTATAAAAATGCCGAGACATTCATGTGCATTTCCAATCCCAGCATCACAGTCCCAATTGCACAAGTGAACGACGACTACTGCGACTGCCCCGATGGCTCAGACGAACCCGGCACCGCGGCCTGCTCCTACATCTCCCCGCTCTCCCCACCACAGCCGGGCATGGGAAAATCAGGCACTGTAAATGAGAGCCTGGCCCTGCCCGGCTTCTACTGCAAGAACAAGGGCCACATACCGAGCTATGTTCCCTTCACCAATGTCAACGATGGCGTATGCGATTACGAATTATGCTGTGACGGAAGCGACGAATACGATGGTGTTGGGGGTGTCAAGTGCGACGATCAGTGTGCGAAGATCGGTAAGGAGTGGAGGAAGCAGGACGAGATCCGCCAGAAGAGCTTGAATGCCGCAAGACAACGGCGGAAGGACCTCATTGCCGAAGCTGCTCGACTGCGGAAAGAAGTCGAAGACCGCATCACCACCCTCAAGATGCAGGTCGAGGCACAGACGCTGAAGGTGGAAGGTCTCGAGAAGAGCTTGGTGGAGATTGAGCGGGCCGAGAAAGGCAAGGTCGTCAAGGGTGCCGGAAAAGGTGGAAAGATCACGGTGCTGTCGAGTCTTGCAAAGATCAGGATCGAGGAGCTTACCACCAACGTTGGACGATTGAGGACTGAGCGAGATGCAGCGAAGTCGAGAGTGGACGAGCTCGAGGCCATGCTCAAGCGCTTCAAGGAGGAATACAACCCCAACTTCAATGATGAGGGCGTCAAGCGCGCCGTCAAAGCCTGGGAAGACTACGCCGCCCAAGACCGCCCAGGGCCCAACGAAGCTCTCGATCGTGACCTGGACGAGATCCTGAAGCCCGACTCCGAGAGTGCCATCAAGTGGGAGGATTTTGAGACCACCGAGGAGTCTGACATTGACGTCCGTAAGTCTCACCACCATCATCCTGCCCGCTCGTTTCTTCGCTAACACCCTGTGCCAGTCTACAAATTCGAAGAGTACCTCCCCGCTCCAATGCGCGACTGGGTCGACTCCAAGCTCCGCGACCTCCGCGTCGTCCTCATCGAAAACGGCATCCTCGCCGACCCCTCCAGCTCCACCGAACACACGGAATCCAAACTCGTCACCGACGCGAAATCCCAACTCGAATCTGCCAAGACTGAACTCAACAACGACAAATCCGAAATCACCCGCCACGAAGAAGACCTGAACAAAGACTACGGCCCAGACTCCATCTTCCGGGCCCTCAAAGATACATGCATCGAAAAAGACAGCGGCGAATACACATACGAACACTGCTTTCTTTCGCGCACGACCCAGAAATCCAAGAAGGGTGGCGGCCACACAGGCATGGGCAATTTCGTTTCCATCACCTCCGTCACCGTCGACGAGGAACTGCCGGCCGATGGCAAGGGCCTCGGCTCAGGAGAGCGCATAGCGCTGAAATACGAGAACGGCCAACATTGCTGGAACGGCCCGAATCGCAGCACCCTGGTGGTGCTAGCGTGTGCCGAGAAGGACGAGATTTGGAAGATTGTCGAAGAGGAGAAGTGTGTGTATCGCATGGAGGTGGGGACGCCCGCGGTGTGTGGGGTGGAGGTTCAGAAGGGGGTCGAGGGGGGTCATGATGAATTGTAAAATATCTGGGCAGATGTGAAACAGTGGTGATTTGGGGGTTTGGTAGATTTAGCAACGCGGGTACCGTTACTTCTCTGTCCATGGGGAATGTTAAAAGAGGATTTTACATGACACCCCATTTGCTGCTTCGACTCTAATTTGCCTGACGTTCGTGGCTCGCTGCTTGTACCTTACAGGTGCCCCCGCAATTACGGTATTATTTGAAATCCGTGTCTTACAGGTTTTCTCAAGATTATAAGAGCTTCTTCATACCCATATCTTACAGGCGATCGCGATATTACAGGATTTTCGATATCCTACAAGTGCCCAGGAAACAGGTGGCCGCAGAAATTTCGAATAATGTCGGTATCCTACAAGGTACCTCAATGTTACAGGATTCCAGTCGCCATCCTGCGTGTACTATGGGGTTACAGGAAATCCTGTAACAACGACTTACGCTGTATAAGAATATCAGCATCTTAAAGTGTCTGGACCCAATACGACGTAGCCGATGTGATTGCAGTGATTGCAGAATGTAAGTATATTGAAGAACGTCCTAGGAAATAATGAGCGTTGTGCATCGCCAGCTCCTCGTTGCATCGAAGAATGATAGACTTGTGACGGATTGTCCTTTCATCCATACTTTCATACGATCGTGAACATCTCCAACTTCCCCTCCTTAACCAGATCCCGCCAATCTCCGTCTGCTCCTAGAGCCTCGATATTTTCATCTCCAAGTTCGTGATCCGCGACGTGAACTATGCCCTCCATCTTGTACCGTCCCTCTCCCACCGGTGCTAGGAGGAATGGTAGACTGATACCAAAAAGCCCAGCAAGGATTAAAGGTTGCTCATTGAGATCCGCATGAGTATACCACCTCCAATGGCGCAATCCAACGTAGCCCTTGTCTGTGACGAATACATAACCAGTATACCCGTATGTTTCACCCATAATGGTTTCGAACCTCGTCGGAGCAAGTTGCTCTCCTAGCCCATGCTGAAACGACGAAGTCGTGCTTGGGGCTTCTATCGAGTTTCCGAAAAGTTTTGCCTCAAGATCCGGGAGAAGATCTTCATACTCTGATGCTTGAGGATGATGCGGACCAAGGACAGCGGACATGATTTTCCTCGCTAGTACGCTCCGGTCCAAGTCCCGCATGTAGTGACAAAGTAGAGGGAGATAATAACCATTCGAAGTATATCGTGCATCGGCTGTGTCTACCACTATTACCTTGCCCAAAAACACCCCTGCAGTAGAAAGGCTTGACAAATCTGCTGAGATATCTGCGATAGGAGCTATACCGTGTGATCTCATCAAAGCTTGTTCGATAGTGCTCTGCTGTGTTTCGGTGATTAAGTTTGTTCTCCTGACTTGCCATATCGATTCCAAACTAAGCGTCCAGCTTAGCCTTTTCTCCACGGTTTGCGAATCAAGTATCCAGCTTACCTTTTTCTTTTCCACGCCTTGCCACAACCCATACGCAGCATATGAAGGAAGATCGTCTCGCAAAATTGTTACTGTTGCTAATGCAGAAACTTGATGCATACTCTTCGTATAGTCGGGTGCAATTGCGTCTCTGCGAAACTTTGACACAGCAAGGAGACCAAATACTTTGTCCCGGGGATCGGTAGATTGTAGCTGCATCGTGCGAAAAAATTGTTCGTGAAAAGGCGCGTTCGAACCACCCATTCGCATTTCTGCCAGGTCTTGGACGATTTCTGCGCGTGCTATCAATGCCGGAATATGGACAACTGGTTCTATGTGTTCCAATCTGGCAATTGCAGGACTCTGAAGAAAATCGAAGGAGCCAGTTCTTTTCTCTTTCCCACCAAGTCTCGCTTGTATTGTATGTACAGCATGTGTGAATTTTTTCCATTCGATTGTCTCGTACCCAACATGAATGATGGGGTCCCGGCAGGCAAGAGTGAGTTCCTGTGCTATCCTTCACGCAGGCACATAGAATAAGCCTTTGGTGTCAAGTAAGAGCGGGTATTGGAGAACATACTGTTGTCAATTAGCCTTGTTTAATCAAAATACGATGGCGTGTTCTTGCGCGTAATCGCCGTATGGGTAACTGATTTAACAATGAAAAGAAAAGAGTTCTCGTACCCAAACCCTTCCAAACCAATGTCTTCGAAGAAGGAGTTCCAGATTGTCCAGAAATCCAGCCAGTCTGATCGACTTGAGATCAATGTGAGTCCCAGCCAGTATGTATGACTCGAGGTCACCAGTGCGCATCACCTCCACGACGAGATTGCTACAATTTTGAGGAGGGCCGAGCCATATCAGGACCTGCTTTGCTGAAGAATAGATACTCTTCATCAGCCCTACCTGATGATTTCTTTCTGATAAGAGGTCTTGATTGATGCAGAGAGCATCTATCCACAGTATTTGTCCCGAGCCTGCACCGCTAGTTTGTGAACTTGGGAACCGCAAGTACCGAATTGCTGCCTCGAGGTTTGCGCCAATAGGTATCCGGTAGGAGTCGTTATTAAGGACTATGGCAAACCCCAGGGGCTTCTTTGTATCCACGGTACCATCCTTTGCGTGCCAGACATATGACAGAGCATCGTAAACCGGATCGTTCTTGAGGTCGACGACACTGATGTTGATGTCGATCGGATCGTCAAAGGCCCCGGGCAGTATCTCGACGAGTCTAATCTCAGTCGGTCCAAGCGGATTATAGACACCAGTTGTGACTGGCACGTCAGTTGGAGCAGTTGTAGGCGTATCCATGATATTGAGGTATTACTTATGCTTGTGATGACCTCGGGACAAAGCGTTCTATATACGGGTAGTGATGATGTTATTGTTAGATGGTACGATCGATGATGAGAGAATTGAAAGATAAGCATCGTGACTAATCGTCAACCTGTGCTTAGCTTTCGAATCAGGCTGAGGAGTAATGAGCACATGCTGCATGTGTAAAGGACGCGTGCAGCTGCCTCACAAGGCGGTTTATCCTGTAGGTACATTTCAGAGGAGTTTGGAAGACACATCATCTTGCGCAGTCGTCAAATTGGGGGTTAGTTCTAGGTCTAGTAACAAGAGAAAGAAATATTCTGTTCGAGAGACCGAAGCCATACGATGGAGAACGAGGGAGAAGGTTGCTGCCCCAGGCATACGCACCAACCAATCGGCCTTCGGAACACTTCCGCATCGTAGCCCCTCCAAAATTTCCAGCAACTTTTTGACCCCACGATATTTGCACATACTCAGATACTTCATTGCAAAAAAAAAAGATGGCGAAACCAAAAGACTTCAAAGCCCTCATCGAGGTCACTAAGACCACGCAAACTCTCATCACGCACTTCAAATCATCACTTGCGCCATCGACAGCCACACCTTCGCAGACGCAGGCTCCAACAACTGACCTACCAAACCCACTTGATGCAATCAAAGCCTCTACCACGCTCCTCAAATCACACACGACAACACTCTCGCTGCTACTACTCACGCCACCTCTCACACCCTCAGCGCTCATCACAAAGATCGGCGATGTAAATTCCGGCGCGCTGAGCGGCATGGTCGCAGCAGCAACATACATACCGCAAGCCGGTGAAAAAGACGACATCGGCAACATGATGCGCACAGAGCTGCGGTCGCGAGTGCGCCAGCTCGTCGGGACATGGGGAGATGTGCTTACGCTGGTGTTGCGCATGGCCGAGAGCAGGCAAAACGCCAAGGGCAAAGATGCTGGGCCGAGTGAAAGCGAGAAACAAGATGTTCTGTCAGCTACAGGCGTGCTGTGGGAAGCATGTGAAGTAGTGCTGAAGGCATGTAACGACGGCGTGGTGGGCCTTGTGGTTAGGAAGGCGACCGAGCTCAGGGCGACCCTGCTGGATGCGATTGAAGAGTTGAAGGAATGGGGCGAGGATATCGAGGACGAGAATGATGAAGCTGCGGGTAGTGATGATGAAGACGAGATGTTCGGCGCGATGAATAAGCTGGGCAAGGACGACAAGGAGCTCAAGGAGTTGCTGGATGTCAGTGTCAAGAAATTGAAGATGGTGGGCATGCTGTATCAGGCACTGATCAAGAGGAGGCTGAAGACGTACCCTGCGCCGTCAGCAGCCACGAGTGCAATCTCAAGTCCCGGCCCGAAGCTCGACGAACTTATGGCGCTTGTCAAGGCGATACCAGAGAGTGTGGACGATCTTGCGAACGCATTTTACAGCCTTGACGAAGAAAGCGCGAAGGAATTGCTGGAGCAGACGTGTAAGGAGGCCAAGAGAGCAGCCGAGATCGTCAAGCAGAACTGGGCTGGCACAGACGACGAATTTACAACATGGTCCGGGAAGTGGGCCGCAGCACTCGATGCGGCTTAATCACTTCACATTCACGGAACAAGAATCATATGAGCTTTCGACGAAATTTTATTGTGGTATATCAACCTCGCGTGGTATCTTACAAAGCCAACCTCGCTACACTATTTACACCAGTGCCTAACCCAAGCACTACGACACTTTTACAAGGCGAGGACACCCATGGCGAGGACGAGAGCGCCGTTGACGAAGTTGGCGCCGGCGGCACCGGTGCTCTGAGCAGGGGTACCAGAGCCCGGAGGCAGAGGGGGTCATGGATGGGCGGGCCATGGTGCCAGAGGCGCTGGAGTTGCCAGAGGGCATGGCAGAGCGAGAGGGCATAGCAGAGCCGGAAGGCATGGCCATGCCGGTGGAGGCAGCGCCAGAGGCAGCGGCGGCAGCAGACGAAGCCTGCTGGAGGGGGTAGCCAGCGGCCGAGCAGATGCCAGCAGCAGCGGCGACGAGCTCTGATATGGGTGTTAGAGAGAGATCAAGTTGGAAGACTGTGTGATGAAGACGTACTCTGAAGGTCATCGGCCTGGCACTTGGAGGGAGCGCAAGCAGTGACGGACTCGGTGATCTTAGCGTTGCCAGTGGTGCACTGGCACTTGGTGTCGCTGAGACCGCAGCCGGAGCCCTGGACGGCGCTGGCGAAGCAGGGAAGCTACATCATGTATTAGTCAATTGAATCATCATCAAGATGGACAGAGTACATACAGCACAGCTGGGGATCTGGCTCAAGTCCTGGGCAGCGACGAACGCAACAGCGCAAGCGAAGATGGAGGCGGTGGAGAAACGCATGTTGATGGATTAAGTTTTGATGTTTGAAAACGTGTGTGTAGATGTGATGTTGGTATTAAAGATTGTAAAGTTGGGATGGCAGCGAATGTGTGATTATAAGTATCGTCTTGAGGATAGAAAAACAAACTCTATTGCGAAACCAATTCATCTTTATACCTGGCTATGGCCATGTCCATCCCCACATGCCCTGTGCGATTCATGCACGGTCTACGCATCAGCGCTAGCCCTCGTTCTATCGAATTGGCATCGGCGGACTGGGCGCAGGGGCCCTGGCCTCGATGCGCGGACCTAGCACTTTCTCACGAAGGTTTGCGACGGCGTAAGGCCCTTTGTCGAGCTATGTGTGAGGGGTTGTGGCCAGTCAACCAGAAGACCGAGGCTCATCAGCATCGCGATGAGCGCAGCGATTGTCGCGGTGACGATGCGGCTGTGAGGGGAAGAGAAGGATGGCTGTTTGCTGTTGTGCCACTTGGGGTTCGGGTGAAGCATGCATGCGCAGGGTTTGGGGTGAGATGATCTGTGCGTCGCGAAAGCTGACTGTTCTCTTGAATGTTCGGCGCAAGGTGACGGTGGCAGACGACCGGCCAAAGAGCCGCGTACGACGAGCAAATCACCGAATGATTGCCTGTTGGAATTGCAGCTGCACAATTCAATTCAATCGAATCCATCTTCAGCAGCAGCGGCAGCAATTTGGGAATTCATCATCGCGCGATGGGTCGCATTGCACTGCTTGTTTGCTTCTTCCCAACGTCCCCGTTCCAGCCACACTAGTCCCATGTACCGAAATGCAGGTACGCACTTACTCCTTCCGCCCTTCGACTTACCTTCCCTTCCGCTTCCAGAGCCACACACCGTGCTTTACCCACTCACACCGACTACCTTATCTAGTCGCAGCACGAGTATCCATTCGTCTCCTGCATCGCGCAGCATGCAAGTTGTTGCGCAAATCCCATCCGATCATGTTTGTGCTTCTGTGTTCCGCGGCCCCTTGCTAATCCATGGCCGGTTCCTGAAACGCGCCTCCCGTCGATCATATGTCTCACATTGCCATTCAAACTTCGCCTGCCGCCATCCGGAACGGCACATCAATCGAGCAATCAAAAATCACTGGGCAGAAGAATACTTGAATTGAAATGTGAACGTCACGTGTATTCTACCACGTCTGCATGCAGGTGCTTGGTACATGTAAATCCAGAACATGTAGCCTCGGTCCCATATTCTCCCCGTCGATGTTGGGGTAGTAGGTCCTCGCCCCTTCTCCATCGCCACTACCCAATGAACCAACTGACCAACCCAACACAAATCACCGCCAGCGTCCGCAACCATCTTCCCAGTCCCCATATGCAGATCATCAAGTAAGCAAATAAACTCTCAACCAATAACTTAGACCGGTCCGACGCAGTGCCGACCGCCCAGTGGCGAAGGGCCGCGGCTCGTCGCTCGGAGCGTGCGTGGTGAGAAAGTGGGGTAAAATAGCCAAACTTAATGGACGGTAGCTGCCGCGCTCCTCTTTGTCCTAGAGCTTGTGTGGTACCTGTTTTTCTTCCTTGATTGTTTGGTCGTGGTTTGGACGGAGTGGCTGCCGTGCAAGGCTTGGAAGTGCTTGAACCACGCAGCGCCGGTGAAGTTGGACGCATGTGGCGTGCAGAGCCATCACCACAGCCTCGGTATGAAGGACTCGGGCACAGGAGTATTGCTGAAAAGCAGAAATCTGGTATTTTGTTTCGCCTACTAACAGCGCCATCTTTTGTCTCTGACAAGAAAGGACGCTTCTTCTCTTCTTTTATCCTGCACTGAAGCGGGACGATACCACACCCAGTGAGAAGAACTACTCATACAAGTCCCCCCTTTCCAGCCAAATAAACATTCAAATAGAAAGAAAACCACCCATCCATAGTACGAAGTTATTCCGGGATGTTTTTACTCAAAAACACTAGATGCCAGCCCATGTAGAAACACCGATGTCCAGCCCGGCGACAGGTCTGCATTCTAAAAAACTCACACACATGTAATAGACCCACCAGAGAAACTCGATGCGAAATAGACATTCCACCCCTTAAAAGATCCCTAATTGTTTTTCTTAATCGTAGAAGGAGTGAAGAAATTCGCCATAGACTCGGTATGGTATATTGCTAAGAGAGGGAGAACACGAAAAAGGCCGTTGTTGTAAAAGGGAAGTTTGAGGAATAGAAATTAAGGAAACAAGGCGAAAATGCTGTAAGAGTTGCCAGTAGGTAGTTTTTTGTACGGCCATGAAAGGAAAAGTTGCTGGCGTGGAGGCGCGCGATCAGAACATAGCACCGTCCATGGGCCTCTGGGCAACGGGCCTGTCATTGATGGGTCGTGGCGGCGAGCCATTGCGGCCACCAAAGACGCCCTGGGGTAGCGGTGGTGACGGTCCAGACTGTGGCTGGCCTGGGCCGCGTAAGCTTCTGCCCTCGCTCGATGACTTCCTCAACCTTGTTCTGGGTTGCTGGGCGCCAGGTAGCGCATCCGACGAGTTGGTCCTCGTTGGCTCGGCGTATGGTGCGCGGGGAGCGTCAAAGCCGGGTTGGATAGCAGGATCGTAAGGGTTGATGCTTTCCGCAGTTCCTGACCGACCAAACCCAAATCGCTTGCGCATAGGGTTGATGGGAGGCACGGGTGGTGCATCGTATTCTTGACCGTTCTTCAACGATGCGCCTGGTGGCAGATTGACCGTGTCGATTTGAGTCGTCATCGACAACAGGACTGGCTCGGAAATGTCCGCCTTCGCAACAGACTTCTTCCTGAGCATTCCTTGCCTCGGCTGCACATTGTTGGGGTTGAACATGGCTGCGTTGGGTGTCGTAGGATTGGAAACAGGAGGAGTGTGGTTCGATGAAAAGGCCGGCATTGGTGATGGCAGAGAGCTGTTGTAGCCACCAGGAGAAGGACGCGGTGAGATTGGTATCCCAGGGGAGTACTTCGGGAGTCCTAGACGCGGCGACCCGTTAGCTGAGCCAGGGCCAGTCTGAAGAGGTTGCAGGTGCTTCGACTCGAAGTAGTTCGCAGCTGTCGTTCTGCTGTTGCTACGCGAACGCATGCGCCCTTGACTGTCTATGGACGGCCTCTCAGAAGGCAGCGGAGGAGTTGCATGGGCGACATAACCGGGCATTGATGGAAGCGTGTTTGGTGGGTATGCGCTTCTGGAACCCTCTGTCATGGCCTGGTCAAGATCATCGCGATATTCTCCTGGACGGCTTCGTGACCGACCGTTCGAAGTGCCGGAGCTCGAGCGCTCACGCGTAGAGCTTTTTGCTGACCTAGGGGGTGATCGACCAGTGGGTCTGCCAGTGCGACTGCTGTCAGTTCCGGACCGCTGTCGGTTCGCAGATTCACGCTGGGCATCTTGCTCGCTTTGTCGCAGCACTCGCGAAGGCTTTGACCTCATGGGGGGCATCTCAGGTCGGACTTGGTCGTTCGGGGACAACCCGACTAAAGAAGTGCTGCTGGCATTTCGAGAAGCCGTACCAAGTGTCAACTTCCGTGGAGCCCTCACTGGCAGGTCTGGATGTCGGTCAACTGTTGCGAAAGACTCACGACTCGACTTTGCACGGAGCATGTTCAGAGCAGTCTTGAGTCCTCCTCCAGAGGCGGGAACTGGGGCGGGACTGGTCGAGCGCCCTTCAGCTCTGGCACGGAGATTTTCTTGGATGACTCGCTGGCGCTGGGCAAGATCCCGTTGGAAAGCTTCGTGGTCACCTTCGCTCTCGTTACTTGCAACACGCTCATGTCGTTTGGGAGTCAGGTCCCACTGCGAGGTCGGCTCGGTCGAATTTGGTGTCAGGAGGGTATCTTGCACGTTCACCTTCTGGTTCTCAACAGGACTGATAGAGTGATTGCTTCGGCCTTCGTCGCGGTACGGGTTCTCAATGTCATCCAAATCCCATGGGTTCGAGTGACTGTAAGTCGATGGCGCAGGAGTGACACTCTCAGAACTGGCTTGCCGAGGCTGCAGTCCGATGTTCTGAGTTCGCAAAGCAAGACCTGCTGGTGTAGTCGCCGGTGGGCTCATCATTCCATTATCTGTCTCACCGTAGTTTGACGAAACATTGCTGACGTTGCGGAGATGCTGGCGGATGAGGCCACTGAGTCCACCATTGTCGGGGCCGAGTGTTGGTGAGTCAACATCGCCACCAGCAATTACAAGGGAAGCATCAGATCGCGGTGGCTCGCGAGAAGGAGACCTCTGGTCAGCCGGTCCACGAGATGCGCTTCGAGATCGCATTGCCGGATGCTCAAATATCGAAGGCGCAGGTCCAGTCGCAGTAGGCAGATTCTCAAAACGTCGTGTTGGCTCCAAAGGGCGAACGGTGGACCTCTCTGGTATCTCCCCCTCGTTGTCACTCGAGTCTCGAGAGTCCAAAAAGGTGGCTTTGTTATAAGGGGGTCCGGCTCCCGCAGAAGCCTGATCTGAATGATCTGAAGCTGCAGCTGGTGACGCTGGGCCAGAGACCTTCATCTGGCTGGCTGCTGCTTGGAATCTAGAGAAGGCAGACGGTGCTGGAGCGGGTTCAGCTGGAGACTCGGCCCTCTGCTGGTCAGATGCTACAGATCCTGCACGCCTCCTCTTTTCTTGCTCGGCACGTTCGCGTAAGGTAGGCTTTCGCGGTGGAGAACGTTCTGCCTTGGGTGCAGGCGCTTGCGCCTCAGGTATGTCGCGTTCTCGATGCAGATGTCTCAGACGCTCTGCATATTGCTGTTCGCTGAATGCCCCCTTTGGCTTATTGAAGGCACCCATTGCTGTTGCCTTGCCGCGATCGTTGGGCTGGAGCGCAGCATTGAGTGCATGGGCATCTTCACTGTCGCTCGTAATGGGACTTATCAATGCCGGTGACTGGGGTCGACTGAGCACCGGACTTGTTCCAGCAGACGAATTGTTCCTGCTCATGCCAGGCTGCATCAGGGAACTGGGGCTCTCGGAGCGGAATGCAGGGCCCCGGTTGAATCGGTCACTGAGGTTGGTCGCAGACCTGGCGAATGGGATGGGAGGGGTTGAGCGTCCCGTAGGAGCTCGTGCCCTCTGTATTGAGTTGAGGCGATTCATGGAAGACGACTGTTGCTCTTGGATGTGGAGGTCGAGTCCTTGATCGTAGAGCCTTCGAGGCTTTGCGGTGGAGCGGCCCGTCTCCGGAAAGATTGGGCTGTTGAGGGTGGGATATGAGGGCGAACTGACGGCAACAGAGTTGGCACCTTGAGAGGCGATGGATGTGGCGGCCGTCGATATGCGCGTCTCGACGGTGCCCGAGTTGGTAGACGAAGACGTCTCTCGCTTCCGGCTGAGTGCGGAAGGGCTGGACGGCTCAGAATGGAGACCGTTTTGCTCATCAGCCTCCTGCTGCCTGAGTCTGTCCTTCTCTTCCCGGCGCAGCTTCTGGTAAGCAGACAGGTTCACATCATCGTCATACAGTGTCCGCCCCAGCCCCTTGGAGCTGTTGTTGGAGATCATGTAGATCTTTTGACGACCTCCAAACAGAATGTTGCCCTCGCCGGGCCTAGCCCGGCTCATCATGCTGCCGGACCCGTCATCATCGTCTCTGCTGTCGAAGGAATTCGATCGCTCATTGGCAAATGGTGGTCGTATTGATCCGCTCAGCGAGGACACCTCGGCAATGTCTGAAAGTCCTCCGGGCACGAAGCCGAACTCGTGCAGCCGCGACTGGCGTTTGGGTGCCAGGACGCTGTCGTCACTCGCCTTGCCCATCTTTGAGTTTGGGTCGTCTTGGTCGCGCAACATGCTGAAGCGCGTCGACAGGCCTGGCATGATCAAGCTCGTCCGGAAGTCGTCCACCTTGGGCAATGCGGCGTCGAGGTTAAAATCTGGTTTGACCTCCTCTTGTCCCTTCTTGCCCTTCTTCGCCTTCTTTCCAGTCGCGGGCTCCTCCACGCCATCCTTCTTCCTTGTCAACCAGCGATTCATGGTGGCCTAAATTTGAATTGGTTAGACAATGCTGCGCGGGGAGGGTGCTGTGTGAAGAGCACGGCGATGTCGAGGAAGTGGGGCAACGCACTGGTAGCGGGACAAGCTTTCACAGTCGCTGTGTGAAAGGTCAATTGGGCAGTCGCGGCCGTGGATAGACGGTACGCTAGGACGGTGGATGTCTGTCAGTAGCGGTAAGGTCAGCCCAGGGTCCTGCAGGTACCAATGCATGTCTGCACGTCACTCGAATTGGTACAGTTGATGCACGGTATACATACCCAGCGGTCGACTGTATTAATTCCAGTCTGTCGGTCGATACAGTTATGCAAGCACAGAGGGGGCGTGTGGGTTGAAAGAGGCAGGCGCGCTCGCCATGTAATGTCGGACGCGTCAGGCAGGAATAACAAAGGAGGCGAATTCAAGGCCGGCGCCAATGGGGAGGAATGCGTTTTGACGAGAGACAATGGCGGTCCAAATGGGTAAATCGGGAGGTCTCGTGTAGAGGGCGGAGAATTCTGGTACGGGCGCTGGGCTGGGGTTCGGCTGGCGGAAGAATGGTAAAATGTCTAAACAGTATTGTAGATTATGGCAGGTTAAGGAGCGTGTGTAGCTGGACAGCAATGGGGTGGACGGGGTGAAGGAGCGAGGTGCACGCGCGCTGCGGAGTGCGGCTGTGAAAGAAAAGAATGCAAGAAGCAGATCTCCCGACGAAATCAACCAGCACCGGAGAGGAGAGCTTGAAGGAGCGGGCATAGAGCGGGCCTGGGGGAGCAGGGAGTGACGAGCAATTCTGACCAGGACAAGGGTCGTTTGCACTAGGTTCATTTCCGCGGCGCATGGGCGCTTCAGACATGTTCATGGCTTCACACAGCGCGCGGGCCTTGGACCGGTGCAGGCTCCCGTCCCATTGCAGCCACAGGGCCTCCGCCTGAGGACGCCGTCGAGAGCTTCTGACCAGCCAGCACCCGCGCCGTCGCAGGGGATGCGGGCGCCGCGAGAAACGTGAAGCTGACAGCGAGAGGTCTGAGAATAAAGGCCATCCACCAACGGGCGCTAGTCTCGCCGCTCCTGCCTGCTGCCCCGATCCTGCAAAGCGCCTGCCTCGACGCGTCGAGCATTCCCGAGCACAGCACAGCAAAACAACAACAAGCACCAGGCCGCACGCCCACGGATTCGCTCTCCTGTGTCGCGACTCAGGCCCGAGAATGCACGATACCGCACGTCTCTGGAGGCCTGCAGCAGCCACTGCGACCTTCAGGGAGCCACTGAGCACTCCCGCTGACAACTGTGCACCTGCAGCACGCCCGGCCAATCACCGCCCTGCCCTGAACGCGTACTTTTGTACCTGCATGGCGGGAGGGGCTGAGGCGATCCACCGTCCACAGCATCGATATTTGCTGCTTATCCGCCTTGCTCCGACGCGACACACTCAGCATCTTGGCTGTGCAAACGCCCGCCAGTCTGCACTCCCCGACGAGAAACACTTTGCCCGCCGCCAGCCTATCGCCCGCTGACGTCCAGGATGAGCCCCTACGCGGGGAGTGGTCCGTCTACGGCCTGCCTGGGCTATCGCCTACCTGAGACGGCTAACTTCGGGAAGCTCGACGAAGCGAGCGAATCGTCTGCCGGCAGTAGACCTCCCCCTGCGCTAACCGCTCGTTCGCACTTTTCCAATCCCCTTTTTCGTACTACCACGACACCATTGACTGCGGAATTGGTCCCTCGACATGTTCTGAATCTTCTGACCTCACGAGAGCACCAGAGCCGTATTGGCCATATACGTCATCTAATGTCACCATGACTGCATTTCATTTCCGCACGCTGCACGCCTATCGCCTCCATCATCGAGCTGTTCCGTGTGGCTTCGAGAACCCTCAGGATGGACCTTGCTTCCTCGTCTACATATGAGTGCAGAGTTTTGCCCGCATCCAGGGCTGACTCCACTAGAATTGCCTTTCTCCAATCGAAAGCTCTCGAAGCCTTATTTGCTTTCATATGACGCCGTGGGGCATGCCCATGCCTGTCACTGCAGCTGATCACTGCAGGAGACGACGCCCGGAGAGTTTTAGACTTGACGGCTATCAAGACTACCGCTTTTTGTTTCGCCTCGTTGACGCGGCTATCGCCATGATTCTTGTTACTTACTTGCAACGTCAAAAAAAGGACCGTTTGTACACTTTGTTGTACTCGACTTCGATTGATGTTCACTTGGGCTGGATCGCCATAGCCTGCCCAGGGCATCTCCCCAATTCCAGAGTGCCGGTAATGAGATCTGTCCGGGCCGTCCGTGAAATTGGCAGCATCTCCGCTCTGTCAGATCTCTATTCGCTGGCCGCCATCCCCGCCACGCGACCGCAGCGCAGCGGATCGCGATGTGGTCTGTTGAAAAACAATAATACGCCAAGATATCCATCAGCTCACTCTGAAACGGAAAAGCATGGATTCCATCATAATCGGGCCCAACTTCACAGAACCTCAGCAAAGTGTTTCAGTCAGCGCATCAGCGGGTTTGCGGAGAAAACACAGTCATCCACGAGCCGTAGCGCACGTTTGGCCGCAACGGTTCGTGCTGATCCGGCATCATCGCTGCAACCACCTGTCAACAAGTCGCCGTCGTCTCACCATCGATAACAAGCACCATTTCGTCGGAAACGTCGACCGACCATAGGGATGTATCGATGGCACACGCACAAGCATAGCGTTGCTGCCTTGGAAAAATCCTCGGTGCCTTGCGACCGTCAACCTGGGCGTTACGTACGGCTCTATTATATCTCTGACATACCCATCGAACCGGTGCTGACTACGTGCATCCGACGTCAATATGTCCCGATCTGTAATCAAACTGGACTGGAGTCATGAGCAGGGAATGTCACGATCCCCATATTGTTCCAATCCCGAGCTTCATTTCGGCTTATGTGCCTCGAGCTGCCAACGACTCGAGTTCTACCATCAATTTAACACACAGACCGTGATTTGACAAGTGCGCATGTTGGTGACTGCTGGACATTTCGGCACAGCTGGGTAATTCATACCCATTGCCGAGCCGACATGCGCCGGATGCTTCCACGCGAAAACACGATTGACACGTGGAACGGAATGAATGACACGAGGTAAGCGACAATATTGCAGCTGATAGTTACCCGTCAGGTCCATATCCGCTCGCGCCTCACGGAAACGACTCTATGCCAAGACTCTTCATGCTTTGAACAGACACTAAACGTCTCTTACTCCGTCAAAGGTTTCACCGCGCTCGCAGCAAAACACTGCATCTTGGACCTTGCTCAGCCTTGTACGGGTCTATTTGGAACTCAATACAAGACCTCAAAACCGAAATCAAGCCCACACGCACCACTCAACACAAACCCCAGCTCATCCTCTATATACCCACGCGGTTTAGGTATCAGCTCAATGATCATTTGTTTCCAGCATCAAACCCATCCTCAGCATACAAACCGCCCAACCAGCCATGCCACGGCAAGTCCCGCATCGGGGAAGTGACGCATCGCAGCACCGACCGTGACGAGGCTGAAGCTGCGATATTTCTCATCTGCAAATGCCAGGGGTTTGCACAATGAGTCGCCCATCACAGCAACTGCGCTGACTCCCAGCTCGTCGCTTCTGGCACGGTTTCTGTCGATCGTTATCTGCGAGGCGTCGATTGCGGCAATGGAACACATGTGCGGAGCATTGATCGTCAGTTCAAAGTTTTTTCGAGAAGGATGGACGAAGTAGAGGCAGTGCGGTGGTCTGCGCAAGAAGCCCGGGCCGCATCAGCGTGTTGGCTGTCAACCCGATGTGGTCCAGGCGCGAGGTTAGGCTTTAGGTAAGTCTTGGGAGTGTTGCTTTGCTGGTGAGTCGTGCTTTGAATCAGTCTGATAAAGCGCTGGAGGTATGTTAGTTCTAGCTGCGCGTCGTAAAGGCAGGTGATGTCTTCTCACCCTATGTATCGAATTGGCCATGGCAAGCTACATGTGCTAGAGTATGGAGAAGATATCAGGAACCATCGCTGGCCGCCGAATGATACTTCTACCAAGCATCGGGAGACTTTTCATGACGCTTGGCTCGTGTGTCGCTTTGCTTGCGAAAGTCTCAGAATGAGGGTGCGCTGGGGTATAGAACTGCGCAGTTTGGTTGTGTGACTGAGGGTGTCATTAAGTATCTGACATCGTTATTGCAGGCCCATGCGTGTTGATAGATCTTAACATTCTCGTATATTGCCTTGTGGCTGCATCATAGCAATGATTGAAATCCAACTGCTTGATGAGATGTTTAGAACTACCTCGGTCCCGAACGAGTGTATGATCGTCAGCTGTGCACCGCAACATAACTTCAAGAATTGGTACGGTCATTCCTGAGAAGGTATGAACGCTACATCACACGTCTAACTGAAGATAATCTTTACGATATCTGCGGAGGCGCACTTTATGATCATATGCATTACCCATATACCGTTTGTCGATATTCCCCGAGAGTTGGATGAGACTCAAGGGACATGGCGATGTGGTTTAGGTACTTGTTGTCTGAAGCTGGAGTGCTGAGGCTCAGGACACCCAGCTTGAGACTAGCCCATGTAGACAGTTGCGAAACCTATTTGAGCGGAGATGTTTCTGTCTGTCTGTAATTTTAATTTCAAGATGTACCGTTCTCTTGGCTGGCACGCCTCTGTCTCCATGTATCGCAGCGACGAAGGTATGTTAGGTGAAAGACCTTGCAAATTCACGTTGTTTCCGTGACTTGGACACCACTCACTACCGAGATTTAGATCATTGATACTCTCCATACTATCTCGTAAAGAGCTCTCCAGTAATTCGAGACAAGGGTGTGGCGAAGTAGTTACCTATTGTAGTGAATATTGTTGTTATCATGTGCGCTTATAATCGCAGCAGCCACGTCCTCGGTGAGCGAATTGGTTTACCCTGGGAGTTCCTTACTTTCTCTATTACGACATGTCACGCTGAGGCGTCGGGTGTAGTCTGTACGCGAGAAGGCTGAAAACACAGCCCCCGGGTGATTGGATGAGGCAGTGCTAGGCGAACTTAACCTTCTGACAGGAACGATCACTGTTGCCTAGCACACAGCATCTTCTCTATCTACAATGACTCCTCAATCGATTGCCCGGCGGATCTCAAGAAAGCTAGACTTTGCCATCAGAGGATTATCCAAGACGTCAGTTGTATATAAATCTCTCAACCTTGCGAACTGCGAGATCCGACTACTACATATTGCGCCTGGTCTCAAACACAGTACGATCGAAGTCAGCACCTCTATCAGCGTATTGCCGCATCCCTACATCCCAAGCCCATACCCTCGTGCAGACGATGAGTCTGAGCTTACCAACGGCATTTGTGACCCTTACGAAGCTCTATCGTACGAATGGGGCAACCCTGAGGCTCCAAGACACACCATATTCCTCGACGGCCAAAATTTCAAAGTCCGCGACAACCTGTTCCAGGCCTTGGTCTGTTTCCGAGATATGGGTGTCACAGGAGCCTTGTGGATAGATGCGATCTGTATCAATCAAGCAGACCACCGAGAAAGAGGCCATCAAGTTCAGATGATGGGCTTAATATATACACATGCCCTGAGAGTTCGCGTCTGGTTGGGTGCGGATTTTCCAGAATTTTCGGATTCAGTCCAGTTCGTCTCTAGACTCGTGCATCTTGGAGAGCTCGGCCCGGGAGCTAGAACCGTAACCAAGGTCACCAACAGGGAATTCAATAAGGATGGGAAGGAAAATAGTTCTTGTGGAGAAAGGCCGCTCTCGAATTACGCCGACCATAGAGCTTCCATCGTGGCTGCGGAAGAAGGGTGGAGAGCGCTCATTGCTTTGCTGAACCACAGCTATTGGCACAGAATCTGGATCATTCAAGAGTATCTCCTTGCCAGAGAACTCATTATACACTGCAGCCGGAGCAGCATGCGACACCAGGACCTCAAGACCGCGATCGGCGTATGCTTTTCCTCTTTGTGTATGTCAGATGCGAACACAGAGATGCCGATAATGCAAAGCCCCGGATTCAAGATCCTCGACATGTGCGAGTCCCACGACCCACTAAGCCAGCGGGTTTTCAAACTTCCGATACCAACTCTATCGCTTCTGGAGCTTCTGAAGATGACGGAGGAGTCTGCATGCCACGATCCGCACGACAGAATATATGCCATAATGGGACTAGCAGAGGACCTTCAACATGCTGTGGTTCGGATTGACTATGATGCTCCCCTCGAAGCAGTCAAAGCAGGCGTCATCTCAGCTCTGAAGCATACAAGCGTGATTCAATTGTACATCTGCCTAGTCTGCCACCTCTTGGATGTAATCCTCGCGGAAGAGATTTTTGGAGAAGATGACCCAGCTGATGTGATGTTTGACCACCGGGGTTGTGAGTGTCAACGTAAACAGACAGAAACAACTAACAGAAGCAAAGAGATGTGACGTTAGAGCTATGATTGGCTACGAAATCGCTCGAGTAAAAGCATCTTCCATCCGAAGATAGAGCAAAGCCTTTCTTACGTACATACCATACCACACATGCATACATCTCTCACGTATCCTTTGATCAAATGCATAAGATTTGATTTCACCTCTCACCAGATCTTTCAATCAGCTTAAACCAATCTACAAAACTACGAAAAAGTGCGATGAGAGAAAACTTCTCCAATCACCACCGTCCCAATCATCCCGTCTCATCACCGCACGATACCGGCCCCACCGCCCCCAACGCTCCCAACACGCTCAACAAACCTCGCCGCCATGCACTCCTACAATGCAGGGCCACTCTAGCCGCCGCTCAACCGAATGCAAACATGTGGGTCCCCGATCCTCCTCCTGCCGTAATCAGCAGATGAGCTTATCTCGACATGCTCCCGGCCCAAACAAGCTCACCATCGGCCGAAAAACATACAAGTGAGCGAAGGTGATTATTTTTAATGATTTTTCAATTGCATTACAACGTTAAGACTAATATACCTCATAGCAAGCTGCAGCTTCTCTTCCAAAATCATGACAGAAACAAGCCAAAGCTGAAGCCGAAGCCAGAACACCCGGGATAAACATGCGCCTGCGTGGGACTTTGTAGTGGTATCCGTCATACTGCGCCAAAGCTCGCACCGTCTATCAAACCCCTCCACAACAACACTCTTGATCTAGAATTGCGCAATCGCTACAGAAACCGCCTGCTCCTCTGAGTGACTGATGCTGATGCTGATCGTCTTGACGCCGACGCGGGTGGCTTCTTCTTGGGCTTGGCCATGGAGCTGGGATTAATGTTAGCAAGTGTTTTGTATTGGAAAAGTGAAGATCGTACCTGAACTTGCGGCGCGCCCGTCTCGTCATTGACGATTTCAATATCCTTAAGCGCTGCGCCTGCGCCTTGACCCTTTACACCTAGCGACTTGAATACGGCCTCCTTTGCAGACCACTTGCCGGTGAAGCTGGCCTGGGGGCTGGCAGCTTTCTGACAGTACGCAATCTCCTTCTCTGTGAAATTGCGCTCGAGGAAAGTGTCGTTCTCAATGTTGAGGGCGCTCAGGCTCTCGACATCAACGCCGACCTTTGTGTTGGCAGTGGCAGTGGCCTGTGTTATCGACTCGATCATCTTTGTCGTCTCCTCGGCCTTCTTGTCCTTCTTTGGCGCCTCGTACTTCTTAGGGAACGAGTAGGTCGCAGTCTTCTTGTCAATGACAACACGTGCGCGAGGGTTGAGGAAGATCTCTTCCATCTTGCTGTCCTCGTATGGTGCTTTGTCCTTGGCGCGGAACATGGTGTTGTTGATGAGGCCATCGTGGAAGTATCGGTACGCCCTCTTTTGGCGAGCCTCGACCTTCTGCTTGTAGGTCGCGAACTGAGCGTGGTCGAGCGCAGCGTAAAGGTACTTGGGGTGGATACCGATAGCTTGCGTGCCCTTTTGACCGAAACCAAATGATGTGACGGAGAACGCTTTGATGCCGTCGGTTTGGATGGCTCGCGACGGGTAGACAATATAATCGAACTGCTCCATGATCTTATCGACGTTGTCGGCATTTCGGTTACCAGGCACGAGACCAGTGTTGAGCACCTGCAAGCAGCCGTTGAACATCCAAGCACCAGCGGGACCCTTGGGATGACCAGTAAGGTACTTCTGGAATATACCAAGCAGTGCGTTACCCTTGGTGCGTCCGAGATGTCGCATCTGCTCATTGACGACGCTGGACTCGTTCTTGTCGTTTGCAACAGTAGAGGTACCGTGGAACGAAGCGACGCCAAGATCATCGACGGTGAGACCCCATGTAGCGAGGGCACCACGGAGAGGAGCAATGCGTGGATCCTTCTTCCAGAAAGCATTGCCCAGGCTGTTCAAAGCCTCCTTCTCTTGTCGCTGAGCCTCGAGCTCAATGTGTGTGGCACGCTCCTCAAGGTAGTCGGCCTCGTTGATGTTGTCGCCTGCATCCTTGATGGCGGCAACCTCTTCTTGGAGGTACATGAGCTCGGACTCTTGCCATTGCTTGATCTGCTTGCGTCGGAGTTCCATCTGCCTCTTCCTGTACTTGATGTCGAGCAGAGGCGATGGGAACTTAGACGGCATCTCACGGGCTGTGGTCAGAACACCCTTTCCGGGAGCGGGCACAGATCGACCGATCTTGTCCGTGGCTGTCGCGGTGAAACCAATGATGCCGTAAATGGGTACACCCATGTCCAACGCCAACTTGGCATCCATGATGACTTGCATACCTGCACCTTGGGACTCCATGAAGCCGTTCCTGGTAGTTGTGGTAGGACGGGACATCTCTCGTGGTGTTCTGCCGTGTTCAAACTCATCCTCGGCGTTGCTGGTCGCTTTCATGTTCGCGAACTCGTATGAGCCTTCCTCTTGGAAGTCATCGAATCCACCGACGAAGCAGACACGGGCCTTGCCTTCAACAATGGTGTCGTATCCGATGTCGATCGATTCGACAGCAGTGGCACAAGCTCCGACTGGGGTCTTGATAGGTCCGGTAGAAGACATGAGCAACATGTTAACCCAGGCACTCATGGTGTTGATGAAGGACTCCTGGAGAATGTCCTTCTGGACAGGCTTGTCAAGGAAGCGGTCTTTGTACATGCCTCGGAGAGCGGTGGTACCACCGATACCAGATCCTACACAGTTACCAACTTCTGAAAGATGCACGTATTGGTAGAACTCGTAGGGGTCGGTGATACCGCTAGCAAGAAGACACTCTGCTGTGGAAACGAGCACAAAGAGTGTAACAGGGTCAACCTGCGCGATGATGTCGTCCGGTACACCGTACTTCTTTGCGTCCCAGCCAGTGGGGATCTGGCCAGCCACGAGGCGGTCAAATCGCAGAGCCTTGGGAATAAGAAGAGTCGCGCCCTTCTTCATGCGCACAGTGTACTCGCCAGAGTCTTCGATGGCAAAGATCTCAACCTTGTCACCATGCTCACGCTTGAACTCATCGGCAAGCTCCTTGGAAGCCTCAAATGGGTCGAGGTCTTCCTCGATCTGGATCTCCTGCATCAGCTGCTTCTGCTTCGGGTCGTAGCCATGGAATAGCTCTGGTTCAATGAGACGGATACCGCTGTGCTCAAGAATGTACTTCTCGTACTTGGGCTTGATCTCCTTGTCGTCAACTGGTTCTCCAGTCTTGGCATCGACCCAACCAGAATAGCTCTTGCCCTTCAGATTGCCGTTGTGGTTCTTGATGAGGCCCATGATCCAGGCCATCTCAACGCAACCCTCCAGAGAGAACTCGCCATAGGCCTCCATCTCCCATCGCGTCCTTGAGTTACCCCAAGGGCCAACCTCAGAGAAACCAGTGACAACAACGACCTTCTCGAGATCAACCATACCCTTCAGGTCCTCATTGAGAGGCTTGACCTCAGTGTCCCAATCAGGCAGGTTGGGGAAGTCAAACTTCATGTTGGCCCTGGGCTCGATCGTAGCCTTCTTGTACAAAGCCTCGCTAGCCTCGCCATTGACGACCTTGTTCTCGATGGCATTCTCCTTGATGACAGCCCGGCGAACATCACTGGTCTCCATGAGCTCCTTGCGGAGGTCGCCCATGAGGTCCTTGAGGTTGGGAATGTACTGGAAGCCACCGTTCAGGTCTGCCCAGACGGGCTCGACCTGGCAGAGGTTGACAATCGGTGGTGCCATGAGCCCGAGGATGTTGAAGGCCATTTCCTGTTGAGAGAAGGTGCGCACACCGTACTTCTCAATGCCCTCAGCAACAATGTTGTTGGCGCTCATGAGGCCTGTGCCACGTGTCCAGCCAATGACAGCTCCGCAAATGGTGAGGTAGTTGCCCCAGCTCTCGGAGTGCCACCTGGAGAAGAGCGTCTCCAGCGACATCTTGGATTCCGAGTACAATCCGTCATTACCAAAGGTGCCATGGTTGGGCGAGAGAGGAAGCATAACCTGCGCTGGCCGGGTCTCGTAGCCGTTGGCTTGCTTTTGCTTCTTGATGGCACCGAGCATACGGAGAAGGTTCGTCAACATGATGCGGTGAGCAAGTTCTGACTTGGAATCAATGCCGTCAATTTCACGACCATTCTCAGGAATGGCGGCGAATGGAATGACATAGTCGAGGTCCCAGCCGAGACCCTTCTTAGCATCAAAGATGTAGTCGATAAGTGCCTCGACGTCCTGGTTGCTACCTTGGTTGAAAGGTACAACGATGAGCTGTGAGCCCTTGGCACCGTACCGGGAGTACATTGACTGGTAGTACTCTGTGACATCGCGAGAGAACCTGGACGTTGTCACGACCACCTTGGCGCCACCACCGATCAAGCCCTGCAGAACTTGAGCACCGATCGAGCCGGCACCAGCACCGGTCATGAGAGCGTACTTGCCCTGGAAGGTCACGCCAGACTTGGCGGCGTTCTCTAGACAGTCAAGGTACACGCCAGTCAGCTTCTTGCTGTACTCCCAGCCATGGTCGTCCTTGCGCTTGAGATGCAGGAAGGGGACGGTCTCAACCTTTCCTTGTTTTTGGGCGCCATTGAGACGGCCGTTGCGTCCACGCTTAGAGCCTGCCTTGCCATTCTCATGCGGGATGATCTGGCCCTCGTTCATTGACAGAGACCGAATGACGTTGGCGTATAGACTCTTGATCTGCAGCTGCGAAGACTTGGAGAGCTTGTGTTGTTGCTTGATGAGCTTGTAGATGCGCTGAAGGTCGTTCTGGACCTTGGTGCGGTTTCCGTACTCTGAGAGCTTGCCGCCCTCGGCCATCTCACGCACATAGTGCTCAAGCTTGCGAACGCTCGCACGGGGCGCCTCCTCGTAGTTCATGTTGCCCTTGACATCGATCTCAAGGTGTGGCGCAGTTGGTACAGCGACATCTTTGTATACGGGGGCCTCGTTGAGCACATCCTTGCAGTTGTCGATGAGCTGCTGGCCGAGCTCTTTGGCGAGCTCGTAGGTCTCGCCGCGCTCGGTGGGGCAGTGGTCCATGTGGTACTGCATGAATTCAAGCAGGAGAGGGTTCGACCGGTTCATGATGGCAATACAGCGGCTGACAATCTCGCGGTCGACCGCCTTGAGCTTGCCGAAAATGATGTCGTAGTACATGCTGAGAGCATCCTGTCGAGCCCAATTCCACGAGGAATCGTAGACACGCGCTTTGAGGGGGGTGAACTGGGGCTCGATGCCTGAAGCGTAGAATTCGCCGTGCTCGGTGGTCCAGAGGTCTAATTGAGCCTGCAGAGCCTCCTGGGCCTTTTGGCCACCCAAGAAAGCTTTGTCACCTGCGCGGAGGTCCATCTTGAGGTACCTGGCAAATAGCTCCAGTTGCTGCTTGAACAGCTGTCTCTGGTCTTTTGTGAGAGCGTCAAGCGCTGCAGGGTCCATCATCATGCCGCCTCCAGCGCCTCCGTCGCCGCCTGCTGCTGTGGGCGCAGACAGGCTGATGCCCGCAATGCCAGCGTACTTGTTGGCCTGGTCGTCCAGGAAGGCCTTTCCGTCGGCCTCAGAGCCCAATCGCGCGGCCGGCTCGTTGGTGATGGCAAGCAGCAGGACACCGTCTTGGCGGCCCTGAGCGAGACCCCATCTTGTCTCGAGGTGCTTGCGCACAGCTGTGATGTTGAAGCCTCCGGGCATTTTCGACGAGACCATGCGCGCAATGAGCGAGGCCGACTGCTTGCCAAGCTGGCCGTTGAACGTCTGCTGCATCGAGGCACCGAGCTCGTCGAGAGGCGTGTCTTCGGGCTTCTCGGGCGTTGAGCCAAACTCCTTGCCCAGGTCTCCGAGGATTTCATTTTGCAGTGTCGATTTGCCTGTTGGGTGTTAGCTGAGTTGTGGTATTAGAGCTGCGGTTCACCCACCTCCAACCAAGTCCTTGATGGCCTTGCTCAGCGGAATGTCCATGAGCGGCTTCTTGAGCTTCTGGGCCACCAGCGCCCGCAGAATGTCGACGGCTGTGACTGGGGTATCGGGCACCTGAGCTGCTGGGCCCGCGCTCGCGGCAGGGGCTGCTACTGGCGCTGAAGCTGCTGCGGGGGCACTCGAGGACGCTGATGGGGCGTCTCCGCCGCCTCCAGCTGCCGGCTCGGGCTCCTCCTCCACGGGGTCTACGTCGTAGTAGATGTCTTTGGCGTCCTTGTTGTAGCACAGAATTTGCCGTTGCACCGAGCGTGCGGCGTCGTGTGCTTCGTATTTGGAGGCCAGCGTCCGCTTGGCCATGACCCCGAGCGTGTCTGCGGGGCCGATTTCGACGATGCGCTCCGTGGTGTTTTCACCAAGGACGACATCTTGCGTCTCAATCCACCTCACGGGCGAGGCGAACTGGTATGCAAGCAGCTCGATGAGCAGCGTGTGCGAGAGCTCCTGCTCGACTTCGGGACGCATGCTGAGCGTGGTGCGGGAGCAATTGGCAGAGGGAGAGTGGGCAGCTCAATGAGCTCAGTGGTGGTGCTCCTTCAATGTGGAAGGAACGGGTATCTCAGTAGAAATTGGAGGAAGGAGCACTGCAGTCGGGGGAAGGAGCGACGTGCAGGCGTGTTGGTAGTGTGAGGGAGAGCAAGAGGAATTAAGCTCGGGTGATTGGGTGGTGATCCCCGGGAACAATTATTTTGATATGGGAGAGAGGTATGTGATCGACGCAACGGCACCCCAACACTTGAACTGGAACAGAGGCTACGCGTATCTCTCGTTCGAAGGGAAGGCTCCAAGTGTTGAGGAATTCTTCGGTTGCATCTAAAAACTACTGAGCCAGACCCCTGCACGGTAATGCTCCACGCATTGGCCGGCTCAACATAAATTTCGCCTGAAGGAGACGGGCTTGCGAAAAGACACACCACGATAGACGCCAATCTGGTGGGACTTGCGGGCGGGCGGTGAGCAGCGCTCCCAAGAAACAACCGTGTCAACAGCAGCCCCAACAGTAGCAGCGGCCATGGGCGTGCAGGCTGATTCAGCGTGAGAAGACTTGGACGGACTTGTAGAACGCTGTCCGTCTTGAGCACGTCAGCAAGTCGTGGTTGAGCTGCTGGTCCGGCTGGTTGAGAGCTTGTATGCAGCGCTGCCCGCTTAATCCCCAACATTACCGGAAGTGTTGTGATCCCTGCATTACTAGTGCGGGTTTCCTGAAGCTCGCTGCAAAAAGTCGACAGCTGTGCCGGCGATAATATGTGACCGTCCCGAGTCCTCCCTCACCTCCTCCTGCCCAATTGCACCCTCCTCTCCCTCTTGATTACTCTTCATATACCCTAAGCATTCCTGTTGCCTGCGGTGGATCTCTCACCCCGCCGCACACGACCCGCCTCATTCCACAGCGAGGGAGCTGCAACAGCAGTACGGACCAATTCCCGAGCACGCCAGCAGATTAGTTTCTCGCTGGTCGATTTCGATTAGGTACGTGGCCGCTATATTGCTACATTGAGCACATCTTGCGAAGGACAGAGCGCGGTGAAGGACTTCTGGGTGCTCTTTCCGAACTTGACTCGCTCTTTCCCCACCACCAGACGAAACTCACCACTTCCCAGTCGCTCCTTCCATAACCCTAATTTTTCCCGCAAGAGAGGTACGCAATGACACTTCAACTCCCAAAAAACACCACACAAACAATCAGAACACTGCTAACATGTCCGACTTGAAGCCTCTCACCATGTTCGGCTCCGGGCAGCAGACAGGCCTCTCCACGCCTCGCTCTGCCGCGAACTTGCGCCCCCTCATCCTCACCCACGGCTCGCTCGAATATACGCTCCTCATCCCGACCGCCCTCCATTTCAACGCCCAGCAGCTGAAGGACACTTTCAAGCTCACCCTTCCCGAGCCCACAGACGAACTCGCCCAGGATGACGAGCCCTCATCGATACCCGAACTGGTGGCGCGGTTCATGGGCTTTGTAGCCCGAGAAGTAGAGGAGGGCGAAGACCCCGAATCATTCGAGGAAGTGCTCAAACTCATCATCACCGAGTTTGAGCGCGCCTTCCTCCGCGGCAATGAGGTGCACGCCCTGGCTGCATCTCTGCCTGGCATCACCGAGAAGAAGCTCGTCACAGTCCGGTCGTACTACGCGGCACGTTCGGCAGTAGAGCGGCCGCTCAAGATGCACGATTCAGCTCTGTGGCGCGAAGCCGACGACGGCAACGCTGTCATCTATGCTGTGCTGGGTGGCCAGGGCAACATCGAGGAGTACTTTGATGAACTCCGCGAAATCTACAACACCTACACCCCGTTCGTCGAGGACTTCATCGCGGCCGAAGCACAGCATCTCCTGCAATTGTCTCGAGACCCGCGGGCTGAGAAGCTCTACTCCAAGGGTCTCGATGTCATGCGATGGCTCAACAACCGCGAGTCGCAGCCCGACACTGAATACCTTGTCTCAGCGCCAGTCAGTTTGCCCTTGATTGGGTTGACTCAGCTTGCGCATTTCATTGTCACTACGAGGGTGCTCGGAGGACATCCAGGGAACGTTCGCAAGCGCTTCGCTGGTGTTACAGGACATTCCCAGGGTGTAGTCACAGCTGCGGCCATTGCCCAAGCCAAGAACTGGGCGACTTTTCAAGAATCCTCAAAGAAGGCCATTGAAATTTTGTTCTGGATCGGTACTCGCAGCCAGCAGGCTTTCCCACGCACATCGCTTGCGCCGTCAGTTCTGCAGGACTCGATGGACAACGGTGAAGGCACCCCAACGCCCATGCTTTCCATCCGTGACCTCTCAAGGAAAGCAGTGCAAGACCATATTGATGCGACCAACGCGCATTTGCCACAAGACAGGCACATTGCCATCTCCCTCGTGAACAGCGCCCGCAACTTCGTCGTGACTGGACCTCCCATCTCGCTCTACGGTCTCAACCTCCGTCTGCGAAAGAACAAGGCTCCCACTGGTCTCGACCAGACCAGAATCCCCTTCACTGAGCGCAAGGTCCGCTTCGTCAACCGTTTCCTGCCCATCACTGCCCCCTTCCATAGCCAATACTTGACCGAGGCGGCGAAGCAGCTAGAAGACGACCTGAAGGACATCAAGATTCCTGCAAGCGATCTGGGCATTCCGATGTACGACACCCACACGGGCAAGGACATCCGAGATGACGGCTCCGACAACATTGTGCCCCGCCTTGTGCGCATGATTACTTCGGACTCAGTCGAGTGGGAGAAGGCGACAGTCTTTCCCAAAGCGACGCACATTCTAGATTTCGGCCCTGGTGGCATTTCTGGCCTAGGTGTTCTGACCAACCGTAACAAGGATGGAACGGGAGTTCGCGTCATCCTTGCGGGAGCCATCGACGGCCAAAATCCTGAAGTTGGCTACAAGCCCGAGATCTTCGACCGGGATTCTGAGCATGCGGTCAAGTATGCAGTTGACTGGGTCAAGGATCACGGTCCACGTCTTGTTAAGACGTCCACTGGTCAGACTTATGTCGACACCAAGATGAGCAGGATGCTGGGTCTGCCACCAGTCATGGTCGCTGGTATGACACCATGCACGGTGCCATGGGACTTTGTTGCTGCCACCATGAACGCTGGCTACGAGATCGAACTTGCTGGCGGTGGTTATTATAACGAGAAGACCATGACCGCTGCGATCACCAAGATCGAGAAGGCCATCCCTGCTGGACGCGGTATCACCGTCAACTTGATCTACGTCAACCCTCGTGCCATGGCATGGCAGATCCCCCTTCTGGCAAAGCTTCGTGCCGAAGGCGTGCCCATCGAAGGCCTCACCATCGGTGCTGGTGTTCCATCTATTGAGGTTGCGAACGAGTACATTGAGACTCTCGGCATCAAGCACATTGCTTTCAAGCCTGGTTCGGTCGAGGCCATTCAGGCGACCATCAACATTGCAAAGGCAAACCCGCATTTCCCCGTCTTGCTTCAGTGGACCGGTGGTCGTGGTGGAGGTCATCACTCGTTCGAGGATTTCCACCAGCCTATCCTGCAGATGTACAGCCGTCTCCGCAAGTGCGACAACCTGATTTTGGTCGCCGGCTCTGGTTTCGGTGGCTCAGAGGACACCTACCCATACCTCACTGGTGCCTGGTCAACTCGCTTCGGCTACCCTCCCATGCCATATGACGGTTGCCTCTTTGGTAGCCGTGTCATGACCTCCAAGGAATGCCACACCTCGAAGATGGCCAAACAGGCCATCGTCGAAGCGCCCGGTCTTGATGACAGTGACTGGGAGAAGACATACAAGGGCCCTGCTGGAGGTGTCATTACCGTGCGCTCCGAGATGGGCGAGCCAATTCACAAGCTTGCCACCCGCGGTGTTATCTTCTGGCACGAAATGGACCAGAAGATCTTCAGCTTGAAGAAGGAGAAACGCATTCCTGAGCTCAAGAAGATGCGCGAGTACATCATCGACAAGTTGAACAAGGACTTCCAAAAGGTCTGGTTCGGCAGGAACAAGAAGGGCGAATCTGTCGACCTCGAGGATATGACCTACACTGAGGTCGTACAGCGTATGGTCGATCTCATGTATGTCAAGCACCAAACTCGCTGGATCGACCAAAGCTTGAAGAGGTTGACTGGCGACTTCATCCGCCGTCTTGAGGAACGCTTCAGCAAGTCGAGCAATGAGTCTCTCATCCAGAGCTACGAAGAGCTCAACGACCCATACCCAACCATCCAGAAAGTCTTCGAAGCCTACCCAGAGGCTGACCACCAGTTGATCAACGCTCAGGATGTCCAGCATTTCCTCTTGCTGTGCCAGCGCCGTGGACAAAAGCCTGTGCCTTTTGTCCCCGTTCTTGACGACACCTTTGAGTTCTTTTTCAAGAAGGATTCACTTTGGCAGTCGGAGGACTTGGACGCCGTCGTTGACCAGGACGTCGGCAGGACATGCATCCTGCAAGGGCCGATGGCTGTCAAGTACTCTACCAAGGTCGATGAGCCGATCAAGGAGATCCTCGACGGCGTGCACCAGGGCCACATCCAAAACCTCCTGCGCGATGTGTACGGAGGGGATGAGTCCCAGGTGCCGGTCATTGAATACTTTGGTAGCAACCTCCTGGGCATATCAGAAGGCGTAGAAGTCGACGGCCTTACCGTTTCGCAGCTCGAAACCAAGACCATCTACCGCCTGTCAGCTGCGCCCAATGTCACCATGCCAGAGGCTCACGCATGGCTCCAGCTGCTGGCTGGATCCACATACTCGTGGAGGCACGCATTCTTCACCACCGATATTTTTGTGCAAGGTCAACGCTTCCAGTCCAACCCCACCGCAAGAATCTTCGCACCCACACCAGGCATGCTTGTAGAGATCAACAACCCCAACGAGCCGGCGAAGACTACCATTCTCTTGAAGGAACTTCACTCCAACGGCAAACTGATCAAGACGGTCGAGGTCAGCTTGACGGGCGACAGTGAGATTCTGCTCAACATGTACGAGGAGCGCACTGCTCTGAAGCAGCCCATTGCCCTGCCGTTCCGCTTCACCTACCGTCCAGACATTGGGTATGCTCCCATCCACGAGGTTATGGAGTCCCGAAACGACCGCATCAAGGACTTCTACTTCAAGATCTGGTTCGGTGACGAGGCATGCCCATATGATGCAGACGTGGCCTCTCGTTTCGATGGTGGTCGCGCTACTGTCACAAGTGAGGCCATCAACGACTTTGTTCATGCCGTCGGCAACACAGGCGAAGCGTTTGTCGACCGTCCTGGCAAGGAGGTCTTCGCCCCCATGGACTTTGCCATTGTTGTTGGATGGAAGGCCATCACCAAGCCCATCTTCCCTCGCGCGATTGACGGTGATCTGCTGAAGCTTGTTCATCTCTCCAACGGCTTCCGCATGCTCCCCGGTGCCGAGCCGCTCAAGAAGGGTGACGTGGTCGACACCACCGCTCAGATCAACGCTGTCATCAACCAAGAATCCGGCAAGATGGTCGAGGTCTGCGGTACCATTACCCGTAAGGGAGAGCCTGTGATGGAGGTTACCAGCCAGTTCCTGTACCGTGGCGCATACGATGACTTTGAGAACACCTTCCAGAGGAAGAACGAGAAGATGATGCAGCTTCACCTTGCCACCAGCAAGGATGTCGCGATCCTGCGATCAAAGGAGTGGTTCAACTTCGAGGAGCCAGACATTGATCTACTGAACAAGACCTTGATGTTCAAGTTGGAGACATTCTTACGATACAAGAACAAGACGGCCTTCTCACAGATTGAGACCATCGGCGAGGTTCTCCTTGAGCTACCGACCAAGGAAATCATCACTATTGCTTCCGTCAACTACCAGTCAGGTACTGCCTTCGGAAACCCCGTCATGGACTACTTGCAGCGCAACGGTGCGGCCATTGACCAGGCCGTGCTGTTCGAGAACCCAATTCCGCTGCACGGCAAGACTCCTTTGAGCCTGAAAGCCCCTGCGTCGAACGAAAACTACGCTCGCGTGTCTGGTGATTACAATCCTATTCACGTGTCTCGCGTCTTCGCAAGCTATGCCAACCTCCCTGGTACCATCACCCACGGCATGTACTCCAGTGCTGCCGTCCGCAGTTTGGTTGAGACATGGGCTGCCGAGAAACAACATCGGCCGCGTCCGAAGCTACCACGTCAACCTTGTTGGCATGGTGTTGCCAGATGATATGCTCGATGTCAAGCTCCAGCACACTGGTATGGTTTCTGGTCGCAAGATCATCAAGATTGAAGTCAGCAACAAGGAGACAGAAGACAAGGTCCTTCTCGGTGAGGCCGAGGTTGAGCAGCCTACCACCTCTTATGTATTCACCGGACAAGGATCGCAGGAGCAAGGCATGGGTATGAACTTGTACGACAGCAGTCCTGTCGCACAGGAGGTCTGGGATCGTGCCGACAAGCACTTCATGGACAACTATGGTATGTGTTATATACTAGCTCACGGCACGCTTTCACTAACACGTTTTAGGCTTCGCCATCACCAACATTGTGAGGAACAACCCGAAGGAGCTTACCATTCACTTTGGTGGACCCGTCGGAAAGGCCATTCGCCAGAATTACATGTCCATGACCTTCGAGACAGTAGCTGCCGATGGTACCATCAAGTCGGAGAAGATCTTTAAGGAGATTGACGAGAACACTACCTCGTACACTTACCGGTCGCCAACTGGTCTCCTGTCAGCCACGCAGTTTACACAGCCTGCTCTCACCCTAATGGAGAAGGCGTCGTTTGAAGACATGCGCGCCAAGGGTCTCGTCCAACGTGACAGCACCTTTGCAGGCCACTCTCTCGGAGAGTATTCTGCCCTTGCTGCGCTGGCTGAAGTAATGCCGATTGAAAGTTTGGTGTCGGTTGTGTTCTACCGTGGTCTCACTATGCAAGTCGCAGTCGAGCGCGACGAGGCTGGACGATCCAACTACTCCATGTGCGCTGTCAACCCGAGCCGTATCTCGAAGACTTTCAATGAACAGGCGCTACAGTATGTCGTCGAGAACATTGCCGAGCAGACGGGATGGCTCTTGGAGATTGTCAACTACAACATTGCCAACATGCAGTACGTTGCTGCTGGTGACCTCCGCGCGCTTGACTGCCTGACCAACGTCACCAACTACCTCAAGCAGCAGAAGATCGACATCCAAGAGCTCATGCAGAGCATGTCGCTTGAGGACGTGAAAGCGCATCTTGTTGAGATCATCAAGGGCTGCGCAGAGCAGACTGAGGCCAAGCCCAAGCCTATCGACCTCCAGCGTGGATTTGCCACAATCCCCCTGAAGGGCATCGACGTGCCATTCCACAGCACTTTCTTGCGATCTGGCGTCAAGCCCTTCCGAAGCTTCTTGCTGAAGAAGATCCACAAGACATCCATCGATCCCTCAAAGCTGGTCGGAAAGTACATTCCGAACGTCACGGCCAAGCCATTTGCGCTCACTAAGGAGTACTTTGAGGATGTGTACAGGCTGACGAACTCGCCCAAGATTGGCAACATTTTGGCGAACTGGGAAAAGTACGAAGAAAAGGAGGAGAAGACGGAGACCGAAGTCGCAGCTTAGGCGGCGCAATGTTGATGCAGTCATTGTTTGTTCATGATACAGGCGTCGGCTGGTTTTGAGTAGACTTTGTGATATGATATCCGGATGGCGTACATTCATGTTGATGACGGCTTAGATGGCCTATAGCAGTAGAGCTTTGTAATGAAAATATTAGCACATTCACTGATATGCTGCGCAATGTCTTGACTAACGCGCGTGCTTCTGGTATGCCTAAGGCTTACATAGTTTGAAGCTGAGGGTAGTGAATGCTTGTGATGCCTCATAATTCACTCCCGAGCTCAACGACTTCCGCGCCCAATACAAGTATTCCATCGGCTCGAGAGCTTTCTTCTCCCATTCACTCCAACATCGGAACGCGAGTCACAACCGACCGTCAACCAGTTCCGGATCAGCACTAGCGCGACCCCAGTTCCAAGGTTCATGGTCAAGCCACACACGTGCCACACGTCTCGGAAGTCCGCAATTTGTTGACAAGCACGACACCCGACCTAGCAACGGCGCCCCCTCGTCGCCCTTCACCTCCACCCACCACTTTCCACAGCGCATTCAGAGGCATTCGAGATGCATCGCTCACATCGGCCGTCGACTACGCCTATGGACTTTGAGTACACCAACGGCAGAGGACCAGTCGACCAATCATCGCCGTTCCTCAACTTCCAGCAGAACCAGCAGTCAGCAAAGAAGCGTAAGCACAACAGCGGCGCACCAACATCTCCACACGGGCGCACAGATGATGTATCCAAGTTTGAAAAGCTAACTTCATGGCCGTTGTTCGGCCAGTCAGGCACACATTCTGTCCTCGATTCTCCCTCTAAGAACGTGTTTGCGACACCGAGTCGGCAGCGCGAGCCAGATAACCGGTCCTACTTCTCGCAAGACAGCAGCAAGCCGCTGCCCCTTCCGCCTCACGTGCAGAACGCGTGGGAGCCCCGCACTCCACAGAGCACCTTCGACTTCAGCTCGGGCGGGGAAACACCCAACACCCCAGGCGTGGACAGCGACGCCGCCACACCAGACACGCAATTGGCCGACAAGATGGGACGGTTAGCGAACGGCGAGTCGAACAGCCCGCGGAAACCCGCAAAGCGTGACAGCTGGTTCACGCGCACATTCAAAGGCAGCCCGAGCCCGCTGAAGGAGAAGGACAACAGGTACTACTCGTCTAAAGCCGATAACCGCATACAGAAGCGGCGCACCGAGCGCTCGCGGTCAAAAAAGCGCACACTGCGCGACATGACGGACGACGAGTCGGACAAGGAGCGCCCGAACGCTGGCGCGCTTCCAGCCCCGGAGCAGGGCAAGGACCAGCAGACATACGCCATGAACGTCGCCAGCTTCATGCACTGGGTCGAAGCCCACCCGCACCTGCCTTCTGTGCTGTCCTACTACATGCAGCTCTGCGTCAACTTCTTCCTGGCAAGCGGCTTCGTCTACATCCTCTACTGCGCGTGGAACGGCATCATGGCGGACGTCGACATTGAGTCCACGCGACATTTATCCGGCGTCATGGTGGAAATTGCCGAGTGCTCAAAACACTGGAATGATAACCGCTGCGAAAACGCTGTCCCGGGCATGGTCAAGGCATGCAATGTCTGGGAGACATGCATGAGCCGCGACCCGAAGAAAGTGGCGCGCGCCAGCGTCACAGCGAAGACTTTCGCCATGATCTTCAATAGCTTCGTGGAGGAATTCAGCTATAAATCCATGGTATGTGTTCTCATCCTCGTATATCTTTCCGCCTGGCTCGGTCAACACAAATCCCCCTCCCAGCGCTCGCGCGAAAAGCAGGCCTGGCAAGAAAAAGCCCACCCCACAACCCAACGATTCCAAACGCACTACGAAGTCGAAGAAGTCGTTGGCGACGCTGACCAAATGCTCAAATAGATCTTCACTGCAATCATCATCTTCGGCGGCTTCAACCTCTCGAATTGGGCTTTTGGCCTCTTGCGCCACCAACAACAAAATCCCTCCCAGCAAACACCCAACCCCAACGAGTTCATGCCCCAGACGCCTCATCGCAACGTTTCGAATCCGTATCTTGAGCAGAACCATCAAAATTATCAGCAGAACTGGCAACAGACGCCGTACCAGACGCCATATACGCAGAGTAGATATATGGATCCACCGCCGCTTGTGCACACTCAGAGTGCGCCGGTGCTACAATTGCCTATGGCGCCACAGGAGGGCGCGGGCATGTTAGATGAGAGGGAAAGAGGGAAGACGCCGAAGAAGAGAGGGATGTTCAGATGATTTCTCGGAATCGTTTTTCCCTTGGATCCAGGACATATTTCTTGTATTGTTACTTGAATACGAGCACCTTTCTCTCTTGGTTTGGATCGAACTTCTTTGCATTCTGAGCGTTTGTATCGAAAAGCGGGAGCGGGCGTATAACGATATGATTGTAATTTCTACGACCTTCTGTCGAAAAAGTCGAGACTTATTCACTTTTACTTGTACTGTGTAAAGTGCGTCCTGCTGACTTTCAATTACATATAGCACCCCGCATTTGTCACCCAGGATCCCATCCCCACGACCACAATTCCTTGCTCACACCAAACGTTGCATCTTTCAATGCTCACTTCCATCGGCTGTATCGTTTATGTTGTAGTGGAGTACAATAATTCATAAGCACTAATTCATGAATAGCGAAAGATGACAAATGGCGCCATAACGTCATCGGCACTACTTTATCGCCGACGGCATTTCAAACAGCAGTCGTAGGAATTTTCCATACCAGCCGAATTTGGCCGACTAACAGCCTGATTAGAAACACTCCAGTATATAAAGTTAATCAGTGATGTAGGCTCAGAATGTACTTCGTTACTCCAAGTTCGCAGCTCACTATCCCTCCGCTATCTCTGCTCTGCGAAAATCTTCGAATTTCATACGAAACCATCAAACACAGCGATCATGTCTGGATCACGCCTTTTCCAGCCCCTGAAGGTGGGCAACATTGAACTGAAGAACCGCGTTGCCATGGCTCCGTTGACTCGGTAGGTGCTGTGATGTACGAAGTCATGTGACATAGAGATTCTAATCATCGCATCAGATTCCGTGCCAACGATGAACACGCTATAATGCCAATGGCCGCAGAATATTACGGTCAACGAGCATGTGTGCCAGGAACCCTGCTCATCACAGAAGCAACCTTCATCGGAGAGCAATACGGTGGCTACCCCAATGTCCCAGGCATCTACAACCAGCAACAGATCGACGCATGGCGAAAAATTACCGACGAAGTGCACAAGAAGGGCAGCTTCATCTACCTCCAACTCTGGGCCCTAGGTCGCGTAGCAAACAAGAAATTCTGCGAAGCCCAAGGCATAACCATCAAAGGCGCCAGCCCCATTCCCCTTGACGACGAACACGCCATCCCCCAAGAAATGACTGAGCAAGACATCAAAACCATCGTCGCAGCCTACGCCCAGGGCGCAAAAAATGCGATTGCCGCCGGCTTTGACGGCGTCGAAATCCACGGCGCAAACGGCTACCTCGTCGACCAATTCCTGCAGGATGTCACCAACCAGCGCACCGACGCGTACGGCGGCAGCGTCGAGAACCGCTCGCGCTTCGCCGTCGAAGTCACGCAGGCCGTTGTCGATGCTGTAGGCAAAGAGAGGACGGGCATCCGCCTCAGCCCCTTCTCCGACTTTCAGGGCATGCGCATGGCAGACCCCATTCCGCAATTCTCCGACATCATCAAGAAGCTGAACACCTTCGGCCTCGCATACCTGCACCTCGTCGAGTCGCGCATTTCCGGCAACGCTGATATCGAGGGCTTTGCGCCCATTGATCCGCTCGTGCCATTGTTCGATGGCCCGTTGTTGATCGCGGGCGGGTTCAAGCCCGAGTCTGCGAAGAAGCTTGTCGACGAGGAGCGCAAGGATCGAGACATTGTTGTTGTGTTTGGCAGGTATTTCATCAGCACGCCGGATCTGGTGTTTAGGCTGCAGAAGGGCATTGAGTTCAATGATTACGATCGTGACACGTTTTATATTCCAAAGAGCGAGAAGGGGTATACTGATCAGCCGTTTAGCAAGGAGTGGAAGGAGGCGCAGGCGAATTTGTAGGGTTGTACAAGGTAATAGACTATAGATGGAGACTTGTTTCTGAGCGGCATAGATATTTCTCCTCAATCCTTACTTGATACCTACTCTTACAAAATTGAGCACACCAAAACGTGTCTACGGCGAGGCTTGGACACAGTTCTTGCAAGTTCTCGGGTTGGTCGTGACTGCTCTGCTCAACTAGCATACACGTGGCGGGCCGATTGTTGGGCCATATCCTTGGACGACAAAGTCTGTCACGCTATTATCGCTTCTGACGTCTCGCGTCTGTCATGGCTACACTGTGGCAAGCGTGCAGGGGCACGTGGTAAGATGCATATATCTTGCAAGATCCAGTACCGCAAGCGAATACCGGTACCAGGGCACCTTGGAATGCTGTGCATCATGGTACTGCGCCGCACGCGGTTATCGATATCGGACGGCTAATCTGTACGACACTGAATGGTTCTGATGCGCATGCATCACTGCCTCGAATTTAGGCTGTCGTTCGGATCATCGCTGCGTGTCGCAGCCCAGATGCATGTTTAGCGACTCAAACTGATCATGTTCAGTCCTTGTTCAATCTTCCAAGGCTAGACTCTCATTCTGTAATTGGTTTCCAGCATATATGAAAAGCAAAGGTCCCGTGAAAACTTCACAAAGTCGATATGAATGCAATAGCACGAGCGAGTTCATCTGGAAATCGTCTTCCGAGGATGTCCGCCCTACGAAAACGGTTGTGCAACGCTACTAGCCACGCGACCATGGACGATTGGCTTTGTCTTGATGGTTTACTTCAGCTGGGCGTCCATTCAGCGAAACATGTGCCAATGATGGGCATCACACCTTATCTTCTGGGCTGAACTCGAGTTCGCGCTGTTTTTGGGCTCGAAGGATAAGTAAGTTACGGCTCCCAGACTGACTCTTTGTGAGCACACAAATTACTTCGTCTTGAAGAGGAGACCACTGCGGAAATTCACATATGGCGACTATGGACAACAAGCAATTGGAAAGCATGGTGGCGGTCGAGAGTAAATCCGATGATCTGGAAAGCACTCTTCATGTCAGTCACTCGCCCAGGCAATGAAAAAAACTTTGCTTAGCACATCACAGCACACGCGGAGCTCAAGCTACGATGCCCTAGGCACGGCGCAAGAAAAGAGACTTGTGAAGAAGCAAGATCTCCGGATTCTGCCATTATCCGCCCTCTGCTACTTCATCCTCAACATCGATCGATCCAACGTCGGCAATGCGAAAACCATGAACGCGGCGACAGGCAACGACTTGCTATCAGAAACTCGCATGAGCGAGATGGGATACACTGTGTCTCTGATGATCTACTTCATTGTCTATGCGTACGAATATCTTGTATTGATCGACTGCGGCACGTAGCTGACCACTCTTTAGACTCGCAGAAGTGCCGTCTAACTACCTTTTGAAGATGTTTGCGCCTTCGACGTGGATTGCGTTCTTGATGTTTGCTTGGGGTGCGATCACCATAGGAATTGCTGGCGTTAACTCTTATGCTACTGTTGCTGTGACCAGATTCTTGTTGGGTCTGTTTGAAGCAGGTGAGTCGATCGTGAAGAGATTGCAGTACTTAGTGCTAACCCTTAAGGCTTGTTTCCTGCCATCATCTATCACATCAGTGAGCCAGCTCTAACGCGAAGCACTAACTCAACGATGCTGACGTCTCGACAGCGTTCTGGTACCGAGCAGACGAGCGCAGTCTCCGAATCGCCTTGATCATCGCCAGCGCAACTCTAGCCAGCGCATTTGGCGGCGCTCTGGCCTTTGGAGTCGGCCACATGAATGGCGCATCAGGCCTAGCAGGATTCCGTTGGCTCTTCATCATCGAAGGTGTACCTACCTGCCTCGTATCCATCCTGATATATTTCTGCCTTCCCGACTACCCCGAGCACGCAAAATGGCTAACCGCAGAAGAGAAGGCTCTGTCCGAAGTCCGCATGGAGGGATCGCAAAGCAGCGTCAAGTTGACCTGGAATGATTTCAAGGAAGTGTGTGTTGAATGGAGACTCTATGTACATTATGCGATGTACTTTGGTATCTGTTGCCCGTTCAGCTCTTTGGCGTTCTTCACGCCTACTATCACTGCGGGTCTGGGTTTCGAGGGACTGCAATCTCAGCTCATGACTGTACCGCCTTATGTCGTCGCGTACGTCGTAATGGTCACTGTCTCGTGGTCGGCAGATCGCTTCAATGCGTAAGTAAAGCAAGTCATTCATTTGAAGGCTGGTGCTGAAATCTCCAGTCGAGCATTGCACTCCGCTGTGCTTGCTACAATTGGTGCTTGTGGCTTCATCGCATCAGCAGCCTTGCCTCCGCAAGCTTACAAGGTCGGTGCAGAAACCTCTATTTCATGGCTTGGCAGACTTGCTAATGCTTTCCAACCCAGTCGCGCTACGCATGTCTCATCATAGCGACCACAGGCGCCTTCTCTTGCATCCCACCCCTCCTTGGCTGGCTCTCTGCCAACCTGCAGAACAGCGCTCACGCCGGGTTTGCAATTGCTCTGAACATAGCCTGGGGAACGCCAGGTCTGATTCTTGGTGTATGGATCTACAAGAAGTCAGAGAAGCAGCGAGGATACCCCACAGGTCACTGGGTGAATGCTGGTCTGCTGATCTTTGTTGCTGTAGCTTGCCTGGGCTTGAGGGTGTATTACCGCGCTCTGAATAAGAGAATTGGGAGGCAAAGTAATATGGCTAAGGCGTTTTGTTACTGAGTGTCGGTCTAGACGGGCTGGTCAATGCAGCGATGCAGTCCAGGTCCAGGCATCTATTTGTTCAAACAACAACAACTACGGCTGGATATCAAAGTGGAACATGTCAGGCGAGAAATTGGCGAGTACATGGGGAACTTCAACAAGAACATCTCTAAAAAAAATGATACTTCGATTAATACGCACGAAATTTACTCCGGCCGGCTTATGGAGCAACCTCTGGAAGTGTGCGATCCACCGCTTCTTGCTCCTCTGACTCGAGGCTTTCAGATACGGATACCCAGTCAATAATACCCTTCCCAACTTCTGGCGGCTCCGCTTCGGCTGCAGGATATTGCTGTTCTTGTGTGACCACATCGGCCATCTGAACTTGATCTGAACAAGCGCTTGACTTGACTGCATGACCGTCCGTCACCAAGAATAGTAGCCTGGCATCTTCTATCACAACACCCTCAGCGCCCAGCTCTTTCACTGCTTGCGGCTTCAGCACCACTACCCCGTCGCATCGATTCAGCATTCTCAAGTACTGCTCTCGGGAAACGAACTCATCGTTCTCCAGGCGATTTTGCAGAAACTCCATGACTTCCATGCGGTGCGGGTAGTGTGACACCAAACCTTGTCGTATCCTCGATTCAGGCTTATCGGCCTCCATGTCTTTGCTCTTTTCAACGATGAAAAGCTTGCACTGTGCGATCGATGAGCGCCATTCGTTCTTTGAAGACGTGTTCAGCCAGCCTAGAGCTGACGGACACGCATGTCTCCCAGGACGGTATAACTTGTGATGGCGTTGGTACTTTTCTCTTTGGCGGCCACCTGCAGTTTTCTTTGTGTCTGCGGCAAAGGCGACGGTTTTGCGTGTCTTTGCCTTTTTGCCAGGCGACGCAACATTCAGTGGGTGCTCATGCGGTGAATGAGATGGCGATGTCTCTGGAGGGCCGTATGCGGAATTTTGTGCTGTCTCCAGTGCCTTTATTACGGACTCTGTTCCTGCGCTGCTTCGACGTGAATGGCGCTCACACCATAATCGCTCCTGTACTAGCATCAACTCGAACATGCTTTCAAGATTGGCCATCGCCAGTCTTGCGTAGCACCATGCTTTCTTAAGTGTCTGATATTGGTCGAGTTTTGAACCATTGCGCTTTGTTGGAGTTGGCCTGGCCGGGCCGCCTTGTTCTTTCCACCGGTCGGCGATCAGGTCCAGATAGCTGGCATAAATCTTCCACACGCACTCCGGACAGTGTTTGTGAAACAACTTGAGCTTGTTGGAGGGATGGCGTGGATGTTGACATGGCCTATGAGCCCCGGGTGGTGTTGGCGACTGCCAGAGAAGGAAGTCATTATACCCATACGGCGTTGGTGCATACGGTGTGGGCGCCTCGGAGGATCTTATATCGAGTTGCACGAGGTATGACTGGTAAAGTTTTGTCTCTGTCTCGGAAAAGATAATATCGGCCGTGAATCTAGGGAATGGAAAAGTGCCCTTCGCCTGTGCAATATTGGCTGCTGTGATCAAGACTCCGTTGGCTGCGGATCCAGATAGATACTGGCGGAAAAGCGAAATGAGGTACATGGTGAAGAGCGAGTTGATGTAGACCAACGGAGCAGGATTGTGCGAGGGCGCAGCAAAGAGGCAGAAGAGGCGCAAACACATGCTTGCGCTTGTGACGACATACTGCGAAAATTCACCGGGTAGGATTTCAGTGTAAATTTATCATTCTCAAACGTACGTCATATCAATTGCGTTTGCTCTTTCACTCCGCTCTGTCACAAACGCTAACTCAATTCGGCGCTATCGCCAAATTTATTCCCTTTGCTGACTCACGATGCTGCGGATTACTGCACAGACATCTTTAGGCGCTTGAAAAGATGGCAACAGGAGTCCGTATCTGTCTCGTCGACAGCAGCTTTGAAACTGCGCGGCTTCCAAATTCCAGTGCACTCGCGTAAAGACGTCCACTGGCCATAGTCCACAACTTCTGACTCGTTAGGATCCTCATCATCTACGTCCGGAAATGAGACGAAGCGAATATCGAGCACTTGACCTGATTGGATCAGCACAACAAGAGCATCCGACTCTTCCACGAGATATACCAACTCAGCTTCAGAGTCGTGGCTTAGGTTTGCTGCTTTAAGCGACCAGTCATTTACATAGTCCACGATGGTATCGGCGCCATGATAACAACCGAGAATGTAATGCTGCAGATCGATATAGTCCGTGGGGTCATTACCCATCTTGCTGAACTCGGATAATGAGTCGGTCATAAACACTTTCATGTTAGTCAAGTCTTGATACTGTGTGTCGTACGTCGTGAAGGAGGTTTCCGCCCATACCTGCCCAGATGGTGCCGCGTGAGCGCCAGGTTCGTAGTCGTCACTACGACGGTTGAAGTCGCGATCAACGGACTCAAAGTTGATAGGCTCTTGGCTGATGCGAACTGCATGTGGTTCGTCGATAACATTCGGATCGGCTCTGCAAGTAATCTCTGGCGCAAAAGAGACTGTCCTGCGCAACTTGCTGGTAGAGTGTTTGCGCTTGACGCCCTTGTGCTGTGAAGGCCCAGGAAGTGTTGCCGCCGGGTACTTCGTCTCCATGAGTGCGAGCTGCGAAGCTTTTAGTGAAGTGTTTGCGCTTTTCGCAGAGGCCGTGTCGAGCGGCCATTGTGATTCCCAGTGCGCTTCGTGCTTGATGCCAACATCAAGACTGCTTACGATCGTTTCAAGCTCCAAGCGGGCCATGTGCCATCCCTCACGTATGTCTCTGTAAGCACGTTTCGTGGGACCGATGCTAATCCGGGGACCGCCAGCGATACTGAAAGAGTGCCGGATAGCATCCAGAAACGACAAACACATGCTGACCTCACAAATTGGGCAGTAGCCTTTGTTGCGAGTATCGGAGGGATGGAGAGTATGACCGCATTTGTTTGCCACGTGTCCCATTTTCTGGATCTGAAATTGGCCATTTCGATGGACGAACTCATAATACTCCAATGCATAGCGAAGATGCCTTGGGTTCGCGGTTGGTGCGCGAGCTCTTTGCCACTGCTGGAATTGGACATACTCGAGACCTGCGGGTGGAAAAAGGTGGCGAGCGTGGATGTATCGTGCAGTTGACATCAGGGAGAGTTTGTAACTGATTCGGTGTCAAAGGTGAAGGCAAAGATGAATTAAGAAGTGAAAAGGCGCTTGCTAGCGTCGTTTGCGAAAAAGAGTGGGCCTGTATGACATGCTTTCATGACGGTACTAATTCTGCGATATGAGAGACCTAGAAGCAAGGCAATCACAGTTTGCTGCCACCCCCATGACAACACGTCTCACAGGCCTCATAGGCGGTTTTTGCCCCTTAACGGGTGCATGAGCTGTTATGCTAGATGTTTCTGGTCAAGTGTTGCCTTTGAAGCGAAAATGCTCGCCGGCGACGGGTATGTTTCGATCCGAATTGGGTTGGGTATCATTTTTTCAGCTTCAGTCCTGCTCAAGTTTCAACTAACTCCACTGAGCCTGTAGTCAGATACTAATCTTCCCAACTGTCCGTGTCGGAGCTGTCGGCTTCAGAGCTATCTACTTCGGAAATACCTGCAGCCGTAACTCCCGGGTCAGGGACATCCGCGTCAATGAAACTGTCCAAATCTTCTGCGTCCCAACTCTTGAAGAATTCCCCTCCTGTTAGCGAGCTATCCTTGTCTACCAACAGCAGCCAGTCTGCACCATCGAGTTTGCTGTCGAAGCCTTCTTCATCCGTTGCATATGCATGTTCAAGAAAGTCCATGATTTCGCCTCTTCGGGGATGGTGCTGAACGACGCCTTCGTTTCGCTGAGGAGCTTCATAGTCGCGAGCTGTCGAATTCACTTCTTCTGCCGAACCTATGTAGACAGTAAGTTGTTCAATGTTGAAGTGGTTGTTTCTCATGAATGAAGTGTCTCGTATCTTGTAGCCTTCTGAGACCGCGAAAACTCCTGGCTCGTAGTTGGGGCCTGAGCGGTAGTACTCATGCGAAGGGCGGCCTGCCGTAGTTTTGGTATCTTCAGCAAATGTCACGCGCTGGGACGTCTTGCGAGTCTTGAATGCGGTGCGTAGTTGTGACGGATTCATGTTATTGGTTGTGAGCATGATGATAGGGAGGGTACGAGATATTTATTCAGATGATGGCGAATCTGAGCGTTCTACGTCTACAATGGGGTGACAGAACGGGGTCGTCTCGCTTTTTCATCATGTCCTTAGAGGCCGCAACGGAAAAATTTACCAAGCTTTGAAGGGTACAGCACTGTGCGGAAACAGATAATATCGCATTCAAATCACAAGCCATGACGCAATCGGCTCAGGACAGCCCTGCGTTTGTCTCCTCGGTTCTCGGCAGGTATTGCGCGCCTCAGATCAAGCAAGAAAGATGTTGCTTCGCGATCCGTGCACGTGTCAGTGATCCATTGGTAAGTCAAGAACTCACCACTACCCTGTCTCTTCAATAATATCAAGCCATCTGCATGGATCACAGATGAGACGAAAGTTTTGGAAGACGAATTTCCTGGGGTAGTAAGACCACATTTGCACACCAAAACAGCTCTTGAGAACACCTGCATCTGGTACGTCCTTCGCTAGAAAGTAATAAAACACTTTGTGTTGGTCGAGTTGAAAGGAAAAGTCGCTTATCAGGCTTGTGTCTTTCCATTCAGACTCGTCAGGGCAGCAGTGTGCACCTGGAATACAGCTGCGATGACATCTGCGATATTCATCTGCTGGTCGAGAAGAGCCAAAGTTTGTTTCTGCGGTGAAAGGTACGGAGCTGGTTTGCTTTGTTAGCGCAGTCATGGTGCACAATAGAACAAGACCATGCAATTGTAAAAAAGTCTGGTGGGAACTTGTGCTGTGGGAAGAAGTGACATCGTGACCATTTTGCTTTCACAGACACAGTGAGTCCACGTGACGTGTGACATCTTGCAGAAACAATGTGCGCTCAGATTCATGGAGGAGCAACCGAGGAATGCCTACAGATGTGCAGAGCGTAGTTCTGGGGGTTGAATTTATCGCCGTGCCTGATTTGGAGTGCAGGCATGATGGACTGCAGGTGAATTTAGCGAGCATTGTATGCGTTTGCTGGATCTGAAATGACGCGCAGAGGTGATTGGTTCCAGCGAGGATGGGTCACTCCAGGCACCGACAAGATCTTTGTCTGCTTTTCACGTGGACGATGTGAGTGAGGTGACAGTCTTGGGAAGCATGCCCATCGTAAGTTTATAGACAGCCTAGATACATACGCTGTTACAAGAGATGGCAATTAATCACATCTTGATCCAATGTCATTGAGAAAAGGCGAACATGAGCCATGCCGGCGTTTGTCGGTCGTGGTAACCTGTTAGCGTGAATCGGCCACGTGCACTTTTCGTCGCTCTTCCACATCCTCGAATCGTCCAGACCCCAACATCTACATCATTGGCATGATCTCGTGCAGATTGTGATATGGATGGCTGAAAGAATCCTTCTACAACCTCCTTCTGTTCGAGTTAGAGATCCGCCCGGAGGCATTCGATGAGGACCTTTTGAACGGTCGCTGTTGCCTGTCGCGCGTCACATCGAGTAACACGATCGGAACGTTGAACGGCAGGCACGGCCTGCCTCTAGTGCGCATACGAGAAGAAATTTTGACATTTAGGGACCAGTGATTCGCTGCGGTAGAAACGATTCGTTCGGTCTTTCTGTGCTGCCTATGGTATGCTCCTACCTACTCACCTCCGTCTCCGTCACAATCCGCATATGTTTGTTATGTTTCGATAACTCTTTGCCAGCCCTATGAGCGACGCAGCGACACAAGTCGCTCCTATGCCACAGTGACTTCAAACAATTACTGACAAGCCCATTCTGCAGGCACGAGCCCTGATCGCCACTCACTGAGACTTTGCCGAGTAAAGGGCTCTGTCCAGAAAACTACACATACCGAGGCCTCTTTACCGAATCAACACCAAGAAGTGCAAGGCGCTGAACTGACCATGAATGAAATATAACGAATCGCCCTTTCTAGACCCATTGATCAACACGCGGCATCTTTCCGTGGTCGCACTCGATGCAAGGATCCTGAAACTTGTAGCTTTTGGGCAGCCTAGGAGACCAGAGAACCCAATCCGGCTGATTCGCTGTCGACACCTAGATATGCTTGAGCTGATTTTCAATGTAAGGTACGATTTGCGTCGTTCTTGGATCGAGGACATTGCCATAGCGTTGCACGGGTGGTTAGGTTGCTGCCCGCTCTGATCGTATATATGTACATGATGCCAGGAAGGCGAACACATGTTGTTGCACGAAATGCATTCACTTGTGCACGGCATTCGCTGGTAAATGAGTGGGATGCGGTCCTTGAAACCCTCGGATCCACTTTAAACTTTCGGTCTTGGCCTGCTGCATCAGGAAGGTAGAAATCTTCACCAAATCTTGGCTTCCACCCTCCGCTTGGTGGCCTGAGGTGCTAGAGCTTGGCGTTACCAACATCTTGTTTCGCTAACAGCATGATTTGCTCCCAACCTAGACATGATCTTCATGACTGGGCTGCCCCTAGTGCAACTAGAACCCGAAGTCATTTCATTCATATGTGCAACCAGGCTCCGACATGATATTTTATGATATGATTGGGGTACGTTCCCGTGCCATTGTGGTCTCGCCGATATCAAAGGGTGTTCTGACCTGGTTTCAAATTTCACATTAACGTCTGTAGCATGAGAACTGATCATACAACTTCCTTTTTCCGATTAGGCTTCTCTGTAGAGACGTTGGGAGGTAGGCATGATCAATTATTCGTGCCGGGGATGAGTATAATGACGACTATAAAAGACTGAAAGTTGCCCGGCTTTGCCAACATCCTCATCCACATCACACCTACCAGCATCATCGTGAGCAGTCTAATCATCAACTCGAGTCGCCATGAAGTTCCAAATTCTATCTGTTGCTGCCCTGGCTTCTCTGGCCAGTGCTGTCTCCGATGCTCTCGACAAGCGCGACTCTCCTCTTGACGTCTCTCTTGAGGTGACCGATAATACCAACGTCAAAGCCACCATCAAGAACACAGGCACCGAGGATCTGAAACTATTCAAAACTGGCACCTTCCTTGACGACTCTCACGTTGAGAAAGTTGAAGTCTTTCGATCCGGAAAGCAGCCTGAACAGGTTGCTTTTGAAGGTCTTCGTCTCCGCGTCAGCACTGCAAATCTCGATGAGTCTGCTTTCAAGATCTTGAAGGCAGGCGAGACCATCGAGGCTGCTTTCGACATCGCTGTTGCTCACGATCTTAGCGTTGGCGGCGACTTCGACTTGCTCACAGAGGGTGCATTTGCCTACGCCAATCTCGACTCCACCTCGATTGCAGGCGCCGTTCCATTCACCAGTAATAAGGTCACTACTGCAGTCGATGGCGCAAAGGCCGGCAAGGTTCGCCGCGATTGGATTGATCTTGCTAAGCGTACGATTGTACAGTCTGATTGCACTGGATCCCGTGGGACCGCCACAAGGACTGCGCTGTCCAACTGCGCTTCACTTGCGCGCACTGCCGCCAATGCTGCAGTCAACAATTCTGCGAAGCTGAACGAGTACTTTAAGAGTACTTCTTCTAGTACTGCTTCAAGTGTGCAGACGGTCTACAACCGCATCGCCACACAGTGTGGATCCACCACTTCTGGTGACTCCACTCAATACTGTTCCGACATTCTCGGTGCTTGCGCCGGTGGTGTATTGGCATACACTTCCCCTTCAACTTCTCAGATGGTTAATTGCCCTCTCTTCTTCAACCAGTCTCCTCTGAGCAGCCAGTGCCACGCTCAAGACCAAGTATGTACCCCATCACTTTTTGTAACAGACTGTATACTGAGTTATGTCACCTATAGGCTACTACCATCCTCCACGAGATGACCCACCTTCGCCAGGTAAAGGGAACCAGCGACTACGGCGGTTACGGATATCAATTTGTTCGCAGCCTCTCTGCGGCTCAGAACTTGAACCACGCTGACACCTACACTCTGTTTGCTCAGGGTATGTTGCCACGATGTCAACTCATGGTTCTAGCTAACATATCGTAGCTCTCTACGCTCAGTGTTAGAAGTTGTGTGTAGTGAATTGATTGGGGTCCGACACAACAGGTGGATGGTCACTCACTTTAGACTAAGTTGGGGTACGTTTGACTACATAGACATCTTCGGCTGTACATATTCTAAAGGCAGTTTTATTTTCTTTCACCATGACATGTTCCGACAGGATATCAAGGCTTCTGATATGTCCATCCATTCCTGAACTGGATCGACTCCTGCCTCCCACTTTTTCCCTTCCCATTCCTCGACACTTTCTAGGCTGCTACATCCATCCCAGTCAGCAAGCTCGTATAGTACAGGAAAGTCAGGCTCGTGTTTCACACGAGGACCGCTAGCACTGTCTAGCATGACATGACGTCTTTGCCGATAGCTTCGATGTATGTCTATCGGATTAAGAATAACAGCGATGAAGTGTCGCTCCTACGTGGCCCACTTTGGGTAAAATTTTGGCAAGTCGAACGTAGTGCCTAAACGAATGACACTCTAAAAAACATGATGTCCCACCTCTTCCTTACATCTACTGGCACACTTGGAGAAGCACCACGATAATTTTAAATCTGTTCAACTCATCCTGGCAACTTCTCGCAGCTTCTTCACAACGCCAATGGGTGCCCCATGATGATCGAAGTCGAGTCATGTAAGTAAGGTCTGTTACCCGAGGGTACATGAACACGTCTTCATCGCTTGTTCGCCGATTGTAGCAATCAGGATCATCATCACCTTCTTGTTACACACACGACGTCATGGACGTTCTTTTGTTGCGGCACCGAAGATGGACTCGACTGGGGAGAAAGTGCGCGTAGATTGCTTGGCGGATCTCGGTGGGTACGTTAGGAAGTGTACTCTCTTGCTGAGGTTCTCTCCTTGAAAGTATCCTGCTTCGTGTCCTCACCATATTAAAGCTCCCGGCGTATAGTTATTTGAAGCTCTCACTAAATAGCGGAGAGCTTCCCAAGTAGAGAGAAGAGGAGAAGTGTGATGTGGTGATATGGTGGGGTCACACCAGTTTGACTGAGCTTGCTGTGCCGCAGCACTGCCACAGTAATTTGACAAATTGAGGCCGCGCTAATGCTAGAACCTGAGAATACCTCAGAAACGTAGGTGGATTTTGGGAGTAGCTCATGGCCCCTTGAAGCTATTTCAAGCAGTGGTCACCTTGCACCTCCGTACCTGGGAAAGCACTGTGTGCATATGCGTATTATTTAAAGGAATATTATACACTGACATAGGTGGATTCATGCTGCAGATTTTCGGACTTGATGAAAAGTGAAATGCATCCAACACGCAGCATTATGAGGTTTCAATTACAGCTGCGAGGCTTTTTGAAAAGCTCCGAGCACCTGGGTCACTTTTCATCGTAAGCCACGAATGTTGGTACGCTGGGGATTTTGGTGACCGTGAAAAGGTGAAATATTTGAGCGTAGCTTCGCTTGTTGCGTGAATTCCTTAGTAAAGAAGTTCGCTGAGTGGCGTCACATCCAATTCAGCATGGCTTCTTAATCCAAACCTGTGTAAAACGTGCTGACAAGTTTTGCAAGTTGCAATTGTGAGATGATATGCTTTCACATGGCCAGAGTGTGTGAGGTCTTGACAACGGTGTTACATTCATCATTGTGAATTCAAGGCGTCATTCCCCGCAAGGCAGCGTGAATCCATATTCAGTGAGTGGACCTCATGATATAAAGCACCAAGGAAGTCCTGACTAAGACTCATTTCTCTATCAGTCTTCACAACCCCTACACCAACTACCCCTGTTAAGCAACCTCAAACATCACTCAAGGCTTCTTCGTAGCTCTCGTACTCGACCTCCAACACTCATCTGATCCAGCTTCAACGGTACAGACAGATAAATCATGCCTTCCACTCGTACTATCAACGCGTTGTACGCTCCCTACCACACTGTAGAAGCAATCCGTCGTGCTGAGTTCGCAGACTTCATCCCTGTCCCTAGTAGTAACACCAACATCAACGCCGTTCATCCAATCTCGAATGACTTGGCTGCGTGAGGAGCTGATCCCGCGAGAGCGGCAGGATGTCCGTAGCCACGTCGTCGCCATCACCCGCAACAACGCCCGGTTCTCCGAGCGTTTCGTTGCTGCTGTTACAATCACCTTGGCGAATATTGACAGCCTGAGCGCCCAAAACCCTACTCGTCCCAACACTGGTTCGACGAACAACTATCATTCTCCTCGTCACGTGCGTCTCTTTGTCGTGGAGGAAGTCATTGGTTCAGGCACTTTATCGCCGCGTGCAGGTGGGGTTTGCGGAGTAACTCGCACAATGTCAGCTGAGATTCCGGGTCGACTTCAGTCAGATGGTCGTTCGTATGTGCCTCGGCGCCTCACTGTTAACTCCATCGCAAACAGTGCGCGTGATCGAGAGCTTTCGGAGCGATTCGAGCACGAAGCTCGAATGGCTCGACGTGTTCAGCGACAGATTAGGCTTCGTCGAGATGCTTCTTCCCTTCGTCTGATTCCTTTGTTCCGAGCGCTACCAGTGCAGCCTGAGTCTGGTGACTGCGTGCTTCAGGGCAACAACGAGGTGCTTCGTTTTGGTCCTCATGGGCATTGGCATCGCTATCTTCAGCCATATGACCCGCATCATGGCGGCGGCGGCGTTTACCTTGTCGAGGGTGCATAGATGATCGAGTGTTGAGGGAGATAGTGTTGCATGCAGATAGTCTTACAGGTTGAGGGGGCTTTTCGAAACAGCTGACGAGACAGACCGATATCCTTGAGTAGAGTTGCTAGTGGTGAAAATTGGTGAGGTGTTAGACCTCCTAATCAGCAGCCGCACAAATACAGTTCCGATTGCTCCATTTCCCATTATACCCGATGTCACCATAATAAACCATGAGCGATTTGTACGCAACTGTTGGTGGTAATTTAGTGAAAATAAAAGCACTGTGTTTCTAGATAGATGATACATTGATGAAGGGTGACGAAGATCATACCCCGTGCAGGGACAATTAGATTCGAATGTTGAGAAAGTAATAGTGGTGCGCTGCGGTATTTACCTTGAAAAGGATACACCATTACCTAGCTATCAGAGAAGAAAACACTACATAATGCCGCTGAAATAATTCCTAGACAATAATTACACAGACGAAAAGTCGAATCAAAGAGAGGATGAGGCTATCTAGGTAGCTATCTGCGACCTAATGTCCCCGTTACAAGGAGCATCAAGCTCGGTGACCGTTTGTTGTTGCTGAACAAATCTTTTCTGGTCTCCTAAGGAATAAACTTTGAGACGATTGAGCACTGAAGCAGCGTCAAGCGTGTGAGAAGGAGGGTAATTCTACAGAAGAAGAAGTCGTCGCGCCAGAAGTTGACGAAGGGGAAGCGGCGCCTCTTGACACTTTCTGAACATCGAACGGAAGAGGGTGATCCTATGTTATCAGAGACAGGGTGAGCAACTATGGCGGGCAGGCTTGCGTAGGTCAGAATCACTCCTGGAGTCCTGAGGCCGTAGCAACAACTGGAAGGTTCTGTGCAGCTATTAGGACTTCCCGATAAGACAGCACCAAAACCGACCAAAACAACTTTGACCCAGCAACGGCGAGTACGTTTATTGTGCTTGAGACAATTGATAAAGGCGGCCAACAGCATGTGCACTCAAGATATCGTATCGACGAATCAAAACTTTATGCAGTCGCCGGTTGACCGGAGTTCTTGGCACTGACTGGGATAGTACGTATAGACATAAGACGCAAATTCCGCTTTTCCTCGTCACTCACTTCTGATTTAATGAAGTCGTACTAGCCTCTTACTGCGTGCGATGTATTACCAAGTCGTGGAAAGATATAGGGCATGTCGCTGTTTGTATCACCAGCACTCAATCGATCCGTGCTCAGCATATGGGCAAAGAGGGCACAGCGTGCAAGAAAAGACGGCCCTGGTGGGGTTCTCGTACAGCTCACACGACGGCCTACATGATTATCAAAGGCAGAAGATTCAAGCGAAAATCCCGACCTTGATTACTGATAACGACTCCTCTGATGACTCGGACAATGTATCTAGCGTTTTCTCCAACGAGGTCGCGGTCAGCCGAGCAACATCGTTCATCTCTGCCAAGGAGGATACTATTCAGGATATACTCCAATTCCTAATAGAAGACCCGTTGTTACGATGGGAGAACTTGATCGGTCAGCACAAGAACAATCACACCCGATCTGAGATGAAGGACGTCCAGTTTTTCCTGAGAGCATTTGAGATGGATATACGCACGAACGCCGACGATACTGTGGAGTACCATGCCTGCGCCTTCTTTAGAAGTCGCATACGCTATCTCTCATCGCATATTTGCGAGAAATTCAATCTAACAGACCGTGCAAGTGAAGAAGCACGATGCAAAACCACAGACAACCTGCAGACTGTGAGCGCGGATGAACCAGATCCCAGGTGGATGCCTCCTTTCGACAGGATAAGGAATTTCATGTTTCTCGGTGCATCATTTCAGGCATTTCTTACATGACCCGACGGTTTCCATCGTTGCGTATGGGAAAGCAGAAAACCACAGTGCGACTTTAGGCCCTCGCAGAAATCGGGCTAAATTTGGCTGACAGGCAGATATTCTCGGACATGCGTGAGGACTCAGCCCCAAAGCCCGCCGCAGGTGTGGTGCAGTCGCATAGGTTGTGAGCTGAAAGACAACGTCAAGAACTTCACGAAGAATGCCCGAGACCCTCGAGGAGAAATGCTCAATATCTTGAAAAAGCATTTACATCCACCCAAATGGGTCACTACCGACGAGAACGCTGAAAACGTAATACAGTCTCTGTCGGAAGTATTCCTTCACGCGCTTGCTAAGGAAGCCGCTAGTGATAAATTGTCCGCTTCTGAGGGTGCTGATATTGAAACTCTCCAACGCAACGTCAATGTGCTTGCTGTCCAAGTTCAGGATTTTTGGACACAAGACGTACCGCTATGGCGCTTCTACCCTCTAATGGTCAGCAAGAGTAGGATTGGGAAATCCTTTGGCACAATGAATAGTCTGGCCGTCGACCCGAAGTACGAAATGTTCGAAAATTTTACGACTTCAAGCAACGCGTTTCTAAGCTTGACTACAGCAGTTGCTGTCCCAGATACAAAGCTTTCGAGGGCACTAATATTGGAATCAAGATATCTGCTTAACCTGTGGATGACCAGCCCGCCTGAAAAAGAGCGAGTAGACACTGGAAGGCTGTCGTATCAGTGTGTAAGTTTCAGAGTCCTCAATTCTTATGTATCGACTGAAGGCAAGCAGACCTGCGAAAAGGCCATCGCCGATGACTACACCGAGCTATATACCGGTGGTTTGACGATGAAAGTCAGGCAGCTAAGACAGCTTGCGGTGCAACAGAACTATCAGCACGCAGCATCAAAGCAAAATGCAAAACAAAACAAAGCAGGCTCGTTCCTCAGAAACATTTTTGTGTCTTTCAGCGCTGGATCAATGAAATCCACAGCACATTTACCACAGCATCATGTTCCGAGTTCACAAACGGAATTCTATCGAAAGAATGTCTGCGAATCTAGGACGAATCCTAGTTCGCACATCCATAATTTCATACATTGGTGCATACCTAGTGCGCGCTACGCAACACGGATGCATCCTCTGCAGTCCTGCAAGATTGTCACTGATGTGGAATTCTTCAGGGCTCTGCGAAAGCGCTATATTGAGTCTGGAAACTGCTACCAGTTCTTCTCGTTCAAAAGACCTGCTGCTTTGCGATTTGTTGAGGTGAGAATGCTCATGGTCCCCTTGAGGACCATACATACCACAAAGCTGACTAGTACGCTTCTAAAGTTCCGCCTATACCACCAGCAACTCGTTGATATACAGCGGACAGGCGACATTCCTCCTGAGTCACGAAAGGACGAGTACGAATACTTGCCCATGCCAGCTGAAATTATTCCTCCAATTGGCCCCAACTTGCTGATGCACTTTTTTATGAACCCCGAAGAAGCTGTATCGCACTCCGTCTTGCTTCAAAACATCCCGAAGCGCAAGAATGACAAACTTGAGCCCTGCCCCACGGCTGGTAGTAGCACTGGCTGGGGCATTGACATTGTCACCTGTGTAGATGAGTTCAAGCTGTTCGGAGTCGCATGCTCAGGCACACTGGCGAGCGTAGTGTTTGGAATAGCTTGGGCTATATTCATGCATGATTTGTAGGGAGGATTTGCCGTCGCTGTATTCATGCTTGCTCTTTTCGGCTTCGCAATCGCGAGTGTTAAGGCGCTGGACTTTTGAAAAACGAGGGAAAGGAAAGTAAACAGAAAGCAAAGCGAGGGATTGGAACGGTCGAACTATAACCATATCTTAGAATATATCTTCACCTGATCTCAGTTCGACCGCTGGAGTACTCTTGAAAATCTGGTATTGATGAAGTAGCTGCTAGCTTACTCGATGCCGAACTATCAGTCGGTATAGGAGCATATATAGGTAAAGGTAATAGTCAAGTTCGCATGAAAAGCCTTTTTTATACTTTTCAGCCCCGTCACAAACACAGCACTGTTGCTGCTTGTGATCTTAACGCTACCTGCGTCTACGCTCCTCCTAGCACACATGATACTAATCCCACTGCATCCATCATGACCGCTATCCGTCGACCAGCCAGCGATTGTGATGTCTGCCAACGCGTTAGTGTCATTATAGGAGCCGAGTCACCGATGTTGTCAAGGTAGCCTTGTGCGAATGAGAACTGTTCGGACGTCAGTCGACGTCTTCACGAAACTGCCATGTTTAGTGTCACATTCTGGCCCGGCTGCGCCTGCACTTTCTTGAGCGTGTACCAATCGTACCAGCGTGTATCTGGCACACCTGGAAACACTCCCTGTGAGGTACGTAGGAGCGGAGCCAGGACTGGCATAATCAAAATGGAAGGTCCGAGCATGAACTGGTTATCGACACTCTTGAGCGACTCGTCGTCAGGGAAATTCCATGACAATGCCCGCAACACGGTTTCTCCACGCTTATGTGCTGCATAGAAAAGTGTGTACTGGCACGGCAAAAGGCGAAAGCGCACGTCCATCGCGCGTCGAGTGGCTTCGGCGGTGGTTGCCCACCTGAAGGCCTCTTGTGCAATGGTGTTGCGTGAATTGTGGTTGCGATACAGAGGAAAGAAAGCGCTAAGTTGCATCCATCGAGTGCAGAGCTCCATATCCACATTCCCGTTCAAGTCGCACATCTCAACACCGAAGTAAGGGATGCCAGCTACACTGAAGGTCAACGCTTGTGGAATGGTCATGTACACGTTGCCCCAGCGCGAGTTTGTGTCGCCGCCCCAGTGGCCTGTTATGGCACCTGAACCGGGTGATGTTGATCGCGCAATCCAGAAAGGCCGCTTTCCCAGGAACACAGACAAAAAGGGCGGCATATGTTGCTTTCCCAGAGACGTAGCCGTACGTGTTGTGCAACTCGTACTCCGTTGTGTTGTACCCGTCATTGTGCGTGGCATATGGAGCGACAGCCTGGCGCAGGAGAGAGTGCCCTTCGAGTGTCAGGTTCAGGGCATATGGTGGAAATGTAACGTTCCGGACCCCAGAAGTGGCCGAAGTAAACCCCACAGTCGCTGTGCCTACAGTCGTAGTAGGCAGAGGGTAAGCAGACGCTTGCGACACGCTCGCGGGCTCGCAGACGCTGCTTCGGTCGCGTTCATTTGACAGAAAGCTTCAGGATAGTCGTAATTGATCTGGCCAGGCTCTCCGGGCAGCTTGAAAGGCACATGGGTTGGATTGCTTGAGAGTCTTCCCGTCCCGCAAGAAACAGTGCACCAGGATGACATATCAGATATGTCGAGCCACCAACCATCAAAGGGAAGCTGGTCGTGGTAAAGCTTCATCTCGTTCGTCCAGAAGTCCTGGGTCGCATTGTGCAGAAAGTCTGGCCATACGCTGAACCCTGGCCACTGAATGCCGATGTAGTCATCAGCGTACCCTTCCCCACGTTTAATATAGAGATCAAGGGCTTTGCCGCGGTCGTATGTGGGGTTGGAATCAGTAACGTTACCTGGTGCGGGTACATAAACGCTAGGGTCTAAGATGGGCATCCAGTACTGCCCATTTGCATGCAATCTTGCGATGAATTCTATGGCCTCGCCGATAGGATATGTGTTATTATCGTGGGAGAAGATCCGATATTGGAACAAGTAATCCAAATCGTTCCAGATAGCCTCGAGCTGGATGTTTGCAGCTGCGTAGCCGTCGATGATATCCTGTAAAACTGTCCAGTTCTGATGGCCCCACCGAACTTGATGAAACCCAAGTGCCCAGTAAGGCTGCATAACAGGTGTGCCAATGACTCCAAGCTGCTGCTGTGCCAAAGCCTCTGTGGGCGAAGGGCCACTGAAGAAGTAGAAGTCGAAGCTCCCACCGATCGTGCGATAGATGACGCGATCAGGGCGCAGAAGCCACTCTTGGCCATGAAGGTTGCGACCATACACGACGTGAGATTTGGAAGAGCCATTACCGTAATGGGTTTCCAGAAACACGGGGTGCGTGGAATGCATGTTAGCATCGATCGGTTGATCGTTCATATCGTTGTACTGATTCCAGAAAGTTTGAGTGTACTGATTCGGAAGGCGAAAGCTGCCGCGTATCGCCTCTGGCAGTCCGTAGATATTGTACTCCGGCACCATGTTCGTGACTAGCTCGAGGAATTGGTCTTCGAAAACGATCTTCTGGCCGTAGGTATCAAAGATTGCCTCGCCGGTCTGTGCGCGTGTGACCTTGAATTGGAAAGTAGGATCATTAGTCCACTCGAACGTCAAGTCACTGTTGTTCACAGTACATCCAGGAGAGATACTGCCACTGGGACTAAGGGACTCGTCCAAGATGTACAAGAACCTGTTAGACTGGGCAATGTATTTGGGGTAGATTTTGATGTTGACCTGAGCGACATTCTGATACTGTACTTCAAGGACGAGGTCCGAAATTTCATTGCCATACACGTTGCATGCAGTGCCGCCAAGGGACAGATCTGCAGCGATAGTATTGTCGGAAGTGACAACGTTGACAGCTTTGTAGCCGGGAAAAAGCTCCTGCGCATCTGGCGCATTTGGGTTCGCGACATTGGGCGTGACGCTGGGTGCAAGGTTGAGCGTGGATGCCAACGTCGATGTTGGAGGCTATGTATTTGGACCAGGCGGCTGATCGAGTGTCGTCTGGCCTTTGATCATAAGTTTCTTCGCCAAGGGTATATCGAATGGATGTGTTTACCTGCGGCCACGGCGAACAATGCCAAAACGGAACACCTCCACATCGTGAGCGGTAGCGAGTCAGATGGGAGAAGACAGCAAGCAGTTGAAGTCTGTAGAGGGTCGTGGCTTTGTCCCCAAATGATTGCAGCTCGTGATTCTTGGGAAGTTGCCGGCGATGTTGATTAAAAACTTTAATTTGGGCACCATTTTTTTGGGTTCATTTGATGCAGCTGCCCGCCTGGCTCTGGTGTCCTTTTAGGATGCAAATTGGAATTAGCATTATGATCTGCCTATTTGCAACGAGATCAGCTTTTTTGAAAGCTGCTGTCGGATATCTCTCCGGCTCGATATGTGGCCGCGGGTAAGGCTACCTAGCTAGTATATAGGCTATCCCCGCATATTGTGTTAACTTCCGGCGCCTCAGTAAGGTACTAAAGTCAGTCCAGATCGGCATTAGAGTAGTAAGCTGCATGAGTGACAACACCAGAGTGACGTCAAAGGATCTTCTGACAACTTATGTGGCTATCGTCGACGGCACCACATCTGGAAAGGTCAAGCAAAGCTTGTACGGAGTAGTCATGCTCGGCTATATCGCCCATGCTGTATCCCAGGTCTGAAAATATACTATGACATCAATTACAAAGGTTGTATCACCTTTTCTGAATTATAATTCTTGTACACTCTAGTCGATTGATCGTACAGAAATCAATGCGCAGAAGCTTTTAAGATTCGTGATTAAAGTAGTGTTTGACCACGGGGTTATCAATACCTCACAACGGCTGCATTCCAACGCTTTTCAATATATGTGAGGAGTGAGATGTCCCAGATCTTATAACTACAACAACTGCAAGTTTAGAACGGTTCGCTATGTCATCATTAGCACCGGTATCTCACGTCTTCTCGCGTACTAGATCCAGATACAGCGAAGCACAGCAAGGGATGTCTCGTCTCACCATCGGCGCAATTGCAAGAAATAATGTTACCTACAACGACAGGTGCTTCGATAATTTGTGCGCTCTATCCAAATTAAGCCTACTCTCCGAGCGCATCCATGATCTAATGTAGGAGCTCGGATAGATCTAATAGCTTACCAGTACGCCACGAATTACTGAGGCAATCTTGAAGTTACACAGCTTGAATCAATTGCACCTATATACTGCTTATAATTGGTGTGTTGGCCTTTTCGCACGTCTTCTTACAGCTATGCCCAGGCGCAGAGTTGTTCAGAGACAGCGAACTATGGCTATCGGCAGCCAAAAACACGATAAAAAGATAGATTTACTCTTTTCTCCGTTATGATTGCATTTGATATCTACCAGGAACATTCGAGGGAGTGAAATTTTGCACAAAATGACTCGGTTCCAATCCGGCAACATAATTCGATAGAAGTTGTTAGGTAAGCAATGTTGTAAAATCGATGATTGATTGAGAGAAAAGATGCGTGCCGACTATGTAGAAAGAATTAGGCCGAGCTTAGAAAGACAGAGGGCTAGCTAAAGAAGGCCCCGTGCCGTGGAAGAGTGAAAATGCAGGGAGACTGGCTTGTCTGGCTGGCAGAAAATAATACAAGGGTAAACCCCAGACGTGACTGCTTAGCCGTCCAAAGCAAATCGCAGGGTATTGGATGGACCCTATCGATCTCGACTGCTCTAGTCTTTGCATTTCTGGAAAAATGCCGTGCCCTGAAAGTTCTTTCCAACCTTGGAGTGGGTCATGACGCCACAGATCTTGGGACGGTTACTGTTACCCTTGTCTTCGAAGTAGACGACGCGCAGCGGGGTCTTTTCCTGAGTCTTGGAGAGTTCGTCTTTCTTCCACTCCATATTTGCCGTGTCCCAGAAGATCGGATCTATGATAAGTTTAACTTGCATTGCTCTCTGAGGACGAGAAATGACTTACACTCGTAGAGCTGATTCTTCTTCTCACCCTTCTTATCACAGCCCTTCACACCCCACTTGATGCCATCTCCGTTGCCGTATTGGTGAGGATCACCAGAGGTGCCGGCCGTAAACATGGCCACCTTCACCTGTTCCTTGGCACGCTTTTCGCTGACAGTGAAAGACTTGACATCTGATTCGTTGTTTTCTGGCTTGCAGGTGTACTTATTGGCGCGGGCCACTAGGTCATTGCTGCTCTCATCAACCGGTAGAGCGAAGATGGGGGCGGCAACAAGAGCCAAAGGAAAGATAGTCTTGGTGAAGTACATTGTGATAGATGTTTCGGAAGGCAGGAAATGTGAGGTTGGAGATTAGACGGTGAGGTGGAGAAAAGGTTTTAGTTTACTTTGGATAGATTGTTTCTCGATTGACGGAGACTGGCCTTCTTATACATGTGTCTTTCCTCGTCCAAAACATGGCCCCCTTGATTCTGCGCCAGAGACGTCATGAAGGAAGAATGATGCAGCTTCGTTCTCCGGCGTGTGTCTCGGGATACTATACAGAATCATGTTGGGGATTTTGGAGTCCGCAGATGGCTGACTGGAGATCTTGAGAAGTGGGGAAAGGGGCAGCTCACTGTGTGGGAACCAAATTTGGTGGCCCCATGGACTAGTGAGAAACAGCCCCGGTGAGTTCACCTAGTACGTGTTTGCCTTGTGGAACTTTGCAGGGCTTTGTGCCCGTGGGGACTAATAATGATCCGTTTCTGTTTACGAGTGTGGCTATGCACAGTTTCAGACTTTACCTGTGAGGCTGACATGCTTACCCCATGACGTCATACAGATCCTGTGTTCGGGAACAAAATTACCCTGGAACCCTCCGAGTTGATAGAATTTCTTCTATTGCTAGACCTTCCAAGTTTCCCTCTGAATACTCTGAATAGATGTCAAGAAATATGGCTAGCACAACAGCAACTCGATTACCTCTGGACGTCTCCTTCTACCAAAATAACATCGACGCAGACACAATCTTCTGCAAGACACTCCTAGAAGCACTAGCAGACGGAACCAAAGATGCTGCCGAAGCTGCTCATGACCTTGATGCCTGGGTAACAGGCGAGTCCACGCGCCAACTAGAGGAACTTCGCAGTCGACCTGGCGTCATCGAAAAGACAGCATACGGAACAGTGAGCCGCTCAAACACACCCAACGCCAGTGGCTATGTGGAACACTTCTTCAAGGGTTTCCCGAGCCTTGGAACTATCTTTGCGCCGCACGAGGCGGGCCAGACGCGTTTGATTGCCTTCCTTGAGGCATTGATGGCGATGCCTTTACATCAAGCTCCGGAAACATTCACCAATACCACTAATTTGGAAGAAGTTGAGAGTATCTCGCTCTGGCCGCGCGGCGTTATTGACCCAGACACGTTTCGTGTGCATGCTGCCAGTAAGTCGGCTTCCTGGCCATCAACTATGTTTTGCCGCGTCCCTCTGACTTTGTTCATGCAGAGATCGACTGCGTGGGCTCTGGCCTCGAGGTTTTGGGCAGTGAAGCTTTTCTACGTTGGCGAAACTACCAATCGGCCCTGGCACGAATTACCATGACTGGTTTCAGCGATTGTTCGTTCCTCTGTGGTCTACGCGGCATCCTACCAAAAGGGAAGAAGTACAGCCTTCCGACCCCAAAGGTACAGGAAGGAATACGGCCGGCTGACATGGGATTCCGAATCCAGGCTGCAGTGCAATGGCTTCTGGAGCCGGACGAGGCGTGCTGGGTTTATGTACAGTGCAGCAAGAAGGAGAAGACGGACAAGGACAACCCACGGGATACGTGGAGTAAGGAGAATTGGGGGATTTGGAAGGCGCAACTTGCATTCTATCGAGATAACGACCTTGTCGAGCCGTCAGCTAGGGATGCGGCGAGACAGGCTCTCGAGCGGATGATAGAAGTGGAGGCGTGATGCATGTACTTTACTTGGCATAATACTTGGGTAGTATTCGACTAAGAAGGGATGAATGATCTGGTCGCCCGGACTCACATTACCTGCATGTAATTCTAGCGAGTCCCCGCTTTTGTCATGATTAGTCATTGACTTGATGTGGACGTCTTCAGGCAGAACCATCAGGGTTACCATAGGTGCTCTTGGATATGTACCTAATAAGTGCTCACAGGTTTCGGACACAGCGCGTGAAATTCTCTGCAGCACCTGGTGTGCGATCTAAGTGACGCGCTTTGGTATTCCGATGCTGCGTCTCCATTTGTGACGGTGCTCTTCTAGCTGCCTGTAAGTCAGTAGTAGCGCAGCCTCGCATAGCAATTCGAGTGGGGTAAGACGGCACCATGGGTAAAGGTAGCCAGGTCCGCTCCAGCCGCACTTGACTAACGGCATTGGGCATAACTCGGCGTATGAGACCAATTTAAGTGCTTTGTCACTCCACAACCAGATGGCCCGCGATTATGTGACGCCTAGGAATAATGCAGGTGTTCCTCTAACGCCCAAAGACGTGCGGACGCGTAGGCGGATGAGATTCGTAGAAGAATGGAGCACTTTATAAGTTAAATCCCCCCTGCTCTTTTCTATAGATCTGGATCACTCGCGGAGCCGACATGTCTTTGTCTTCTCAGCTCGTAGCTCTTCTCACGCCGCTCAACATCGTCCTTCTTCTTCTTTCCTACTTTCCCGTCACCTTCCTCTACCAAATCATCCACTATCGTTTCTTCCACCCCCTCCGTCACTTCCCCGGTCCATTCTGGGCCAGTGTTACGCGCCTCTGGATTGCTTACCACAATGTACAGCGCGACGAATGCGAAATCGAGCTTGCATTGCACAAAAAACATGGCCCAGTCTTGCGCATCACACCCACCCTCCTACTCGTCTCGGACGCGACAAAGTTGCCAGAGGTCTACACTCGTCAGGCGAACAAGAGCGATCACTACGTTACCGGCAGCTTTGGCGAGCAGGAAAGTTTGTTCAACATGAAGGAGCACAAGATCCACGCACACTACAGGAAGATCGCGGCCGGACCGTACGCATTCAGCAACGTCAAGAAAATGGAGCCACTGATCGACCATCGCATTAGCGAATGGCTAGCCAAACTCACCTCGCGCTTCGCAGAAACGGGTGAAGAGTTCGACTTTGCGCCTTGGGCAGTCTACATGGCGTACGATATCATCTCTGAAGTCGGATTCGGTGCGCCATTTGGCTTCGTTGAAAGTGGGAGCGATGTTGGTGGGCTCATTCAAGGCTTTCACGATGGTCTAGTTCCGTTTGGCCTCATGGCGCGACTCTGGCCGTTTACCAACTTCATCAAGAAGACGCCTTTGGACAAATATCTGATAGCGAAGCCGGAAGACGACTCCGGTATTGGAATGTTGATGCGCTTTCGCGACAAGCTGATGCATCAGCGCCTGCGCGACATCGAGGAGGGCAAGGTAAATCGAGTAGACCTTTTGCAAACGTTCATGGATGCTCGAGATGATCATGGCAAGTCACTCGAGATCCCGTATATCAAGGCCGAGATCCTATTGGTCTTGCTCGCGGGAGCAGATACAACAGGTACGGCTTTCCAGGCCATGATGGCATACATCATGGGCAAGCCAGAGGTCTATGATAAGATGATGGCCGAGATAGATGAGCAGACACGCAGCGGTAATCTCAGCGAGATACCAAAGTACGGCGAGGTGCTTCAACACTGCCCGTACTATGTGGCGTGCGTGAAGGAGAGTATGCGGTACGTCTCATCAATACCATTTGTTTTTCATCTCTGATGTGATCTAGTCTCTGCCCATCCGCGCCCACCATTTGCCCTCGTGTGGTTGGACCTGCGGGTATTACTTTGAACGGAAAATTTGTGCCAGCTGGCACGGAGATCACATGCAATCCATGGCTCGTGCACCGCGACACAGCCATTTATGGTGCTGACGCGTGTGAATTCCGTCCCGAGCGATGGCTTGAGGACGAGGAGCAGACAAAGCTGTACAATAAATACAGCATGACGTTTGGATACGGTGCGAGGGTCTGCCTGGGCAAAGACATCGCGCTCATGGAGTTGTACAAAGCGCCGCTTCAGTTCTTTCGCACGTTCACGCCCGTCGTAGATAAAAGTCGGCCAGGGAAATTCGTTGTCAAGGGCGGAGTGGGCTTTTGGGAAGATCAATGGTTGAAGTTGGAGAAACGAAGTGTGAAGAGGTGAGACTGGACTTCGCGTGGGTTGTTTGATGGTTCTTGCAAATTGGATATGTAAAGCTTTAGCTTTCAAACGACTCAGATGCCTGCGGGAAAGCTCTGCAAGTACAACAACTTGCTGTATCTTTCGCAGACCATGCCAAAAAGCATATCCACGCAATACCACGGCTCATGCTACTCTTCGGGCCACCCAGTGACCACTGCCCTCTTCACAGATACCACTGTCTCGTCTGTGCCAGCACCAGGTATCCCTTCATTGGTTAAAGTCGGCTCACCAAGCAACAACGCCTTTCCTACCAGTCTCCACTTGCTACCTTTTGTCTCTCCTTTTCCGGGTCGTAAAATCCACACCCTAAACGTTGCGCACGAAGCCCCAAGAAGATCAATCGGAACAGCGAGCTCGAGCTCGTTCATCGGACCTTTATCAGTGTACTGCTTGGGGTGCAATCCATTCACGAATGCTTGCGCAGACCCAGGCGTGGTGGATTGCAGGCGATGCGTGAAAGCGCCAATGTAATAAATGGATCTTGGATCCGCAAGCCAAGTCAAGAACAAATGGGCGTCTTCGAGAGTGAATATTGATGAAGGCGGGATACAAAGTAGTTCTGAAACTGGTAGGAGTTGTCGCAAAAGCTCTTGTGCGGCATCGTGGAAAGCAGGATGTGGCGTGAGCTTTTTGAAAATCGTGTCGTTGTAACTCGCTACTACCACGTCGCGCTTCAGCTGTTCCCATAGCCTGGCTATATACGCATATCCATTCATGAGGCAGCCTGCGAGGAATCTACGTCGACATTGATCGAGATCTTCGTCAGACCACTCCGATGTTGTGGGATCCGCGAACTTGCCAGGTGTATACTTCGCAGGCTGTACCGTTGGTATGAGTGAGGGGAACACTGTGTACGTAGTGCGAAGATTTTCTTTTGTGACGAGTTCCCAAGGCGATTTGAAGAAGATCATATCAAGCTCGATGTCTTCCGTTGTTATGCGATGAATGCCCTGGAGGTTCTTCAGATTGAAACTGGGAATCGAGGTGTGTGCCTGCCCAACCCCGCGACATAACCAGGTTGGCTTGTCGTCGAAGATAATCGGCTTCTTTTCGAGCTGATCCAATAGTATAACCAATGGATATATTTCGCCTCGTGCGAGAGCAAGCAAGCTACTGTAATACAGGACTCGGTCTTCGGTATCCAATTCTGGACCCAAGTACGCGAGCCCTAAGCTGCACATGTTTATAATGACCCTCAGCCGATCAGACAGATACAAGCTCCCCTGACGCACCACTCGGCTGTGTCGCGCCATCAAGCTACTCCTCAAATCGCTATCCCAGTCGTTTCCAACTCTTCCTACCCCACTGAAGATGTATTGGCCATTGAATCTATCTATGGGATTTTCGACGAAGTTGTGCAGAACGTACAATGCGTTAGCCATGATGAAATGGAGATTCACCCATTTTATCTTAACAGTCGATCCTCCAGGCCCATTCACAATGAATGTCGCATTGTGGATGATGTTACACTGTCTCTTGTCCGTCCAGGGACCATTGACACTAAATTCATGGAGACACCATGCCCGTTTCCACCAACGTGCCGCATTTACCTTGTTGTAGAAACTGATAAACACGTCTCTCTCAGTTTCTCCTGGTACCCATTTTGTTTCAAACTTCCTCTTGGTATTATCGTATTCTTCGTGAAGTTTTGCCTCTTGCTCATCGAGACAAACATCTTCTAGTAAGATCACGAGTCGGATGCAAGAGCGGTAGATGATGTCCATCGCTGCAACGGACTTGCCTTTGTCCAAGGAAGAGGTCTGGTCGATACAGAGTTGGTCCATCCAGATGCCTTCACGCGGATGATCTTTATCGGCCAAAATAGCTTCAACGAAGGGCTTACTTATCGGCCAGCTGCCATGCCTTTCATAGCCTGTCCGCAAAAAATCGCCTAAGCCCCAACAATAGGATATAGCGAGGTACTGTCGGGCGTAAAGACCACTCGTCGCATCGAAGGAAGAACGGGCTGAGGTGGGATAGATGAGGCGAAATGGCGTGTCCAGTATCGTTGAGGCGGTGCGCTGCACGAAACGCGATGCGTCGGATGGGTTCCATTTGGCCAAGTTCTCGAGTATGGAAGCGGATTCAAGGCTGCCTCGTTCCAACTCTGTAATAGCCTCTTCAAATAGTTCAGCCTTGTTCTCGCGGCTGAGAGTCAACTCGAAGAGATCTTCATCGATCTTCCTATGGGTAGCATCCCTCGATGACGGAGATGCATCAGCAGCTAGGACATCGGTCATTGTCTAATACTTGATCTTGACCGTCTATTGTGATTGTTTGTCGTTCTGCAGGCACGCACGTCCGGCGATGTTGTCTTCTTTGGCGCTCCTCAATCAGCCGAGTGCGGGGCTCGCTCCATGGTTTCAGCCTCGCGCCTTATCATTTTATCTATCGTATTGATCAGAGCTGAAAGCGTAAGCTAACGGGTCGGTCCGATTAGAAGGTTTAAATCACATAACCATAAAAAGATTAAAATATTGCTGTCCCGAACAACTCTACGCAAGTCTGAGTAACGCAAGATGTCCACCCGCTGTCACAGTATCGCCCGGCTTTACAAGTACCTTCTCGACCTTGAGCTTCCCTTCTTTCGCCACCGACTCTGGTGTTTTTACTGCAATCTCAAGCTTCATCGCCTCCAGTATCACGATCTAAATAGGTCAGCATCTAAGTTCCACTGCTAGTGCGTAACACTTACCACACTCGCTTCGTCAACCTCGTCGCCCTCATTTACTTCCACTTTCCACACATTAGCATCAACTGGCGCCTCAACGCCTGCAATCTTTGGATCATCGAGCAATTTCTCCACTGTGCTTTCGTCAACTTGATTCTCCGCCTTCTCCCGCCTCCACCTCTCCAGACTCTCATTCTCAGCTCTCGTCATCTCGTCTTGCGCAACTGCTTGCTTCTCTCTAATCTTCTTCACCTCCTCCGCAGTACTCTCAAGCAGCTTGTTATGCTCGGCCATGTCGAATTCGACCTCGTCATACTCCCACTCGAACTTGCCCGCCCTGAATTTTCCCAGCAAGACATCTAGCTCCTCTTCGCTGACCTGGTAGAATGTCAAAATGTCGAAGTCGCGGAAAATCCAGGGCTTGTCGTCGAAGCCCGGCTTGTAGCTATAGTAATCCCAGCACGGGACTGTGCGGCCAGTCATCTGGTAGCCACCAGGGGAATCTACGGGGTATATTGACATGCAGCTTCCTGCCCAGCCGACGGTGCCTTCGGGCGTGAAGACGCGACTTGGGTTCATCTTCGGTGCAGATATGCGTTGTCGCGGATCTACAGGTAGTGAGACAGTGTTACCGCAGAAGAAGCCGACAACAACGGCCATGAACTGGCCAGTGAGGTAGATGTCTTTTAGTTGTTGTGGTGTGAATGCATTGTTCTTCGCGACGAATGCGAGGTTATCTGGTAGGTAAGGCGCATGTGGACGTTGGTTTGTCATGTATCGCTGCGTCGCTTCGTCTTGCAGTTTCGATTCGAAGGAGATTGGCAGTTTAAAAACGCGAGTGGGAACTTTAGTCGTGCGCAAATCGCCAAGCTGAGCTTCGATGGCCTGGAGATGGGCGATGAGGTCAACTCGTGGCAGTTTTGTGCCATTATAGTAGATGAGAAGCGTGGTGCAGCATCCAACAGTGTTGTAAAGATTCGCCTCGATGGCTTCTGGGGCCGAATTGGATCTTAATGTATTCTCGAGCGCGGTGACACGACAGCGGTGATTGAGGTCGAAGGATTCATTGCCGTATTCCACGAGGATATGGTCATCACCGCCTTGACGATAGCGTACCCTGGGTGTATTCGCGGTGGCGTCCTTCTCCCAGATCACTGCTTTGCCAATGTTGCACTCGTGAAAAGTGACATGGCTGTTCTGCAGACTTTCCAGACTTTCCAGACTTTTTCCAGTATTCAGTGCCTGTTCTATCGAATCGAGGAAGTCATTGTTCCGCTTCCTCTTCTTCAACGCATCTTGCAGTCCCACTCGAATGTACTTTAAGGTATTGCCGGCCTTGAGCTGCCCAAGCTTCCACCAGTCCGCCTTTATGACGGTCGTACTGCTTGTGAAGCCACCAAAATTAGGGCAATCAACAGGAAAGATGCAGGGATCATCTCCCGTCCAGTTCAAGGTACCCAATGGATAGCCATATTCGATGAGGTTGCTTGGATGCGCGCCGCCCTCGCCACCGTCTTTCCGCGCCCACTTCGGCACGGGTCCGACAAGTCGTATACCACTTCGAGAGGCGTTGTGCGAAACCTTCCACTTCGTGTCATATATGGTCTTGATGAAGTCGGGATCGAAGTAGCCTTCGTCATGTGGGCCGACCATAGCGGAGATCTCCCAGTCTGATTTGTACTCCAATCGAAGATGCTTCGGCAACGATCTGGACATAAAGTTTGGTGGGAGCTCGCGAGTTATTTGTAACAAGTCACCTGGCGCAAGTGCTCGACCTTGATAGCCACCGATGGCGACAAGTGGAGACGTCGACTTGGAACCGAAATAGCTCGCCACCGAAGGAAAACCGCCGTAGATCGCAAGATATGAGCGACACCCACCGCCTGTAGCCTTGCCAATCTTGAGCTTTGAGCCGGCTTCAATCCTCACGCTCGTCCACATGGGAAACTCGTTACCGTCTACTGTCGCTTCCATCGGCGCACCGCATAAGGCAACGATTGCTGGGGTGACAAATCGCAGCTCTGGTCCACTCAAGGTTATCTCCAGGCCCTCCGTACCACGTGGATTACCGACTAGCATGTTTGCAATTTGGAAAGCCATTGGATCCATCGGCCCAGAGTGCGGTATGCCCTTGCCGACCGTTGGCCGTCCAGGGAGGTCTTGAATCAACGTATACGCACCAGCAGATATAACATCGATCGCATGTGGTGCGTAGATGAATTCTTTCAAGAAGCTGGTCATAGTGGTGCCCGCCCTGAACCGCGAATCATCCACGATAGCCGCGAGAAACTCTAGATTAGTGGGCGGTCCACATATGGAAGATTGAGTAAGTAGATCTCGTATACTGTCAATGGTCGCGTCGCGCGACGCTGAATGAACCATCACTTTAGCGATCAGCGGGTCGTAGTTTGGCGTAACACGAGATCCTGTAAAGACCCAGGTATCGATGCGGCTTCCTGGCACGTCCTTCCATTCTACTTTTTGTAACAATCCAGGCGAAGGCGCGTAGTCTTTCAAGGGATTTTCCGCATATACACGGGCTTCAATAGCTGATCCGGACGGCTTCGATGGCTGTAATTGCTTCAGAGCGGACCCGTCTAGCCCACCCTTGCCCGTCAGCTGGGCATCTGCTTGCTTCAACATCAGCTCGACTAGATCGACGTTGTAGCAAAGCTCTGTGATGCCGTGCTCGACCTGGAGTCTTGTGTTCATCTCAAGAAAGAAGAAGTCTCCAGACTTGTCATCGACCAGGTATTCAATGGTCCCTGCCGAGCCATACTTGATCGATTCCGCGAGGCGGACAGCTGCATCCCCCAGTTTCTCGCGCAGCGCAATGTTCCTTTCCACAAACGGACTTGGGCATTCTTCAATGACCTTCTGATGCCGCCGTTGTATAGAGCATTCACGTTCGCCGAAATGGATGGCTTGGCCCAGACCGTTGCCAAACACTTGGACTTCGATATGGTGACTTGCTGGGTAGAAGGCCTCGATGAAGACGCCGGGGTTCTTGAACAATGTCTTTCCTCTCGACTGTACCATGCGAAATCCCTCACGCACCTCTTCGATCTTGTTGCACGTGATGAGTCCCATGCCGCCGCCTCCGCCTGTGGCTTTGAGCATCACAGGGAAGCCAATGCGCTCAGCTTCTTTCACGGCCGCGTTTTCATCCTCGACAAGCCCCTTGGTGCCCGGCACGATTGGAACGTTTGCTTTCTCGGCTAGTGCTCGTGCGGTGTGCTTGATGCCGAAAGCCTCGATGGACTCTGGTGAGGGCCCCACCCACGCGATACCTGCATCCCCTACAAGACGCGCAAAGTGTGCATTTTCTGAGAGGAATCCATACCCTGGAATAATCGCGTCTGCGCCTTTGTCCTTTGCTATATGTAGAATCGCATCTTCGTCGGTGTATGCAGTCGCATTGCTGCCCGGTAGCAACACTGCTTCATCGGCATCGCGGACGTGCTGCGATGCCGCATCAGCCTCGGAATAAATGGCAACAGTCTTGATATTGAGCTTCTTCGCTGTCTTGCATATGCGAACCTGTGGAGTGGTGATGTCAGCCAGTGCTTATCGATAGCGAAACGGTCCGAGGCTGTTTGCACCTCGACGCGTCTTCACGTACCGCGATTTCACCACGATTAGCGATGAGTAACGTCTTCAACTTCTCCATATTCCAAAAGTGCTTTGCATGAAGGAATTCTGCTTCATCTGTTTGTCGTTAAACGGCTGATCATGCGTGATATCTACTTCGACCCCGCCCGATCGGTCTACCCTATCTTACGACAACCCCGCTGCGCGGATACGGCGACAATCGGATCTCCAACCAGACTCCAACTGCCCTCCAAAACCCCTCAGACCTCCAATTCCCATTGGCCCATGTATCCGACGTCACATGGGATGTGGGGGAAGGGATGAAGTCATTTTTGGTTGAAAAGAACGACGCGTGTAACCTTCTATTCGCGATGCACGATACACGATAGCAACAATGCCTGCCATCAAACACCCTGTCAAGATCAACGTCGACCTAGGAGAAGGCTACGGGAACTTCAAATGCGGTCCAGATGATGAATTAATACCGCTCATCGACCATGCCAACATAGCGTGCGGTTTCCATGCCGGGTACGTCACTTCACGCGCCCATGCAGCACTACTAACGCGTCCAGTGACCCATTGATCATGCACCAAACCGTCCTCGCCTGCAAGGAACACAACATCGCCGTCGGCGCCCATCCTGGCCTTCCTGATATCCAGGGCTTCGGCCGGCGCGAGATCAAGATGTCGCCCGAGGAGCTGACTGCCGCTGTCCGGTACCAGGTTGGCGCGCTGAAAGCGTTTCTCGATGCCGAAGATGTGCCGCTGCACCATGTGAAACCGCACGGCGTGCTGTACGGAATGATGTACAGGGACAAGGAGATTTGCAGAGCAGTGTATGAGGGCGTGCCAAAGGGAACCACTGTCTTTGGTCTTGCGGGCACGCTTCATGAGGAGGTTGCCAAGGAGATGGGACTGCCGTTCGTCGCGGAACTGTATGGCGATGTCAAGTACAACAAGGACAATACGCTGGTCATAGATCGGAAGAAGAAGTAGGTGGTGTTCAGTTCGCACTGTGAAAAATGCTGACACGACAGGGCATGGCAACTAGACGAAACGAAGAAGCACGTGCGAAGTCAAGTCGAGAATGCAACTGTCACGACAGTCACGGGCGAGGAGCTGAAGCTTCCGGTAGGCGATTACCAGGTGTCCATGTGCTGCCATTCAGATTCACCGGGTGCTGTGGACATTGTAAAAGCGGCACGCGAGATTGTCGACGAGTTCAACGGACGTTATTATCCGAACGAGTAGTCGCATCACTGAAGAATCAAGAATGCCTTTCTTTCTTCATAGGGTGGAACACACAAACATTAGACGAGAGGTTAATCCAGGTTGGTGTGAGAAACGCTCTTGATCATCGAATCGAAGTCTATTCTCTATGTAGTCTATACGATCGTGGTTCATACCTACGTCGTGCGCAAGCTCGTACAGAGCTCTCATGCCACGCAACGCAAGAGGTCGCCATCCTTCGCCATGACACACCTAGACAATGACCTTGTGAGGTGCCTCCTTCTCCTCGGGCTCGTTGAAGATATTGACGGGCCATCGGGGCTTGTTGGCAACATACGGAATGTTGAAGCGGCGGGGCTCCTTCTTGCCAATCTCCTCGATCTTCTCAAAGTCCTCTTTGGAAAGCTCAATCTCCTTGAAGTTCTCCTGGATGCGCGATGCAGTGACCGACTTGGGGATGACGCTGTGTCCGCCAACCTGTGCCCAGGCAAGGATGACTTGTGCGGGAGTGGCGCTGTTGGCCTTGGCGACTTCCTTCACGGTGTCGTGCTGGACGAGGAGAGGAAGGCCGAGCATGTTGTTTCCGAATGCCTGGTACAAAGTTAGTTGTATTCGTCAGGGTTGTCGGGTGTGCTTACAGAGTACTCGGTGATATGAATGTTCTTCTCCTTGCAGAACTGGATGAGCTCGGGCTGGAGTAGTCGCGGGTGGCGCTCGATCTGGTTTGCGGCGGGTGTGATGCCACTGCCATCGATGAGTGCCTGTAGGTGCTCCTTGGTGTGGTTGGAGACACCAACAGCGCGCGCCTTCTCCTTGGGCAGCTTGGTCATGGCTTTCCAGGTGTCGACAATGGAGATGTCGTCGAGCATCTTCACATCACCACTCTCTACCAGAGGGAAGAGCTGGCTGTGAGGTTTGCTTGGCTCATCAAATGCAACAGGGAAGTGAACGAGGTACAAGTCGAGGTAGTCGAGGCCAAGCTCAGCCAGGCAGTCGTCGAGAGCAGCGGGCACATCCTGTGGGCGATGTTGCGAGTTCCAAAGCTTGGATGTGATGAAGACGTCCTCACGCTTGAGGCCAGGAACAGCTCCGCCGAAAGCCTCCTTGAGAGCCTCTGCGATCTCTTTCTGGTTACCGTAGACCTTGGCGAGATCAAGGTGGCGGTAGCCGGCCTTGAGAGCTTCCAAGACGGCGACCTTGACCTGACCAGGCTCTGCTTGCCAGGTGCCAAACCCCAATTGACTGGTAATCTGCAGTCAGCAAGCTATCACGATGTAGGGCAGACAAGACACTTACGGGATGCTGGCACCGGTGTTCAACTTGACGGTCCTTCCGAGAGACATTTTGAAGTTATGTGAGGAATGGATTGACAGTCTGTGAGATTACTTGCGATTGTTTGTGGAGAAATTTGCAGGTGTCGCGGGGCAAACATTTATTTGGGGTTGAGATGGTGGGGTACGGGCTGTCACTGGTTCACTGGTGACATCAACGCCTTCCCCATCTCTGCCTAAGGAGCACGCCTAGAGACGGTGCCGAAGTTTTCCCGACTGCCGCGGTGTAAGAATACCACGCTGATGTTCTTCAAAGTGATTTGATTCGTGGAATGCCGCTCGCCGCTGCCGTAGGGCTGGGAAAGCTCCGATGCGGCAGCCATCCAAATCTGTCAATGTAGCCGCACCACTTTTTGCCCCCAGCCTAGCACGAACGCTTCGTTTTCCTTCACGTATTCATCTACGCGCATCAATAGTGCTCAACCGTATTGCTGCCAAGCTTCTCGTGTTGATCATTCGTATTTTTAGAGGCTCTGCGGCTAGACCAATGCCGCTCCTTTGCCTGCTTTGGCCGCGCGCTGCGACAACTGCTCCGCAATGTGTTGCTGTGCGAAGCATCTCACGCCTTCATTCATCGGAAACTTTCAGACGTGCGCAACCATTCTGCTGAGCTCTATCCGTTTGCATGCCTATGGGCGATTGTTCATCGAGACCTGTGCAGGTAATGCTGCACGAGGGTCAGGGATCTTGCCGTCTAGGTCCCGGCGAGATGCAGCGCTCGGAAGCTCATGCGCACACAATTTTTATTAATAGGAGATCTAGGGGCATACGCTCAACGTACCGACAGCAAAGTGAGCTGTGCGGATTGGTAGCCATTTCTTGGGTGGGCGCAAAACAGCAATACCTCGGTGGCATTATCCCGGTAATTGGAAGCCCAAGCTATCAGTGGGTCCTATACGAACTTCAGGAGTCTGCTGAACAATGCATTCATGGAGAAGAGTAGTCACTTAAAAAGTCCTGGGCTGTCCGCTTTCTTGTTTATCGTTCACGGTTTCGTTTCGTCCTTACCTAGTCCTTCGCTATTCCATAAGCTTAATCTGTTTTCTTTGATAAGTTTTGTCCCGTCATGGGAGCATACATCCGCAATGCGCTTTTCGCGCTCTGCGTACTCCCAATCTCTTTGTCACAAGTCTCTGCTGCACCATTCATTGGCGAGGACTATGGAATCGAAACACTGAAGTCTCTGGCCGCAGAACAACAGCTGGTTGAAGAGACCACGACTGAGCTGTCAAGGCGTCAGAGCAATGGAACGACCAATGGCTCAGGTGTCTTCTTCCGAGACTATAATGTTTGGTATCGCGAAGAGAACGGACAGGAAATCCCAATGTCCACGACTGGAACCGAGGACAGCCCCTTCGCCAACTACACTTACCCGTCGCCTGACAAGAAATACTTCGTCGTATTCCAGACAACGCCAGGCCAGGAACACATCGTCTCTATAGTCGAGTCGAGTCCTTTCGATCAGGTCCAGCCCAAATTAAAACAGTTCCAGTACCCGAAGGCGGGTGACAAAGTGGCTATTGACCGCCCACGAATGTTTGATGTGACCGCACGGAAGGAAGTCCCCACCGACAACACTCTGTTTCAGAATCCATACCAAATCAACACGTTGAATGGGGGGCAGAACAATGGGTGGAACAAGGAGGGCACTGAGTACCGCTTCCTGTACAACGAAAGAGGCCACAAGGCTTTGCGTATAGTTGCCATGAACACACGGGGAGACGTGCGCGCCATAGCCGAGGACACCAGCGACACATTCATCGACTATGCACACAAGTTGTACTACCAAGAGCTCACTAGCTCGAATTCGAGCGAGTTGATATGGGCTAGTGAGCGTGACGGCTGGAACCACCTGTACCTCATCGACATGAAGACCGGAAAAGTGAAGAACCAGATCACCAAAGGCGAATGGTTGGTGCGGTCTGTGGACTACGTGGACGAAGCGAAACGGCAAATCTGGATCAAGGTCTTCGGCGCAGTGCCGGGTCAAGACCCATATTATGCCCACCTGGCGCGCGTCAACTTTGATGGCTCAGACTTCAAGATCCTGACAGAAGGCGACGGCTCGCATTCTTGGACGTTTAGCGAAGACCGTACGACCTTCACAGACACCTGGTCGCGCATGGACATGGCCGCCATCACCGTCCGACGCGACGCCGAGACCGGAGAGAAGACGGCCGACATATCGGCAGGAAATCTTAACTTCCTCCTTTGGCCTATCCCGGAGCGTTTCGCTGCACCAGGAAGAGACGGCTCCACGATGATCTATGGCCTCATCTTCCGCCCCTACGAGATGGATAACAGCACAAAGTACCCCGTCATCGAGAAGATCTACGCCGGACCCCAGGACTTCTACGTGCCAAAGGAGTACATGCAGCACGATGAAGCGCACAGGCTTGCCAATCAAGGCTTCATCGTCGTCCTCATTGACGGCATGGGCACCAACTGGCGCTCCAAGGCCTTCCACGACGTCTGCCACAAGAACCTCAAAGACGCAGGTTTCCCCGACCGCATCGCCTGGATGAAAGCCGCAGCTTCAACGCGCTCGTGGATGGACCTCAGCCGCGTCGGCGTATATGGCGGCTCCGCGGGCGGTCAGAATGCGATGGGCGCGCTCCTCTTCCACAACGATTTCTATAGCGTCGCCGCCGCGGACTGCGGATGTCACGACAACCGTATGGACAAGCAGTGGTGGAACGAGGCCTGGATGGGATACCCCGTCGATGTGAGTTACGAGGAGAGTTCCAACGTGGCCAACGCGTGGCGACTACAGGGTAGTCTGCTGCTGAGTGTCGGAGAGCTGGATACCAATGTGGACCCCGCATCCACGATGCAAGTCGTAAATGCATTACACAATGCAGCGAAGGATTACGACTTGTTGTTTATGACGGGTGAGGGTCATGGTGTTGCGACTAATAACCCGTATGCGTTGAGGAGGACGCAGGATTTCTTGTACAGGAAATTGAAGGGTGCGGAGCCGCCTAGGTCATAGAGATAACATCAGTAGATAAATGCATTGAAGTTATAGACATACGTTTTGTGCTGTTCGCAACGCGGTACTAGCCCACAAGGCTGGCAAACAAAATGCTGCGTAACTCCCGCACCACATTAAAGCTGCAGCATGTAACCTACGCAGCTGCTGACGCTCCGCATAACATTCAATATGGTATCTTTAGATCAGACTACCAAAAAGACCATTCGAGTCGCAATCCGGATGCGCGGGCTCAAGGTGTAGAATCAAATGTTCTTCTTCCAGTAGCATGGCCTCAGCTTCCCTAAAATCTGACGAAATGAGTCCCAAACGGCTGCCCCACTTTCTAGAGTCCCCGCATAGTATGTGACGATGATACTCGCCGTTCCGACGGCGTGTGCTACCCTGTGGGTTCAACTTGTGGCGGACATCGAACCCCCACACGATGACATCGACGAATATTTCGACGCACGGCTTCGAATAGTCCGCTCTGAAAGGCTTACGTTCCATCAATCCTAGAAGGCCATATATCTTGTCTCGTGGATCTGAGCACTCCTGGAACCCGAAATCGTTCAAGGCTGTAAAGAGATCTAGCGACCTCCCATGGAACCGATCGTGGCGCAAATCCAGAATGTTTATCATAGCCCATCCGAGATCTTGGATGTGCGAAACATTTGACAGGCTGGAATTGGTTCGCATGGCGTAGATGTCATTCCAATCGAATTCATATGGACCAACCCGGAAGCTAACTTCTCTAGCAAGAACCATTTCTTGAATGATCCATATCCTTGACCAATATGTCGAATCTCCGAGGTATTTGAGAGCCTTTTGGATCTGGTCGCTGTGCACTTCAGACTCTTCACCTTCCAGGAACCTCTGCAAGGCATCGAGTGCTGCACATTCTTGTCCCGGAGGCTCACCAAGCCATGTTATGACCAAGTACGCCTTGCTGTAGATTTTCCCCATCATGTTAACCTGGTGATTCTTCTCTCGATTGCCACTTGAGCCATTCTCGGCTTGATCAATGCAAAGGGCATCTATCCAATACCAGTCGGCGCGTAGTGCTGGATCATCACGAACCTGACGCAAAAAGCACCACAGATTGCGACGCACCCAGAAATCTTGCTTGTGGAGGATGATTTTGACAAGGTCTGAATCATGAGAAGCGCCACCCCAGGTGTATGATAAGGCTGTGTAGTGAACGGATTTGCTATGAACCAAGCTCAGCGCAAACTTGCACCGGATGGGGGCGTCAGGCTCAGTCTGCAAGACTCGAACCAGGCGTATTTGCCGGCGACTGAAATCGATTGGTGGATGACGAAAAGCAGACTCTCGGTTACGTTTTTTGTCCAAGTCAAACATGGCTTCGGGCACGTGCTTCTCTCCAGACAGGGTGCTTCGACTGCTACCAGGTGTTGCCACATTATTCCGATGTTCTTTTTTCCACGATTCAGGCGGATATGAGCCTTGTGAGCTGTTCGGTCTGGAATATTCGAGGCTAGATACGCCGCCTGCGTGATCACCCCGCTTCGCGTAAGCAGGGAAGGGCAGGTGAGGAGGCGGAGCAAGGCTGTGTCCATATTGATGTTGGAAACTCCTAGGCACACCATGAATACTTGGGTCGTAGAAAGATTGACTGGGAGCATTCCATTGTGCTCCAAATGCGACACCACCAAGTGCGTGTGACCCTGATGCATGCCCTTCAAATTTGGCAGTGACGCTGGCAGCTGGCCGGAAGTACACATGCTGAAGACGCGAGGCATGTGCGTCGCTGGTGTTATACTCGAGTTCGCGCTTTCGCTTGTACTCATCCGTCGCGCCGAAGTTGCCTGTCGCAGCATATTAGCGCCGATAGATCTAGTGAACTACTGTCGGGCTCAACTATATACCATTAAATGACCATGATTGCGACATAGTTCCAATGGTTGTGAGAAGGCGAGGAGTGCAGCGACTACTTGATGAAGTTCAGCTGCGGCGCGAGATGACATGGCGATGCGCTATTTCATCCGGAAGTAGAATGCACTGAAAGCTCTCTAATACCACATGTCATTCTCATAGGCTCAAGATAGAAGTCCATCCACCATCGCCTTCAGCCTTTTCCAAAGGGCTATTTTTTGTTCGTTAGACTGTTGTCGCAGTCCTGATACGCCATTTGCATCTTGCTTATTCCTGCAATTTGGAGAACAACGTCCTCATCGGACAAAGACCACCGAGTACATACATCTTCACATTCCTATTAAATGATTATAATCAGTGACCTAAACTGCTTTAAGAATTTGTAGGCTGAGTCATTTCCATGCTGGATAGATTCGTTATAACTTGCGTTCACTATCGACGCGATACAAAAGTTATTCACTAACTCTTCACAGGATTGTTCTCGATGTGCACTTCCCCGCCCTTCTCTTCCTCTTCCTCGGACATCTTATTCTCGGCATCACGACCCCCATTGTCAGCAAGATCGGCTCCAGTTGGGTACGCGACCTTGTAAACCGTGTACCAGGAGCGTTCAAACAGCTTGTCCATGCTCTCAAGAGACCGGCCAGCTGTCTCCGGAAGCGCGAAGAACACGTACACCAGGGAGAAGCAGCACATGCACGCGAAGAATGCAAAAGCGCCGTACCGGTCGGTGGCAGCGAGTAGACTGGGCATCGCACGGGAACATCCAAAGTAGAACAGCCAGTGGAAAGCCATCAAAATCGAGACGTTGAGCGAGCGGATGCGAATTGGGAAGACTTCTGCTGAGACCAGATATGGGATCGAGAACCAGCCAATCGACCAGGCTACAGCGTGGATGAAGATGGCAACAATGCTGGCTTTGCTGGCTGCTGTCGCGCTCGCGCTGGCTTTGATTTGAGCCGCCGTGTCGCCGTTGGTGACACCAAGATATGCACCGACGAATGATAGCGTAAGGATTTGAAGGGTGATACCAAGCATGAGTGATCTTCGGCGACCGATGAAGTCGATGACGAAGATTGAAAAGATCAGGACCGACACAAACTTTACGATGGCGTAAAGTCCAGTTGCTAGGAAGCGCGCCTCTTCGCCCTCAATTCCAAGGTAACCGAAGATTGATGGCGAATATTGAGTGATGGCATTGGCGCCCGACCATTGACCAAACAGATGACAAGAGAACATGAGGACGAAGCGTCGGCGATATTCCGTTACTGTGAACGTTTCCTTCAGCAAGTCCCATGTTGTGGCACCGCTCACGGCTTCGATTTCGGCATTCAGCTGTCGCTCAATACCATTGAACTCTTCTTGTACGTATGGATGGGTCTCTGGTAGCTTGCGGAAGTTCGAGAGTACTCGCAACGCCTCGGTGGGCTTGTTCTTGGAAAGTAGGAAGCGCGGTGATTCTGGAGTGAACATGATTCCGATGCCCCAGATAATGGCTGGAACAATCTGAAGTGCTGTCGGAAGTTGCCACTGTAGTTCAGTACCGGCATGGTGTTTGGTGATGCCGTAGTTGAAGAAGAAGCCGAAGACGACGCCCAGTTGCTGGCAGCATGCGTACTGCAGGGTCAGCAACCCTCGGATGCTTCGTGGAGCAATCTAATGCGGTGAATTAGCAACTTATTGCGTGTAAGAAAGCAAGAGTGCATTCTTTACATACCTCAGTGATGTAAATAGACGGAATGACTGTTGTGGTACCGATGCCAATACCAGCAATGAATCGACTGGCGTACATTGCTGAGAGGCTGCCATTGGGGAAAGTCTGACCGAAGATGCCAGCAATGTATATGATGGTGAAAACCAGCATCGTGTTTTTCCTTCCCCATAGCTGCACAAGATTGATGCAAGCCAGACAGCCGAATACAGCGCCTGCAGTCGCGATCGAGACAAGCCATCCCTTGGTGTTGGCGTATTGCGCTTCGGTCTCGTGGTCAACGCCGAAGCGCTTCTTGAAGGTCTTTTGAGTAACGATAGAGGCAATGTTACCTGATACAACATTAGTACCAGAATTCTTCGAGGATACCCAGAGTGTGATGCATCTACCTTCGTCAAAGCCCTTTGCAACACCGGAGAAACTCCACACCGCGGTACAAAAGAAGAGCCAGACATTGAAAATTTCAGGTGGACAAGCTCGGACGGCTTCCACAGTCGCCTTGACGAGACTTGGTTTGCCCATGGTTGATCAAGCTATCGTTGAAGATTTTATACAGACCAAAAGGCTTCTGTGTTTAGAGCAAGCCACATAAGAGCTTTATAATCTAGCCATCATGCCCAGACCATGTCTTAGTACAAGAAGCACCAGCTCCAAGAAATTGCCCCTGTTGGACCTGATCCCGTGTCGCTTGCAGTAGCTGGATTTTGTGGGGTCCCCGCATGTTTGAGGGGAAGCTAGAGCCCGAAGCGCCCGAGAGCATCTGTCGGACACTTGCCGAATACACGGTCAACTGAATCATGTCATTCTTCGTGGTTCTCAGAGCTGTGTACAGTTTCGGGCATCACATGGACGCGAAGAGTTCGAATGATGTCAGCATGAGGAGTGTAGGACAGCGTCCAGCTGCCAACAACTATGAACCGTGCTCACTCCGCACACGCGAAGCCACACGTGTGAGGCAGCATGTACAGTTCCAGACGCTTTCCAATGATCAGAAAAGGTTCTGAAAGTAAGTGAAGATGACGAAGCACGTCGATGTTAGAAAGCCTTTGTGTATAATGAACACTACGTTAGCATAATAGAAGAGTAAAACGGCAGGCTATCGCTTTTGAAGGAGAGCGAGCCATAGGAGCAGTGCCACGGTGCCGAAGGGAATTTCGGCAGGAACGTGGCTGCTCCCGAGATCGATATATGTGCCGTGCGGCAACAGGTGGTTTGCGCTGGCCGAACGTCGATACCGGTTTTGAGGCCAGGTTTGTTGTTAGTGCTAAAAAGTTGCTAACAGTACCTGGCGAGCTTCTGAGTCTTGTGTGGGCAGTGCTGAGATAATTTCCCTCACTGCAACGAGGATGCATATTCTTCGATTCATCAGAAGCGCTTTAGTTCTGGAGATGAACACAAGAAAGCGTGATGTAGCTTCGTCGTCTTTCGGTACCTCCCGAAATGCTTCGAGAGCGAAATAGCGCCGTGCGGCCCCGCACCGAAAGCTCCCTGGTTAACGCCTGCTTCGTCTCGAGGACCAGCAACGTTAGACGCCACTGAAGCACGAAGTGCACGAAGTAGCATGTAGCGCATGCTGCATGAATAGGTGGTGGCATTATGCCCAGTGTTGCTCAACTCAATACCCAACCATGAATTTCTACGCGCCTCCACCTACGATCACGGCACAACTCTACGTCCGCATACCTGAGGAGCTCAGGTGCAAGGACCGCGAATCCGAATGGCGTGGTGGCTTTAGCCGGGCATTCCAGAACATCTTCTTAGAAGGCCCAGTCTGTACTACAACTGGGGATTTATATGTCGTTGACATTCCGTATGGGCGCATCTTGCGGATCTCGCCAACCAAAGAAGTGACTGTAGAGGCTGAGTGGGACGGAGAGCCAAATGGTCTTGCCGTGGATCCGGAAGGCAAACTCGCCGTTGCAGACTACAAACAGGTATGCAGCAGTGATTGCATGATTGATTGGTTAGTAACGATGAAAGGGCATACTCACATTTGATCCTGCCAGCGGTAAAGTAGAGGGCAGGCTGAAGCGCCGAAATCTCGAGCGGTTCAAAGGGCCCAACGATCTGGTATTCGACAAAGCTGGGAACCTGTACTTTACAGATCAAGGACAGACAGGCCTGACAGATCAGACCGGACGGGTTTATCGACTAGCGCCTGATGGCAGACTGGATACTTTGGTTGAGAATGGTGTAAGCCCAAATGGTCTAGTCCTTTCACCAGATGAGAAGTTCCTCTTCGTTGCCATGACGCGATCCAACGCTGTTTGGCGACTACCATTGCACGCAGACGGATCAACGAGTAAAGTTGGGTTGTTCTTCCAGAGCTTTGGCACTGCAGGACCCGACGGCCTTGCCGTTGACGAAGAAGGAAGCCTCTTCATCTGCCACCCGAGTCTTGGTTCAGTGTTCGTCGTTAATGCAGATGGAACACCAAAAGCTCGGATAATGTCAGGTACGACAGGCGTGAACCTTACAAACTGCTGTTTCGGAGGACCTGACGGAAAGAGGCTGTTCATCACAGACAGCCTGGAGGGCAACGTGCAATACATAGACTGGCACTGCAAGGGCGCAACAACAGTCCCAACTGTGCGCCAGCGTTCGTCGGCATTATAATGAGAATTCTTCCGGCTCCCGGGAGTCTGAATGGCAAGGACTAGTTGAAACCGTGATCTGGTTGTTATGACAGTGTTTGACGAGGGGCTCCTAGTGTTTTCATTCGAAGGGGGCAGCCGGCCAACGCGCATTGCAGCCTCACGTTAGAACAAGCATCGCCGGATACGGGCCGGAGCAATAAGCGTTGTGTGATGGTGAGGTGGCGCGGGGCTAAACGTCTCAGTATCTGGGCAAGCTTGAATGTCGCGCCAGGACTCTGGCTTTTTGCGGTCTTCTGGGGGACTTGGTCTAAACGACGCTGGACAGCATCGCAAAACTCCACGACTTGTACAACTCGTTCCTCGTTTCGAAGCCGGTCACCATCCTCGTCCCTTAGGTAGAGGAAATGATGATTGCCCAGCTTGACATCGCCTTCCTTCAAGCGCTTGCTTCGCTTTACGTTGTCGATCGCGAGCACTAGTCCATAGACGGGACGAGCTGAGATGTACTTGCGCACAGCCTCAAGAATGATGAAGAACTCGATGGGTGTAGGCGCGTCGCCTCTGCCATTAACTAGAACTCGGATGTAGTGCCCAGGCGCGAGACGATTACCGTCCTTGTGCCAAACTGTTTCGTCATGACAACTTCCTCATTTGGCGGTGCACCTTGCACAGAACGCGGGCGCTTCCTTAAACTTGACTCGCTATCCTCGAGGAGGCGCTCTGGGTGACTAGGTTAACTTGACGTTCCCCGGGAGGCATGATGACGATCATATTCGTCGAAGGAGAGTGTGGTATAGGTGGACAGGACGCGAAGGTTCTGACGCGCTACTGGCAATGGGAAGGCACGCGTGGAGTCGCTCCTTCCCCGCCAGATCAGAACGCCCGAAAACTCTGAGCCAACGCAATAGATCTGACTAATCAATAGGCTGCGTTCAGCGCAATCTTCCGCGGAGGGATGCTGGTCTTCGTCAGTTCTGCTTTGCTCACACACCCACACTTTACCCGCCCCGCCACACCTCCAACAGTCAAACGCTTCTTCGAGTTTACCTTCCACCCGACTTTTCTCAAGTTCCTCCAGTATCATGGAGAAGTACCAAGAAGAGACCAAAAGGAAAGACCAGAAGTTCTTGGAGATCAAGGCCACTCGCGACGCCATGCACGCACGCATGCAAAGATCAACGACCAAAATAGAGGCCGACATCGAGAATGCGAAAATGTTGCTAGAGTTCATTGAAGTCGACGAGATGAAGCTGCAGTTTAAGAGGACCACGAGAGCGAAAGTTCCAGAGCCCCCAGTGAAGAAAGGCGTCAGTATCAAAGACATCTTCGCAGTTCGCTCGCAAGCACCCACAAGTTCCAACGATGATGAGTCGCGCCGTGCGATGAGTTGGCCAGGAGATACCGCGCCGGTGAGATAACTACGCGTACACGGAAAGCATTATACTAACGTTTTATTCACAGCTACATTGGGCAACTTTGGCATGCGCCACATCTCAAGTTCCATTCATCTCAGGAGGGGACGAACAGCCTTACTTATCGTCTCTACAAGTTCCCATCGCTGAAGTGGAGGCTCTCTGGGCCAAGTTCGATGCGCAGGAAGAGGCTCACATCGCAGAGCTAGTCCAAATTAAGCATCAAACTGTGGTTGACACAGTTCAGCGATCCATTGGCGTTCCGTTCTCGGACTCTGAGTTGGAGAAGTTAGTCGACGGATTATGGCCACCTCTGGCAGAGCAAAAGTTGCTCGCTCTCTTCATTTATGTTTTGCTATCCAGGTCATCCAAATTTCATCAGCATACTGCTGTTGAGCGCTGCCTTGTGCGAGAGCTTTTTGTCTGGTGGTGTCGAGTCCTAGCTATAGTCAGAGTAGTTTTAGTTTCAAAAAAAGTTATTTCATCCTTCTTGACTTACACCATCACACTTATGAGAGCTTCTCTTCTTTTTTTTTTTCTTTTTTTTTTTTCGTGAAGACGTAAAGCTGAACACACAGCTGCTCATTGTGGTGTAAGTCAAGATGTGCATCAGATACGACCAAACCGTAGACCATACTGTTTTTGATAGCAAGGTGTTCATTAAAGGCTACAAGAGAGTGACACACGGCAAGCGTTGCCGGTCCATCACATGCGATGGCACCTGGATTGGCTTCGGCCCGTAGCACGGCTTCGCAAAATGACACAAAAGCAAGCAGACAAGAAACAGACATTGCAAAATCAAGAAGATGAGGGTAACACAACCATGTGAGCTGGGCGATGAGTCTTAGTTCTGTATATAGCATAAGAAGAGTAGCTTACATGCAAGTATGATAATCTTCGTTGCACAGCGCTCCTAACTTAGGCTCTAACTTAGGAAATTGCTTTAAATTCTCCTAATCTCTTTTTATAAGTAGCAGTGTCCCTTTAGTACTGCAGAGGCAAGGAAGTCTTTTGCTAGATAGACACTACCTTAGATACATTTAGATAAGACGGACGTAAATCCGAAGCACCTAATAATACTAAAGCAATTTTAGATTGCAATTATACTACTAAGTAGATATAGAAGGAAACATAGGTCGTCCAGATCATTAACACCAGCTTTACGCAGATGTTTCTGCTGATTCCAATGACAAGTAATTTCGTTGGCAATCGCCTTCAGGAAGAAGGCCGCCATCATCGCAAGGTATCTCCACTGGCTCCACTGGCCATCAACATAGTAGTAAAGGTACTAGAAAAAGCGCTAGATCAATACAAATTCGCACTCCTTGTCCCAGTCATGCATAGCTTCTCCATCCATCTTCCCATATATATAAGCCTCGCCAATGAATTCATAAACCTGTGGTAAGGAATGTTCACGTCGGTATGGGCGAAGAATGACCGGTACGCTACATCCAAGGAATATAGCAATCACGTCATCGACAAGGGTCCTAGGTGGTCCAAGGCCGACTAGTTCCCCATTCACAGGCGATGCTGACATAGGCGATTTCGATAGTACTGAGTCGGGATAACCTTGAAGAATGACCCTGTTCCAAGTCACAGCGCGGACACGCTCCAAATAGTCCTGCACAATACTTTGTTGACCTTTTATGTCATCTGCTTCGAGTAGCTCTTTCGTGTTGATGTGTCCGTTTGGTGTCTCATTCAGCAAGCAAAAAAGACAAGCCCGAGAATAGTATGTGGGCACTCCTTTCCCGTTGTGACCGCGGCCCGCTACCAGCGTACGGCAGAGCTGATCGGGAGCTGAGGGAGCTGAAAGCGAACGTTCTTCCTGAGTCCAACCGAGCTTTTCTATACCACGTTGTGGGATGACGCCATCGGGTATGGGATCTGATGTCCAGCCAACGACACCAATGAGGAAGCCATGAGCCTTCAAAGACATGCCCGAGACTACCATCTCAGAAGTGGACATGGAGACAAGTTTGCCCGGTGTATCGCTTGCTAGAGGTGTTTGAGTGATGTAGTCTCCAAACTTCACCTTCGGCTCGGTTCGTCCGGAAGCGCAATATGAACCTTCACCTGGAAGGCCAACGAAACTGTCGCCTGCTTTGCGTCCTCTGAATACCGCCTCACCGGCTCCATAAGACCCCTCTTCCGCTGTCAGAATCCAAGATGGCAGCTTCACAAGCCTTGGGGCTGCTGTTGGCCCTTTATCCCACTCATCCTCTTTCTCGCGAAGAGCCCAATGTCGACATATGATATCCATGGATTTCGAGTCTTCGATCGTCCATTCAAGAAAGCTCTGATAAACTTGAAACAGGTCCTGTTTGTAGTCTGGCGCTGGCGGCAGAGGTTTTTTACGTTTAGAGTTCAGCTCCTTTGATATGTTTCGTAGACAATTTATGGTATCGCGAGGATCTGAAGTGCTAAAACTAGCTAGCTGTGAAACCAGCTTCTCCAAACCCATGGTTGCTTCGTGCTTCCCGTCAGGTTTGCGTCGGAACAGCTCGCTTGTCATTTCAACGAGTAGGTTGGCTCCAAGTGGTTCCAGGTCAGATATTTGGCTACCAACGAGCCTGGAGTCCTGGAGTCTGGGCTGCAGCGACTTATAATAACGATGGAATATGCCAATAGCATCTCGAAAATCATCCCAGTGGACCGTGGAATGCCCACAGTGAACGGTAGCTTCCTGGGCCAGAGCCAGTTCTTGTATGACCCAACGTCGGGAGAACCAGCTCCACTTCAGTAGTTGGAAAAGGCTTGCCCATTGAGGGATAAACTTTTCTTCGGCGAGGAGCCTTGGTAGCTTCTTCAAATCGATGACTTCTTTGATGAATAACATCGCTTTGCTAGAATGGAAATCGGAATCCTCTGTGCCAAGCCAAATACAAACATTGTAGGCTTTGCGATAGATCTCATTCATCTTCTGCACCTGTTCGGACTTTTCGCTATCGTCTTGCTGATTGATACAAAGTGCATCGACCCAGAGCACCACGGGACTGTCGGAATGCCTCAATCGTTTCAGGGCACTGTGTAGATTTGGCCGCACATACAGTCGCGATATGCGACTCCCCTCCTGCGCCATCTTTGACAAGACGAGTTCATCCAAGGCTTTGATGACTTTATCACTCCAATTTTCTTGTATGATGATGCTGTGTTTTGTGTCCCCTTCTCCCCAATGATACGATAGGGCTTCATAGCTGTATTCCTCAGTACCGAGGTCGTGATCGCTCGCGACCTGCAGAACTGCATTGATCTCGTCGCTTTCGGGTCCAGGCTTGATTACCAATAGACGGACTTCATCAGATTCGATCCTGTTGTATTTGTATGCGTCCTTGAGCCTCTGAACTGCTGTTTGCCACTTTCCAGGGACTGGTCTCTCGCTGCCCAATAGGATTGCGTATATGCTTCTCGCTGTCCCTGAATACGGTCCGCTCTACTCTTTTTCTTTGCGTCAGTCCTGGAGGCATAGCTTGTTTGGATCGTCGGATGCCGGATGCATTAGGACCTCCATAGGCGTTTTCGGTCGGTATTGGCCATGGTAATCTGCTCTTGGGTATTTCAAGACTACCTAAAGCCGTGTTTGAGGAAGTCACTACAGAAAGTGCTGGAGTTGCTATCTGCGCATTGGGTATTCCATCAGGACATGAATGAGTGCAGGAGGGTATGGGTTACGAACCTCATCTACGGCTGCTCTGTCGAGATATTCTGCACCCACAATGGTGTCGCTATGGCCATTATGGCCATTACTGGGCACGCTCCCTCTTCTGGCAACCTTGAATGGTTCATGAGATGCCTGGTCTGTTGCAGGTCGCTTTCTGGGTGGTGTCATGATGAATAGGATATCATCGTTCCTTACTCAGAGGCGCAACCAGAGCGCGATCTTCTTTATATGTACCCGTGGTATAATACCGATAGAAGGCATAGTGTGGCCTTTGGGGGCCAGTCATCCCGTCCCATGCTTCCACGGCGAAGACCAAGATAGTAGTCATCGGCTGTAGCCGAGTAAGCTGAGTTGGGTCCAGGTTCACAAACGCATGGTCAAACCACATAAACATGCACCCCATTACCCGCTCCTATGAAAGTGCGAAGAATGTGATGATCTCGTGCACCCTTGACGTCGCTGGTCAACGCATGGTGTGTGATCAATCATCTTGGATACTGTCATCGAAGTGTTGCGAAGTGTCCGTTGTGGAGCAATGGTGCGATAATGCGCAGAAGATCTTCCATAAGTGGTATGTAAGCCCGACATGTGCTCTTTGCAGATTGTTGAAGGCCAGAGCGGTCCTAGTCAAGGTGTGCTCGAGGCAAAGCACCGCATGTATGCGTCAAGCTAAGACAGCCACAATATCGTCGAATACCACCAACCTGATGTGGTTCCATAGGCTATAATTCATCTTGGAGCTCTACTGGCCACGCAAGACCTGGCAATCCTGTGGCAGGATGGGTTCTAGCACCAATGTAACGTAACGTTGGAATATCCAGCCTTGCCAGCCAGACGATCGCGCAAGAGACAGCAAAGAAATGGGATGGGCAGACCGACTACCTGTAGCGCCACAGATATCAGTATAAAGAATTGCTGTCTCCTGGGACCGAGATATTTCGGAAAATGTAGAATCAGAGATAGCGAGGATGTAGGGATTGACACGGAGGTCCTCCACCTTCAGCCTTCCAACATGCGATGTGATCGGCGCTTGGGGCGGCACAGGCCCGCCCCTACCTCCCCAAGTCGTTCTTGCCCCCACCTACCCTTCCCTGTTCCTGCACCTCGACCCCAAAAATTCATGCATCATGCAAACCTCGACTAGCCGAGCTGTCCTGTCTGGTGAATGTCCGTTGTTCGCAAAAGGACGCGGTGTGAAGTGCCGCGAACCGCGCCTGCCCTTGGACACCGATCACTGACAGCCTGACAGCCATGGCTAAGGCTGTAACTTACAACTTTGGAGATTCTCAGCCACTGATGACCCGCTGATAATACATCAGCTCTGCCCAGGCTACAATCTGACATGAGAGTCTGCAAAGCGTGTGTGCGAACTGTTGGCGCGCCTTGTGACGCCCTTTGATGCTCAATATCAGCCATGCAGCCTGGACGCAGCCTTCTTGATAGTAGCCTCGAACAATTTCACTTTTTACGTTGACCGCGAAGTGGCTAAGCAAGAAGGCTGAACCCCGCGTCTTTCTCGTTGGCTTTTTTCTGCCTGAGCTTCGACTCAGTCTCTGGTAATGACAGGCATGACTTGATAGGTCTGCCTCGCGACCGCGGATTGCTGAACATGTGCGCAAATCATGCACGACTCCGCCACGTCAGTTGAATACTCAAAAGAGACCCTTTACGGCCCCCAACAGTGATACTACCACTTCCTATTCCATCATGGATCCTCTCAGCATCACTGCAAATATTATAACGGTCTTGCATGTCGCCAACTCGATTATCTCTGTGTGCTACGAGGTACGGTCAGCAATCAAGCAGAGCCCCTGGTCTCTTACACGAACCATCGACGAGCTCAGGGACCTTCGCAACGTTTTGGAAAGTCTCGAAACAGCTTACAATGCACTCGACCGCGCCAAGAGCGTCGATGAGACCAGAGTTCGCTCATTTCGATTACTGTGTGATTCTGAGGCGAGTCCGCTAGCTCGATGCTTGCAGGAGCTCTCAATGCTAGAGAGAAAGATCACCAAGAATGGCAGAGGGACACCAAAGCTGTTTTCCAAAGCACACGCGATCACACAGGTTATTGGCTGGCAATTGAAAGAGAACGATGCAAGACTGTCGTTGGAGCGAATTGAGCGTTGCAAGAACACAATCATACTTGCCCTCACCGCTGATGAGACGTAGGCTCCGCTCTCATATGTAATACGCACGTTCCAAAGCTAACAACGCTTGCAGCACACTTCTGATTGACATCAAGGCCATGACTGCAAGTCTGAGTGAAAGTACAGCCTTGATGAACGATAATGTTTCGCGAATACTCGTACGAATACAAAGTTCCGAAATGGGCATGTCACTCCTCGTTCACTTCTTATATACACTGACGGATGTAGATGATAAATCACGAGCCATTACGCGCTGGCTTGCACCGATCAACCCATGGGAGAGCCATAACGCAGCAGTTGCATCCCGTCAGCCTGACACAGGTGGCTGGTTAATACAGTCAAAGGCTTTCCAAAACTGGTCAATGTCAAAGAGTGGTGGTCTATGGCTGAGTGGATTCCGTAGGTTATAATATCTGTGTAGAGTGACGGCCTCTGCTAACACCGTATCAGCTGGTTCTGGAAAGACCATCTTGTTGTGAGTGGAGAACATGATGATTACTACATGTGCGCTGACTTTACCACAGCGCAAACGTCATCCTGTCATTGCAAGATCAGATAACGAGCTCGCCGCAACGGACAGTTGCAGCGTTCTTCTACTGCGATTTCCGACAGCGCGAGTCACAAGACCCAATAAACATTCTAGGCTCATTGGCAGCTCAAATCTGTTACCAGTCAGAGTCCTATCCTAGTGAGCTGGAACTGGCCTTCCAGCACAGTCTCCATTCTGGTAAACGGCCAAGTATCGCATTACTCAGAGATGCACTTTGCGCTTTGTCAGCATCAGCGAGAATTGTTCTTCTGGTAGATGCAATTGACGAGTGTAGCGAGCGACAGGAGTTGCTGAGTACCTTCAATTACCTACTAGACATGTCAGCGAACATTACCATCTTGCTCACCAGTCGGCACGAGCTCGATATACAAGACGCTCTGGTGCCATTTGAGCACGTCAGGATCGAGGATTGGATCAAAGAGATTGATGAAGACATCGAGACGTACATCAACTACAGATTGGAAAGTGATCTACGTCTGTCGCGACTCAAGCCATCAATTAAGGATGAAGTTCGAGACAGCATACATGGAAAGTCACATGGCATGTAAGTGATACACAGACTAAGCCTGATTGTCAATTAACACCCCAGGTTTCGCCTCGTTCAATGTAGTCTAGACGGCGTGTCAGCGCTGCGAACTGTCCGTGACATACGCACCGCGCTCCAACACATTCCTCACGAACTCGGGCAAACGTATGAAAATATCCTGGTTCGTGTATCCGCAGCTGATGCAGCTATCGTACGCAAGATCCTGCTCTGGCTTTGCTTCACCATGCTGCCGATAACCTTGGACGAGCTACACTCCGCCATCGCAATCGAGCATGGCCTGGATGAGCTAGATGAAGATTCGTGTCTTAGCAGTGCTCAGGAGATCGTTGCAGTTTGCGGATGTCTTATCACAGTGTCGACTACTGGCTACGTTCGCCTCGCTCACTTGTCTGTCAAAGATTACCTGCTCTCAGAAGGCATTCGTAATGGACCCGCATCGTCCTTTGCGCTCGGCCAATTAGCTGGTAATTGCGAACTCGCCCTGGATTGCTTCACATACCTATCGTACGGCAGCTTCCGCAGCGGGCCGTCCTGCTCAGAGGAAGATTTCGCGCTTCGTTTGAAGAACTATCCATTCCTCCGCCACGCGGCCACGACATGGACATACTACCTACGCGCGACCGAAGTAGCGGGAGAACCTTCAATCCAACTTGATGAAAAGATCCTGAGCTTCTTCTCGCCAGAGACTAGCCGGGCTTTCATGTCCTGGGTACAAGTGCTAAACGCAGGCTCTTCTTCAGGCGGAAGCAGCTGGACTTCGTATCCGAAACATGCTACCACGTTATACTACGCCGCATCGTTCGGTCTGCTCGAAGTGACTCAACATCTCATTGAAGCAGGTGTTGATCTGAACACACCAGCCAGTCGCTATGGAGGTACAGCATTACATGGCGCGGTTTGTCGCAATCACATACCAATCGTACGCGCCCTGTTAGAAGCCGGTGCAGACGCCGGGCAGAGTGATTGGGATAAAGTCACTCCACTGCACACAGCGGCGGTGGAAGGTTATGTTGATTGCGCAATACTACTGCTTCAATATGGCGCAGACAGGAATGCCTTGGACAAAGCTGGTGAGAAACCGATCGATTGGGCTATCAAAGGCGAGCAGGAGTGTCAAAAGATTTTGGAGACCAAATTGGGGATGCTAGACGCGGATATGGTAGGTCCGTTGTTAGCTGATCTCAAATTTCGCAGAAAGATCGCTGCGAATGCTTCCGAAGTGAAGGTGTGGGCTGGATGGGATGGGAAATACATCCCCGAATGGTCCAAGTAAAGATGATCTGATTATGGCTGCAGGGAATGATCATGTTCTATGGCTTATTATGTTTCCAGTCTCGATTTCTTAACCTATAATAACTACTTCTCCCCCTTGGGCACCCCCATCCCATGCATCCCCCTATACCTACTCCTTTCACTCTCCCTCCACCCACCTAATACCTCCCCCCTAACCTCCTCCCCGATCTCCCAAACCTCCACCCGAATCGGCCTACACGTACCCTTCATCCCCTCCTCCCCACCCGCCTCCTCCTCCTCCGCCTGCGTCCACCCCCACCTCGACAAATCGCCGCCCGGACACGTACTCAACGCACACAACAAATCCGTCTCGGCGAACCACTCCACATAACTCTCCTTCGTCGCCGGACTAGCCTCCATGAAATACCTGCCCTGACCATCCAACCCGGTAGTCTGAAACACATTGAGCACATCATGCACGTCAAACTCGGTCAAGCCGTAGGGCAGCACCGCCCGCACGAGATTCGAATGGCAGTGGAAATCATACTCCGCGCCAGTGAGCATATGAGAAACATACGGATCGCACCGCGTCCCGAGTAAGTCATGCGTGCGTCCGCCCCATCTCGTCAGCTGCCCGCGCTCATCGCTCGCCGCCGCGCGAGTGTCTGGCGCGTCGGAAAGTAAACACCCATCCTTAAGCATCCCGCACAAAGGCCGCATGAATGGGAGATTACTCCACAGGCGGTCGCCTTCGCGCACATGACTCCCTTGCAACTGTCTCGTGCGCGCGGCCCAGAATCTTTCGCGGGGATCGTGTTGCGCCCAGATGTTTAGGTCGCCGACTTGGGGGCCCGAGGGGGTGGAGAGGCGCCAGATCTGGCCGGCGGAGACTTTCCAGGCTTTTCCGCTGCGCGGGGGGATGAGGAAGTCTTGTTTCTTGATCAAGTTGGTCGGGTTGAGGTTTCTAAGCTTGGTGTAGAGGACGGTGGGAGGGTGTAGGGGAGAGGAGGCGTGGGTGGGGAAATAGGCTGGGGCGGGGGGAGTAGGTTCTTGTTGACGATTTGAAGCCATGGTTTGTTGAAGTTTGGTTTGCGGTTTGATGTGGTGATTTGACTTGGTGATAGTTGTGGTTGGGGTTTGATATTGAGGATAGTATGTATGAGCCGCGGATAAGCGATGGTAGGAAACCCGGTATCGGACGTCTTCATGCAGTGTGGAGTATCGCTGACTGTAGGGCGTGCTACTGGCTTCGCATGCACGCGAGTATGACAAACCAATGCCATTCTACTCCTCAAAGCATGAAAGGAGAATGTGGAGACTGCATTATGTGGAAGCGGAGCAATGCAATCAACAACGAACCAGATAGCACAATCACCTATTTCGCCTCTCATGTAGAATCTCTTGAACAATTTTCTTCTTATATGCTACTTTTTGCTCATATGTTCCATCCACCTAAACACCCGCACTTTTAACCTCCGCCCCCTCGCCATTAACCTGCTTCTCCAACTTATCCACAACACTCTCTTTCCTCGGCGGGCTATCCTCCGGGCTCGGAATCTCCAGGGTATTCGATCTCTTCGGCCTGAACGGAATGGGCGTCGTGGGTCTCGAGGAAAGGAACTGTTCCTTGAATTAGCAATGGCCTTGCACACGCTAGAAAAGTGGATGGACTCACCGAACTCGCCGCACTCAACAGCGCTATCAAACTCGCCTGTACAACATCCTGATGAATGCCCACACCCCAAACCTTAACGCTGCTCTGCGCCGCCGTGCAGCCAATGTACGTCGCGGCCTTGGCGTCTTTGCTTGTTCCAATAGTGTGCTCGTTGTAATCCACGACATCGAGCTCGATGCCCAGACCCCTCAGGGCGTCGACGAGAGAACTCAGCGCGCCGTTACCAGTACCTTGAAGCTGGTGCTCCACATGGTCGATCTCAATTACGCCCTTGAAGATACGGCGCAGATTGCGCGAAGACTGCGTCTTTCCTTCCTGCGGCGGCGCGGGAGACTTTGAGCGATCGGCTGTGATTTCGTAGTCGACGAGCTGGAAGCGGGGATTGCGCTTGAGGTGGTAGGCTTCCTCGAAGAGGGCGACGATTTCCGAGGGACGCAGTTCGCGGCCAAGCATATCCGTCTCCTTTTGCACGACTTTGGAAAACGCGATTTGCAGGCCTCGCGGCAGGTCAAGCTCGAGCTGGCGCTGGATGATCCATGCGACACCACCTTTGCCGGACTGGCTGTTGACGCGGATGATGGCTTCGTAGGTTCGTCCGATGTCCTGAGGGTCGAGGGGGAGGTAGGGGATTTGCCATCTTGACTCGTTGGTTGCGCCTTCCTTCTTGCGCTTCTGGAAGCCCTTTTTGATGGCGTCTTGATGCGAGCCGCTGAAGGCGCAGACGACGAGCTGGCCTCCGTATGGTGCGCGAGGGTGGATGGGGATCTTGTTGCATGTCTCGACCATGTCGATGATGGACTTGAGGTCGGAGAAGTCGATGCCGGGGTGTACGCCTTGTGTGTAGAGATTGAGTCCTAGAGTGACGAGATCCACGTTTCCAGTGCGCTCGCCGTTGCCAAACAGCGTACCTTCCACGCGATCTGCGCCAGCCATTTGTGCCAACTCCGCCGCTGCGACTGCGCATCCACGGTCATTGTGCGGGTGCAGAGACACGCAAATCTTCTCGCGTTCCGTGATGTTCTTGCAAAAGTACTCGATCTGGTCGGCGTACACATTCGGCGTCGCCATCTCGACCGTCGCGGGCAGGTTGAAAATGAGGGGCTTCTCAACACTCGGTTCCCACGCCGCCTTGACGGCCTCACACACCCTGATGACGAACTCTGGTGACGAGTCGGAGAAGGTCTCTGGTGAGAACTCGTATGCCCACTCAGTGCCCGCCTGCTCAGGGTCGTCCTTTGTTATCGAGCGCGCGTACTTTGTGCACTCGACGGCCAGCGCGACCGTCTCTTCATCGTTCATATTGAAGACAATCTGCTGAAAGCACGGGCTTGTCGCGAGGTAGAGGTGGAGAATGGCCTTCTTCGCGCCTTTGAGGGAATCGACGGTGCGGCGGATGAGCTCTTTGCGACATGGCGAGAGGACCTGTACCCAGACGTCGTCGGGCACGATGCCGGGTGTTTGTATGAGGCGCTGGGTGAAGTCGAAGTCGGTTTGCGAAGCCGAGGGGAACGAGACTTCAATTTCCTTGTAGCCGAGCTTGACGAGCATCTGGAAGTACTCCCATTTCTGCGTGCCGTCCTGCGCGTCGTGTTGGTGTTGTCGCGTGCGGTGGATGTGGGGGTGCACTTACCATGGGATCGACCAGACTCTGGTTGCCATCGCGCAAATCGGTCGACAGCCAGCGCGGCGGCTTGTCAATGGTTTTGCTCGGCCACGTCCTGTCTGGGAGGTTCAATGGCTGGAACTTTTTGTATTTCGTCGAGGGGTCCTTGAGCATTGGCATTTTGGGCGACGTGCAACTTTTCTTTTTTGCGGCGCAATTCCGCTGCGATGTGATGCGGGGGTCTGTTATATAAAATCACAACCTGAGACGGGAAGGAGCCAGCTGAACAGAGGTAAGAGAAGAAAGATGGGGTATCAAAGGTCAAAGGGCGAAGAGTCAGCCCAAGCAAAACTATGAATCACAAGCAATGCAAAAAATCTGGTGCTCGGTATAACTAGCCAGCAGCCCCAATGGCATATGACGCGCTGCGGGCACTAAAATGTGCGGGGGCCCAGAGACGAGCATGCGAAATCGGCGGGTAAGCCAGGGCCCCAACGAATGAAGATAGTCGTGATTAATTGTATACGAACACCACCACGTAGGCGTACATCGTGAGGTCCGCGGTGCTAGACACATCGTCATGTCTGCACCCTTGACCGTGCTCGAGCAGGTTTCTCAAGCATCGTGGCAGCACGGATACGAGTAGCAATCAGGCACGAGAATGGATACTTCAGCCATACGAGAACAAAACGTACTACTGCATGCACACCTACGCCATTGAAGACTTTGCAGTTCCAGACGCCCATGGCCAAGCGTTGCGGCTGATGCACTGCTTCCGGTTTTGGACGTGGCAGCTGATGGTCCGAAGACGAGGAGTCGTTTGGAGTTGGTATATTTCCCCAAGGAGAAGAACACAATTTGGGCCAGAGAGTGGTATTCCCATGTTCGCTCGTGAACGCCGCGAAGGTACACTTCATTCAGTGATCTCCAATCCATCCTGCCCTATTAAAGACACGTCCGGCATGTCCTACAAAAGCGGCACCCTCAACCCACAACAATCCACCTCATCCCCCCTAACCTCCACCCGCCGCCCCATGTACATTTCCCCAAATTCGTTCAAAAATGCGCGATCCGCTTCACTCCATGCATCCAGCCCCAGCCTACTAACTTCGCGCCTACCAACACTAACCTCATCCTCCCCCTCATATCCCTCCTCCTCAGCACTCTCTTCGATAATCGCCGACAACGTAGCGACGAGCGAAGACGTCTGCCGGTGGAAGTACGCAATGATGCTCGTCTCGATGTTCACGTGTGACAAGTCGCCGAGGATCTCGCGATCCGCGTCGCGCTCGGATGTGCTGTTGATGTCCTTCTCGCCCGCCGAGGCCCACCACATGAAGCCCGAGTACGCGAGGCGCGACCAGGTAATCGGCTCGACCATGGAGTCGTCGTAGGAGTCGTTGTACTCGTCGTCGGCGCGGTGGGCGTCGATTGAGGCGCGGGATATCAGGGGTTGTTGGTCGTCGTTGTCGTCGTCGGTGTAGCGCTCGACGGATGCGTTGCGGTGCTTGAACAGCTCCTTGTGAAGCATTTTGTAGCGCGCGACGTCGCGCTGGCTGGCTTTTATGAGGGTGCCGGACGAGGTGCGGAGGCGTGGCCAGCGGCGTTGTTGGGTTGGGAGTTCGACAATGACGTCGTAGAGTTTGGCTTTGGTGGATATGATCTCGTCGGTTGTGCAGGCTGTCCAGCCACTGGTGGTTGGGGCCTCGAGAGAGGGGATGTCGTGAACGCCGACAGAGAAGAGGGAGGGGAGGCGTAGGAGGGCTTCGGCACCGGGGAGCAGCAGTTCTGAGTCGCGTGCGGAGAGGCTTGAGAGAATGGAGAGGATGTAGACTAGACGTGTTAGGTGTGATAGATGGGCGTGTGCCTCCAGGACGTACCAAACTCGCACATGGCGCGCACAGGCGGGCCGCCAACGAAGAGGATCCGCTTGCGCAGGAGCGCTGCTTGTTGAAGCCTAAACACCAATGGGCCGAGGACATCGAGATATTTCAGCATCGAGAGTGCCGGATGATATGCCGGTAACCGCTCGTCGTCTTTTGTGACTGCCGAGACTGTCGATATGGCGCGCGCCCGGCTGTGTCCCTTGGTGTTGTCGTGCTGTCTTGCATGTGCCGTCTGCTCCTCCCAGAACTCTTCCAGCGGCGCAACCCCCTCGTCCTCCGCAATCGTCCTCGCTATGCTTTCCAGCCGTCCTGCCGCACCCCACGTCCTGCCCAGTATACCATCCCGCCGCGCCAATACGCCAACAGAGACGAAGTTGGCATTGCGCTCTTCCGACCCTGCCTCCCCCCGTGCGAATGCGCTGAGCCCAGCATAACCCTCGTGTGTAAAGTAGACGAGGTCGGACGCTTGCGCGTGAAGACCCGAGGGCAGCGACTTGTATTCTACTGCATTCTCCAGCTCAATGTCCGTCGTTGTGCGTTTCCAAGCGATTGTGTACCTGCCAGGCGTCAGCAAGTACGGGCACATGGGCTGGCGCATTACTTACCCGACTTTCTTGTCGAAGCGGATCAGGAACAGCGCCTCGATTTTCGGCAACTCGTTATCGCCATTGCTGTCGACGTCGGTCGCAACGCTCGACTGTGTTGAGGTAGACATATTGGCGGACGAAGCCGCGTAGTCGTTGGGGATACATGCAGCGCGCCAGTGACAAGATCGCGCGACCACATCCCTGACGGTACTCTCAGTAAGCCGAGGACATTCAGGCACCCTCATCAGTCGCATCTCACTCAAGACTTGTTTATATGCTCGCGTGTCACTGCTACATAAATTCACGCAACAGACTCATTGGACTCTGAATGGTATCTCATTTTCCCTTACACATCAAACACCTTCCCAAAATCATCAACTATTGTAACATGCCCTCCAAGCTCTCCCCAAGTACTCCCTCCACCTGACTAATCCATCGCTGTGTCTCTCTCTCCACCATCTCGTCGTCATCCTCCCTGAGCTCGCTAATGAAGGGCAACATCTCTGGCAACAGGCCCAGCCACTCCTCCCCAAGCCTCGTCGTGAGGCTTTGCTCGCACTTGACCGTCGCCAGTCTTGTCGCTGCAGAGTCCGATCTCATGTACCGCAGCAAGATGGTGTTGAGCTCGCGATGATTGTCGATTGAAGACGATGAAGACGCAGCAAGATCGGTGATGGTGGGAATGACGACTTCCGTAACTTCCTCCGTAGCAGAAATGGTAAGCAGATTCACAAGCGGCTTCAAGATAGTGCCAAAGTGCGAGGGTGCCTGCCAAAATGCATCTTGATCGTGCTGGAACGACTTCTGTAACGCGCCCAAGACTGCACTTCGCAGCTCCGAATCTGCGTCTTCCTGGGCAACATGTTCCAGCATCTTGGGCTGCGTGGTCGATGATGTAGCTTGAGTAGCTCGTGAACAATCCGACTTGAACTTGTCGAAGAACGCCGCAAGGAACTTGTAGAATGTGACAGCATACTCCGGTTTCGCGCTCATGGGCCCTTCCTGATCCACGAGCTGTACGAAGAATGGGCCGGAAGGTGGGCATCGTTGAGCTTCAGAACCATGGCAAGTGCGACTCATCAGAGTGTTGTCCAGCTGGTTCATCTCTTCATCGTCGTATTCTTGCTCTTCTTGTGAATCGATCGCTTGCTCTGACCTTGAACAGTTGAAGCAAAAGACTGAACAGTGTCGAGCTGGCTTTTATGAGCTTGCTCTTGCTCTGCAAGTCGACAGTCGAGCGGAGAAGTTCCAGATGTTCAGATGACGCCTCAAAGCCTTGGGATAGAGCATGCGGCCAGGTTGTCTTGATCGCAGCGAAAGTTTCCTGAGCACCGAGATGCTCGGATACATTCTGGTAGAACGTACGGCGGCTCTCATCGCAAGTGTCCTCAAGCCCACCAACCGCCGATCGGTGCGATAACCGGAGAGCCGTCTCCAAGTAGTCTCTTGAGAACATATAACCTAGTCTCTCGACAATGTTTGACAGTAGCGAGTAAACAGCATTGTGTAAACCGTTCTTCTCGCCCTCGATAGCTTGCGATAGATAGTCGAAAGCGGTAGGCAGTACTGTTGGCAGTAGAGCGATAGCCTCGTCTTCGAGGACATCAACAATAGAGGTAAGACATAGCAATGACAGGACACGGATTGTATCATTACCACTGGAAAGGGCTTGTGATCCGGCGATGGTCTGAGCGATGGACGCGACAGCGGTCATGTCTTTCTTGCCGAAGCGCTCGACAATCCGGTCGATGCAGCCGACTGAAATGATCTTAGCGTCCGTGTGCTGGGATTGTTGTAGCACTTTCTCGACACTTGGCAAGAACGAGATTAAAGATATGACAGACTTCTTGTCGTTCTGTACAGCATTTCCAGCTCGCAGCTCGACAGCCTTGATAGCAGCGATCTGCACTTGGTGGTCTGTGTTCACGAGTAGCAACTCAGCCGACTTGACCAGATCGGTCGTGGGAAGAAGATCCAGGCAGTTCGCGAGCACCCGACTGCAGGCTTCATACAGTTTGGGGGATGATGCCACCTTCTTGGAAAGCTGAATTGTGGTCTCGACGATATTAGCAAACACTTCTCGTGGCCTCGCCGGGTCGTCCTTTCGTCGAAAGGCTCTCGTTACGTGTGCTCGTAGTCGGTCATCCGTAGCAAGGTCAGCCAAAGAAACAAGCAGGTTCTTGATAGCCGTTTCGACCTGCGCCGCAGTCTTGTCGTTCAGTCCAAACAAACTGTCGGACACCTTGCGCTTCGGTCCTGCAGCGTCGACAACGAGATCGAGATAGCCCTTGATGGCATCGAGTGTATGGATCGGGTCGAAGACGAGTAACAGCTCCGTGGAGAACCTGCGCTGAGTCTTGCCGTTGTGGTAGCGATCCGCGAGCAAGGAAATGATTGCCGAGAGCGAGTCCTGCGGGCCAAGCGTCCGTGCAAGTTCCGAAAATAACTTCAGTCGACGGTGCAATGGGATATGCTCAAAAGCGGCGGTGAAGCTTAGCAAGAGATCGGAGACACCAGTGAGGAAGTTCTTGTGCTTTGCGCGGAGGGAGGCAGCCAGTTGCGGTACCACACGAGAAATGGTCTGACTAGTATTAGTAAGGTTCTTGACGTAAAGTGATAGCACCATACCTTGTCGACAACTTGTGCGGAGTAATCATCCTGTTGGCGAAGCAGCGTAGACCCGATGAAGGTGAAGATAGGCATCAAGTTATGTAGAATCAGCTCTGGCACCCATGATGCAAGGTTGGCAATCAGTAGCAATGCGCTGTTCTGCACCTGCGGGCTGGTAGAGTGCCGGATACAGTCGATGAGAAGATCAGCACGAACGGAAGACTGGTAGTCCGCAGTGTCCTTTTGTTGCTGAACGGTGTTAGCATGCATGAAACCGTGGACAACGAGATCACTGACCTTGAGAGTGTCGACAATAGGCGTCAGAGAGCCCAGGATCATGCTTTGCACGTAGACCAGCTCTGATCCGGACTGTTGCTTGAGTGGTTGCCAAGTCGTTGAAGACAGTGAATAGACTCTTGAAAAGGGCTGGGATGGTTGTCCCGGATTCGAGCCTTCGATAAGCTCAAAGAAACCAAAGTCAGCTTTCGCAACAAATCGCTGTACATCGTCCTGCGAGGCCAATTCCACGCGAGCCATCTCATTGCGACTCGTTCGTCGTCTCTTCTTGGTTGGAGGACCCTCGGGCATCTGGACAGCAGCAGGAACGCTCTCCAAGAAGGTCAGTAGCGTGGCGGAGTCATGCTTGACGTTTCGTAGGATTTCAATAGCTCGCTCGCGGCATTGCTTCTCGCCATCGTCCTTGCCCTCTTTGAATGACATGTCGAGCAAAGTGCGTGCTAGCGTTACTCGCTGCTCAGACTTTGTCGCTGGCCAAACAGCGGCAACTTTGTCAAAAACGGCCTCAGCGAGCAGTCTTTTGCTAGAGTCTAAGCTCTCAATCATGAGCTCGTTCAGCAACTGCACGCTCTTGGCTTCTCTGGCAACGAGTGCATTCAGATGCCCCCTGTACGCATCTTCCAAGGTCACCTTCTCTACATCACACACCTTTGATGCCTCTGCCAGAGGAAGTGTGCACCATCCCTGGATGAGCGGTAGGATGGTGTTGCTACGGACAGTATCTGAAACTTTACCGGAAAAGTTGAAGATCGGGAAAAGAATGATACGTATGCGTACCAGGGGAGACAGACTGAGATGGCTGGCAAAGAACGAGAGCCGATAGTAAGTCCTTGTCTGCGCGTTCATTCCATGCTTCGGTTGAGACTTGCTACCCTTAGATCCTTCTAACACTTCTCGGATCGCAGGAATAGCGAAAGTTGGGTCCATGACGCTCTCCTCGAGCATGGGAATCAGGATGGAGGAAAGTAGAGTAGACACGTCTTCGGACTTCAGCTGAACAACTTGGCTGACGTGTTTCTGGGCCTTTCCAGAGCTACCGTATAATTTGGAGCTTCCCCAGGTCGATGTGTTGGCTTGTGATCCAGAAGCCTCCGAAAGTGCGACAGTACAAGCTGCCGCAGCGCGTCGAACGGGAGCAGACGGATCTGCCAACGCGTGTAGGAGATACGGAATCAAGTTCTGGAAGTCGCAAGTGTCTTCGGCTGACTTCAGTGTTGCCGCAGCTGCGCGAAGTGCTGCAATGCGTGCGGCAGGCAATTGTGAACTGCACCAGATTCTGGCCAGGAGGCTCAAGTATAAATTGCTGTGCATAGCGTTCTCCTTGCCCAGAGATTTCGAAGCCAAGAATGGCGAAGACTGATGTGTTGATACCGCACGCTCAAAAGCATTGGCCACCTCTGCGAAGCTCTGAGATGCATCCAATTCCAGGAAGCTCTGCACTGCAAAGTCTGGAACTTCAACCTTGGGCGCCGCGATCGCTTGGCTTGATACATCGTCAACGTCGAGCATATCCTCATCCTCATCGTTGTCGATTTGCGCAGTTTCCAAGGCCGGGGCAAGTGTAAGTCCTAGAGATTCCAGGTCCACGTTGTCAGACTTTGCGGCGGCGCGCATTCCATCAAGGAAATAAGTCGTTTCTGCAAGTTGGGCTGCGAGGTCGAGCAGCTGTCCATGTTCAGTAGATCCAGGCGCAGAGTCACGTATTGAGGTGACGAGCGCAGCAAGCGCGGCTCGTGTGTAGGCTTCAGTGAGCAAGCCTGAAGCCATCAGTTCTTGGAACACGTCGCGTTGCTCCTCTAAGCGGTCGATACTGGCGAGTGCGCCAAGAGCACATCCGAGTGTAAGGCGGTGTACGCGGCATTGCTTCGAGATCTGGACAAGCTTTTGTGAGAGCTGTGGTACTTTGAGAAGTCTGCGGATGACGCGGGGTGGGAGTTGTGCGGGCGACCTCTGCTCTGCGAGGACAGCCAAACATTGAAGACAGGCATTCAGCGAGTCCGCTTCGTGAGCCAGGACTACAGCCTCCATAAGACCGTCCAGCACCTTCTCGCCCAGCTCGCCTCTTCCTGCCAGTACAGTGACGATACTGTAGCATGCGGCCACAGTCTCAGCACCGTATTTCGCCTGCATACAGCTGTTCAAAACTGGGAGTATCCTCAAAACTAGCTCTTCTGTCTTTTGCGATTGGATGTCTCTCCTTCCAGAGCTAGTGTTTTCGAGTATGCCAAAAACTGCTTCCAGGGTGATGGTGGACCAGAAGGAAATCATCTGCGGCGCCTGGTGGCCAGCCTTGACCACCCTGACTGTGTGCGCCTGTAGCGCATTGAAGAACCCGGGCGTGTTCACTGCCGTGTATACAATGGTCCTTCTTGGCGGATTCGTGGGTGATTGGATATATGGGTGCAGGAATCGGAGATGAGGGCGGCGGCTGGCTGGGGAGGATTGAGAGCAGGGCGAGGAATTGCGGCGTAGTGTGGTATGGAAGGTATGTCAAGGCCAGACATTCTGTGTTGTACTCGTGGACTCTGTAACGCTATCAGCACCTCGAGGATCAACGTATCACATCGATTCAGACATACCGGAACCGCCTGACTAGCCACTCTACGGCCTTTTGCGCAGGCTTCAGTAGCAGCCGGGGGCCGACTAATGTGATAAAAGCCTCCACGACGGCATTCAGCTTCTTGTTCTCCTCCTTGGTCATCTGCGTCCGGTCCTCGACCTTGCTCTGCTCGCTGAACAAGCTTTTTGAAAATTGAAGAAAGCGCGAATCGAGCGCGCACAGATCCCGGAAGCCCTCATAGCATATTAAGTAAACGGTTTCGAAAGACTGCGAAGCTGCAATCTTGGGTTCAAATAGCAGCGACTTTCCATGTGCCGACTTTTGCGCCTTGAGGTCGAGTTGGTGGGTGCTCGACGCAGCAATCGCCGCGAGCTGCTTCTGGAGGGCAGTCGCCATGGCGCAAACTGTTTTACGTCTCTACGAGCTTGGTTTGGGGCTATGTTCAAATCTCCGAAGCCATGTGACGCTGTGAAAAGAGCGTGGGGTCGGTCGTGGCGTAAATGTCGATTTGATGGTTTGGATGGGTCGCAGCTTCCGTCTCGAAATAATCTTTCTTCATTTCGCGCTAGTGAGTCGCCCAATCATCGCGCCCCAACTCCGCAACCACTTCCACTCTCCACTCCAAAACCTTCTCGTCGCCATCACGTCTTGACCGTCGCAGATTCATGTACAACGTCTGCTGCACTAGAGGAGTATCATGGAGCGTGTGGCGCCCGGCGTATGTACGGTCGCTCAAAAGTGAACATGGCGTCAAATGTACCCAAGTTTACCAGCTTCCGCCCAAAACCCAAGCCGGCGGTTGAACCGCCTAAAGAAGCCTCGAAATCAGAGGTAAGAGCAAAAAGCTCGTCGAGACCCAAAAAGCATGGCGCACAAGTTGAGTCGCGCGTTGCAGACACACCAAAATCTGAGCAAATTGAGCCCTCATCCAAGTTGTATTTCAGCGACAGGAGAGGTGATCCAGACATTCTAAAATATGGCGCTCTCAGTCGCTATGATATACCCACATACCGAAGAGCTGGTTACGGATACGTCCTGGGCTTGAGCTTGGATCAGAAAATCGACCGCGAACGATCGTCACATTCCAAAACCTACATGACATATGTCTCAGGTCGCCAGCAAGAGAGACTGATGACCGCCAAGAATGTGCCCAAAGAGAGTAGTCGGACGCTGCGCATCGTGCAGAGCAGCGAAAGTCCAAGTCTTGCCGAAGAGCTAGACTTTATCGCGCTGTCTAACCACGACAAGAGACGACGCGACGACAGTGACAGCAGAGAAGATGGGGGACCTCCCGATCTGGACTATCGCGGCATCGAGCGCGACGTCAGCCAACCACTCGACCCGGATACTCAATACGACGATCATCTTGAAGATCTGACTGCTATCTCAGAGCTCACTAAGAAGAACACTGAGCTTGTACGCAAAACTCGTGAGCATCCAGAGGACATACAGCCATGGCTAGACTTCATCGAGCACCAGGAAGTAATGATAGCCCCAGAGCGCTCTCTTGGTGAAGTCGACGAAGCTAGACAACGACAACTTGCTGATGTGCGCATACCAATATACGAAGAAGCTTTGAAGAAAGTCAAAAATGCTCAAAATGACCACATCCAGCTGTACCGAGGCTTGCTCAAAGAGGCGCAAAAGTCATGGACTGAGAGCAAGTTGTGGAATAGATGGACCGAGGTACTCAAGGTGCATACTGAGAGCCCAGAGCTGTGGCTGATGTATTTGGATTTCGTACAGTCGCATCTTGCCCGATTCAAGTATGAGGCCTGTCGCAAGACGTTCCTCGAGTGTCTCGATGCTCTTCAGGGGTCGAAGGAAGTGGCTGTAGAGTCAGTTCTGCACATCTTCGTTCGTATGACAAGCATGATACATGGAGCCGGATATCAAGAGCTTGCCCTAGCCATATGGCAATCCGTCTTGGAACGGAATCTCTCACAGCCGCCCATGACAGCGGCGGATCTCGGAGACTTTGAGCAATTCTGGGAGAGCGAAGCCCCGCGGATTGGTGAGGCTGAAGCCAGTGGGTGGCGGAAGGCTGCAGACGACGACATACCGTCCAATACTGAGTCCTTGCTTCCACAAAATCCAGGAGACTCCATCTTTGAGGACTTTCGAAAGCGCGAACACGATTCCATTGAGAAGCTACGATATCCTGGACGTGCTTCAGATGAAGTGGGCGAAGATGACGCCTTCCACACGATCTTCTACGCGGATATCGAGCCATACATCAAGAGCGTTCCAGCAGATACTCCGACTGTGCTCCTATTAGAAGCATTCCTTTGTTTCTGTGGTCTACCATCATTGCCACGTATAGGAAATCACCAGCGATTATGGTGGGATGATCCATTCATTGCGCAGCGTGGCGCCGACACACCGTCATCTCACCATCTCGAAGGTGCCGAACAAGGCTCTATCGTCGATAAGTTTGAACAATTCTTCGCTTGCGAAAAGACTAGCTTCCAGATGACAAGCGAACTTCTCTTCCATGACGACTTCAATCTCAGTGGAGTCCGAATCGGCGCGGACTTCATACAGCGTATCCTCCAGCTCGCCGCCATGGAAACGAAAGATGCGATTCTCGGAGAATATTTGCTTGCCTTTGAGTACCGCCATTCTCCAACAGAAGTTGTCAAGACGGCAAAACAGCTTCTGAAAGCGCAACCCACGAGCCAGCATCTTTACCATGCGTACGGTCTGGTCGAGTCACGTCGCGGGAAACCAGAAAAAGCGAATCAAGTCTTCAGCATGGCCTTATCCATGCGCACTCTTGGTACCTCCGAAAGCCTACAACTATTCAACAGCTGGGTGTGGGAAGCACTATATGCCAACGACCACCTCGAGGCCCTGTGGCGTCTCTCATCACCGTCTGGCAAACTTCCCACTAGATCGGATCCAACAAAGCCCCCAAACGCAGCCCTCATCCAGAACGCATCAACAACTCTAAGCTCAATCAGCGAACAATCTCTCCTCACACACGCCTACCCCTCCGCCGTCCTCAGCACATCCCTCCTCGCGCTCGTCACCTACCTCACCTCCTCCCTTAGCCCCGAAATCATCATATCCGCACACCACAACCTCCTCTCATGGTTCACATCCCACGCCCTGCATACCTCACCCGCCTCAGAACTCTCCGCCCAATCTCTCGCCCGCTTCCTCCTGCACCACGCCACCCACGCGCCCATCCTCAAACCCTCCCTGATTCGCACCGCTCTGGAGCCCTACATCGCGCTCTTCCCAAACAACACGATCCTGCTGTCGCTCTACGCAGCTAACGAGTCGCGCTTCGCCGTCGACGATCGCGTGCGGGGCATCATGGCCGAGCGCGCGCTGCCGACGAGCGTGGCGGGCTGGTGTTTTGCGATTCGGTTTGAAGAGAAGAGGGCGGAGGTGGCGAGGACGGCGGGCGCGATTCGCGCGGCGTATAAGCGCGCTACGCATGCGGAGGCTTCGGGGGCGCATTCACTCGCCATCTGGACGAGTTATTTGCGGTTCGAGGTCGAGCAGTTGGGGGTCTTGAAAGACAGGGTCGCGGGAGAAAGACCCGGTAAGGATGGCAGGAAGAGGACGTGGGAGAAGAGGGTGGATGAGGCGCGGGAGAGGGTTAAAGAGACGTTTTATGCTGGGTTGAGGAATCTGCCTTGGTGTAAGGAGTTTATCATGTTGGGGTTTGGGGAGAGTGGTAAGGGTGTGTTTGGTGAGGGAGAGCTGTGGAAGATTTATCGCGTCTTGCAGGAGAAGGAGTTGAGGGTTTATGTGGAGCTTGATTAAATTGGGCTTATCTCACTATATGTGTAATCTTGGGTTCAAGGGATTGGGTGAGTCAATACGAATAGCGCGCGATCATCATGTATTCGTCAATCTTCGCTGTGTATTATGGTTCGTTCACTACGAGGGGGCTTTCATCAGCCCAAAGCTATACACAATATCACTATACTTCAATTGCGACATAAGGCGCCGTGTATACCTTCAGGCTACGGGATGAGCTAACATCTGTCGCCTGGTTGCATTGCATCATAATTGATAATATGTACCATGTTCCGTTGATCATCATTGCCCGCCATCATCCTGCAGCAAAAGCACCGTCTAGCACACAGCATGTGTCTTACCCGTCTTGCCTTGCAAGCTATGGTCCTCATCCACAAACGGATTGTTCGCCTTCTTGCCCTTTGAGAAGATCGGCGTAGTGAGCGTCGAGCGGCGGCGCATAGCAAATTGATGCCTGCAACACATTAGAATCACAAATATTCGCATCCGAATCCAGAAACAGAGGACGACTCACTCCTTATGCTCCTGCAGCTTCTTCGCATCCAGCGAATCCAGCGTCTGCAGCGCAAGTTTGAAATCCGCAATTAGCGCGTCACACCTCGACTTTGTAAAGTCCTCGCGTACGACTACTCTCAGCATCTTCATCTGCTCCGAGTGCGGCGCCATGGTGTAGGCAGGAACAACCCAGCCGCGCTCGCGCAGTTGGTGGGCACTGCTATATGTCAATGTCGGCGCCAGGCTGGATAATCAGTGAGACTTACACGGCGAATTCGTCGTACTGCTTTCCGAGATCCTCGTCAATTCTTGCAGCGACGAGGGGCAGGCCTTCGCCACCTCGCTGGCTCATGATGATGAAGCCCATGTTTTCGAGGTTTGCTGAGAGGTAGTCGGCTGTGCGCGTGAGGTTCAGCATGATGCGTCTGTATCCACGCTTGCCTAAGCGAATAAGTTGGTAGTACTGTCCGATAATCTGACTGGCGCCGCGGGAAAAGTTGAGCGTGAAGGATGCCTGGTCCGCACCAAGATAGTTGATGTTGAAGACAAGCTCCTGGGGTAGGTACTTGGGATCGCGCCATACGACCCAGCCTACTCCAGGGTACACTAATCCGTACTTGTGACCATGGGGGTGTTAGCAATGCCTGGATGTACACAAGATTCTCGAGCTTACCCAGAGACGTTGATTGACGTGACCTTGGGAAGGCGGAAGTCCCAGAGAAGACCAGGGTTGACGAAGGGAGCGACGAAACCACCAGATGCAGCGTCTACATGGATATCAACCTCGATGTTACGCTCAATCAAGAGATCGTTGATGCCCTTGATGTCTTCGTATTCGCCCGTGTAGGTGGTCCCAAGGATGGCGCCTGTTCAAATAAGCATCCGGCTGCTGTAGAGAGTAAGAAGACTCACAAATGCCGATAGTGTTCTCGTCACACAGATCAACGCACTCCTTGGGATCGATGACATAGCGCTCGGTAGTGCAGTATACATATCGCTCCTCGACGTCGAAGTAGCGACACGCCTTCTCCCAGCACACCTGAACTGCCGAGTTCATGATCATGTTGGGCTTATCGAATGGCTTGCCCTCTGCCTTGCGCTTATTTTGCCATAGCTTCTTCATTGCTAGCACGCCCAGCATGATAGCCTCGGACGAACCGATTGTAGAGGTACCGATAGTGTTACTGTCGTCTTCGGAGGGAGCATTGAAGAGGCGGGCAATCATAGAGACGCAGCGGTTCTGGATATCTGCGGAGACGGGGTATTCCTCGTAGTCGATGAAGTTCTTGGAGAAGGCATCTCTGTGGTAATGTCATGTTAGCGAGGTTATAGTTGAGTGTAGACCTGGTACGTACACCATGAGCTTCTCGGCTTCTTCTTCCATATAAGTTGTAACAAACGACGCGAGGTTGAGCGTCGGCGTGCCATCGAGCGTGAGGTCATCTTTGATGAGGCGGTACGCGACAGAAGGCGGCATCTCCTTGTCGGGCATCTCATGGCGTGGCAGGTCTTCTTCAGCATATCGGCTACCGTACACCGTTGCCGTGTAGTCGTCCGCATCGTCATCTGGGTGGAGATTGATCTTGGACTCAGGAGCCGATTCAAACTGGGACTTCTCGTCATTGACCTCCTTCGTGGTGGCTACACGATTGATGTGCACCATGGTTGCTGTAGAGGTTCAATCTGCGGAGGTTCGGGGCCAATTGAAAGCTATGAAGTATGACAAAGGAAGAGAGGAGAAGCAATGAAGTCAGAGCCCAAGGCAACCGGGGCAGGCGCGTCTTATATGGCGCAGTCAATAACCTGTGTTTACGCAGCTAGTCGTCAGCTCAACACAGCTACCCCACCATGCCAACGCCTGCATCACCACCCTTCACTGGTATATGCAGGCCTGCATACCCTGTTCGACGTGTCACTGCGCGTCAGTATCTGGCTAGAACCCGCTCCATCTCACCCATTGCTTCTTCTGTGTGGCTTGACGGCCGGTAATCCCGCATCGCTGCGTGTTTGTATCCCGCGGTTTCCATTCGAGAATCGTCATGGCGGGGCATCATCAAGCATTGGACTAAAAGCTTGTCTTACTCTAGTGCAGCTGCTATTCCGCATACAGGGATAGGCTAACGGTCATGGGCCGAGTCTCAGCGGGGTTGCGGTATACAGGTGTATCCTACATCAGGGTGCTGGCTATTTGCAGACCGCCCTTTGTCGTATAGCATGATATTTCCAAGACATGGCCCGACTGCGCCATATTTGCCCTGCACTGCAGCAGGACACTCCACATTTCAGCCGAAGCTACCCCACGGCACGAGTGTCTCAATCGCCGAACGTTTGGCCAGCGGGACGACCCTTGAGCTGCCGAAGGAAAATCCTGCAGGTTGATTGTCAGAGAACAATGACCTACAATATGGTAGCTTGGGATGTCTTTCTTGGCATACCATTGACTTCTGCTAACGTAACATAAAATATGCGCGGCACCAGGCGCCGGCAAAATTCCTGCCCGCCCTTTTCCAAATAGAAAGAGGCGATGAGGTAGCCTATATATATTCAAATAGTTCTGGTAGAGTTAGATAGAGCATCTTAGAGCTGCGTATACATCAGGCCCCCCTAAGGTTATAATAAGTATGTCTCTAAATACTATTAGCTTATATCATGTAGGTGCAGAGCCGGGCACGAATTTTACCGCTGCCTGGTGGCGGATGTTGTAGAATCATAAGCGTTTACAGCTATGAAGAAATGCAACGAGGGTCCTGCTAAAGAGCGAATAGCCTGAAGTCAACGGTACTGCTAGACGTCTAATGCGGCGCTAATACCCTCTGTATAGCTTCAGAACACTGGACCGGCTACCACCTGCGTCGTCGCTTTCCGTCGTGATTGATAACACAGAAAAACGTCTGCAGTGCTATCCAGTTCGCTTGAAACAACATAGAATACATACTGCGCCGCACCAGCTTCACCTCTCCAGACATCAAGTTTAAGAAGCAAGAATTGCGCAACGGGAAGTATGAATATTGTGGCTGAAACCACAGCTGCATAAAGTCATCAAGGCCATTCTTCCTTCTTGACATGAACGTGATGCTACCCGCCGTCGCTTTCAGATAATAGCCGTCCTCTAACTCCATCTTCTTCGCCTTTAGAGTCATAAGCTCGCCGAAATCGATTCTACGCATACCGAAAAGCTGACGTATAAACACTAAACATTAGGGCACCTTGAACTCCATCGTGGTGCGCTTGTCCGAGCCCGGACTCAAGTTGGGTATGATGCTTTGATAATATGATGGCGCTCGTGACATGAGCCAATAGCCCCATGATGTCCTGGCAGGACGGCTGTCGCGAAGTGCCTTTTTCGTAGTATAGTGTGAAAGCATATGCCCCCAGATGCACGATGCTCGCCTCCTCCACACCCGTGGAAAACGCCAATATAGCCATCTCTTCCTCAACTAGACCATATCTCCCTCATATTATATTCGCAATGCTGATGCGGCTCGAGCTCGACGGCGCCGGGCTCGGAGGCGGCGCAGTTTTCGGCGACAGATTCGCGTCCGTTGCCAACTGCACTCGCTTGACAGGATTATGCGGCGTCGGATAATAACTCGAAGTACGCGGGTGACTTTCATCCATGAGCTGACGAATCAAGTGCTCGATCCTGGCCCAGTCGTTCCAATCTTGCTTCGGTGAAGTCGGGGGAGGTACGTCACGCATCGGCTCGTCCCGTGAAGTGTCGTGTTGCGAGGTCGTGGGATTGGCCTTCCATATCCACGAATGCTCAACGTTGCCTTGAACATCGCCACTGACGTATGCCAGCATCTCTTCGTCCTGTTCCAGTTGCTGCGGGCTTCCATGGCCGCTGCGCACGCGGTTCAGCAGTTGCTCGAGGAAGAAAGCCGTGTACCTCCCACACTCGCCGTTCAGTTTGCGGCTCGTCCCGATCGCGCTCGACAGATGTAGGCACATGAATGCGGCGTCATAGTCTCCGCGAAAGCACAGCATCAATATGCAGCGCCATACGTGGAGGCATACCATGTTACTGGCGATGAACATGACTCGTGTTTGCCAACTCTTCTCGGAATCTGCTCTTGTCGGGTTGTGCAACGTCCGCGAAATGTATTTGGCCGTCTCCTGGGCGAGGGAGATGCATCGACTCAATGCTTCTGCACGCTCCTGCGGTCGACATACGGGTGTAAGGTTGCGCCTGTAGAAGTGAAACTGGGCGGAAAGTAGGGTAAAGAGTGGTGGTAACGCTGTCGTTTCCAGAGCGGCAGCTGAGCTCGGTCGATAGGATTCTGGTAGAAGCGAGATTCTAGAACGGAACTGTTCGTCAAAATTGTGTAAGACCTGAGGGGGAACGATGCTAGATTTCAGAGCTTGGTAAAGCGAAGCGTGTAGTCTTGTGATTTGTATAACTGCGAGGAAGGAGGTGTATGGTGCTGAGACGGCATGTGAGCGAGTGATGCCCTGCGCCTGGATATAGCGGTCTTCGACTGGAGACGGGAGAGAAGCTTCGCAATCGTCCTCGTTGATCAACATTGGCCGGTGCGAGTCCAGGGACGTGATCCTGTAAGCCTGTCAGCTATGGATGAATTACGTGTACTCCTCCAGCTTACCTATCGCGAGTGTATATAGCCCACCACAGCCTGCGTCGAGTCTCGATGTCAATTGTTGAGCCAGTGATAATGTCGCAATGTGCATTTAATTCCTGAGCGGCCCGAGCAGCAGAGCCCAGCCACATCGAGCCAATTGACCTCAAATTCTGATCAGACGCAAAGATGCTCAGCAGAAAAGATGCCTGTGCAAACTGAAATGTGATGTCTTGCGGCCATGGCGTTAGAGATTGTACTGCGGTATCGAAATACGCAGTGCTTTCTGGCGAGGTCGCTGTCGAAGTCTGCAAAGTGCCACAGGCCAGGATTGCGAAGAAGAGCCCGATCCATTCTCGAGTCGTGTCGTCGAAGCTCTTTGCCGTGTAAACATCGTCCACTTCACGCTGGAAGGTTGGCCAATGTACAATTGGATACCATTCGTGGGTAGAGTCAAGATACGACCGTGACAGGCGTGCAAAGTCGGCGCGTGGGGGTAGTCCGGGCGGCACAGCGCTTGTGCTCCTGCGAGTGGTGCCAGCCGCAGAAGATGTTGCAAATATGCCATGAGCGTGCGCTCGGAAGTTGTCGCGCACCTGGTCAAAGTTCTTCAAAACAGGCGCGACAATCCGTTGCGGACCAGATGACACCGTAGGCTGTATCTCCGCGTACACTCGTTTTAGCTCAGTGCGTTCCATAGTGCTGAATTCCCCACCCAACGAATTTGATCGCGTTGGCCCGTTCATGTGAGTCAGCTCAGCCAGTTGGCTGTTCATCTGCGTCAGTTCGGCAATTTGGCTTTGGAGATCCTGTACTTGTCTAGAGTGTGAGTCAGTATATTGTTCATCCAACAAGAATACTGTCGTACTTGATAGACGACATGCGCCGGTTCGTTTCTTTCGTGAACTGACACTTGTGATTCCGACTGGAGCATTCCGAACAGGCGGATGTTTCTGTGGCATCGCACTACATCGCGAGTCAGATCTCTTGTCAAAAAATGCTCGCTTGCGCTACACATCCACTCGGCACCAAGGAATTAGATGCCGGGTAGTTCGCCTAACGTATGATTGCTTTCGGGAAGGTGATTGAGCAATAAGACGGCTGGCTGTGACTCTGGATCTCCAAGCTCTTGTTTGAATAGAGAGGATTATTCGCCCACAGTTGGCGTCGCAAACTGTAAGCTATACAACAATACAACGTACCTTGACTTTCCTCTCCCTACAAGCATCGCATGAAGGGTCCTTCCTCCGTTGCCTGTAAGCCCTCTTCTGGGCATTCAAGCTGGCTGACGAAATTTGCGTCGGGGATATCATCATCAGGGGCGGCTCGTGACTCTGCATCTCGGGCATACTCCCAGAACCAGTACTGGGAGATGTGGAATAGCTGTAGGAAGTTGACGAGTAGCCGGGCGACCGTGAGAGTGTGAAAGGAGGATTGGGAGTCGTGAGAGTCGTGGTCCGCGTCGACGACGTCGCGTTCGCAAACGGGTTGTGGGGTGGTATCATGGTACGTGGTGATTGTTCCGTTGCATGTGTAGGGGATCTACGCATGATGGCGGAGTTTTGTTGGGCCACCTGCCTTGTGGATGGAACGGATGGGTCGAATCGGTCGAGGCTGTCGGCACTGGAGCTCCTACCGCTATTGTGGGGAATAATGGCTTCTTTCGGCAGCTACCGAATCGACCTATCTGTAGAAGAAAAGACTGGGGAGATGCAATTGGCGCGATCAATGCTCAATGCATGTCATTGAGTCCTTTTGCCGGAAAGTGGGAACGACTTGAGATCTGATGTGTGCGCTGACTAAAGCAGTCTACCAGCTGAGGTATGGCACAGCTTTGTGCGAGGACCCTAGTACAAGGTGTCGAGTGACCCGGCTATCATGTAGTGGGTGCAGATGTCGGGTGTTCCGTGTCGCTTGAGCAAGTCTTGCCAACCAACCGCCGGACAGCTTGCAGGATGTGCACAAGCGTAAGCTTGGAGACTATGGACCAGCCCACTTCTGCAAACAGGCTCAAGCCACAATAGTTGTTAGCATGGTCTTTGCGTTTGTAGTGTCGAATATGGTAGTGTGAGAGTGTCTGGCAAAGAAGAAAGATCGAAGTCCCTAGCGAGGAATCATGAAACGGCGAAAGACCAGAGTACGAGCAATCAGGGGTCTGGCTTGATTTGCATCAAGAGAGGCACTGGGGCGACGATCAGTCTATTCCCCGACGACTGAAAAGGTGTTTGTTCGGCACGCTCGAGAGAGGGTACAGGAGGAACCAGACTTGGTCGCCACCATCCGTTACGATATCGGGCGAGTGCTTTGAGCTACACAGGGGATTGACAAGCATCCCTGTCCAGCGGCACGTGTCGCTTTGCGATGGTTGATGACTTGGGTCTGGGACAGAATACTTGCGACCTAGTCAAGGGTCAAAACATCCCGGTATAGTGGATTGAAGAACGGCTAGCTCAAGCCACGCGTGTCGAAGGCCAGCGCGGCTTATGCACACCACGTACCTGTGATCATGGAAGCCAAAGCTAAATGCGGGTAGGTAGCGCCACAGGCAGCTGTCTTTGAGGTCCGTTTGTCTCTTGTCATACGGCTGAACTGATACATGTCATGCACATCAAGCACTCGTGTGTCGTGATTACTGCCCAATTCTCCCGACATGCATGTTCGAGAGGTGCCCTGACATAGAGGAGCGTGCGTAGCGAGTACTCCTAGTCTAGTCAAGCGATTGCAGGCTGAGAACTCAAGACTCAAAGGCCGCGTCGGATGTAGATCCGGGATTTCTATCAAACAGCGAAGTAGATCGTTACCTTGTCCGACAGCGATCCCAGCAGAACAAGGGACAACTGTGATCTGCGCTCTATGTACTGGAAGAAATTTGGGGATAACGACTCTTCCACGCCGTCTAAACGGTTGTCCGGTAGACCATTTCGGTGACAAACAAGGGCAGGGGTGAAGTTGTGGGCCCGCCTCTTGCATGCTCGCTAACGCCTGTGGAATGGCTCAGAGCACGGCTTCTACCTGCAGCACGAGGTTTTCTCGGATGAATTGGCCAGGGCGACGATGAGCGAGGCGCAAGGCGAGTTCCCCTCTCAGCCCACAAGCGTCTACACATCTGTCATTGTGGACCCAGCTGCGGTGCATGAGTCCGACCTATGGAACGCAGGATTGGCACAACCCGCCTCGGGTGTTGAGGAGCAAATTTTCGGGGCGCGGCGAACTGCAGCCGCTGAGTTACCATAAAGGGCTCCGATTTGCGGGTGCTTTTGCTATGGATAAGCGTAGGGTCAGAGGCGGAATTGCAGGTCGAGGAGAATTATGAAAATCCACCAAACGGCTGCGTGCCTCTCGTCTCCTCCAACAGGGTGTTGAGCATCTCGGCCAACCATTCTCTACGGAGCAGTGCGGAGCAGCTCTCGGATGGGCATACTCAGCGAACCCGCGGGTAGGTCAAGTCAGACCCATGTCCTGGAGCCGTCAACCAGAGTGGCACCGCTGGAAAACGTGCTTTCCCCACGTTGCAGCCTGTGCCCGTCGCGGAAGACCCACAGGAAGGGGTCGGAGAAGGTCCAGCGCTTCTAGCCTGTAGCCAGATCAAGCCGCTGTTCTTGGCACTAATACAACTCGAACCAGGACAGCCGCAGATTGAGTTGTCGTTCGGGGCCGAGGCGACCAGATCCCAGGTTGACGAGTGGGAGACGATGCCTCTCAACTGCCGAGGATGCGGTCTAGACCTCTGGAGACACATGTCGGTCCTAAGCCCTAGCTGCTGCCCGAGATCAACCGCGCGGATCTGATGCCTCAGGAGATCTCTGCCCATCGAATCACAGATGATGCCCTGTCGTATCGTTGGACACGTCGATTTTCCGCACGAGCGAGCACCCGACTGCTGGAGCACGTCACATCGGTCAAAACAATCATTATCGATGTGCCTGTGTGCCTGTGCGTGCAGAGATGCTGTAGAACTAGGCCCTTGGCTGGTTCCGATACTTGAGTACTTTGGTTCGAGGTGACCTCGAGGTGTAAATATATCTTAAGTGGTGGTGGCTTGTACGCCCTCGGATCTGTCGCGTGGGTGCGGACGTACCAATGTAACACCCGAAATATATTGATTCCATGCTGTGCGGCCTTCCGCTTCAGCTTGTGTTGCCATGAAGCTGCCAAAACCAGATGTCGAGATCTGCGCAGAGTCTTGCGCATGATTGCGTGGCCACAGAGCGGCTCGGCAGCTTCCGTTCGGCGAGACAACCGATGGTGTCGAAAACTCGGTCCTCGACGACTGACCTGCGCGCGCGATGCATCCACCAGCAAGCCCAGCACTGCCCGTATCCTTGGCAGACCGGAAGTACAGCTCGAATAAGGTTCTACTCCTGCTGGTCCTGCCGATAAGACGCCGTTGAGGGCTTGCAGGCTAGTATGCTCCGCCGATCCCTTTGCCTGACCGTTTCCAACAGCGAGAGATCGACATGTCATCTGTACCAGACAAGCCTTGCGTCGCCCTCTCGACCTGCCAAGATTTGTGATTTGGGCATTTTGTTGCTGGCGTGCGCCGGATATCGACGCACCCCGAGGTGGGTGTGATGCTGAGTGGCGAGAATGAAGATCGCAACCTCGTCGAGCGCGGCAGTTGGCCGTGATGAAACCGAGAAAGCAGAGCATCGCAAGTGATGGTGAGATCGACATAGCGCTACCACATCGTGTCGTCGAGATGTGCATGTGAAGATGAAGTTTGTAGATAGCTTCATCGCCGGCCTCCGCATGCGGATGTCTGCCTCTTGCGCCTTACTGCGTACAATTGGCCAACCACAGGCCGCAAATCTGGCCGGAGATCAAGCCGGAAGCCGGAACGCGAGACGGCTGGAGAAGCAATTTCAACACCAGCCGTTGGTACTGGCCTTAGACTTTGTGGCTGTCGCACCATCCAAACACTACGAAAGTGGACACGGGACGACGTCCGGTAAGGAGAGACATGTCTGACAAGTACGCCGACCTCTGGTGTAAGGTCCCGGCATAGCGGCATTTGGGAAAGCGGCAACAACCTTAACGGGACTTCCTGACTCGAGCATCGCCAGCTCGCTTCGACGCTCTTCATCTTTGCTCAAACTAGAGCTGGTGGGGCCTACGGACGTAGGGGTAACACCTTGGCATCGTAAAGATGGCGGTGAAGTTGGCTGACTGAATCGCAAAAATCGTCAGAACCATATTCCAATAGACGCCATTTTAGAAAGCAAAGCATCTGCTTGGGCAGTGTCTGGACCTTCGAGCTCAAGTCTTGACGTCGACGTCTTCGGGTCCGAGTCGTTGTCAAGTCTTGCGAACGCCTCTGCGCGATCACGATCTTCGGGTCCGAATCGTTGTCGAGTCTTACAAACGCTTCTAGGCGATCACGCGTCAAGTCAAACACCGGAGGCGGCTCGTCACAAACGCAATTCAGCAAGATGAGCAACCCACGACCATTGCGGGTTCGATGGAGGCCGGAGCATTGAGGATACCACAACTCGTGACGTTTCGACGCTGTATCCAAGGGTAGATCGAGAATGGCCAGACACAGCAGAACTGTACCAACTTCCTAGAGTCTCTCCAGCCTATTGCTTCCCCAAATCTTGCCCCCATCCAGCACAAGCGTATCTCCATTAACATGCCCACCCGCTCTCGAACTTAAAAACACAACGGCAGCCGCTACGTCCTCCGGTCTTCCAACCCGGCCATTCGGGTTCGCCTTATCCAACGCGTCCTGCCCGCCGCTCCGCTCCATCAAAATCGCCGCCATCTTGCTCATGAAGAATCCCGGCGCTATGCTGTTCACTAGAATGTGCTTTGGGCCAAGTTCGATGGCGAGATTGCGGGCGAGATGCAGCACAGCGGCTTTGGAAGCCGCGTACGAGTATGCGCCCGATTCGCCTAGCGACCCTGTTGCTATGCCGGCGACTGAACCCGTAATTATGACGCGCGAGGTCTCTGCGACAGAGGCGTTCTTCGACAAAAGAGGTGTGAATCTAGACAAGGTAAGGATGTGCAAGCAAGAGGAGGGGAGGGCAGGAGCAGCGTACTTCTGAATCGTAAAGAAAACGCCCTTGACGTTCAAATCCATGACCTTATCCCAGCCATTCTTCTCGTCTACCTTCTCGAATTCGCTGCCCCATGTTGCGCCTGCGTTTGCGAAGAGGATATCAACGTGGTCGGTGTGCTTCTCGACTTCCTTCACCAATCGCTCAATCTCAGAGACTTTGGAGCTATCGGCTGGTATCGAGATGGCTTTGCCTTCGCACGGTAGAGCGTTGAGGGCTGCGACAGCCTCGTCGCATGCACTGGCTTTACGGGATGTGATGAAGACCTTGGAGCAGCCTGCTTGGAGGAGTCTGCATCGAGCGATCAATTGAGGTCTTCCAACTGTGGGGAAATGCGCAGACATACCCAGAGGCTGCGTGCAGTCCTAAGCCTCGCGATCCACCGCTTACAACTGCGACTTTGCCCTTCAAGCTGAAGATATTGCCGAAGTCTTGCAGCTGGACGTCTGATTCTGCGGAACTCATGTTGATTGATTACTGTAAGTTACAACGGAACGTGATAAGATTTCAGCGTCTCTTTGATATACCGTGTATAACTGTAGAAGAGAAGCTGTTGTCCTGCTGCGACCTCGGTGCTGGCGTTGGAAGCTTGATGTACCGAGGCACAAAAATGCGCTAACTGGCAGGCACGAGGGGAAGACCGCTCCCATCCTTGCCAGCACCAAGCAACTGGTTCCAGCAGAGCCTCCTGTCCACAGTCGAGTCCCATTCAACCCGACACGGGAGCTATTGGATCAACTAGTCCCTTCCTGACAGACACCTTGTTGTTGTGGTGAAGTGGACACGCTCCCCCTCGGATGAGATACTTCTCGAGAGCCGCGCTCAAGACCTGATCGTCCATCAAGTCCCATCCGTCCTCCATACCGGTATCAGGATAATACATATGATTTGGGAAAGCATAAGGATCCTCGCAGACGGAGTCGCACATGAACCCGCGGAATGTGGCAGATTCGATGCTGTTAGCTCCAGAAATAGCACTAAACAACCCGGACCCATGATCCTTGAGGTACTAGATACATTTCGCGAAAGCTGAGAGTTTTGAGCTTGTGGTTGGAGATGAGTAGATTGATGATGTCGCGTTCTGATAGTTCGAAATGCTCGAGACTGAGCTTGTGTGGCTTAGTTTTGTTGCTCTGAGAGATGTACGGCGCCGCAGTACTGGTCCGACTTGTAAGGCATCAGGATTGTAAGATCTTTGAGATTTCGGAGCCCTTGAATGAACGACTTCAGAGCGCCAGACTTCATTGCTTTACGACACAAGCTCATTTCCGCTTCCTCCGGATCCTCCGAGTAGGTAGTCAAAGTCATAGACAGCGTAGTCAAAGTATCGTTCAAGGAGGAGGCCCGATTTCCGCAGCCCACGAAGGAAATGCTCGGTTCGAAATATTTCCAGTGCATATGGTTGACTTCAAGTACTTTCATTGGACATGTGTCGAGTTGTAAGCTGGTCTCGAAAGCATGCTGAGCAGGAAGTCCAGCAGGCAGATGAACAGGATTCAATTGCTTTCTCGATGGAGAAGCGATTTCTAGAGGATCCTTATGCTTTCCCAAATTATATGTATTATCCTGATACCGGTATAGAGGACGGATGGGACTTGATGGACGATCAGGTCTTGAGCGCGACTCCATTAGGCTGGTAAATTTGAATCAGCGAACAGGCGCTGGCACGACCGCAGTCCTTAGCAATATACTCAGATATTTTCGTTTTTAAAGACATCGGCGACCATCTGCAAATCGCTGCTCATGGGTATTTAAGCAGCTTGTCTGCCAACATAGTATGGACATTGGCCTACTCGAAGAAGTCGCCTGTGTACTATAGCCAGCAAATCTCCTTTTCTTAAAAGTGATGCTTTCGGATGCGAAGTTTTAGCCCTTACGTGTCCTTGAACTGTACGTCGTATCAAAATACGAATTCTTGCACGAATCCTTCGCAAGGGTAGTTGCTGTTACTGCGACCATGTGCGACGACTACTCGTTCTATATAGTATTATACTTTCCATTCTATCATGCCTGTTATTTTACACTGTTCTCCCGCGGGTTCATCAGGGGGCAGCACCAATTCCTCTTTCACTAAAGGTTTCTCGTCATTCACTCTGAGTGAAAATAGTAGGCCTTGATCGAGAGAAAGGGTCAGTCACTACGAGTTACTGCGCCTTCTATAGTCATGCCCCGATTACTATAAGGTCCTCAAGAGTCGCCCACTCCACGACTCGGTCCATTCCTCTCTTCCGCCCTCCTACAGAACGCTCACCCACCCACCCCAACAATCTTCTCAATCAGCACCTCTGCCATAACCTAACCAAACAGCCCCCCCATGAAGATGTCCACTCCGACCACTGATGCCCGCACCGACGCTGCAAGCAGGAAACGCAAAGCACCGCACGACACAGCTACTAAGGCGCGCCAGCAAGGTGATCCCCCTACCAATTCTGGCGACGCGAGGGCTCCAAAAAGACTCAAAGTCTCGGCGACGAACGAGGAGTCTCTTGCACAGGTTTCAGATGTCAACGACTCAATCTCTGTGGCTTCTGAAGGCATTGACATAGAGATGACCGGTGTCACACAGGCGGCAACTGTCTCAACATCAGTCGAGGAGGAGAAGATGTCACTCCGGTCACCTGTAGGTAGGCAGGACACTACCAACACTCGAGCACCTGAGCAAAGAGTGGCAAAAAGAGCGCCGTCACCGAGCTCAAACGTCGACCGCGCAACGGCAACGATATCGAGCAAGGCACATTGTCCCCAAGGTCCTGTTTCACTGGCGGCGCTTGTGGCTGGTTCAGCGACGACCGGTGCTAGTCGTTATAATCAGAATGCGACTGGAACCACAACTCATTCTGCTCCAGCAGGATTACATGGCGATGCTGTACATGCCATGAAAGCAAAGTCTGCATTTCCAGCGATCAACCCAGGTAATCACTTCAGCACGACTCTACCAGCGACCCGTCAACCGTGGCCATACCATTTCCCCCAAGCACATTGTGTTTACAGCCAGAACACCAATTGTCCGGTCAACTGGGTGGCGTTCAGAAACATCCCTCTGTCTCAGAGACGGGTGTATGAGCTTCGCCGCCCCTGGAGCAAGGACCCAGCACCATGGGACACAGTAAGGATGGATTTGGCAAAGCTTGAGTCCAAACCTGCTCTGAGTGCAGAGGGAGTGAGGAAGCGCTTTGCAAAGGTCAACAAGGTCATCTTCCAGACAACTGGTGTCTATTTTGTGTGCAATGGTCACGGCCTGCAGCCGGATTATGGCGTTCCAAACGACACCGACATGTCAGGCATGTTGAAAGGACATGGAGAAACCACGCTAGGAAGCTCGATGAAGGCTGCAAAGGCCTGCAAAGACAGTCAGTGGGAGGCAGATCGTATTGAGGAAGATGAAGTTACTACCCTCGTGTTGCAGTTGCCGGGGCAGTCTTTCCGCGCAATTCGCCACGTCACCAAGGACATCATGGCGAACCTCGAGATTTCAGACGGCCAAACCCTACCGTATGCAGCCACGACTTTCGATCGCTGGTACAGCTGCTTGTACTTCGGACATCGCCACAGTCTCCCAAAGCGAGTCTACAAATTGAAGCAGCAACCCGACCGCTCTTATACATCCGTTGATGAAGGCACGCCAAAGGTCACTATACAGACACTACTAGAGACGTACTGCCTTTCTCAACTCGCTGGTACTACATCCGTTAGCGATATGTTACTGGACGAGATAACGCAATCTCTAGAGAATGAGAAGGTGTTGTACGAGACGTACGGGACCGGTGCCATTTGCAAGGAAGACTGCAACGACGTCGTGCGCCTACTAGACCTCCAGCCGGAGGATATTCAAAGGATCTGGAAGACCACCAAAGTTCATGATCCGATCCGAAAGCTGCTGATCGATCTCTTCTTGCACAAGCTGGATGCGGCAGAGGAAGATGAAGAACTCGATCAGAAAATTCGAACCGATGCACTTCGCCTTTCTCGTTGTGCTTGCCAGTTGTGGGAAGACTTTGCTGATCAACGCCAACGGAAAGTCGTCGAAAGCTTCATGGAGCCATTGGATCCCAGCAGCTTCTGTGCGAAGTATCACAACCATCATAAGAACAGGTCATGTTATCGTTCGATTCTGCCTTCAGAGCGTTCGGTATACATGATTGACGACACCCTTGACGAGCCGAATGTCCATCTGCTCGAAGTCAAGGGTGTCGCATGGTACCGAATCGTCAACAAGACGGGTGATCGCTTGGATCTAGATGCTCTTCGTGCGGACAAGCCTCGTTGGGATTGGGAGCGTGTTCGCTCGATAAACTCGTGGATCTATATCAAGCCCAAAGGCCCTCAACATCGACAGCCGCATCCTGTCTACTTCGACCCGAGCGAGATGGATCGCAAGAGACGTTTCTCTTCGCACCCCGGGTACCAGCGGAAGAATTGGACTCAAGGTGTCAACGACTATGAGAAGGAGGATGGTTGAGTAGTTATTATGACACCCAGTCTTTTTGGAAACTTGAAATTATTGAATTTCATTTATAGGACCTCGTGCTAGCTACGTGTAGCAAAATACATTCTTTGATTTGACTTTGACCTTTTCTGAATACAAACAGCAGTTACCATCAGGTGAGCAGAGATCCCACTTTTTAGATAGTTGTTGTTTGGCTTTTCGTTGCCCGATTACTGCACACTGCGTCGCCTAAGCTAACACTGAAAGCATCTCTTATGCGTACGATCGGCAGCACAAAATACATCCTCATAAACCCACAGGCATCAGTGAAGATAAGGATATTCGTGCGGCCAGTATTAATGCTTGCTCTCAGAAAAAAATGTTCATCAATCACCTAAAGATCATCACTCTTGCATATTTCGATTGGGATCCTAGATTTTACCGTAACCGATTGGCGCACTTCAGGTCGCTTAATCTACATGTGCACTTTACATCATGCGCATAGATGAAGTGCGACCATGCGATCCTACTCCTTGGATCCTACTCCTATAAGTTTAAATGTGACTTGCTTGGTGTTACGGCAGTTAGAGAGCTCCACATCCGGGTTGAATAAGACGCATGTCTCAACACATAGCCATGTATACCTCCATTCCGAGTTTTGAAAGCTTCAAGTACAGTCCTGAAAATCAGCACGTTATAATTGTAGCCATGAGATTTACTACAATTCATGTGCTGGCCCTCTTGGGTGTCACACAAGCACAAAACCAGACTCGGGGTGCCGCCATGATGAGATTCGCTTGCTCACAACTCACTGTTGAACGCCTGGATCCGCTTGTCAATCCTGGACTCGAAGGAAGCCCACATACGCATCAGATTGTTGGTGGAAACAGTTTTCAAGCAAAGATGAGTCCAGAGGATCATGACCTGGTTGCAAAAAGTACATGCACAACTTGTACATTCAGTGAAGATTTTAGGTAGGTTTTAACACCCTGCAGTCGGGACTCTGGTGATTGACATGCGACAGCAATTACTGGACCGCTGCACTTTATTACCACGCATCAAATGGGACGTTCAAGCGCGTCCAGCAGTATTCTAATCTCGGCCTTGTCCAAAGAGGCGGCATGACGGTCTACTACATTCCGCCCTACGACGGCGTCAGTAAGGTGACTGCATTCAAGCCAGTACGTTTACCTCTTTATTTGGTTTGTGGAAACTGACCAGAAACCTAGGGCTTCCGCATGCTCGCCGGCAAATCCGCACTTCGCAACACGACCGGCGAGTCTTTTGGCATATGCCACCGCTGCGTCAACAAAGACTCCGTCCCATTTGGTGGCGCACCCTGTATAGACGATGACACTACATTCCTGCCAACACGAATGTGCGAGGGCGGTATCCGCACGCAAGTCACTTTCCCCACATGCTGGGACGGCGTCAACCTCGATTCACCTGATCACCAAAGCCACGTAGCTTACGCTGAGATCCCATATGAGCCGTATGCACCACCGGCGGGTTCACAGAATCGAGGAAGATGTCCAGCAAGCCATCCAGTCCATCTGCCACAGATCATGTATGAAGTCATGTTCGATACTACACCGTACAACAAGGCGGAACTCTGGGGTGCAAACGGAACTCAGCCTTTTGTATACGCTATGGGTGATGCGTGAGTGCTATTTGGAATCTTTTCAAAATTCGCAACACTGACTAGAGAATAGAACGGGTCATGGGAATCATGGTGATTATATGTTTGGATGGAAAGGCGACGCGCTCCAGCGTGCGCTTGATGCAAGATGCAGCAACGACCATTGTAGTGAGCTAGAAAGACAGACGGATGAAGAGGCAATGAAGTGCGCCATTCCGCAGACTGTTGTGGAGGATGTTGATGGGGACAATTGTAAGTTCAATGTTGTTCTAGTGCGGAAATTTAGCTGACTCATATGTATCAGGGCTGGAAAGTCTTCCTGGCGGTGTTCTGGTAAATGACGGGATGTAAAAAGAGTGTTAGCTCATGCTCCTCTGAAAGCAATTGCCGATGTTGGGTACTGCCACGCATAGTAACTTATCAAGGTGTAGATAGGGTAGTACATTCCCAACATAATGGAGAAATTCTGCAATCCCATACATGATGAGGAACTTCCAGAATAAAGAAGTTTCTTCGATGATCTCATACTTAGGTGTCTGATAGCGGTCACTGCGGTGCATACACACAAGCTATAGAAAAGGGCTACGCATATCTTTATCTCTGTGAGCTGGCTTTAAAGTCCATAAATTATGTTCACATTTGTTTCGCCTTGATAATACCGAGCGACAAGATATGAGGCGTGGATGACCTCACATATCACAAACGCTTGTACCACAAGGGCGAATCTCATCCATCAGCGACCATCGTATGCAAACCAGGTAAGAGCCAAGAAGACGAAAGTTTCGGAACTTTGATTGACAGCGGACACGGAAACGGCAGTGATCATTCCCCGCCAATAGGACCGCATTGGTCTTGATCCAAAGAGCAACCTAATGTCGACCACACATTGAAGCATAATGAGTCAGATCAATGACCAGAGTCATGCGTTGTGCGCCAAAGCTTAATATCTCTTCTCTGTCAATCCACAGCCTCAAGACCAGAAGAACGAAAACAGTTGCTGTCGCGTGGGTCAAAATTCCCGACCAGCGACCAAATCGGATCTGGTTCAAATACGCAGCCGCCTGAACTACATCTGGGCGACTGCGCTACAAGACCTTCTCTTTTTTTTTCAGTACTACCGAATACTAGGTCTCGGCTCACGGATCTACCGGACGAACTCCTGGGCGACATCGTCGAGCGTGTCCATGCTGCGATACCTAACGCACTACCAAAACTCGCTTTGACATGCCGGAGATTACAGCGGCTGACACGCCCATTGCAATGAGAGCATGTCGTATTACCTTGGAGGCTGAACAAGAAAGCCCTTATTGCGAGGTTTATCGAAATTCAGAGTGGAAACAAACACATTCGATCTGTGCGGATACAACCGCAACGCGCGGTCATGAACGCTTTCAGAGTTGTAATGAAGAATGCGTTCGACCACCTGGACACTCCCTGTACCTGCTTGAGCAGTTTGGAGAGGCTGGATACATTTTCGATATTCTTGGATGATCAGGTTGATCTGCGCTGCTACGTGCCGGGTCCCGTTCTTGCTCGTGTCGTGCGCGGACTTCCGCCTTCGCTGCTTCATTTGGAGCTAACCAAAGGGAAAACTAAAAAGTAGAACAACGCGGCTCTGCACAAACGGCCTAGTGTCGCCAGTGTGTGTAAAGAGAAGCAAAGCAGAGCATGTTCGCAAAGGAGGAGACCCTTACCTGCGGCATTCCGAAGCTTTTGCGGGGACTAGCGTTCGTGTTCAGCAGATGTAGGAATATTGCATATCCTCGCACCTCACATGTTGTCGCCTTGCTATTTAGAAGTGGACGATTTATTCTCGAACACAAGATGGAGGAGGGAACTGACCCTCTTGTTTTAGCCGGGAGGTTGAAACACTTACGATGGAAGTCCCTTTGCTGCTGGCCATTCTTCTGCATTGAAATTGTGTCTAAAGTGTCCTACCAGAGTTGTTAAAGTACAGTTGGTTCTCAATCTCGAAAATGACGAAAATGACGATCGGGAGAAGAAAGAGCGCTAGTTTGGCTAGCGCGTTCAAAAGGTGGGCTTGTCTTTCCATTCATTCACCAGACCATCCCATCACACTTTGGATCGATCACCATTCCAAGTTCAACAAGAATCACGCGTCGAAAGCGTCTTGGGGCATGAGATATCGAGCGATCAGACGCGTTGTCAAGCATGTCCCTGAAATGGTCCGGGGCCAGTGACGCGTGAGCAAACCTTTCTGTCAAGCTTTTCGCCTACCTCAAACTCCAACTTGAGGATGGCTTATACAATAGTCCTGCCAGAACATCCAAGGAATTTATGCTCGCGCAAGCAGCGTCCCTGTAAGATACCATACGGGGTCGTCGGAGCGCGCAGCGGGAAATAGCAGCCGCCTATCTAGAAATCCAAAGGGTTCATTAGGCTTGATAGCAATAGGTGGCGATTTGCCGTCACAGTCATATTGGAAATGATAATTCCAGCCAGGGTTGGTACGTTGGTACCCTCCCGCAAAAGAGCTTTACTGCTTCGTGATCTGTGGGCTTTCGCAAGAGACGAAACATGTGGCCACGCGCGCAATACGGTCCAAGCCTTTAACGTGGGCAAGCATATGCTGCCTTTGCAACTCGAGTACCTAGGTGGACTCGATTCTCAACGCTTGCATTCGGTAGTCAAAGGTGATCTCATGTTGGTCACATCCCATCCACAACACCATATTTCATGAGCGCCTTCGAGTCGGATGTATCTAAGAACAGTGTTCCTGTCGAGTTCCCCTCTAATCTACAAGTCAATGCCTAGCGTGCCTTGCGCCTTCCTTCCGCAGGTCGTTTGCTCACAACCCCGCTAAAGATGCCTTTCACTTTGAGCGATATCGAGTCCTCTCTCACCGTCTGCCTCCACGCGGACCTGTTCAGTCTCCGACTCCGTGCTACATAAGTAGTACGGCGCGCTCTCTTTCTACTCTTGTCTCTCCACGACCGCTTCTCATCTGCCACGCGCATTTCTCAACCTTGGCCACCAACCTTGCTCCTCCAAGCCTGACCGAGGGCGCACCACTGTGCCTTATCTGTCAATTGCCTTTAGGATCGCAACATGCGCCTACCATTCCTCCTTCCCCTGCTGAGGCCGCTGGTCGCACTTGTCGGCTTAGCTTTAGGCGCACTCGAGGCGAACTCGACAGCTCCCCGTTCTTCCATCGATGGAGTGCCGCCTGTCCTCGATATCGCTGAGAGCTACATCCGTAGCCAGACAGATGGCAGCGCGATTGCCATCGGTTACAACGGCATGGCCAACTGTAGTTCCAGGAATCCATGTATTCTCGGTAGCTGTTGCAATAGCGATGGTGTGTGTTTTCCGTCTTTAACTTTCTGTCATTATCACTGACAAAATACCAGGTCAATGCGGGTACCGTCCCGAGCATTGCTCGCCATCATCGCCAAAGACTTGCGTTGCTAATTGCGACGCCAAGGCTCCCTGTGGCAAGTATTCTGCGGATGGCAAGACGAGTTGTCCTTTAAACGTGTGCTGCTCGAGTTCCGGCTTTTGTGGTACTTCGGACGTCTTTTGCCATGATTCGGCCGGTGGTGCAAAGGCTAGTGAAAATGTTGCAGCCGGCGCGCCTTCCTGTGGCAAGAACAGCAATACCGCCTCGCGACGTATTGCCTACTACCAATCCTGGAACTCTCGGTCACGTGGATGTGATAAGGTCATGCCCAACCAGCTGAATTTGTCTGGCATTACCCACCTCGTCCTCGCCTTCGCTACAATCGACCCTGTAACGTACAAGATTGGTCTTCGCGACACAGCAGACGATGATGTCTACAGAGAGTTCTTGAGTCTACCAGACAGCGTCTCCAAATGGATCGGCATTGGCGGATTTCAATTCACGGACTCGGATCAGCCTACGCACCAAACCTTCTCGAAGATGAGCAGCTCCAAGGAGAACCGCAAAGCTTTTACCGACTCCTTGCAGCAGTTCCTTTCTACTTACAAGTTCAGTGGAGTAGACATTGACTGGGAATGGCCTGGCAACTCCGACCGTGGCGGAGATTCCGGCGACAAGGCCAACCAGGTGGAGCTTCTCCAGGACATGCGCCAAGCTCTGGGCAACAATATCGGTCTCGGTGTCGCGATACCAGCGCAATACACGTATTTGCAGAACATAGACCTCAAGGGACTTGAGGCTCAGGTTGATTGGCTCAGCATACTCACCTACGATCTACATGGAGCTTGGGACGCCACCACACCAGGTCTCGGCCCAAAGATCAGGCCTCACACAGATCTTCAGGAGGTCGATACCGCCCTAAACCTTCTCTGGGGTACACAAATTGATTCGAGGAAAATCAACATGGGTATCGCAAACTATGGCCGAGGATATACAGTCGAAAAGAAGGAGTGCGCGTACTTCGGCTGCACATACACTGGTCCAAGCAAAGCTGGCTCGTGCACTCTTCAGGAGGGTATTCTGAGCTCATGCGAGATTCGTCGCCTGATCAGCGAGAAGCATTTGAGCTGGAAGGTCATCCAAGGTGGCGCTGAAGTCAACGAAGTCACGTGGGACGACCAGTGGATCGCTTGGGATGACACCAACACTCTTGGCAAGAAGTTGGAGCTCGCAAACGACCGCTGTCTAGGTGGTACCGCTCTCTGGGCCATCGACTACGATGTCTGTCCGACCGATGGTGGCTCACCGCAGCCTGGCACTCCGGGTAGTTCAGCGGTGCCATCACAACCTGCTTCGTCACAGATAGCCTCCTCCCAACCTTCAGTGTCAGTATCTTCAGATACCCCCCTAACTTCATCGCAGTCTCAAGGATCAGCTTCTTCGGACTCACCTCCAGTCTCTACGCAGCTCCCTCCTTCAGATGCTCCCCCAACTTCATCGCAGCCTCCGGGATCGGCGTCTTCGGACTCACCTCCAGCTTCCACGCAGCCCTCTTGGTCAGCTCCCTCCGATTCTCGGCCAGCATCTCAGCCAGCATCATCTCAGCCTTCAGGGTCTGCCCCGTCCAGCGCGCCACCAGCTTCGTCGGAAGCTCCATCGTCTGCTCCTCCCAGTACGCAGCTAGCATCTTCCGATGCACCATCTCCTCCGGCCTCGAGCGCCCAAGGCTCATCTCAAGCTGGCACTAGCAGCCCTCCGGCTTCGGGTTTGCCTGCTCCCTCTGGATCACCACCTGCATCCTCTCAAGAACCCTCTTCAACAGCTCAGGTCAGTTCTGCGCAAGGCAGTTCCATGGCCGCTTCCTCTGTTGTTCCAAGTTCCCAAGCTTCCTCCAATACCTGGAGTCCACCAGCATCGTCTAGCGCGAGCTCATCTTCGGTCGCATCGGCTCCTCCCGCATCGTCTGAACAAAGCTCGTCTGAAGGAAGCTCGTCTTCTAACGCCTGGACAGCTTCATCTGAAGCAAGCTCATCGTCAAACGCGGGTACCGTACCCGTGCCTGTTCCGACCGACTCATGGACTTCTTCACAAGTTACTACAACTGGTCAGCCTACCACTCAGTCCGGCTCATCGTGGGGCTGGTCTTCAGGCTCCGCGCCTCTCGCGTCTTCTGGAGCTACATCTGGTGAAAGCGGCGTTGCCTCGTCTGATATGCACTCTTGGGCTCCATCGCTATCTGGAGACAGTTCTAGTGGCGTAGCTGCAACCACTGACTCAGTGTCTCAGCCTGGCTCAAGCAGCAGTGCTCCTGGCGCAACTTGGTCGCATGGCTCAGCTTCCTCTGGCACTGAATCGTCAGCATGGGCATCTTCCACACTAGCTCAAGTCAGCTCAGGTGCTACAGCTTCTTCCAATGTTCAGACATCAGCTTGGGACTCTTCGACACCCGTCCAGGTCACCTCAGGTGCCCAGTCATCAGCTTGGGGTTCCGGAACACCGATTCAGGTTACCTCAGGTGCTACAGCTTCTTCTACTGCCCAGTCATCAGCTTGGGACTCTTCAACACCCGTCCAGGCCACTTCAGGTGCCCAGTCATCAGCCTGGGATTCTGGTACACCGATTCAAGTCACCTCAGGTGCCACAGCCCCTTCTAATGCTCAGTCATCAGCTTGGGATTCTGGGACACCGATTCAAATCAGTACCGGTGCTGTTACTACTTCTGCGGTACCGGTACCAGATCGCAAGAAATGTCCCAAAGATTGTTACGATCTTCCCTGGTGCCAGATCTTCTGTAACGACCTTGACTTCATCTGGCCTCCGCCACTGGAGTGTTGGTTTTTCGACTGGTGCAGACTCTGGTGGGGTTTAAGCGACAAAAAGATTGAAGAAGATAAGGATGGCAAAAAGTGCAAACTCCTCGGCTGTGGTAAGTAACTTGTTGTTTGATCAGTGTCTCTACAGGTCTCTTCGACTCTGCGCTTGTAATTCAACTAACACTCGTTCTAGGATGTGGCTGGATGGGTTTGCCTTGGGGTCCTGGATGCCCAAGCCCCGACTTCCCGTTCCCCATTAACATTTTCATCAACATCTTCGGACTTTTTCCTGACCCTTGTCTGTTCTGGGGATGTGGCGATAAGTGTGGTCTCTTAGGATGTTTCGGATACTGTTTCGGCGAGGAAGGATGCATCGAGTGTCCCAAGGTTATGTGCCCACATGGAGGACCAGAACCAGGCCCAATACCCAAGGAGAAAATTCCTCCTAATCCTCCGGTTCCTACAGAGCCTGGGAAGGGCCCAAAGAAGTGCGGGACGGAGGACTTCAAGACGGCGACGGATAAATTTGTCTTCTGCAAAGAATCCGTGGACTTGTCTTCCGCCATATCTGCCACAACAGTTTCGACGTGGGCTTCTACGGCCGTGATAACTTCCTCGAGTAGCTATTCCTCGTGCCAGACGCCCCTCGAAGTCACCATCAGTGGATGTTACGTCGTCGATATAGCCTCAACCACAACCACTAAGGTCACAGAGAGCAACACGATAAGCACCAATTCCACTTCTTCTGAAGCCCCAGCTTGCACTCGTGCACCGCTGTCTTTAGATGATGACGAAGGAAACAATATTCCTGTAGACTGGGACTCATCCTCCTCGAGGTTCGGCGGAAACACTACAGACTTTGCTTCGAACACATCAATGGCTTCCACAAGGAGCGACCCAAGCTGGACTACGTCGGCAAACTTCAGCTCGGAGACTACCATGTCTTGGTTCCCTCCAAACAGTACAACAGATGCTTCTAGCACAACAATCGGCTCCAGCACAACGGACCCGTCTGGCCACACCACAACGTCTTCCGGAATTAAGTGGGGTACGTCAGCGGAATCGAGTCCATCTGCAGCCGTGTCAAGCGCAGCGTCGTCTTCTGAAATCAAGTGGGGCACATCAACGGAATTGAGTTCATCGGCAGCCGTGTCAAGCGCAGCGTCGTCTTCTGAAATCAAGTGGGGCACGTCAACGGAATCGAGTTCATCGGCAGCCGCGTCAAGCACAGCGTCCACAACGCCAAGTCCGGCACCGGGCCCGATGGATAAGAACGGTGTTTGGAGGTTCGCAATCCAATTGTGGATGCAGAAGAACCAGGCGAAGATGGAGTGGGTGATCTACGACCCGAACGGGTTCCACGCGGGGTCAGGGAACATGTTCCCTGCGGAAGGTGACAATACCATCTTCAGCTACATGGAAACCAACCATGATAGGCCGTTTGAGCACCAGATGCCTTACGGGGTCGATGCATTCTTCTACTCCCCAACCGCGGTCGAGGACGCGAGGGTCTCTCTGAAGATCAAGAAGTCTGTGCCTAACTGTAGCAAATCAGGTGAAGCAGATTGCTTCCCGAAAGTGACGACTGAGAATAGGTCAGAGACCAAGATGTTTGAGGTCGAGTCATGCTGGCAGTACTGCGACAAGGATAAACCCGAGCTCATCCTCGTAAAGCCCAGCGACCTAAACTGCGATGACATGAACGATGCGGACTGGGTTCACAACGACAATGCCTGGTCGCGCAATTTCAATTGCTACCTCAAGGGCTTCTAGGCTATCTATCGGTTGTATTCCAGGTGGAAAGGTGTTACAGGCACTAATAGATGTTCACATGGATTAATGGTAACAGTCTAGAGGCAAGAAACCTCAGTAGATATAACTCATTCCCCATCCGCTTATATGAATGTTGCTCTCATTTTGATATATATATATGTATCAACCTGGGCCGTTGCGCGTGAGTACACATGGCCATTACGACCCGTTGCTGTTGCACATCTAGCAGGAGCAGGTTTTGGTGGGGTATTTGCGCATTATATGGCAAGTGTGCTTGACACGACAGCGAGCAACTCTTTCCTGATGACCGCTGTGAGTGCTCGTCTTTTGCTTATGTTCCATGACACCTCACATGCCATCCTCAGTTTTCTATCAATCGCTCTCACTCATCGCTAATCATGGCTCTCAGGCCACCAACGGATATCAATCTAGAACATGGCAAATGACAACGCTCCAGATCCCATGCCTCGGGCCAGAAAGCGGCTCACAGGCAGCGACGAGCCTTTGCCCGTTGCGCCTCCGGCACAACTGCATCCTCTCATTGCGGACTCTCAAGCTGCGCGTAACATACCTAGTACACATGCCAGAACCCAGCCCAATAAGCCGCTCGCCGCCAGACGAGCCAAAGGCAATAGCAAAGTTCGAGTTACACATCCACCACGCAGATACAGCCCCACTGCATTCAGCATTCCCAACTTGGCCTATGCAACCGGTCTGAGTACACGGAGGTTGCCGCTACGGAACGAGGCGGAAGCAGGTCCTTCGCGTTTTCACAATGCTACACGCGCGGGAGGAGGCCCTTCACACAGGGTCAATGCTATCCACACAGGTAATAACCTGCAATCCACCAACGTTGCAACGAAGGAGACGTCCAAATTTGTGGGCTTATCCACAGTGGGCACGGTAACGCCAAACCCCGGATTTGCGGTTGTCGACAATCAGTTGTTGCAATTGCCGCACGAAATCCTTACAAATTTCGCTGGGTTGAAGCCAGGCACCAGAATCAAACTTGATCTGCATGCGGGCTCGCAGCGAATGGGAAGGCCTACTTGGCCCATCGAGTCGATAGAGATGAAATCCAGGACGTCCAACACGAGCAGCTGTCGCTGCGCCTGCGTCAGTAGGTCAGCCACTCCAAGGGTGGAAGCTTTTGGTCCAGAACGAAGCACACGCTTTAGGCAGCGCCGTGGATGTCTCCGTGCAAAGCTCTTATTTCCGCGCTCAAGACTATTGTTGCGGTTGGTTCGGTACTCCTCATTGTCGTCATCGTCATCGCACTTGCGCTGCTGTCACTTTCGTGGGTCGCGGACTGCCTAGAACTCGCCTGGCCATAGCAAGGTTCAGCCGCAAAACCACCTCCTACAGAATATGGCATCTTTTCGAGGATCGAGACCAGGAGTCTCATCACACTTGGCTTGCCGATTTTTCCTGGAGTTACTGGAGTAGTAACATACTGGAGCGTGCGCACCGACCGTAAAAACATTGAAGACATGAAAGCGGACTGGGAGGCGACGGGACAGATCTGGCTGGGAGATGTCCGTGCGATGCAGGCATTGGAACTTGGAGACGCGAGAGCAAGGCTACGGACTGCTAGAGTAAATCGCTGGTGGGCCTAGTTGTGATGACTCTGCAGACTACGCGTGCTTGCGAGACGGACCGGCAGTACTTCGTGTTGTGATGCTTTTTGGGAATTTCTCTACTAACCAGGTTGGATGCCTGGCGTTGATCATTAAGGATTCGATACGAGAATTGACTTTAAGTTCCCGTTGAGTAACAAATTCGCTGCACCTGTGTTCGACGAACAAACTCAATTATTGTTCCCACGGGTGGACCGCGGGAATTTGATGGGGGCTGGTTCTGTCTCCCCGAAGATTCGGACCCGAGAAGTGAAACGATCCGCGCCGCTGAGCCAGTCGGAGGTTGTACCGTTTCTTGGCGCCCAATCATGGCATCAACCATTAAGATCACGTCGCTCCTCGGAACCTCGAAACGAGCTTTTCATCACTATTATTGCTGGAGCATTGCCTATCCTGTCTCTAGGCCTCCAGTCCAAGCCCACTTCTCAAAAATCGAAGTTCGCGGACGCAAGCTCCAGTCCCTGCCATGGCCTCGATGGACTGCAACTTCGGGCCCCTTTCGCGTTAGCTGGTGCGCCAGCAACATTCATTACGCCATCAGAAGAAGTTTGCCGTGCCCTTAGATCTGCGGTGTCACTCAAGACTGGCGTATACACAGCAACAGAGGAAGCAATTCTCGCTTGATTAGCATTAGCACGTTACCCCAGATCTGCACAAGGAACTCTAGGTAGGTGCCTGGACGGCAAACTTGCCCAGGGCCATCGATCTTCGCTATACACAACCCTTCTGGTTCAGTCTTAACCACTCGGAGTAGGCGTTAGCATGACTTGAAAGTCTGATGCTTTGCTTGCAGTACATCTAATGGCTTCGACGGTGGCGTCTAACCTCCCAATTCTGAGATTCGGCACATATGTTCATATTGCATCAAGCTTCACGTTTTCGTTGAAACTTCGTACCGAGGAGTTGCAAGATCATACATCAGTCAACGCCTCAAGACGTGCTGCTAGGAAATCTGCGGCTACCCTGGCTATCTCCACAAGAGCGCAGCGTTGGGAACTTGGGTCAATCACCCAGGCTAGAGCGTTTGGCGATTCATGAAGGACGCCACAAAAGTCATTCCTAGCTCTCAGCCGCTGCGGCTGCCATTTCCGCACCTCGTGGAAATACATAGTGCATATCGCTCCTGCATTAGCCCACAAGGGTTGCGTAATCTGAACCTAAATGACTAGTTTGACAGGAGCGCCGTTTCCACCGAGCAGACTGTACCATCGCCGTGGCAAAGCATCGCAAGAGAACAGAGGTCGCCTTGTATGTGTCTAAGGCCAACCAACGCCGATTCACGATCTAATGGCCATGCAGATAAGCCACTTTGGTTCTCAAGCTTGTATCTCACAAGAAACATGTATGTATATCGTGCAACACATTTCGGTGGGGTCGCGCCATCGCCCCGAATCGCTAGACATGTGAGCGGGTAGTTTCAGCCAGCAACATCGATAAACCTTACACATCCGTTCAGGTTCGACAATTGGCGCAGTATCCATAGCACATGCATCGATTCAGGTACACTAAGATCGGCGGTTTCGACCGCTAGTTGGCTTCTGTGGATGCACAACACATCGCGCAGCACAACGAAAAGAGCCACACGCGAACCAATTCCAGCCGTCTTTAGTAATCGTTAAACTTCAGATGCCATCCATTCCTGGTTAGATGCACATCATGGGGCGGGCAACCAGTCCACGTTGCGCTCTAGCTATAGCGTGGTCGTTCAAAGATGTTAGCTGAAATTCAGCAAGCTCAATCCAGTCGGGCCAGCCCGTCCACTTATAACAAGCTAAACTTAGGGACTATTCAGCAAACTTACCTCGGTGTGTGGCGGATCTAGTAAAACATTTTGGGGCCCTGTCTTGTCTGTGGCTGGACCCCGTACTTCTACCTGGTAGCACGCACCTTTGGACACCCGTGTTCTCAGGTATTGCCATCATGCCGGGTGGTATCCAACCTCCTATCGAGGAGTTGCTCAGCTGGCCGTAAGCAATCGTGGACAAAGCCTGAGTGAAACATATACTGACTTCGTGAGCAGTGTCCCCAACTACATTGATCCTCCGACCAAGTCCAAATACATTCTCATCGTTGCTTGTGTGCTTGGGCCGATCAGTATTATATTGCTTTTGGCGCGATTATGGGTTCGCATACGGCTTCAACGCAATGCTGGGCTGGACGACTGGCTGATGCTGGCATCGCTGGTAAGGACGCTTTGGATCCAGACGCAACATCTACTGACCTCGCCAGTTTCCTATGATCGCCATGACTGTGCTCGATCCCTTGGGTGAGCATCTCATACATTCTTTCCTGAAGCAAATGTTAATTTTGATCAGTTGTCGAAAAGTACCAATTTAATCGCCATATCTGGGACGTCGAATACGACTACTTTCCCATACAACGGAAGTTTGTCATGGCCATTTACGCACTCTTCACTCTCGCGTCTGGTCTCGTCAAGATGTCCGTTCTTCTATTCTACCGACGCCTATCCTCTCGTTCCGTGTCTCCAACCTTCCGATGGACTATGCGAATCATGATGGTTGTCGTTGGCGGCTACACGATAGCTTTCATCTTAGTACTTATCCTTACATGCAACCCCATCGAAGCATACTGGCTACAAGTGAAGGTCAGCAATGTCCTGAACAAGCAGGGGTATCCACACGAATGCATCAACGAAGGTGCAGATATCGTCGCGAACGGGATCATTTCTACTGTCCAGGACTTCATTGTCGCTTTCCTCCCCTCACTGCTCTGCTGGAAACTCCAAATGCCCACCCGCCAGAAGTTTGCACTCTACGGCATTTTCGCTATCGGTTACTCGACAGTGGCTATCGGTGCGCTTCGCAGTTACTCTACTTACCTCATCTATTTCAAAACTTACGACGTTACTTGGGGCGCAAACGACTGCTTCCTCTACGCAATGCTCGAATTGCACATTGGCGCAATATGCGCAAACGCCCCCGCACTCAAGGTGTTCTTCAAGCAGATACTGTCTTCAGACCGCGTCACCAAGATCATCTCACGATCTAGCAAATCGCGATCCAATGGCTCACACAACGGCCCAAAACAAGAGCGTTCCAACACAGCAACCAGACAGGGACCAAGTGCATTGGTATCGAAGTCTTCGGCTTGGATCCCAATAATGTTCTTGAGGAGCTCCTATTCTACAAATAGTAACGGTTACATCTCCGAGTCAAACACAAATATCATGACTGATAAGCATGGCGGAATCGTCAAAATGAACACGTTCGGACAGTCGGACAGTCAGCGTCGCGACAGCGATAGCTTATCAGACCCTTCTGGACCCGAATATAAGGATCTAATCCTATCGCCACTTAGCCATGGTCCGGATGTGGAGATGGGTCTTATGCGAGACAGTCACATGAGCAACATATCGGCATTACCACCAATCCATGCACCTCCTCCATCACCGATGTGGCTCAGACCCCTACAATCCTTATCATCGCGTTCTAGGCAATAGATTGCTACTGTACCTAGTCAATTGCAGCAGTTCCTCATAGAATAGGCATGTGCATCGGCGTTGAATCAAGGCGAAGTTGAATAAAGTGCAAACATATTATAAGACATGGGTCTAGTGCTCTCCATCAAGTGTTGCTATCTCAGAAGAAACAGTGTCAAAAATTCAATTCAATGACGACGCAAAGGTTCGCCTTCATTGTCCTGTGCTTGATGAAGTAATGAAGTTTTGCCGGGGCATGCGATACTCATACAGGTAGGGAAGCAGCAAGCATAACCAATGCCCCAAGTCCGTCCATACCTGCACACCACTCTTGCCAATTCACGCTGCTTTGCACATCATCTGGAACATGCTCCATACTTGTGCCATTCCCCTCATCCAGGATCGGACAAGGATCGACCTTCGCCATGCGCCCACCAACCTTGATGCCGAAAACACTATCTCCTCTAGTGTCCTGTCTCTTCGCCTTCGTCCATTCGAATTCATCTCGCGCTTCCCACAAGTGTTTCTGCGCAGGGAGTGGCGCGAGGATGAAGCCGTCAGTCATGAAGCAAGCGCCGGCCGGCTCGGTTGAGAACAACATGCGCATGATACTGAACGTGAGCGACGTTCTGATTCTTATGTCAGCTAGGCTAGACATCAGGGTAGTAGTACTGTACCGTCGTCTGGACTCTTCGAACACCCAGTCTCTGTATGTTGTGCCGTAGCTCATGCCTGTAGGTGACGTGCAGTTGAAGTTTCCGATTTTGCAATTCATTGCGCATCCGATGACCTGCGATGGGTCAGTGATTGTCATTAAATAGTGTCTTCCAGACATCATACCCAAGCAGTAGTCAACAGTAGCGTATCGAAGTTGTTGTGTTCCGTCTCGCCTTCATCTAGTCGCAGTAGCATATATGCCAAAAGCGCTTGCATCGACGATAGAAGCTCCCATGCATCAAGGTCAGACCACTGACAAATGTTTCGTTAGAAAGTTACTATTGCACCGAGATAGGGAGTGTAGATTACTCACTTGCAGTTGCAATCTCTCGCACTCGAGCCTTATATTCTTCCACACAAGCCGTCTGCCAGCACTGCCTCCGCTTTCAAGCATCTGAATGAGACTGACGCAAGTCGTGAGTGACTCCATGGTCTTGCTTTCCTGATCTGCTAGGAATGATGGGTGAATGAATGGTGGCGGTGAATGCGGATCTCGCAACATCAGCGGGTAGGTTGTGAGAAGGCGGAGCATAAGCATGGATGTTGTCAGTGCGCCGCCTTTGATCGCGGGTTTCCTAGTAAAAGAACGCAGCGCGAGATCGTAATTCGGCGTCATTGAAAGAGTTGGGCTAGTTGCCATTGACATGTCGTTGATGTAAGACCCGAAATCAACTCGCTGGACATGAGATAAACTGGTGCTATTTTGTGCAGTCGGGTCAACGTCTTCCAATACTGAGCTTGATGGAACATCCTTCTCGACGCTGATCAGGTTCCATACGGGGTGGCCATCACCTTCGGAATCAGCGAAATTGATGCCGAAGGACGAGTCTGAATCATCCGCAAGCTCCTCGTTAATCAACACTTGAGTCTGGATACCTAAAAGATGAGAACCATTGTTATCCGCTGGGTACATCATTTCCGTAGAATCCTTCGTTACACTTTCTTTCTCCGTAGATTTATTGCCTGGGAATCGACAACACAAGCTCTTTGTCGTACACCTTGAGCATGCTGGGAGAGTATTGTCACAACGGGTTTTGGCCTTTGCACAAGGCATGCAAGACCGAAAACGGACGCTTTTCTCTACACTGTTTCGCGACCGACAGTAGTACCCATGTCTCTTCAAGGTTGCCTCTGAAGTCTTGTTAGCTTTTCAGTTCGCCTGGAAGAATGTGGAAGTTACCTTTATTAAAGGGTTTGCTGCACAACTTGCACTGTAAGACTGAGATACGATTCTGATCGGACATTTCGTTTTGAACAGCCGTTGATTCACGCCTGATGATGAGCTGTGTCTTCTAATATCAGAGAAAACATTTGTCAGCGTCCGCATTGGTGCTAGTCTACGGGCGGTACAATTTGTACACCCCGCGAACTGTGGATCTAACCAGATCCATTTTTCGGACAGGTACAATTTTGTAGTTTCAATTTTGAATCAGTTGCACCACATTCGTTCAAAAGCGAAAGAGTACATTATCTCTCTGATAGTGTGATCGTATAAAGAGAGCAACTGCCTTCGTGGATCGAAACTTCACCCAATTCTCCAGTTCTTACTTCTCAAGAGCATTGGATACTTTCCACAAAGCATCTCATCAAACTGCCCAGCACTTCATTCAGAAACTACAGCCAACATGTCCTCATTCGCCTCTCTTATCGATGCGCCAAATTCACCCACCAAGGTCTTCCACAAAACGACCTACCCGGCCCTCGACCCGACACGGCCTGAGCTATCAGTCAAAGGCAAAACTATCATCGTGACCGGTGGTGGTACAGGAATCGGTGCTGCAGCAGCAACATACTTTGCCAAAGCCGGCGCCTCGCTCATTGCCATCCTGGGACGCAGAGAACAGCCTCTCCTCGACACCAAAGCCGCCATCAACAAATCCTTCCCATCGACCCAAGTCCTCACAATCTCCGTCGATGTCACAGACAAAGGCGAAGCAGATGCAGCTTTTGCAAAAGTAGCAGCAGCAAGCAGCACCAAGAAGCTCGACGTCTTGATATCCAACGCAGCTGTCATGGGCACACTGGGCACGATCGCGGAAATTGACTCCAAGAAATGGGTCGACGGCATCTCCACCAATCTCACAATAAACTTCAACGTCACCAATGCGTTTCTGGCGCACTGTAGCCAAGATGGTGTGATCATCGAGTCTAACTCTTGTGCTTCGCACATGGACATCGCCTCTGGGTTTTCTACCTACACCGTCTCGAAACTTGCCACTGCGCGCTTCTTTCAGTGCGTGCAATTCGAGAATCCATCGCTGCGCGTCTTCTGCGTGCAGCCGGGCGCGGTCTTGACGGATATGAACCGCAACTCTGGATACCAGGAGCAGAAGGAGGGTGAAGGGTTCATGTGGAATGGTAGAGGCGCGGCGTTGTTGGCAAAACATGATCATGAGAGTTTGCCGGCGAGTTTCTACGTGTGGCTGTGCAGTGAGGAAGCTGAGTTCTTGAAGGGGAGGTATTTGTGGGCGAACTGGGATGTTGAGGAGCTGAAAGAGAGAAAGGCGGAGATTTTGAGTGGAGAGTTCTTGAAGGTGGGATTGCAGGGGTGGCCGTTTGAGCAGTGAAGGGTGATCTAGAAGAGATGGAGATTCTGACGACTTGGTTAAAAGAAGATTACTTTACGCTCTTTAGACCTTTGCGCAACATGGTATAGTGTCTATGCTCGCAGTAAGATGTTCTGAGAATGTGATGTTCTGATTGGCGTGCACCTTGTGATGAGATTGTGAAAGCCGCAGCATCGTTCGAGTTGACATAGCATGTGAATGATGGGAGTGGGATCGATGTAGTAGACATCTCTGCGCAAGAGCGATGCTCCGAACATCATAGATACAACGGCATCACGAGGCTTTGCAGACTGAGATACTGCGGCTTAGCCAAAGTTGTGGAAGCGTTGGGTCATTCAAGCGACTGGCAATGCCTCGATGGATCTTTAAATCCGAAGTCGGTGTGTAAGCGTAACAGAATTTCCGTTCGAGTACTTTAATGTCGAACAGACTTTGATGACTGATGCCGATGCGCACTAAACTAACGTTCATGACAAAGCGTTACCAACCTGTTCAACAACCACCGAGGTGATTCATAAATCTTGTCATCCTCATGCAAAATCGCAGTTTTTCTTGCCGGAGCTCCCAGTTTATGCATCTTCTATGTACTCAATCGTGTTACTCAGCTCGCATACACCCTGCTAGCCGCGCCAGGATGCCGGTGGGTCAACGAAATAAAGTTCGGGCCGTTAGGCAGGACCCTGGCATATAATCCCTTTTCTTCCTCACCTCTCCAGCTTCAGACACAACAATTTCTCGTTCAAAGAAATTTTCAAAATGCGTTTGTATGGGCTCATTGCGAGCGCAATCGCGCTCACTACGTCTGGGCATCCGGATCCCCACCAAAGGAACGAGTCATCGCGATACTCCCTCCAAATGGCCCAATCGATAATGTCCAGGCACCAAGGCATCCTCGCTTCTATGTCGGACCGTTCGAGTCTCCTTCAGGCTGGCTTCGTGCAAAAAGCTTTTCGGGAGATGGTCCGCCAATACTCCAATCACACGTCCACGCCGTCGATAGATTCGTACATTCGAGCCAGCGTAGACTCCGTGGTTTCCACACTCTCAAACGCTACTCTCGACACTTCTTACCCATTGGACCGACTGAGCAGCGGTAACGGCCTGATTCATACTTACCAACAAACCAAAAACGAGACGTACCGAAAGGCCTACCAAGCTCTCCGGACGTCGGTTGATCTGCAGCATCGCAATGCAGAGGGGAGTCTGTGGTACTACGTGTATCCAAACTACACGTACTTGGACGGGATGTATAGTCTCGCTCCATTCCTGACTTTATACTCCACCATCGACAAGCCCGACAATTCTTCTGTGCTCGACGACGTGATCCTGCAACTGGACTTACTTTGGAACCACACTCACACCCCATCCGGCCTTCTCGTGCATGGCTACGACGCTTCGAGACGCGCATCGTGGGCTAACAACGCCACCGGCGCAAGTCCTCATGTATGGGGCCGAAGTCTCGGGTGGTATTGCATGGCGTTGATAGATACCTTGTCGCTTCTTCCCGAATCAGCTGTTTCGGCGCGCACGTGGCTCCGTGGTCATTTCCAAGGCTTGATGAAGAGCGTCGTGAACGCCGTAGATGAAGAGACGGGGGCGTGGTGGCAAGTTCTAGATCAGCCGGGGAGGGAAGGGAATTATATCGAGAGTAGTGCTAGTGCAATGTTTGTCTACTCGATCCTGAAGGGATTACGGGCAGGGTATCTTAAAGGTCAGGACTGTGATTATGAGAAAATTGCCAACAAAGCGTATGGGTACTTGGCGGATTCATTTGTGGTGCAGAATGCGAATGGGACGCTGGCGTGGAATGGCACAGTTGGAGTGTGCAGTCTGAACTCCACTGCGTCGTATGAGGTACGTTTTGTTCATTCCTCGATTGACAGAGAAGCGGAAGCTGATGTGTTGGTTGCAGTACTACGTTGGTCAGCCAATAGTATACAACAGCGTCTTGGGGTCAGCAGCATTTGTGTTGGCATCGCTGGAGTACGAAAGACTGATGCTCACTGGCTAAATGATAAAGCGAGGTCTTTCGGATCAAAACGTTCTATACTCGAATCTACTCTAGTATTAGTGAGCCACCAAGCTCGTATATGCAGAGCCAGCATGTCCATCCAGGGTATTTTGTACCAAGTACATCATGCAACACAACAGCGCCCATCCCAGCCACCTGTGTCTAATAATACAAAATACTACGAATCATCTTCAGACGTGCGCAATTGCTCAGGTCTAGCAGTACAGCCGTGCTTTATTTAGTTGACCTTCTTGCCGTTCATGCGGCCGGACTTGGCCATAAGCTTGGCCGCATCGTTGACGGCGCTGAATGCGCTCACGGTTGCGGTTACGCTTTGGTACATCAAGAAGCCAGGAATGACAATCCAGAAGAAGTTCATGAGGACGAAGTAGCCCCAGTAGTAGGAAGCTTCGGGGCGCGAGTATGAGACGTTGAGGATGTAGTGGTCGAACATGGAGGTGGCGTAGTAGAGGATGTCGCCGTAGAACTGGCCGAGCGAGACAATGAGCTGGAGGGGGTAGCGGAGGGGGTGGTCGTAGGCGATGAGGCCGGCGCAGACGAAAGAGAGGGGACCCCAGAAGGCCTATCAGGGAATGTTAGTATCAGGAGAGCTGTAACGTAGAGCAGAGGAGACATACAGCAGTGACAGTCTCCATACACAGCACAAAGGCGTCCTGCGTCAGGTACCTCGAGTCGCTCAGACTGTATTCCTTCCACAGCTGGCCAAACAGATCCTGCATGCTTCCCATGGTCCTGAAGTTGACGGCGAAGTATCCCTCGAAAAAGGAGTGAATGCATCCACACAGCACGAACCACATGATGGCTGAGAGGTCACCGTTGCTGAGCGTTGGTCGTATCCTCTTGACAAGGACAAACGTAACGGCGAAGATGGCAGCGCATCCAGCAGCAAACATGCTGACCAGCTCAAATGTGTTCCATTTGTTGGCGAGGTAGCCCGCGATCTGGGCCTCGACGGGGTAGTAAGGGTGGTACTGCCCCGGGAGGAGCGTGAAGTTACCGGCGGCCATGGTGGGGGTGCGGGCTGCAAAAAGGTGATGAGAGGTTGAGAGCAGGATACGACGATGCTCCTGAGGCTGTCACAAGAAACACGGGACGTCAATGGCTTTCAGCGGTGAAAGTTGGGGGAGAGAGAGTTGCGTTGGGTTTTCTGTCGAGCAGGCGCGCTAGTGCAGCTCTAAGCAGGGATCATCCTAAGCGACACTGAACCCTGACGCTCCACCTGCCACCGTCAGCAGTGAGCACCGTCCCAACACCTTCGCGCGATGGCATCTGACTTTGGGACCAGTTCCATTGGCTGCCATCTTTCCCTGATCATCTCGACTTCCTCATGGCAATTGCGGGCATCTTCGCACAGAGGACTCGTCCATCATAGCACGGGACACGCCGTCATTAGCGCTGCCCAGCTTTCTCGGACCGCCAACTTTCGCAGACATGCCTGCCTGCGGATCCAACTTGGAAGAAAATGTTGAATGACGGAACTAGACCTCCAATTGGCAGAGTTCCCCACGACTGGTCCCTGAATCCGCAAGCACGGGTACCCCGCAAAAACAGATATCCCTGCCGGCCAACCTCGGCTCGCCCAAGCTCTTATCACCATGCTTCGTTCCAGACAGCACTGTTGTCTATCAAGCGTCTATCGATAACATGTCCAAAACGAAAACTCCGTCTCCGCCTCAGGCCCCTGCAAAATGGCAACTTGTATCCTGGCAGAAGAAAGATGAACAGTATGCACGGATACCGCAAGAATGGCGCTTGAGCAGCCTGCCCTCGTCCAGCACTACAAACTACATCGACATCCCTCGGAAGTGCGGAATATTATCCGCTGCAGAGCTGAAAATTACAGAAGAGTATGATGCGACTGCACTGGCTGGTGCCATAACGTCTCGGAAGCTGAAATGCATTGATGTCACGAGAGCATTTTGCAAGGTTTGTTGTACACCCTGATCGCTGAGGAGAGTAACACTGATAGCAACGGTAGAGAGCAGCCGTCGCCCATCAACTCACCAATTGCCTGACTGAGATTTTCTTTGCCGACGCCCTGAAACGTGCAGAAGAGCTTGATGCACATCTCGATGCCAAAAAGGCTCCTCTCGGCCCACTTCATGGAGTACCGGTTTCGCTCAAGGATACCTTCAAAGTCAAAGGATACGATGCGTCAATAGGCATCGCTGCTCTATGTTTCAATCCAGCAAAAGATAATGCGGTCCTCGTCAATAACTTGTTGGATGCCGGAGCGGTGCTGTACTGCAAAACGAACATCCCCCAGACCCTAATGGCACTGGACTCCCACAACAACGTTTTTGGCAGAACTATCAACCCATTCAATACTGCTGTCACTCCAGGCGGAAGTTCAGGTGGCGAAGGCGCTCTGCTCGGTATGCGTGGCTCGATCCTAGGCGTCGGCACTGATGTTGGTGGCAGCATCCGCATCCCAGCAATGTGCAACGGCACATTTGGCATCAAGCCGAGTTGGGAAAGGGTTCCCTACGCTGGTCAAGAAGGCGGTGCTCTCCCAGGTGCTGCTAAAATAGGTATTCCTGCAAGTGCAGGCCCTTTGGCTCACTCTATGCGCGACATTGAGCTTTTCTTCCGAGCAGTTTCGGAACAGCGACCTTGGACACAAGATCCGGATGTAGTTCCATCGCCTTGGTCGTCTCTCACGTCTCTAGGTGGTGCAGGACGCAAGATGAGAATTGGGCTAGTACGACGAGACGGTGTTATTGATCCGCATCCACCCATCTCCAGACTGCTGGATGAGGTGAAAGACCAACTCCACGGTTCTGGCGTCGATGTCGTCGAAATGGATATCACACCCCTCTTCTCCCAATGCCAGTCTCTGGCTAATGCAATGTTCGGCGTCGAGGGCGGTAATGCCATGTTTGATCTGCTCGAATCTTCAAATGAGCCACTGTCTCCCTGGCTCTCAACACGTCTCAAGCGCAAGCGAGCGCTTGAGCTTACGAAGGTACAGCAATTACATGGCAAGCGTGAAGCACTTCGCAAGAAGTTCTTGTCCATATGGCGCGATCAATACGGCGAGATTGATGCCTTCATCTGCCCGGTTGCGCCGCACCCTGTCCCGCCAATCGATCGATACAATGGCGTAAGCTACACCAGTTCATTTGTCTTGTTGGACTATCCTGCTGGTACAGTACCGGTAAGAATGTTTGAAAAGAGTGATATGGAAGGAGAAATGCCGAACACCAAACCTTTAAGTAACTGGGATAAGGTGAACAGAGAGCTTTGTGAGTTTCAATGCTTCTGTGTGAGTCGATCAGGGCACTGACAACCTTCAGGGACGAACTTTGATCGCTCAGTATACTTGAATACCCCGCTCTGTGTACAAGTTGTCGCGCCAAAGCTGGAGGAAGAGAAGTTGGTTTTGGCCATGTCGGTGATTCAAGACGCTGTCAAGGGCAATGAGCGAGTGAGTGCGAAACTGTGATAGCGCGGTAGCATACCAAACAACGCGTCTTAATTTTTCGGTGCTAGCAAACTCAGATTCGGCAGCGCTGAGTAAAGTTTTGCGGCACCCACTCTTCCTGTGATACGGGTGTTTACGCCCTTTCTCAAAGCGTGCGGCTGAAGGGCGCCATGCTTCCTAAGACGGGTACATGCGCACGGCTGCCCGCCTTTTACCATCAGACCAGAGTTCGCCAACCAATTGCAGTGAACAGCTCGCAAGCCACGTGATTGCTTACAATTCTTTGGGAGTTTGCTGCCAAACAAAGTCTCAGCCTCCCTTCTATCCTTTACCTTTAATAGCTCGTTACACCCTCTCTGTTGGACGTCATCGCGACTCTGATAGAGATATCAGTCTCCGATCGCCTGATTCCTTTCGACTTCTCCTTTCCTTTCGTTTTTGGTGTCGATTGCCGCCTCACATCACGAGAATGCCACCTCGTACGACGACTACGGCCAACTCGCTTGAGCGCCGCCTCTTGCAAGACATCGCCGAGATCCAACAAGACCCGTACCCCAACGTTCATTTGCACTTCGATGATGCGGACATCCGGAAAGCTTGCGTAATCCTCACGCCCCAGGATCAGGACCCTCTGCATCTCACCATCGTGTTTCAGGAGGACTACCCGCTGCAAGCGCCAGTTGTGACGATACAGACTGTCGTCGTACACCCGAATGTGATTGGCGGCACTTACATCTGCGCCTCGATGCTCAACACTGATGAAGCATGGACACCGGCATACACTCTAAAAGGAGTCGTTATTCAGCTGCTTAGCTTCTTCTGCAGCGAGTCGCTAGAGCAAGACCATGGTGGAGAAAAGATCGACTTGGCTGAATACCGACGTCACGTAGGAGATCTGGGTGCGCGATATCCCAGGTCCAGGCACTTTCAAGCTTATGAGTGTCGTAAGTGCGGATTTGGCTTGGGTTGGGCACCTACTCGACCTGACGAGGATGGAAATGGTGCTGCAACGCCGAACGAATTATCATCTGATGAGCACACAACGCCTTCACCAACTCAATCAAAGCTTTTCGAATTGCCAGACGAGTTGATCCTACTGATCATCTCCAGTCTTGAAACACGAGATGTCATCAACTTCAGCGATGCAGTCCCAGGCTTGAAGACCTTGGTGAGGTCGTACGACTTCATCCGCATGCGCGAACTACAATGCTTCTGCCTCAAGAAGTCTTTCATGGATACACAGCTGGGCATCGGCGTCGCCATCTCGGGTGGCTATCGTCCGGTGTTCCGTTCAGAGTTCGACTTGCTCAGCCAGGAGGCCTTCGAACAACACCGCGTCCGCCGCAGCATCCAAGGCGTCCTGTTCGACAAATGGCTGCCTTTGCCACTGAGCAGGCGCCACTGGAATCAGGTTAGGGCTATGGCTGCCGCGCGCTTGAGGGATATACATGGTTTCGCGCAGATGGCGAACCAAGAGCCGGGATACGTCGATGTGCTGTACCACTTCATGAACACCATCGTCGTGCAGTTCTCCACCGATTCTCAGAAAGGCTGGGGCCGCGCCGATTCGCGCAGCACGCTCAGCCATGCGTCGGAGAAGGCTGTAGAAGCATACTTCAGTCTCTACCACCTGCTGCTCTGTCTAGCGACCGAAGATGCCGCCACTGTAGCCGGTGCAAACCGCATTGTCAATCGATTTATATCTGGTCCACGGACGAAGACGCAATTCCCAGATCTCGGACACGTCTTAGTCGCCGCCCTGATCTCCGATGCTGGAATGACTGCAAATCTCACGTTGCTTATCATCAAGGAGGCGATTCTGCGCAACGTGGTGTGGATGCTCGACGCGAAGGGCGCGGGCTATACGGAACTCGCATATCTCGAGCCCAGTCATATTTCGGAATACCGGCTTAGCAAGACGTTCGAAGCCTCGCCAACCTCATACCGTCTTCTCATGTTCCTCAAGCTCTTCAGCTCCGCAGCTCGACCGTCGGGTATGCGTCTCGCTGAAATCCGAGATGGGCTGTTCGAGACGCACGGCGCGCCACCGCCTGGTACTGGCGTCCAAAATGGCTGAGGATATCCGCAGGATCAAGGACATCAAATCGTTCCCGCAGTTTCTAGGTGCGATGGGTGTGACGTCTCCGCCAAGGTCGCAGTTTTCTGCTTTCTTGCGCCGAACGATTACGGATAGTGTTGAGGCTGGGTACTCGCGCATGCCGCTGTCGCAGAGCGAGCTCTATGTGATCCGCAAGTTGAAGGAGCACGGGGTGCAGATGGCGGAGGGCATTCATACTACGCCGGATCTTGAGCGCTTTTATGGAGATGCTAGGAATAGGCTACCTTCATTCTTTCCGGGACAGGGAGGGACGGGCACGATTGGACGTGGGAATATGTCAGGGCGTGGTCGTGGCCGTGGGATTGCGCGAGGCAGAGGCAGAGGCGGATAGAGCATGCTGCAAGACACCACATGTGCGATTTTGACATAGGATTATCTACAAAATACTACTCCAAATCATCATCTTTGCATCCCTTGGGAGCTGTGACGGGGTTACAGCGGGCCACTCTCGCCCCCTCAAACTGCACAGCATAATCCCATCCCCACCTCGCACTCATCCCATACACCGGAAAATCCGTGCTGACAATCTGCGCACCACTCTTGAACGCCAAATCCCGCATCTCCGTCGTCCTATTCAGAAGCGTGTCGATCGGAATATCCGCCCTCGTGCGTACAATATACCCCTTCTTAACCAAGTCCTGGATGACCGCCGTGCCATTGTCGCGCGGCTCGTTGTACTTGATAATCGCCGCATCCGGCGAGCCCGCCAGACTATTAGTAAACACGGTGCGATTCTGCAGCGAAGGCGCAGCCGCGCGGTACAATTCGCGGGGCGAGTTGGGATCCGCCGGCTTCGCGTCATTGTCGAAGAAGAAGAGGAAGCGGCCACGCACGTCGTTCAGCTTGGGCCATCCGTGCTGCAGAACCGATTGCTCCAATGTCAGATTGCCCTTGCGCACGTCGTCCGGGCGGATGAGTTGCTTCTTCGAGAAGACGGACAGGATCTCCGCGTCGACGTTGAGCAGGCGGGGCAGCGTCCAGTTTGTGGCTTCGCCGGGACACACGCCGCCAAGCTGGCATGCGGGCGCGTCGGTCTTGAGCTCGAGATCGATGAGGATGGGGACGTGGTGCTTGTTCGCATCGGACCATTTCTTCAGCGACTTGAGGCAGTCGATGAAGGTGTGGCAAACGGAGTCAGGGTCGAAATCGGTCACGTGGAAGACTTTGATGCCGGGCTTCTTCAGGACTTCGCCGTCGAAAGGGGTATTGTTCTTGGTGAGATTGGAAAGCGTCCATACTGCTGGAGGGTAGTAGAGGCCGCCTTTTTCATCGGAATGCAGATCGAGTTCAAAGGAGCGGACGGATTGGTGCTCGAGCTGGATGGGGAGCTCGGCGTGCGAGTAGTAGTAGTCCTCTGGTGACGGGACGTATTTCTCGAAGACGGCACGTTCAGCTAGAGAGACTTCACGGTGGTAGGAGTTATGGGTCCCGATGACTTGGATCTGGTTGAGTCGGATGTCGGACTTGAATGCAGATGCGCTGTCTGGTCTTTGTCACTATGCATTCACAACTTCTAAGAATGATGCTGGAACCTACGCGCAAGAAGCATCAAGCTCGCGGAAGCCTGGTTTGTCAATAATTGTTACAAACACGGGATTGGATGGCATACCAATTGACCACGCATATTGTCCTTCTTGTCAGCTTCAAATTTGTGTAGATAGACAGTAATGCTCAAGAAAAGTAGCAGAATGACAAGAAGTCAATTGCGCGCCTTTTGTATTTTCGAATCCATGTCGAACCACGTGGGTCTCTACGGGATGCTGCAGGGTAGAGACATCTCGAGGTAAGTCGTTCCTGCATGCCGACTAGGCACATGCTTCCTTGACGACTTGCAATTGGCCAGAGAATCGTTCTGTCAGCCGTCTCTTGGCCAAGCTAACGCAACGCACCAATGACCTGTCTTCCATATTCCGATAAACAATCTTTGGTAACGAGCAGAGACTTGCATCGTTCATGAAGTGGACATCATGGGTGGGTATTCTGGAGCACACCAGCCTACGTTCTTCACTCTTTAAAGCCGCGCTTTTTCAACCCAGCAAGACTACACGGAGAACATGAAAACTCGTCAATTTACCCGTTTCGGTTGTTTTGACTGCTAACTCCACTACCATGGATACCCTCCTCCATTCTTGGTAATGAATTTTCCGGCTTCTCCGTCTCTCTCCCCCTGTACAATCTCCAGAATGCCCTGTGCACTTGTCTCCGAGCTCTCACACCACTGCATCGCTTCTCTCGCCTCGCGATCATTTGTCAAGTCCGTCGCAACGTACCCAGGGCAGTATGCCCAGATCTTGAATCCATCCTGCTTGAGACGTGCGTACTGGTATGCCGTCAGCATGTTCAATGCTGCCTTGCTCATCCGATAGCCAGGGCTCGGAACGTGTTGGAAGTTGCTCAAGATGTTGTTGCTGTCTAGATCTGGGCTGAGGCCTGTGATACTGCCGAGACCAGAAGTGACGTTGATGACTTTGGGGTTCTTGGAGGCCTTGAGAAGGGGAATCAGAGCTTCGGTCAAGAGCATGACACCAAAGACATTGGTCTCAAACGTCGCACGCAGGGTTTCGCGAGGAGCCCATTCTTTGTCATCAGGAAGACAAACTCCGGCATTATTGACGAGGACGTCAACGCGACCGAATTCTTTCTTGATCTGCTCGACGGCGGAAGAGATGGACGCGTCTTCGTTTTGGTCTAGAAGGACGTAGCTGAGCGTTCCTTTGATGTCTTTGCCCTGGACTTCTTTGATCCTGGCTTCGGCTTTGGATGAGCTGCGAGCGCCCATGATGACATGGTTGTTTGGGGAGTCGCGTGCGAGGTATACTGTGGTGTCCAAGCCGATACCGTTCGTGGCACCTTTGATAGTCAGCAGGGCTCAAGGTGTTACAAGATATAGTTACCAGTAATGAGGATGATTTGCTTGTCGGCTGAAGACATGTTGAGCAAGAGTGGATGGTCACGATTGAGGCGGTCAGTTTTGGTGCTGAGAGGAAGGCTCAGGAAATGGTGAATGGTTTACGCTATTATGGAGAGCAGCATGGAGCTACCTTTATACCTTCCAACGTCAAAGCCCAAGTTAATTGCGAGGCTGCATATTCGTACGAAGCGCGCAAGACATGTACGCCGCATTGTTTCCTTTCGGGGAGGAATGCGGAGGTAGTGAGGGTAAAGAGCTTAACACCGATGGCGCACGGCGCTAAGACGGCGGACATTGGCTCGCTTGTCCACCTCTGTCTCTCATGTTCCTCCATGTACCATGCAGCGCGTAATCATGACAGAAAATCTTGGGAGCTCGATACACTCCGACGGCGGCATTGTAGCTTCATTTCGTGTGGCGCCAAATGCCGCAAATCTGTGTGGGCTTACGGGGTCTTTTCTGACAGCATGAGAAATCGGCCATGCTGAGCAGTCTCTCTCTCGGCGATAAGACATGGTGTTGAGGGGACTAGGTACTTCAGACGAGACTTGTGGGGTAAAAACGTGGGCTTAGCGCGTATGCTCACGTCATTGGCACCCACCAAACACATGGCAAACCTCGCCTTTGCTCGCTACATGTCGCTATCCTAGATACGAGTCAAGCCGCCATTGACGCGCACGGAGCTGCTGTCGCAAATATGCCGAATCTCGTCCGGAAACTCCTCATCTTTGCTGCTGTGGATGGGCTGATCCTACAGCCATGCCCGCCTCGCAACCAGCCGCCCGCGACACAGCAAGCCATTAAGGTCGACTACAAGGGCAACGTCGGACCCTTGCTCAGGGACCGGCGCGACGAAGATATTGCGCCTACGTCGGTGGAAGCGCATGGCATCGTAGGTCCGGCACCCATCTTGCGCCGGCATTGCTTCCCATGAGCTGACACAAGGCTAGGACTCTTGAAAGTCGCAACATCCTTCTTCTTGATATCTATAACTGGTCGCGAATATGTCGCCCAGATTCGTGGCAAGTCCATATACAAAATCACTCACGTGAGCTTGATTCCACTGTCATCACAAGCCGAAGCCGACAAGGCCATCACATCCGCCCGAGAGCACGTCCGACGTCAGAATAAAGCGCATGCCGCAGGAGCGGGTGACACAGACAGCGAAGACGAGGAAGGCGCGCCTAGCGTGGCCGACTCGCTGGACGACGATGGCACAACCACATCCAGCGAGGTGATTGATCCCGTGACCGGGCAGAAGGGGCCCGCCAAGGGAGACTCGAGCGTGGCGGCGGATGTCATGCAGCGCAAAGGCGTCTACGGCCGCTTCGCCGACAAGTGGTTCTCCAGAAAAGGTTGGAGTGCAGATAGCAGGCGCACACAGGGCCTCAGTTCGCAAGAGAACCCAACAGGCAAAGTGCCGAAAAACGTCGAATCTACTCCAAAGGACGAGGAGCTTGGAGCAGACCCTGCCGACCAGGAGGCGTTGCCTAGCTCGGAGAAAGTTGCCCCAGAAAGTGTCAAACCAGAGAATATTCCGAAAGCTCTAGAGGGCCAGAAGGATGCAACAACTGTGGCGTTACTGCCGAAGATTCTGCAGACGACGCGCATGTACTTTTCTTCGGGCAACTTCTTCTTTTCCTACGACTATGACCTTTCTCACAGCATTGGCACTTCGCGACCAAACTCCAGCTTGCCTCTCTTCAGGCAATTTGATCCATTAGTATGTGTGGCTCGAAATGGGCGCACTCAGTTGCTAACGTGACATAGTTCTTCTGGAATCAGCATATTGTAGAGCCATTCGTAGATGCTGGCCAGCATTCATTTGTCCTTCCCATCATCCAAGGCTTCGTCGGACAGAGACCCTTCACCATCAAAGTCGCAGACCCTCATTCCAACAGCGCAGTGATTGATCCTTCCGCCACTCCAGACGACATTCAATTGCAGTCATGGCATGAGAAGCAGAAAAAAGACGCAGACTCTGATTCAGATACCAACACCGACACACCGCCGCCTGAGACTTCAGATGGAAAAGACTTTTTGTTGACCCTAATTTCTCGACGCTCTACCCACCGGGCTGGTCTCCGCTATCTGCGTCGCGGTACAGACGATGATGGCTTTACTGCAAACAGTGTCGAGACCGAGCAAATCCTTTCCCCGCCTACCTGGAATACCTCGCAGGATAAAATCTTCTCGTACACACAGTTCCGCGGTTCCATACCCCTCTTCTTCTCTCAGTCGCCATACAGCCTCAAGCCCCAAGTCAGCACATGGGGTACCTTTGAGACCAATGCCAGGGCTTTCAAGCGACATTTTGACAATCTCGCATCGCGATATGGCGATGTTTATTGCGCTTCGTTGATTGACAAGCACGGAACTGAATCAAAAATTGGAGAGCTATACGAGAGGCACGCAAAGTCACTGAATGAAAATGGTGGCATCGACGGCAAAGGTAAGCAGCTGGGCTTCGAGTGGTTCGACTTTCACAATGTATGTCGCGGTATGCACTTCGAGAATGTGTCGCGGCTCATGGACACGCTCGAACCATTCGCTTCCTCGACAGGCTGGACCGTCATCTCTGACGACCAGATCGAACACAAGCAGTCAGGCGTTTTGCGCACAAACTGCATGGACTGCCTGGATCGAACGAATGTAGTTCAATCTGCCTGTGCAAGGACCGCGCTCGAGGCGCAGCTGTCCGCAGGCAGCTACAACATCGACCTGCAGAACGACCCTAGCACCAGTTGGTTTAACACTCTTTGGGCCGACAACGGAGACAACATTTCACGCCAGTACGCCGGTACTGCGGCCCTCAAAGGTGACTTTACACGGACTAGAAAACGACAGATCACGGGTGCCTTGACCGACTTTGGGTTGACACTCACCCGCTATTACAACAACATTGTAAATGACTACTTCACACAAGCACTCATCGACTATCTACTCGGTCGTGCAACCGAAACTATCTTCGCAGAATTTGAAGCGGATATGAAGAGCTCGGACTACTTCATAGACATGGGGAAGGTGCGACAGCAAGCGATCGATCGCTCTGCCGGTATCGTGATCGAAGACCAGGATGAAGACCTGATCCACGGATGGACTTTGACTGTCCCTACGGCAGCAAACCAAGTAAAAACAGCAACTTTCGAAGAAGCAGTCCTTCTTCTGACGGACAAAGCATTGTACTTTTGTCGCCTAGATTGGGGCACTGAAAAGGTTCGCGAGTTCGAGCGCATTCAGCTTGAGAACGTGCAAGGTCTCATGCGTGGTGTGTATATTACAAGCACGCTTGCTCAGCGGCACATGGACACCGATAAGAATGTTGGTTTTGTCGTCAGATACAAAGCTGAAGGTGGCGGCGACCTGGTGCGGAGAAACACTAGAGCCTTGGACTCTGGAGCTGGTAATGATGAGCAACACCAACAAGACACCAAAAAGGAGGAGGCAGGTCGCTTTTTGGCATTCAAAGCTTTGCCTCCTCGCAGCAACGTCTCTTCCAAGGACACACCCGATTCTCCGGATAACGAAATCGAGGTTGTGAAGAGCGTATGCGACGAGATTGTGCGCGTTGCGAACAAGAGTGGGAACAAATGGAATGTCCCTGAGACTGCACAGGAGGGCCTGGATTATGAGGGCCAAAACCGGCAGCTGACCGTGGAGGGTAGAAGGACATTATAAGCCTTGCTAATGCGAAGAAGACGACGTGGATATCTGGAGCAAATCGAGTACTCGTTGAAGAAGTTGGTATGGGGCTAATATGGCAATAGTGCCCAGACGCAGGGTCAAGATGGCAATAACTTGACCTATGACCTATGTACATACACAGGGCCTTAAATCAGGTACAATGTACTATTCATCCTTTCCCCACTTGCTTTATGATACTAATACTACCGGATGTCGAAAGCTTCGGTCTTTACTTACCAAGCAGTCCGGGGAGGTCCCCACACCCAGTCCTCGGGTTCGAAGAAGCGTTTTGGACCCACTGTATTGGTGCGCGATATTAATTGGCAACACAAGCCTGTATTGGAGATTCATCTGACGCAGGACGTGTGTGCCCTCAGATAGCTCACCACAGGACTCAAGCGTCGATGAGGTGTCTACATGGTAGGAACGTCGCTTCTCAAACAGAAAGACCTAATAGACCTCTTCGTCTCCATACTTCTTACCTTCTTCCCCCTACGCTCATATTGTCAGAAGTTGCCTTGCATATGCTTGATTTCTCATTAGCCGTGCCTACAAGTACACAGCGTTGAAAATAAAGACGCGTCTCGCGTTTCCCGCGCAATACATGCCTCGGCCTCTCGTCGTCCGAACCTCAATGCCGATCCATGTCAGCAACTTGCCCCACGCTAGAACACAATGAGGCCCGTAATTGAGGCTCCCAGTCGCATAAGGGCTCCACCAAGCTAGAGGTTTTGTCGGACCAGGCAATATCTTGTCTTTTATCAAGTACCGCTACTCGCGATACAATCAAAGTGTCTTCCCTGGGAGAGCAAAGCTTGACCCATTCAATTTTGCCAACTTCACAACATCATTCGGACGACGAAAGCTTGACAACCCAACTCGGTTCACTCGGCATACACAAGCTTTGATCGCGACGGGTGGCTTGCACGGCCACGCTAAAGGATGCCGTTACATTGAGAAAACTGGGTCGAAAAATCGGGTCGACTGACGTCACGGGTGGATCAAGCATCTCGAAAGTCGCATCCACCGTCCCACTGGGAAGGAAAATTTTGAAATTTGGGGAGGACCACCATGGGGATGGGGTCTGGAGACATGGGGATTGTGTTTTGCGGAGGTGTGGGTGATGGGGTAGAGTCGGAATGGTGAAGGCGTAAAATGTCATGGTGTTTTGCGACTTGGTGATCATCGATGATTGCGAAAATCCCATGTCCAATCGCACCCACAAAGTCAAGCATAACGCAGCCTCCTCCCGCGCGGCACATCGTATCTCGGCGCCATTATCCCTACACGAGTCGCAAACAAGCACTGCAACTTCCCCGAGCGTGTCAAGCTTGACACTTCTTGCCCCGCTAAGTCGTCTCCGCACCACCAATGGTGACATCCCGTTACGGACTCTATACCCCGTCTGGAAACCCATCAGATGCAGTTCCGACAGACCGTTGATACCAGGCACAATGCATGGTCCGCTGTGGGGCGTATTTGTTTCCCACGGGACTCCCACGTTGGCGCGTGCGGGTCCCCGAGGGGAGAAGACGTATAAAACGTACTTGTGACCCGGGGGTTGGGGTCGCATTGCACGTTCTCTGTTTGTCTTCAGGATGTATCAGATCGGGAATATATACGGAATTACGGCGATTGTGAGTGCTTTTCTTCAAAGTCCGTGTCGAATATACTGATTTCATATGGTAGGCTGTTGTCGGCGGTGGACTGTTTGGCTTCGACATCTCGTCGATGAGCGCTATGTGAGTCTTCGTATCAATTCAGGAGTTTAAAAAAACTAATGAAGAATAGCTTGCCGACACAACAATACCGATGCTACTTCAATCAAGGACCCAGAGGCCCTCCGTTCGGTCCTGAAGGCTGAATCATGTTCCGGGCCTGAAGCCTCCGTCCAGGGTGGAATCACCGCTGCCATGCCTGGTGGCTCGTTCGTCGGTGCCCTGGTCAGTGGCTACCTCACAGACAAGCTGGGTCGTCGTCGCGCGATTCAGATCGGGTGTGCCATTTGGATCATCGGATCTATCATTTCCTGCGCTGCTCAGAACATCGGTATGCTGATCGCCGGCCGCTTCATCAACGGTTTCGCTGTTGGAATTTGTTCTGCGCAGGTTCCAGTCTACGTTAGTGAATTGGCGCCCCCGTCCAAGCGTGGTCGAGTGGTTGGCTCCCAGCAGTGGGCCATCACCTGGGGTATCTTGATCATGTACTACATATCCTATGGGTGTGTATACATGGACGGAGCAAAGGCTTTCCGCGTTCCGTGGGCTCTGCAAATGGTGCCTGCCATCTTTCTCGCAATCGGTATCGTGTTTCTTCCGGAGTCGCCACGATGGCTTGCGCGCCACGACCGCTGGGAAGAGACGCATGCTGTGCTCACTCTTGTCCACGGCAAGGGAGATCCCAACAGTCCCTTTGTTAAGCTCGAGATGGACGAGATCAAGCAGATGATTGAGTTCGAGCGCCAGAACGCAGATGTATCTGTCATGGAGCTGTTTAAGCCCCGTATGATCAACCGCTTGCACATTGGTATCTTCACTCAGATCTGGTAAGTAAAGACAGTACTTTGGGTATGTTTGGACTTTACTGACGTTATATATAGGTCACAACTGACAGGGTATGAACGTTATGATGTGTAAGCTTTTACCTCAATCTCCCCACTCTTGACATATCCTAACGACGAATAGACTACATCACCTATGTCTTCGCCATGGCCGGACTTTCTGGAGACATCAATCTGATCGCATCATCCATCCAATATGTAATCAACGTCGTCATGACCGTCCCCGCCCTTGTTTATATGGACCGCTGGGGTCGTCGCCCCATGTTCGTGATCGGCGCCACTCTCATGGCAACATGGATGTTCGCGAACGCAGGATTAATGGCGACCTATGGTCACGCTGCACCCGAAGGCGGAGTTGGCGGGATTGCAGAGCAGAGTTGGGAGATCACTGGCGCCCCTTCACACGCTGTCATCGCCTGCACGTACCTCTTTGTTGCCAGCTATGCCCCGACCTGGGGCCCCGCCTCCTGGGTGTACCCACCCGAGATCTTCCCTCTCCGTCTGCGCGGAAAAGCCGTTGCTCTCACCACCTCATCTAATTGGTAATTCGAATCACATAATGTCCGATTTGAGCTCCCGCTAACTTGATACAGGATCTTCAACTTCGCTCTCTCATACTTCGTTCCCCCGGCATTCGTCAACATCCAATGGCGTGTGTACATCATCTTCGGCGTCTTCTGCACCGCCATGGCGATCCACACGTTCTTCATGTTTCCGGAGACGGCGGGCAAGACGCTCGAGGATGTTGAAGAAATGTTCATGGAGGGCGTGCCAGCTTGGAAGACGAGGGTTGATTATAGCAATTCGAGACGAGCGGAGCAAGGGGAGGTGGATCCGGAGAAGGCGAAGGGGCTTGAGCATAGCCCGGTTAGGGTGGAGGATGCTGATGGGTGGGAAGGCTTAGTGGTGATTGGAGCGGGAGCATAGGTGAAGGTGACGTGATCTAGTATATGAAGACGACCTCCAATTACAGGTTAGCATATGTCTTTTCTTCATCCACTCTAGCATGAAGGTCAGTAAATTTCTCAAAAAAATTGTTCTCCTTCAACAAGATCATTCACGTCTATGATGTATCCACATATCTCTGAATCCGCCCAGGCAGAGTTTCAATTCGAACAACTAAGCAACAATAGTTCCAGCGTCAGCAAATAATGCTTCAAGCTCGAAGAGGAGCAATATTCAAGGATTCTTGCATCCTTTAGCGAATAACCCCGCACATCTGACCACTGTCACCGCTCTTTGAGATTAAACGCACTGAGTACATTGGTCAACTCTACTTTGAAGGAACGCGCTAGTATCTACAACCTTCATAAGATGTGAAAAAGTACATCATCTTGGACGCAGACAAGCGTTCATCCTCCACCCACCAAACACCATGTCAAACCTATCCACCCTTGGTGCATGGTCCTTCCACCCCCTCGCCTCGCCCTTCCCATCCACAATCCTCCCCAACATCGCATACTGGAACGTCACAAACGGGACCTGGGAGTACGAAGTGCAAGTCTCCTGGCCGCTAAACTGGACGTCCCGAGACGTCGCCAGCACCGTTGAAACCCTGTACGCCCACGTGCCACCACCACCCTTCTCCAAACCAACATCACTAAATGGTATTGGCACAGGTACGTTCTAGATGGCAACGCCCTCGGCCTCAGTACCACAGAAGCATTCCGCAAACGCCGCCCCGTCGACTTCGCCCAGTCCGACACCATCGTCGTGAGCGTCGGGTATCCTGCTTCCAACCTACAGCCCGACTCGCCGTATTCAGACGCCCGCTACTACGACTACCAAAATGCCCGTGTGCCCCACCTGCGCGCCCCAGCAAGACGCCCCAGGCGTGCCCTCGGGCGGCGCTGCTTTCCTGGCTTTCTTGGACGGCGTGCTTCGCCCTTGGGTGCATGAGTATTTCCCGCAAACGCACTTCAACCGTGATGGGCTGTATGGGCATTCGTTCAGCGGGTTGTTCGTGCTCTATGCGCTGTTTACGCGGCCGGACTTGTTTGATGTGTGGATGAGTGCGTCGCCGTATCTGGTGTGGAACGGGGAATTTTTTTTCAGTCGGGATAGTCCGCTGTATAGTGGTGTCCACCGGAATGCGACGACGAAGCCGGCGCTGCAGATAAGCTATGGGGAGCTGGAGCAGAATGCGAAGAAGCGGAGGATGGAGACGCAAGAGATGTTTGAGGCGAGGAGGGCGTTTCTCGCTTCGATGAAGATGGAGGATTTGTGTACGCGTTTGTATGATGAGGTTAAGGGAAGCGGCCTTTTGAGGGATGTGGAATTGCATGAATATCCGTTCAGCTATCATGCTGCTGTGGGGGGAAATGCGCTGGCTGATGGCATTGATTACTTCCTTGACTGGTGAGATATACAACGTCTTTGTACTATTACTCGCAACTATCCAATGCTCACCCTCTGCCTCACTCAGAAAATATCCTCCAGCCCGGCATCCTTCCATGTCGTCTCGCCCTTTGCAACTTTATCCCTGATCTGCCAGTACTCATGATTGAAAACCCAGTACTCTTCTCCAGTGATCTCGCACCTACCCTTTGAGAACCACCTGGGCTCGAAATGCTCGCCCTTTGCTTCTCTCTCGCGTCTTGTCGCTCTCTGCTTCTCTTCCACGCGATTCTTCTCGGTAGCCGCGAAATCATATGCGCCATCCTCCATGGCGCGCTGATCTGGTCTTAATCTCGTGTCTGTTGGTGCGACGACCGGTCGTAGAGCGTCAGGGATATCGTTCAAAGTGACAACAAAGGGCGTAAGATTGAAGGGAATGCCGGTAGGACGTTCATGTGCTTGCCAAACGAGGAAAGCCTTGTTTTCGTCGTGCTTGCTCTTACTACCGCCCTTTTCGATTTCAGCGTCTTCGAAACCTGGAGTAAAACGTGCGTAGATTTTGTCGTTCCATCGACCTCCGAGCGACCATCGGACGCGACCCTCCGCATCGAGGACCTTTCCAACAACTTGGTAGGCCGACGATGCTTTCCAACCACGTGGGCTTGAACTCGACTTGACAGACTTCGCCGGTGGTGTGGTTGCGAATTTCCATGATTCCGTAGTTGTCGACGACCGGGTTGGCGGGTGATAATGCCGATGACGGAAGATGTAACTTTCTTCCAAGGTGTAGAGTTCTTCCTTGCCGCCGTTTACCGTCGGTCGGGAGGGCGCAAGAACCAGGTTCCAAGCGGATTGATGTCAAAAGACTTGCCGTAGAAATTTGGACTTGACTGCGGATTCGCCTGCAGTGCGTTAGTCATAATCTAAAGTAATAGAATTTCAATACTTACATAGTAATCCCACTTCTTTGATTCCGCGTAGGCCGCGCCAACCGGAGGGTGATGGCTGACCTGCTCAATGAAGAACCGGTAGCCCTTGTCAGGTCGTGCGTACTCATATGTCTCGGCAAGAAGAGGGTTGAAAGGCTTAGCCACCCGACCAATGGTCGATGCGTACTCGGATGCCGCGAAGGCAGCAACATACAACAGTCGCTCGGTGGAATCGGCACGGTCTGCAGCAGTGTCGAGGAGATCAGTGTACTCCATGTCTTCTGCGACTCGCTGAAGCAGCGATGTTGGCTCGTTAAAAGACACGGGCAAAGTCATCTTGGTCATGTCCTTTCCGATCATAGACTTGAGGATACCCTAGAAGAAAGTCAGATCTTATACCCTCATGCAAGGGAGTCCATGCGCTTACCCAGAGAGAAATCTTAGGCCTGTCATCGGCATCCATAGCAAGTCTTTTGCGAGGTCCATCTTCGTATCCCTTGAAGCCGGTCGCAATCGCGGAATGTTTCTCCTCAAATATGTCGCCGCCAGATGAAGGTGCCCCTGATTCTTTCGCATCTGTAGGCTCCTGAGGAAGCTCAACGACCTCAACCTCGCCAGCACCTACAGCATCAAAGAACTCTTCGTCGTCCTCAGATTCAGAGTCCGACATATCCGCGGCGATGTCTGCAATGGTAGCCTTTCGCTTGATCGAGCGATTAGGGTAGCTTGCGCTTCGTGAAAGCTCCTGCTGCTGCTTCGGGTCTTCGGCCGCTTCAACAAAGTCATCATCCTCGTCATTAACAGCGGGTCCTGGACCCGCGCCTGGGTGCTCGTAATCTTCTAGGGCCTCACGTAATGCTCGCTTCGTCTTACGCCGCTTCTCCTCGGACTCGCCTATTCTGTTCTCCAGCTCCTCCTGCTCTTTGGCAACTTTAGCCATACTTTCCTCCCACATGCGGCGGACATTGGCTTCGCGGTCTAAGCGGTACTGCCAATACGCGTCACGGTCTCGCGAGATTCGCAATAAATCACCTATCAGCCCCTTGAGATTGCCAATGGCCGAATCGTAAGATGCGAGTGCTTGAAGCATGGTTGGATCTGCGATCTGCAGGGTGGGGTTCTTCGACTTTTCTGATTGTAAAGCTGCAGAAACAGAAGTAAGGAGTTCCAATTGGAGCTTCGCGGATTGGGCTGTGATGTTGAACGCGTCTTTGCTCTGTGGTTTGATGTCGTGACCGCTGTCATTGTCATCATAGTCGTCGTCATCGTCCATATCATCAGCGACTGTCGTCGCACCAAAATGGCTGGCAACTCTGCTGATGTCCTGTCCAGGGACGCTAGGCTCGTAGGCACTCGTGCCTTCTTCACCAACGCTGACTGCGGTACGGGAAGACGTGTCCTGGGGCATGAGGGGAACGCCGAGCGATGATGCTGCTGTTGGGCGGTCAGTAAATACATAAAATAGTGCTGAAGTCACCTACGGGCTAGATTCTTTGAGCCAGTCATTCGTGAACTGGTGACGCTTGCACTATCACCACCACTTGTTAATTGTTCGATCTTTGCCTGCTTCAGCATTTCTTGATCTTGGTTCGCGCGCTTCTCCTCTTCGCGCGCCTCGTCTTTGGCCCATTGAATGGAGTTGTTCAAGGCCCAGTACCACCGCTTCGCCTCGACCTGGTGGTTAGCCTTGAGATGATATTTGACGGAGGATCTGCCCTGAATTTCGAAGCGCTGCTTATCCTGAGGGTCCATGTAGAGCTTCGCGATGCGCATATTGATGGCACCTCGACATGCTGATCCGATGTCATCTGCCAGAGTTAGCCTTCGTGCGCACTGGACATGGTGCAGACATACCCTGATGCTTGTAGTAGCTCAGCGCACCGTCCTCAAGCACAAACCAACGCAACTTGTAACCGCTCGTGTAGTTGGTCCACTTCTTAAGGTAACCCTTCATCTCGCGCGACTCTTTCACGCCCATGCCACTATCGCTGGCTGCTGCACCAGGCGCGCTGCCGGCCAGTATTGTCTTCTCCTGTATGCCTCGCTGTGCAGCTGCGGCTGCTGGTGATCGTTTGAGAATGGCGCGCGTGCGGTCGTCTTTGGTGTAGTCTTGGGGAAGCTTGCCTTTCCTGTCGCGTCGGAAGGGATCAGCACCATTGAGCAGTAGCAGCTGTGCCAGCTTCACGTCCTTTTTCTTCGCAGCTTCGTGCAATAGCGTGCCGCCAGCATCGACTACTACCGGGTCGGTTGCCAGCTCTCCGCCGTTCACATCAAGCGTGCTCTTGATCCGGGCGTCTTGCAAGATTTGCTCCAGTGTTGTCATGTCGCCTGTAGTCACTAGCTGCTGTATCTTCTTCACGTTTATATCGATGAAAATCGAGCGCGCAAGCTGCAGCTGCTGGAAGATATCCGGTGTGCGGGCGAGGTCTAGTGGCGTCTGACCATTATAGTTGATGATGGAGTCATTGATACCGGGCTGCTCGAGGAGCATGCGGACAACGGGTGCACGGCCAAGGGTGGCTGCCAGGTGAAGGGGCGTGTTTCCGTCACGGTCGCGGCCGTTGATATCGATGGGCGAGTCTGCATTCGCAGTTGCGTTGGACAGCACAAATTCGATGACGGGCATTTCGGCGCATTGTATGGCCAGGTGCAGTATGGATGTTCCCTCAGTGCGGGCACTGGGCAACGACAGTGACGACCTGCCTTCCTCGCTGTCTGACGGTGCCGACTGCTCCCTGATAGCCTTGGCGATGGCCGTTGTGTCTCCATTGCGTAGCGACTCGAAGACGCGGAACAGCTTCACGGACTGCTCGATGGATGAAGCTTTGGCAGTGCTCGGCGAGGTCGGTGACGGCTGAAAGTTCGGGGACGAGGGGCTCAGGGCGTCTGCAGTACCAACGTTGGACATGCTGGCAGAGAGGTGTGGGTTGTGTCTCTTGGAGAGACTGCGCTGGTGACCGGGCAGATGCTGCGACGAAGCCCCCAGGTGCGAGCCCGCAGCCGACGAGCCTGGTGGGGAGGAATCGCTCATGTCGGTGTTGGTGACGTCGTTCTTGGAGGACACACGGCCAAGCATGTGCTTGACCTTTTGCGACTTTGACCGCTTGTGGCTGCTGGGGTCAGTACTGCGTCGACTGTCGAGTATTGCTGCTGCCCGGTCGTGGCACAGGAGGTGGCACTTACCTGGCTTCCATGTTGCACAATGGCCGGCCTCGAGAATGCGGGGGGAATAGTGGGGAGGGGCGTGAATGCCAGGGGCGGCAGAGGACGACCGTCGAGTATTGTCTGGGAACGATGGGATATGCTATGCGAGCGGCGTGACGTACTTTTTGTAGCAACCCGCCCTCGAGCAGCCAACAGCGGGGCCTTCTCGACGTGCTTCGTCGGAGGCGTCTTTGGCAGCTCGGCAGCCAATCACACTTCACGCTCCGCCGAACCACTATCGCGCGCTGCACCAGTTGCACCAGGGCTACTACACAACCATACTAGGCGCAGACTGTCAAGGCTCGAGATGGGCCGGATGCAGCGCCGCAAGGCAGTGCTTGTCAATGTAGTTTAGCAAGGTTGGCAAAACAAACTGCCCAGGTTCCGCGGTGTTGCGGTGTTGCGGGCGCTTCACAAATTCCGTGTGCATCTTGCTTGCGTATGCTGTGATGACATATCTAATACATAGCTTACATGGCTTACATCCCATCACTAGTCTATCCTGCTCTGCGTCAGACTACGACGCGTCGCCAGTCACGAGAAGAATAGCGCTTCCCAACTGCCTCCGTAGATCTTCCTTCTCGACATCGTGCGTGTCCTCAACCTCACCCCACTGGCCCGTCTGCCATCGGACCTCGAGGCTCGCCGCTTCGGCCGCTTCCTCGATGCCGAAGCGGGCCGCGTTGGCCGGCTTCCGCGATTGCGTAAATGCTTCGCCCCATTCGTAGATCAGTCGCACGCTCACGAGCAGACTCTTGGATGCCAGCACCGCACGCTCCAGGCCCGCCAGCTCAAAGGCAGGGAGGCCTGCCAGCCAGCCGCGTATCACTTGCTGCGTCATAGCCGGCTGTTCCACGGGCATGATGCTGTCGGGCTCGAGGATGGGCTTGATCTCGACGCCGGGCCAGATGTGGGTGGTGAGGTGGCCAATGATGGGCGTGGCCATCTCCTGCTGGAGCTCACGCAGCGTCTTTCCGTTGCGTCTATGGTCGTTCATAACATTCTCTGGCGCCCAGCACAGCAGCGTGTCCGTGGCGAGGTAGCGCATGAGCAGATTGAGGACTTCGTTCCTGACATGCTCCTTTCCCTGGGCATCGGCTTGCTCAATGTCGAGGGCACGGGCAGCAAGCGAGGTCATGGGTATGTAGTGCGTCCTGAGGGCTTGCTGTGCGCTCAGCAGGAGGTCCCACTCGAGGGCAATGGCTGTGGCGAGCTGGGGCTTCGAGGCGGGGACGGTGAGGATGTCCTTGGTGGGGGTTCGGACGGGTCTGCTGTCAAGGAAGACTTGCAGGCCCTCTGTCTGCTGTCAGCACTGCAGCATAGAAGACCAAGTCTGCAACACGCACCATCCGTCTCCTTCACGGTGCTGTCCTTCCAGAAGCGCTTCTTGAGCAGGCTCTTGGGCTTGTTGGAGGGCACCGACTCGGTACGGACCTCCTGCGCCTGCTTCACCATCTCGGCCTGGCGCTTCTTCCTCGCCACGCGCTCCAATGGGTCTGACGGGTGAGGCGTGGGTGTCGCTGGGGGCGGGCCTGGCACCGATGCATGCGGCAGCGGCGTGGCATGGCGGGCAGCGGACGTGTGTAGGCATTGGTAGAGCGGGCGGTAGGCTCTGCGCGGAGCTGCCAGTCGCAGCGTTGCCAATGCGGGGCGGAGCGTCTCCATGGTGTCGTGTGTTGGTGTGTCTGTCTGGCGTGGTGAAGCTTGAAAAAGTCGCGGGAGCCCATGATGCGTCGGCACGCCGGGCATGACTCGCGTCCAGGCTCCGCAGCGTCAAGCAATCAGATGCAAGAAGCGCCGATTGCAGCTGTCACCGGCTGCTTCCTTCCAGGCTGACTCTGTTCCCGAACATGTCGCTGGACCTTCTCCACATGTCCCTTCCCGCTGCTCTGGTTCTTCCCCACACTCGCGTCTGGCCCTCAGGATTGACGTGAAGCTCGCCGCCTACCCATCCTACCCCGCTTGCGCCTGCACTTCCCCTGCACCCGCTCCCGCTCGATCGAGGCGTTCCATGTGGGCGTCCTTCTCTTGCGCGTCCTGTCCATCCGAGCCCTTTTCATGAATCAACCTGCGCCCACGGCCTCCGCGAATGCTGCTGCTGCTCCTCAGCCCAAGCCCATTCGCTTTGTCAACAACCATGACGGGCCCTACGCGAAACGCCGCCGCATTAACAGCGCATGCTTGACGTGCAGGCGCAAGAAGACGCGCTGTTCGGGTGAGTTGGCCGCGTGCCTGCCCGAGACGTCCCAAATGTTGGCTGACACAGTCCAGGCGAACGGCCCGTGTGCTCGACATGTGTGAACAACAAGCACGAATGCGCCGGCTATGGCGAAGACAGCAACGCCGCCAACGATGCAAAAGAGAAAGAAAGCAAAAAGGCCGCGCGGAGGGAGAGCAATGCATCACCGCGCAAAGTTGAACAGCCAATTGACCCGCAGCTCACGCGCCCACCACTGCAGCAAGCCATGTCCACCGTCTCACAACGCTCCGACTCGACGAGCAGCCAAATACTGAAGCGCGAGGACGATGGCACCAACGGCGCCCTCAGCCTCAGCACGCGGAACAGGATGCCGTACTTCCGCTACTTTGGGCCGACCGCTATCATGCCTGGCTTCAAGCAGATGGTAGTCAAAGTCCGCGGGAAGCAGCATGGCAGCGGCCAGACAGCTTCAGATCGTGAGTCCACCAACCTTCAAAGCTGGAGCAACCCACTAACGGGACAGAACACGCCGTTGCGTCTTCACCAGCACAACAACCTCTAGAGTCTCCACCGCTGCCGGAACCGCGTACGCCCCTCGAGATACCAGTATACGATGCCTCGTCCATGTCTCCAAGCCCTCTTATCACCCATCTCTGCAAGCTCTTTTTCGTCCATCTTGGCTGCTCTTTTCCCTTCCTCCAGCGCGAGCGCTTCATGCGCGACCTGGAAGAGAAGCAGGTCGATGCGATTCTAGTAGACGCAGTTTGCGCACTTGCAGCTCGTTTCTCTACACACCCAATGTTGACAGGCAATGGAGAAAATCAGAAACCCATCGATATTGAAAATTCCCGAATACAGCCTCCTGAATATGGCCAAGCATTTGCCCAACGTGCGAAGTCGGCCATTCCAGATGCCTTCCCATGTCCAAGCGTTGCCGTTGTCCAAGCCGCGTTGCTTCTAGCGTACGACGAGTTTGGTGCCAGTCGAGACAGTGGCTTGTGGATGTACTTGGGTATCGCAATACGCATGGCCCAAGATCTAGGCATGCAAACTCTGCAAGGCTTAAAGTATGAAGGCTTAAACGGACCCAATCCGAAATCTGTCAAACCGGATGCCGAAAAGCAGAAGGCACCTCCGTCTCGCGGCTCTTCTTCACGGCGTGAGCAGGGTAGTGATACCGAGGAGCAGGAGCAGAGAGCTGCAGAACGCGAACGACTGGACACGTTCTGGTCCGTCTTTTTCCTTGATCGAGTCATCTCATCTGGCACTGGACGGCCTGTCACCCTGCGCGATCGAGACATCGAGATATCTTTCCCGTCTATGGACGAGCTCGATCCCGCATCGGGATGGCCATTACCGTTCCCTGCCTTGATTCGTATTATTCACTTGTACGGCCGGGTGACGGATCTCATCAACAGGATTCGAGATGCCACTGATATTTCTGATGATCTGCAAACACAGCTCGCATCGCTGGAAGATCGCCTCACACTGATCTATCAAAATCTCTCACCAAGGCTCCACTTCAATGCCGTCAACTTCCAGCAATACGTCAAGTACAACCAGGGGACCAATTTCCTCCTCTTGCATTGCTGGTTCCATGTGCTCATCGTTTTGCTGCATCAGCCAACACTCCTGAAGTCGTTTGAGGGCTCACCGCAGTCTCTCTCGACGAACAGTAGGGAACTTTCCATGTCATCAGCCAAAACAATTGCCGATATTCTTGCATTTACAGAGCTCATCGATGCCAAGACGGGTATGGGCAACCCATTCACCAGGTATGTGTACGTCAAACCAAGCTGCAAAACTTAGCCAACACGATATAGTCAACCAATATACATTGCGGCGTGCGCTTTTCTAAACGAGACGGCCATCCATTCGGCTTCATCGCAACCACATTCGCGGCCATCAACCCCGGGCTCGAAAGGAGACGAAGCAAAGGAGCCTGCGAACGGCCGTGCTATGGACCGCGAGCAGAAGCAGGCTGCCAAGCATACGCTGCTCGCATCAGCCGCAAATCAGAACTACCAACGTTGCTACCGCGCATTGAAAGCACTCGAGACGTACTGGGCAGGTGTGAAGTACATAATGACTGTGTTGGACCAAAAGGCTAAGGGCGTGACGGACCCAATCTTGTACACACGAGAGGAGATGGAAAGCGCCTTGGAAGCGCCTCGGCCGGAGCCTTCATTCACGAGCCCTGGCTGGCGGAGAAAGCTTAGCTGGGGAACATATCTGACAGCTCAAAGTCCCAACGATGACGTGGCCAAGATCTTCAGAAAAGGTGCAAGAACGCCGACGATACCGGGGTCTCCAATGGTGCATCCCAGTCAAGGTAAAATTTCATTATTGCCAGACTCTCCACCACGAAGCTAACATTGCACAGCAATAGGATGGTCTCTGACAGGCACGATGAACTCACCCTCGACCAACGTCGCTGTTATGTACAGCTCCGAAAATAACAACGTTCGCGATGGCAAACCTGCATCTACGAAACAGCCGCCGCCCCCAGCAAGCTCACAGCCATCAATTGCTTCGCTCATTTCGGAACCCCCGACCAAGTTTGAACCTGCACAACAGCCTCTCCAGTCGCCCTCCATGGCGCAATTCAACCACTCTTCCATGCCACCACCACCTGCGTTTACCAACACAATTCCCCACTCCCGACCCTGTCCTCGTCTCCGATGCCGATCTCTTGTTGAAGCCTTCACTCTCCATTCTCAACTGGCATCACCCGCGCACATCGGCGGGTCCAGAGTCAAACTTCGTTCGCACGTGCGTCTTCGCAACAATCGCAGCCAAATCAGACAGACTTCTCGCCAACATTTGGCACGTACCCCACGCCGTCGGACAATACGTTTGGTGACATGGTCATCGACACTCAGGATGTAGACATGTCCTTGCTTGGCGCAGACATGATGCCCTGGGATCTGGAGTATCTGCCACACGATATGCTGTACTTTGGCGAGAATAATTACGGGAACACGGGCATGGGAGAAGATGGGCAGGAATAAAAGTAGTTGGATGGATTTCAAAAAGTGGTAATTAATGGTTAAAAGGGATAAGGAATGGTTATGGTCAACAAAATCGGAGCTGCTGGGGTGTATGTTTGATACTGTTCATGATACCACAATGATTAGTCGTCTTCCGAGTCCGTCTTTAGTATGTACATGTACGTTGGGTATCGTGAACGACTTTATTTCTGTGTTAAAGAGGTCAAGTCCCATGGTGGTCATAAAGCCACAGCACATCATCAGCCGATAACAAACATCACAAGAACAAGTGCCAGCAGCATCACAGCGCACACATGTAACGCATCCAAGTAAAAGACAGACACTTGATAGTCATTACTGGGGTATCTCTTCATCTCCACTCTCCTCGTCCAGGCGCAGCATTAGTCTCCATCAGTCGAGCCTGCGCACACCGCCACAACGCCCGTGCGCGGGCGCGCTAGTTGGAGATCTTCGAGTTGACCTTCTTGCCCGTGATCTTCTCGTACACCTTGCGCATGCCATCGGTCTAGATAATCCACAGTCAGCAAATCGTCTCCCTTACACGTAGATGGGAGAAAGAGAGAGGGGCGGGAGAAACGCACAATCTTCTCGCTCGTAGCCCGATTTCCCGCAATCTTCTGGCCCTGCGCGCCGCCGAATTTCTTCGCGCCCGCGGCAAACGCCTTGTCGAGCGGGTCTTGCTTCTGGTTGGGGTCGTTGTTCATGGTTGCGTTTTGGAGTTTGGTTTCGCGTAGAGTGTGAGGGTATAGGTGTAGGTGTAGGTGAAAGAAGAGGCGCGGAACAGGCTCTCTTTATATAGGTCGGTGAGCAGAGTTTCGCGGGCTTTTCGCGGTGATAGGTTGCGCCGCAAATGCGCTAGTCTGTTTGCAGCACACGTACGCATCTTATCGCCCCGATCGACCAGGGCCGGGTAATAAACTTGGCTTTGAGCTTTTTTCGGCGCGAAGGATTAGTTCCCGATGAGTGGGGCTTGTGCTGGCGACGCGAGGATTGGAGTGGGGTGGTTCATGTCTTCATACATGTTGCATCGCATTTATTGATTGTGTTGTGATCTTGCTGTGAAACCTTGGTTTGAACGTACATTTTCCACTTGTCGTCGGATAGCATGAAGCTGCACAGCCACACTGGGCGTCGGGTGCGGCGGAAGACCGTAAGCCCTCTTCTGACATATCCACGCGTCGCCCTCACCATTGAAAAGTGTGCGTCCTCACTACATTCGAACTGCTCTGCTCAGTCATCTCCACAGTATGACTATCATGACGCATTTCCTTCGCGAACCCACCCTCCTGATCTGGCGGAGGTTCCGGCGCATCGACGACATGGAAGACCAAGCTGGCGTCTACAAAGTCGATATCCGCATCGCTTTCGGGCCGCACCACCGTGATCTTGGCCACCGTCTTATGGCCGATATCTGCCTTGTGTTGGAGCAAGAAGTAGGCAAACACCGCGCCGTTTGGCGATCCCCTGGTGTTGACTGTTAGCTTGCTGCATATTCCGCGAGAAGGTGATTTCACTAACAATAGGGCATGTCCCTCCTCGGTGGATGTGTCGAAGCTCGCTCCCGGCCACTCCTTCAGCTCTTTCTTCGCCCGCTTGAGACATGAGGCGATGATTTGGTTCGTTTGATCATTGGAAATGCCCAACATGAAAAAGTATCGGATGTTCTTCACATCTGGGTTATCTCGGACCCAGTATCCCCACAAGATATCGGATAGAAGCTTGAGATGTGGTAATTGATCTTGAGGAGGCTCCTTTTTGTTGCCATACCACTCTCTACTAGCGGAGGCTCTTGGTCCTTCAAGATAGAGCCCGTAGATGGCTGCATGGCGGTCAGTAGTGTCTTACTCTTTTGTTCTCTTCGCTCATAGCATACCTCCGCCTTTGTTGTTTATGATGAACTCGTAGTGTGCTTTCGTAGCCTACACCATGGTTAGTATCTGGGTCTGAGCAATTCGTTAAGGAGCGTTTACGTGGTAATCCTTGCCATCGACTTTATACCACTGATTGACAGCCGGCACCTGTTTTCCACCTTCCTCCTTATCCGCATCCCAATGCTCGACCCGTGAGCATTCATTATCTCCGCCATCCGACTTAGGCTGTCCATTCAGCTCCAATGCCGCCAACATCACCGGAAACTCCCAGTACGCGTGGAGCTGGCATCCTTTGGACGAAGGGCTCATCTCCCGCCAATACCACGTGTCCAGCTCCTGTCTGAGATCCCCGGTCCACACACTCGCTGCTGATGGCGGGTTGCGCGTGTCTCTGATCTGCCCGCCGGCGGTGCGATCGGTGCCTACGAGACCGCGCATGAGTGTGCCGCCCTTGAGTGTGTACTTTTCCCAGTCAGCGTCGCTGGCCAGATCATCATCCCATAAGGCGGTCACCGGGAGGGGCGTGGTGGCGCTATGGGACGCACGAGTTCCATCCTTTCGGCGCACAAGGGCTGGGGAGACTCTTTTGGCGCCAGCATCGGATGAAATGGCTACGGTGTCGGCTGCGACGAAGTTAAGGATCGCGAAAGTCCAGGCTGCTGCGAAGAGGCGCATAGTGAGCTTGGGTTGCACTTGCACAACCCGTAGCTCTGGCGGCGGCGATGAAGAAGTGGCGGTAGAGAGGTTCTAGAATGGGAAAAGGCATCATCGCGTGGAGAAAGTCACCCGTTACAGTTTCAATCTTGGGTTGGCTGGTGAAGGCTTCTCTGATGAAGGTGAACGCGGTCAGACACCGCATAAATGTATGGCCACTCAACAACTTGCCAGATATGTTTTGCAGACAACCAATTGTGAAAGTTTCCAGTGGCGTTCGTCACACAGGATGATCGAAATGGGTATGTCTAGTGGACTTTCCTATGCAATTGAACTAGAGTGTGTAACATCACCGTTTTGCCTTGAATCGTAATTGCAAAGACGATGAACCTTGAGGCATAGACGGATTATTCGCTGTCTAGGATAATATGCCTGCATAAAGTATACCTATGTAGTTCCACAAACGGTATTTCTAGTAAAATCCGACATTCACCTTAGTTAAGGGTTGGGCAGATATCTTTAAGTATGAATCTGAATGCCGTGGCCTGTTTTGCGATATCCATATCGCAGTCTCTATCTAGCAAGGCCGGGAACGAGAGTCCCATGTCTTCGTTCTGAATTCCGCAGCTGGTTGGAACCTCTCCTCAGACAAAGAGCATGCGATACAAAGCATCAACTCTCGACAATTGGTGTCCAAATGTGCCAAGCAGCATTCTCCGGCTGTGGCAAAACGTCGCCCATAACATCGTCGGGTAATATATTTGACTGCCCGGACTGATTTGACCCGGGCATATTGTTGAGACGAACATCGCTTTTGAGCTCCCACTTCCATTCAAGGTGTGTACCCATCGTGGTTTCCGCGGGATTGGACAGTGTTGACTGAACTGTGATGTTTTCCAGGCCACTGAATGGGCGGTGTATAAGCTTCAGCAATTTCCTGGCGGAGTCTTGGATTGCAGTTGAGCCGGGTCCGAAGTCGAAGAGAAAGTCTTCTAGCGCTGCTTCATCGCTTGCGGTGTCCTGAGGCGAGAGGCTACTCGAAAAAATCACCTCTTGAAGTTCGTCCAGATGGCTGGTGAGAAGATTGCAGAAACGGCCTGCCAACGCATCCTTGAGTGAACAATAAGACAGCACCTTGATACACATGTTGAGGAGCTCCACGTCATGAGCTATCGGGTAACCATGAATTGCCTTCTGCACAGCTGCGTAAGCAATCATGACGCCTGCAGTATATGAGGTGAAGCTACAAGTAGATGTGATCTTTTTGCGATCATAAAATGATGAGAAAACCTACATGCATAGCCAGCACACTTGTACGATTTTTCCCTCGAACAACATGGACTCCATGAGAACGGCATTGTTTCGAGCTGCCAGAAGCCCATCTCGGATCGCTTTATGCACCTCTACAGGAAGTAAAACTTTGCTGGTGGCGTCGAGTGGGATATAGGCGATTGCCAAGCGACGAGACAGTAGCATTCTAGCTGAGTGATAGAAAAGATGAACATAGAAAATGACTGGTCGAAATTGCAACGTGTGTTCCCTTTGCTCATTGGAGATCAATTGTAGAAGGCCCATCCAGTCCGGTAATTGCTCGACAAACGTCCGGAACCTTTGCTGGAAGTTTGCAACAACGTTTCCGGGTACGGGCGCAGTTTCTGGAACCTGATGCAACATCTCAGCTTTGATGATGGTTACCTTTACGCATTCGCGTCGTATCATATCTTCGGGGGCAACACCAGTATCCTCTTTCACCTCTAGAGCAGCAGGGCCGAGAGCTATCGGGACGCTGTCCAGTGAGGCGCTAAGCCAACTAGGTCGGAGGTAATTAGGAGCATATCTTATATTTCTGTACTATACACATCAACTTACCATTGCAGGTGGACCAGGGTCCTGTAAGTGCGCCACATGTCATCGTAGTCAACAGGTGACAAAGTTGGATTCTGTTCGGAAGCATCGATACCAAATCTACGGGAAAGACTGATACCAAGATCTGCGTCTCTGTTAGCGGAAGCACAAAACGCACCTTGATACATACCAAGATAAGCCAGCGCGACACTAGCGTGTACAATGATATTATACATAGCGACGAGGGCGCAGATCTTCACAGCTCGTAGCGGGTTGTACTCGATAGCTACATCTAGTCCGAGCTTAGCCACTGCGTAGAAGTAGTCTGCCAGTTCGGCTGGCCGAGCAGCATCAGGTTCGGCAAGTCGGGAATGAACAACGCCAACTGCGGCCATTCCAGCGAGCTCTGCTGCCGTGGTCGTGGTTCTTGCGTCCACATTCATGGTGACCAAGTCACCCAGTGGCATGTGGAAATCTTTGATGCTCTCGATGCTTCTTTGTGCCACGTCCTTGTCCATGATATAGAACAGGGCTCCAACGCAATTGAAGAACCAGTCTATTGGCTCATTTAGATCTAGTACAGTTGCATAACTTGTCCGCGTAGATAGTGATGCCACAGTCTCTGGCTGGACTAGTATGCGGTCATCAAATACTCGAGCCAGGTCGAGGGGTTCCGTGTTGTAAGACGCTGATGGCGTGGAAATACTCCGAGACGAATTTGCTTCTGATTCTGATACGACATTCATATCGGATAGTCCTTGCCGATATTCGGTAAAGTGCTGTAAGGTGGCTCCCACATCATCACCAGGATTACACCTTAAATATTCCAGAAGAGCAGTAGCTTGCTCAGGATTTTTCGTCTGCAAGTACCAAAGGATCTCGTATAGCGCGCTCTTGTCACTCTCGAGCTTTTCAATCTTCACCTTCTGCTGTTCGGCAAGATGGTTGGTTGGTGTGGCATACACGCAGTCGGTAGCCTGCGTGCGGCATGATCGGCATTTGGGCTTCACGCCATCACACTTCACTACGTTAGCTGCTGCTAGCCGATAATGAACATGCACAACGGCAACAACACGGACCTTGACGCGCCTCGAGCGGCAGCTCTCGCACGCGATTGAAACTTTGGCCCTGCGAGAAGAACTCGCTGAGGCGTATGGATGGACAGCGCCGGGCGGACGCGGGGCAAGCTTGCGAGCGTCTGCCATGTCAGTGATGCAGCGCACGCTGACTTCGAACGGTGGGCTTTGCTAATCGGCCCGATATATAGGAGAGGAGCGGTGATTGGCGGATCGCAAAATCTGTCTAATTCGCAAACTTCTAATGTTAATGGCGTGATGAAAAGAAGAAGTTGAGCCGAGGAATATATTAATGCTCCAGGCCTGCTGTGTCCAGTGTACAAGGCTTCTAGGCAACATGGAATCGTGGAATCGTCGATGTAAGCCTATTCGGGGTTAGTCTACAAACGAGCCTCCGCGGGTATAACAGCCTTCCCCTGTCAATTCTGAGCATACAAACATCGGTAACCGATGATGAAGATCTCTCGAGGGATAGTTGGAAGGACTGTCCATGTCTACCATGCACAATGGCCACCATCTATAAGAAGATCCTGCAGAAGATAGTCAGTGACTCTATTTGGCAGATCTTATGCTGGACTTACCGCTCCCGTCATGTAACTGCTTCCCTCGCCCAAGAGGAAAAGTACTGGCGCCCTGTACTCTTCAGGCTGACTGATTCTCCCCAGCATGTTTTGATCTGCCCACGCATCTGTCAACCCTCTCAATCTCGCCGCCTCACTGAGTGGAGTATCGATGTGGCCTGGGCTGAGGGTGTTCACTCTAATGGGTGGGAAGATTGGTCGAGGTGCTGTTGATGGGGTTGGATTCGTAATTGTCGCCGTGCTTCCAGGAAAAGTGTTTTGTGGATGGCCCCATTCTGCAGCAAGAGATCGCGCAAGCTGATGAACAGCAGATTTGGAAGCATTGTATGCAGCTGTATTGATCCCTCTGTTGCTGACATGGCCACTCATACTAGCGATCATTACAATGCTTCCTGAGACTCCAGCGCGGTGCATTTCATTTGCCACAATACGGGCCGTCAGAAATGTACCAGTAATGTTGATGTCAAGTATCTGACGGAATACGTCTGCAGAGTAATCGCAGGCATCGCTTTCTCCTGATATTGCTGCGCAACACACGAGACCTCGAATTGGGAACCGAAGCTGGGCAGCAAGCTTGGTGATAGCGTCTATAATGCTCTCCTCCTCCTGGATGTTGGCTTGCACATAACTTGGTCTTGTTCCGTGTGATTCACCTGTATTCACGAGAGACTCTGGGAATTGTAGAGAATTGTAAGTAACTGGAAGAGTAGGAGAATTTGGGGGTGGGAAAGCTGACCCCACGCGCTCACTTCTGGAGCTGGGAGAATGTCAAGGACGGCAATATCCCCTCCGCTCTCCAGAATAGCTCGACCTACACACATCCCAACCGCACCGGCTCCCCCAGAGACTAGGACGTGTCAGTCAGCTTCAACGAATCAAGCGATGTGCCGCACTTATTATGGTGCGACCGTCGAGCCTGAAGAGGTCCTTGGTCGCTAGATTGGTAGGCGCAGGTAATGCCATGATGGATATGTGCAAGTGAGAATAGAATTTCTTCCCTCCGTAACAAAGATTCTTTCAAGACTAGGGATGAGTAAATCAGGCGTTGTTTGTCTCAGTCTCCGTGACGAAACATTTCAAGCCTTGCAAAAATGACGACCAAATGACGTAGTCGCCTGAGTCTACTAAACGGTCCGGGAATCGATGATCGTAAGTCTCACTCTCCCCATTGTCCTAAGTTAGTTTCATGTAAGCCATATTATTAATCGCTATACACATTTTGAGAGAAATGAAAACATCAATTCGTGGTATGAGATACCATATCTACATGAAGATGGTCTATGAATCTGGAACAAACACCACCCCAACGGTAGGTATCGAGTTAACTCCCTAACTCCTCGCTGTGAACTCAATTCGCATTCTACCCCACCCTACTCGTTGATGCGGTGCTGCCAAACCCCCTGCTCTGCACGCGCAGAGTACGTGCTCGCACCGAGGATAGCCTGCATCTGCTCGACGCTCGTGTATAGCGCCTGCCTCGCCACGAACCAGCGAATCCCCTCCGTGCACGGCGGGCTGGTCAAGCTTCCCTGGTAGGTCCAGAACTCATTGAAAAACTGCACGCTCTGGAGCGCGCTGGTCAGGTCTAGACTAACCGCCTCGGTCTCGTCGCCGCTGTTGACCCCAATCATCTCGGGCAACTGGCCGATGAACTGGTTGTCGGAGTTTCCGGGGTCGATGCGGATGGCCATGACGGCGGCTTCGTGGCCAGAGGCGTCGACGTGCACGAGATGCAGCTCGGCCTTGCTGCGGGCGCCGTTGACGCTGTGATCAGCTGGCGCATGGATGTGCCAGCCCTTGAGGTAGACGGTCTTATTGTCGTAGGTGACGCTTGGGTGCTTCGTGTAGTCGCCGTCATGGGCGACAGTGAAGGCGGGTCCGAAACCCCAGTTGTAAAAGTTTCCGGCAGTCGACCCATTGTAGTTGAATTCTGGAGCATGATTGAGTGACAATCCATTACCCATGGACAAAGCGATAGGTGACTGCTGAGTTCCAGTTTGGCCTGGTTTATATCAGTTCAATTCTAGGTGCCCTTGGAAAAAGCATGATTGCGTACAAAGTTTGTAAGCAGGGTTTACACGACCCCAATTGAACGATGCCTCATAGGCCCAGTCATTCTTCGTGCTGTTCGTGCCATCGGTGGGATCCGCCTGGCGACCCTGGAGTGTCGATCGGCGAAAGTTGTTGTGTCCAGGGCAGCTGAAAACGGAGGGCACGAAGGCAGCAGCGAGGAAGAGAGATTGGAAAAGCATGGTGAAGGATTGGGCTCCTCTGGTGTTGCTAAAGGAGCGTGTTGATGTATATATCTTACGAAAAGAGTGTGTTACTATGTTGTGAAAGAGTGTGTTGCTATACTGTGAAAGAGCGTGTTGATATGCCGATACTGCACTGCTCGGAGAAGCAGCCAACATCTTATACTGTAATCGTACTGCGGCCTAATTTCCACTGCGAAGAAGACTAGGGCTATGATGATGCCAACGACCATGCACAAGACCAGTGCCAAGTCGACGATGTAGTCTCGCCTTCTACGTTGCAATCCGCCAAGTCCAGCATGTCTCTTGTACATATCAACCTTGGAAGTAACCAACCCAGGTGCGTCTGGGAAGCAGCCGTTTGCGCTCTCGCAAACGCCACGCGGTCCCAATACGGTAATGAGACGGCTGTAGTGGGCTGTGCAGAACCATGCCAGGCGCATGAAAGTGCGGAATAGCGACTGACGCGATCGAATGCCCCTCGAAGCGATGACCTTGTCAGGGAACAACTACTATGGTCTATGATTCTTGGCATGGAGGCCTTGGACTGGCGCCGCTTCCCAAATTTCAATCAAAGCTGTTTACACAACCTAGGGAAATCGTAGCTGTAGATGTCATTGATAGATTACACGTCGGCCCGTTGAAAAGTCGATGATGATGTTTCCCGTTTCCTTGAAACGGCAGACTAGCTTGTTCGTCTCAAGTTGGGCGTTGCATGTTGATGTAGCGCAATGGCTACCGGTTTTGGTAAAAGTGTTCGCAACAGTGAAATGAATCCTTGTCAGTACGGCATCCAACGTGACTCCTCGCAGTGTCAAGCAGTTGCGTTGTAAGTGATTTCTCTCGTACTGTAGATACACACATAACGCGGGTATAGCGAGAAGTTCTGTTTCACTATTTTAGGTCGGTCAGCTGAACGGCAGTGCGTGGTATTTGCAATGTCGGGGACGTGCAATGCTGGTCGCAATCATGCGCACGTCAGAATAAGATTGATGCGCGTATTCCGAGCTCGTGGCAGCCAGGATGATCGATGTTTCGACTGCCGTCGAAACCAAGAGTGGCCGTGGTCTTGTTTTACACCAGCCCCAGGGTCTAGGCAACGCCTTCGCGACACAGTAGCATGATGGCCAAGAAACAATCCTTGGGAGGCAGGACTGATATCACTGAGATTTGCAAGGCAGGTTTCTGGGCAGCAAGAGTGATAACACTGACATTGATTGCCGGAACACGAGATACGGAGCTGCCGATGCCAGTCGTTCCTCCCACCTATCAGACAACGTGCAGATCCGACGCTGCCATCCACGACATCACCAAACCATACCATAGCCAGTGACTTAAATATCTTGTTGTTCACAAAGTCCCAGATTTGGGCATTCACATTCAATCCTCGCCTGGCGACGTGTGGCGATCTCGCGTACTGCACCGCGCCAGGCCTTGCACTTGCGTATGCGTGTACTCTCGGCATCTTCTTCAGTTGGCTGGTCGAATGCACGAAGGCTACGTCCCACATCGTTGCGACGTATACTGTCATGATGAGAGGAATGGACAGAATCCCGGCGGTCATCGTGGTCTTTTCGGTCTTTCATGGAGGCCTTATTGCGTGCAGGGGCGGATCCAGTTGTTGACAAGCGTGACGACCCGTACGGAGCGGGGCAGCTCAAGAAGTCTTACCCATTGTGAAGCTGGAAATGTGCAAAAGAGTGTTTGGGAAGGAAATGTAGATGTTGTTATACGTAAGACTATAATGGGTAGAACGAGAGTGGTATGGGACGTGGTGAGGAGAGCGAGAGGCCGAGCAAACAGAAACGTCAATAGGTACATCCGGCGGAGAAGGGAGGGCCGTTCAGTGGTTTATCAAGGTAGTCACGGCTGCACGATCAGAAGTCGCAAGTCACGGTTAAGCAGCGTCAATGCATTGTCGTATGCTTTATTGCTCGAAAGCGCCATTGCATAGCTCGCGTTCATAGTCAAGATCGGGCTGGAACTCGCAGTACAAGCTCTCGGCGTCGGCGCCCATTTTGAAAGTGTATGCGGCTGCTTCGTCGTTGACATAGACCTTGGGGATACCGTTGGCGGCGGCGGCCTCGACCATGAGCTGGATCTCGCAAGAGCGCTCCATGAGGGTGTACAAGTAGGCAGCCTCGTCGACAGTGGCTCCAACAGTCTGCGCAAGTCAGCCGCATGTGCAAAGGGGGCTTGAAGAAGGCTCACCAGCAAGCCATGGTTTCGCAAGATCAGGCCCTTTCCCTTGGGGCCCAGAGAGGCAGCCAGGCGCTTGCCCTCTTCTTCGCTAAAGACAATGCCACCGAACTCAGGGTAGACGGCCTGCGCATCGCCATAAAAGTACGTCACATCCTGATTGATCATCTCCAGCGGTCGCGCAAACGTACTCCAGGCTTTGCCTGCGGTGCCGTGGCAATGACAAGCGGCAGTCACGTCGGGCCTTGCTTTGTGGACGGCCGAGTGTATGAGGAAGCCTGCTGCATTTGCAGGTCGGCTGGTATTTCCGCCCACGATGTTGCCGTCATAGTCGACCAAGACCATGTCGGATGCCTTCAAGGTCGCGAAGTGCTTGCCGAGCGGATTCGTCCAGAAGGTATGCGGATGCTCCGGGTCTCGGACGCTTATGTGTCCGGACATGCCCTCGGTGAAGCCTTTCCTCGCAAAGACGCCTGGATACCTCGATCAGTAACAAGCATTGCCGAGCGCTGGCGGTACCCTACGGAAAGCGCCTGCCATGTGCGACAGCATCCATGCCCGGTGCTTGTCGTAGTCGGAGAAGAGCGGGATGCCGGGCAGACAAACGCCCTGGGAGATGGCCTGCAGCGCCGTCTTCTCCTGCGTCTGGTCTTCGGTGCGCGGGGCCACTTGCTTTGCCTGTGGGGCAGGGAGCGCGTCGACGGCGACGGCAGAAGGTGCCATTGTGATGAACGGGATAATGTGTGTCTAGCTGTGGTGAATGTGGATGGGGGGTAGCAGTAGTAGATCCACGGCCGGCTTCTACGCTCTTTTTGCCATGTCGGCGGTTCTTATAGCAACACACGGCGTCGTGCGGATAACATGCGGGGTGTTTGACGCGCCGTAGACGCGCTGGAGACGCGCCAATGTAACCCACAGGGCGCGCAAAAACCTATCTCCGCCAGCCGTCCATCGCATCTCACTTGCGCTGCGCCAAGACATCTGGCTGTACTTCGCATGCCATCTTCGTCCTGATGAGCACAAAGGTGGAAGGCAGGCCAGCCTCAGTGCTCTGGGCGTCTTCAATCACCTGCGCATGACGTCACACCTGCACTTGGACAGCCTTGGTACTTCTGCAGAGTAGCTCACACGTGTATCGCAGACAAGAAGGAATCAATCGATAGAGCGTCTCGCAGTCTCAGCCTTCGTACATCGATTCGCAGGGTTGCGCCTCCAGCGCGCCTTCTCCGATGCATGCATCTGAACTAGACTCTTGCAGGCCGAAGCCTAGACCGTGCCAAAAGGCTAGTGTTATGGGTGCCACTCCCCCTCGCCACAGCATTGGTGACCTCGAGTCGCATGGCCAAAACTCCCCAGAGAGCCGCATAACATTGCCATCCGCCATGTCGCCTCTTCCCATGTCCACACCATAAGGCAAAGCATGGTTCCGTCCCACCTCAAGCGCTCACAGCCATGAACATACCGGTGCTTGGTGGCCCCACCAAAAACTCTGCTCCGGGCAAGGATCTGCAACATGTTGCTATGCTGGAACTGCTCCAACACGATCCTCGACCGACCTTCGTTCTGGACGCCACAGTCAGCCCAACAGCTTCCAGTGCCTCCATTGCGCCCGTCTACCACAACAAGGCGCTGGCTGCCGTAGACCGTGGCCAAGTTTTGACTCTGTTACAGGAGAAAAGGCCCACCATTTCAACACTAGAACAACGACATGCATCTTCGGGGTTTTCAAATTGGATTCGTTCACAGGATGTACGCACTCATTGGATTTATGCAGGTCATTCCTGGTTCAAGATGTCCCTTGCGAGCGGATATGTTGTCGTATGCGGAGCGCAGAGTGACGGGTCGACGCTTGCTCCACCAGGTCAAAATGATGGAGCAATGCTTTCAAAACAGATTTCGCGATCCAAGATGCCAACCTTCGACTGGACCGATGAGCTACCGCCGCTGAAGATGACGCCGCACGTTGCATGGGCGCGCAGCATCGATTGGTCGCAGACTCCGCTGGGTCCTATGTGCACGTGGTCATCACAACTGCGCAGTGTTGCGAACCTGGTTATGCAAGACTCCAGACCGGCTGTCGTATTCTACGGACCGGATCTGATCATGATCTACAACGAGGCAGAAATTGAACTGCTCGGTGGATTTCATCCGTGCATGGGTCAGAGTGCCCGTGTCGCCCTTGCTTCTGTCTGGCCAGAATACTTCGAGCCCATCATCACCCGTAATCTTGCCGGAGAGACTGTGGAGAAGACCGACTCACCGATTCATATGGTGCGCAATGGTTTCATGGAGGAAACGTACTTTTCTCTCAAGTTTATACCCATCTTTGGCTCCGATGGCACCACAGTCGGCCATTATGAACCTCTCATCGAGACTGTAAGTTTCCATTCACCCGCTCTTTCCAACTCCGCGGCTATATTCTCGACAACTGTACATATCATGTGTATTGTGACCAGTTCATCCAGCCAGTACACTTGTACAAGACTTGTCAACCACCCGCCCCTGCTCTTGCTCCAGTCAAGGGAACTTGCTATGCTTCAACTTGTGCTTTCTCCTTTGAACATTGGGATTTTGACAGTTTCGTAGACTAGAGAAGTAATTGCAAGGAGGCAGTCGCGTACGCTTCTTGCACTGAGTGAGGAGATCCCACGGGCAAGGAATACAAGCTCATACTGGGTAAGGACATCCTCAACGCCTCGCCTCGACAACACTGCTAATATTCTTCACAATATAGGACCTTGCAACCAAAGTTCTATCTCGTAACGACAAGGATATTCCCTTTGCTCTGCTATACTCTTCCGAGGATGATTCAAGTGACACAGCCTCAAGCACAACACGTTTTTCTGGAAATGACCAACGGTGCACGCTTCGTGGATCGTTCGGTGTACCCAAAGACTCGCCCGCTGGACCTGCTCAAATCGACTTTAGCCAAGACCATGGATTTACGCCTTACTTTCGTCAAGCTGTGGCGGCTCGGAAACCAATTGTAGTCTCTTTTGATGAGGGCTCTGTAGCCGCTGATTTGGTACGCGGCATCGATTGGCAAGGCTTTGGTGATCCATGCAGAGCTGCCGTAATCTGCCCATTGAATCCGACATCGTCAAAAGACAACATTCTTGGCTTCATGGTCATCGGCCTCAACCCTCGCAGACCCTACGACAAGGATTACCACCACTTCGTCTTGGTGGCGAGCCGGCTGCTCTCCACATGTTTGACATCGATCTTGCTCCATGAAGAAGATATTAACCGCAGGGAGAGAACAATCGCTAATGCGGAGGCTATGAGGCTCGAGCTCAGACAACAACTTTCAGAGACGCAGAAGGAGGTCGAAAGAAGCGTGCTTAAATTCCAACGCTTTGCAGAGCGCGCGGACATCGGCATCTTCATCCTAGATATGGATGGGGTATATTCGTACAGGTGCGTTTAACGTCCCTCGGATGGTGTGTACATCGAACTTAACGTCGTATCGCTTGTGCACAGAAACCAAGCTTGGTTTGACATATTGGCTCCGAAAACCCGGGACATTGAGCTCAACGACGCTTGGGATGCACTAATTGATGAGCAGCATGTACCCTTGGGGCAGGCCAAATTCGAAGCCCTTATGGAAACGAAACAGCACCAATCACTCGAACTACGCTTGAAGCGTACATTCGACGTCTCGAAGCCTAATTCGAACGATCTCAATCCCCCGAAAGAGCCCATGTGGGTGTTACTGTCTATCTTCCCTGAATTGACCGAAGACGGTGAAGTCGTCGAGATCATTGGCTGTTTTACGGATATCAGGTATGTGCTACATGGCCCTACACTGACCTCATCATTTCACGAAAATGAACCATCACCGCAACATTGAGCTGCAGCTTCGGTAGTCCCAACCAGGCTCCACGCTATCCAACATGTCATGTTGAAGCAGGGGATGCAAATTCAATTATCTCATTCCCAGCTTGAACGCCAAATAGCCCTACTACCACGTTACTGACGAACAATACAGCCAACAAAAGTGGGGCGAAAAGCTGCAAGCCACTCAAGCCTCGAACGCTCAAGAATCTAAGCGGTATGTTCTCATAAATAGCTGACTATTACGTTTGGGACAACTGACATCTTCATAGACAATTGGAAAACTTCATTGATACCACATCGTATGTGCCACCTTACAGATGCATTTTGTTCTCATCTAAACCCTGGACAGGCATGAAATGCGCAATCCATTATCAGCGATCGTACAATGCGCCGATGTGAGCAAGCATCCTTTTTTGTCAACGAAGCATCTCGTCACTAACTTAACAGAGCATTATCTCTACCCACAAGGAGTTTGGTAATTCGACCGACTACCAAGAAATGTATCGAAAGATTCTAGATACCACAATCGACGCCGCTGAGACCATTGTACAGTGTTCAAAGCACATGAAGACAATCGTAGATGGTAAGTACGCATGACAACGTAATCGATATACTCGTTGGTTATTGACATGTGGTAGATGTGCTTACAATGTCTAAACTCGATTCTGGGTTGTTCGTCATGACTCCAGTAGACGTGCAGCTGGAATCCATTGCAAGAGATGCTGTCAGGATGTTTGAAGGCGAGGCCAAGTCAGCTGGCATCAAATTGGAGTTTTGTGTTGAGCCATCTTGCAAACAACTCAATGTCGCAAATGTGTCACTAGACCCCACGCGCGTCCTGCAAATACTAATTGTAAGCCTCTCACACCATCCTACAGTCTTATAAACTAACACAGCAGAACCTCGTTACCAACGCGATCAAGTTCACGCGTCTTGAGCACATACGCCATATCACAGTCAGTCTCGGTATATCCGACAAGCGACCTTCACACTACGCTGAAGGGCGCTTGACCTTCCTCCGTGCATCCGAGACATCGGCTGCAAAGACACTGAAAGTGGATTGGGACAAAGGCCAGATAGTAAGGTGTCTCGAGCTTAACACAAGATGCAGCCTAATAATTCTCGCCAGATCTATATTATCTTCGCAGTCAAGGATACGGGTCGTGGTCTAAGCGATTCTGAGCGTGATCTCTTGTTCGCCCGCTTTTCACAGGCGTCTCCGCGTACACACATTGATTATGGTAAGGTCTTTAAGCTATTCCATAATTTACACATGTTGATGATTTTTCTGCAGGTGGCTCAGGATTAGGTCTTTTCATATCGAGACGGCTCACGGAGATGCACGGCGGCGCTATAGGCTTCGCATCGACAGCTGGCGTCGGGAGCACTTTCGCTTTCTATGTCAAGTGCCGCAGAAGCCAAGAAGTTATCACTCACAAACAGAGCGAAACCAACAACAACGCTGTCGGGATCAGCATGCGAGCCCAAGCATCCGCGCTGTCTAACAGAACGCGCGATGAAAAGGACCTACCACCCACCCCACCCGCCAGAGGAGAGATACAGCTGACAGATCTTGACGTCCTGATCGTGGAGGACAATCTGGTGAACCAGAGAGTTCTGGCCAAACAGCTTCGCAATATTGGCATGAAGGTGAGCGTGGCGAACCACGGCGGTGAAGCACTGGACCATCTGCAGACAACGACATTTTGTGCTGCAGACCGCACAACCGCCAAACCACTTTCGCTGATACTGATGGACTGGGAGATGCCCGTAAGTTAGAACTAAGCGATGCCCCAGTCGACGCTTTGCTAACCGTGGGATGCACAGGTGATGGATGGTCTGACTTGCGTGCGACGCATCCGCGAGCTCCAGAAACAGGGACTTGTGCGTGGACATGTACCCGTTATCGCTGTCACGGCAAACGTTAGATCGGAACAGGTAGAGGTCGCCTTGAGAGCGGGTATGGATGACGTTATCTCAAAGCCGTTCAGAATACCCGAGTTGTGCGCTTGCGTAACCAAGACACTCAATAGACTAGGATCCGTATAGACTGATGCATATTATATTTCTACAAGAAAAGTTTGTGCATATAGATTTATACCAGGCTGATGTAAACTAGTCAATAGCGAGTAATTTAAACCTTCCGATACGCCGTATCTGGGACTCTAATCACTTGTCGATAGTCCTTCGCTTGCTGCGCGGCCCCGAATTTTGCATCCTTTGGAGGCGGAGGCGGAGGCCTATCGAATAACTCGCACTTCCTCATGTTCCACTTGGGTATTTGAGGGATGCAGGCTGATCATAAGATCCTTGCCTGTCTTCAAGATAGTCGGCTTGCCAGCGTCCTCCCAGTCGCTCTCTTCGTATTTCCTATCAGAGCACTTATACGACAATTGCTCACTGTAGTGTCTCTGGGCGCGGGATAGGAGCGGCTTGAGCGAGGGTATGGAGGCGCAGACTATGCCGATGTTGACTTCGACCATGGACCATGTGTTGATTGGTAGGGAGTCGTAGAATGGGTCGTTGGACAATGTGAATATGCGGAGAGATTGCAGACGGACGATTGAAGCGATTGTGCTTATGACGCCGAGGCCGAAGATGATGAAAAGTGCGATTTTTTCGCGTGGCGGACGGGGTATGCGGATGATGAGTTTGAGGGGAAGGACAAGGATCCAAATGTCCATGAGAATGTGAAAAGCCGAAGTGACTGAGAAGAGTGAGTTTGGCATGTGATTTTTGCACACGATTGTAGCACTGACCATGATAAAATGCGTTTGCGTTTATGCAATGGCCCTCTACGGTGCCAGTGAAGTCCCAGAGCTTTTCGAGCGGTGTACACTGCGCAGGGACGACGATTACAACGACGATTTGCCATGCCACCAGGAGACACATGGTAAGCTTGCAGAGCCGCTCGAACGTCCTGCTCACGCCTGTCATTTGTCAGACTGTATTCAAATGCGTCGTCGACGACCGTGCTTACCGATCTTCAAGTAGATCATCAGGATAGAGAGCTTGATCAGTGTTACAGTCATCTTGTAGACTACGACGAGAGCAAGAATTAACTAATCATTGTCAATATGTAGTATCCAGACCCCTTTGCTTCACAGAGCTCACCTTTATGTTGCTTGCCATCTGATCTGGGCTGAGGCGCAAGCCGCTGAATCCGAGCTTGAATTCTATCGCACCGGCGACTATTTGCAGCAACAGTACAATCGTAAGAGTCTTCATTACATCAGTGATGCATTAATGTGAAGAGAAGCGCATGACATACAGCTGCAGTGACCATGATCCAGTCTTCAGCACCCATTTTGCCGACAATGTGGCTACGCGTGTAGACTCGAAGCCCAACACAGCTCACTTCACACATCAGCCTTCGATCATTGATCAGAATTTATGAGGCAACTGACCACCGATGAACGTCATGACCGTAGAAACGCCGACCATGACATCCTGTCTGGCTTGCTCTGCGCCAGGCGCATATTTGAGGTCGAGAGGATCAGGTCCAGATGTCATCTCGCATACCTGGCACTCGAAAAAGCCAGCAGGTAGATATGCGTGAAGACGCAGGAAAGAAGGAGTACGTATCGACCTCGAAAGAAGAGAGTGACTCTGAACTCCTGTCAGGTTCGAGCTTGCAGCAATAGTTGCGCGATGCCCAAGCTTCTCATATTGAAGTGCTGCTCTGGTATTATGGCTCTGATTGAAAGGACGATTCGTGTGTGAAACCAGTTGCACAGGGTATAATCGGATTCACAAACGCTACGACCATCAGCGCTGCAAGTGACGAGCTCCTGTAAACCGGGTTATCGGGTACTCGGCCTTGGTGTTGTTACGCATGTGTACATATATAGTAGGTTTAACGGTATGCTTGGCAATGTCAAGAGTCAACTCGACGCATGCGCCGGGTGTTCGCTGTTGGATGCTATGATTTTTAAAACGTCGAATTCGCTCTGGCGTTAAGCATTGAGGCTGGTTGCGATTCAACCTTTTGCGCAATCACAATTACCAACTCCTGTTCGTACTTGTTGATCTCTGCACTGGAGGCAATGCTGAATCATTAGCTGCTCATTTTGATTTAAGAGAACGAAGCCATTTTGCACTGCCCGCAGCGCGATTCCGCTGTCAAGTATGTCCGTGTTTCGCAGAGACGGGACTAATACGTAGTTGGTGCGCTGAGACAGACGTCGACTTGCGCATGAGAATTGCAGTGTGGGGAGCAGGTTTCATCTGCCGCACCACGTTTTCAAGACCCACAGGCCGTTGTACCGTAGACGCAGGCAAGAAGATATAGAAATTTGACGACACAGCGGAAACACAGCCGGAATTCAAGGATGGCTGTGGGCGCACGGCTCGGCTTCACCATCGCGATGATGAAGGAAATGGCGCGTGCTGAAGCCGCTGGCGCTTTCGTCATCGATAAGCGAAAGGTCGGGTGTGCTCTTGCGTCTTCGCGTTCCCCAGACTCTAATACCTATCGTTTTCTTCTGCTATCCCAAATCTCAGCGACACGTCCCCGCCTTCGCTTAGCAGAACAAACGCCTCCCGCAGTGGAAGGCTGCGCATTTCGAAAGGAAGAGAACGTCCACGATGATAAACGCAGCAAATTCACGTCTTCGAGGCCTCCACGAATCCGCAACGCGTCTCTCTGCCTAAGCAAGTGTACACGGACGCGCCCGGTGCATTTACGGGGATTCCTTTTTCGAAGGAGAAACCCATTGCCATTCTCGTTTTCGCAATGAGCATGTACGAGGATGAGGAGCTACCTTCACGACGTGCGCTGTTGTCCACTGGCAATGCTGACATTTCCGGAACGCGCTGATCACCTTGAGCGCGAATCCACTGCAAGGCTCACTCGACTCCTGAAAACTAAATCCTTCAAGCTTGAGCCAGATAATCACTACGGACCCGAGTATGGCACGCATTGATGCTGCAGTGTGGCGCCCAGAATGCGCCGTCCGATTGGAAGATGCACCGCTCATGGTTTCACTGTGTTCAACACCTCTGGCCCCGAGTCGAAACGTCGTCATGACTACCATCGTAGCCTGAATCCGCATTTCGGTGCATCTACCGCCTTTCTGTGCGGACGGTCGACCTGCCTTCTGCTGAGTCGAAGTATTTGGCAATGCACAACCGTAAAGGTAAGCTGTACATCGTCGCTTCATATGTACGATTCTGGGACTGTTGTGCAACATGTCTTGGTGCGATGAAGACGGGTAGTATGCCTCGCTGGGCGCCTTGCAGGGCTGTGTACCCCATGGCGATTCTTAATTATAGCGCGATGCGAATTCGACACTGCCACCTTACACGGACCTTTCATTGGCCGAACGTGTTGTTGTTGTCTAGCTTGTTACAGAGACAGTTGGCGTTTTGTGTCGAGAACACGTCGAGTTGCAGGGACTGTTGGCTTAGATCTTCTCGAGGCGTCCCGTAAGCATACGCGGCTTGTGCTTCACTGTTGCCTGAGAGATGTCCAAACCCTCCAGCCGCTTATACATAGTCGTCCTGTGTGGACTCTAAGGTGCCAGTCAATCCACCACTCTCCTTCTCCTCTACCTCCATCACTCGTCGCCCCGAAACAATAAGTTACATCGTCATCATGTCCCACGACCGCACTCTTCGTGTTCTCACCTTGCTCACAACCGCTCTCGCCACGCCATTACTCATTGGTGCCACGGTTTTATCTCTGCAACCGGAGTCATGGTACCGTCGTCGGGTATCAGCTTTTTGCTTCGGCTACATTCCTCTCGCTCTGACGGCTGCTGCATCAGTCATTGGCATTGCCAGACACGGCAAAACACCTAAAATCAGTATCGCTCTGCTCGATCTTGTCGCAGCAGTAACATATGTTGCATTGCTGATACCTATCTGGTCTATTGAAGTCCCACGCTTGAACCAGGGAGGAGTTGGCCTCTTGATTGGCTACACTACCGCACCTATGATCGTCAACATGTAGGTTCATAAAACAGACTTCACTTCCGTTGTGAGTCTGAGCTGATAGTTGCAGGTTCTTTCACATCTACGCCTTCCTCCGGAACGTCAAGTTTGTCTGCAGCGCGCTTTTAGACAAGACTGAACATGAATGCCCGAATTGCCGCAGCAGATTTGTTGCAGGAGCGCCAGAAGTTCAGGAGACTAGCAAGGGTGGCGAGCGCTATAGTCTGTTGCGCGGAGAGGAATATCTCGATGAGGATGCCGTGGCATACGTCGATGCAAGAGTGTCGGAGGAACAAGTCGGTGCTAAAGGCGCAGCGGATATTGAGGAAGACAAGGGTAAAGGGGCTATCAAGCTGTAAGGGCCGTGAATGGCAAGTGCGTGTGCTAGCCACGCACCAAAGAGTGTCATGGCCGCGTATGTTCTTGAGTGCAGCCTCTTGATGGCCTTAGTCACGCGCTTCTGCCCCTAGGGATGATGTGGATTTCAGCTGCTTATGAGTATTGTTACGGAACCAGGCGCTTCTTGACCTTCCATTAACATGAGGGTAGGCTTTGCGGGCAAATCGTTTTACATGGAGTTCATGAATCGCTTATCAGTATGAAAGCTACATAACGAAGATTTTTTCTAAGATTCCTGAATCGATGTGTCTTCCGCTACTCATTCCAAGGTCCCTTTACCATCCCACACATGACGATTTTCACGCCTTGGTCGTTGGATACTTCTCACCCTGATCCCACTACAACACCATCAGCAGCCGTTATATCACCGATGAAGCTCATGGAAAATTATCAAAACTTACATGTTCAACAATACACCCTCCCTCCCATCGAAATCTATCGACTACCTCACCAAAGGCAGCCGTGCGGTAGTTCAACCAGCTCTGTGGAGACTTGAATGTCGTCCTTAGCGGTGTGATGTTCTGCGATGCCCAGATCGGCGATAGAATGCCCCATGCGGAGTCGGATCCATTCTGAGCAGCGGGATTGTGGTTGATGTAGTCTTTCACAATGTACTTGAAAGCCTCGCTAATGTCCTTTTTGTATATGAAGGCTTGGGCAAACGCCTCGGACCGGGTCTTCGTTTCCGCTTCAGTTGTGGCCGGGCGGCGCACGCATGGTACTGGTTTGACAGGCTGGGCTTGTCGTTCGGCAATTGCGAGGTGCTCAGTACGGGACTCGACCGGGGCTGCGAAGACAGCGATGGGCGCGAGGAGCGCAGAAAGGACGATTGAGAAACGCATGATGTGTATCTTGATGTTGGAAGAAGCTGCAACGATGTGGGGCTTTGGCAAACCCACAAGTGGAGTATGGCAAACTTATACATGTTTTCTGGAAACTGTTGTCCGGACTTGAATCGAGGCAGTTGCTTGATGTTTCAATATACGGGCCAATCATGGCTGGACTTCGGAGGAAACTAATCTCTTAGATCCCTGCCAAAGCCGCGTGTGTATAGCCGGATGCTATAGTCCCACCGAGTATTATCCTTGCACGCTCATTAATTCGGCAGGTGTTTAATCCAAGCAACTATCTAATCGTGTTTTAGCAAGTCTTGTCCGTCCTGAGTATAGTTCGACCGTCGGCAGTTCAAGACATCAGTCGACTCTGAGGGAATTTTGGAAGCTTTTCGAAATTTCCGAAACTATCTACCATTGTGTTATGCGGGAAGTCATTCGTATCTGTTCGCCGGAGATTGCGACACTATCTTTGCATGAATGATGGTCGAGGTAGAGACGCCCTTTCATAAAGGATATTCCGATAACCGATTCAAACACACCTACAACGCGTACAAGCTATTATGTCAAGACAGGCTATTGTTGTAAATAATTCATTGTGGTGATGCATAATTCTCAAGACCCCCAGAAACTTGTATGTACACATGTTCCTACCACCTAGCTCTCGCATTCCTGGTGAAGATGCGATCCCCAAAGAGCTTCTTCTTGGACTCTTGTTGGAGCATGAGCAGCAAGGCATTTTCGCTGCGCGACTCGGACATCTGCGGTACAGTCTCCGCAAGAATCTTGCGCATGCCTTTTGTATGCACTAGGACCGCAACCCACTGTGGCTCTTCGGAATCGTCACTAAGTTCGCTATCTTGCACCTGGACGGGCAGCCGTAGAATTCGTAGATGCTCAATCGGGATATCATGGACGACCGTGGCGCAAGCTATGGAGTTAGGTGAGTACATCGATAGCTCAGGGAGTTATTACACAACTGACCGAGCATTTGGCGCTCTTGGTGAGCTTCTTCGTCGTGGTTTCGCATGTTCTCTGGGTGATGTGGGGCTGATCAGCTACCAAGTCGAGGTTTGTGTGGGAGAAAACAGTGAGTGTTGTACAAATGCTTTTTCAATCTTTCCCGCAGTTTTGGATGTGCTGTAATATTGTAGCTTTGTGCAAGAGAAGTTGATGCCCGGTATCGCAGACATGCGTCAAGTGATAGTCACGGTCAATCTGTGAACATGTCTTCAATTCAAGACGCGAAGGACTCTTTGAGACAGGGTGCGCTTTACGACATTCACATCATAGTAAACAACGATTGTCACATATCGCATTGCGTCCTCAGATTGAATGCGCGGACAGTGTCCGGTCTCTTGGAAATTTTACAAAAGGACGCACGTCATGTGATGCTATCTACGATAGGCTCCCTCACAGCAGTCACCGAAGACTAGGCGCCACACATAAGCTGGCGCGCTGATTACAGGTCACGTTAATTTTTCATTGCCTACTTCTCCGACTATTTAACAACTCTCCAATTAGGCTCGAGACATACAACCTTTCTCATAACACTACAACTCAGAGCGAAGTGCCAATCAACCACTCAAGTGTGACTTTTCCATCACACACGACATCAACCCTAGCGAGATCACGGACTATTCGGTAAGCTAGAGAGACATGTTGGATAGCACCGGACATACAGAAGAGCAAGTGTGTTAAGTGCACGCCCCCACCGACACTTGGGGTACTATAGGCATCGTTGTGCTGTTTCTGTGTGTGGTACGGTTGTTAGGGTGGTTTCTGTTGTCGTATAAATATGAGAAGCCGGGGGATGTCCAGATGAATTAAGACTTCACACCTGGAGTCACAGACTCAGGACTCGATTGGAGGTACAGAACATGGTATGTACTTGTGTGAAAAGTGCACGCCATATCCACAGCGCCGTACCAAAGACGCTCCAGGCAAGGAGATGCGAGAAGGCCAAAGAAAGGAAGTCTGATCAGGACAGTAGCGCATTAACTGCTATACGTCGAAATGGTAGCCTCAGTCACATTTGATACTAAAGATTACAAACTACAAGCGTGTCTCTAAGGAGTGTAAGGAACAAAGGAAAACCATGTGTGCATGTCGCGTGCCGCTCCGTCATTCTTTCGTCTTCACTTTCGCCCCATCGTGATATATCTTACAAAGTGACCTGAACGGTGCGCGCCAGACTCGGCACGCCCTCTGCAGAGAGCACGAACAGGTAGTATGATCCGGGAATCAGGACTCCGCTGTCGTTGGGCATGGTGACGGTGTATGTGTCGCCTTTGCCAGTGACGTTGGTCAACGGGATGCGGCGCTGGTCACTGTTGATGGAGTGCGTGACGCTACCAATGCGTACGAGCACGAATTTGTGCCCGTTGCATGCGGCCTCCAACTTGATTGACAGTTTGCCACCAACCTTGACTTTGGTAGAGCTCAAAGAAGCAATGTTGAGTCGCGGTGCTTCCGAGCCGTCGGCTTTGAATAGATATGGAGGCGAGAAGATCTGGCCGTCTGCGTGGTCGACGAGCTTGTTGCAGTTGGCTGAGTTGGCGCCGACTTTGGCAAGGTAGCAAAGACCACCGCCACCGGTGAAGATACGTCCATCTGGGAGCAGGATGCTGACGGAGTGGTAGTTACGGGGCACGGCTTCGGCAGAAAGTGTCTTCCAGGCCTTGGTAGCTGGGTCAAACATCTCCGCCTGGAGGATGCCGTCGTCGTCGGTGAAAACCTTTGAGCGCTTCTGGCCACCGGTTACGATGATCTTGCCATCTGGAAGAACAACCATGTTACCAAAGCCGCGGGGGTAGGCCATGTCTGCAACGCGCTCAACAACGGAGGGCATGTTCGGCTCGTCAATCGTGGTGATGTGAGCGCGGTTGTTGGCGGCGGAATCTGTGTAGTCCTGGGAGCCACCTGCGCTGAAGATCTTTCCTGGCTCGTACATAACAGACATACCGCACATGGAATCGCCAACCGTGTCTCTGATACCTGCAGCAACCTGTGATCCGGTTCCTGCGGTACCGTACCAGTTCTGAGCCTTGCTGGGTCCAGCCTGGAACACGGAGCCGTTCTTCCACGAGTGCAGCCACGCGTGGTTGTCCTCGCGCCAGATTCCCTCATGGTCTTTGGTCAACAACGGGCCAACCTTCGCTCCAGGAAGCGCAGTCCATGCGTTGGTCTTGGGGTTGTAGACCTCTCCATCCTTGCCCATGCGTTTTCCTGAGTAAGCACCTCCAATGGTGAACACGCGGTTGTCGGAGAGTGTGACCGAGGTCTGGTAGCCGCGAGCCATCTTCATATCGGGTCCGCGAGTGAAGGAGTTCGTAGTAGGGTCGTAGAAGCTGGTTGCTGATGCATCACTACCACCTTGAATGAGAATACGGCCATCTTCCAGACTGCTAATTGCTGGGCAGAACATATCGTGCTTGGTGTTTGCGATTGTGCGAGCAGAAACGGCACCACTGCATACGTGTCAGTCATTTCCAGATACATCACATCGCTGGTTTTACTACTTACGTCTTGAAGTTGTAATCCGCAAACTGCGTCTTGCCACCTTCACCACCGAAAGAGTCGGAACCCCAGCTCGAGAAGACAAGCAACCTTTGTGAGTGCGGGTACTCAGGAACGACGTATGCAGCGACTGGGATGACGGGAAGGCGGATGAGGTCGGACCATGCGCCTACAGTCGCTGGGTTTGCTGACACCGATCGGCCTGCGGTAGCCTCGAGGCGGATCACATCAAAACGCTTGTCCGTCGACCAGATCAATGTGTTCTTAGTGGCATCAGCTTTGATGTGACACACCCTGGCTGCGGAATCGAAGACAGCCTGTGTACAAGTGGCAATTGTTGAACAACGCTTCGCGCAATCATTGACATTGTTCACACCCTTGATAGCCTGCGCAGTAGGGCCTCGAATATCTGTGTCGCGGCATATCTTGAAGTCTTTCTGCGTTTGGTGTTAGGTCGTATCTCTTTCACAGAAGGTAGATTGCAGCTTACACCGCCATTCTTGTATGTTGTCTGGTCATATGGGCAACGTGCGATATTGATCTGTTCCGCCTGAATTACATCAAATCGACCGTTGTCCACCCAAGTGAGCAATCCAGTTCCTTTTATGTGACAGTCGCGAGTTTGCGTGTCATAGACTGCCTTGAAACAGTTCATGCTTTTATCGCACAACTGTGCGCAGGCTGCAGTTGAGGCAACATTTTTTGTGATGGAGTCTGATCGACCGACCAGGTCAGTGTTTGGACAAACTCGGTATCTGATCCCTCCAGCACCAGTAATTAGAGTATCGGCAACGGGGCAGCCCTTAAGAGCGTACGCGCCCTCGAAAAGAGTGACTGCGGCCAGAAGGCCAACAATATTAGGAGTATTAAGGTGCAACATGCTGGGCATGTGCTGTGAAGGGTATATTAGAAAGAATGACTAAGTAGAACGAGTGACTTGATGCTTGTGAAAAGCCTGGCGGCTCAGACTTTATGAAGCACTGCAGTCGCCATGGTGGTGACCCTTTCTGAGTGTACGTGCCTGAGGAATCGATAATTCCTACTCGCTGATGTGGAGACATTGTACCAAAGTGGGTAGACTAACGAACCCCCATGGCTTCTAAATGGGAACCACACCCGGCGCCACCTGATTCAGATCTTTGCACAGACCTGTGGCTCATATTGACAGGGCGCTTGCGAGTTCTGGGCAATTCACGCGATTGTAGCTCTTGTGGCAAACGTCGTCCTTTTGTCTTCACCTTGGATAGCGCTTGTGTGCATGGTGGACATGCCCTTGACCTAGTCCCGAGCAAAGTCGTATACAGAGACGTTTGACGGCCATGAGCATGAGTATAAGCAAGAAAGCCGTTGTCGTGGTACCGCAAGACTATCGAAAGGTTTCGAGGGTCGCGGATCAAACCGAAGTGGGCGACATCTTATCTTCTTACAAGAAGAACCGAATGCTAGACAAGGGGTTGTAAAGCTTCTTACGATAGTGGCAGTGCACGACGACATGGCAACATTGTTGCTTGCGGACCAGGAAGGAATGCCTCCACTTCCCGGGCCAGTTCATATAGGATTGGCAATGCGATAGAACGTTGAATGCGGCCACATATTGAAGATCACCCTATATCGCAGCCTCGTCCTCAGGATTTGACCACTGGCACACTTTGCAACGGTGTCCAACGACACGTGCAGCGGGAAACCAGGCACACGGGAGACATGGGTCGACGCAGGACGTTTCGAATCGATGGACATGAGCGCAGAACCCTTGACCTCCTATTGCCAAGAGCGTAAAGCGCCCCGAGATAGAGCATTCCGTGATCTATTGCCGCTGCCGCCCTTTCCATAGGGGTGAGATGCATGCGACGTTGGGCTGACGAGTTTAGCAGACGCCGGCCAAAAAAAAAATCCAGGAACCTAGAGCATGACAATCAGCACTTACATCGTTGTTCCACGGAGAGTTTTCGCGTGCCTGATCTCACATGCTGGAGTCGTAGACGCCAAGATGGCCTAGTGTTTCCAATATCGGACCTGATCCGGCTTTAGTTGCAACGGAGATTTGCCTTAAAAAGCGTTTCGTGGTGGACCCTTGAGCGCCATGCAAACAGCAACAAACAGTAGAGAAAGCTGCAGAGTGACAATCCTCTTATTTTCGCGACTCACGAGCATAATCGGATCGTAGCAGACTTCTAACTACTTATCTCCCGACGATTACCGTTGGCTCCTGTTCGTCATCAATCGTTGTATGCGGGGAATATGTTTGGAGACGTAAGCAAAGCGCAAACCTCAATATCACCCTGTTTACACGTCAACCAGCAAGATCATGCGGCGTGGCATGACAACGAGCGATTGATGTCGGTCCGGTTCGAGGGAGAACGATGGAGAGATAATTGCGTCAACATCCCAGTCATGGCTCAAATTACGCCTGTCAGACCCTTGAGATCGAAGGATCTGAGTCTTGGTGTTGCTATAGCAGGTACCAGGGGTTAGCGCAGCTACAACGCTTAATAAGCAATTTCAAGGAGCTGGAGCGCTCACGAAAGACAGTCATCGACTTCCCAAGAGATTTTTTTTGTGAGTGTGATGTGAGGTATAAATAAAACCGCTTCTTGGTGTTCATTACGCTAAATGACATGTAATCCTCAATTCGCTACTTCCAAGCGACACAGTTGACCCTCTCTTGCATGGACACGACGACTCCTCCACCAACTACGCACATCCTCCGATCCCAATCAGACGGTGACGCTCAAACCCGGTGCATCCATTCGCGAGCCAGCTGCTCGAGCGAGTACAAACACCAAGCGTGCATCCAACCGCCAAATCGACCAATCCTCCTCGTCTGCGTATGGCCGAAGTACTAGGGCTGAGCTGTGATGGACCGATCAGACATGATGACTCCACCTCGTCTAGTCACACATGTCTTCACTGCTACAAGTCCGTGCTCAGGTGTATCCCACGCCTTCGACCGGCTACCAGAGTGCGTCGTCGTCCAAAAGATTTCCTTTTGTCGAAAGACCCATATGCATCGCTGTCCTTCGAAGGATAGGGGCTGTATGCGATGCGTGCCACAAACTGCATTTGAAGAGTGGAGTGTTGCTATCCCAATTGCGAAAGAGCATTCATCCAATCTGCAACGAAATGCAAAAGCCGGGTTGTCCACCATAGAAGTAGAGAGATGGGTTGGAGATGGAGTGGAGATAAAGTGACAGAAACAAGGCATCATGGGTAATCGAAGTCGGTATCGCCGTCGAAAAGATCCATGACGACTTGTAACATCGGTTCAAGAAGGCTTACTTCTTCTCCTGGTACACCTCCAAAGTAGCGGATTCGCTCCATCTCCAGCATCTGTTGCCGAGTTTGCTCCACGTGAAGACGGGCTTGCCAGGCGAAGTATGTCTCGTGCCAGTGGTCCGCGGATAGATTCGAGAGAGGATGGGGTTGGAAGGAAGAATTGGCCGATGCTTGGGATGATGCGGTCTCGATTGAAGTACTCCGAGTATGGTTCTTGTCTTGTCCTTGGGTATCGCGATGTCTCGGGCGAGATCTTGTCCGCTTCCTGTTGTGTCGTTTGCCCATTTTCTTGATGATGTGTCTTGGTTATGGTTGAAGGGAGAGAAATGGGGGATAGCGAGAAGACGCCTTCGCAAAGCGAAGACTCCCAATAATCTCAAAAAGTGAGAGCAGAAAAGCGCAGTACCTACCTTGACTTATATAAGAACTACATCGAGATGTCAGATTGTGGTCTAGTCACAAGGCTGCAGTGACTCAGAGCCGCACGCAAGATGGTGTGCGCAAGGAACATGTCGGGATGACAGCGAATCGGACCCGCAGCCGTCGCGTGATTGGTCAGACGACGGATTCGTGGCGAAGCTTGGATAGCCGAAGTCGGGTTTTGCAAGGAGTCACCCAACCTCAGAACTTTGCACGACTCACCAACTCACCGTAAATGTGTTTACCTTTTTTTCTGGGCTCACACCGACTCCGACACTTCAGAGGGCCACCGCCTCCGTCATACTCGCCAGGTACTGCTCTGCCCAGTTTCTTCGCTCGTTGTGGAAGTTCAACGTTAGCAATGTAGACTATGCGCAGGTCACGCTTCCATTCCAGGCTGCTCGAGAAATGGGTGTCCTCGACAGCACGCGCAACGACGATTCTGCGCCCATGATCGCAGGCACAGTGACTTGTGCCAGTATCCACCCAGGCCACCATGGCATCTCCCTTGCCCTGTATCGGCGACGAGCGCGCTTTTTGGGGCACGTTCCCGGTTTGTAACTACTTCGTGTGAGGACATGTGACCCTGGAGCCTACGACGTGATCAGCCAGGACTTCGCAATACGGGAAAAAGCCTGGAATGCTGGGTAACTCATGTCGCGCGTAGATCGAGATTGCCTGGCGCCGCATGCTCCCGTTCGATGGGTGTCGTCGGGTACCTGCAGCACGCGCGGTTGTCAAGTTGTTCGATTTCCTGTTCATGCCCGGACTCACATGGTCGCGGATCGTCACACGGAAGCCTAGTGAAGTCTGTGTAGAACACTGTGTTGGATGCTTACCGTTTTGGGGCATACGCAAGGCAGACACGTCCACACGTGAGCAGGTGCTTCTAATAGCACATGAAAGTACTCGTAACGCGATAGTGACGGACATACAAGCCTGCTTCATCGACTAGACTTATGTAACACTCCGTCTTTTCGAGCTCACAACTTCAGGACATGTCGGTGTCGGACACTTCTGTTTCGCCGACATCTCACATTCGGCTCTCCACACGAAGGCCGACCGCTAGCACATCATTATCCGACAACTCTCGTTGGCTGGAGAATCGTTCTGACGCGTCTTTAAGTATCTCATGCTGCAACCGTCGTCTCTCGCGTCACAGGTGCTCCTGTAAGGTGTTCGAGGGAAGTGCTGGCGCGACTTGGCTCTGCTGTAAGATATCTCGGCTGGACATGCGGGGATGAAGATAAGTATAGGTATCCCATGTAGTTGTCTTCACGTTTCTTGTTCAATGTCATCTTATTCCTACTGAGTTCCACGCCGCAATGTCATCGTATCAACAATCTTTCCTCTTATGTCTTGGTACGTGCACATGCGCATAGCTTTTGACATGAACTTACCACGCAGTAGCCGCAGCAAATACTGTAACAGCGCAATACAGCGGTGAATGGGGAGGCGGTAACCACGGCGGAAGCAACACCAACGGCGGCGGCAATTATGGCCCAGGAAGCAACCCCAACAGCGACAACTCAGGCCAATTCGGAAGCAACTTCAGCCCACCCTCCCAATTCCTCCTCGCCAGCCGCCAAAAAATCCTCATTGCTCACGGCGTCCTCGCCTCCCTTGCCTTCGTCCTCCTCTTCCCCACGGGCTCCATCCTGCTGCGCCTAAGCACCTTCCGCGGCGCCTGGCTCGTCCACGGGCTCTTCCAGCTCTTCGCATACATCATCTACATCGTTGCCTTTGCCCTCGGGATCTGGATGGTCAACAACATACCCTACAACCTGCTTTCCACCTACCACCCGATCATCGGCATTGTGCTGTTTGTGCTGCTGTTCTTCCAGCCGATTTTAGGATATGTGCATCATGTGCAGTATAAGAAGTATAGTCGCAGGACGGTGTGGTCGTATGGGCATCTATGGCTTGGGAGAATTGTGATCACGCTGGGTATGGTAAACGGGGGATTGGGCATGTTGTTGGCGTCGGATGCGCCTGCGTTTGTGAACTTCAGGCCTACGAGAGGCCAGATTGTCGCGTATGGGGTGGTTGCGGGCATCATGTGGCTTTTGTGGCTGGCGGCGGTGGTTGTTGGCGAGAGGAGGAGGGCAAGGGCTCCTGCTGCTGTTGCTGCAAAAGAGGCGGAAGTTAGCGATGGATCGCCTCCGCCATATCAGACGCACAAGTCACGTTTCGCGTATGTATATGTCGCCCGTAGGAGTATACTGCTGACAATGCCCATAGGTGACGGAGGCTCTGACTTCGCAGAAACCCTGTCTGGTGTGATGTGTTCGAGGCGGAGAGATTGAATGTAACTGTAATCATAGCCATTGCGAACGAGAAGTCAGTGCGGACGTAGCCTTTGTAGAGAACGAAGCATCAGAACATACAGGTATCTTAATTGATCGTTACATACATATTGCCAAACACGCTACCTACGACCAAAGTGCGCAAGCAATAAACAAAACATTCATCAATACAACAGCTTACTCGCGGCCACCCACCCGTCGCTCATAATCATCTGTGAGTCTCGAGGCGTCAACGACCTCAACACCCTTACCAAGGCCAACCATATCAGCACTCTCCCACCATTTGGAGCTCGAGTGCTCTGTCGATTTCTTCTTGGTCGTGTAGCTCTCATCGTCTGTGTCGACAAGCCCGCCAAGACCAGTGCCGTCGCTGCCGACGACTACGATGGTCTGGCCGACCCAGCGCTTGATGTCCTCGATGTTGCTACCGCTCATGCCGCTGAGTGCGTCCACAACGTAGACGAGGTCGGGGCTGATGTGGCGCAGCATGTGGACGAAGCCGCTTGGCTGGCTGAAGGGCATAACCATGGCGGGGTTCTCAACAAGGCGTAGGGCTTGTGCGTGGAGCGTGTTCCAGAGGATGTTGTCGGAGCTGCGTGCCGATAGAGCGGGCGTGTAGACGGTGTGTTCCTCAGGATGCGGGTCAATAGACTGGAGCTCTTCGCCAGGCGTGCGTGCAGGTGTGGAGATGGCCGAGTACGAGTCGCCAAGGGAGGATGTGCCAGCGCGGGACTGTGGGCGGGAGCGCAGGGAGGGCGAGTAGATGAGGACGAAGAGCTTGGTGTTGTTGAAGTCGGTGTCGGGGAGGTGGGAGAGGATGGTCTGGGTGTATTAGCATTGTATTCACCGTGCAGATACATGGGTTTATACGTACAGCGTTCTCTGAGCGGTAGGAGCCGTCTTCGTCGTGCGGGCTGTCCATGAGCGACTCTGCTGAGACGACCAATACAACGGTCCTGCGCTTGCCGCCCTTTGGTGGGTTCTTCACTGATGCGGCGAAGGACCGTGACTGCGTGTCGACGGCAGCGCGGCTCTGCGAAGACTGGGCCTCGACATTGCGCCGTATGGCCGCCTCTTCGCTCCAGCGGTTGTGGTCGCCGTAATCATCCCTATCCTCTTCACGGATGCTCGCCAAGGCTGCACCTGCTGCTGTACTAGCTGCTGCCCACCCCGCGGCCGTCTTCTTGCTGACCGTGTCGAACAGCTGCTGCGGGCTGGGCGTTCTCCGGATGATGCCCTGAGCGCGCGACAGAATGTCCTTCTCGTCCTCTCGCACGACGCCCTGCGACATGGCATCGCGGGAGCCCGACGGGCCGAGTGGCGTCTTGCCCTTCTCCCTGCTGCTGTCCTCGCCATAGCTCAGATCGTCGTCGGACGAGGCATCTTCGTGGTCTTCACGTGCGGACCAGACCCAAGCTGCCAGGCCGGCCGTCGCAACAACAACAGTCAAGGTCAGCGGGACCCAGTAGCCGAGCGTGTTCCTGCGGCTGTTGGAGTTCTGGCGGCGGTCGTAGCGGTCGTAGTTGAAGCTCATGGTTCGTGCGTCTCTATCGCATCGTCTGGTTGGGTATCGGGAATGGTGGAGCTGGGCTCGTTGTTGACCGCCAGTGTTGTTGTCCCTGCTGGGGGCTGGGAAGCGGCGACCCATGTGCACATGCCTCGGTGGTCCGCGCGAGTCATGCTCTGAACATTTCCCTCCCGCGGGGTGACTCTAACACAGTACCTGCATACACCAACATACACAGAAAATAGAAGCCGCCATGCCACACGCAGTCCTCCCTGCGCCGGGGTTCCAGGCCATCATACTGTGCGGGCCCGGCGCCTCGTTCAGCACCTTCACATCGTCGCCAGATGAGATCCCCAAGGCGATGCTGCCCATTGCGAACAGGCCGATGCTCTGGTACCCGCTGGAGTGGTGCTATCGCATGGGCGTCACAGGTGAGATGGAGGAGTTGTGGCAGGCGCGACTGGGCAGGGCTGACAGCTGCAGAAATCACCATTGTAACACCGCCAGAATCGCTGGAAGCCATTGAGGCTGGCATGTCGCAGAACCCCCACCTCACTTCCCTCCCCGCACCAAAGCCAGACATTGTTGCGCCTCGAGATCTGACACACGGAACTGGTACCGGAGACATCTTCCGCCTGCCCGAGATACAGAGCGTCATCAAGGGCGACTTCATTGTCCTTCCCTGCGATCTCATCTGCGAACTGGATGGCACGGCCTTGGCGGATGCGTGGATGGTGGAGCAGGGAGGATTTGCAGGCGCAACTGGCGGACTGGACCCGAATGGCCTCAAAATTGCTTCAGGCGCCGGCGGCGAGAGATTGGGGAGAAGAGGTGGACTTGGTGTATACTACCCAACAAAAGGCGAGGGCAGCAAGAAGGGCGAGGAGACGGACTTCATCGCGACCACACCACTACCCGCATCTACCGTGCCTGCGCCGGCAGGATCACTACGGCGGCACATCTCGAATCTCGTCTACTCGGTGCCAACGGATACACTCAAAGACATCACAGAGGAGCAAAAGACCTATCCAGTACGGCACTCGCTGATACGAAAGCACCCTCGCATCAGGATGCTCACCACATATCGCGACGCCCACATTTATTTCTTCCCTTACTGGGCTGCTGAGATGATGAAGAAGAATGAACGATTTGAGAGTTTAGCTGAGGACGTGCTGGGGTGGTGGGCGAAAGCAGGATGGCAAGAGGGCCTAGGAGACAAGCTGGGCTTACGCCAGATCCTACAGGGCGAAGATGAAGAGTCGGATCACGGATCACAGTTCATCGAAGAGGAAATTGACGTCTCCAAGTTCAGCACCACCTATGTTGGAGGAATGAGCTCCAACGGCAGCGCCACTCCCACCACACTGGCATCAAGAGTCCTCCAATCATCCAGCATACCCGAAGCCGCCAAATCTCTTGCCGATCCAAAACTTACCGTACCACCCATACTAGCATATGTTCAGCCCTCTACTGCAAACGAGCCGCTCATCCGCCGTGTTGACACTGCACACCTACTCCTCACCATCTCACTTCGCCTTGCAAAACTGCCGTCAATCGAAGAAGTTGGCAAGGACGCCGCATCGCCGTTTGCACATCCAGCCAAGATCGCTCATAAGCAGTCAATACCCAAGAGGTGCCGTGTAGAAGCCGAGAACTCACTGGTTGCGGAAAACGTCATCGTAGAAGAGAAGACCAACATCAAAGAGTGCGTCATCGGATACAACTGCAAGATCGGCGAAGGTGCCCGATTACTGCGATGTCTGCTCATGGACTATGTGGAAGTTGGCCCCAACGTGCAGCTCACAGACTGCATCCTGGGTCGGAGGTCCCGACTCACTGGCGGCGCGGCAAAGGACGGCGATAAGACTATTCTCAAGGACTGTGAAGTTCAGGACGGGCTGGTTCTTGATTGGGGCAGTAAGTTTCTTCAAATATTAGGGACGCTTGGAAGATGGCTAATGTGTTTGCAGCTGAGGCGAAGAACGAAAAGTTCATGCGTGGCGACATGGTCGAAGATGGTATTGCTGAGGACGACGGCTTCGCGGGCGATGATGATGTGACAGCGGCAGGGGATGAGCAAGAGGGTATTCCGATACGATGAGGTGCGCAAAAGCGCGGCACCAGTTTCCGCCTGCCATCTGAGCAATGTGAAGCGATCACGCAAGTTCTGGCCGTCATCTTGACACCGTCGTGGATATGTCTCGATCAGACAAGGAGTTACGACCGGTAGGCAGTAAGCTCAGCCCGACGAAGGCGCCGTCGGCTGATGACACTTAGTCTCGCCCTCTGATAGTCATGTCTGCATGGCCGTTTAGAGAACTCAATCAGCTAGAGCATTCCGGCAGGCAAGTTGAGGCGTAGATCACGGCAGAGTCAAGCAAAAAAGCATCACACAAAACAACGATACACATTTCCAATGACCATTTATTCCACATCACAGGTCCAATAATCCACATCCCCCCAAATACCTCTCCCACGCTCCCCTCACTCCTCCCCCCTCTCCATCCTCCTCCTCTCCTCCACCGGATCATGCGGCAACGCCCCAACAACCCTCTTCGAAAACCCCCTCGCCTGCACCTGATGCAACCACGGACACCCCTTCTCCTTGCACTCCACGCCCGGCATCTCGCGCGGACACCTGCCCTTGTACTTGGGCATGCTTATGCCCTCCTGCGCCTTGAGACCGAACCCCGAGCCCCCGTTCTGCGTGATCTGGGCGCGTTGAAGCTCGTCGTACCACTCGCGGAGGTTTTGGGCTTCCTGCTCCGCGAGGGCGAGTTTGGAGGTGAGGGCGGCGAGTTGGTCTTGTGTGGCGGCGAGGGAGGCTTGGGTGGTCGTTAATTCGGACGTGGTAGTAGCGAGTTCGGTTTTTATTGCGACGAGTTCATTTTTTGTGGTTTGGTGCGCGGTTTGGGAGAGGGAGAGGCGCGCGGCGAGTTCGGCGTGGGCGAGGCTCGTGGGTTGAGCCATTGTGACAGTCCTGGATGAAAAAGTTGGGGAATTTTTGGTTGAGGAGATACGAGTGGGTGGCGGATGTGATTGCGGAGGGGAGAAACATGCACAAACTTATTCTTGTATAAACAAGTATGGGGAACAAACAGCGGCGCTGGATGACGACATTTTGATATCCATGGTGAATGGTCTCATTCTCCTTCCACCATAAATCACTAGACATATCCGATCTCGCTGTAACGAGCAGGCAGCGCAGCAATTTCCTCGGCCGAAAAGCGCTTCAACTGCGCCCGATGCAACCACGGACAATTCTTCCCCTTACATTGCCCATCAAGCTCCTTATGACAGGAACCTTTGTACTTGGGCAACTTGGTAATGTCAGTCACGGGAGGTGGTGGCGAGGGCGGTAGCAGTAGCTGCATCTGAGCCACAGCGTTGCTCAGCACCTTGTTCTCGGCGGCGAGAAGTTTGGTTTCTGTGACTTGTGCGATACAGACTTGCTCCAGCGCCGCGTAGGCTTCCGTGCCTTGTTGCAGGAGACGCATGGGGTCGGAATTGATGGTGACGACGCCGTAGTGTTTGTAGTTGGCAATTTGGGCGCTCCAGGGTGTTTGATGGGTGATGAGGGAGCGTTCGAGATCAGGTGCGCCAGTGTTGGACATGTTGCGTTGGATGTGGAAGGTCGTTGATGGTCGATAGTACGGGTGGAAGACTGTTTGATGGTTTGAGGAGTTGAGGCTGACAAGTGTTCGGATTGTTTTTGAACTGTGAGAAGATTTGTGTACTGTGCTGTGGAACACACCAGGCAGTTAATCGTTAGTGGCAGGTGAGTAGTGTGTGTATGGTGAAAGCGGGCCATTGCAGGCGGAGAACGACACCGAACCAACATCACGAAGGTCGACAGCCTTGATCAAGAAGTGACTGAAAGCATGCGTGTACAGTGTCATTTTTTCTGTATCACTTTTCACCGTTAGCTGTCACAGTTGGCGCGTCTACGCAAAGTTCTGGCGAGGAATCCCTTTTCTGTGTAATGCTTTAATTGGGAGAAAGTTTAACGCTGTCTGTATAGAAAGCACAGGGACAGCTGCTGGCATAAATTAGCTATCTTTGAATGCCGGAATCTACGAAATCGACTGGGGTTGACTTACCTTTCTAGATCGTTTGACTCTCTGCCAAGGCAGCTGCAGTGAGCGTACCACACCTACTCCAGGCTGGTCATTCTCCACTGGTTCAAATCCTCAACCACTTCACTTGATACGCCAGACGATTCCATCTATCTGAGACAGATTTCGATTGTCTCAAATTTGCTCGACCCAAGATCCCTTTGTCCTTATTCTCCATTGTAACCCCCGGAGATCCTCCCCACTACACACGCTTTGTCAACCACAATCAACTCACACATTTGCCGCCGATCAAAAGCATTACAACATGGACGACAAAATCCTCACCCCAAGCCGGCGCTCAAACCCCGAAACGGTCTCCGCTCAGTCCTACCGCGCTCAAGAGACGAGCGAGATGCGCCGGTGGGCAGAAACCCTCAAGCTCAACAAGCCGATCCCCCGGGATGTTTTGCCGCTGCTAGCCAAGGACGGCGCCAAACAGCTGGAGATTGTGATGAAACACATGCATATTGGAAAGCAGGAACAGCACGAGTAATGTCATTTATTGGAAGGAGCTGTTCTAGTACTCGCGGAGGAAAGGAAGTACAATTGAAGCATAGACGAGATCAGGCAGTAGCGGAAAGATTCTAGCTACAGCGACATATGCAATTTACTCAGATTGACACTGCACATCAACGAAAGGTGACGGAGTCGTGACATTCTCATTCATCATCGTCGTCATCATCCCCTTCATCTCCGTCGTCTTCATCACCATCATCACCTTCATCATCATCCACCATCTCTTCATCATCGTCGTTCTCGCCACTCTCGTCGCCGCCATACACCACCTGCGGCCACAGCACAAATACATCTTCCGTCAGCTCCTTCAAGAACTCCTCCATCTTCTTTCCGGTATACTGCTTGACCTTGTGCCCTGCTGAACCTTTTTCGGTACCATGATCCGTGAACTGGACGAACATGTGATCTTGTCTGAGCATACCCACCTTGAGATAATCCAGTTCCAGGTTTGGCATCTTCAACAGCTTCGTGAAGAAGCTCTTCCAGAAGTTCGGCTTTGAATCATGATTCCTAGCGAGATAAACATCTTTCAAAGTTATCTTCCATAACTCAAGGCGACGAAGCGTGGGGGTGAGCCTTTGCACTACGTCAAGGATGGTGTTTGGGTATGTCTGAAATTGCCCAAGTTCTAATTTTGTCAAGCACGATAGGCTTACAGGCGGAGGGTCGAAGAAGTCGGGTTCTGCGGTCGGTGTCGATGCAGGCAAGGCCAGCCACTTTAGGAACTGCTCTTTGAATTCGTGCTCGTGCCTTGGCAGGTTCAGACGTAGATGCTCCAAGTTAGATGTAAGGCCAAGGAAGCGACGAAGTAAGCGTACTGATACTGTTTCTGACGCGGTCCCGATGGTGTGAGTGTGGTGTGTGCGTTCAGAACTCGTCTCGACCCTGAGAAGTAGCTTCTTCAACCCGGCAAGGACAGGCCCAAGACTGGGGTAGAGGAATTCCGGTACGTCGAATGCGCTATCTGGTAGCGAGTGATGACGCAGCAAGACTTCTAGTTCTGCTGGAGTTTGGTTGGCCTTGCCCAGCGAGTAAATGAGATTCTGGAACACCCGCGCAAGGAATTCCACGGTATGCTGTGGGCTATGAGGGAAGCGCTCGGTGAATTGAAGCGCAATGCCAGTCTCTCGGTGGACCGTTGGTGAGCCCCAAGAGCTCCAGCTTGCGTTTTTGCCGTCCCGTGCACGCTCATGGTTGTTGAAATCGCGAATACCGACGGTTTGAAGGTTCTTCAAGTTCATAAACGCCTCCGTGAGCATCTCGCGGTCAACCCCCGTATTCAGAAGTGTTGTTTGGTCTTGGAAACCCTGTGTGTACAACGCAGCTGCTTCCTTATCACGGAAGCGTAAGGGCTTGTCTGCATACACATCCGTCGCGATGATGACATGACTCAGCATCTTTGAGAAGCTGGAATGTTTCGAGATGTCGACAAATGCTTGGAGGCTTTTGTAGGTGAGCATGAACTGCTTCTTGGTAAAGAATTCCTTGGAGAACCATTCATACAGCGACTTCTCCACCTGCTTGCAGGTGAGGCGGAGAGCACCGAGGTCTGGAGTAGTGAGGAATGACGATATCGCCACCAGAAGCTCGAGGGGAATGGTGAGCAGGGACGCCATGATGAACGTGTCTGCGAGTTGCTACGATGGTAACGGCGGTGCTTTGAGGGTAGGTCTACGGGTGCCTCTTATGTCACGAGCCCGCGTGTCTGGTTCGCGCCTACGCTAGGCGTTGCTGCCTACATCTCAACCAATAGCAGACTAGTAGTCGTGATGCTGGCCTGACCTAACATTGTCGCTCAAAAAGGCGACCTTCCCCTCTGAACTTGCAATATCTGAATCTCAAACGCGTCAATTGGTACCAATGGCTCGCAAAGCAGCCCAAAAGGCCGCCAAAGCCGCGCCACTAGACGGCTGCGTAATTGCAACCTCAGGCAAGTTTCCCGGCACCACTCAGACAGCTCTCGCCAGTCGCATCACGTCACTCGGCGCTACAGCCTCATCAAAGGTCACTTCGGATACAAACATCTTGATCGCAACCGAAAAGGATTACGAGAGTAATTCGACGAAAGTGAAGGCGGCCGCATCGCACGACATTCCCGTTGTCACGCTTGATTGGCTCGAGGAATGCGAATCCACAGGTCAGCCCTTACCATTCACTGCTTGCGCGATGCATTATACTCACAAAAGCATCAGATGCCAAAGTAGATGAGACATCGTATCTCCTCTCGCCTTCAGCTGCCTCTGCAGCTACTGCTACGCCATCAAAAACAAAGAATGGTTCGAAGAAGCGAGCTGCATCACCATCACCTGACGTATCACCACCTCCAACTCAAGTTACGTTGCAGACAAAGAAGCCAAAGATCTCGGAGAACGCCAAGGTTGGAGATGGACAGAATGCCAAGTCCAAGAAGATAGCTATATCTGTAGACGAGTATTGCCCGCTCTCAAGTTACCAAGTGTACATCGATGGTGAAGGGACCATCTGGGATGCTTCGTTGAACCAAACCAACGCATCGGCCAACAACAACAAGTTCTACAAAGTCCAGGTGAGTCTCATTACAATCGACCTGTGGAATTTCGATGTGTACTAATGTCATTTCAGCTGCTGTGCAATGGATCCGACTTCAAGACATGGACGCGCTGGGGTCGTGTCGGTGAGCGAGGCCAGAGCGCGATGCTGGGCGGCGGATCGCTCCCAGACGCGCAGTTGAACTTTGAGAAGAAGTTCAAGGACAAATCGGGTCTCAAGTGGGTTGACCGGGGTGAGGAGCCGAAGAAGAATAAATATGCATATGTGGAGCGATCTTACAACCCAGATTCGGACGAAGAAGACGACGCAGATGCTGGTGCAGACGGCGACAACGAAGATGGCGTTAAGCGCGAAGTGGCGAAGTGCACACTTGAGCCGCCCGTGCAGAACCTGATGAAACTCATCTTCAACCAGTCTTACTTCGACGCAACCATGGCGGATCTCAATTACGATGCCAACAAGCTTCCCCTCGGCAAGCTGAGCAAGGCCACTATCGCGAGAGGTTTCCAGGCGTTGAAAGATCTCGCAGCCATCCTTGACAATACAGACGCAGATTCTAGAGCGAAGGTGGAGGACCTCTCGAACCTATACTACTCCGTCATTCCGCACGCATTTGGCCGTGTCAGGCCACCTGTGATTCGAGACAACGATCTACTTAAGAAGGAGATCGAACTTCTCGACAGCCTGTCTGACATGAAGGAAGCAGCTTCCATGCTCAAACAGACACTTAAAGATGACGGTGGTGTTCATCAGCTCGATCGCCAGTTTAACGGCCTGAAGATGAACGAAATGTCACCTCTGGATCCCGCCAGCACCGAATTCACCGAGCTTGAGACCTACCTCAAGGTTTCCAAGGGCGCCACCCATCACTTGTCCTACAAGGTTGAAGACATCTTCCGCATCGAGCGACAGGGCGAACTGGAACGCTTCGAGAAGAGCCCGTACTCGAAGATCAAGAGCAACCGTCGCCTCCTGTGGCATGGTTCTCGTGTCACCAACTTCGGTGGCATCCTTGGCCAAGGTCTACGAATTGCGCCCCCAGAAGCACCGGTCAGTGGCTACATGTTCGGCAAAGGTATCTACCTCGCAGACATGTCAAGCAAATCTGCCGGTTATTGTTCCGCCGGCAGCTCTGGTGGCACTGCGCTGCTATTGCTTTGCGAAGCCGAGCTCGGCGACCCTATGTATGAGCTGACGGACGCTTCGTATACAGCTGGTGAGGACGCGAAGGCTAAAGGAATGATATCAACGTGGGGTAAGGGCCAAACCGGACCGAGCGAGTGGAAGGATGCTAAATGTGTTAACAAATCGCTTGCTGGTTGCATAATGGTCAGTCTTCCCCCCTCCCTTGTGCATCGAAGACTAACATGAATCTAGCCGGACATGGAATTCAACCCCGGACCAACCAATGTGTCCGGCGCATACCTGCAGTACAACGAGTTCATCGCCTATGACGTTGCTCAGGTTCGTCTCCGATACCTCTTCCGTGTTCGCATGTAGAGCACAAGCTTCACTCAGGCACGTCGAAAAGCGACCATGCCAAACGTCGCACGCAGTCTGAGCATATCCCAAGGCTGTGTCTCCATAACTGTGTGCATCTTTACTCATATCGCATTTGCTCCGTCTCTACGTTATTTCAAGAAAAGCAGGGTGGTGTTCTCTTCATACCCCAATGCATTTCAAAAGGCAACCTGGCGTTCGAGAGCTTTCTAGCGCAGTAATGCAATGCTATATCGTTCAATCTCATGCTTACGTCTTCATCTGTGTGCTTGCTGTACAGTGAAAATTGATGCTTACTTTATTTGACTTCATTGCGTCCCATTGAACATTCATGAGGAAGCGCAGCGTATACCCTGAACACCAAGATCGAGGGTTGGATCGCATGCATTCAGGTTTACATGACGAGTACAAGGTCATACAGGCTCCGCGTCAGGAGGGTACTAGGGTGGCATTGAAGTTCGCCGCTCATTGAATGGCAACATTGGGGATATTGTGGTAGCTAGACGAATACTAACATTGTTGGTAGAAGATATGCGATACTAGAATAAGAGGAAAGTCTTCCTCGAGTACCATCCAAGTGGATGAAGACTCAATGAAAAAAAAGGTAGAGCGACCCGAAGGCCGAACTGGGAGCCTCGACGAGACTTGCAAACTTGGAGCAAGAATCTATGAGGAGCGAAAGCATAGTAAACACTGAATATGCAGAACGACTCAAAGGCCGATCTGGAGGCATCGTAGAAACTTGCAAGCAAGAATCTATGAGGAGTGAATGCATAGCAGGCGCTGAAGAGGCAGAACGACCGGCGAAGGCCGAACTGATGTGAAGCTTGCAAGCAAGCAACACAGTGACAGCGAAGCTGACACTTGAGGGGCAACGGCACTGGTGTGGACAAGCCACAGCTGATGCAAGAGCATCTTGTCCTGCGCAAGCACAGTATGGGGGATTGCGGTCCACTAGCAAGCACCGCAAGCGATGGTTGCCTTATAATCCTGCGACACCGTGAGGCGAAGCAGTATTGTTCGTCAACGACATCTTCAGCGAGGTAGATGAACCGAAGCGGAATGCAGCGGCGAGATGCTGACTTGCGACTTGACGTCCGGGCCCGAACACTCGCGTACCCTTGGCCGTCGCAATCAAGAACACGACGAGCAGTCGCAGCCACTGAGCAGAACGTCTTGAGGGTGGTTGCCGATCACAGACGGGTAGGGCCCGAATGGTCCTCTCGACAAGGAAAAACGCCTGGAGCCGTCACACAGCCAATGGTTCTGGTGGATCTCATGGGGCGCCGACGATTCTGCTTCCGGCATTGACGATCTCGAAGTGCTGACGAAGGACAGGCCAAGTATGTTGAACAGGCGCCACGAAACTCAGTAACCGACGCGCATTTCGCTGAGACTTGTTGCCCTGTGAGTAATCGTGGCAGATTGCCCACGGCTTTCAGAGAGTGAGCCTTTTACGATCATCCAACACGTCTCAGGCGAAGGGGTCAGCCACACAAGAGTGCTTTGCCAGTGTCAAAGATGGTAAGAAGAATAAGAAGAAGAAAAGTGTGAGGAAGGAAACTTAGAGATGGGGACGGGGGAGACGTTTATATATGCAGGCCCGTGGGTTCGTGCGCGAGGTTGCCCCTTCACCTCCGACTTGCGGCGGCGCAACGCGTCAGTAGATAACAAAGTGACGTAGTTTTGGGTGCAATTTGATCGATTGGCGATATAGCCACTGAGAAAAGCGAGATTTGTAGTCCGATATCGCCTTCACTTGGACTTGGAACGCTCTTTGCTGGGAGCGGCCGCCTCGAAGGAACTGTGTTCTCTAGGAACTGCAGGTAGCGATAGTGTACACGCTGCCATACTATGAGATTATTGGATGCTCATGTTGGATGCGGTATTCTCATCAGTAGAGCCGGACGCGAGCGAATGGGTTCAGTGATGATAAGCGTCTTGTGAGCCCCGTCCTGACACATCACTGACCTCACAGCAAGCGTACACCGGTCGGATATGTTTGATATACTTCCAGTCTACTTTCAATATCTATGCAGTTGATCAGACTGTAGACCAGGTTAGTGAAGAGTTTGCAGCAACCTGGCCTTTCTCTCTTTTCCAACATTCACCTCATGCGTTTGTGATGAGCTTTCGTTGACCGGCCAAAGCAATCGAGTCAGAGGCGGCCATACAAGCAACTGAAATGAAAATTTAGACTTAAGGCTGATCAGCAGCAGTTGACTACGGTGCCTGTAGGGAGAGTGGCTCACAGACGGTTGCAATCTATTGCCGTTCTGCGCTGTCTCATCTGATTTTGTGACCTGCATAGCTTTACACCTTTGGCGACAACCGGAACCAGGCATAATTGACGCAACTGCAGTGTAAGAAGTAAATATGCAACTCGATCGTTCACGATAATGTCGCAATGGTGTAGTGCGAAAAACTAAAAACGACGAAGCCGCTTAACAGCCCTGGATATGACAATAACACCACTTCCCTCCTTAGCGCATCAGCTCTCTGCCCGCAACGTTGTATTGCGGGTGTCGCTCAGTCCCTGCTGAGCGTCTCGGCACCAGTGCTTTGCCAGATATAGTACACGCCGTCGAGATAGTTATTGATCCGCAGCTGTTGAGCTGCGAAGGAGAAGACCTGAATCTTCTCGTGGGGATCGTTGCTGCAAAGGAGGATTTTAGTTGCTTCGAGGCAGTAGCAAGGCCCTGGAGCATGGAGGTGCTGAGTGGGTGTTGATTCACCTGCGGACGGTCTTTGTTCTGTGATTCTTTCTTTCGTTGGGTAGGTTGCATGGAAATGCAGATGCTTGAAGAAGAGGGATTGTGGGAGGTGAAGGGAGAGAGAGCTGAGGAGTCGTCAGGAGCTGATAGGAGTACTTGCACTCTAGTGCTGCAGACTGCGGTGGCATATTGTGATAGTGAGGGCGCTCAAGGCAAGGTTCTCTATTTTCCATAGTCTACCTCCATGAGCCGAGCGCCTGATAGTGTAGCAGTTGCGCAACGGTTTGAATCGCAATTCTCAATCAAAACAAATCAGAGGCGCAAGTTGTGTGCAGCAATATATTCAGGAGATAAATGTTACTTTACAAAAATGTATGGTATCATCAACAGAAAGTAGTGCAACCTTCCCTGCCCAATGGCTACTATCAAAGAAAAACATGGACACACGTAATTTGTACCGAGAAATCAATGCAGCTACGGTTCAGTTATACCACCAAGTAGAACCTAGGCAACCATAGGCTGATGGAACTCTGAATTGCTGCTTTCCGAACCGCCTAGCCTAGTGTTGCCATTGCCATTAGAGTGTACAACGCTTGACTTTGCTGCCTCCTGCAATTGCGTCTCTACATTGCTTTCTCGAGCTCGATCCCTTTCGGGTGGTGAATTGCGAGACGGCGGTATCCTTGCATTATGTGGTAAGTCATACGGGGAGTGGTGCTGCGGAGGCTGCTCGTTGGTGGCATGAGGTCGATGGCTTGGTGGCTCTGCTTGATGCTGGGCAGGCTGGTGCATAACATTTTGCGGAGTGTGTGCACTGTGATGCGGTGGAGTAAGCATCGGTGAGGCCGTACTCGCTCTATCACCGCTATCGTGGTCGGAGGTCTCGCTGTGGACATTGCTGTTGGAAGCAGGAGGATGGGCGAAACCACCACGCAGTTCGCCTTCGCGGACCTCCTTCCAGGAGCATTTGGCGTGCTTCTTGGTGCAGCCCATGCATGCGGTAAGATTCTTCAGACAGTCCATGTGCAGTCGGCGACATCGGTCGCATGGTGGCAGTATGCGCTCACCCTTGGCTAGGGCCTCCATTTTGTGGACCATCTCAGTTTTGAAAGGTCCGCCGTCATCCTTTTCTAATGGCTGGCTGTTGCGTTGGCTAGCTGCAGGAAGGAGGTTGGACGGTGTGTTTGGAATCGGTACAGGTGAATGCATCATCGAGTGAAGCTCGTTCTCATTCATGTGCGGTGGTCTGGCCAGATTGGGTGGGGCGCCTTCTAATGGCTTGGGTGGAGCTTTCGTCACATGTGGAACGGGTGTAGATGGATGAGAGGCGCCTCCAGCTGACAAGGATGGCCGTCTAGCATCTGTCCCGCTGCTCGGAGGATGCGAAGAGGTTCGCCGTTCGCTCATCGTATGAAATTTGGCTAGCAAATCATGGCGTGTAGTGGAGGAAGTACCATTGCCGTTGGATTCGTGATGAGGGCGCGCATTGACGGCGACGAAGCCACTGGGCGATGTTTGCGAAGAATGTGCCGGTGGCGCATTGGGGAGTGTAGAGCCAGCCCCGTTCATGAGGGCAACATTAGAGGGGCTAGTAGGACGAATGGGTGGTGCTGGGCTTGCAGTGGCACGGCGGTCAAGGATGGCTTGTTTGCGGCCCTTGAGCCTGTGATTGAGCTGTCGGGTACGGGCAGCCACTGAATGATGTTAGTCCGACTTTCCACCTTAGGCACAGAGGGAGAAGAAACTCACCTTGGTCGGCCAATTGGCATATCTGACCCAAGTTCTTCTCGAGTATCTCAATCGTGCCAAGCTCCTTCTCTTCGTCCTCGATGATGGGCTGCGGAGGGATCATCTTCTGTGGTATACCAGACGAGATAAGCACGAAGTCCTCCTCGGATATCTGTACGCGACATTGTTTGGTGTAGAACTGGCAAACTCTCACGCCTTCGCTCATTTGTCCCAGCTGGAATTGCTCCGGCTTGTTGCGCGCAAAGTCGACCACATCCAGCCAGGTCACAGTTGTTCCATCCTTGCCATGGCTCTTGAGAACTCGTGGGGGTCCATCGAACAGCCTCTCAAAGCGTTTTATGAGGATAGGACCCAGCGGTCGAGCGCCAAGATTGCAGGCCATACTCTCATGGCGGTCCAGCACGCCCTGGTAGTCGCCGAGCAGCGACAAGATGTTCGGGAGAGTATCATCGTTGGTGATTAGCGGCAGGTCTTCGTTGAGCTGCCGTGCGAGGTAGTTGATCTGCAGGTGGTTGTGCGTCTTGGCAGATTTGGCTAGTGGCGCCGACGCATGGTGTAGAGTGTCGTGTGAAGGGCTTCGCTTGCGCTTCAGATCGGCCTGGAGGGCGGGCGCATGGTGTTGTGAAGTCATGGTGCGCTCAGTTGCGGTGTGGGCGTCGAGACCCGCCATGTGTGCGCTTGCGGCTTGCGCAAGGCAACCCGGGCAGCGCAGCGGCGGAGCGAGGGTCAGTCGAGGATGGCAAATGCGCCAACAAATAGCCAGCTCAGGGGCCACAGCACGGTGGGCGACGGCGAGAGACTCGTGCTAGAGCACCATGTCAAGCAACCAGCGAGAGGCGAAGAAGCGAAGAGGGAGAGGGAATGCGAGCAAGAGGAGGGCGGACGGCAAACGGGGCAGAAGCAGCAGGCTGGCAGGGCGGAGTGGAAAGAGCGGAATCTAGGCCTCGGCCGAATAAGGCTAGCGTGCATTGGGGTGCGCCGTGGTGCTTCATCCTCGTGCCGCCCGCCATCTGCCATGGGACAGCCACAGATGTGCCGCGAGGCCGCTGAAGACTGTGAAACTCGAGGGAGTCGCCCGCCCCATTGTCTCAGCAAAGCGAGCGCGCCGAGAACGCGTAATCCGCCAGGGGACGAGATGAGTCTCACTATACTGTAATACCGTGAACATGCACTTCTGGCGCCGTTGGCACCGTCTCCTCGGGTGGAGGGGGCACTTTGGAAATGGCGCAGTACGCGTCCACTTCGGCGCCCGATATCACCTAACACCGCGAGAGGCGACAGGCCAGAGGCGAGAGGCGTCTCACAAGGAACTCGAGTGGAACTTGGAAGCATGGGGCCGCCGGGAATAGGCCCACGTGACCTCCGCAGGGGTGGGGAGCGGGACCGCTGCACAAGCTCCAAGCTGCACGTCACTGTCACAAACTAAGCTCGCGTCTTGTCACATCACCGCACTCTGCCCATACAACTCCGATACAATGTCTGAGCGAGGCCAATTCCGAGGCGGACGAGGCGGTGGACGCGGCGGCGACCGCGGGGGAAGAGGTGGAGGCCGTGGAGGCGCACAGAGCGGAGGTGCGGCGGGACAGACTGAGCGACCAAAGAAGGAGAATATCCTTGACTTGAGCAAGTACATGGACAAGCAGCTCACTGTCAAGTTCAGCGGCGGACGGGAAGGTGAGTGAAGCATTGGGGCGAGAGAGGAAGACGAACGGCGTCATGGTCGCAATGTTTGCGCTTGGCAATCGCAAGATTTTATGGAAGGAGCGACACCCACTGACGCATCCCCCAGTCATTGGCACGCTCAAAGGCTACGATCAGCTCATGAACCTCGTACTCGACGAAGTCAAAGAAGCCCTCACCGGTAGGCCCTTGTCCAAATAACCACACTGGTAAAACACTAATCCTGCTTCAGACGACGAAGGCAACATCCGCTACCGCAAACTCGGTCTCATAGTCGCACGCGGCACCTTACTCGTGGTCATCTCCCCGGTTGACGGAAGCGAAGAGATTGCGAACCCCTTCATGCAGGAAGAGGAGTGAGGCATCCACCATGGCCGTAAATTCTGAGCACGACGGACCTAGAGCTGCGCAATGCATGAGCATGTGCACCAAGCGCTCATTGAAGTTCTCGATACTTCCGGGAGGAGTTTGGTCGAGCATGATACCCACGACATCATACGAAGCACGACCAGATCAGATGGTGGAACAAGGCCAATAGCTGCAATATGGCATAGCCTCGGGTGGTCATTACAGCTTCACAGGCGAGACATGAAAAATTTCAAGACGTTCGCGTATAGCCTTTCGTGAACCCCAAGTTGCTATGCTCCATTATATCACGAGACATGCTTTTGCGTAGGTGACAAATTGAAGTCAGTAAGCACCTCATCATCTCGGGATGTATGAAGCAATGTTTGATGCAGGGATCTAGGATAGTCGGCTCGCTTAGTATATCCCAAACACAATCCTCTCCAGATTCCGCCGTGTCAAGCTTTCTTCACAAGCTTTGCATCCGTTGTCACTTGGTATTGGCCCGAAACTCTCCATAGTGTTTTATTTGTAATATATGGTGTAAGTTGCACGTCGCTTACGAGTACGAACGCCCAGCGGCCGTGATTCGCATTGTCAACGATCACCCGCACACTTTGCAGCCATTGTGCAGTAAACACTTCCAGCACTACACGCCACGCGATGGCTAGCCTTTCTAACGTCCAGTTGGGCGCATCAATTCGGTGCCTGAGGGTAAGCAGAGGGGTATGATTCGTGGCGGTGCTGCCAGGCGTAGGCTGTGCAATGAACTGGTTGGTGACGGCTAAGTGCTGGGTCGTTTCATGTGGCTCTTGCAGCCCTAACGGCAAGGCACCAGCATTGTTGAAGATGACCAGCACATCTGCTTTACATCGCAACCTCAAGGAAGCATTGCTTTCGATTTTCCATCTCATTCTCTCACGTCGCACCTCATTGCCTACGTCCCTCGTCTATCACCGTTTACGCCACCTAAATCGACCCTCGCGCTTTCTGCACTCGACAACCACATCACGTCTGACTACCGACGATATTGCAGCAGCTTACTCAAACTGAGCGCACCGCGCGACCGTTCCTCATACAGTAATACTGTACGAGGATATACCTGCACCGTGGAGCAACTGCGCAGTAGCTTGTAATCGGCATACGGAACTGCAAGCCCCGAGTCGGCTTAGAACCCAGTTGGTTTCCGTCAGCAACCCTAGCACACGCCCAGCGCGTGCCAAACATGCATCAGGCCCCGCCGGTCGATCACCATGCATTCAAGATGGAGTCCGTGAGTGGAGTCGCAAGTGAGGGACCGACGGCATATTTTATTCTCAAGGTCCCGTCGTCTGGTGTCGCGGTTTTGCTCACAGCGATCGCGCTACTTCTCCCTATACTGCTTCGGATACACAAGAAGTATAGGAAGATGCAGGAAGACAGCAAAACACCGTTTCCATTCCTGGAGCTACCGCAAGAGTTAAGGGACATGGTCTACGAGCACCTCCTCGAGGAACATCCAGCCTACCCACCTCCACCAACATGCCCAAAGCACGCTTCAGCAATGGACTGGATGCTCCCCGGGCACTGGTCGTCCACAAGCCCACAGCCCAAACCCAGTAACTGGATCATGCTCACCAACAAGCAAATCCACGAAGAATACATGAAGCTCCTCTGCCAACGCGCAACCTTCCGCCTCACCGTCTCGCCTCAAAACTACCAGAACCCCTGCGCCACCCCAACATCCACGCATCCCTCGGACAAGAAAATCTGGCACATAGCGCCTTCAACACTCCAGCAGATCCGCTCCTGCGATCTCAGCCTCATCGCAACATCAAGCATGCTCGGCGTCACAGATCCGCGCAACATGACATCGTCGGACTGGACTCTCGCCGCCCAAATCCGGCGCGAACTCTCCTTCCTCACCAACGTCTCCAACTTCACTCTCGACGCCAAAGCTATCGCAGACCCACTCTGGAACCCGCTGTGGATCTGGTACCACGCATGTCAATCGTTTAGATACATCACTTCGCCGCAGTCGGGCAGCGTGTCGGCAGGGCCGAGATTGAATCGCATCACGTTCAGTTTGGATACGTGGAGTCCGGGGGAGAATTTTCTGATGAGGGATGAGAAGAATAGGGGCGAGTGGACGTGGTACTGTATGAAGGGACATAGTGTGGGCTTGGATTGTGGCGAGGACATGACTGTTAGGGAGTTCTGTGCTAAGCTGTATCAAGAGTGCAGGGTCTGTCGGCCGGAACTGGATAGTGAGGATGAGGAGCAGTAAATTGTATGATGTAGTTTGAAACTGTACGATAGTTTTATTGTAATTGACTCACGTACTGGCTGGAGGCCTCATGGAAGTAGTATTCAGAATAGAACCGCAGATTGACAGACAAAATCGTGATTGATGGCATTCAGCGCGAACTCTTCCACAGGCCACATCTATCAGTACGAATACCCCTATATCGTCCCCTCAAAAGCATGCTCCCTGCACGCCTTCCCACCGGTTTTCTACTCTTCCCGCTCCCTTGCATCATCAATCGCCCTCTTCCAATCGTACAAATACATATACACCCCCTCACTGAGTGTAATACAACTGCTCCCAACCGCACACCCAGCCCACAGCCCCACCAACTTCATATCCTGCTTGAAACACAAAAACAGCGCAAGCGGCACCGCAATAACATAATACACGAACAAATTTGCCCAGCCACCGATAGCCTGCAGCCCCAGCCCGCGCAGAATGGCATTCGCGAGCGCCGTTGTGGAGTCGCAGAATTGGAATACTGCGAGTAAAGGCAGCACGGTCGAGACGATGGAGATGACTTCTGGATCGGTGCTGAAGGCTTTTGGGAGCACGTTTCGGGCGGCGGTCAGGAAGGTGAAGTCGATGACGCCGATGATCAAGAAGGTGAGCAGGTAAGTGCGCGTCGCGATTCGAGCGGAAGATAATGAGCCGGCGCCGATGAGGTTGCCTAAACGCGTGCTCACAGCGACGCCCACGGAGAAGGGGACATGGTAGATGGCGACGGCGAGACTCATGACGATAGACTGGGCGGCGAGGTGTGCGGTGCTTATGTAGCTGGTGGAAAAGGTAAGGACGTCGAAGGCCTTGGAGACAGGTTAGCAGATGAAGAGACAAGAAGTAGGAAAGGGTGACTTACAAGCCATTCGGTCTCAACCATGATAATACCAGGAATTGCAAGTTTAGCCATTGGTCCCCAATGCCGGAAGGCGTCACGCGTGAAGCCAGCCCAGCATTCTAGCGAGCGCGGGTTGACGAAATAGACGTAAATCCAGAGGAGAATGGGCAGCAAGTTGTGAGACAAAACAGTTGCAAGTGCAGCACCCTCAAGGTCCCATTGTAACACGAAGACGAACAGATAGTTCAGGACGACATTGATCGGCGTGGCAATGAGAAGGACGAACAGGCTGGCGTTGAAAAGTCCTTGAGCTTGCGTGAAGCGTTTTCCAGCTTCGAAGATGGCGTATCCGGGAGCTCCTGCAAGCAAGATGGACAGGTAACGGCCAGCAAGATGGGCCAGCTCCTTCTCCGGTACCAGAGCCGCGAGGATCCAGCCCGATGATAGCCAAATTGCCCCAATTGGTACAGTGACGAGCAACATGAACAGAACCATGCGCTGTAGATGCAGTCCAACCATCTCTTTCTTGCCAGATCCATACGCCTGTGCACACAAAGTGTCCAAGCTGGTAGCCAGGCCCTCGTACACGGCGAGTCCCGTGATATTGGCAGTCATACTCGCCAAGCTGACCGCACCCAATTCATCTGTTCCAATATGCCCTACCGCAAAGAGCGTGATGAGCGTGAAGCTGTACTGAAGGAGGTACGTCGCCATCAGCGGCAGCGAGTACTTCGCAAGCAGTCTTGCCTCTATTCCCGCCGTCGTCTTTACCTCTTCTACCACCCCCTCGCCTCTCAGTAAGCTCTCCGTTTCTTCAACACCGCCATAATGCTGCTGCGTTTTCGCCGCGCCGAGCAGCCCAACGCGCTCCTCAGTGCTCGTCGAGAACCTCCGCGCAGCCAGACTATCCATTGTAAATCCCACAGTAAACGGAAACGGCACGGAACACAGCGCTAGCGACGAGATGTCATTTTCGAATTCGTATTCTTCGACGTGGCCAGCGTTGTTGTCGTCTTTCTCAGGGTCTGTAAGAGCCGAGGGTTGGGGTTTGTTTGGTGGGGCAGCAATGACAAGCATGGCGTCTCCACGGGTCGCTGGCGTGTCCTGGCGCATGATGCTAGGAAGAAATGAGTATGGCGGAACGGGCGGGAGAGCGAATGGGCATCATGGCCCGGCGCGAGGTGCGCAAGTGTTGACTTGATGGGGGATACACGTCCAGCTTTGCGGTGGAAGCGCGGGCGCATTCTTGAATTCTGGTGCGAGCAAGTCGATGCCCCAATGCTATTCCGGGAGATGGCAGTGACTCCCCGTCGACAATACAATGCATGTTTGCGACCACGGGATACCTACCTATGGAAGGAGTAACGAGACGCCTCCGATTCGCCGGGTGCATTGCACCATCGCTCCAATCGCTCGCTCACATCCTCGATGTCGCGCTACTGCCGGTCAGACCCTGGGCATGAACAGCCTGCCCACCTGCAGGTCTCTTTGCGCTTCTAATCAAGATGAACGCGGAGATCATACGGTCACGGCAGGCGCTGGCATGGGATGTCAGTATAAAAGCTGCTCGCGTATTAACCGAGCATGACCGCGGCATGCACAGAGCCACAAACAATACAGAGCATTTACACGACATGGGATAGCTTTGGTCTTATCAACGATTCATGGACACAGTAATCGACAGTAATCATCGCACATGGCTGTAAAATGCTTCTCACGCTGTTTTGTCTACAGTCTCTGTCGCGAGCTTCGGAAAGTCAGACAGCATTTTTACATCGCAATGAGGAGGCGAGACATGCTACTCTTCCTGTCCTGGGCCCCTGGCTTTTGCCAGTTTCGCGACCTCTGGATCCTTGGTCACCTCATCATAATCAGGTCGGGGTAGCTCGAACGCCTGGGTAGTGCGGCCATACGTGATGCCACCCAGCCTCGAAATAGGCTTCATGACCTGGTTTCCCATTAGTTATGCATTTTCATGTTTGGCAACGGACACGACTTACGGCTGGGTCAATCAATACGCCCTGCTCATCGATAGCATCTTCTCTAACCCAAAAATTGACACCCTCCACGAAGACTGTGACACCCGTCCTCTTGTCTGGCGTAGCAGGGCTCTTCGATGTCCACTCATGGGTGCTGACCAGCTTTCCTTCGAGACTGAATACCGCCTCTTTGACTCGATCCGGCTTGACCAAGGAGCTCTTTGCACCGTGAAGGCCGCTGAGTGACCATTCCGAGACGCTATGGGGAGCGTTGATCGAGGTGTAATTGGCCGCCTCAATGTACTCCTCGGTGATGATGTTGATTGTACACTCTTTTGTGTCGACAAGATTTTTCAACGTATCTTTCGCCTTGTCCATACCACCCGCGAACCCCAACACGAAGATCGGAGGGTCGTGGTTCATGAGGTTGAAGTAGCTGAACGGAGCCAGGTTTGTGCTCTTGCCGTCTGCGCTGATGGTTGACACGAACCCAACAGGACGCGGGACAATGGCAGAGATGAGCAGCTTGTAGTTCTGTACAACTGCTCTTCCTTCAGCATAGGGGTTGATTTGACGATGTTCCTTCTCAAGACATGATGGGTCGTTGGCGCCAGATCCAGCTTTCCACTCTGGTTTGGGAGTTTGAGTAAAGTGGAAGTCGTTCTTTTCAAACGGTGGACGAGAAGCCTCGACAGCTTTGAAATCGCCGTGCGGGTTACGCTTGATCTCCTTCTCAGCATCCGTCTTGCCTGATGCCATCTTGGAGCGGTAATGCGATTTGCTTATGAGTAGGAAGAGCGAATGGACAGGAAAAGTCTTACAGCAGACTTGAAGAAGGCCAGCAGACTACTCACCCCAGTGGATGCTTTGTCAGTATTACTTGTCGATGACTACGGTGTAATGGTACAATCGTCAATTGCCGACTGGCGTGAAATATTCCAGTGCCGCCATGGCAGATAGCGGATTTAATTCCGTGTATTAGGAAAGTGCAGGGTGGCCACGGCATGACGCAGATTCTTGTGCCGGCGCTCTGCACTTATACACATCAAGAAGAAGGGGACTATACACGTTTTTAGAGCAATTGTTCTTACTAGCTTTATACTTTGAGACCATCTTGATCGTGTGGGCTCAGGGATGACCTGTCTCGAGATGCTTCCACTGGCAGCGTCATCTACCCCGCGGCAGTCTGAAGCTACCCCGCCAACTGAGAACTCACCACGCCGTCAGATAAGGTCGAGCAGGGATATAGTATCTGGGCAGCGATGATGTCGTTTCGCCTTTCAATGTGAATCAAGAAGAGTACCAAATAATCCCTCTTGTGGTCCACTTAGTTTCTGTCAAATTGTTTGGGAATTTAGGTCCTGTGCTCGCCCACTGCTCAGGCAGAATCAACGACGCGAGTGACTACTACGTCTCACCGCTAATAACAACGTCACCAGCATACCCAACCGATATTCACAAAAGTGCTAATTTGACCATGGCGGACGACTATCAGACCTACAAGCTCGGCAACTTCTCCCTCAGTTCGGGCGGAGAGATTCCAGATGCTTTTATCGCATACAAAACGCTCGGAGATCCGTCATTGCCAGCTATCATATACCCAACGTGGTATTCTGGATGTAATAATATTATCCTTAAATGTATTCTGCTGGCTAACTTCGAACCACAGCAATTTCCGACAATCTCTGGCTCACCGGGTCAGACAAGACTCTGAACCCCGAGAAGTACTACATCATCATTCCCGCACTCTTCGGTAATGGACAATCCTCCTCGCCATCAAATATGCCGGACCTTCGTCCATTCCCCAACGTTCTCTTCTATGACAATGTGCGAGCCCAGTACGAACTTGTCACCAAGCATCTAGGTGTCAAGCATGCACGTGCTGTTCTAGGTTGGTCCATGGGAGCCGGTCAAACCTACCAATGGGCCACCCAGTACCCAGAATTCATGGACCTCATCGCTCCTTTGCTGTGGCTCAGCGAAGACTTCTCTGCATAATCAGGTCTTCCTAGAGGGCGTCAAATCCGCTCTCTACGCTGCAATTGGCACATCCTCCACCGGCGTCTGTCACCCCACTTCTCTCGCCCCAAACTCCTTTGCCCAGCGTTCCCCTCTAAGCCGGTCTCCCGCTGAAACTGGACTCAAAGCCCTCGGCCGCGTCTATGCTGGTTGGGGCTTTAGCCAAGCCTTTTATCGGGAGAAGCTGCACGAAAAGGCCCTTGGATTCACGGACTTGGAGGACTTCATGGTCAATTTCTGGGAGACTTGGGCGCTCAGTAAAGATCCGGAGAATATGCTGGTCATGGCGCATACGTGGCAAGCTGGCGACTGCTCGGCTCAGGAACCGTATGGCGGAGATTTCAAGAAGGCGATGCAGGGTATCAAGGGCCAAGGCTCTGGTGATGCCGGCGAAGACCGATCTGTACTTTCCCACCGGAGGATTCGGAGATTGAGGTTGACAATATGCGAAAGGGGATTGGCGAGTTGAGAGTATTTCCTTCGATTTGGGGTCACTGGGCTGGAGGTATGAGTACATCTTGTTCAAGTATATTAATGAGGTGCTAATTGTGGTTCTCTAGGTCCCGGACAAAGCACCGAAGATGTGAAATGGCTGGACCAGCAGCTGCGAGAGTTTTTCGCGAGTGGAAATTGAGCCTGGTTTCATGCATTTCCATTGATCTGACGCTATCCTGTATATCCTCAATGAACTTTCAGTCATGGATCGTCCCCATTATGCTCTAGTGTGGAGGTATCTAACACTCCATGACCTCCCTAATCTCCATGTGTACCTCCAGGGGAGGTTATCAGCCTTGGATTTCAAGCATCTTCACCTCCATTGGGTTCTTCGGCAGCGAGTCACGGATGTCCCCATACTTACCGAGTTGAGAGTTGTGGAAGAATTTGCATCGATGTAGTTGGCACGCCCCCTCTTTGCGCTTGCATTGAGTGCGATAAAGCGGTGCCGGGATGACGGCACAGTCCTCGATGCCATCGTCAGTGTCGTCAGAGTCGTCATCAGTCTCGACTACTGGAGGACGGGAAGAGGCCTTGACCTGGTTGACGATGATGTTATTGATGGTGTTTGATCCCGGGGCGTTGTATTGCTGCAGACTAGGTAGGCCGGCAGAACTCTCGTTGTACATCTTGAGCAGTTCATCGCGCTGATCGAGAGCTCCTTTGGCCAGATGCAGAAGAGCATTGCACTCCATGGTGCTATGAGCGAGCCGGCCTTGCAGGTTTTCGACTTGACGACGCATACCCTGGATGTTGTCCTGCGCAGGAACAATAGCGTATTCGTCACCGGCGCCGCCATTGATGCGCTGATGCTCGAGGTGCTGGATGTGGGAGCGCATGCTGTTGTTGGCGACCGTTGACTCGCGGAGGCGCTTCTCCAGGTCGCTTCGACTGAGATGCGTGCAATCGGGCATCTTGATGTGCAGCTCGAGTTGGGAGAGTTTTTTGCGTGTATTGAAGCGATGTCAAGTGAATCAAAGAGGTAGGTAATGTGTATGTTAGCGGGACTGCCAAGGGATATTGCGTCTGCGGCGCGCGCAGGCTAGCATCCTCGTGCAGGTCTTCACTGACAGTTTGCGCCTTAGATCATGGCTATTAGCCGAAAGCGCTGACTTGTCATGGTTCCCTGCTTGATAGGCTAGCGAGTGACATACGTGGAACCTTGGAAGCTTCCAGTACTTGCACACGTGACCGTGGCTCTTTCACTTTGGGGGACCTGAAAGGAGCGCACGGATCATCCTGCTGCCTAGCCATGCGCACGTACCTTGGAGCTAGCTAAGCGAGCCCGCCCTCCGCTATATAATCCCTCTGTCGTCGCCGCCTCTCCCTCTTCTTTCTCCTTAGGTCGGTCGCAGGCTTTCAACCTGCCACGAGAAGTTCAAGTCTCGTGCACGACTCTGGCATATTAGCTTCGGCTAAGCTATGCCCACTGTCCCCTAAGAGTTGTATCATGGGTACGGTTACCGTGAGTATGTCTGCGCAAACAGATGTGTTCACAGGTCGTTTGGAGCAGTTTTGGCAAGCCAGAAACTCCAGCGGCTGTTTGGTCGCATGAAGAATCAGCAAGTAGCAGCTTCTTGGGGTCTTTGATCTCTGAGAAGAATCAGCGAAAATGCAGCTTCATGAGATCAAGAGTCCTTTGACCCTTAAGAAGAATCAGCGAATAGCAGCTTCTTGAGGTCAAAGGATCATTGTGCAGTCAAAAGAAGAGCGCAAGTCCGCAGCTTCTGAGCAATCTTGACTACGAAGAAGAATCAGGGCAACCAGCTTCTACGGTCTCGCATCGCGCACAGGTCGCACAGGATACCGTCAAGCTACGGGCCTGGCTGATCAACCCGATCTCTGGTTCCGCTCAGCGGGCCGGGTTCAACATCTTGCATCGTCGCACAGGCTATTCAGAGAGATTGACAAGAACGGGTCTCTGGTAGTCAACCCCGCATGTCCAGGCGACTGGCATGCACCAAACGGCAGGGCTCAGCAATGAGACCTGTCTAGTTTGACACTGGACTCGCGATGGTCCAGTGTGTTTTACGTTGAGCTTTGTACCAACTGGTACAGTCTTGAAGTAGGACAAACGATTGTATTGAGGTCATGTGCGGTTGAGGTGCTTGGAGTTGGCTTGTTGAACTTGACTGTGAAGTTACTGTGATGACCTCGATGGAGTAGCTAAGTGCGAATGGAGTTCACTGATAGCTACTGGTTACCACTACGGCGTTACTTCATTACAAGAGAAACCCTGGATAGACGGGATCTGCTGGGTCGATATAAAAGGACATTCTACCGACGAGGTTTGCCTTTCCTCTCACTCGCGGAATACAGGTCGGATAGCCACCCACAGAACTTTGTTCTCCAGACACGATGTCTCCCTCAAACTGTGTCCCGATGATTGAACTATTCAACAACTTCCCATGTTGGACGCTTATTTTCTCATCAGTGTAATGTATCGCGAGTCTCGCAGAGGTTCCAGATCCACAAGGTGAGCGGTCGACTTGGCCATCCGCAAACACAGTAGTATTACGTTCTCGTATTGTCAAATCCTCCGTACCAATCGGCACCTCATCTTGATTTTCGAAGAATACAATGCCGTATAATTCGTAGGGAGTGATCAGTCCTGTTGCTCCACTTCGCACCAGTGCCTTGATGTCTCGACCCAATCTCACAAACTCTTTGACATTATTCGGTGTAACCGACAGACCAAGCTCTTTCGCATCCACGAAGCCGTAGCAAGCACCGGCGTAGCTGAACTGCACAAATAGGCCGTCTTCGTAGAATGGAATAGCAAGTGGTATCTTGCCAGTCAAAACGTGGCTTTGGACATTCACAAAATCGGCATGAACAGGCTTTCCATCCTCCACTACGACACTTGCTTTGACGCGACCTGAAGGTACGTCAATGATTACATCAACCTCCCCCTTCCCCCTCGGCATCTCGACAATGCCCTTGCTGACAGCCCAATACCCAAGCGCAATAGTACCGTGACCGCATGCTGTAGAAAAGCCATCCTTGTGCCAGAATAGCACACCGAATTGAGCGTCAGCATCATCTGGAGGTGTTATGAACCCGCCGTACATATCACCATGTCCGCGAGGCTCGTGGCAAAGTGTCTGGCGCAGAACATTCAAGGGATGCGATGGTGTGCCTACTACAGCAGCCCTACGCTCAGCTACCGTGACTCCAGACGGCAGGTGGTCTGCGGGCAGATGCTCGACGATGCGGAATGGTTCACCGGCAGTATGCCAGTCTTCAGTATCGATCCAGTAGGCAGAGGACGGGTTGTTACTCATGATGACGTTATCCGCCCCAGCGTCCAAGTTGGAAGTTCGACAAGTTGGGAGCACAATAAAGACGGTGAACACACGTGACGTTAAACGTCCTGGACGGAAATCTGCACTACGTGGTGCGAAACTAGTGTGGACTCTGGTTCACCGGTGAACATCCTGGGTATGGCCTAGGTGTGACCAATCAGGACACGCGAGCCTTGCATGGCTGGGCCTCCGGCCTCCGGCGTGCCTCGTGGCACAGACGCGCGATCACACATGGCCCCCAGGTCGCCTCTTGTTGCCAATAGAAAGCCATCGGTATAATGCAGATAGACGATCAGGATGAAGACTGCATATCAAGAGCCGGAATGGTTGCACGAGTAAGCTGCATGTCTTGGAGGTTACAAACGCGGGGCTGGCAAAATCCTCGACTGCAGGTGGTGGATGCCTGGAAAAGCGTCAAACTATGTACCTCGCCGCAATCCTACGAACCACTTTAGATATCATCAATTGGGTCTGGGGCGTAAAAGCGTCAGCAAAGCAAACAATCTGGGGCCAAGATTAGTGGCATCAGGTCGCTAGATTTGCGGCGTCTTGTTGTTGACCGGCGACGACCCTAGCGCGAGCACGGGGACGGTGGCTCAACCGGTGAGCTGTCGCGCCGCTTAGGTAGACAACGCTTAAACAGGTCCACCGCATCGCGTTTTGCGATAACACTCAAGACCTTTCTCAAGTGTCTTTGGAGGCAGGGTGAGAGCGTCAGGATGGAAGTACTCGACGCGACAAGCCTTGCGGAGCGGTTGAAGTGGGAGGCGAAGGGATATTGGTTACACTTCGAGGCTGAGACACCACTCGAGAAATATCCAGGTACGTGGCTCGTTTATCTCGGACGGACAGAATGGTTGACAACATTACAGCAAAACAACATGCAAGACGCGTGCAAGAGAAGCTCGGCATTGAGGAGGGCTTGATCTATCTGTCCGGTCAGCAAGCGAGAAACAACGAGGACAGCGACATGCCTGCACCATTCAGGCAATTGCGATACTTCTACTATCTCTCTGGGTGTGTTTGAGTCTAGCTGATAAGACGAATGAGATACTGATGATTGAAACAAGTTGCAACGAGGCAGACTGTCATCTGACGTACGATATTCAGCACGACACACTTTCGCTTTTCATTCCGAGGATCGATGAAAGACGAGTAATTTGGTATGGTAGAGGGCCAACACTTGCCGAAGCCCTGGTAAAGTACGATGTTGATGAAGTCTACTATTCCGATGAAGTCTCGGACTACATCATCGACTGGTACCACCACAGCTGCAACAGAGGCAAGCTTTATACGTTGCACGACCCAGCGAAGTCTCCGATCGGTAACCACCATGCGCCTATTGATTCTGTGTCCCTTCAGCCAGCGATGAACGTTGCGCGAATGATCAAGGACGAGCACGAGATCAAACTCATCCGAAAAGCCAACGACATTAGTTCAAAAGCGCACAGGGAGGTTTTGAGCAACATCTTGAAGTTCACAAACGAGGCTCAGGTCGAGGGGCTCTTTCTCGATGTTTGCGTGTCGCATCAAGCGAAACAACAAGCATATGACCCCATCGCTGCTTCGGGGCCAAACGCAGGGACTCTACATTACGATGCCAACGATGAGGACTTCGGAAAACGTCAGCTTATGTGTCTGGATGCCGGATGTGAGTATGAGCTCTATGCCAGCGATATCACTCGCACGTTCCCGCTGTCATCCAAGTGGCCGAGCAAAGAGGCAGCGAATATTTACAGGCTTGTCGAGCGAATGCAAGAATTGTGCATCAAGCGTCTGGCACCAGGTGTGAGGTACCTTGATCTCCATATCCTGGCGCATCAGATCGCGATCGATGGTCTACTGGCGCTCGGCATATTGCACAACGGTACCAAGGAAGAGATATACAAAGCAGGTACAAGCAGAGCCTTCTTTCCTCACGGACTTGGTCATCATATAGGTCTGGAAGTGCATGATGTGGGCCAGGCCGAGCTTATGAGTGTCCGGAGAGGAAAACAGGTTCTTGAGCAGGTATGCGACAACGCCTTGCGAAAGTCGTGCTCCCAGCTAACCCACTCCAGTCACCCTCGTTGTATCCCATGAACTTCCATTCGCCAGTCTATGATCCAAAGACATGTCATGCTCCAGTAGATCCACAGAGCAGTCATCTGGAGGAAGGAATGATAGTCACTGTTGAACCCGGAATGTAAGTACAAAGCCACGTATCCCAGAGTCGTGTTTCTTACTCACATGATCGTAGCTACTTCTCGGTTTACGCGCTTCAGCATTTCTATCTTCCATCGCCAGTCCACTCCAAGTACATCAACCTCGAAGTATTGAACCGTTATCTGCCGGTTGGTGGAGTACGCATCGAGGACGATATCCTCATTACTGCAAAGAGTTATGAGAATTTGACTACTGCCCCCAAAGGTGATGAAATGCTCGAGATTATCCAAAGGGGAAGATCCAACGTCAACTCTATTCCAGCCCGGAGACAGTCGGGGCGCACACAGATCACTGAAGACGAGCCGCCACTTCTGCGTGCTCCGGGGATTTCCGCTTCCACACCTCAGTCAATACTAAGACCCATCGCAAGGTCTTCTACCATGCCTGCAGAACTGAAACAAGATAAATCTGTCGACTTCGAGCCTTTCGAAGGTCCCTCTTTGTTCTCCAACTTTAGACGATCGATGACCACCGACGAAAAGATCCAGCGTTGGCAACAGGATCACATCCCCACTACAGCAACACGGATCAATCTTACGCCTAGCTCCCAATACAAATCAGTATGTGGTAGCAACACTAGGGAAGTCAAGCATGTCTACATGATATCTGGGTCTTTTCCACCAGGTACAGCCCGTGGCGCGCTCCGTGAGCAAATTCTACCCGCTTGCAAGCAATGTACGATATTATGCGAGACGCTAGATCGACTACGGCAAAGTCTATCAATGTCCAAAGAAAGCCCGGAAGCCGAACTTGACGTCTCGCCCGTCATCTCACAGAAACAGATAAGGAATCGCCGGAGTGTTTCCTCCACAGCACGGCATGATCTTCGAGGAGATCGCGAGCGTCCACAACACAGTCCCATGACTGGCCTTGCCAACGGTCTATCAGCCATGTGTCTCGAGCCACTCAACCATGTTAGTGAATCACCTACTCCATCCCAACGACGTGCGGGAGGCTGTACGCCACATTGGAGGGGGCAGAACCGCGCGGACCAGTCGGGTGATGATGCATTACGAGCAGCACAGGAAACTCAAATCCTGCAAAGCAAACCTTCTGTCCGATCGAACCCGGCTACCGATCAACTGTCCGCTAAAGCGGTGTCGGACGTTCTTCTCGAGCTTCAACGGCAGGGCCCAGCGGCTGGAAGTGACCGGTGTACTTTGGGTAAGCAGGAGGGCGTCGAGGGCATACCTGCGATATCCCGAGCCAAGAATTTCCACGTGTCCACAGGCGGTTCGATGGTAGGGGAAGCGAGGAGAGCTGAAGAGTAAGAGGAATCATTGCGTGTCCAATTATACGTTTTATGCCCTGTTGTTATACACGATTTCCATTGCTTACTACCTTTCATCAATAGTCGTTAATACATGCTTCAGATTTCAAGTGCAGAGTTTCCAGAAGATGCATTACTCATCATGTGCTCATTAAATCATGTGTGCTCGTCAACTCCCGCAAAGTCAAAAGTCAAGTCTCAGACCACGCCAGCACCTAGTAAGGCGTGTCTGCCTTCTTAACAGCCTCCCAGTTCGTCGTGTGTTGCCCTGGCGCAGTACCAGCTTTATGTCCGCCCTCTAAGCCGTGAGCAACACCAGAGTCGTGCGCATGATGTCCGTGGATAGTAGGTGTTGCATCCGTACCACCATGTCCATCACCATAGCGACCCACATTCATCGGCAAGCCTGTATGCGGCTCGATGACCTTGTCGCCAGGCTGTCCCAGGGCTCCCGAGAGCGGCTCGGCGCCATAAGTGTTCGCACGAGTCTCACTGTAGGAAGCCAAGTCAGTAAAGTGATAGGGCAAGAAAGCGTGTGTGTGAAAGACTTACTGCATTCCCGAAATCGCATTCGGATTTCCAATCGGTCCGTCCACACCGACGTGTTCTCGCTTTCCAGGCATCTCGCCCAGCTCGTGATGCTCGAGGGCTTCGCGCGCTGGGTGGCCCTTGGGCGGGTCCTTATGCAGCCTATTCTTGCCCTTCCAGCGAGGGCTATCCGGGTTGTTGCTGTCGTCGTATGCCGCAGCTGTGGTGCCTGCGCCGAGTGCGGTCGCTCCACCGGCAGCACCTGCATACTCCCTCGAGTGACGATTGTTGTCGATCGAGCGACGCACCTCGCCAGACTGGCGGGGCGAGTTGTCATTCGATGACTTCTCCTTCTTCGACTTGTCACGGTGCAGGAACCCGAGGATGCTGCGTCTCTTCTCGGGCGTTCCGGTGTCCTTCTCGCGTTCCTTCTCGAGACGGGCGGCTTCCTTCTCCCGCTCCTTTTCGAGGCGGTGAGCTTCTTTTTCTTGCTCCTTCTCATGCTTGTGCTCTTCCTTTTCAGCTGCAAGGACGGTCTTTTCGTGCTTGTGCTGTTCCTTCTCCAGCTTATGGGCTTCTTTCTCTTGCTTGGCGTGCTCTTTATCCAGCTTATGTTGCTCCTTGTCGTGAGCGTGCTGATCCTTCTTGAGGCGATCTGCTTGCTCTTTCTCCAGTCGTTCACGCTCCCGCTCAACATCGGATTGCTGGTTGTATGCATAAGCTGCGCCACCTGCTGCAGCTGCTCCTGCGGTACCTAGAAGAGCAGCATCGCGCTTGGTGTGATCCTTATTGTGGGGGTCTTCAGTTGAGGCATACGGGGCCTGTGAAGTCCCTGCAGGCGTACCGAGTGTATGTTGAGGCTCAAGAGTACCTTGAGTGGGATACGTTGTAGCGCTCGAATCATGTACAGGATAGGATTGTGCCAGTGGTGCTTGAGTCGATGATGTCGGGACGTGGTGGGCAGTATCGCCTTGCTTACCGGCCTCATAGAGACCTCCAGCGCCTAGTGCTGCTGCACCAGATCCAAGAGCAACGTTGCGTCGAGTATGTTCGTTGTTGTAGTCGTAGTGACCGGCTGCGGGAACTGGGTTTGGAGCACGGGCGCCACTGGCACTCGGGTCATAGCGCTGCTCATTCATCGAGGCGTTCGGCTGCGTACTACGGTGATTACCATAGACATCAATGACCTCCTCAGCACTGTAGCCGGTCGCACCAGCGCCTCCAACAAGAGCAGCATCGCGGCCGAGTTGGTGTTGCCCATGTTGGCTTGCCTTCTCGTCAACCTTCGGGTCAAGGCGATTGAGGGCGTCAGACTGGTGTGGGCCTGTGGTGGTATGGGCCTTTTGTTTCGAAGGGTCTGGTTGTACACGAGGGTCTACAATGTTGGCAAGGTTGCTAGAGTGGGGTCCGATAGTGTTCGATGCAGGCCCAGTATCTGCCTTATCTTCACGTTGGCCTGCGTAGGCAAGACCTCCGGCTGTTGCCAAGCCTGCACCAGCTAGGCCAGCGTCACGGCCATAATGATGTTGAGGGTCTTGGTGTTGAGTGACGGGGTTGGTGGAAGTATGCGGCTCCTGGATCTGAGTGGTGGCACGAGCAGGCGTGTGAATTGTAGACGACTTATCATCCGCGATTGGAGCTGGTGCACCGGTTGTGCCGTAGAATGGAGAACCAGATGTGGTCATTGGCCCGGTGTAAGGTTCGTACTTCTTAGTCGATGCCGGATGAGGTGTAGCATCGGTTGAGGAAGACAAAGGTGCGGAACTTGCAGCAGACTGGTGAGGGATAGTTGTCGAAGACTGTTCACCAGGCACTACAGTACTTCCAGTACCAGGGGTGTCGTTGCGCTGCAATTCGTGATGAATGCCTGCAGCTGTAGCTGTACCACCGCCTACCAATGCGGCATCACGGCCATAGTGGTGTTCTGGGTCATTCTGCTTGTTGGCCGATGCAGTTTCGGAGGCATTTGTACTGTCGTTCTTGACGCGTGGGTCCAGCTTGTTCAACAATGAGCTTTTATGAGGCCCTGACGTTGACTTTTCGCTTCCAACTAGATCGTCGTGGTGTCCGTGGGTCGTGGACGTCGTACCTATGGGAGCAGCACTGGCCAAACCATGATGGGTAGTCTCAGTCTTTGCCTGAGGATCAAACCTCTGCTCTTCAAGTGGCGCCTGTGCACCGAGCACGCGGGGGTCCAATTGCTTGGAGCTGTATGGGCTAGAGTCGTGGGCAAGAGTTCCAGCCGCAACATCTGGCTCGTCTCGCTTGTGTGTAGCAGCGTAGCCTAGGCCTGCCGCGCCAGCACCAACTCCACCGACAATTGCGGCATCACGGCCATAGTGATGCTCGTCGGCATGTTCAGCAGAGCGTGGTTCAGGATGATCGAGACTGCCTGTGTGTCGTAACTCGTGCTGTCCTGGAGACACAGTCGAGGTCTCCGCAACTGTGATCGGAGCATTGCTGGTCTGGTCAACGCCATGTTGAGTAGTTGGCGCATTTCCAACGGTCCTTGAGCCATCAAGATCGCTATCAATGCGAGGGTCCATCTTGTTGAGTGTATCACTCTGGTGCACGCCAGCAGTTGTAATTCCACTACCAACGGTATCATCATGGCGAGACGCTTGATTGCCTGGCAGCCCGCCTGCCAATCCACCTGCTGCTAGGCCACCAGCAATAGGCGCGGCCTTACTAGAATCCACATCGCGGCCTAGCTGGTGTTCACCCCAGGCTGTACCCCTAGTAGATGGGACACCAGACATGGTTGGCCCGTCGACACCAGGCTCTGGGACTACTTCATCCCTGTAGTAAAGGAACGTCTTTGATTCATCCGGGGTCGGAGTTGGGAAGCCACCGGGAACATGACGGTAGGACAGCGAGCGACCACCAGGAGGTCGGCCAGGGTCGGTGTATCTTGATTCATGGGCCTCAGCAGTGGCAACGCGGGCAGCACTAGTAGCACCAGAATTTGGCGCCTGTGATGTACTAGCTACAGAGCTGTCGTGGCCAAGTGTTGACGGTGGTGGCATAGTAGAAGACTTTGCTGCTGCTGCCGTGGCTGCAGCGAGTGCTTCAGGATGGACGTTCTGTGTGGTGTTGGTGGAGGTGGTCTGGCGATTCTCAATACCGCGGTCATTGGCATCCCTCTGGTGTGACTGAGAGAGCGGTGCAGCTACGCCAATTGCAGTTGCAGCTGCGGCCGCTCCAGCGAGGCCTTCTCGGCCATGACCGTCTTGCACCCCGGCTTCCTTTTCCTTAGTACCTGGCTCTCTCTCGCTGGTCGTTGCTTGGTGAGTTGACGAGATTTGCTGGGCAGGTGTCAGGATTGAGGAGGTTTGGTGTTCGGCAGAGTGATGGGTGGTTGAAGTGTGTTCAGCTGGATGCCTAGCTGATGTATCGTGCTTTGGTGCCACACCACCGGCAAGCGGGAACGATCGATCAGTATCGTTGGTGTAGCTCTCATTCCGTAGATTGTTATCATATGGTTGCTTTGTAGAGCTCTGAGTAGCATTGCTAAGCGCTCCAGTGTTGCTTGTGTCGGTGCGCGGTTGATCACTGCCTGCTACTGAGAGACCATCAGCCATGTTCACGAGTTTTTATTGTACATAGGAAAAATATGTCTACGTACGAGGAACAGCAGAACTCAACACGCTGGGCTGGTAGGATGCGTCCGCGCTGGTAGGAGCAGGAGCATTACTTCCTCCACCGACAATCTGGTTACGGTCCAGGCTCGCCTCGGGATTCTGATGCGTTGAAAGTGCAGCGTGCCCTTGACTTTGACCAGCACCAAAGCCAATGACTCCACTCTTGATAGATGCCTCGCTCATGGCCTCGTGCATAGGGCCAGTTCCAGGGCGCGTGGTGCTACCAACAGTCGCGCCGTGGCTTCCAAGAGTCCTGCCGGTACCACTGTGCTCTGTCTGCCCTAGGCTTGGAGAAGTGCTTGTCTGACCCACAGACGTGGCAGTGGTAGGCTGCGTGGAAGCTGGTTCCCCTGCCATCTGGTCGTAGATGGGGTGGGTTTGACTGGACAGTGTTAGACGTGGCTGACATGTCTTACTGGCAATTGAGCTGACCCCTCATGTTGCGCTCCGGTAGAGGAGGCGTGTGCATCGTGAGTCGCATCTTCGGACTTCTTGTGTCCAGAACTGCGCTTGTTTAGTCGTGGTGGTTGGTCAGTCCGCGGGGAACTTACAAGACGCTCTTGATCTTCTCCATTGTGCTGGTCTGGGTGTTGTTCCGGTAGGATGAGGAGTGAGATGAGCTGAGCGGCTCGAAACAGTATCACGACTTCACTTCATAAGGTGTGCTGGATGTGTAGAAAACAAGGCAGAGATGTCGTTGTTGTGTAGCTACCTAGCTACGGTGCATGACGACATAATTGAGGCACCCGCAGGAAGCTAGACGGAGGCTTTCCAATTAGAAGACGGGCAGTAGAGGTCGACGCCAGAAGAGGCGCGACCAGTCCAATTGCAGCGCGTTTGCATGTTGTTGGCTTCGATTTGTGGGAGACTTGGAGACAGAGGAGAGCTCGTGATGTGCCCCGCCAAATGGCCTAGATGCGTGGTGGAGCGGCAGATTTGCGTGACAGTCCACCACGAACCCTATTCTCAGCATTCGAGGTGTTGGATCGTCGTGAAGCAATCCGCGTTCCTGAGGCCAGGCTATCCCAATCCACGTGCTGGATTAGCAGCGCAGTCTGGTTACATCAGCAGCACATCCGCCGCGATTAAGCCCACCGATACCCCACACCACCTGCCTCCCAGATTGCTGCATGGGCCTAAAGTAGGCGCCCATGACCAACGCAAGGCGGCTGTGGGCGATCGCATGCGGAACCTTATGGAGGTGTCAGATGGTGACAACTGTGGTGACAACTGAAGGCTCGCCGTTGTGGGGTAGCATTCAGCGAGGGCATCGTCAGTCAGGCCACTGCCCAGGTGCACGCAAAGGTGGGCTCACGTGAGGTCGAGAGCACACCTTTCCAAGGCTCGCTCCCAAGGCGTCAGGCCCCAACACAATCTCGTCCTGTGCAGCCGTCGCGCGCAACCGAGCGGCGTCCAGGGGTGCGCCGAGATGCATCGAATGGGCGCTCCAGCTTTTTATTTGGCGCGATTTTCCAGCGGGCAATGACAGGGCTGCGGCCCCCCAACGGCTCCCAGCTTACCTGCGCGAAACGAGCTCTTAGCGACGTCAAATTCTGGTCTGGGCGCCCTCGGCCAGTCTCCGCCCCCAGTCCGGCCACCAGCATCATCGCGGCCTCGCAGCGCTTCGAGCGCCTTTCTAGAAGAAGTTTCGATGCAGCATACGCCATCCCCGTCTTCTGCTGCTGACCTTCCGCTGCTCGGCGCCTGTCTAAAAAGCGAACTCCGTGCTTCCAACCATTGTTCGCGTCGAGGGCTTCCTGCAGTGGACAAGCTTTGGCGTCTCCGCGTTTTATTCTAGCTGCTTGACGTCCGCACTGTTTCAGCCGCTCACTGTCCTCTCCAGACTTCCCCAGCATTTTAACACTCGATATACCCGCCTGAGAGCCAGCGCGCGCCAGTTCCGTTTCGGAGACCCCAAACTTCCCACTTTGTGCAAGCATCGAACAGGGTACACTCGCCGCCGCACGACCCACCTTTCCCTTGCGTCCGGCCGAATCGAAGCAGCCTCACTCGACATCATATCCGCCGACTTCTCTACGCCAACACACCGTCTCCCGTCTTGACCACTACTGCTCCGTCAAGGGGATTGTCCACCTCACGTCAACTTGACCTCCTCCGTCTCTGCCATACCGCACCTCACTCGTAATCATGCCTGGACACCTACGCACCCGCTTGCGGCGGGCCCTGACCGGCCAAGCCGAAGGCGGCCCCCTCAGCAAGATCAAGGGCCACAAAGCCTCCAAAAACAACGATCCGGATGATGACTACTACAAGCCGGGCGAGAAGATGCCACCGCTCAAATACAGGCGTGCCGTAGACCCCGAGCACAAGAAGACACTCGAGGCATTCAGCTTCTCCACAGCATGGCGTCGACGCAGCCACGCCAGTCTGTACTCGCCCATGGGCAGTCGGCTACCGAGTCGCAGAAACAGCTGCAGAAGCAGGCGGAGCCGCAGCCGCAGCATGGCGAGAAGCCGCAGGTCGAGCTTCTCTACGGCGAGTGATTACGACGAAGAGGAGTGGGTGGACAGTGGCATCGGCGCAAGCATCGCCGGTGACGACAGGCCCGCCAACATTAGAGAAGCAAGCGACGATGAAGGTGATGTTCTCAATGGTGCGTATGCACTCTTCCCACCGTCATCTCTGTCTTCTAACACGCCATAGTCGGTCTCTCGCGCAATCCTACCGAGGATCCTCGCGACGCGAAGAACCGCAAGCAGTCACTTGGCCACCGCCGGTCGAGTTCTACTAAGCTAGCATCACGCCCCGGTACCAGCTCTGACCACACCCGCCGCCCATCGCAGCCTTTTACGCCCGAAGATCTCGAGATTGCATTGCAAAAATCGCATCTTGAAGCTACGACTGAGGAGTCGGATAAGAGCAGTGGAGGAACACCGTTCGACGACTTCGACGACCCAAGCCCGTTCTTGCGTCCGCGTGGTGGCTCTATCTACGTTCCATACGACGGCCAAGGCACTCCGCCGAAGCTGCCATTCTGGGGTTCTGCAAATCCCGATGCAGACCACAATCTGGACGCTCAATTTGCCCGCCGAGAATCTGTCTTCCTCCACAATGAGGGATCATATACGCCACGCTATGAGCGAAGCCAGTCTGTCTTCCACGCCGCCTCACGGTGTGGATCTGTTTTCGTGCCAACAGAAAAGTCCTGCGATTGCCCGCCTCAGGAAGACGAGCAACCGAAACGCTCCAAGCCCCAGCCATGCTGTCCCAGTGACGCCATTGCTGCCATCCTGGCGCGAAAAGACCTGTGCTAGGTCTACCTGCATCACTACCTGCATCACCTTTCATTTCGACATGTCAATATTCTAGCATTGGGTTTTGTACATATGGCATCTGCATTCCGGGCGTTCATCATCGATGTAAGAGCCCTCTGACTGGCTCCATCTCGTTTCGTCCCTGCATTCACTGGGACTGGGTTTCATTCACTTGCATTCATGGAGAGGTGTATTTTATAGACTGCATTTGCTTGTCTCTTTTCCTTCTTCGCAATCATGCCTCAGGCTATCGACCATTATTACCGTCATGTTTCCGCTAACGTCGGCATGTTAGACGCTTATTCACCCGTGTCATCACCTTGTCCCTTCATTGTTCCGACGCAGGCGCGTGATAGTAATAATCATCCAATGCATACCATCAATCGACACTACAACTGCGTGACGATTCAGTACACACCGACTTCATCGGTGATCTTACTCAGTCGGCCTACCAAGCCGCGCAACCCAGTTGCGCAACTCTTGCAGATCCAAACATGTCACTTTCCAAGGCACCCAACGGCCATCCAACACGATCGCGTCACGGTGCCGAGAACACACCGACCCGCGTGGGTTTCTGCGCTTAGCTATTCTATTCTCGTAATGTGCGCCGCTGCCGATGCTGCGGCTCTGGGCGGAGGCAGGGTGGGATACTGTATACAGACTGGTGCTAGCGGAGTAAGTGGACCCGACATCTACCGGTGGGTCGGATACGATACACGTGATGCGATTGCATTCGTCCACTGCCGGGAGTCTAAAACAATCGGCGGGCAGGGATGTGACGTCACTTTATCGGAAGTTGATGCTGCGAAGGGTAGGGACCTCGAGACGAAGGCTGGATTGTCCTGGGATCATCCTTTGCGTTCGGCATTATCCTTTGCATGCTTGGGAATAGTAGATCATCACCTTGCTCACGTCCTCGAGCAGTCGCTTGCCTTACCCCACGCCATACCCGCCAAGCGTAGATCACTATGCGGACAATTAGGGGATCGACGGGCGTGAAACGAGCATGTCCGGTAGGCAAACATGGCTATCTGAAGACTACAGTGCAATGTCTACGCGCGGGAAACAGAATCCGATGTATGCATTGGGGTACGCCGGAGGTCGGAGCTGCGTTGGCGACGGGAATAGCCAAGGACCCGTCTTCTTCTGGTATCCGACACAATTAAAAACTAGATGTAGTTCTGGACGACAGACACATGTATGAACGAGTGTATCATTTAATGTCAATTGATGGATATCAGCCTGACTGCGAGGCGCTGGAAAGAATCTCATGCCCCATCAGCATAGCCCAAAGGTACACACTCGCCTATCCAATCCCACTCAATTCATCCATATCCAGCTCCAATGCGTATGAACTCCTTTCTCCTCAACCTCCTCCACCTCCCCCCTTCCCACTCCTAATCTTCGCAATAATCCCCTCCCTCGCAACCCTCTCCTCTTCTCTCTTCCTCGCCGCCCTCCTCCTCGCCTTCTCCATCTGCACCTCTCTCGTAACCTCATCCATCTCCCTCACCGCCCGCTGCATACTCTCCGCGACGAAATGCAAGCGTCTCGATCCATTGTTCAAGCTCGTAGTCGCGAGCCGCAGAGCTTCCTGCGCCTCGTCAACGCGGGCTTTGCGCGCGGATTTTGACTTTCTGGTCTTCTGGTCTTTGGCATGTTTGCGCAGGCTGTGGCGTATTTCCTTGGTTTCGAGACGCGCCTTGCGACGTGCATGGAGGAACGCGTCTTCTTCTGAGTCACACTCGTCGGAGGAGGAGGAGTCTGAAGCTGGTTCTGATGCTAAAGCTGGATGTGTAGGTGCGCTTAGGCGTGTCTGGCAGTGCGGACAGGTGTTGCTGCGCTCGAGGTGCTTGGTCAGACAGTCGTGGTGGAAGACGTGGCCGCATAGAGTTGCCAGGGTTTTGGTCGGGTCTGTTGCGCCGCATGCTGGGTAGGAGCATGTCTTCACGGCGCGGTGGGTCTCTATGAGGGCGCCGCTGGCGAGGAGGTGAGCGAGAGTGTCGCTGGCGAGCGGCGGAGACGGTCGAAATCCTGTCGACATTGCGAAATGAGTCAAATGGATTGCATGGGGAGGGTGAGAGGACATGCGATGAGATTGCGTGTTTGACAAGCGGGCTCGAAAAAAAGACTTGTAGCAATTGCTACTTTCACCTTGCCGAGATCCTCATTGTTCACCTAGTTCGGTCTGCACGATGTGTCGTCCCCATGAGTTCCCTCTCTGCGCCGACTGTTGGATTCTAGATCCGAGCCGCAGCAGTCTTTATTTTCCCGGATGTGATATCAGCACGACCTTCGGTGCTCATCCTTCACCCTCCCTCCGCGCATCGCCAGTACACTCGCCACACTGTGGACCTCACTTAGATGTAAAGACCGTTACAATCATTGCTGGATCTTCTCCGCGTAATCTGAACCGCTAAAGTGTAATTGCCGTCATCTGTATCCCCGCTTGGAAGTGACCATTTGTCCTGGCCCACGAATTATGCCGACTATGGTACTGCCTCGGTTGCGGATCCTGTGGGCGAATCGATCATGGCACCCAGCGTTCGCCTCAGAAACTGCATGCTGACTATCTTCATGATACCTTGAACTAATGACAGTCGGTCACACAACGTTGTAGCAATCAAGGAAAGTTAAAATCAGGTAGATTCAACCAATCAGTCCACATCAACTGGTTGCTCGAATCCCAGGGTAGATCCAGCATGGCCGTGGAGAAGAGATCCGAGTTCGTCACAGTCTCATTGACCTCATTGTAGCTCATGGCTGAAAAGTCCAAAGGTTGGGGCCAGAGGTTTGCCACCTCTTGTGCATATCCGGTATTCTGGATACCAGAGTCGTGCTTTACGAGAGCATCAAGAGATCCCGTCTGTGCACGCTCCAGATCAGGAGGGTCGCTTCGCGTTGGTGCTAGGGAGTTCATGTCGGGGGCTTGTTTGACAAGTACGCGCAAAAAGCGACCATATACGACTGAGGATCCGTTCCTGTGAATTGGTGTACTGCCTATGCGTTCAAGCACTGTTGCTGTCTCCTCGATGAGGTGTCGAACGCTGGGAGCGAGGTTCTGGTTGCCACCTTTTCCAGGGACTGGTGCGCTCAAAGCTAGCGCAATTGAAGCAGCAAAGCAGATCATGGTAACCGTGTTGTTTGGCATGGAATTCAGGCGTGATTCTCCCTGGATAGCGGCACGCATGACGTTGAGGGCAGAGGATAAAGCAGACGCCCGAAAAGATCGCTTGACTTCGGGTGGGGCGGTCGGGTGGTTCAAGAGCATACTGTAGGTGGACAGGCGAGTATGTGTGACGAGAATCTCGACATATGGTGGTAGTGTCTTACTCTCGGTATTGCCAATGACTGATGTCCAGGTGTGAGACCACTGGTCGAAGAAGCTTTCAATAGCCCAATCAATTTCCTGAGCTGCTTTGGGGCCCCCATTCATAGTACGATGATTATCGCATCTCGACCTGACATTTGCAAACAGATCGTCCAAGTCTCTCCGTAGTACCGCCATGGACACCAACGGACCATCTTGAACGTACGAGCTTGCATGGTTATGCCACTCATCGCAATTTAAGATGAGCGATGTCTTCGGAATGCAGTAGCTACGACCGCGTGCTAAGCAGACACCCCTTTCTAAGACAAAGAGAGCTATCCACACGCGCTCCCTTCGTCTCAATAGTCGCATGCCCCACTCAGAGCCAGGGTCGATATCCTCGAAACCATCCATGGACAACGCACGTTTGGCATCTAGGCAGTCAGCTCTCGGAATTTGTGCCAGACGATCTGGAGACAAGAACGAAGAAGGGGTAACAATCTTGTCAAGCGACAGATCCAAGGCGATGGACAAAGAGGTAGCTAGGTATAAGCTCGTGTCATCATCGCTGGCATACGATCCTGGGGGCATCCAGGGTATGCTAACCATGAAAGCAAGAACAATCTCAACAGACTTAAACTTGCGCACAATGACTTGTTCAGCCAGAAATCTGCGATGAAGGAGAAGCCTCTTCGCCAACGCTCCAGTTTCTGGCAGAAATATCGCTGTCATAGCCAGCAGTGTGGTGAACAGAAAGGCCGAGCGACTCCGAACGAAGTGGGTAGTGTGCACTAGAGGATCAAGACCCCAGCCTATGTATATCAGTCAGTCCATGGTATTCCCTATGTATAATGGGTCTTATTGTAGTAGCAAATCTGGCAAGGGCTCGAAGACACGAGCTGCTTCAACAGAGTCAAGCGGAACAGGTACATACGGGTGTGTGCCAGATGCTTATGGAAATAGGCCAGCAGCATTTCCGCTTCTTCAAAAGTGACAAGCCCGACTTCAACTGGGTCGAGACCTGGGCCTTGATCAAGGTTCGCCTTCATTGGCAGGAAGAAGCGTTGCACATCCATGTATGGGCCGTGCTCGCTAGAGAGCCATGTACCCGGTGTTGAGATGCTTCCTCCTGGAGGCGTCAAGGGAGATGCAATGCGGAGATCTGACGCCCGAGCAAGTAGCTGAAGCGGGTTTTCGACTCCTTCGAGCTGATCGTCGCCTCCGTTTGAAGTTGGAGTAACGTCTTTTTCTGCAAGCGGTTTCACATGATTGCTGGGTGATGTTGTGGAATGGTTAGTTTGAGTATGCTTTTCTTCGCCATCTTTTTCGCCTAATAGCTTCTTCAAATGCTCAAGTGTTGTAAGATTCGTCGTATTATCAGCCTTTCTCTTCTTGATGGCCTCCTCGACTTGATATATGGCTTTCTCCAATCCAGAACGCTTGCTGTTTAAGGTCAGTCAACAATCATTGCCTCATATTGTATTAGGGAGCTGCTACTTCTTCACGCCTTTTTGTCTTCCTATATGGAATTCTGGTATAACACATTCAGTGCCGACATGTGCGCATCTCTCGCAGATGGAGGCATCTTCTTCACGGCGACATTTGATCTTGCTTTTGCGGCAGTTAAGACAAGCAGCCTGTTTGTTGCTCGTGCCTGCTTCGTTGTTGGTCATGATATCGATGTGATATAGTGCGGGATGAATGAAATCGGCATGTTAATGCGTTCACCCGGCTTCTACAAGACTTCGTAACTACGTACGAAATCACATGCGAGCTTCGGTGGCCTGTGGACAGAGACGGGATGAACGTGCTGTGTAGAGGGCATTGCAATGCTCAGGAAGTGTGGGGAGGCTTAGCGTTTGGACGCCGGAAAGCCATCCGAGGTGCTTTCAAACTGGGGCTAGCCGTGTTTGTCACTAGCTTGCGGTGGTCATACCATAGCCCGGGGAATCACACATTCTCTCAGAGCTCTTGCACTTTCTCCAGCATCAGCGACACTTGATCGGGACCTACACGCCATGCTGCGTCAAATATTCTATAGCGTCATTACACCTCGGATGGGCTACTATCGTGCTTATTCACGCGCAATTCAGCAAAGGCCCGCCATGGCCAGTCCAGAAGCTATACGCGACTGCTTCAAAGTATGACTGTGTGAGCAATTATAAGCGAAGGCATCTAGGCTACACTGCTGTCAAACGATGCGAAGTAGAGTCTATCATTAAAACGAGTACAAAGCGGATATCAAGAACAAGCACCAAACCCAAGGATCTAGCGCACGATTTAAAGCTTAGGTTCCGGCTGACTCTCCGGTTGCTTCAGGCGCACAAGTCCCTACAGAATGTTAGTTCATGTGGTATGTATACAGCTTCGAATGGATTTACCTCTTGTACGCAGCTGGCAATCAGCGTGCCATCTTTGGTGTAAATCCTTTGGAACACCAGGCCGCGACCATCGCCTGACCATGGCGTCTCCATCTCGGTGAACAACCACTCATCTGCTCGAAAGCTTCTTGGGTTGTGGAAGTAGATGGTGTGGTCCAGGCTGACCATCATTCCAATCTCGGGTGTCGGATCTCTGGACACATCTTCACCATTCCGCATGCGATGAATGCGCTGAATGTCGGCCTCATCGACGAACTTCATGCGCCTGAGCTCGGCATCGTCCATGGCCAGCAATTTCTTGAGCACATCCTCGTCGGCACTCGACTTTGAATTGCTCTTGCGCTGTGTGGAGTAGCGCCAGAGCTTGTGTGCCCGCGCAATGGTGCCGACGAAGTAGCTGTCAGACATGTATGCGATGGCAGAGAGGTGCGCTTCATGGCCTCCAGCAGAGCTGATGGTTCCCCTGGCTTTCATCCATTGACGACACTTCTTTTCGTGAGCGTGGGGCGAGTCATCTGGCTGGGTCAGCTTCACATGTTGGACGTGGTGACTTGATTCGACTTACCATTCTCGATTGGCAACCGCTGGCTTTGGAAAGGGCTCGTCCCATCCGAGCTCGACTCCAGATCATCGAGGCCGTCTTCAGGCCCCGGCACGTTCGGCATGGGGTATGCGTGCTCGACCTTCTTCTCTCCTCCGCTGTTCTGTCTCACAAAGCTCATTGTCGTAGTGAAGATGACCTTTCCGCGTTGTCGCGCCTGTACAGTCCTGGTCGCGAACGACTTGCCACTCCTGACCCTCTCGACGTGGTATATAATGGGGATCTCGGCATTTCCAGCCAGCACAAAATAGCAGTGCATGGAGTGGACGGTGAAGTCACGAGAGACGGTCTTCTGCGCCGCAGCCAAAGTCTGCGCAATAGCAGCACCTCCGAAGATGCCTCTTGCGCCCGGGGGATGCCATAGCGGGCGGGTGTTGGTGAAGAGATCGGGGTCGATGTCGTTCAGCTGTGTCAATTCTAGGACGTTCTCGATGTTCGATTGCGACTGATCAACAGGCGGAGGGCGTATGAGGGTAGCCATATTGCGCGGCAACACTCAGTGTGTCTGGGACAGTGTGTCTGGGACAGTGTGTCTGGGACAGTGTGTCTGGGGGAGAAGAGAAAAGGAGAATATCAGCTATACATGTGAATCTTCAGTTGAGTGTGAGACGCGTCGCATCAACCCGTGAGCCGAGGCATTTCCAGGTTACGGCAGCCATCTGGGGCTAACTTAACAGGTGGGATTCCCGTCGCCAAGGAGCGAGCAGACGTCTCGTGGCCAACGTCATACTGCTCCTGCTCGTACCTGAATGTGCGCGCGAATAATATATCCGGGAGCTCTTCGTTTGATTGGGGTTACACTTCACACGCGAACATCCTCACCTCCATGAGCCACGCCCACTGACTTGCGCCACGCCTTGCTACCGCCGTTTTGACATGTCTTGAGCCCCTCAGGCGCACTTTCGCTCCACTTGATCGCCGTACATCTATCTGAAGCGCATCCACCATGGCCGAGTCGAACCCAGAGCTCCAGGCGAAGCTGCAGGAGCTGGAGCACGAACTCGAGGAAGGCGACATCACTACGAAAGGGTCCGTCAATTCCGTTGCGCTCAAGCTTCCACGGTCGCGATCGCGTCGAGTGGCGCGTCCCCGCAAAGCGCTAACCAGTCACACAGCTACGAGAAGCGCAGAACAGTCCTCCTGTCGCAATATCTGGGGCCCGAGCACGCAGCGCAACTAGGCCATTTGCGCCAGGGCAGTTTGGCAGGAAGTCTGGCAGGAAGCGAAGGCTCCGGCTCTCGCGCAGCATCTCTCGCGGCTATCTCCGGGCCGCAGCAATCGCAATCGCAGCAACGGGAACTGCCCACCATCGAAATCCCCCGACCCGAATCACAGTACACGAGCAACACGCCGAGCTTGGTGGGCACATCACAGTATGCCGGATCAGGAGGCAGCACGGCGGGGTCGTCGCAGTACATGGCATACCCGCCCAGCCAGGTCGGACGCTTCCAGGAGAAGCAGCTGGGACTGCGCACAACTTCGCTGCAGCGCAATGCTTCGCAATTGTCCCAGGGCAGCGAGACATTTATCCCGCGGCCCCAAACGCCCGAATACAACTACTCGCGCGAAGGCACAATGATGGGCTCCAATTATGCTTTCAACCCAGATACTCAGCCAGGCTACGATGGAGGCTACCCGTCGCCTGGCGGAGACGTCAGCAGGAGAAGCACGATGCTGGACGTGAACCAGGGCTACTTCTCCGACTTCACTGGGCAGCAGATGCAGGACCACCGCGATTCGTACGGCGGCCCGAATCGATACTCGTCTGGAGACGCCTTTTCCCCGACCGCAGCGATGCCTCCGCCCATGATGAACCCCAACGATTTGCCAGGCGCGGGCGTAGTTGACACCATGCTCCCGCTGGAGCCACGAGACCTGCCATTCGATGTGTACGACCCGCACAACCCAAACATCAAGATGTCCAAGTTTGACAACATTGGCGCCGTGTTGCGACATCGAGGGCGGACGCAAGCGCGGCAAACCGCATTTTGGGTGCTGGATCCAAAAGGCAAGGAAGTGGCTTCAATAACATGGGAGAAGGTTGCAAGCCGTGCGGAGAAGGTGGCCAAAGTCATCAGAGACAAGAGCAACCTCTACCGTGGCGATCGTGTAGCTTTGGTGTACAGGGATACTGAAGTCATTGAATTCGTGGTAGCGCTGATGGGCTGCTTCATCGCGGGCGTTGTCGCGGTACCCATCAATAGCGTCGACGATTACCAGAAACTCATTCTCCTCCTGACTACCACCCAGGCACATCTTGCTCTGACGACGGATAACAATCTCAAGTCCTTCCATCGTGACATTAGCCAGAACCGCCTGAAGTGGCCAAGCGGAGTCGAGTGGTGGAAGACGAACGAGTTCGGCAGCTACCACCCAAAGAAGCATGACGATACTCCTGCGTTACAGGTTCCTGAGGTGGCTTACATTGAGTTCTCACGGGCGCCCACAGGTGATTTGAGAGGTGTAGTCCTCAGCCATCGTACCATCATGCACCAAATGGCATGTATCAGCGCCATGGTCACCACAATTCCCACGGGACGCGAGAACACAGACACGTTTGGTGCGCATCTTCGCGACCAGAACGGCAAGTTCATTGCACCGCCGCCTCGAAGCTCACCAACCGAGAACATTCTCAGCTACCTCGATCCTCGTGAAAGCGCAGGCATGATTCTAGGCGTATTGTTTGCCGTCTATGGCGGCCACACTACGGTATGGACGGAGCCGTCCACAATGGAGACGCCTGGTCTCTACGCACATCTCATTACGAAATACAAAGCGAATGTCCTGGTGGCAGATTACCCAGGCCTTAAGCGCGCTGCATACAACTACCAGCAAGACCCTATGGCTACGAGAAACTTCAAGAAGAACTCTGAACCAAACTTCAGCGCAATCAAGATTTGTCTAATTGACACACTCACGGTAGACTGCGACTTCCATGAGATCCTTGGAGACCGGTGGTTCAGACCTATGCGGAACCCGAGGGCGCGTGAACTCATTGCGCCTATGCTGTGCTTACCTGAGCATGGCGGCATGATCATTTCCGTGCGTGATTGGCTGGGTGGCGAGGAGCGCATGGGATGCCCTCTGAGCATAGCTGAAGACGAGGAAGATGACGAAGAGCCCACTGAGGAAGCCACACCTACCAATGGCTACTCGAGTCTCATTGGTGGTGGTACTCAAAAGAAGGCAACCAAGGAGAAGAAAGGTCGCACTGAGCTGACCGAGATCCTGCTTGACAAAGAAGCGCTGAAGATGAATGACATTGTGGTTCTAGCGATAGGCGAGGAAGCCAGCAAACGTGCGAACGAACCTGGGACAATGAGAGTCGGTGCCTTTGGTTATCCCATACCAGATGCCACGTTGTGTGTTGTTGACCCAGAGACCAGTTTGCTCTGTTCACCATACTCTGTGGGTGAGATCTGGGTAGACTCGCCCTCGCTATCCGGTGGTTTCTGGCAGTTGCAGAAGCACACTGAAACCATTTTCCACGCCCGGCCATATCGCTTTGTCGAAGGTAGTCCGACGCCACAGCTGCTCGAGCTCGAATTCCTGCGCACGGGACTTCTCGGTTGCGTCGTAGAAGGCAAAATCTTTGTGCTAGGTCTGTACGAAGATCGTATCCGACAGCGCGTAGAGTGGGTGGAGCACGGGCTAGAGACCGAGCACCGCTACTTTTTCGTCCAGCATCTTGTCTCCAGCATCATGAAGGCGGTGCCGAAGATCTATGATTGCTCAGCGTTCGACTCTTATGTCAACGGAGAATACTTGCCAATCATCCTTATTGAGACTCAAGCTGCTTCAACAGCTCCTACGAACCCCGGCGGTCCTCCGCAACAGCTCGACATTCCGTTCCTCGACTCATTGTCGGAGCGATGTATGGAGGTGCTCTACCAAGAGCACCACCTACGGGTGTACTGCGTAATGATTACAGCTCCTAACACGCTGCCTCGAGTCATCAAGAACGGTAGGCGCGAAATTGGTAACATGCTTTGCAGGAGAGAGTTCGACAATGGCTCTCTACCTTGCGTTCACGTCAAGTTTGGTGTCGAGCGATCTGTACAAAATATTGCCCTGGGTGACGACCCCGCAGGTGGCATGTGGTCGTTCGAAGCATCCATGGCCCGCCAGCAGTATTTGATGCTTCAGGACAAGCAGTACTCTGGTGTCGATCACAGAGAGGTCGTCATCGATGACCGCACATCCACGCCGCTCAACCAATTTTCCAACATCCATGATCTGATGCAATGGCGTGTGTCTCGCCAAGCCGAAGAGCTTGCCTACTGCACAGTCGATGGCAGGGGCAAAGAGGGCAAGGGTGTCAATTGGAAGAAGTTTGACCAGAACAGTTGCGGGTGTAGCTGTATACCTGAGGAACAAGGTAAAGGTACAGGCGGGCGACCATCTGCTGCTCATGTACACACACTCGGAGGAGTTTGTGTATGCGATTCATGCCTGTATGATTATGGGCGCAGTCGCGATCCCCATGGCTCCCATCGACCAGAACAGGTTGAACGAAGATGCGCCCGCCTTACTCCACATCCTTGCTGACTTCAAAGTCAAGGCGATACTGGTCAACGCCGATGTAGACCATCTGCTTAAGCTCAAGCAGGTATCGCAGCACATCAAGCAATCCGCGGTCATTCTCAAGATCAATGTACCACACACATATAACACGACAAAGCCACCGAAACAATCGGCTGGCTGTCGTGATCTCAAGCTGACCATCCGACCCGCGTGGGTTCAGTCTGGCTACCCAGTTATAGTTTGGACATATTGGACACCAGACCAGCGCCGGATTGCGGTACAGCTAGGACACAGCCAGCTCATGGCACTGTGTAAAGTTCAAAAAGAGACGTGCCAGATGACCAGCACAAGACCGGTCCTTGGATGTGTGAGGAGCACAATTGGACTGGGCTTCATCCATACCTGCGTGATGGGCATCTTCCTTGCAGCGCCGACATACCTCGTGTCACCCGTGGACTTTGCCGGGAATCCCAACATCCTCTTCCAGACATTGTCGAGATACAAGATCAAGGATGCGTATGCTACAAGTCAAATGTTAGATCATGCCATGGCGCGTGGCGCTGGCAAGACGATGAGTCTGCATGAACTCAAGAACTTGATGATTGCGACAGATGGCCGCCCGCGCGTCGACGTCTGTAAGTGTTTTAACGTGTCAGCCATGAGTGGTTACTAATAACTTGCTAGACTCTCGAGTACGCGTGCATTTCTCACAGGCACAACTTGACAAAACAGCGATCAATACTGTATACTCCCATGTGCTCAATCCGATGGTCGCCTCGCGGTCATACATGTGTATAGAGCCTATAGAGCTCCATCTTGACGTCAACGCATTACGGCGAGGCCTCATCATGCCTGTTGACCCTGACACGGAACCAAACGCATTGTTCGTCCAAGACTCTGGCATGGTACCTGTCAGCACACAAATCTCGATTGTCAACCCAGAAACGAATCATCTTTGTTTGGTGGGCGAGTACGGTGAGATCTGGGTCCAGTCTGAAGCAAATGCACACAGCTTCTACGGGTCAAAAGACCGGCTGGACGCTGAGCGCTTCAACGGCAGGACTGTTGATGGCGATCCAAACGTGCGGTATGTCCGCACGGGCGACTTGGGCTTCTTGCACAATGTGACACGACCGATTGGCCCCAACGGCGCGCCTGTAGATATGCAAGTACTGTTCGTGCTAGGAAGCATTGGAGACACCTTCGAAGTAAATGGCCTGAACCACTTCTCCATGGACATTGAACAGTCTGTGGAGCGTTGTCACCGGAACATAGTGCCAGGAGGCTGGTACGTCATCTACCCTCATGCTGGTTTGACCTTTTGCTAACTACATTCACAGCGCCGTGTTCCAAGCCGGCGGCCTTGTCGTTGTCGTGGTCGAGATTTTCCGCCGCAACTTCCTTGCTTCCATGGTCCCTGTCATCGTCAACGCCATCCTCAACGAGCACCAACTCGTTATTGACATCGTCGCCTTCGTCATCAAGGGTGACTTCCACCGCTCCCGCCTAGGCGAGAAACAACGCGGCAAGATTCTTGCAGGGTGGGTTACACGCAAGATGCGCACGATTGCTCAATACAGTATCCGCGACCCCAACGGGCCTGAAAACCAAATGATGATATCCGAAGAGCCCAGACCATCGATGTCGATGAGCATGGGCGGTATGCGAGCCGGAAGTACCAAAGGCAGCATGCGAGCTGGCAGCATACTAGGTCTCGGAGCACAACTGAACAGCATGCAACTCTCCCAGCAACAAAATACAGCCATCGGCCACGAACTTCCCGGCCAAGCAGCACCTGGCAACTTCTCGCAACAGCAACCTCCTCAGCAAGACTATTACTCACAATCGAGCATACCCGAATTGCGCGACGATAAAACGCCCACCGAGGCACGACACAGTTTCCTACACCAAAGTAACGCAGTGAACCAGCAGAGCGGTCCAATGGATTACAGCCCCATAGACCGCGCCGGTCCCTATGCCCAGCACCACGATGCAGGCCCAGGAGAAGGCAACTATCAACAGCAAAGCTACGGCAACGCCCAAGCCCCCTTACCCGACATCCTCCGTCCCGGGCCCGAACCCACGCCGTTCTACAGCGACTCGCAGCCGTACGACTACAGCCCCGAATACGAGCAGCAGGGCGGCCAGCGCTGGAGTTTCGACGACGACGAACGGCCAGCTGGAGGGTTGCGCGTCGCGAATTTCGGCGACGACGATAGGGATGATGGCAGGTCTGGCAGTGGGAGTGGGGGCGGAGGCTTACGGGTTGCGAATTTCGATCAGGAGGAGGAGGGGGGACAGACGGGAGGGTTGAGGGTGGCGAACCGGGGGAGTGTAAGCAGCGAGATTAGTGAGAAGAGTTGGACACGAGATGCGCTTGCGGGGCTGAATTTCGTCGGGGGCAGTGGGAAGTGAAGCTAGAAAGGGAGAGTGTTTTTTTTTTTGGATGACGAGATGAGGGTTGGGTAGACAACGTGGAGATATGCGGATATGAACGCCATGCCTTATGATTCTCACTACCCTGCCTCGAGATTGTGATGATGTGCTGTGCTGTGCAGTGCAGTGAAATGCCCCCGTACGCAATGTCCGTTGAAGCGCATGGCACACCAGGGACAACGCTGTTGCACTTCGGTCATCGATGCTCCCATCGCCTGACAATGGTTCTCACATCGAAAGCAGCATAGCATGGCATGGCAAGGATAAGGTGACTGACGTTTGTTTCACCACGCCTCTGGTGTTTGGGCCATGAAATTATACGCGCGCTAGCGAGATGACTACAACAAAGTCAAGCTTTTCTGATAGATGGACAAGTGGATATGACGGAAGTATTGATGTGTTTTAGCCCTGACGTCGCGGGCCAGTTGGAACGAACGCATCCGTTTTGGGCCATGTGAGACCGACTAGTTTCGTCATTTACATGTAGTTCATCACAGTCATGCTACGGGTATTTCCTCAAATCAACGCGCGGGTCGTCTGACACAGGAAAGAAGAAAGTTGACATGTGGGTTTCATGCATGCAAGTGGAGCCATGAAGCAGGCGAGCGTCACGCTCAACGACAATTTTCGGTGCCGCGCAGGATTCAATAGAAAATATGAAGCAGTAGAGCGTTACGCCGCAACATCGAAGGAAGCGGAGCGCGCACGCTAGCGAGCGGAACGCGGTGGAATTTTACTCCAGGATGTGATGACAGGATGACGGGTGGTAGTCGAGAAACACGCTCCAAGACTGGAAAATGGGGTCGAGATTTGCCCGTGATTCGGCCATGTCGAGGAAAAGTCTGGACTTTGAAACAATAATTACTTGGCCCAAGAACCCTCATTACCACAATCCTACACAAGAGTCTTCGAGAACACATCACGACCGTGCTTCATGAATTGTGTTCCACCCGTGTTTGCCAAGCAATTGCCTACGGGCGGAAGAAATTTGTAGAAGTGGTTTTGCATAGTGAAGATTCCCGCAACTGGGTTGGGATGGTTTCATAATATAGTGTTCGCACGGAGCTGTGGGGTGACAGGTGTTTTCCCGCTGATTGGGCGTCTTGCCATGAGTCGGAGCTCCGAGTTGGTGTAGGTGTGTTTCTATTTGGTTAGGACTCGTGGTTGTGATGAAGCTGTCGTGAGGTTTCGAGGTGTGGTTGCAGATCTAGTTGAGGTGTGCGAGGTGTGCATTGCACTCTACTTGGCGAGCACTAGGTAACAGAGAACTGCAGTGAGAGCAACACAGCTCGCTACGTTGGTGTAAGCAAGTAGTTCCCGCAGTTCCGCCTTGACAACTTCACCAAGCTTGGTGGTTTGATTGTTTCTGTGCCTGAAAGTCTTGGGTGTTCGTTCCGGGTGTCCCTCGCGTGGCGCAGTCGTGAGCCAATGCATCGCAATCCACTCATGACCGATGCATGAATTTGGGTGGCGGTCGCACCAAGGGTACCCCAGCAGCCGATTCAGCCGATAACGAGATATCGCAGACGCTCTATAGGCGGCAAAACAATTGTGTGGATTCAGGCCTGCGCGATGGATGCAGGCACACTGATGCATGCAGCATGCGATAAGATGGCGAGATTGGACAGGACACGGGATGGCGCGCGCTGGGTAGACTTGGCCGATGCTCACGTCAGACCAGGGCGCAGGATCTGTGAAAGCGGAGGAATTGCGAGGTGATCCCCAGCCGACGAGGGAGCAGCTCGCTTGCAGGCCTGCTTTGGGGTGGCAGGCGCCGAAGTTCTGGAACACTTTTAACACTTTTGCGGTTGAGCCGCCAGTGGACGAGGCTGTCCCTGCTCTCGTGTCCGCTGGGCTCATCTATTTTGGCAATCTACCTCAGGTGACCGTGGCGCGCCGGGAAGTGAGCATTATGCTTGGAGCTGGCGATGCGGGTGCGATAGAGTTGCGATGAAGTCATTGTTTGGAAGCAAGGCGCCGCTACTACACCCAGGTGCGACTCTGCGACTGCTGAGGACGGCCAGCCCTCGTGTCTTCGGAGCTGAGCTCCATGGACGTCGAATCGACGGCAGCTGGGGGCGACGGTACTCGGCAGCACCGCCACCAGCTGCAGAGAATGCCCAGGGCCGGCCATGCCGTTGGCCACGGAAAGACGGTGAGGGGCGGGTGGGTTTCATGGCGCTCAGGCACGCCAACCTGAGTGGCTCCAGCACAACGCGACTAAGATGCGGTTTTGAAACGGACTCCCGGCAGCACGGCCAATGGCTGGCCGATGAGCCCTGCCGTGCCCAGGAACAGGCCGCCCGCATCGCGAGCTGCCATCCATTAGATACCTCGTCGCCCCTCTGACCTCACGTTCTCGTCGCGACCCGTGTGTTCGACGCTACCTAGCCCACCTTCGTTTCTAACTTTCTATCCAGTTGTTGTTCCCTCGTTAAGACAACACTGGACCTACATTCGCTTCTCTTCTTGTGCTCCGCGGACCTAGTTGACCTGTTGCCTGCCCCCCGACTCACTCATTGCCAACACGACCCCTGGACCCTGGGTGAAGATCTCTATTGACTGCCGCCCTCACCAACTCGCCCTCACCAACTCCCTCATTGTCGCTATCGATACCGCGCTGCCACCTCGCTCTCGACCCGCCGCCTCCCCTCTTCGACTCCGTCTTCCCGCCCACCTTGGACGTGCAGCGCATCGTCATCTCCTGGACCCGGACCACCTCTCAACCGCACAATAGCATTGTTCCCGCGAGACATTGTGATGCATTCTAGCTGACAACGACCTGCCGTTTATCCCACATTGTCAAGATCCATCGCCGACTACGCAGTCGCCCAGTGGGATAAATAATACCTGGACCCTTCACGTGTTTCTTCCGGTCTTCGAACCTTTCACACTTTTAAACTCGCACCAGGTTGTGCATCTTCACTGTCGTCATTCACAGCCGATCGCAATAATCGCACCGCGCCGCAACCGCATTCTTGCTCGAGCTTAGCCTCTCTGTGCTACAACTACTACCCGCCCCCTTCATCTTCCAAGACGCGCAGATGTCTTCCCACCTCCACCCCCGGAGGGTGGAGCAACCCGCTCCCGTCTCCAACGAACTCGATCCTCGCGGTGTCCACTTCTTGAGCGACTGGGATGTCTCCGACTTCGACAGCCTCAAGTACTCGTACGGCCTTACCGGTGTCGACCAAGATGGCAACTTCCTCTGGGTCGATGTCTTCCTGTACATGCTTCTCGCTCTCGCAGTGCTCCTCCTCGGCCTACGGATAGCTAACATGTTCTGGCGGCACCAGCGCCATCTCTCCGTCATGGCCAACCCTCACAATCAAAACTACTGGTCATCCAACAAGACTTCCTGGTGGCCATGGCTGAACCGCCACGTGCTCGCGGCGCCTCTGTGGAAGAAGCGCCACAACGCCGCATTCCAGATCTCGAGTGCAATCGACAATGGAACCCTACCCGGCCGGTGGCACACAATCATGCTCTCCGTCTACTGCGGGCTCAACATCGCTTGGTGTGTAGCTCTTCCATACGGCCAGCTGGATCACAGAGCAACTGTGGCCGCGCTCCGTGGCCGTACTGGAACCCTCGCTGCTCTCAACCTCATCCCTACCGTCCTCTTTGCGCTCCGAAACAACCCCCTCATCACCCTCCTCCAGGTCTCGTACGACGACTTCAACCTCTTCCATCGTTGGGCCGCACGCATCACCATTGCCGAGGCCGTTGCGCACACTGTCGCATGGTTGTACAACACCGTCGACGTAGCAGGTTGGAAAGCTGTTGGCGATGGTCTTCGCACCGAAGGCTCCTACGGCTGGGGAATGGTTGGCACTGCTGCCTTCTTCTTCATTGGTGTCCAAGCTTGGTCGCCGTTCCGCCACGCATTCTACGAAACCTTCCTCAACATCCACCGCACCATGGTCATCGTTGCGCTCATTGGTCTGTACAAGCATCTCGAGATGCACCATCTCCCCCAGGTGCCATGGGTCCAGCTCGTCATGATCTTCTGGGCTGCCGAGTGGTTGTTCCGCGGCCTCTCTATACTGTACTTCGGCTTCAGCTTCAAGAAGATGTCTTCCATCAAAGTCGAAGCCATGCCTGGTGAGGCCGTCCGTCTGACCATCGATCTGGTCCGCGATTGGCACCCTCGCCCCGGTTGCCACGTGCACATGTGGATGCCACGCATGTCATTGTGGTCCTCTCATCCCTTCTCCGTCGCATGGGCCAGTACACTCTCTCCCGACTCCAAGGAAATGACCCTGCCGATCCTCGAAGGCGACGCTCTCATGGCTCCTGGTGCTCCTCAAAAGTCCCGTCAAATCAGCCTCATCTGCCGTGCGCGAACAGGTATGACACGGCACATGTACGAGCGCGCATGTAAGATGCCCAACGAGCAATTCACCGCTTGGGGCTTCATCGAGGGCCCCTACGGCGGCCACCACAGCCTCGATTCGTACGGTACTGTCGTGCTTTTCGCTGGCGGTGTTGGCATCACGCACCAAGTCATGTACCTCAAGCACCTTGTCGGCGGCTACTCAAACCGCACGACCGCCACACAAAAGGTTGTCCTCATCTGGACCGTCCCCGACTCCGACTGCCTAGAATGGGTACGTCCGTGGATGGACGAGATCCTGCGCATGCCCCAACGCAAGCACGTCCTTCGCATTAAGCTCTTCATCTCCAGGCCCAAGGGTCGTGTTGAAAGTTCCAGCGAAACCGTCAAGATGTTTGCGGGCCGTGCGAAGGCCGATGCGCTGATCGAAGAAGAAGTCAGACATCGACAAGGCGCCATGGCGGTGACGGTTTGCGGATCCGGTGGTTTCGCAGACGATGTTAGAAAGGCGGTCAGGCCGTGGTTAACGGAAGGATGCATAGATTTCATCGAGGAGGCGTTTACGTATTAACGCTTCTGACATCCTAGAACCACGCCGCCGGCTTCGCATTGTATATACCACCACGCCACACCGCGCCGTATTCGTACCAACAATCTTGGCATTCACATCACATCTCTTTGTTCCCCTTCTTTGTACATACCGCATTTTTAATCCTTATCTTTTGTCCATCATGTCTCTCTTTGAACTTACGCATGAGCGAAGCATGAAAGCGTCGGCGTTCTTTGAGTTTGTCGTATATATACAAATCTGTATAGTGTGTGAATAGCATAGTCGAGGCCAAAAGTCCAATCATCATCAACCAATTCTGTGCATCATAATTTGCGAGTGGAGAGGTGCATTTGTATCTTCAAAGATTTCTAGAGAATAAGGCAGAGTATCTTGTAGCTGTGTATGGACCTAGGCTCCTTAGCAACACTTGATGCCCAGCTCGAATACAGCAGTTTTCGGCAACCAATGAGTGGTAACCTCGCCAAGATTTCTCGGTGCATGTTATATCTCCGGCTCAGGATGCCGTCACGTTCCCCACACCTTTCGCAACCCATGTTCGGCTTGGTTTGAATGACGACCACGGCTTGACGGCTTGGACGCCGGCTCTCTGTCATGAATAATATCTCCGTTGACACCCGGTGTCGGCAATTGAATCCATTAAAGTCAAGCAGGCGCACGATTTGAACACCTTGGTGTTGTGCTGAGCTCCTGACATCCTCAAATACATCATCATGGATGCGCTCCCCTCGTCATGTCGGCTCATTGTCGCCCTCCCCGCACGCATAGCCTCGCGACAACACCTACCCGCACAATTACGAGCAGCACGCGCCCCAGCACCAGCATGGCGCTTTGCACACCAACGGCGGGGCATAAGCGCCGTGTCGCAACGCGCGCCCGTGATCGATCGCTCAAAGTCGAAGCGCTTCAAAGACGCCGATGAAGCCGTCGCAGACATACAACCCGGCTCCACCGTCCTCAGCGCAGGCTTTGGGCTATGCGGTGTCGCAGATACGCTCATTCAGGCGATACAGAAGCGGGGTTCGCAGTCACTCCACAGTCTGACGGCGGTGTCGAATAACGCTGGTATCGAGGATGTTGGAGGTCTGGCGCTTCTTACGAAAAGCGGACAGGTCAAGAAGCTTATCATCAGCTTCTTGGGCAACAACAAGGCGCTGGAGAAGCAGTACCTCAGTGGTGGCATTGAGATTGAGTTATGTCCACAGGGTACGCTGGCTGAGAGGATAAGAGCTGGCGGTGCAGGTATCCCAGCTTTCTACACACCCACGGCTGTCAATACCTTGTTGCAAGATGGCAAGATACCAGCCAAATTCGATAAAGAGGGCAATGCGATTGGGTTCGGACAGAAGAGGGAGGTCCGCGAATTCAATGGCAAGGAGTTCCTCATGGAGACTGCTTTGACTGGCGATGTTGCGATCATCCGCGCACACAAGGCTGATGAAGCTGGTAACTGCGTTTTCAGGTAAGAAGATACTATCTTCAATAGAACTGAAAAACTAACATAAAGACAGATACACCACCAAAGCCTTCGGTCCCATCATGGCCAAAGCCGCACGCCTCACCATCGTCGAAGCCGAAGAAATCGTCCCCATCGGCGCCCTCAACGCAAACGACATCGACCTCCCCGGCATCTTCGTCGACCGCATCGTCCCCTCCACCGCCCCCAAGAACATCGAGATCAAGAAACTCCGCGACCCCTCATCATCAGCCAAATCATCGTCCGCAGGCAAACCCAGCGGCCGCGAACGCATCGCCCGCCGCGCCGCCAAAGAGCTTAAACACGGCTACTACGTCAACCTCGGCGTCGGCATACCCACCGAGGCAGCATCCTTCGTCCCCGACGGCGTCAAGGTCTGGTTGCAAAGCGAGAACGGCATCCTAGGCATGGGCCCGCACCCGACTGAGGAAGAAATCGACCCGGACATTATCAACGCAGGGAAGCAAACCGTCACCCTCCTCCCCGGGGCCTCCACCTTCGACTCCGCTGAGTCCTTCGGCATGATCCGCGGCGGCCACGTCGACGTCAGCATCCTCGGCGCCCTGCAAGTCGCTGCCAACGGCGACTTGGCTAATTACATGGTCCCCGGCAAGGTGTTCAAGGGCATGGGCGGCGCGATGGATCTAGTGTCGAATCCCGAGGCGACGAAGGTCGTGGTGGCGACGGAACATGTCGCAAAGGATGGGAGCAGTAAGATTGTGCAGGAATGCGGGTTGCCGCTGACGGGGGCAAGGTGTGTAAGCACAATTATTACGGATTTGTGTGTGTTTGAGGTGGATAGGAAGAGGGGCACGTTGACGCTGACGGAGACGGCGCCGGGGGTGAGTGTGGACGAGATAAGGGAGAAGACGGATGCGCAGTTTGAGGTTGCGGGGGATGTCAAGGAGATGGATTAGGTGTTTGCAGAATCAGAGCGTTCAGTTATTACATGGGCATGGGATGGTTCAGATCAAATTCATATCAATATGAGGTTACGCCTTAGGACTCTTCCAGGAAACATGTGTAGACGTGAAGTAGGCTTGTTGACCAACAACGTGTTGCTAGTCATTGTATGGAGAATTCAGGCACAAAGTTGACGACTTTGAGTAATCAGAATATGTACCGGAAGCTAGGTAACATGAGCTATTTATCTCAGGAGCCGTTCATTAAGTGCTGCTCGTTCGACTGTGTCTTACTAGCACCGCGAGAAACGCTTCAAACCTTGTGGAGGCGCGAGTATATTTCCCCAAGGCTGTCTACATTCGGGTACTGTTTGAATCGTATGCGATGTTTTGTATCGAATGTTTGCTTGAACATCTCTCTGGGAACGTACGCAGACGAGATTGTATAGAGTGGTCTTCAAGACTCGTTACCAGTCATTATTTGGACGCAGAGTGAGAAAAGCTTCGGAATCAGTCGAGGCATAGTGGACTTTTCCCAGAAGGTTGCTTGCATCCGCAATTTGTGCACAAGTCTTGACGCAGTCTTCACGTCGCAACGCGTGGTCGCTTTTGTCTCATTCTTATCTTTATAGTAACGGTACGGTCAAAAGTAGCAATGTCCAACGTTGCACACCCAGCCATCGCATAACCGGATCAACAAAAAGTTGCCTTCACAGTCCTCAAGACGCCGAGAAACTAAGCCGCCGCCGCGGAAGCTTGGTTGCGACGCTTATTCACCTTCCACATGCAACTCCCCCATAACCACCCCCAATCCCCACCAGCTCAACTCCGTTAAGATAAGCTCAACCAAACGTGCAGCCAAAGCGGATATCCTCGGCCTCAATTAAACCCCCGTCACGATTCAATCATCATGTTGGCTGTCAGCGCCACGTCGATCGCGCCGCCGCCGAACCCAAGCTTTGCCTAGACCGGGTCAAGCTCCTGTCATCCCCGCCCAATCACACGGTTTACCCCGTGGGGTCACGGCAGGTTCGGGTGCGCCAACGTTGGGATAAAAGCTTCCGTGCCCGTGGATTGCTGATCTGAGCTGTCTGCTCTTTTGTGTTTGTGTTTCCGATTCGTGTGCAACCTGCTGTTACGAATATGAATGAAGACAAGATGCACGATGAAATGATTGAGAATGGCAAAGGGAGCGGGGGCATTGAGGCGGGGTTGGGCGAGGAGGATGGGAAGATGATGAGGACGGCGGTGTTGAAGATGGATTGTCGGTATGTTTCATTCGCGTTGCTGTTCTGTCGAAAGTTTCTGTGGCTGATATGGTGTAGCATCCTTCCTATCCTCGCGTTGTTATTCCTCTGCTCTTTCATCGATCGCACAAATGTCGGGAATGCGAAAATTTTGGGGCTCGAGAAAGACATTCACATCAATGATCATCAGTATGCGATTGGTCTGTGTGTCTTTTATGCGACGTACATAGCAAGGTCAGAATTGATTCCTGGCTTTGAGATGTATACGGACTGACAGGGCTCTAGTGAACTGCCGTCGAACTTGGTATTGAAGAAGTTGTCGCCCAAGATCTGGTTGCCTCTTCTTACAGCTGTCTGGGGTGTCCTCACCATGTGTCTTGGCTTCGTACGCAGCTTTGCCTCATTTGTGACTGTTCGAGCACTACTTGGTGTTGCTGAGGGAGGTCTGCTACCTGGCATGGTAAGTCGCTTCGCATACTACATAAGCTCATGCTAACCCGATGTCAGGTTTTATACCTCTCTCACTTTTACCGCCGTGACGAGCTCGCTCTACGCATCGGAATCTTTTACACAGCAGCATCGCTGTCAGGAGCTTTCGGAGGTCTACTCGCCCGCGCTCTGAACGCCATCGGACCAGCCGGAGGGCTCGAAGGATGGAGATGGATTTTCATCGTTGAGGGACTTATCACTGTCTTCGTCGGCATCTGCTCTGCTCTTTTCTTACCCAACTCCATTGAAGCTGCCGGCTTCCTGACTTCTGTGGAAAAAGACCTTGCGCGACACCGCCTTGATCAGCAAAACTCTGCACATGAGCCCTTCTCATGGGCAGAAGTTAAGCGTGGTGTTTTCAACGTCCAAGTCTGGCTCACTGCTCTGGCCTACTTTGCCATCCTCAGCGGCCTCTACTCTTTCGGCCTGTTCTTGCCTACCATCATCAACAATGGTTTCGCGAAGGATCCAAACCAGGCTCAGCTCTGGTCCGTCATCCCATACGCGGTCGCGGCAGTCTTCACTGTTATTACGGCCTTCATGTCTGATCGTCTTGCCCTCCGCGGTCCCGTCATGTTATGCACGCTTCCGATTGCCATCATCGGGTATGGCGTCATCAGTCAAACCACGAACCCGAAGGTCCAATACGGCATGACCTTCCTCATGGCAACGGGAATGTACGCCTCCGTACCCTGTATTCTCTCCTGGAACAGCAATAACAGCGCGGGACACTACAAGCGCGCCACGACAACTGCGCTGCAGCTTGCGATTGCGAATGCAGGTGGCTTTGTCGCGAGTTTCGTGTACAAGAAGAAGGAAGCGCCGCAGTTCCATAAGAGTCACAGTATCATACTCGGACTGCTCTGTGCGGCTTGGCTGTTGATCGCTGCGAATGTGCTCTGGGTTGCGAAGGTGAATCGCGACAAGAGGAGTGGGAAACACAGTGAGCATGAAGGCAGGGGCGATGATAGGGATCCGACCTTCATTATGGTCATGTAAATGCTTAGGTCACACAAATTTGAAGGGCATCTTGTTATCTCCTGATCTTGCTTGCACATCACATTGAGACTCAAGAAACCAATGGCCTCACTATATTCTGTGCAAACTTGCGAAATAATGAGATACTATCTAATAAGCTCGACGCTACCTTGTATTTCAATAGCTTACGAGACTGTAGCATATTCTTAGAGAGACCGTGATAATAAACAGCCTTAGCTATGGCTACGCCATACCATTCACTATAGTGCGCGAGAACAGGCACGAATTGCTGCGTCCACTAGTGCATCCAGAGCATTAAAGTGACGTCGCAACCCGATCGTAAGTAAGCTCTCGAACAGGTTTAGCGCAAGGCTATACGCGTGAAGACTTCCCCATCCGTCCCGAGGTCGATGCTTCCCCAGCATTTGTAAGCTGCAAGCCTGGTATACAACTTCATGAAAGATATAAACACAACTATATTTGTCGCATCTGTAAAATAAATCTCTACAACAATTGTCTATCCTAAAAGCTTGCTACCCGCCAGCAATTGCAACAATGACGTCAACGAAGCCTTTCGGAAGTGTGCCATCGGGTGCAAAGCAACAGCCGACGCCGTTCGAGCTTCACATCAAAGAACAGAAGCTACAGGATCTCAAGACGCTGTTGAGGCTTAGTCCAGTTGCGAAAGAGACATACGAGAACCTGCAGGATGATGGGAGCCATGGCAGATTTGGGGTGAGCCGGAAGTGGGTCGTTGATGCGAAGAAGTATTGGGAAGAAGAGTATGACTGGTAAGTCTACAACTCAACGTCGGTATGAAAAATGCTAATAGTTCTCTAGGCGCATGACTGAAGCCAGCATCAATACCTTCCCTGCCTTCAAGACGAAGGTTACCGATGATGATGGCGGCGAGTTTGACATCCACTTCACCGCGCTCTTCTCCCAAAACCCCAAGGCGATTCCCATCGCCTTCTTCCACGGCTGGCCCGGTTCCTTCCTGGAATTCCTGCCTCTGATGAGCCTTCTGCGCGAGAAGTACACACCGGAGACACTTCCCTACCACATCATTGTGCCCTCCCTTCCCGGCTTTACCCTATCCTCTGATCCTCCACTCAACCGGGACTGGAAGGTCGGCGACACAGCCCGTATCATGCACAAATTACTCCTCACGCTCGGGTTCGGCTCAACCGGCTACCTCGTGCAGGGCGGCGACATCGGAAGCTTCGTGTCGCGCGTTATCGCAGCCACATACCCCGAGTGCAAAGGAATGCATCTCAATTTCATGCTCATGACAGGTATCACAGACAAGGCATCTCCGGACGACGAGATCACTGCGCAGGAAAAAGAGGGCCAAAAGCGCTTTCAACAGTTCTTTTCAAAGGGGCATGCATATGCGCAGATGCATGGTACGAAGCCTTCGACTACAGGCCTCGTGCTTGCCAGCTCTCCGGTCGCGCAGTTGGCGTGGATCGGCGAAAAGTTCCTGGCGTGGTGTGATCCGTCTACCACCGTGTCTTTGCACACAATCATTAGCGATATCACGTTGTATTGGCTCACGGGGTGCTTTCCTACGTCGATATACACCTACCGCGAGGCGAAAGAGCTGATGTTCGTAGACAAGCCGGTAGGATATTCGTACTTCCCGTACGAATTGGCGCCTGTGCCAAGGGCCTGGGCTGAGAAAACGGGGAATATGGTGTTCTTCAAGAATCATGACATGGGCGGACATTTTGCGGCGTTGGAGAGGACGGAGGCGCTGTGGGAGGATGTCGAGGAGTTTGCGAAGATTGCTTGGAAGTGAGAATGCGTGGATGTTTGCACAATGCGCAGCTTAGATCAGATAGCATCCGCGACTGCAACTTAATTCATTATCTCAAAGGCCTTTTGAGTATTGTCTTATTCTCTTCCCACACTGCCTTTGATCGCGGCCTCAACGGACACATCGCTCGTGGTACATGAAGCACGTCCGCGGAAATAACCTCGGAAGGATTTTGATTGCCACTGGATCCCAAAATTTGTGCTTGCATACGACGAAGTCAGACCACCCATAAAGTCTAGACGTACTGCGGAGCCTGCGCGGTGTACCAGCTGGGTAGCGACAACTGACGCGGTTCGACCGTTGAGAGACTGGGAAGCACGACTTCTCCTCACAAGAGCTATCGAACGTTGCATGTTGTACAGCATAACAGGAGTATAGTTCCGAGGGGACATGATGCTGATGCTGATCAAGAGTCGGTCCGAAGCTTACTATTCACCACGACGCCCACTGTCTCGGCAGACCGGCAGCCCTCACCCACCTTTCACCGGACAGTGCGCATTGAACACACAGCTCCAGTTATCAAAGTCATTGTCGCCTCAGTCGCGATCCACAAAATAAAAGCTGTGGGGGCGGTAGCATTGCGCGCGTACGCTACCAAACTAGATTCATGAACGGGGCCTGGTCACAGCCTCGTCCTGGCGGTCTGCAGCTGCAGTCCTGAGACACGGGGAATATTGGGATAAGGGTTGCCATGGAGGCGCCGATGCCTGGTCGCGCCGTCTCGTTTGGGCGCTGAGACTTGGATGCAGATGCACTGAAATCCTTCATGGACAGGATGCATCGGTGCACGACGCATACAGCACTACTGCTTACTTCCGCTATATTGCGAAAGATTCATGTCGCCGTCCCGCGTCGCTATGGGGTGCGGGAACACGAGTTTTCAGACAAGCTTGCTGATCTTCGCTCGCTTGTCTACATGAGAAAGCCATACCTTCCGTACGCGGTCATCCGATCCAGCGTCATGGCATTCATACTCGTGATGTCTCGCTCAATCATGCGCCTCCCATATGCTGCTCGTTCAGGTCCAGGTACTGAACGGGCTGGCCTGAGACCTGTTTTGCAGCTAAAGTCAGCCCAGCGGCTACCGTGATCCAAAAAGGAAATCCATTCCCCGGCCTCAGACAGGTGACGACGGCACGTTTGGATCATATGAGGGAATTCGAAGATGATGCCTCGTGGACCGCCTCAGTCCACCAACACGCAGCTTCGTTGCTGACTTTTCCGGATCCTTTCTTTTTCATTAGTTTTCTGTGTAACACACCATAGCGTTTTGGTGGCTCAAGTACCCGTGACGGGATCGACATGTACAGCTACTTAGGCTTAAAGAGGACAGACATCGGAATGCTCCCACCGGATGTTGGCCACGATCGAACGACAACTGAACGGAAGAGGTATGCCCTGTAGGTTTTGGAGGATGCGGAAATAAGCGCAGTGTCAGAGCGTCGACGGCCCGCAGGCGCGAAGACACCTTGGTGTGCTGGTATTGCTCGCATACTCTTTGTGTACAGAGTACCTGCAGGCCACATTTTTCGGATTCCACCCGCACCGTCATAAGCGTATCATACCGACTTCAGCCGAGCTACTCTAGTGCTGCTACCGTTGAGAGCACAAGATACTGGTCTAATGTAGAGCAGGAGAGTGCCGCCGAAGTGCCTGACACATTAGTTTCGAGCAAGCCTCGCGGTCGTGGGTTACTACTCGCCCTTGCAAAAATGTGAATTGCGCGTTGTATTCACCGATAAACTGGTACGTGTCAGTGCAAGACGCATATCGAGATTGACGTGTCACAATCGTTGCTGCTAATACTTCACCGTTGAACGTCGCTAGAGACGCGATTGAACGCCAAAACCCGTGAATGGGAAGCTCGTCTTGTGTAATCTTCCGCGATGCTGGGGGACAGGAGTGAAGCGTATCCAGAGTTTTCCCGTTGTGGCGACTTTGCCTACTTTGATGACGGTTATTTGCTTTGCGCGACGTATGCTCCGCTGTCACCATGGTGTGGGAGCTGTCATGTTTCCCACGCTGTTTGCCATGCAACCTTGGAATGAAGGCTGTGACCGATCGTGCCGCCCAGCCACTGTCATATTTCCCCTGCAGCGAGGTATACACGACTCGGTACCTCTCAACGATAGGAAGGCTGGGTAGGGATTTTGTCCAGTACACAGGCTTACCCTACCAGGTCTAGAAGGTGTGGCCCTGGCAGAAGTCTACTCCCGTGGGTGGTCCAGGAGCCGCCTCCGTTGACATGCCCAGAAGTCCGCAAATTCCTCTCGCACCCCACAGCTTCGGATAGCACATGAGCGCTACTCTGTTCCGTGTTCGCTAAGAAGTGAGCGTAGATCTCGCAGTTGCCATTAGCAGGATTTGGCCAAACAGTGCAGGCCCTTCAGGCCGAACCCTAACTCGAGCATACTGTTTCGTATCGATTCGCATCAGCCTGCAGCATCTGCGTCCGCAAACCGAGAATTGAATATCAATCCGCCGCTCCTCGCTCGATGAGGCAATGCTTGTTTGAGGTAGCGGCACATATGTCCGTTGCTGGCGAGGTGGTACCGCAAATCAGCGGCTTGTATTTGCTTGGACTGCTTCTACTTGGCATGTATGTCTCCAAGCGTGATGTAGAGCTTATCCACTCGTTATCCAGATTTCTCATGCACGTCATTCAGCGGCTCCACCTGCCGTCTGATCCAAGATGGGTGCACAGGACAATAGTAACATCCATCGTCGCGGATGTCCTCAGGAGCCTTCCGGGTCTGTCTCCTCACCGTTGAGAACTCTTGTGCGCACCTGATGAAACGAGTTGGACCAGATCTCCAGAGGTCAACGGGTGGCCGCACTATCTCGATCGGCGCTCGGACAGGCGGCAGCAGCAGTAGTAGCAGGCCGTGGACAATGCGAACCCCACGCTTTCGAGTAATTCATAGCAGCGCGGAGACGACTGGTCCCTATCCGGATTATTTGCTTGTTGTGCATGTATCTGACCTGTCGAACATCTGATTCACTTTTCGCTGGCAGCGTGCTGGTCGATTCCCAATTCATGCGCCCCATTTCCTAGGCCGAGTGACACCGGCAAAATCCATTTAGGAAGGCCGCGGAAAGTCTGATCAACAAGCCGGAGAATTATGAAGGTTGGCCCCAGTCCATGCTGCTGTGTAACCCAGCGATCAGTCGCACCTGAACACCCCGGGCCGAATAGCGATGAGATGCAATCATCGTATGAGCGGCAAAATACAGGTTTCCAGGTCTGAAGACCTCCAACCTCGCAAGGGATCCCAGTAGCGATCTGGCAGTGCATGGTGGACCTGCGTCGATCGAAATTGTGAAGAGCCGGCAAGACCTGGATCGAGTCACACTAGTCTTGCCATTGCCAGCATGCTAAGTAACGAGACAGCATCTACCCTGATGAGGGTGGAGTGCGACTGTGCAACGTACTTGGCCATGGGTCCAGGAGCTAGGCTGTGTAGAGCTGAACGGCGCTGTGGATCGCATTCCTGCGAATTGGAGCCTTTGCCTCCGCTGACGTTTGTACTACACTTGTCTGTGGAGTACGTTTCTGCACATGCCCTCCACAGCGTAGAGACGCATGGCGTAAATCGAAACGCAGCCGCCTGGGTGGCTGATGTCTATCCGCCATGGTAGGTTCAAAGGGTTACAGCGCTGCGCAGCGACTGTCAGACACCGAAAGAGGGTTGCTTTAGCCTCTAAGTACCAAACCGTGAATGTGCCTTTAGTCCCATGGGTACCTCTACTGTGTACTTCGCTCGATACGAACTTTGCTGAATCTGTTGAAGAAAGCTCCTCAACGGTGCTTGTGTTCCCTTGCAGGCATAGCACAATCCAGATCATTGTTCTTCTGAGTCCCGCCGGCACGGTCCCATTTCCACGCCATCATTCTTTTGCCCTGCCATCACATCGCGACTGGCCACCCCACACTGTAAGAGGTTCCACGGCCGTTAGTGGAGCCTTTAAACCTGACCTAGCCACCATTAGAGTCCTTTACGTGCCTGATAAAGAGCTACATCTTGCTCCCTCCTGAATCGATATCCAACGAAAGGCAGACTCCTTCGCTAGCGTTCAGCTTCTATCTTCGGTAAGTGCCTGATTAAATAGCTGATGCTCCTCAGCCGGAGCACATCAAGTCTCGTTGTCATGCTAACGACCAACGACAGTCACGAAGCACTCCAGTCCATCATGTGGACCAACAATGCGAGATATTCCCGAGAGGAGACCGCAGAAGGCTTCCAGATATCGCCCTGCTTGACGGCTTCCTCGGGGCTTTTGACGCCTCCTTCGAACTACAACCTCGAGGCTCGTCGCAACTCTGCAGCTTCTTCTTTGTCGTCACTAGGCCCCACAACCCCCATCTACGGACGGTTCTCCGATCATGGCTTCGGAAGTGTGTCTGCGATCGAACCTTGCCAGGACCATTCCATGGAGACGCTTGCCATGGGATACACTTTCAAGGCACCCGGACACGACAGCAACTCGTTCGGAAACTGGTCATCTCTTGTGCAGCCCAACGGCTTCGAGCATGCCGGACCAATGAGGATGTCTCAGACTTTCGTGCCCCAGTCTAGCATGGCACAGTCTCCAATGGCGGCTTACACCGGAGTCGACAGCCAGTCATCCTCGGTACCCGTCTCTTGCGCAACCTCGTTCTCTAGTGTCTCTTACGGGGACTACCATGGTCAGCTCCACGACGAGGCTGATCATGTGCAGACGAGCGACGGAATATGGCCTTATCAGTATGCGCTAGCAAACATGATCTCTGCTCCCACAATGGCGCCAAACGAGGCGCTACTTGGTGGAGAATACGTTCCGGTCGACACGGCGAGCCACGACACGGATATGAGCTCTTATGACGACGCTGACATGCCACTCGCGCGGTCGCCGCAAGATGTCACTGTCAAGACCGAGGATCCTGAAACTTCCTCAGACGAGCGAAGGATCAGAAGGTCGATCTGGGTGTCCTCCACCGGAGGAAAGTCAGTCAAGAAAGAGGAGCAATCCGGCATCTCAAAGAAAAAGTCCAGGAAGACTAGGTCCAAAGCCATCCCTCGCCTTCGCGACGAGCATTTCGAGATCTGGATGGACGACGACGTCGAGCAGATACCCGGAACGAAGAAGTGGCGACGAAACGGAGGCAACACGTCCGGAAAGCCGCAGATCTGTAAGATCGAGATTGGCGGCATGCCTTGTGGCAGGAAGTTCCAGCGCCAGGAACATCTCCACCGTCACGAGAAGACGCATTCCGGCAACAAGCCCTATGTTTGCCAGCTGTGCCAGACACAGTTCAACCGCAACGACAACTGTTGGGAGCACTACTGGACTCACGTCCACCGCCCCGGCAAGAAGAACGGCCGCAACAAGAAGCACAGCCTGAAGCGCGTGCTCAGCTTCATCCAAGACTCGAAGCACATTGAAAAGCTGCACAACAAGTGGCGCAAGGAGGTCGGCTACGAGTACGATCCCGAGACTGACCCGCAGGCTCTGGAGGAGGCGCAGATGGAGGCAGCCGGCAACGAGGGCCCAGGCTCTTCCATCATGAAGCATGACAACATGAAGATTCGCAGCAAGCTCTGAGCTGCATGGAAGCACTTAACGCAGTCATGCCTCATACGTTGATGATCTCAAGCATTGGAGTAGCAAAATTTCCCTCACACATTTTCGGTACGTCGGTTGGAGTTGGTTCGGTGTTCCTTTCGCTGCATTGCATCATTGCCTAGGCATTCTATCAGCATCGTGCTTGTTTGGTCCCCTGTATTCTAGTTGATATTCCTGTATGCACCCTAATGTACGAAATAATGAAGCAACGGCCGTTCATCGTACTCACGCTGTGTATCCACGCTCAATAAGCCTATCATTTGCTGCCTTCTCTGATTCCCCACAATTTGATGGGGCGGAATGTGATGAGGTATGGGACGTGCATCGAAGTTGCAGCAAATGCAAACATTGTGTGACGCGACAAGTTGAAGTGAGGTTGATGGCATGGTTACATTGCCCTAGTGCCACTAATCCAATATAGTCAATAGTGGGGCGTGTACCACTTTGAAACACCAGAGCTCGGACGATGTCCATCAGCAGCGTCTACAATAAGGTCTTCCTCTCCCCCAGCAGCTGCTGTGGATTCAGTCTTCAAATTAACCGCGGGTACATCACCCCGTTTTCGCCTTTATCGGTCTCATCCCATACCACCCGATGGTCGCCATTCCAAGGAACGCGGCTAGGCAGCTGAACACAAGCGCGACGATGCCTCTGGCAGTGAAGCCTGCAGGTAACTCGCCTGGGCTCTTGTTCTCGCCACTTAGGTCTAGCAGATCTTTTGTATTACCTGCTGCATTCCCGGCTGTCGGCACGCTTCCCGCCTCGCAGACCTTGAGATGATCTTCCGGGATCTTGCCTGCAAGCTGTCGTTGTATGTCCAGGGGACGCTCGATCATGGTTGCGGTCAGTCCGGACGCTACATGCCATTCAATGTGGCAGTGGAATAGCCAAACACCAGCATTGTCTGCTCGAAAGCGGAGAACAATGTGCCCATTAGGTCGGACCAGGATTGTGTCGCGCTTCATTGGCGTAGCAGGCAAGGCCGTCACATTACTGGGATCGAAGAAACCTGCCTCCTCCTCACTCCGTGTGACTACCTGGAAAGCGTGACCGTGAAGATGGAACGGGTGTTTACCTGGATCATCGTTGTTCAGGATGATCTCGACCACTTCGTTGGCGCTGAGGATGAAAGCATTTGTGTTTGAGCCGTAGATTGCAGGGTTAGTGGCATTTTCTCCTGTGGATAGGACGCCTATTCAAAGGTGCAATTAGCGTGTATCTCGTAGAGTGAGGAAGGAAGTGCACAGGGTCAAGACCTGCCCCTCTTGAGTATCTTCGGGCTACTACAGGTTCTCACCTACGACAGAAATCGACCAGGGCACAACAGCAGGAGGACTTTAGCCCGAAGCTAGAAGATTGACCTGTTCACTTTCCCTCGTAGTTGATGACCCGCAGTAGTCTGATGGGTTGACTTCTGTGCGAAGAACGGAGATTTACTTACTACCGGGAAGTTAGCAAAATGGGTTTGAGAGCGTTATAGCCATTGCTTACCTGTAGAGCGTGGGTACCTTGGGACTAACGTAGGTGATGTCGTTGAAGAAGGCGTAGTTGGCCCCATCATTCAGGACATCCATTTTCAAGTCGAGAGTGATTGAGTGATCGACCTTATCAAACAGCGCTTCCTTGTCGTATGGTACCAATTTGAAGTCGTCAAATGGCTCGAAAGCATCAATCTCCTTCGGCGCTGGGTTAGGCTTCGTATCGTCATATACGAGCCATCCGGTGACGTTCGGATTGAGACCATCAGGTACAGCATCAAATAGATCCTATAATGGCTGTGAGCTTACAATCTTAAGAGATGTACTGCAGACATTGAGCATACCTGGTCCATGCTACCCATGAAGGCAAAGTTCGAGGTGGTGTCGTTCTTCGCCGTCACTAGCACGCTGTATCTCTGCGCAGCCGTCAAGTAGATCATGTCTGCCTCAGTCGGCTCCGTGTACACACCATCTACTTCGACAATGCGCATCGTGTGTCCTTCGAACCACACATACTGAGCGGCGAAAGCACCCATGTTGATCAGGCGGAATAGATACGTCTTTCCTGGCTGTACTTTGAAGGCCAAGTTCTGCGTGTCGTTCATCAGTGCGGCTTGGGGAACTGGTTCAGCACCGGAGGGATTCGAGATGCTGATGAAGCTCTTGAGCAGTTCCTGCATCCGGTCATGGTACCAGTCTGACAAGGTGAGGACAACCTCCTCGTCGTAGAGGTCCTTGTGTGGATCTTGCGTATCATGGATGATTAGAGGACCACGAAGGCCATCTGGATACTGGCCTCTCTCGTGACTGTGCCACCAATATGATCCAGCTTGGTCGACCTATTCGCATCAACATCATGATTCGATCGAACATACGAGCTCTACTTACTGTGAAGTTGTATGTGAAAGAGCTTCCTGGAGGGATACCACACTGGCTCACGGCAACAGGACCATCCATGTGTGTCGTCCCGTTCTGATACAGGCCATGAAAATGCAGACTTGTGCTCTCATTGCCAAGAGAATTCTTCACGTTGACAACGACCTGATCTCCTTTGGTCGCGACAATGGCTGGCACCGGCCACTGTCCGTTGACGCCCATGACTGGACGCGTCTGCTGTCCATCGGGATTCGCATATGTCCACGCAACATCAAAATCGTATGTGACGGTCGCACACTGTGCGATTGAGGTAAGAAGAGATATTGGGAGAAGGAAGCTTGAGAGTGAGAGCGCCATCTTGGCTGGCAATAGTGAGAAAGCAACGATTGAACTGTTTGCAACCTCAAGCAACAGTGTCAAGCTTCAGCCGAGGAAAAGATGAGAAAGACTAGATGCTCCGACAGCGGGGGATCAGATAAGACCCTGAGGTCGCCTTTGTAAAAAGCACAAGACAGTCGATGCCGCTGTGCAAGTTATCAGATCATCAACTCACGACAGAAGCGGGGTCTTTTCGCTTACAAGCTGCGATCGGACCTTTCACGTCAAACTCTGCGCGTTAGATCTATCCTCGTCGGGCAGCTGCGAAAGAATTTGAGTTGCTGATTCGCCCTGATCTGAGCATGTCCGGTCGTTATCGGGCCATCTGATTAAATCCAGGCCTCGATCGGCGCCAGGCTGGGGTAAGCGCTTGGGGTTAAGCTTGCACTAGCGCTGCGCGATAAATCTTGAACGAATTTGGCGTCCTTGGCTCGTGAAGATCGTGGGTGCTCGCAGGTGATTGACAGCGCTTGGAATTGCGGCATGCGACCCTTTGTTTGCCTCGGGAGGTCGCCGAGTGCTCAAGAATCGATAGGCCATTCGTGGGAAGCCAGTAACATCAATCGCGAAGGATGCGACGCTGCACAAGCGGAAGTGAGCACGGTCGATGAAACTGTCACCGACGCTTGATCAGCCCACCCTGGCACGTTCGTTCGCGTGTTGGATATCAATTTGGCATCGTGCACCTGCGGGCGGGGTGGTGTGGCCCGAATCTCGGCGCGATTAGTGCAAATAACCACCCGATAGACGGCAGCGACTCAAGACGTAGGACTTCGGAAAATCTGATTAGATCCTTTGCTCCTTCTCCCCTTCCCTCCACATATCAGATCCAGCGTTTCCTGCTCTGTTCTTTCAAGCACTGCTAAGGCCGTCAAGATGCCACAAAACGTGTTTGCTGTGCCAGGTAAGCTTGAGTGACCTCTTCCCAGATACTGACAACATCCGACAACGACCTTCCACGCACCAACTCTCAAAGTTATGTCTTTTCTTCTATTGCCATGGACTTACATCGACCGTAGTCTTCTTCATCTGCTTCCGAGAATGTCTAGAGACCAGCATCATCGTCTCAGTCCTCCTCGCCTTTCTGAAGCAGACCCTCGGCCCAGAAACCGATGCGGCTGTGCGTAAACGCCTCGTCCGCCAGGTCTGGGCTGGTGTTGGTGCTGGTATTATCATCTGTCTAATCATCTGCGCTGGTGTCATTGGAACTTGGTAAGTGCACAAGCTTGGGTGACACTTGAGTTATACTAACGATTTGGTAGTAAGTACATACCGTCACACGTGATTCACACAAGTGTACTCCCGAGGTTCTGAACTGTCTCGACGACTTCGATATGCTGTTACGAATCCTCATGCCGCCTTGAACACCACTTGTCCATCCTATCCCACACGCCTCCATATTCCATGGCCACTCCCATCCCGCACCCTCCTTGCTCCAACACTAACACCATACAGTCTACACCGCCGGCCGCAACTCCTTCGAGTCAGCCGAAAACATCTGGGAAGGCGTCTTCGGCATCCTTGCCTCCATCATCATCACCCTGATGGGCGCCGCCCTGCTGCGCGTCTCCAAACTCCAGGACAAATGGCGCGTCAAGATCAGCAAGGTGCTCGAAGCCAAAGACAGCAAGCTGCCTGTCAAGGGCAAGTTGAAAATGTGGGGTGAGAAATATGCCATGTTTATCTTGCCGTTTGTTACGGTGTTGAGGGAGGGAATCGAGGCGGTGCTGTGAGTCCAAGTATACCAAGTAGACAGCATTCGACATACTGATGATTGTAAAGCTTCATAGCCGGCGTCGGCCTCGGCCTCCCAGCAACATCCTTCCCCCTCGCCGTCCTCTGCGGCCTCGGCGCCGGCGCTCTTGTCGGATACATGATCTACAAGGGCGGCAACAAGACGTCTCTGCAGATTTTCCTCGTCATCTCGACGTGCTTCCTGTACCTCGTCGCCGCGGGCTTGTTCTCCAAGGGCGTGTGGAACCTCGAGCAAAACGCCTGGGTCAAGCTGGCGGGCGAGGGCGCTGCAGAGGCAGGTGCCGGGCCGGGAAGTTATGACATCCGCAAGAGCGTCTGGCACGTAAACGTGAGCCTCCTCCTCCTCCCCCACCTTTCACGATATGTCAGTGAATACTAACTGGGTATCAGTGCTGCTCGCCCCTCGAAAACGGTGGTACGGCGGATGGGGTATCTTCAACTCGCTCTTCGGCTGGCAGAACAGCGCGACGTACGGCTCTGTCATCTCGTACAATCTCTACTGGGTCGTTGTCATCGCCGGCTTCCTGTTCCTGGGCTGGAAGGAGAGCAAGGAGACTTCGAGCGCGAGTGAGGACATCGCCAGCGACACGTCCAGCGAGCAGAAGAACTACACAGGCAAGAAGACGAGCGAGGAGGGTGGTTTGGTCGGGACTGCTGTTAGAGAAGTACAGTAGGTACACAAACACAGCTGCAAAGCTCCTGGTCAGAGAGGCAAAAGCAAAATGGCCTGGCGATTCAAATCCCAAAGGAGGACGTCTATAAAAGAAGGGTATACAAAACAAGTCGAAAGTCTAGACCATCATCTCCATGCCATGCCGCACCTGAATCCCCATCTTCCCCACCACTCTGATACATAGCCATACGTTCCTCTACAACGCAAAAACACTCGCCATCGCCGCCGCGCCCGCAACCCCAAGGAATCCCCACAACCCGCTCCTGACTCGCCGCCGCCGTACTCTTCGGGCGCCTGGGCCCCCCGGTCCGACTCGGCACTCTGCGCCCCACCCCGCAATGCTTATCCACCCACGCTCTGGCACCCTTGGCTATTCTGTTGATCCGTAGTTAACTCCCTCAGATCGCTCGGGCAGGGTCGCTGATCCCACGCGGGTCTTTGTTGTTGTATCGTGGTTGAACTCTGTCCGATTCTTGGGTGACCCTCTGGCCGGGAACAGAAAATTGAACTTCCGTCTTCAACTAATTTGATAAAAATGTTCTTT